CTTCCTCTAAAATACTACCATCTTTTTTCCAATACACACACATATTTTCCTAACATTAGGACATCACGACTACAGTACACGCGCACACATGCAGCAGCATCAACTTCGACTTCAACATGGATTATTGGCTTACAATGCATAACTTTTGTGGGAGGGGATCGGACACATACAGCAGTTCTCGCACAGCATTATCCATTGCACTACATTGGCCCATGTATTATATCCGCCGTCTGCCACAGCCACAGCCACAGCCACGCTTATTCGCGCATCACAAAAAATAATGTGTGTCTAGTAAACATTTGGTAAGATATCTGCAACTGGTCTCATCAATGTCATGTCTGGGATGTCTGGGTATATAAGGGGACCTAAAGAACACCCTTATAATAAAAATCGGGCTGGTTCCATTCCATAAGACCCGTAACCGTGGTATATACAGGGGCCCACAGAACATTTGTTCAATATGAATCCGGCTGGTGACACGCCTAAGACCTGAAATCAGAGGCAGCGGAATGGGAGGAGGGTGGGGTTTACCCATGTACCTTCTCCGGATTGCCAGCGTCTGGATGGGCTCCTCACAAAATCACAACACGGGCATGGCTAGAAAGAGTAGCGCATGTACCAAACCCAAAGACATGACAACCAGTTGCAAATATCTCTGAGCGTCCAACGACATTTTGCACTCGAAGCTCTATGAGCTCTAAACAGCTATCATTTGCGCGGCGGTGCTTTTTAGATGGCACTTTACTTTTAATTGTGCTAATTTTTGTCTCTGCCATCCATCATGGCAGAAAATAAAACCACTGTACATACCACACCCGAAATTCCCATTGAAAAATACAATTACAAAAATTAGACTTAAAAAGCCAAGAGAATGAATTTCGTAAATATCGCTCGAAAAAATCAGATAATATTAGAATAATAAATTGCATGATTTTAGTTTGCATGCACTTTTGCAGCCGTTGATTTAGTCTGTGTTTTAGTTGATCATGTGCAACAGCCATCGAACATGAATACATGTACAACTATTGGCACTTTTCCAGCTTAATCTGCGTTGTGCTTAATTTGCTGCTTAGTTGATGAGAGCGTTGGTAAAAATAAATATAAAATAAGAGATGACAGCAAGCATACAAACAATGTGGCTGTATTGAAATTTGCTTGGGATTGCAATTGGTATTGGAGACCATTGCAGCAAAAAGCTATCGCAGCAAAAAAATGCTTCAGCTTTTTGTTAAGAAAAACAGGGGATATTGGAGAGTGTACAGCTAATGATACATTCAATTAGGAGTTATTCGTTAGGATCGAGATGGGCATATTCACTGTGTAGATAATCTATGGCCCCATTTATACAGCCTGTTCTGCAAAACCACATCTAGTGCAGCTCAAAAATAGCAACGTTAATGTAATGCTGCGCAGCCTGAAGATATGGAAGTAGATGTCGAGGTTGAGGATCGTGAAACAAGGTTCCATCTGCATTCCGGTTGATAGGGTACTAATTGGATCATGCAGGCGTAAATTAGGGAGGCATTACATTGGTGCCCAAACATGCTCCCTATTTTGCAATGCACACACATAAGCGCACACACACGCGCAAAAACCACAACATTGACTTTCCAAGATACCGGTCTGCCCACAGAAGAACCAGTTCTCACCAACAGAGCGCACAATGGACAATGTGCACAACAAAGGCGACTGGGAACATATATAAGATGAGGCTGGCCCTAGCAGTATTTTAGAAACATCAGTAATAAAACCTTTTATAAAATCACACCTACTTTTTAACACTAGACAACTAGTGCTCCTCACACCCCCCTCTTACTATAACAAATCGATTTCGCAAAAAAGGCCTTGTTTTATCCACCCATTCCTCTTTTGTTATTTACTTGTAAAGACAGTCGCTATAATCTGCACGACGGGTATTTATCTTGGCCTGGAACCATGGCCTCTCAAGTTGTCGCTGCACTTGACTGAACCCTTGCTTCCAAGGCCAAATACAAGCATGCCTTTTCGAAGATCTAAGTCTCCCGTAAAAATTTGCACAGGTGACAAGCATAGCATCATGTATTAACTAGGATCCCGCGTAAACAACTGCAATGGCCGAGTGTGGCAGTGAGGATTAATGCTGAAGCAATGTATGTTTTCCAGCTCAAAACAACAAGCAAAGGCTTGGGCTTATGCCTGTACTAGAACTATGCACTGAGCTTAAATCCATTGTCATCGAAATGAACATCAATATTACCAACCTTATAATCAAGTCAAGCTACTTTTTATAAGTCGACAAGTTAATACAAGCTGACTCACTAGAGATGTGCTGAAGGGTTTAGCACCAAGGCATTAACATGCTGTATATTGCAGTATACAATCACTGCAAGCTGGGATATAGTTGAATGGAGATGTGTGTGAACACCCCCAAAAAAGGCAGCAGCAGTGTAATTGTGACGCCAAAATTGGGCTGGGTCACATGATAACGGAGGCGCATGGGATATATGTCACAATTTAGGTATATGGCGTTGCATGCTGCCTTACTGAGATTAATTGATTACGTGTATGGCAATTGAGAAATGATAATAAGTTTTTATTATAGTTTATTTATATGCCAAGAAAAACATATAAAAGGAGCAGCTGTCGAGCAGCCAGGAATTGCTCTTGGAAGAAATAAATATTCTTTATTTTCAAAAGCCATTTGCGTTTATATTTTGTCATGCACTTTATTTTTATCTATTTTATTATTTCATATGTTAATGAATCTGGACTCTCCACCCAGCAGAACTAATAATGCTGTGTGTTGTGCTCTATGAAAATGTGGGTCTAAATTAATATATTCAAGTCTTAAAAATTACTTAAGGAATTGAAAAAAGGGGGCAGCTGTTATGTTAAAAATATATATATTTGAACAAAATGAACTAAAAGAAAGTTAAGAGATGAACAACCTTTTGTTCATATTCATTAGTATTTATGTGTGCGTATGAATTCCCACATATCCAAGTAGGGGATTAACTAGCAATTGATGCATTAATCAATCGCCAAAGACAAGCCACATTTTCTTGTATCACACGCGTGAGTGCACATACACGAAAACCACAACACTGACTTGTCAAGATACCAGTCTGCTTACAGAAGAACCAATTCTCGTCAATGGAGTGTACAACTGGTGAAGTGCATAACAAAGCAAACGAGATATATATAAGATGAGGTCGGCTTTAGTTACGCTTTTGGTTCCATTGATAATAAAAACCATAAATTAACACCTCACCTTTAACACTACATCATAGTGCTCCACATATATCCCCCTTTTTAAGTTCCCTAAGTAATTTTCTGATACTTGAATATAATAATTTAGACCCACATTTTTATAGAGCATAACAATATTAATATTGGCTTTTTGAGCAATTAAATCATACTTCTGCTACTGGAATTGGTCACTATATCCGGTTATTACAATGACACCACAGCTCATTTTGAAGCATGGAAACAAACGTGTAGACAGACAATTGATTTTAAAATGTAAACATGCTTCTTCAGGACAAAAATAATGATGTTATTGCGAAAATAGTTATTGGTTGATGGCGATCAACTGATTAACCAGTCTTGGCTGTTTAGCAACACAAACAATAAGTCACACAGTGACCAAAGCAATATGCTTTCTACTCTTCACCTTTTGCAGTGCATAGCACTTATTTATTAAATATACTTTATATCATTATAGTTTATCTACACGTTCATAGAACGTTCCTATATTCCAACAATAGTGCTCTAGTTATCAGTTTTATTCAAACAGTTTATGAGAACAGCGTAATGGAATATAAAATAGTTAGAAAAAGTACCAATATCAACGGGACATTATTGTGTTGGATCTAATTCTCTATTTTTTCTTACATCTCTCTTTATATTGCTGTGGCTCCAGATTCTGACTAGCTTGCGATATGCCTTTCTGAGCTCTGATTTCTGCCCCCACATGGTCAGTGACCACTTGTGCGTCCCACTTGTGCGCTTCTCCAAGGGCTACTTTATACTTATACACTGTTACCGAGTTGCCTGCAATATTTGCAATAATTTATTTTTTGCAATCTGCGCGAAACAGATACTTGGATATTCATTTACAGAGATAATCAGTGAGCCCAAAGCAAATTAACAACGTCACAAGTGTTTCTTGACTAATCTTGGAGGCAATAAGCAGCATATTAAATGTTTTTCAAGCTAATTTTAATTTGTTTTCATTTTAAATTTCATCTAGCAAGTTTCAGTATATACACAAAATTTTATTAGTTTGTATTGTTATGTAAGAGGGGGTGGGGAGCACTACTGTAATAGTGTTAAATAATAGGTGCAAAATTATAAAGGTTTTATTAGTGTTTCTAAAGTGCTATTATCGCCGGCCTCGCCTTATATATATTTCCTTGTCTTTGTGGCACTCACTGGCAGTTGTGTGCTCCGTTCGCGAGAACTGGTCCTTATGAAAGTAACCCGGGTTTCTGATATGACATAATTGGCATGTCTGTATTCTTGCGCCCAGCACATACATTTTGGGACAGGCAGTATGTCCGGATGTCAGTTGTGGCGCCTAATTTGATCACCTGTAATTTGGCCCATATCAGATCCATCTGTGAGCTGACGAGAATCTGTCTCATGGTTTTCGCCCTCAGCGTTTACCTCCATATCCTCGGGCTGCATAACAGTATTATACACTCAAAAACGCTGACTCCAGTCATGAGCCGAGCGCAGTGAAAAATAAGAAATTGGCGGTGGACTGGATGTGTAGCCTAGAGTTGCATTGGCAAGCGTGTCAAAGTTCCCAGCAGCTCGAAAGGGATAAAGAAACGTGTAATGAGTATAATCTAGTGGCTGTTATAGTGCCAAAATTTTGTTTGTTTGATTTTCCCACACTTCCTACCTTTTTAGCTCCCTACCTCTATGCCTTTGTATTGCCTGTTTTTTATTTTTATTTTTTTTATGAGTTGCATCTACAACATTACAAGCTGATCAGACTTGTAATGATTGCTGTGCCGCCATGTATTTAATAATAAATTTAATAAAACCCCGAGAACATTTTACAATGTTTCAAGGCCCATGGACACTCATCTTTTTTTGTTTATTCTTTTTTTTTGTTCTGTTGTTCTTTTGTTTGTTCTGTTTTTGTTCTTTTTTGTTCTTTTGTTGTTCTTTTTTGTTCAGGCAATACATTGGCAAGGAGGGCGGGTAGCAGCAAAGGGAGGAGTGGGTAATGAGGAGACAAAATATGAAGATAAGGGCTGGTTGTATGACGAAAGAGGATTTGACGTGGAAAGCTAGTGGGTGTGTTCAAACATTCCCTGGCATAAGTTGTGTTTTGAAAGTGAAAATGTGGACTGTAGATTTTGCGAGCGAAGGGTTGGTTATTGAAAAGTCAAGAGGAGGTAAGTGGTATCCGCGGTCGCTGGTGGTATATTCCATATACAAACATGGTGTGTAAAGTGTAATTGGTAAGTAGTGTTGTAACAAATTGTGGTTGGGATGAGAAACCAAAGAAATGTCTTGGGAAGTGGACGCTATATTTATATGAAACCTGGCATTCAAATGGATGGATGAGAAAGGCAGCTAAAACAGACCTATCATTTAGAAAAAGAGATGGAAAATAAAAAATACAACGAGTTCGTTTTTCATCAGCCTAAAATAATTTTCCCATGTTTTTTTTGCACCAAGAGGCGTGTATTTTTGTAATTAAACAAACCCAAACTGCCAAAAATAGTAGCAAAATATATCTCCATGTGCTTGAAAAATGTAAACATTGCATCATTTTGATTCCAACATTGCATCATTTATGCCGTGAAATAAAGTGAAAATGATTTTGATATTTGCAAAAATACAAACATGCATTCGGCCATTTTTGCAAGACAAACAATGATATCTTTTTTTGGGAGGGGGGGCAGATTTTGTTCCGAAAATTTACATGTATATTTAGAGAACCTGGGTAAGAGGCCCAACCTGAAACATAAGCAATTGGTATTTGCTATAAAGGATATTAATCAAAAAATGATATTTATTTTTTCCAAGGAGGACAATTCCTGGCTGCCCGACAGCCAGGAATTATATGCTCTCCTTGGCATGTAAATAACCTATAATAAAACCTATCATCATTGCTCTGATTGCCACATGAGTAATCAATTAATCTCAGTAAGGCAACATGCAAAGCCATGTGCCTTAACTGTGGCATATCATTGGAGTCAATTCACAAACTGATTTGCGTAGCATTGGATGTCAGTGCTTTAAAAGCATGTTCACAAAATGATGAATCATTTCCAGTAATGACATGTACAGGATGCTGCTTCCATTATTGCTAAAAATCCCATGTATAAATAAGACATGGTTTCTCGAATATTCAGTCGGTAGTTCTTTAGGCACTCTTGCTCCTTTTTTTACTCACAACTGCAAACATCTTTATTTTATTTACCAGCAACCATCATTTTCAACATGCAGCTCTTCTAATTCACCACTCTTGCCCTGATTGCCGTTGCTGCCACTGCTGTTGTGTGCGCTGACGCTTATGCCAATGCCATTTTTGACAGGTTTGGAGTGTTTCATTACCCAAAGAAACCCTCTTGGTGCACAAAAAGAGTGCAAAAATATTTTAGGCTAGCAAAACACAGAAACCCACTGCATTTTCATTTTTCCATCTCTTTTTTCAACTGGTAGGGCTTTTTTGCTGCCCTTTTCCATCTATTTGCATGTCTCATTTCATATAAAAAGAGCGCCCAGTTTCCAAGTTTTTTTGGTTCCCTATCTCCCTCCCAACAACCACTTACTTTAAAATACTACCACCTTTTTTCCAATACACACATATTTTCCTAACATTAGGACATCATGACTACAGTACACGCGCACACATGCAGCAGCATCAACTTCGACTTCAACATGGATTATTGGCTTACAATGCATAGCTTTTGTGGGAGGGGATCAGACACATACAACAGTTCTCGCACAGCATCATCCATTGGACTACATTGGCTCATATATTATATCCGCCGTCTGCCACAGCCACAGCCACAGCCATGCTCATTTGCGCATCACAAAAAAATAATGTGTCTAGTAAACATTCGGTAAGATATCTGCAACTGGTCTCATCAATGTCATGTCTGGGATGTCTGGGTATATAAGGGGACCTAAAGAACACCCTTATAATAAAAATCGGGCTGGTTCCATTCCATAAGACCCGTAACCGTGGTATATACAGGGGCCCACAGAACATTTGTTCAATATGAATCCGGCTGGTGATACACCTAAGACCTGAAATCAGAGGCAGTGGAATAGGGGAAGGGCAGGGTTTACCCATATACCTTCTCTAGATTGCCAGCGTCTGGATGGGCTCCTCACAAAATCACAACATGGGCATGGCTAGAAAGAGTAGCGCATGTACCAAACCCAAAGACATGACAACCAGTTGCAAATATCTCTGAGCGTCCAACGACATTTTGCACTCGAAGCTCTATGAGCTCTAAACAGCTATCATTTGCGCGGCGGTGCTTTTTAGATGGCACTTTACTTTTAATTGTGCTAATTTTTGTCTCTGCCATCCATCATGGCAGAAAATAAAACCACTGTACATACCACACCCGAAATTCCCATTGAAAAATACAATTACAAAAATTAGACTTAAAAAGCCAAGAGAATGAATTTCGTAAATATCGCTCGAAAAAATCAGATAATATTAGAATAATAAATTGCATGATTTTAGTTTGCATGCACTTTTGCAGCCGTTGATTTAGTCTGTGTTTTAGTTGATCATGTGCAACAGCCATCGAACATGAATACATGTACAACTATTGGCACTTTTCCAGCTTAATCTGCGTTGTGCTTAATTTGCTGCTTAGTTGATGAGAGCGTTGGTAAAAATAAATATAAAATAAGAAATGACAGCAAGCATACAAACAATGTGGCTGTATTGTTATGGTAAGAGGGGGTGTGAGGAGCACTAGTTATCTAGTGTTAGAAATGTAGGGGTGGTTTTATAAAAGGTTTTATTACTGATGTTTTTAAAATACTGCTAGGGCCAGCCTCATCTTATATATGTTCCCAGTCGCCTTTGTTGTGCACATTGTCCATTGTGCGCTCTGTTGGTGAGAACTGGTTCTTCTGTGGGCAGACCGGTATCTTGGAAAGTCAATGTTGTGGTTTTTGCGCGTGTGTGTGCGCTTATGTGTGTGCATTGCAAAATAGGGAGCATGTTTGGGCACCAATGTAATGCCTCCCTAATTTACGCCTGCATGATCCAATTAGTACCCTATCAACCGGAATGCAGATGGAACCTTGTTTCACGATCCTCAACCTCGACATCTACTTCCATATCTTCAGGCTGCGCAGCATTACATTAACGTTGCTATTTTTGAGCTGCACTAGATGTGGTTTTGCAGAACAGGCTGTATAAATGGGGCCATAGATTATCTACACAGTGAATATGCCCATCTCGATCCTAACGAATAACTCCTAATTGAATGTATCATTAGCTGTACACTCTCCAATATCCCCTGTTTTTCTTAACAAAAAGCTGAAGCATTTTTTTGCTGCGATAGCTTTTTGCTGCAATGGTCTCCAATACCAATTGCAATCCCAAGCAAATTTCAATACAGCCACATTGTTTGTATGCTTGCTGTCATCTCTTATTTTATATTTATTTTTACCAACGCTCTCATCAACTAAGCAGCAAATTAAGCACAACGCAGATTAAGCTGGAAAAGTGCCAATAGTTGTACATGTATTCATGTTCGATGGCTGTTGCACATGATCAACTAAAACACAGACTAAATCAACGGCTGCAAAAGTGCATGCAAACTAAAATCATGCAATTTATTATTCTAATATTATCTGATTTTTTCGAGCGATATTTACGAAATTCATTCTCTTGGCTTTTTAAGTCTAATTTTTGTAATTGTATTTTTCAATGGGAATTTCGGGTGTGGTATGTACAGTGGTTTTATTTTCTGCCATGATGGATGGCAGAGACAAAAATTAGCACAATTAAAAGTAAAGTGCCATCTAAAAAGCACCGCCGCGCAAATGATAGCTGTTTAGAGCTCATAGAGCTTCGAGTGCAAAATGTCGTTGGACGCTCAGAGATATTTGCAACTGGTTGTCATGTCTTTGGGTTTGGTACATGCGCTACTCTTTCTAGCCATGCCCGTGTTGTGATTTTGTGAGGAGCCCATCCAGACGCTGGCAATCCGGAGAAGGTACATGGGTAAACCCCACCCTCCTCCCATTCCGCTGCCTCTGATTTCAGGTCTTAGGCGTGTCACCAGCCGGATTCATATTGAACAAATGTTCTGTGGGCCCCTGTATATACCACGGTTACGGGTCTTATGGAATGGAACCAGCCCGATTTTTATTATAAGGGTGTTCTTTAGGTCCCCTTATATACCCAGACATCCCAGACATGACATTGATGAGACCAGTTGCAGATATCTTACCAAATGTTTACTAGACACACATTATTTTTTGTGATGCGCGAATAAGCGTGGCTGTGGCTGTGGCTGTGGCAGACGGCGGATATAATACATGGGCCAATGTAGTGCAATGGATAATGCTGTGCGAGAACTGCTGTATGTGTCCGATCCCCTCCCACAAAAGTTATGCATTGTAAGCCAATAATCCATGTTGAAGTCGAAGTTGATGCTGCTGCATGTGTGCGCGTGTACTGTAGTCGTGATGTCCTAATGTTAGGAAAATATGTGTGTGTATTGGAAAAAAGATGGTAGTATTTTAGAGGAAGTGGTGGTTGTTGGGAGGGAAATAGGGAACCAAAGAATATCTTAAAAACTAGGCGCTCCTTTTATATGGAATAAGACATGTGAATAGATGGAGAAAGGCAGCAAAAAAGCCCTGCCAGTTGAAAAAGAGATGGGAAAATAAAAAATGCAGTGGGTTCTTTGTGTTCTGCCAGCCTGAAATATATTTTGCACTTTTTTTGTGCACCAAGAGGCTTGCTTCGGGTAATGTAACACCTTAAAACTGCCAAAAAATAGTGTCGGCATAAGCGTCGGCGTGCACGACAGCAGTGGCAGCAACGGCAATCAGGGCAAGAGTGGTGAATTAGAAGAGCTGCATGTTAAAAATGATGGTTGCTGGTAAATAAAGTAAAGATGTTTGCGGTTATGAGTAAAAAAGGAGCAAGAGTGCCTAAAGAACTACCGACTGAATATTCGAGAAACCATGTCTTATTTATACATGGGATTTTTAGCAATAATGGAAGCAGCATCCTGTACATGTGATTGCTGGAAATGATTCATCATTTTGTGAACATGCTTTAAAGCACTGACATCCAATGCTATTCAAATCAATGCGTGAATTGACTCCAATTATATGCCACAGTTAAGGCACATGGCTTTGCATGTTGCCTTACTGAGATTAATTGATTACGCACGTGGAATTCAGAGCAATGATGATACGTTTTATTATAGTTTATTTACATGCCAAGAAGAGCATATAAGGAATGGCTGTCGGGCAGCCAAGAATTATTATCTTTGGAAAAAATAAATAGCATCCTTTGATTAATATCATTTGTAGCAAATACCAAGTGTTTATGTTTCAAGTTGGGCCTCTTACCCAGGTTCTCTAAATATACATGTAAATTTTCGGAACAAAATCTGCCCCCCCCTCCCAAAAAAAGATATCATTGTTTGTCTTGCAAAAATGGCCGAATGCATGTTTGTATTTTTGCAAATATCAAAATCATTTTTACTTTATTTTACGGCATAAATAATGCAATGTTGGAATCAAAATGATGCAATGTTTACATTTTTCTTCAAGCACATGGAGATATATCTTGCTGCTATTTTTGGCAGTTTGGGCTTGTTTAATTACCAAGATACACGCCTCTTGGTGCAAAAAAACATGGGAAAATTATTTTAGGCTGGTGAAAAACGAATAACTCGCTGTATTTTTTATTTTCCATCCCTTTTTCTAAATAGTAGGTCTGTTTTAGCTGTCTTTCTCACCCATCCATTTGAATGCCAGATTTCATATAAATAGAGCGTCCACTTCCCAAGACATTTCTTTGGTTTCTTATCCCCCACCACAATTTGTTATAACACTGCTTACCAATTACACTTTGCATACCATGTTTTTATATGGAATATACCACCAGCGACCGCGGATACCACTTACCTCCTCTTGACTTTTCAATAACCAACCCTTCGCTCGGAAAATCTACAGTCCACATTTTCACTTTCAAAACACAACTTATGCCAAGGGATGTTCAAACACACCCATCGGCTTTCCATGTCAAATCCTCTTTCGTCATACAACCAGCCCTCATCTTCATATTTTGTCTCTTCATTACCCACTCCTCCCTTTGCTGCTACCCGCCCTCCTTGCTAATGTATTGCCTGAACAAAAAAAACAGAAACAAAAAAACAAACAAAAAAACAGAACAAACAAAAAAACAGAACGAACAAAAAACAGAACAAACAAAAACAGAACAGAAAAAAAGATGAGTGTCCATGGGCCTTGAAACATTGTAAAATGTTCTTGGGGTTTTATTAAATTTATTATTAAATACATGGCAGCACAGCAATCATTACAAGTCTGATCAGCTTGTAATGTTGTAGATGCAACTCATAAAAAAAATAAAAATAAAAAACAGGCAATACAAAGGCATAGAGGTAGGGAGCTAAAAAGGTAGGGAGTATGGGAAAATCAAACAAACAAATTTTTGGCACTATATAACAGCCACTAGATTATACTCATTACACGTTTCTTTATCCCTTTCGAGCTGCTGGGCACTTTGACACGCTTGCCGATGCGACTCTAGGCTACACATTCAGTCCACCGCCAATTTCTTATTTTTCACTGCGCTCGGCTCATTACTAGAGTCAGCGTTTTTGAGTGTATAATACTGTTACGCAGCCTGAGGATATGGAGGTAGATGCTGAGGGCGAAAACCATGAGACAGATTCTTGTCAGCTCACAGATGGATCTGATATGGGCCAAATTACAGAGTATCAAATTAAGCGCCACAACTGACATCCGGACATACTGCCTGACCCGAAATGGATGTGCTGGGCGCAAGAATACAGACATGCCAATTATGCCATATCAGAGACCCGGGTTGCTTTCATAAGGACTAGTTCTCGCAAACGGAGCACACAACTGTCAGTGAGTGCCACAAGGACAAGGAGATATATATAAGGCGAGGCCGGCGATAATAGCACTTTAGAAACACTAATAAAACCTTTATAATTTTGCACCTATTATTTAACACTATTACAGTAGTGCTCCCCACCCCCTCTTACATAACAATACAAACTAATAAAATTTTGTGTATATACTGAAACTTGCTAGATGAAATTTAAAATGAAAACAAATTAAAATTAGCTTGAAAAACATTTAATATGCTGCTTATTGCCTCCAAGATTAGTCAAGAAACACTTGTGACGTTGTTAATTTGCTTTGGGCTCACTGATTATCTCTGTAAATGAATATCCAAGTATCTGTTTCGCGCAGATTGCAAAAAATAAATTATTGCAAATATTGCAGGCAACTCGGTAACAGTGTATAAGTATAAAGTAGCCCTTGGAGAAGCGCACAAGTGGGACGCACAAGTGGTCACTGACCATGTGGGGGCAGAAATCAGAGCTCAGAAAGGCATATCGCAAGCTAGTCAGAATCTGGAGCCGCAGCAATATAAAGAGAGATGTAAGAAAAAATAGAGAATTAGATCCAACACAATAATGTTTCGTTAATATTGGTACTTTTTCTAACTATTGTATATTCCATTACACTGTTCTCATAAACCGTTTGAATAAAACTGATAATTAGAGCACTATTTTTGCAATATCATTATTTTTGTCCCGAAGCACCATGCTTACATTTTAAAATCAACTGTCTGTCTATACGTTTGTTTCCATGCTTCAAAATGAGCTGTGGTGGCATTGTAATAACTGGATATAGTGACCGATTCCAGTAACAGAAGTATGATTTGATTTCTCAGAAAGTCAATATGAATATTGTTATGCTCTATAAAAATGTGGATCTAAATTATTCTATTCAAGTATCAGAAGCTTACTTGGAAAACTTAAAAGGGGGCAGCGCCATGTGGGCAGTGCTGTAAACATAGTGGTATTCCTTGATTTCAGCCAGCAATAACAGAAGTGTGCATAGCGGCCATGAGGGTGTTATAATAAGAGGGAATATGTGGAGCACTATGATGTAGTGTTAAAGATGAGGTGTTAGTTTATGAAGGTTTTTATTATCAATAGATGCAAAAGTGAAATTAGGGCCGGTCTCATCTTATATATATCTTGTTGCCTTTGTTGTGCACTTTGCCAGTTGTGCACTCCGTTGGCGAGAACTGGTTCTTCTGTGAGCAGACCGGTATCTTGGTAAGTCAATGTTGTGGTTTTAGTGTGTGTACACTCACGCGTGTGCATTGCAAAATGGGGAGCATGTCCGGGCATCATTATTATGCCTCCCTACCTTACGCCTGCATAATCCAATTAGTACCCTATCAACTGGAATGCAGCTGTAAACTTGTTTCACGGTTCCCAACCTCGACATCCACTTCCATGTCTTTAATCTGTGCAACACCATTATAAATGAAAATACTTATTGTACCAATATATTTTGTATTAAACCTATTTTTCAAATTCACTAGGGAAGCCTCCTATTGAGTCTTCCCTAATTGCCTTTTTATAAGCAATTTAAAGCTTTCTCAAATACTACTGTATAAATGCTTATTCAGCATTAATGCAGTAGTTTGTGGCCTCTTGGCTCAAATAAGCTTATGCAATGATCTGTTTTGTTATTGCAATTGTGGTAACTGTCGTGTGTGAGGTATTTGCCAGCTGTTCAGGGGCCAGAGGCAGCGGTGGTACTGTTGCCATTGTTACTGCTGGTGCTGTGTCTGGTGTTGGTACCATTGTTGTGATATAAAAAAATGCGGCTTGTCCCGGGTGACTGATTAATGAATCAATCGCTAGTTAATTCCCTATTTGGATATGCGGGAATTCATATGCACACATAAATACTAATGACTATGAACAGTAAAGGCTGCTCATTCTTTAGCTTTCTTTTAGTTCATTCTTAATGAATATTTTTTATCATAACAGTAGGCATGGTAAAATTGTCTGCTTCAGATTACCAAAGGTAACAAATATTGAATTTACTGTTTACTCTGTCGTTTTGCTTTCCAGGATCACACGAGTTTTTTGTTTCCAAGATTATTCTAAACATGGCCTGTAATCACGTGCCGTTTTACCACAAGTAATTAAAATATTAGCACGCCTTGTTGTATCTGATATGTTTTTGCAATATTTACAAAAATATTCAACTTTAAATATTCACGCATCAAATCGAATACTCTCTTTTTCTCTTATTTCTACACAAAAACAAACCTCTGATGATATACTCCAAAACCACGATTAAAAACATTGCCGAGTCTATTGGCGTCCCGAAACTCAAGGACGGCATTACCACCGCGATGGCCCAGGATGTCGAGTACCGTCTGCACGAGATAATCTCCGAGGCGACAAAGTTTATGCGGCACAGCAAGCGTACAAAACTTACAGTTTCTGACATTAACAGCGCCCTGCGCGTGCGAAATGTTGAGCCGATTTATGGGTTTGAGACTGGCAGGCCCGTGAAATTTCACAAGGCATCGACAGCGCTGGAAGACATATATTATGTAGAGGATGAGCAGATTGACCTAGACTCTATCCTAGAGGAGCCCCTTCCAGCGGTTCCTTTAGATGTAGTTTACACGGCACATTGGCTTGCCATTGAGGGCGTGCAGCCGCGCATTCAGCAGAACCCCGTGCCTGTGGACGAAGAGGAAACGGCGACGAAGAAGCCTGTCAAGTCACAGCGGCAGGAGGGTGTCGAGACTATACCCTTGGTCAAGCATGTCTTGTCGAGGGAGCTGCAGCTGTACTTTGAGTGCATCACAGAGTCGCTGCAGAGCTCCGACCTCGTGGTCAAATCCACTGCCCTGGAGAGCATCTCAGTGGACGCTGGAATTCACCAGCTGGTCACCTACTTTGTACAGTACATTGCTGTGACCATAAAGGCCAACCTGCACAATCTCGAGTCCCTGAGGACAGCCATGGCTGTGGCACGAGCAATACGCCGCAACCCTAATCTCTTCGTCGAACCATACATGCACCAGCTTATCCCCTCCTTGCTCACTTGTTTGGTGAGCAAGCGTCTTTCAGAATTGCCCACTGAGGACCACTGGTCTTTGCGCGACGGCGCCGCTCAGCAGATTTCGGAAATCTGCAGCCAATTTGGCCACTCGTACCATACGCTTCAAGCGCGCATAGCCCGTACCTTGCTCCGTGCCTTCTTGGACCCGACAAAGCCCCTGACTACCCATTACGGTGCCATAGTTGGGCTCACCAAACTAGGCGTCAGCATTATTAGGGTGCTGGTTTTGCCTAACATCAAGTCGTATATGTCCTTGTTGGATGCCGAGATGGAGAAGGACAGTGAGCAACTCAAGTCCGACGGAGAGCATTGCAGGAGCGCACTGCTAGAATCTCTGAGATGCCTGGTTGCGAGCGATTTGGACGGTGACTTGTTGGTTGGCCTGACGATTGTGCAGAGGAGCAGGCTGGCGGAGGTTGTTGGCGAGACCATGGCCAATTTGGTTTTTGCTGACAGGGATGCTGCAAAGATCGTGACTGCCGTGCTTGCTGTGGGCAAGTCGTCAAAGGATCAAGATGATCAAGTGAACTAAGATAAGGTAATAGTCCCGTTGGCTTTTTTCTTGCCTATAATTCAACGATAAAAAAGACATGGTAATAAAGGGATAAAAAATTATTGTAGATGGCATGTGTGTTGCGTGCGCGGATAAATTAAATTTCTATGTGAATAAACACGCCAAGATAATCTCTACTATTCAATGTCCATCTAATATCCATGGATTTAAAAGTTAAGTTAGCGAAAAGTGTGGAAGTGGTTTGGTCAATCATAATGAATGGTCCACTTATCTATTTCTCATTTTGTACGCATGTGCTTTGGTAGCTAAAAAAAGCTCACATAGTCAGCTGACATGTCAACCTTGCTTGTACAATACATTATCCATACATCCTGTGAATCTGATTTACCTCACTCCTTTTCTCTTGTTTGTAAAAAAAAGGTGGAAGAGGGGTATAGACTCGCATATAGTGAAATAGATGGTATGAATGAAATCCGGATGGAATATGGAGTAAATAAAATAATAGCGTTCTGGATTTTGCAAAGCACATTTAGATACTTTCTTTTATTTTCCAAAATAAAAAATAGTTGGCTTTTATTCACATTATTCAATAATCTATCACTCACTCACCTACCCCTGCTCTTTTATTACTTGCTTGTTATACCCAGGAGTAAACAATGATATTCAAATCGCCCCACACCAGCGTCAAAATCCCAGATTTGGACCTGCCAACGTTCATGTTCACGTACGCGCGGAAGAACACAGTCTTCGGCCAGAATCCCAACCTCATAACCATGATACAGCATTCGCAAAGCCTGACATTCGCCGACTTTGAGCGCCAAACCGACGAGTTTGCCTCGGGTCTGCACAATAACCTGGAATTCCAGCGCGGCGACATCCTAGCAGCCATCCTGCCCAACACACCGTTCTACCCCATTATAACCATGGGCACCCTGTTGCTCGGTGGAGTAGTGAACACGGCCAACCCGGCATACACTGCCCGCGAGCTCTCGCATCAGCTCAAGATGACGCAACCAAAGGTCATCGTCACCATGCATGATTTCCTGGCCACCACTCAGGAGGCCATCAAGTTATCCGGACTGAGCATCCCAAAATCGCATATAATTACAGTGGACAATGGGGACAACTCTCTGCAGCAAATTTACTCGACCCGGCATTTCCCCCGCGTCTACCTGACAGCCAAGAAGCAGACCGCACAGACGCCAGCCTTTATTGTGTTTAGTTCGGGCACAAGCGGAGCGCCCAAGGGCGTAGTCCTGTCGCATCGTAACCTGGTAGCCAACGCAATGCAGTTCCTGGAAGTCGATCGTGCCGATTACAAGTTGGCGCAGGCTGTGGGCCACAGATACCAGCGGCGTTGGCTCCAGGTACTCCCGATGTTCCATATCTACGGGATTCTTGTCACCAACGCTGGCATACTCACCGGCGCTGTTGTCGTTATGATGGACAATTTTAATTTTCCTGGGTTCTGTGCGTTGCTGCAGGACCACAAGGCCGACACTGTTTACGTTGCACCTCCAATTATTCTGGCTTTGGCGAAAAGCCCCGAGGTAAAAAAGTACGATTTGTCTAGCCTCAAGTATATCAATTCGGGCGCTGCTCCACTCGGCAAGGAGCTGCAGGCTGAGGCTGAAAGAAAACTCGGCGTATTTGTCACCCAGGGTTTTGGAATGTCCGAGGCCAGCCCGCTCATATCCCGCTCGGCATGTGGCGTCAATACTCCGGGATCTATCGGACCTTTGTGCTCCAACACCGAGGTTGTTTTCATTGACAATGACGGTAAGCACTTGGGAGTTAACCAGACAGGCGAAATCTGCATCAGGGGGCCCCAGGTTATGCTGGGCTACTACAAGAACGAAGCAGCCACAGCCGAAACCATCCAAAGCGACGGATACTTGCACACAGGCGACATTGGATACATTGACGCCAACAACAATATTTACATTACTGATCGCAAAAAGGAACTGATCAAGTATAAGGGATTCCAGATTGCGCCGGCTGAGCTCGAAAGCTTGTTGACAGATCATCCGGATGTCATTGATGCCGCTGTGATCCCGGTTTATGATGAGGCGCGGGTGTCAGAAATCCCCAAGGCGTTTGTCGTTGTTCGATCTGAGGCACAGAATAGGATTGGGATTAATGCAGAAATTGCAGGGTGGCTGGCCACTCGTGTCATCGATTACAAGAAGCTGCGCGGCGGTGTAGAGCTCATTGACGTTATTCCAAAGTCTGCCACGGGAAAGATCCTTCGCCGGGTGCTCAAGGATCTTGAGGCCAGCAGAAAAAGTCCAAAGACCAAGCTCTAAATAGATGTGATGATTCTCACTACATAAGCCCAGCCAGCTGAGCTGAGAGGTTGAGAGCTAAGTCAATGCCGAGCAGGCAGGCATTAATGCAACAGCAACCAGGATTTTATGGCTAGCTAGCTGCTTATAAAATGGCAGCACAGGAAAGCTCAATAGGAAGTTTCCTCAGCTTTTGTTTTAATAAAAATTTATCGGACTCATCATTTCTGGTGATTACTACAATAGAAACTATATCGTTTGAAAGAAGAAGAAAAAAAACCTCTGTTAATTATTTTTATATTTTGCGTGTTAACAAATTCTATGTGTTATTTATATGGTGTGTATATTCTCTACTCGCGGTTCTTGAGCCTCATCGGGCCCGGGGTGACTTCATCGTGGTCCAAGATTATAGAATCATCTGTGCTCTGCGAGCTACTACTCCGCAAAGTCCTTTTAGTGGCAGCATCAGAAAAAGCCAGCTTTGGCGGCGAGTTTACAAAGCGAGAATGGCCACCAAACACATTGGAACCAGCACTGGTATCGGCACTGTTGCTTGTAAGATTATTTCCACGCAATCTTTCTTGATTCTCAGTCTGCGTGTCCAAACCATCCTCTTCGAAAACAAAATCCACCGCGGCAATTTCATCATAAGCGTCTGTAGCAAAAACCAACTGACGCAACTGCGATTCATCCACGCCCCGTCCACCACTGTCGTCGCCATGTGCATTCGAACTAGAGTCCTCGTCCACCTGGCCGTTCATTGTATCGTGTATCTTGAGCCAATTGTACATGGCAATACCAAACAAAGTCACCACTAACCCGGATGCATTCACGAGCGTCATGGAGTCGCCGAAAATCAAATGCGCCACACCAATCATAACTACTTCTTTCAGCATCCCGGCAATGGACAGAGTAACCACGGATGTACGCGCAATAAGAAAAAACTCGGAAAGCACCATTGCAAAAGCCAAACACCCACCAACACCCATCATAACTACGATAAACAGAACATCACGCAGTGACTGCATGTTTTTATCCTGGGATAGTTGCGAAACAGGTTGCTCGAGGATCAATGAAAAGGCAAGCATAGAGGCGCCAATTATTGGCATAAGCCTGGACATTGTGGCCACGGGGTTATTCATCCCAAAACGCGCCTGCGATAAAAGAATCTGCGTCAAAGACCACCGCAATCCGCTCATTGCCGCGGATGAAACCACTTGGGTAAACCCCAGGAGCTTGAAATCCACCTCGCCGGCAGCCATCAGCACAACCCCCACGGTGATAATCGCAATAACCACGATCAATGCAAACCGCACCCGCTCCAACCCAAACAAAAACGCAAACAACAGGACGAACCCTAACCCGGAAGACTTGCACATGGTGTAAAACGTCAACGTAATCGTCCGCAGGCTAACATTACTCAGACCAATATCCAGCGCCGACGCCAGTCCACAGGGTACAGCCCGGGTCAAGTACAATCCCCAAGTAGTATTTTTCTGGGTCGGCCGCAGTTTCGGAAACAACCTCAGACACAAGGTCGCCAGGGAATACTGCATAAGCATATGCACACTACTGACTAGCAGAGGGAATGAAAAGTCCCGCTCGGATGATCCAAACAACCACTTATTGTAAACTGAAAGAATCCCCGAGAACGTGTACCAGAGCGAAATGTAGAGACAGGTTTTGGCTGCGTGGGTTTGGAAGTTGCGGTCAAGTAGGAGTGACCGTAGGTTGTGTCGTTTCTTTTTTAATCCTGAGCGGCGGTGGTGGTGGTGGTGGTGGTGGTGGTGTGAGGCCTCATTGTCAACTGTTGATGCTGCTGTCGCTGTGGCGTCTTGGGCGCTTGGAAGGGTCGCAAGCTCAGCGTACTCGTGTTGAATTTCCCTGGCCATTGAATGTAAAATGCAAAAAGAAAAAAGAAAAAAGAAAAAAAGGAGGGGCAATAAAATGCAAGGTGGCTGGAGGGGGAGGGGGTTTATATAGCAAGAAAAAGAAAAGAGTGAAAAACAAAAAATATTCTAGCTCATGCAAAGCGCATTAAAAAGTCGGAGAGGCAACTTGCAATTTTTTTTTTGTTTCCATGGCCCACTTTGGCGTGCCTCCGCTGTTTTCTTTTCTTTCCTCTCTTAGGAGAAATCCTTTATGTTTCTCAAAAGAAAGGGGCCATCTGAAAAAAGCACTCCATTAGGCGGCAGCAAGGTGGTCCTGGTACGCATCAAAAACCAGAATCCTCCCCCCATTGCCATCGCAAATAGCCGCAAGCTCCTCCTCAACCTCGCTGTCGCCCAGCTCCTCCCTCAGCTCATCAAACTCCGCCATGATCTCGCCATGTATGCGCGCATAGGCCCGGTGGATCTCGCGCTCCAAAGCAGCAGAATACGCTCTCAAGTGCAGGTACCGGCCGATCCACCGGCGCACCTCATCGCCGTCAATCTCGGCATACAAGTCGGCAACGGCGCCCGACGCCTTCAAAAACCTGCACTCCTCAGCAAGCAGCCTCCGCGTCCGACACGGGTGGCCATCCCTGCCAACGCCTCGCCCAACAATAGCCTCGGGATCATCCGCAAGCCAACCACCCTCCTTTTGGCCAGGCACCAGCGCCCAGTACAGGCGGCGGCCATCAGCCGTGCACTTGTCCTGCGTCAGATCCACATCCATCCCAAGCGCGTACGCGGGCGGCGCGTCGCCCGGGATCTCCTCGCCCTCCTCGCGCTCAGCCTCGTCCGCCGCGCGGCTCTCTACCAGCGCCTCACGCCGCGCCCGCTGGCACGCAGCATATGCGGAGCTCAGCTCCTTGGCGAGCGGCGCAAAGCGGGTGCTGCGCGCCCCAATGCGGACGCGCAGCTGGCTGGCCTCCTCGAACGTCGCAACGACCAGCCGCTCCAGCTCCTGAATGTCCCCCACCGTGCGCGGCCGCTTAATCGCAGGAATCGGCGACGGCGACGGCGAGCGCGACCCAGGCACCGCGGCAGCAGGCGAGAGCGACGGCCCGCGCGGCCGCCGGAACTCAGCGGGACGGCTGGCAGGGTCCAAGGCCAAGTCAAGCGGCGCCTGCGACTGGTGTCTGGACACCGCCGCCATGCTGGGGATGCGCCGGTCGACCAGAAGCTCCTGCGCCAGCCGCTCCTGCACCCTGCTGACTGCCGCATCGGTGTCCGATGCAGCGGCCGCCGCAAGCGCCAGGGACCCTAGCTGCAGCGGCCGCGAGCGCACCGGCACGTGGCGGCTGCTGCCCCCCTCGTCCTCGTCCTCGCCCTCGCCCTCGTCTGCAGCGGCCGGAGCGCTCGGGTGCGCGCGCGGGTTTTGGCTGTGCGAGCGGCTGCGCGAGCGGCTGTGCGAGCGGCGGCGCGAGCGGCGGTGCGAGCGGCTGTGCGCACGCCGGTACTCAGGCTCAACGTCGGACGCCGCATGGCCGTCGGCAGTGTCTTCGCGCGTGCGCCGGTGGTTGCGGCCCAGCGGCCGGCGGCTCTGCACGGGCTCCGGCGCTGCCATCGTGGCCAAAGCCATGGGGGCAGCGTCGGGGGCGCTGACGGACGCGCCGGTGACTTGCGGCGGCCGCGGGGGGTCCCGGTGTCTGCTGTTTGGGATACGCGCACTGCTGTCTTTCGGCTTGCCTTCTCTCAGTTTGTTGGATGGCGGGCGCTCGATGGATCTTCTCCGGGGTGCCGGCGGCGTCCTTGTAATGTCCGGCCTGGGTGTGGCTGCGGCTGCGGCTGAAAGCGTGGTGCGTCCGGCTGATGCCGGTGCCGGTGCCGAAGCTGGAGCCGGAGCCGGAGCCGGAGCCGGAGCTGGGGCTGGGGCTGGAGCTGAAGCTGAAGCTGGAGCTGGAGCTGGAGCTGTAGCTGGCGGCGGGGCGGCTGAAAGCGTCATGCGCCCGGCTGTTCCGGCGCCGGTGCGCATCAGGCCCTTGCCGGCATCGGCGCGCAGCGGCTTTCTTGTCAGCGCCGGCTTTTTGGCCGATGCCATTGGCGCATCCTTGGGCAGGCTCGCAGAAGCCACATCCTTAGCCACAGCGGTAGATGGCGCCTGCCCAGCTGCAGCCAGCCCCTGCCCAGCTGCAGCCAGCCCCTGCCGGATAAGCCGCACGCGCACGCGCTCGGGGTCATCCGCGGGCAACCCCAGGGCGTCAAAAGCCTGAATAGCATTGGCAGCAACAAGCTCCTGCTCCTGGGCACTAAGCCTGGGCCAGCCAGAGTCAATCTGCACCATCCTGTAGCTCTCTGGCAGCAGCGCCCAGCGCACTCCCGTTTTCTTGCAGAGTGCACCCAGGGTGTCCAGCACTAGCGCGGCAGGGCTTTTGATCCGGTCGAGGATCGCCAGCTCGTCCATTGGCTCGCGCGCTAGCATATGCAGCACTTGCTCGCGCACCATTTCGCGGTTCTGCCGCACTATCCCGGGCTTTTTCTGGGGCACTGCCCGCGAGACCGACGACACGCACACATGCGCAGACCCGGACCCGGTCCCAGACCCGGTCCCGGACCCGGTCCCGGACCCTGCAGCTGCAGCAGCGGTAGAGGCGGCCGCCGGCAACATCGTACTGGGTGTCCGCGCGTGAGCCGGCTGCGCCACCTGCGCCTGGCGCATGCGCCCCCCATCAGCCGCATACGCCATCGTTGATGCGCTCATCGGCGCTGCGCCAGGGAAGCTCTTCTGCTTCCCGAGCACCGTCAGCTTCCCCATCGTTCTGCCGCGCGGCATCCAGTCCGACCACCGGTCGCTGCCAGCCGACTGCGGCTGACTGCCCTGGAAGAGCAGTGGCGGTGCGCTTGTGCGCTCCGAGGAAAACCGCACGTCGAATCGCTGGCTGCCTACGCGCAAGGTGCCCGTGGTGATGCGTTCTTTGCCGCCCAGGATTAGCTGCAAATCTTCGGCTGGTAAATTCGTTAGTCGCTCGATGACGTGGCGCGGGAGCTTCATGAAGAGCAGTTGGGTCTTGGACTGCGCCTTCGCTGGAATTGCTTCTGTAGCTGACATTGTGAATGGGGGAGTATATAGTAGGCGATCAGTAATTGAAATGTGAGAAAAAGTGGAGTGGAACTGGTTCCAAAATGAGGAGAATAAAATGCAAAATAGAGAAAGTGGGAGAGAGGGTGTTGGAAATTACAAAGACCCAAGAAAATACAATACAATACAATAAAAGAATAGAAATGAACGTTATGCGCTCCAGCCGAAGTTACAAAGCGCAAAGGAAACCATATCATTTACTTTTAAAGGAAAAATTAAAACGGTCGCACTAAAATATTGGTTATGTGGGAGAACGGTGCGTTCCTTGTTCCTTCTTTTCAATTTCACCCAGGAGCTTCTCAGCTGTATCCGGCTCGGGAATCTGCGGCTCGCGAGTCACACTTTGCGTGCAATACTTTATTATTATTATTATTATTATTTTTTTTTTCTCACTCCCCATTTTTGGTCCAAAAAAAAAAAAAAATACGACGCGCCAAACTCTTGAAATAAAAAAAATTGTGACCTCTTTTTTTTTACCTTGCTTATTCGTTTTTTATTTTAAAAATTAAATTGTAATTTTTTTTCCTTCATTTTTTTCTTTTTTATTTGTTGCATCAAATCCCCTCCCAAAAAAAATAAAAATTACTCCATTTATCTTTTTACAATGTCCGAGGTCAAGACTTTTACTTCCGAGCATGTCGCTGAGCACAACACGCGCAAAGACATCTGGGTTTCCATTCACGGCAAGGTCTACGATGTGACGAAATTCCTTGACGAGCACCCCGGTGGTGAAGAGGTTATTTTGGAGTGCGCCGGTCTGGATGCCACCGAGGCCTTTGACGACATTGGCCACTCCGAGGATGCCCGCGAGTTGCTCAAGGATTTTTACGTTGGTGAACTTGATGGACCTTGCAAGAAAACCGACTCGCGTAACACCAATGACACTGATGAGCATGGCCAGGTCCGTACCAAACAGAACAGGTATGAATGAGTTTTTTTTATTTCTTTTTATTTTCAAACTTTCTATTTTTGCCCTTTTAAAGTGCTGCTTTGCTGTGGGTGTGGGCGGGGGGAGGGGGGTATTTATGATAAAGTGTGCGCTGAGTGGGGACGAGAGGGCGTGAAAAGTTGTACTCTTCTGCGTGGCGCTCTCCCCCCACACCCCGTTACCTCTTCTGTCACACACAATCACAACACAGCAACACAGCAACACAGCAACACAGCAACACAGCAACACAGCAACACAGCAACACTTGTCCTCCCAAGATTCGTTCAGATTAAAGATTACAGCTAATGCCAGTTTTGGACCTTGTCAATCCACATCAAGAAACTGCTATTTTTAAACCAACAAAAAAAACTAACAAAAAATTCCCAGTCTGTATTTATTATGTTATGTTTTGTTTTGTAGCAATTCTTGGGGAATCCTGATCCCTCTGGCATTTGTCGTTCTTGTTGTTGCCTACAAGATGTATGCTTAAAATAAATATGAAAAAAATCACAAGTCTCTTCTTCGCATCGTCGTTTGATCTCCCGCTTAGCCTTTAATATTTTTCTTTTATTAGGCGATGAGGGGGTTCCCGAGTTTTTGATGTATTAAATTTAATTCTTTTTCTTTATCGAACCACATAAACAAACAAATAAGAAAGAAAGAGAAAAAATAAAAAATTAATTGACATAAATTAAAAAGCACGGATTAATCGCGCTTTATCTCACATCCTCAATGACAGCTGATAATCGCTTGGATAATAAAAATGAAAAACATGACTGCTTTTGTGATATTCTAAGTCGCTTATCTGTCCTGCCCTGCCTTTCAGCTGCAGAGTCCTGCGCACTGGCTTGGCCGGCATCCACGGAGTCACAAAAAAAAGCGGGTGCATTATCCATGTGACAGAAAAAAAGTATAAAAAAACAAGAGCTCACAGCACGTGCAAAGCGCAGCACAAAGTGCAGAAGCGCAAATTTACAATACATGTGAAGGAAAGGAGGGGGGGGAAGGGGGAGACATGGCTCTATTTCAGAAGCATAAAAAGTAGAGCGCCTTGCGCGCCTCAATAACAGGAACCAAAAATACACCTCTTTTTCTCTCTTCTCTCTTCTTCTCTTTTTGAACTATTCAGTTTTCTATTTTTATTTTATTTTATTTAATACTTACACTCACTCTTACACAAGCAACAAACCCAAGAAATAAACAATGTCAGCGACCAAAGTTTCAGACACAACCCTCGCCGTCAGTATTCCTGAAGAAAAGCAGTCCAAGGCCATTCCATCAGGTACATCCGGGGTAAAGTCATTCTTATCCGGCGGATTCGGCGGCATGTGCCTGGTACTTGCCGGGCATCCACTTGATCTGCTCAAGGTCAGAATGCAAACATCAACTGAGTACAAGAGCACCCTGGACTGCTTCCGTAAAACATTAGCTGAAAATGGCGTCCGTGGAATGTACCGTGGTATGGCTGCTCCGTTGGTTGGCGCTACCCCGGTATTTGCTATTTGCTTCTGGGGATACGACATGGGCCAGAAAATTATGCGCTCCGCGTATAACTTGGTAAGTTGGAGCCATATTCCGTCATCGTGCAAAATGGCTCTCCAAAAAAGGCAATGTTGACTTGACCGACACGTGAAATAAAAAAACGCCTATTCTAGAAGAAAAACTCACTAATCTGGTATGTTCTGATGTGTTCTATCTTTTTTTCTTTTCTTTTGTATAGTCGCCGACAGACAAACTCTCAACCAACCAGATTCTATTTGCCGGTGGCTTCTCTGCGATCCCCACAACGGCTGTGATGGCACCTATGGAGCGCATCAAGTGCACGCTGCAGGTTGGCAGCGCCAGCGGAAGCGGCGTCGTCTACAAAGGCCCAGCAGACGCCGCCATGGGCATCATCCGCACCGGCGGCATCACCAGTTTGTTCAAAGGCACCTGCGCAACACTCCTGCGCGACGTCCCCGGAAGCGTCGCCTATTTTGGCGCCTACGAGCTCATTAAAAAGTCTCTGACCAACCAGAGCGCCGGCCAGGGCTCAATCTCCCCTGTGGCTATTGTTACCGCTGGTGGTCTTGCTGGAATGGCCAACTGGGCTGTGGCTATCCCCCAGATGTTCTCAAGTCCCGCTTGCAGACGGCGCCCGAGGGCAGGTATACTGGTGTGAGACAGGTGTTTGTTGAGATGATGCGTACGGAGGGCGCGGGCGCTTTGTTCCGCGGAATGGGCCCGGCTATGCTCCGTGCTTTCCCCGCTAACGCTGCTTGCTTCTTGGGCGTTGAGATATCGCTCCAGCTCATGAATAAGGCCTGGTAGCTTGGCTGATGCTAGATATATGCTTTTGTTTTGTTTTTTTAAAAAGAAAAAGATTAATAAAAAGATTAAAAAATTTCCACAGTGTAACAAAACTCTCAACCCGCAGGGTAAACCTTTGAAAGTGTGTTTACGCATTTACCTTTACCTTTTCATTTTTTTTCTTATTTAGAAAAGGTAGGAAAAAGGCAGCACACACATGTGAACCATTCATAAGCATTTAGCAGCGGATTGGGTTTGAATTTTCATTAGATATTTGTAGTCTCCTTATTTTATCCAGTGTTGAACATTGTCATTACAAACTGTCGAGCATGTTTGACAGATTTGTGGTGCCAGCGGTGGCCTTGGCCTTGCCCTTGGGGTTCAAGGACGCGAGCGAGCTCGCCTGCTTGACAGAAATATACTCGGCGAGTTCCTCCACAACCATATCCAAACTGCGCCCCTTTCGCCTTAACCTCTGTTCAATGCGCTCTCGTGCCTCGCCATCCACAGCCACAAACGCAATAACAATATCCGACATTTGCAGAGAGAAAAGACCAGCATCCTGTCTAACCAAATACCGCTCCTCCTCTTTGTCTTCGCCCTCGCTGTCGCTCGCATTCATCTGCTCTTCAGCCTCCCTCAGCGAGTCAAAGTACTGGATGTTCAGTTCAACCAAGCGGTCAACATGGAGCTTCCAGCTAGCATCGTCCGCCAGCGAAGGCACAAATTTGGCCAACACGCGCCAATGCAACGGAGACTCCCTCTCGGTGAGTCGGAAAAGCCAGGACACGCAGCTCATGATGCGCTCGTCGGACTCTGGGTGGTCCCTGTAGAGCTTCTGGGCGGCGCCCTTTCCGCGTCTCATCAGCACATAAAACAGGTATTTCAGGCCCATTCCCTCGATATACCGCTTAGCGATAGACCGCCGGACGAGCAGATCAGCGTCCAAGGCGCCAACCTGCTCGAGGGCGGTCTCTGACGGTGACAACGCGTAGTCTAGGATCTTAAGCGACAACAGGCGGCCAATCTCCGGCTGCTTCTGTAGCAATACCAGAAGCTCAACACCCTCCAATGACTCGAACTCATGCCTTCCCTGCGGCGTAGCAACGAGCACGCAGAGCGAGTTGATAATGTTTTCCAAATACTCCATTTCTACCGCATCCTCGGGCGTACGCTTGCGGTACTTGGCTAGACACTTGAGCAGTGCATCCATTAGAGGTGTTTTCGCCGCGGATTGGCAGATTTTCGTCGAGGTCTGAAGCAAAATAGCAATGAGCTCGGCGGCATACTGCTGGTTGACATCGGTTGTCTCGATGTTCCTGCTACTTGTATCGGGGCTTGTGCATATGCGTGCTTGCAGCCAGTCCAGAAGCCTCATGGAGTTGACAGCGGTCTCGGCCAGTGATGCATCCAGGGTTGTGAGATTCTCAACAATGTCCAGCATCTTGGCCACGCCCGAAGCGTCATCGCTGTCGTAAGCAGACCCGGTGCTCTCGTCCAGCCGCCGCAGGCTGTGACCCAGGGCCTCAAAAAAAGCATGCTTTTCCAGGGCCTTTATGAACCCCACTACCTGCTGGCGCTCCTCCTGCGACTCACCCTCTTGGCTCCACGCGTCCATCGAAGTCAGCTCGCTCACAAGCTCAACAATGTCCATCACAATATCCTCATTTTCATGACCCAGCAGCTCAACCAAAGTCGGCAATGCACCCAAGTCATCGAGAACATGCAAATCCTGCACACTGTTGGTCAACGGGAGCAAATTCCTTAGAGCTTCATCCAGGTCAGCTTCTGATTCGGCAAATTCTGCTGGCGACTGCGCGTACTTAATCCGGTCCTCGGTGTTTTTCGACATTGCACGCTCTAGACGCGCAACCAGCCGGCGCACCGTGTCCTTGTCCAGATGCTCCTCAATGTCCTCAGCGTTGTCCACCCATTGCAGGACGCCCTTTTGTTGCTTTGTTAGGCCGTCGGAGAAGAAACGCCCGCCTTCGGTGTCGTCTATATCGGAGACGTCGCTGTTGTTGTCGTCGGGTTTCGGTCGCTTGGCGGATCCCTCGGTCACTTCGCCCTCACCTTCAATACCGTAGCCGCGCTCCTTGAGCAGCCGCATGCTGGGGGCCGAGCCCATCTTGCGCTTTCCCTTGCCGACATTCAGCGTAGTGCTGGTTACTGACTCTTTAAATATATCGTTAATATCCATAATGAGTGTTTTTTGGAAATAAATAGTGTTTTTTTTGGTAAGTATGTAAAAATTTTGCAAATAAACATTTTTCTTCAAATACATTTATATGCAATCACAAACTTGTGGGCCGGCCAGCTTGCAATAAAGGGACTGTTTTTTTTGTGGCCTGGTCTGGGTCTTGATAACAAATCAGCTTGCAAATTGGGGGAGGGGGGATTGCCAAAGCAAGGGATACAGAAATGGCTCTGCATTAACTCCACTTCTGCACATATCTCTGGCCTAATTCGGGAGGGGGGGGTGGACTGCAAGTGGCTAAATAAAAAAGTAAAGACGAAATAGCGCGTGCTTATTTGTATATTCTTGTTTGTTGGGCATTTAAACTCCGCCATATACTCACCCACATCTTCGCATAATATGCTGCGTTCAACAGAGGCAAGAAAGCAATCGCTGTATTGTGTGCGTATAAACAAAAAAAAAACATAATACAAACGATTTTTTTATTCTTTGTGGATCGCATGAACATCTTTATCCCTTGTCTCTGTGAAGAAAAAGTACAACAGGTTTCTTTTTTGCAAACATTTTTTTGTTCTTAGCTCGTGTCCTTTTTGTTTTATTTGTTCAAACTATTTCCCCCTTTCTCCTTTCTCCTCCTCCCCCCCCTCTCTTTCCTTTAGTTTTCAAATTCTCAATTCTTACATAAATATAAACCACGACTCGCATTCATTCACACGCCATTCGTCACAAAGTACAATTCACCAACTAAATTTCTTCATTTTTTATTTTATCTTTTACACCTTTTTCTGTTCAACTCTCATATCGTAATGCACGTGTAATGAGTCTGCCCCTGTCAGCACAGCGGTACGAAAAGAAAGAACTGGTGGGACGCGGCGCCTATGGAGTAGTATACCGAGGGTAAGACATCCACACCATTGCAGCAATAGCGGGTGCAAAACAAACAGCATACATTCACAATAAAAACTTACCATTCAACAATTTAATTCAATTCAATTCACGTACAAACAAAACAAAACAAAACACATCACACCTCTTTTTTCAATATCTATTGCACAAGCAAAATGTAGACGCGACACGGTCACCGGCGGCATTGTGGCCATCAAAATCCTCAATCTGGACATTGAGGACGACTTTAGCGACATGCAGCGCGAGATAAACCTACTGTCGCAGCTGCACTCGCCGCATATTGCGCAGTACTACGGGTCATTCATCGAGTCTTCGCGGATGTGGATCATTATGGAATATGCGTCGGGAGGCAGCATCCACAAGCTGATGCAGGCAGGACCCATTGAGGAAAAATACACGTCCAGCATCATGTACGGCGTCCTCCTAGCCCTCGACTACCTGCACACGTCGGGCATCATGCATCGCGACATTAAGGCAGCCAATGTGCTGGTGACCGACGAGGGCGTGGTGCAGCTGTGCGACTTTGGCGTTGCACGGCAGGTCTTGCAGGCATCGGCCAAGTCGTACTCGTTCGTCGGCACGCCATACTGGATGGCGCCCGAGGTCATCCAAAAGGGCCAGGTGTATGACTTTAAGGCCGACATCTGGTCACTGGGAATCACCGCATATGAGATTGCCACGGGAATGCCACCGTACGCTGAAGAGGACCCAAAGCGCGCGCTTTTCCTAATTCCGCGCAAGGGCCCTAAGCAACTGAACCCCGAGCAGGCTGGCAAGGACATGCGCGACTTTGTCGATAAGTGTCTGCAGATTGACTTTACAAAGCGGCCCTCTGCCCATGAGTTGCTCAAGCACAACCGTTTTGTGCGTGCGGGTCACGGAAAGCAGGCTGCGCGTGTCTCCGACCTTATCTCGCGGCACAATGACTGGCTGGTGACGGCCAAGCCCGAGGAAAGAGATATCCTTGAGGATAACGATGCCATGCAGAGCACGTCTGAGGCCAGTCTTGTCGAGTCATGGAACTTTGACCGTTTTTCTGTTGGTAGTGACGGCGAGGGCGGATACGAGTCGCACTCTTCACTTTTTTCTACCAACAACGCAGCTGCCCCGCAGGGTGAAGATACTGACAAGGCCTCGGTGTCATCCGCCGCTAACCCAAAATTGCCCGCAGACACTGCCTCTGCCATTGCCAGCACCGCCGCATACGAACGGTCCTCGAACGCGTTCCCTGATAACAGCGATGACTCGGACACGCCCCAGATAGAGCCGCTATTTGTCCGTCAGCTGTTTAAAGATGAAGTCGCGCCGATAGACGATACGGGCGGCCGACGCATGCGCATAGGCCCGAACACAATGGGCAATATCGATTTTGGACGCGCCGCCCGCAACAGTAATCGGCTCAGCCTCGATCTCGACACGGCGCGCGCCTTCAGCACCGGCATGCCGACCATGCGCATCACGGCTGTGGAGGCCGAGGATGACAGTGACGAGTATATTCGCATGGAGAATCAAGATGCAGCAAAGAAAAAGAAGCACAAATATAAGCGCTTTACCCGCACAATGCTGGGCACGCCGCTGGACAAGGGAAGTGGCAAGTCGAATAATGGAAAGTTCCGTTTGGTGCCCGAGAGCGTCCGTCGCAGGTGGCTGGGTGTAGGCAGCGCCGATAGTGGCGGCAGCAGTGGCAGCGGAAAATCGGACCACAAGCTCGTCACAGCGTCGCTGGAGCTAGCCTCAATCAAAAAATCAATTAGCAGTCCGTTGCAGCAGCAACAGCCCTTTGCTCAGAACCACCCTCTGGGCACCCAGTATAGCGAGGCGAGCGGCACTGTCAACCACCATTTGCTTTCGTCGCAGCACAAGCAGCGACTGGACGCAGATGGCAAGAACTTGCGCCGAGTCACTATTGATGCGTTTCCAGACGCAATAAAGCGGCACATGCGTGACACTCCGAACGCATTTCTGTCCGGCGTCGCCGCCGCAACCACTGCCCCCGACACACAAAGTTTCTCTGCCGCGGCCGGCTCGCGCATTGGCGAACACTCTTCCGAAAGGCCTGAATATCGAAGAAACGCAAACGTGAGCCCCGGATATGGCGACGGCCGCAGGAAATCAAAGCACCTCTGGATAGACACCAGCGCACCTATTAAGGATAAATACGGCGCTGACATATCCACTGGTAACTCCACATCTGTCACCGAAAACCAATGGTCCACGCATACGGAATCCGCAGGCGACACGGGCTACACCCAGATACCACACGTTGGGCTTCCCAGCGCCACCAATGGCAATACCGGAACGCCGCTAGCTAAGTCGCTGAGTCGATCGGCCTCGCAGCACCAGATTTTGGCAGGTACCGTGGACATTGACATATCGGCAAGCTCTCGCTCTCGCCAGCAGCCCAATTTTAGCACCAGCCCGAACTCCTCACAGGCAAACCCTAACTACCCGTCAAAACTGCGCGATGCCATGGCCACCCTGAGGTTCCTGCGGCTAAACAGCGACAAATCAAAGTCTAGTCCATACGGAGACAGCATGCCTAGTCTTTCAGAGTCGGCTGACGCTTCCTTTTACACATCAAGCTCGACGGCTTCGCGCCGAATGGAATCACCACTGTCCGCGCAATTCCCGCCCCGCTTGCAGTCACGAGTGTCTCTTCCGCAGGTTCTGCCGACAGCATTCTTGGGGCCAAACACAGACCTTTCCGACAGGCGCAACTTGGTGCTGGGCCAGCCCACACACACTGGCAGCAGCATCCCAGGCGCGTCCTCAAACTTGCGCTCACAGCAGTTGCAGGGGCAGGAGCTATCTGCGATGCACATTTTGAACGCTGCATCCTCGCTGCCCGCCATACGCACCACCCAGGCCCGCGACTCTGCGAAGAGTGTTCTGGATACTACAAAGTCGCAGCTCAATTCGCAGATGTTTGTCCCGATATCGCCACTGGAGCAGCGCCGAGAGCAGTTGCAAACGAGGGCTATCCGCGATCTACCAACAGCCAAAATGGCAGCTGGGAACTGGATCCTGCGTGAGGAAGACGAGGACGAGCACGTGCGCAGGCAGAGCGGCTCTGGCATCAGCGCAACGGCGGGCAGCACTGGATCAAATGACGCTCGCGTATTGAGAGCACCTCGCCGGTCAATGTCGTACAGTGCGTACACCCACTGCGAAGCAAAGGAGCTGAGCGTTTTGGACCGTCAGGGTGCTGTTGCACGAATAAACTCGGCAAAGATTCTGCCCACGCGACTGCCCCCTGCGAAGAGCAAGGATTCAGTTGCAGATGACGACAAATCAGAGGTCAGAGTCGAGAGCAGATCTGGCACTGGCACGTCAGCACTGGATTATTTGCCTAATGATGCAGCATCTACACCATCTTTGGCAGGAAGTACTTTGTTGATCTGTGCAGATACAATGCCCGAGCTATACCGACCAAACACAAATGTGGGTACAAGCCCAGATGCCGCAGCGCACTGGAGAAAAGAATTGGGCTTGGTTGTCGACAATTTCCTCAACATCATTGATGCTGTGGATAAGAAGGCCGCATCATTTGAGATTTGTTAATAAAATATATTTCTATGTAAATTAATGTTGGTTGACAAAAATTAGACATTATAATAAAACTAAATAAACCATTTTATATTCCAAATGTAAAAAAAATATTAAGCGTGTCGTCATTGGCAAAGGCCTACGTTGCCAATATGCTTGCAAATGTGCTTTGTCTTTGTCAGGCTAAATTAGAAAGGATCGTCAGGGATACAGAAGTCCCTGGTATAACCCTGTTTAAAAGCCTAGGCCTTGTTAACTCAACGGCATGGACCTGTTGGTCGCACTTTTCAATAATCAACTTGAAGATTCTAAACAGTTTGAAGCTGAATGGTATGTCTCTTGGATTTTCGTGGAAACATATTAAACATTTTTTTGAGGCACGATTTAATTTTAATTTTTAATTTTTTGTAAATTAAATCATTCATGCTTTGGCAGCAAAAATAAAGGCAGCATAAACAATTGACAACAAATAAACAGCCAACTCAATACCAAGTTTCTGTCTTTATTACTTTCATATGAAAGGATCCCAACCTATTTTTATTCTGAAAAACCTAAACATTTATTTTGCGTCAAACATATCCACCCTCTTTTCCCTTATTTTTTTATCTTTTATTCGACACTTTTCTGCATCTGTTTATTTTCATACTCATACCCATTATTTTAACCATTTACTTTAATATGCCCTCACTCTCAGTCTTTCAACCTTTGCCCTGGCACGTTATTGAAACAGTCATTGGCTATTATTTGAGCATGGATGCGTCTATATATGAAACAGACAGAGCACAAGCGCTTGCCTTAATTTACACCTGCTATACTTGGCGCTCTATTTTTATTGCAAAGACGTGCGACGTTGTCCACATAAAGTTTCATTTGGACAATCCCCCAAAGTACTGGTATCCCAACTGGCCCAAAGCTTTCTACCAGCTGGGTTTTCAGGGAAGCTGTGTTGCCAAAATAGTTAAAATACATTTTCCCAGTTGGGTGCTGCTGATGGATGGCACTGCGCTCGCCATGCTTTTAAAATCGGCCTATGATAATGCCATTTCCTGGCAGCATACACCTTTCATATTGACATTAAAGACTCTAATCGTGCGCTGAAATACGCACGTGGTAACCATTTTTTTATTATGCGGAATATTGTCACATTATTTCGCAAAATTAGGCGCATGGTTCCAGATGTCAAGTCAACATATCGTAGGTCAATGTCGTCTATGGGCAGGCCAACCAGCATGTCAGTGAGTTGCTGGGGAAAGCGACTTTAGAGCTTTATCATGGGTTAATAAATGTGTCGTTTTCGGAGAATAGAAGCAATGAGGCTCCTACTGTTTTCAACCCGGCTACGTTTTCGGAGTTGATTCATTTTACGTACAAGTGCACGAGGGGGGGCATATCTGGGCCACCGAATGCGTTAGACGAAGCGCGGCGTCGCTCAAGGAACTGTCCTTTTTTTATCTGCACAAAAGTATTGCGGCTGCGATTTTGCATGATGGACAGGGCAAACGGCTAGTTTATAGCACCCTAGAGTCCATCCACTTTGAATCCATTGCATTCAAGACTGAATTCGTTTTGCCAAAGTCAACAGCGCCACCAACTGATTTTGTCTATTTCTCCAATCTCAAGTCCCTCCACGTGTATGGCGGATATCCGTTTAGTGACAACGTGCTGTTCAGGAGTGAAGGCGGCTACATCACTTTTGAGAGCTTGGAGATTATTGTAAAGGTTGCGTTTATCGAGACGGAAGATAGGCTGCGGTTTTTCACGGCCAACTGATTTCCCAATATGCACTCCATCAAAATGGAATACAGCAATAAGGACTGCTATTTAAGTTACCTGTACCCAGAAACCGTGTGGGCTAGGCGCTTGCACTGCATTGACAGACTTTTTGAAGCAATCCAATGTTCAGCACCATTTCATGCATTAACTATGGACGGATTCTTGTCATGGTCTATTTTTGCTGACAGAATGCAAAGATACTCGGCGTTTATCGGCATGCAAACTATACGAATTTCAGCTTGTGCGCTTGAATTTGCAAACATCACTGCGGTTCTCAAGCGTGCATCCTATCTGCGCCATTTGCACTGCAGTTTTGCATTTGGAATGCTCGAGTTCGACGGTATGTACTCCACCAAAATGCGTAACAAGTTTCAGAAAAACATCCATCCATAAGGCAGGTGGTTTCGCTCGCTGGTTATTGAAAAAACTGTTGGATTTGTGTTTGCACCGTATCTGGTGGCATCCATAGGGCTGATAGCGATTGCTTGTCCGCGGTGTGTGTCCGTCAAAATTGGCGAGTACGATCGATAGACCTTTAATCACGAGATGGAGATTTTTAGCAACAAAATAATTTACGGATATCATTTTAACTGCATGCACATCAGTATCATCAACGATAACTTTGTTATAATGTTAGACTGATTTTTTATTGCAATTTTTTAAGCACATGCATTTTGTGTGTGGTGGTCGCAAGTTCGGCAACAACTTTTTCCAATGCCATCTATTCAATTTAATTCAAACTAAACCAAACCAAACCAAGTACGGATCTGCTTTCTAAATCAGATATTACCAACCATTTTCTCAGTGTTCTCGACAAAAATTTACCTCGCTGACAGATAAAAAATCATCAGGACAATAAATATGCAAGGAAATGAAGAACCAGCATCTTTCTTGCTCCAGCAGTGATAATAATTATCCTGTTGGGCATTTCATTACCGTTTGGGCAAAAAAATCAATTAATGTTTTATTTGAAGTGAAAAGCCCTCTTTAAAAGAAGACCCATCGTGTATCGTATGCTCTTTGTCCAAGCACGCTAGTAGTACGTTGATTTATTAAAATCAAGTGGGGCTAACTGTGAGAATATTTTATGTGCCGCTAGATTTTTTTGTCCGACATTTTCTTCATTAAAACAAAGGCATGCAAGCCTGGAAAGGCTGAGTTTGCCAAAATAGGCAACAATTCAATACGTATTTATTGCATCCGAGCCGGTCAAATAAATAAAAGAAAAGGCGGATAGTAGCAAAAAGGACACAGTGCCTGCCCATCAAATAAATTAGGAAAACAATGAGTACTGCCAATTATCACAATCAAATTGTCCGGCCATGTGTTCTCGCGCCTCTTTTTGAGATACATTGATCATGTTCGGCTCTTTCATCCCCAAAAAGACAATTACTGGCTTGTTTTTCTGCAGGGTGCAGCGAAATCATGTTTATCGTTCAACATTGCCTATCCTGAACATTATTTATTTTATAAATGTATCCTCGACATTGCACTTTAGGCGAGAGACTGATGCTTTCAGGTTCAAATAATCAGTTTTATTTGTATCAATTATATCATTCTTTCTTAAAAATTTAGTAAGCAATATAAATTTTCTGCGTTTATTTCACTTCTTGTGACTAGTTTTTAATTAATGTACTTTTATTTATTTTATTTTATTTTGCTTGCTAAACTCTCGACCAAATTGTATTATCATACTTTCTTACATTATACAAGTATCATCAACACGGACGATTTAATCTATGTCACATATTCTGTTTAATCGTCCGCGTATCTTGGTACTGCTCATAGTACTGCTCATTGTTGCGACAAGCTTAATTTCCACGTCCGACCACCACAACTATTGGGGCGCACTCGAAGGATGGACACCCATAGATGCACTTCCTCATAGGCCGCATCGCCCACACCGCCTGCCTGCCAAAGACCGGATGCTGCTCGACCGCATGGCAATTATATTTCCAATTAACGGCAACACAGACATGCAGTTCTACCGTAACACCTGGTTTGGCGAATATCTGTACCCAGTGTGCGATTGGGAGGAGCCCGGATGTGAGATCGTGTGCAACGTGACCTCGACTTATGATACACTGGATGAAAAGACATTTTGCTTTTCGAGGGCCATCAAGTCATATGATGATATTGAGTTTTTCATTAAGCTTGATGACGACTCGTTTGTCGATATGGGGTACGTACTCAAATTACTGAGAAACAACACAGGCTCTGGACGCTCCGTATACATTAGCGACCATACAAGGTTGGAAGATGAGGAAAATCCAGATGTTTTGGACAATGTACTATATGGGAACGGCAAATTCTATATGTTCAACCGCAATCTCGTCAATTGCTTGGATACAGAGCTCAAGTACCACGGTCCGAGGAATGAAGATCTTGTGTTTGGCGGCATGGTTAATTCCGGGTGTGGCGAGCAAAACGTGGATTATATTCAAGAGGACGACAATTTCATCTGGCATAAGCAATACACCAACAAAAACAAGGACATCAACTTGGGATATATTGCAAACCATTAATACTTTTTGTGCTTATTTATACTTGCTAAGTTGGCTTAATCCATTTTCAATATTTATTTTTAATGTTTATTTATTATTTATTCAGAATTTAATATATTTGACAAATAATAAAATTGATTGGCATTGGCACTGGCACTAGAATTGACATTGACATTTAATAAATAAATAAACAATTGTAGAAAATGTCCACCTCAAAAAACAATAGAAAATGTTTACTTCGATAACGCATCATATACAGCATGTGACGAAAACCTGCGCTTCACTAGCTGCGAGTGGCAGGCGATGCGCTCGATAACAGTACTTCCAGATGGCAGTTGCTCGTTGACCTCCCTCAGCAGCAAATCGTTGTCTCGAATAATCGAATTTTGCAAGGTTTTCTGCGCGCTTTCAAAACATTCCCCGTCGTCCTTGGTAGCAGAGACTGTGGATTGGTTGCTTTCGGCCAGCCACAGGCGCATTATCTCATAGTGCTCCCAAATATTCTGCTGCGCCCTTTGCAAATATGACAAACAGCTTTGCTTTAGCTGGTCCCACGCAAACCCTTGAGCAGACGCTAGCCACGCAGGACACTCTGAAGGAGTCCGATTGTTGCTGGACTGCGAGCACGCGCTGTTTCTCGCGTGCTGTGAATCGTCTGAATCTCCAGCGGCAGGAGTCTTCAAGTGTTGATCGCCAAAAATGCTTGTTCGGCGGATCATAGATGTGGTCACTCGATCGTCTTTGTTTATCCATGCCTCGACCTCGCAGAGCAGCTGATGCAGTTGCATACGAGGGCTCACAACGTGTTTCAACGAGAATGCGTACCTGTGGTCCCACTCGTTTCTGCCAAAGGACCCCTGCCTCCCTATGTTAAACGCATCCAATGGAAACATCATGTTTAAGATAGTCAGGCATTGAGCGGCGTCAAAGTTGGTTTCAACTCGAAGCGCTGTCGAGGCATCAGGCTCGTCGTCGTCGCCGCTTGTGTTGCCTGTACAGTCCAAGCATCGTTTGATCTCTCCACTCTGCGCGTATTTCGGGCTGGCAATGGCTTGCAGCACGACGAGCTCCTTCAGCGCCACCAGCACGTTTTCAAATTGCGTTTCGGATGCAATATTGCGCTTTGCAACTTTGTGTCGCCAGCGCTCGGACTGATCAGCTACGGATCTTTGCGGTTGCCTCGTATTGAGCAGCTTCGCAACATAGCTCCTGCGCGCCTTTTCGACGGTTATAAGCGAATATATGGCTGCCGGAATATCTACTGGTTCATGAGAACTTGTAGAATCGCAGTTTTTCGCCTGGTGCCCCAATGCCAAAGCGTCTCGCTTCCGGTTGTCAGGTGATTGCGCAAATGGATCTGTTGGCATCTCGATGTTGCTGCTGCTGTTGCTGCTGTTATTGCTTTCAATGTTGGCGGATATACTAAGGTCGAGCTGTGATATGCGCTGAGAATGCAGAAAAGATTCCCAGGGAAGTTGCGCGCTTGATTCCATGTCCAATTCTGAGAGACCTAAACACATTGGACCAATGTTTTCGAGCGCCCGTCGCAGTTTGTAAAACGACACATACAATGGCTGGCTGTCCCCTGTCGAGCAGAGCGGATCGCGATTTTCCGTCTCCGTGTCGTTCGATGAAAGTGCCGACGATGGGAACGCAGACTTTGAACTGCCGGTGTTGCAGTCGTGAAGAGATAACAGCTCTATAGAAAGCGACAGATGTGTAGAAAGGGGTTGTACAGCTGTATTTAGTCTCATGATTTGGGCTCAACAGAAGAAAATATACTAGCGTGAAGTCAATGTATTTGTAGGCATTTTCCTGTACTTACCATCAACCATTTCGTGGTCGTCCAGGGAGCAGTAAAACTGCGTGGCCCACTCCAAGATCGGGTTTGGCTGAGACATGTTAAATGTGCGGTATATATGCGTGTGGCAGCTTTCCTTATGTGCGACGCTAATGCGTGAATTTGACTTTGAATATGAATGCGGAAGAAAAAAGGCAATAAAGACAAACAAAGAACACGAAAATGCAATGAGAAATTGAAATGCGAGATACAAGTGAAAAATGCAGTAAGAGAAAAAAGAAGTGGGGTCCCCCTATAATAGAATTCACCAGATATTTTCCACCCACACCAACCATTGAAGCAGAGTATGCACACTATTATAAAAGTGTGGCTAAAATCCAACACTTAATTCTAGCTCGCTAAATAATATCCAATGTTGGTCTTTGGGGACAGCAATTATTTGGGTCACGCCCTATTGCCTCTTGTGAGCTGTAGCAACTTGCTGCACTATTTTTACTTTTTTCGTTTTTCAGAATTTGGCTTTGAAAAAAATGGTATGCTCACTTATTGAAAAATTAAAGATTAAAATTAACAAAGTAGATTTGCAACTGGTGCCAGCCAGCCTGCCTGCCATCCAGTACGCCTGCTTGTCATCTTGCTCGCTTATCAACTTGCCTGCTAATTATAATATAAATACAAGCCAAAAAATACAGACTGGTATAATAATTCAAATATATGTGGACAAATTTACTTACCTGACAATGTGCGTGTTGGTAGTCGATTAAAAATGCATTTTCTGAAAAGAAAAAGAGAAGAGATACGCATTTATTTTATGTTTCAGCTTTGTATTTTGGTTGGTTTACTGATCATCAAAAAAAATAGTGATGCCAAAATTAAAATACATCACGTGATAGCACTGGCGGATATAATATTTTTTTGATATTGTACGCACGTTGCGATTTCATGAAATGAGCTTCTTTAGCGTTATTTGTAGTCTCAATAAAATATGTATTTAGTAAACAGTAAAATTGTTTTTGTGCAGCCCAAGGATATGGAAATGGATGTTGAGATCGAGAATCGTGAAACAAGCTCCCATCTGCATGCTGATAGATCAAATAGTTTTCTGGCATATATTACAGCCAGAGTTTGATAAAAAATACAATGACTTGATCTAAACTTTAGCTGCTCTAAGTATTAACAGTAAATGAATCAATGTTTATTTGTTTTTGTGTTTACCACGTAGGAGAACGAATAAAAGGGACGAGATGGAAGATTCCGCGCTATGTTCTCCTTGTGGAGAAATAAACATATTTTGTATATGTCAGTGAAAAAATCGAGGTTATTTAATGAAATAGTGGACAAACCAATATTGTAAAATAATTTTATTGTATAATAATATATATATTATGCACGCATAATTGTTTATAATGGTGTCATTAGAATTTGTTAGAAATGCTTATTAAAAATGTTTAAATTCATAGATCAAATGTAGGATAATAATTATCCATTAAGCAAAATAATAAAATATATTATATAGAATATAATAGGCAAGAGAAAATGTCTGAATCAACATTTCTCTTAACTTTTTAGCAGCTGACTTCTTATATACATTAGTGAAAATATTTTTTTTTGGAATTTCCAGACATTTATTGCAAAATTCTATATTTTTAAGCGGGGGATTTTTAAAAAACCGTTTTTCAGCTTTTTAGCCTAAAATATCAGAAAGTCCAGATTTTTGATGCAGAAAAGTATTTAATGTTTATGTATGACTGGTGCTTTGACTATTGGTTAAGCGTGACGTTTAACAATGTAATTTTATCCATACAATTCCGTCGCAGCCACAACAAACTACCGCTGCTGATTCCGTTGCAGCAGCAGCCACCGCCGTTTCTGTTGCAACCAAAACTGCCGCCGATGCCGTATCTATTATTAACAGTGAACAACAGAGTTGCAACCAGCGGATTTCTATTCACCTACAGTCTGTCGATATAATCCGGTGGATAGGGAAGAAAAAGGGTTGGTCTAAGAGCAAAATTGAGCGCAAAATCAGACAGGGAATACACGATGAGTTGATTACGCAGCAGCAGGAGCAGCAGCAGAATGGTTGGCAGCAGCAGCAGATTGCCGCAACATGCATGAATATAATTCCAGCAGTAGAAAAATCTCGCCAAATTTTATGTAACGGCTTGCTCCAGTGCACAATGGAAAACTGCTTGCAAACCTTCAGGGCCAACGGAACGCGGGCTGAGGATGGCGAAAAAGTGCCATTGGGCAGAGGGAAGTTGAATTGTGACATGGCTGCAGTACTGAACTTTCGCATTATCCTCAGTGCCCTGTTTACAGGCAATCGGCCTCCCTGTTTCTTGCGCAAAAAGCATTGTCAGAGTCGGCTGAAGCCGAGTCTACAGCGACGCCTAAGCCAAAACACAAGACCAAGCATGTGCGCAAGGATCCATCTTCCCCTGCTTCTTCTCTTCAAAAGAAGCAGCGAACTGATTAATATTGTCAACCATAGTGGTCTATTGCCACTAGTTCCTAAACGCTATGGAGGAAGGATGTTGGTTTATAGTATATCTGTAGCCTCATTATTTTCTTATAGTGTAACAGATGGTTTGAAACATTTGAACTTGAAGGCGCTGCTCAACCACAACTGAAGCAATCAATCAATCATAAAAAGCCTCAGCACTAGGCAAACTTGACTCGGTTCTTTCGACTCGAGCCGTGTCAAAAAATAAAATAAAAACGCACTTTACTAGGAAAAGTGACAGTTTCGAAAAAAAGTGAATTCACGCTTTATTTTCTTTACAATTTTGGAATCGTCCCTTTTCTTCGCAGTTCTCATTTTCGCGACAGAGAATAAAACTTTATTTATTTTGATATAAATCGACTTTTTATACTTCCTGTCTCTTTCTGAATTTTACTTAATTTTCTGGTAAGTCACTTTCATGACAATTCGCAAAGCTCATCGTTAGATTCTTGTCATTTTTAATTCCAAAAATAGCCCTGTTCAACTGCTGCTTAACTTCACACTCTGAGGGACACAACACATACCTATTGTCGAATACATCAGTCCACACACACGCTGACGACAAAGATGGCCTTGTTTTGCGCCTTTGACCCGTGAATTCGACACCCTTGTCAAATTACTGCTATATTTTTGGTGATTATGAGGGGGAAGCCCTAAACGCAGGGCTCGGTGCCGAGGACGACGCATTGCATAATCAAGCGTTAATCGCCACCTCATTTAGCGCGGGAGAATGGCAAAATGCGATGCAGTAGTGTCCTTAGGGTGCCTTGTACTGAAAGTCGCTCACAAGCACACATAAAAGCATTGCACACCTGCAAGCTTGCGACACCTGTCGTCTCGTGCCTTCATATGTTGTTTCTTTTCCCCGCCTCTTATTTCTTTACATTTACTGCTTCCCAATCTCACACCCCATTATCGCTGGTTGGGAAAGCGCCCCCTTTTCGCTTTTCGCTTTTCGCACGTCCTGTGCTTTCCCTCACTGGGATAAATGGGAAGAATTGCAGCTTTCAAATATAGAATGGCACGAATAACATGTCTTAGCGCCAAAATATGCTCATTTCTTTTGCATGGTCTCTAAGCAGTTACACCTGTACTTGTTGTTTTTCCAAACAACCTCATTCTTTGTAATGGTTACTGCTGATTATCCCCGAGGTTATATTTGTATGGCCGATGGTGTCCTTTATGACATTGCCTAAATAGCGTGTGCCCCCGTACTATGCTTTTCTTCTTCATTAAATTCTCGCGCAAGCATTTTTCTACAGTTTTTATTGCCGCATTATTCCTTTTTGTTGTATTCAGCGTCTGTTTTTTATACTGCCACACGCATTTTTCTGCCAGCATGACATTTGTTAGGCCGCGGCGTTTATTTGATGTGTTCGAGACGCCCTTCCCGCGCCTCGAGATACACATCTACATTCTTGTGCTGGCAATATCCCTTATATACCTGTTGGCACAACCTAGCGCCAACTACTATGCTTGGTACGCTAAATTCGATACCGTTTTTGATTCATCCAGTAGAAGACCGGTGTCTGAAATCGCAACAGCAGCGGACGCAACGGAAATTAGACTCGACACAACAGCAACAGCACAGCGCACTATTGTCAATCACGGTTATAGAACAAAGTTTGGCAGCCACAACCCCGCCACATCACAAGTAACTTTAGCCGCTAGCATGCAGGGAAACCAGAGTGAGCCGCGCATCAACGATGCTGGGCAAATTGTCACTATCTCGCGCGTGTACGCCGATGCCAACGCCAAGATGCCCAATGCGTACTGGGACTACGAAAACCTGGAGGTCGAGTGGGGAAGCCAGGAGAGCTATGAGATCATCCGCAAGATCGGGCGCGGCAAGTACTCCGAGGTATTTGAGGGAATCAACGTGGCCAATGACCAGTCGTGTGTGATCAAGGTGCTGAAGCCCGTCAAGAAGAAGAAGATCAAGCGCGAGATCCAAATTATGCAGAACTTGTCCGGCGGCACCAACATTATCCAGCTGTACGACGTGGTCCGGGATCAGCACTCGAAGACGCCATCGTTGATTTCGGAGTACGTGAACAATACGGACTTTAAGGTCCTGTATCCCATGTTTACCGACTTTGATGTGCGCTACTATATCTACGAGCTGTTGAAGGCGCTGGACTTTGCACACTCGCGCGGCATCATGCACCGCGATGTCAAGCCGCACAACGTGATGATTGACCACGAGAAGCGCACGCTGCGTCTGATTGACTGGGGGCTTGCTGAGTTCTACCACCCGGGCACGGACTACAACGTGCGGGTGGCGTCGCGGTACTTTAAGGGGCCCGAGCTGCTGGTCGACTACATGCCCTACGACTACTCTCTTGATATGTGGAGCCTGGGTTGCATGTTTGGCAGCATGATTTTCCGCAAGGAGCCGTTCTTCCATGGCCACGACAACTACGACCAGTTGGTGAAGATCGCCAAGGTCCTGGGCACGGACGATCTGTTGGCGTATCTGAAGAAGTACAATATCGAGCTAGACACCCACTACAACAAGATTATGGGTGCGTACCCGCGGAAGAGCTGGCACAAGTTTGTCACGATCGAGAACCAGCGCTTTGTGTCGCCCGAGGCGATCGACTTCCTCGACCGGCTACTGCGCTATGACCATATGGAGCGCCTAACGGCCAAGGAGGCCATGTCCCACCCGTATTTCGACCCAGTCAGACAGAAGGCCGAGGAAAGCATCGCACAGTGATATATACAAACGTACTGTAGAGAAAAAAGTTGATACGATTTTTCTATTTTTTTATTATCTAAATTTTACATTGCCTCGGAGCAAAATATCAAACCGACTTGTTTGTTCATTGGTGTTGGCAATTCAACACGCAATTGCACACGGCTGACCTTTTGTCGTATTTCTCATTTCACCGGCGCATGCGCTTTTTGAACCGCTGCAGCACAATGTCGTCTGTCGCTTTTGACGAGCGCTCTGATGAATCGTGCATTCTCTTGTACCGACCAGCGCCATGCCCGTGGCCCGTCATCTCGGCCTCCGCGTCCTTAAGTCTGCTGCCACCGCGAGGATTGGCATCCAAATCCTTACTCCCAGCGACCCTGCGCGAGCCCCTATGCCCTTCGTCCTTCTTTGATATCTGCGAGACAACACGATCGGTCTCTATAATATTTCTGATTTTTGAATCCCTTCCTAAATCAACCTCCTGAATGGATGTCAGCATCTTGGCGGCCATGGCGACATTGCCCTCGGCCACGGGCTTTTGGTTAACAGCCTGCAAATGCTCGGGCAACCTGTAAATGTCATCCGCCTCCACTGCCGCCTCGTCTGCTTCGGGGTCATCCGTCCCTCGGTGTCTTTTCATCTCCTTCTCGATAAATGCCATCATATGCGTGTTGGCGTCCAGCTTGTTCGTCTGTAGTGTGAAGGCGCCGCTCAGAGATCGCCCCGTGGCTGCGGTGGTGACATCTTGAAATGAAGGCTCCTGTGGCTGGCTCTTGTGACGTGTGCCTTTGGAGAGCGTTTCTATGTCGATTCCGCGTTTTATCTGCCGGCGGAACTTTTGGTATTCAAGAAGGTCTGCGAGCTCCACCTTTTTGGTCGTTGAATCGGTATCTGTTTCTGCCGCTGGTGTTGTCTCTGGAGTCTCATCCCAGTCAGCTAGGCTTTTTGTAGAAGTGCGCAAGTTCCTTGGGCGTTTAGGTGGCATGCTTTTTTTGTGATGCAGATGAATTGATAGTCAAGTTAGCGTGTACAGTTTATATTGTATATTGTATATTTTTTTAACGCAAAATAAAAATATTTTGCGGTCGTGATTTATCCATGTGTGCAAAGACTTATGGTAAACCCACGGAAAAAAGCGGTGGTAAAACAGATTGATTGAAGATATCATTGTGCCGCAGACTAAACCAAGTACTTTTTTCAGTAATAAATGGCCCCAGACCAACAAATAATTGAACCGCTCAATTTAATGACACACTGCAGCTTGGATAGCAACTGTCAATATTGCTCAGCTTGGTTAGCAAACTAGATACCGTCAAAAAACTATTTTTTTACAAATATAAAAGCATCCTTGGTTGCTTAGTCGCACCCCAGTTGCGTGACTGGTACCAAACTTTCTGTTAATGGATTATTGCCATGAAATGCTGGCTCCAGCCCACTTGTGCAATGTGACCATAGGTATAGTTAGTTTGCACAATGTGCGTATCAAAGGGTCATTTCAATAATATTCAAAACAAGTCAAAAACAAGGGTAAAACTAGGGGGATAGAAATGGTAAAAAATGAGTGGAAAAAAGATGAATGTAAATGCGCATTAAGATTTCCTCAGGCTGAATGCTTTCAGCCATCCAGCCAGCCAAAGACAGTTTAGATTTTCTCGTCGTGCTGTGTGCACAGCTTGCAGTTAGTGCGCCAAAATCGGGTTGTTCCTGCTGTTGTGGTCCATGCGGCCCACATTCGAAGAAACGTCTGCATCACGCCCATGGTAAGACCTGTAATTAATGCTGGTAACTGTGCTCATAGGCGAATCAGAATTTATCCAAATTAGCGGTGTGTTCCCCATCACAGGGCCAGGCGGACGCCTTGCAAACGACTGTGTCAAAGAATTGGCCCAACTTTCATAGACCGCGTCAGAGTGTTCCATGGATTCGGCCAGGCACCTGTTGAAAGCCTCCGTCTGTGCCATATACTCAGCCTCAGTGTGCTTGCTGCGCTGCATTGTGCCCCGGTACTTCAGCTCGCGAGTGGCCCAGTCAACAAGAGCATGTGTCGGCTCATCCAATCGCTGTGCAATAATGTTGTGGTTCCTCATACCCCTCTTGCACATATCATTGCTGTGCAGCTGCTGGTTGGCCTTGGACAGCATGCGTTTTAGAGACATAACGATAATTGTGGAGCTGCGGTCCCTCTCATTATGCGCAGCCAGTATCCCGCCAATATTGCTGCTGAAATCGGCAAGCTCAGCCTCCAAATCTTTGTTGACCTTTGCCGCCCTCGAAATTCAGCGCTCAAGTTATGAAATGCGTGTCTGGCTCTAGTTGAGTAAAGAATTGGTGTCGTTTAGTTTAGTCTCCAAAGCTTTGCTGGCATTTGCTGCTATCTGAATGTGGCTCTCAAGGCTCAAATCTACCTTTGACTCTGATTGTGCAAAGAATTCACATCTTGGAATTAAGCGCGCAAATCTGCGTTTTTGTTTTTCACGCGCGTGTTGTCTGCCTCTACCTTGGCCAACTGGGCGTTGATACCAGCAAATGTCCCCGAAATCAGCACAAGCGTCCTCGAGCGGCTTGCAAAGGGTATCGGCAATATCGCTGGCGGCAGCAACCTCAGCCTGGATGGGTCTGAGTTTGCCCTCGAGTTTTTCGCTCTTTTTTTAACCATTGTTGCGTGGGCGTAAGCAATTGAGCACTACCTGTAGTACAAATCAACCTCTCTCTGGGATTCCGAATCCGCGTTGTTTAGCTTCTCCATCAAAAGAGTGGGGTTGGCTTTGGCGACACCCAACTGTGCCCAGAGGTTTTTATTCCCAGCTCTGACGTCCTTAGCAGTCGTGGTGGCTGCTGCAATTTCGGCCCTAAGCTTCTCGTTCTGGGCGCAATATGCACTGTTATCGGCAGTAGCTGTTTCCAACTGCATGCAAAGCGCCTTAATCTCGTGGTGCATCTGCTTCATCTGGTCGTCAGATGCAGCGCTAGCAGAAGTAGAGCTGGCGGTGACGGCAGTAGTGCTGGTTGCAGTTACAGACTGGTAGCGGAATGCATTAAGCCCAGGAGGCAGCTGGAGAAGCTTTATGTTCTCGAGTCTTGCCATAGACAAGCTTTCCATCAACACGCTTATTGTTTTGGCGGAAACCTCACAATGTTCCTCACATCTGTGGCGCATGTTGGCGGAATCCATTGCCCTGCGTCGAGTATTGGCGTTTTTTTGCTACAGCGTCGGTCTTTTTGCGCAGCTCTGAACACAGGTTGCTGATAGTCAACTTTGCTTCTGCGCAGGATGAGCAGAGGGAGCAAGATGGCTTAAATTTAGGAAGGTCCAGAGAGTAACCGCTCGTGCTGGTAGAGGAAAAGGAAGAAGAGTCGTTTATTTTTATACGAGAAAGCTAAATGGATATAACAAATTGGAATTGAATAGAGGTGGCGAATTTCAAATTGTGTTTGTGCTAATTTTAATATGATGGTGAAAGCGATGGTGACGGTGATAGTGAAAACTAATTGCGAAAGTAAATTCAAAAAAGTTGAAAGAAAAGAGTTAAAGTAAACAAGACTGAACGACTGCCGCCTTATTTATTTTATTTTTAAAGGAGCGACGCCACTAATTCTCTTGGGCCAAAAAAATACACGCGCAAGTGCCTATTTGGCTTGAGTCGCTTGATTTGCAAAATCTTTTGATCGCCCAATTTATTTCCTATTTGGACTAGCTTGTTTTGGCTTAGCTTTTTTATTCGCAATGATTATCAAGACCTGCATGCTTATAATTATATTTTTCTAACACCTACATGTAGTCTTTTTGAGCTCAGATCACTTGCCTTTGTAAGTAGCCATTTATTGGCGCTTAAATCTAGAAATGCCCTGGATAACCACCAAATAGCATAGGCCTGTACATTGTCAGGCTTATCCGTGAATGGTACACAATTGAATTGGACAAACAAATATACTCTCATTTCAACACTACCACAATATGATACTGTACCATCCGGTTTATTTCTGTCTCATAAAGCAATACAAAGAGATATCATCATCTTATTTGAATGCTCAATACTCGTATTATTAGTCAGTACCAGTCAAATCATCAATAGCCAATGGGTACACTGGCAATTAAGTAACAAAAATGCGGCCAATATGTCTGAACAACAATCATGTTTAAATAGCTAATTAAAGAAAATACATATCAAAATGGCCAAATAACCTCTCAACTAAACATATGTTATGGACAAAAACTTTGCCGAAGTGTCCAAGTGACAAACCAGTGGTAAAGTAAAGACAGTATAAATTCCCCCACAGGGACACTGTCAGCCATTTGTTAAGCACCAGGGGCATCCCTATTTCTCCCCCACAAATGCGGACCAAAAACAAGGATGCCATAGTGTCGCACCATAGATAATTTATGAATTGTACAGATAATAAAATTATTTATGCGCTTGTAAATGGTATATTCCTCATCTCAGCACTACATCATACAAGTTCTTTGATTTGATTTTGGCTAAAACCAGTGGTTGAGCGATCTCCTTGATTCTAGCATCTACATATGAAGCGCTGTCGTTTTACCCGCATGCCTGGATACGCGTGTCTATGCTTAAAATAAATAGCAACTGCAAACCAAGCAAATCAGTATTTACAAGTGAGCTAAGCCACCAATTACGCGTGGGCTGATTTTAAAATCAAATCATTAATAGCCCAAAAAGTCTGCATCCCGTATACATATAAGAAAATTTAAAAAGGTTTAGCAAAAAAATAAGTATTTTTCTCGCCCACTGTCTTCTTTCCTCTCTCTTTCTCTCTCTTTCTCTTTTTTATTTTTTATCAAGAGTATTTTCTTTTAATGGTTATGTTCTTTAGCATTACACTGCACTTTGCAAAGTTTACTCTACTTACCCCCTTGAATATCCTTATTTATCTAAAAAAACCCTTCGAATTCGAGAAATTTCGTTTTATTTTTAGTTTTATTATCGAAGATGGTTGTAAAACTGGTCTCTGATATTGGCAAGTTACGCTTCTACCTCAGCCTGACACCGACTATTCTGGCCATCGAGGGCGTTCGCTGGGTTTTCACCCATAATACCGCGACCAAGCCGGTGGTTGCCGCCACTCACACTCCCAGGGAATGCAAGCCTGTCAGCAGCACTGGCACCAAGAAAGCAAACAAGAAAAATATCCAGCAGCTGGAGATGGGCCCCGCAAACATAACTGGAAAGTATGAGGAGATTCGCACCGATTACGGCGCAGCAATTCAGCAGCATGAGCAGATCCGTGCAAACGACCAGATGAAAATCCAGCAACTCAATCAGGACCTCACGCACGCCAATCCTGAGAACAAAGAGACCTGCACTCGCGCACTCGTATCTGAAGTTATACGTGCCATGGACAAGGCGCGGTTTGAGCAGACCAGTGCCAACGACTAGGCGACAATCCAGCAACTCAAGCAGGACCTCGCGCACGCCAATGCCGCCAACGAGGAGACCCGCACTCGCACAGCCGAATCTGAGGCTGCACGGGCCAAAGACAAGGCAAAGATTGAGCAACTTGAGCAGCATATTTGGCATACCAACGTTGATGATAATACATTGATTGAGCGTCGTCAGTGGGACTACATGTACGCAATAATTGCGCATGAGCACCACCGCGCTGACGATTGGGAGATGTTTGAGCAGGAACATGAGGACAATTGGGTAATGTTTAAGCAGGCCAGCGATGCTGACTGGGCAATGTTCGAGCAGGTTAAGCAGGATTTCGGGCGTAAAAATGCCACGAACAAGCAGGTCCACGCCAACCACTGTGCAAAGATCCAGCAGCTTGAGTAAGACCTTGCGCATGCAAACGCTATAAACGAGGAGACCTGCAAGTGCGAAGCCGAATTCGAGACCACAAGCGCTAAGGACAAGGCAACGATCCACCAGCTTGAGCAGAACCTGGCATACGCAACTGCTGCAAACAACCAGACTCGTACTCGCGCAGCGAAATTGAAGGTCGTAGGCGCCAACAATAACGCAATGATCCAGCAGGTTAACCAGGCCCGCATCGATGCTGAGACCGCGCATGCCCCCAAATACGACAAGGCGATGGACGAGATATCGGGCCTACGCCGCGAGCTAGCTGAGAAAAACACCTGCGTTGGCAGCCTTATGGACTGATTGCATCCTTGCAGAGAATAAGGTGGCTGCCCTGCAAGTTCAACCGAAGAAGGCTGAAAAAAGATAACTACCGAGCACACAACTAACATGCATATGCTTGGCATTATTCGCAAGGCTGGGCATGATCTGGATGTGACTCGATAGGATGCTGAGACGGAGCACCAACTTGCTCTTGAGATGGCTAAGTGCGGCTGCTGTACCCCGGATAGCCAAATCTAAGGCAAGCGGGATGCTTGCTTCAAGGCATGCACATGATCACCCACCCGATTGAAAATATTGGCTCTGTACTATAGCTACTTCCGTGGTTGGCACATCCCGGCCAACGCGGTTCTGAGCTGGCAGAACCAGCCCAGCATCATTTTATTTCTTCGTTTCTTTATTTTATTTCTATCTTTTGCACTAGGTTTGTTTATTTTAATGTCAATATTTACATCTATTCAGCTCATCGTGTATAGTAGATAGAACTGTCAGCTATAGATCATTGCTGCTTGTAAATGACCTGTTGGCTGCTGATATCATGAGCAATGGTAGTGGCGCCTATTACCAGTCGAAAGAGCAGGAAATTGGTATATAAAACAATTACATTTTGCCACTCATCTGTCGTCGCTTATCGCTCTTTTTATTATTATATTTTCTATTTATTTTACATGCCCCTCAGCACCCTTTAGCTGGTAAGTCCTTGGCCCTCTGTTATTTCGTAAACAACCATCTCGCGCCACCCGCACATCCCCACGCTAATGGGGACTCTCAAGCGTCATAGCAGTATCAGAGGCCCATTCATCCTAGAAGGGCTCCGGTATCTGCTAACACATATATTGCCTTGTAATTCAAACAATAAAAATCAAACAAACTTGACCTCTTCCTCCTCGCTGGCACTGGCACTGCTGGCACTGTTCGCCGGCACCACCGCCGAAGGGCTAATTCCGACCCTGCGCTCCTTGCATCCGTATGCGGTCGGCTTGAGCTCAACAAAGATAGATCTGGGGAAAGCCAAAGTGGGGATCAGCGAATTTGGCAGCCCCTCAGGTGCAAAATAGGCATAAATACACCTAAGCGCAGACTCTGGGGCAATAATAAGTATATCGTCCTGCTCCCTCTCTAGCTCCAAAATAACTGGCTCCAAGCGCACGGAAATATCATGGTAGGATTCGGCCAATGAATACCGATGGTGGTAAGGATCGAGCAAATACGCCTGATACTCCTCGGGGAACCTAGCCTTGACCTCCTCCAAGGACATATTTTCGCAGACCCCCGGGTTCAACCCCTTCAGCAGCATCCGACGCCTGACGCGCACATGCTCGTGGGCTGCAAAGTACTCTGCAGTTTGGTAGCTCTTCACATGCGTTGACGTCCACACTTTCAGCGTGCGCCGCGACATATCCACGCCAGTCTTCGCCAAGGTCTCCTCGTTGCGCTTGCGGATCCGGCGCAAAATAGCCTCCTGCAGATTATGCGCATACAGATGGCCGGCCTCCGACAATGGCGCATCCGCCTTATACGATCCCTCATTGATCGACTCCCCGCTGCGTGCCAGGTAAATAGTGCGGTCTGAAATATGCAGATTCATCAGATAAAACACCACGCGTGACTGCAAATACCCGCGAATATTGTTCACTTCAAAGTGCTCCGCCACATTATACAGCTTGATGTAGCTCAAGTCCTTGTCCTCCACTGTCTCGTAGTACGGGACCATTCGCGCAATCCGCTCCTTAAAGTCCACCACAGCTGAATCGGCATCCAACGTGACATAGTCTGGCGACGATATCTTAACCTTGCGAATATTCTCCTCGACAATCGCCTCGTTCTCGCAAATATACTCTACAAACAACGGTCTAATCTTGCTCAGTTCAAAATGACGGTAGATCCGCCGACGCCTCTCCGCCTGCAAATTAGACGCATCAAAGATAGCCAGTTGGCCGCCACCAACGGTCAAGTACGTGACAATATCTTGGATGCATAGATCTTCGGCGCGCATGCGTGCGTCGGCCATTTCGGCATTGCCCAGGTCGAAGTAGTCTGGGGAAATTTCCGTGCCGTAGAGTCGGCGCCGATATTGGCCCATGTGGTAGGACTTGGACTTGACCCCGAGCCAGTTCATGTAGCGGATCAGTGAGCGAGATCCGTGGGTTTTGCCGCGCGCCGGAAGCCCCACGTTGATGATGACGATGGACCCGGCATGGAAGAGCTGGCCGGTCTCGGTCTTGTAAAGCTGAGCAGCCATGGATAAAAAACTAAAAAAATTGTGGAAATAAGTGCAAATTAGATTGGCGAAAAAATGCAAAGTGAAAAAGGGGGGATGAATTTGTCTTTTGGAAAGGGGGGATGCCAATACGGAGAATTTTTCTCTCATCAAATCTCGACTAACGACAACGACGATGGCGATGATGATGATGTTTCAGTCATGTGACAGTTTCATGAAATCGATCTAGGCGTTTGATTTGGCAGGCAGGCCCACTTATTACATCACGTGTAAGAGCACAGAATCCTGGGGGTGGCTTTTTTCCACTCTCTTATCAGTTGCTAGAACGCGTAGGAAGAGAAAAAAGGCAGAACAATTTTTTCTGGCGTGAAACGCGTGTATTTTCTCACATTCTCTTTTTCCGCTTGCTTGGTTGCTCATTTTTTTGCTTAACGCGTTTTGGGTGTTGTGATTTCCAAAAGCCATTCTTCGTACACACGCTCATTTTTTCTCTCACTCCACACTGTCATTTCCGTATTTTCAATTTCTTTCAATTTCTTTCCGCTTATTTTCAATTTAATTTTTCTTGAAGAAAAAAGCTTTTTTTTGCGATATGACACCAGCAGAAATACCAGAGCCAGCGGCCGCAGCACCAGCATTAGCACCATCGGTCGTGGCAGACACACAGGAGGCCGAGTGGAAGCACCAGGCTCTGCACAACAGGACAATACTAGGCCAGGCGGACGGCACGCTGACGATTGGCCGCAGCGGCACCTGCTCGCTCCAAATTGGACGCAAAGCAACCACGATCTCACGACTGCACGCACGCCTAACACACGAACACGAAACCTACACTCTTTATATTCTCGGCACCAACGGCGTCCGCATCAACGGTACCCTGCACATGGCCGGATCCCACGCGGCACTGCGCTCCGGCGATGACCTGAACTTTGTTGGGATCCGGTTTAGGTTCCGCGAACCCACTGTGGCAACGGCAGCTGTGGTGGAGCCAGAGGAGGAGTGGTGGCCGGAGCCCGTGCGCAAGAGATTGGGCGCCGAGGACGAGTGGCTGGATGCGGGCAAGCGCGCGCGGGTGGCTTTTGGGGATTCCACAGATACGGTTGTTGGTGGTGGGTCGGAGATTGGACACACAGAGGCGGTGTTTGCCAGGCATATTATCGAGGGCCTGCCCCCCTCCAGCCCCCCGCCCATGCCAGTCTTTGACGAGAGCGACTGCGAGAGCCTGGTTGGCGAGCCGCTCCCCGATGTGGCGGATGTGGTGACAGAAGCAGCAAAGCCCACCAAGCAGCAGCTGTCGCCGGCGGCAGCAGCAGCAGCAGCAGCAGTGGTCGGCTCCAAGGACACCGTTGGCAGCGCCCGGCCGCGGCCGCGCGCCAACAAGCCAGCCAACAGACCGGCCAGCAAGCGTGCCGACGACGACATGATGGCGTCCCTGCGCGAGCTCCTGGGCATCGTCGACCCCAGCGAGAGCCTAGCCAACTCCATCGACAGCGAAACCGAGAACTTACTCACTTCACCACCAACCGACCCACTCCCACTCCCCACGGGCGTCTCCCTCGTCGACCTGCTTGTGCAAACCATGGTGTTCTCCGCGCGTACCTCACACACCATCAGCGATCTTCTTCGCGACATTGGCCACGCGGACTCATCGGGTTCCGACGCTGCTTCGCTGTGGCGCCACCATATTACGCGCACGCTGTTCACTGTCAAGTGCTTTGGTCGTGTGGAGCGCCGTGTTAAGGATGCTTCGGATCGCCGCGCGGAGGACAAGTGGTACTATGAGGCCGCTCGCGATGAGTGTGAGGAGAGGAGTGCAAATTTTGGCGGTCTTGTGAGGACCGCCAGGAGGTGCACGCTGCGCGATACCCAGTACTTCTTTAAGCAGGTGCCCAAGCTGCCATCGTTCCGGTACAAGTGAAACGGATTTTAATCGATCTTGGTTTGTGTTTTGATACGATCTGCTTTTTCCTTCTTTTTTTTCCTTTCCCAACTAAATCGATTCTGCCTGGATGAGGGGGGAGGCGAGTGAGAAAAAAAGAAAAAGAAAAGGGTTTAGGAAAACCAAGGATGAAAAAATTATGCGGTTTTTTTGCTTTATTTTCCAAACTGCTTTTGAGCGTCTGATCGCAATTTTTGTTATTTCGCTCAAACGACTTAACTTTTTTTATGTACTTTTTCTCTTAAACTTTTAAACAATGCTAAAAAAAAATATTTGTTTCCCAGAAAAAAGGGTGGCGCGTTGAGTACATGCCTACGGGCCTCGTCCTCCTGCCAAACAATCCCGAAGAAAAAAAGCACAGCCAAAACTCCAAATTAACTTGATCGCTTCTTGGAACATCATACGTTTGGATTGGATTGGATTGGATTGGGGGAAGTGGCTGGTCCCAAATTCTCAATCACAACAATAAAATCAACTTAGCCAGAGCTTCCGGAGTAGGGGGTTTGCTTTATCAATATGCGCACATACATGATGTATATGCTGCTAGCGAGAGAAAGAGGAGAGAGAGAGGGAGCGATTACGCTGAGCAAGTTAGAACGGCCCCCATTGTATAAAAACTCTGCAGTTTACTTCCTCGGCCCAAAAAATACTTTCTTCTTTTCTCTCTCGAGTAAATATCATACCTATTCAAGTTCACTCTTTTTTTTTAAAAAGCAGCCAGTCACCAAAGTAATTTCCTTTTATATAGCCTTTTATCCCTTTTCTCTTCATTAACCATGGGTCTTCTCGATATTGTTCCGGCCGGCGTCATCACCGGCGACAACGTCAAAAAGCTGTTCGACTATTGCCAGGAGCACAAATTCGCCATCCCTGCCATCAACTGCACATCCTCCTCGACCGTCAACGCCGCACTGGAGGCCGCGCGCGACCAAAAGACGCCCCTGATCATCCAGTTCTCCAACGGCGGCGCAGCCTTCTACGCGGGCAAGGGTATCTCCAACAAGGACCAGCACGCATCCATCCTGGGTGCCATTGCCGGCGCCTACCATGTGCGTGCCGTGGCCAAGCACTACGGCATCCCCGTGGTTGTGCACTCCGACCATTGCGCGCGCGAGCTCCTGCCCTGGCTCGACGGCATGATGGAGGCCAACGAGGCCTACTTCAAGACGCACAACGAGCCTCTGTTCTCGTCCCACATGATTGACCTTTCGGCTGATCCCAAGGAGGAGAACATTAGCATTACAAAGAAGTACTTTGAGCGGTGCGCACCCATGAAGCTGTGGCTCGAGATGGAGATTGGTATCACTGGTGGCGAGGAGGATGGTGTCAACAACGAGTCGGCCGACAAGGATGCCCTGTACACGCCCTCGGAGGACGTCTACGAGGTGTACCAGGCCCTGTCGCCCATCGCCCCCTACTTCTCCATTGCCGCTGCTTTCGGCAACGTCCATGGTGTCTACAAGCCCGGAAACGTCGTCCTCAGGCCTGAGCTGCTCGAGCAGCACCAGAAGTTTGTCAAGGACAAGATCAACTCCAACAAGGAGCATCCCTTGTACCTGGTCTTCCACGGCGGCTCCGGCTCGACCCCTGACGAGATCAAGACTGCCGTCACCAACGGCGTTGTCAAGATGAACGTCGACACTGACACTCAGTTCGCCTACCTGGCTGGTGTCCGTGACTTTGTCCTCGAGCACAAGGACAGGCTCATGCAGCAGGTCGGTGACCTTAGCAAGGGCGACCACGACGAGACCCCCAACAAGAAGTACTACGACCCGCGTAACTGGATCCGCCACGGCGAGCAGACCATGTACAAGCGTGTCCAGCAGGCCAACTCTGACCTCGGCAACGTCAACGTTCTCTAAGCAATTTGATTTTTTCAGTGTATCTTTTGTTTATTTTTCACTTCATCTATATATTTTTCCTCCTTGTTCACTTTTTTTTATCGTTACTATTGTCTATTTTGGTGGCTGAGGCCGAGGCTGCTTTGCAAAAAAAATGTTGCCGCAGAGATAAAGAAAAATGGAAGACGTGATGGGATAATGTGATGACCGCATGCACGCACACACGCATAGATCGCGAGCGTGAGAACGCAAAGTTTATTGTTTTGGGCTTGTGAGAAAAGATAAACACAAAATTAAAATACGAGGGCGCGCACGGGCCTGTTTTTTTTTGACTGCGTTATCACACGCCTCGCCGCATGCATTCCCACATTCTCGCATTCTGTTTTTTTTTGGCATTCCACAGTGCTCAAGTCCGCCTTCTCCCGATCCGGTCCGGTCCGGTCCGATTATTTTAGTTCATTCCTTGCCAAACGTACAGATGCAATATCTATTCAACACATACAAAACAAAAAATGAATAAGTCTATCGTCCAAAACTGACACGACCAAACATCCATCGCACTGGTCCGGGTGCCCTATCCACCAAAGCGCCCTCCCCCCATACACACCTCAGGGGAAACGCCGCAGTATACGCCAGCACACCCAAATACACCAACACCGTAGCCACCAATGCCACATACATCCCCGGCGATCTCAGCGGAATAACACTCGCCACCATATATGCATTAAGTGCACAGATCGCCAACGTCAATACCACCGCCGCCACCCGCGCCACCCTCCCAAACACAAACTCTTTCCCTACAATCCCCGCATGCGCCTGGAACTTCAACAACGGAATAATAGTGAAGGAAAGAACCACTGCCTGAATGACATTGATGATTTCGCTCAGCATATCCATATGGCTGCTGGCCAGAACGGCAACGAGAAGTGCGGGAATAAGGGATATCGACCGTGTGACGAGAACCCGCTGCCACGGTTTAATCCGCATATCCCAAAATCCCTCCGTCACATACTGCCCACTCAAAGTCCCCGACATCGTCGTCGACTGTCCTATGGCGAGCAACCCGATTGCGTAAATATACTTTGAACCGGACCCAAGCACACTCGACAGCACCGAAGCGCCATCCGCCAAACTAGCCACATACTGGGTATTCCCCTGCATCCGCAGAACCTCAAATGCCTTGCAGAATACCACCACCACAGACATATTGATCAAGTACGCGTACCCGAGACTAATTGATGTTTCAATCCGGAAATACCGCATAGCCTCGCGAACTGCACCCTCCCTCGAGACCTCACGCCTATCCAATTTGCGACTCCCGACGAGCGCCGAATGCAAATATAGATTGTGAGGCATCAGCACACACCCAATGATACCCACAGCCTGGACTACAGCGCCCTTGGGAATCCGCGGGATAAACATTCCCTTGATGACCTCGCGCGCATCTGGCTTGATCATGAACATTTCAACCCAGAAACACACCGCCAACACAGTGACCAGCAGCCCAAAGACCAGCTCCATGACGCGCACGCCAAATCTCTGAATATATAGAAATAAAAAAGAATCCACCGCCGTTATCACTACCCCAGCCCAAATCGGCAACCCCGTTAGGATCTGTAACGCTGTGGCTGTACCAATAACCTCCTGAATGTCCGCCCCGATAATTGCCAGCTCGCTAATCACCCAGAACATAACCGCAAACACCAAGGGGTATTGTGCCTTGATATGCTGCGCCAAGTGTCTCCCCGTGATAACCCCCAGACGCGCTGCCAGGCACTGCACGAAAATGCAAATAATATGCGCAAGCAGCAAAAGCCAGAGCAGTTTGTACCCGGAAGTGTCTGCCTGCGAAATGTCACTTTCAATATTGCCCGGGTCCAAAAGCGCTTGGCTGACGAGTAAGCCGGGTCCGATAAACTGCCAAAGTTTTTTTATGGAGAATTTACCGCTTTTATCACTGTTGTACTCTATCTTTATGTGTTGGTAGTGCTCTTGGAATGCATCCGTGAGGGTGTCGTCTTGGCTCGACCGGGTTCCGGAAATTGAGGGAGAAGAAGCTGTGAGGGATGTGCTGATTTTGCGGTGGGTTGGTTTGCTAGGGTTCTGTTTGATCAGTGTGTCCATTTCGATGTACTCACTAATGGGCGTTATTTCGCTCTGCCATTCTTCTGTCCGCCGTGGGTTGCTAGGTGTCAGTGCTGCTGATGTTACTGATGCTGATACTGGTGTATCATCTGAGGTGTCGTGTTTTTTCATCGGAACGCTTTTCCACATTTGTCCGAATGTACAAAATAATAATGAGGAATTAAGGAATGAAAAAGTGTAAAAATACAAAAATAAAGAAAAAAGTTCGGGTGAGCAAAAAAAATTTTATTTGTTTGTTCGCAAAAGTTCCAGAGATTGAAAAGAATGTGACGTTTTGCATTATTCTATGTGGATTGAGTCTTCAAACATTTTCTTATCCTCACTCACTCACATCCCCCCCACACACACACACACAAAACGCATTGGTTTTTTCTTTCGGCCTTTCCGAAAATAATGCCAAAATAATTCCTTTTCTGAGTAGAATGAACAGAAAGATCGAGTCAACTTGATAATCAGGTTAGAAATAAAAAACACAAACCTCAATGCGCACAATATATGCGTCAAAGTTTAAACATACAGCTGGTCTCGTTTTATTTTATTTTTGACCATATGAATAGAATATTTTTAATATATTGAAATTTTATAATATTGATAACGTCCATTTGTTATTGTTATATTAAAAGTTTAAACAAGAATAATTCAAATGTTGCACGCATTGTACAATATAGTCAAATTGTATGGGAAAAATTGATTTTGGCTGAGTGATCTGTGTGCCATGCATATTTTTTTTTAAAAAAAAAAAAGAAGGGACAATTTTACATACGAACAGCTCATTTTCCTTCTTTGTTTTGCTTTTTTAACTTTTTTTTTGTATATCCAACAATATTTGCTTTTTCAAATTTCTCATTTGAAATGTCGGCCCAGCCGGTACAAGTGACAGAGGAGCTCATTTTAGCCAAGCTCATGGAAGTGGTCGACCAGTTCACCGAGTTGCAGGAACAAATTGGCACGCTTCATGGACAAATTGGCTCACTACATGGACAAATTGACTTGCTTCAGGAACAAATTGGAAAGCTTCAAGATACTATCACCACTTTGACCAATGCCAACACCACATTAACAGAAAAGCTCAGCGCAGCGACAATAAACACGCCTGACACGCTGCCTTTACAAATGTCTCGGGTAGAGCAGCGTTTGGAAGATATGAATGCTCGGCTCTTACCCGCTAGCCAAAGACGCAATCCTACCAAGGCCCGTAACACGGGCCGCGCCCGCATCAACGGCTCGCTGTTGAATTGTTAAACCAATGTTTTTAATCAATAACGAAAATGTAATAATCCTTTTAATTAATTTAACTCCAACACGCAATGACCCTTATATTTCGCTCGCAAAAACATTGATTGGTTGATCGTTGTATTTGAATCGTCCAAAATTGAGTACCTAGAACTTGAAAACCTGCTGGGAAGTGAAGCCGAGCTCCTTAAAGATACCGTTAACCTCGCCCTGGCTAAAGTCGGGTGCCTTGGGTCCGCTAATGGCCTTCATCATGGGCGGAGGGCCGCACACACTGACAAGAACATCGCTGCGGTCAGCAGACGGCAGGTACTTCTGCACGAGCTCCTTGGTGATGTAGCCCACCTCGCCCTTCCAGCCATCCGATGCCTTGTCAATAACATAGTGCACCTTGAACTGCTCAGGGTACTTCTTGGCATAGCCGTCCAGAGTCGAGCGCAGAACAATGTCCTCTTCGGACTTGTTGGCAAACATTAAGGTCAGCTTGGTGTTGTCCGTGGGGTCCTCCAGCACATGCTGGATGAGCTGCAGCATGGGTGTGATTCCCGAGCCGCCGGCAATCATGCCTACCTCCTTCAGAGCTCCAGCCTTGTACGGGTACTTGGGAATCGGGCCCTTAATCTCCAGCTCATCCCCGGGCTTCAGCGAGTGAATGTGCGACGACATCTTGCCCTCCGGGTACCGCTTCACAACAAGGTCAAAGTAACCGCGCGCGTCCTGTGGTGACACCGGTGTGTACGGGCGGATGGTGGGCTTCTCGTCACTGCCAATCTTCGCCTTCACAACAATGCACGATGTAATGTCCAGGCCAAGCACTTGGTTGGGACCCAGCTCAAAGCGGTAGTGGCCTGTGTCGTGGTTAATTGGCGTGCTCTCCTTCAGCTTAAACGCAATAAACTTCTTCGGGTCGAGCGCAGCCGTGAGGGGCTCGTTGCTGGCCGCTGGCGCAGCACCCTGGCTGTCCTTGGAGCGGGTGTAGTAGTAGCCTATTTGTATAGAGTGGTTGTTTGTGGATTTTTTAATTAGTGGTATCTGTGGTATATGGCTACATTCTCCCGAGGCAGGCAAAGAAACAAGATCAAAGCAATTGCCATTGCCATTGCGTGTCCATGTGCTGCTTGCGCGCAGTGGAAACCTACCTCCGGCGAGAACGGCGCCAGTGGCGAGCGAGGCCCAGAGAATACCGCTTCCGCTCTTACCGCCTGCGGGCGCAGTGCTGTATGCACGAGAGAGCTAAACTTGTAGGAAAAAAGAATGTCAAATTTTGCGAATTAATTTAGTGACATCCGTAGTGTTTTGGCAAAAAAACAATTTGGTCTTTGGTGAGTAGCAACGCTGGCGAATCAATAGCACATCCGCTTGAATATTGACTGCCGCTTTTAGTCTTTCTTTTTTATGTTTCGTACCTGACGAGGAATGGTGTTGCGAAGCGAAGCAAACATTTTTACTTGAATTTTCGAAATTATTAAAGCAAAAAATATAAATAAAAAAATCAGAGACAAGAGATAAAAAAGAGAGGATCAAACTCAGTTCTCGATTTCAAATCAGAAATACTAAATCCAAAAAAGCCCGAGTAACATTTTTTTCTTGCTTTCTCCACATTCTGGCTGAAGTAAAAAGCATAAAATTTTAGTATTACATTTTCTCTTGTGACCGCGCTATATGCGGTCATTGGGAGGATACTCCATGAACGCCACTGGGTACATCATTGTTATCAACAAGGAAGCATTCGAATTCAGTAACTGGCATTATTAGCCGCACCAAATGCGCTTCAACTTGCTGTATTTACACGTGACATTAAGTCATAAGATGGCGCACTGCGACTGACAAATATCTTGTACGATGTTGACGATAGCAGAAATGTCAATCGCGGCGGCTTCCAAAAAAATACATTACCTCTTTTTCACTACGACATCCCACTCTATTCTTTTCCTTCAGACGTTAAATAACAATGGGCAAAAGATCGAGCGACAAACCGGGCCAGTCTTCATCCCAGCAAAAGCGTGCTAAGCGCTTCCAGCCGATGACTGACCGGTTCAAGAACTCGCAGAGCGTTTTCGAGATTTCGCCTGGAATGAAGGGTATTTTTGCCACCTGCAACCGCCACAAGGAGAAGAAGAGTGCCCATGAGACTATTGATCTCCTGGAGGAGTACGCGAGCAAGCTGTACCCGGGCATCGAGGACGAAATCATGAACGATGGCGAGGAAGACGAAGATGCTGATGCTGATGAGAAACCCGATGCCCCCAAGGTTGACATCGAAGACGAAATCGCGCGCGAAGTCGCCGGTATGAAGTCTAAGTGGAAGCCCAAGCTCTTCCGCTACTACAACACGATGATCGACTGCCTCATTTTCATCAAGTGCCACAGGAAGATCGACCCCGGAAAACTGGTGCAGTTCATTTTTGATGACCTGACCAAGACCATGCAGCGCAAGACCAGGTTTACTGGCCGTATTGTTCCGGCTCAGGTTACAACCACCTCGAAGCTCGATGCAATTGTGAAGGGTGCCACGGAAGTGGCTAGCGAGCTGCTTGCCGAAGACGCCGAGCCATCGACGTTTGCCCTGGTTGTCAACATCCGCTACTGCGATGCTCTCAAGCGCGACGACGTGATTCCCGCCGTGGCCGCTCCGCTGGACGCCAAGCACAAGGTTGACCTGAAGAATGCAAAGTATACCATTGTCATTGAGGCGTTCAAGAGCATGTGCATCATTGGACTTGTCGAAGATTTTAATGCCCGCAGACGCCTGAACCTGCAGACTTTGTTTGACGAGCCTGAGGCCAAGAAGACTGAATCTAAAGTTGAAGAGACCGTTGCAGAGACTGCCGTAGAGGTCGCCTCAGAATCTGCCGCGGAGGCTGTTGCAGAGACTGTTTCTGAAGAGCCCAAGGACGCCGTTGCTGCCATCGCAAAGGCTGAAAACTGAGTTTATTTTTTAAACCCTTTGTCATCATCTCCAAAATAAAGAGTACAATGAAAAAGCATGCGCAACCAGGAGCACTGCATTTTAACATATTGTCTCTTCACGTCACGCGCTTTTCTTCAGTGTTGTGGAGATGAATGCCAAAAGAAGTGGTTGTATTGTCCATACCCTTACTTTTGTTTACCCGAGAATGTAAAATGTTCATAAGCACGCGTGGGGATGAAATTCGGGATGTATGGGGGAATTGGGGCAGATGAAGGCGCATGGGGAAATTGAAAGTGCACACGAAGCAGGCGTGTCATTATAAATTGCGGGCTGGCATATTGGTGCTCTGGTATACAATATGCTTGATAAATAGCCACACAAAAACTCCAAACTTTAGAGTGCTAACCTATTCAAGTGCGTCTTTTGACCGTGTGTGGAAAAATAAAATTCAGCAAGAAAACGGAAATTGCAGTAGCAATGCTTGCCAAAAATATTTTTATGGACTCTACACTCCACATTTGCATCGATTTATTTTAAAGCAGAGCTCTATTTATACATCATGCTGATCAGAGACCAAGTTATCGTTGCTGTGAAACTGCAGGCATGTACTGTTTTATTTAATCAGCAAAGCGCTAGAACGACACAAACAGATGCAGTTTACCGCGTGTAGGTTAGCCCTAAAATGTCTTGCTTTCTTTTTTTTTACTCATACAACTTGAGCACACTAACTGCAATATTCATACATACGCCGACAACATACACCTTGTTTTCTTTTTTTACACAAAACTTTTCAATCGCCACCACTCCTCTCTTCTTTTGATATTAACATTGTTTTAAAACTCGAATCATTTTATATCCCTGGTTTATATTGCTGAATCAACTCGACAAACTATTGTATCCCGTATTTACTTCATTAAACAAGCTGGCCCAAGATGAAAGTATTGTGCAAGCTTACCACTCTGGCGCTGCTGCTATCAGGCACCGCGCTGGCATCACACATCCGCAAGGATTTGGTGGAAATTGAGAACGACACAATTGTCCTTGTAGCTGCGACAACTGTTTTGGAGAGCAGCTCGGGGCGGATCGCACACCTACCAGTTTCCGCATCCGGCTCGATTGAAGGCACAAAGGGATTGGTGTACATTTTGCCTGAACTTGAAAACTGCCAACCTGTAGAGCGCAGCCAAGAGTATCTGGCCACCTCATACATCCGCATTGCGCTCATCAGCGACGAGGGCGAGTGCCCTATAGTGGAAAAGCTGAAACAGGCGCAATTTGATGGCGCAGTCGGCGCATTTGTTTACAGTTCAACGATGGACGCTGTCAGCATGAGCACCCTCCTCAGCGGCACTATAAAAAAGAGCAAGCTGTCTATTCCAGTCATGGTAGTGGACAGGGACTACGGAGAGACACTGCTTTTGGAGGTCACAACCCTGATGGAGGAGGCCCAAATTAATAATAACAATCGTTACCGTGCTATTTTTGCTTCCATATTCTCCGAAGAAAACAGCGACCGCCTGAGCGGATGGGAGATTTCATTGATCACATTAGTCGTTGTCCTCGCACTTTGCTTCTTCACGTCCATCTCTTTCCATGTTTCTTCGAGCCGCCGGCGTGCCGGACGGTATCTCCGGGACAGAACTCCCGGCGATCTGACCAAGCAGATACAGACATTGCCTTCGTGCGCACTGGAGCGGTTGCACTTGCGCACAGTAAATGAGAGTGACGTTAAGATGCTGTCAGAATGCACTACCCCGCTAGACTCTATCTTGAACCCGAGCGTTCGACAGAGGAGCCTGCGCAGCCTAGCGAGCAACCCAAGCAGCATTGGCAGCATTTCTTGCTGCTTGGATAAGCTGGGCAACACCTCGTGCTGTGTGGTTGGACCTAACGCCAATGTTTCTGGATCTGAAAAGGGCGCAGCAACTGATACTACCTGCAAATGTTCCAGATCTGAGCACAAATCATGCTGTAGCAACGACTGCGCCGATGAATTGCTTGTCGACCCCACTCTAAAGGGTTGCATTGCCACGTGCATTGTGTGCATTGACGACTTTGTTGTTGGATCCAAAATGCGCATCCTCCCGTGCGGCCACAACTACCACATCGAGTGTATTGACCCGTGGCTGACTTCAAAGTCGTCTTTGTGCCCACTGTGCAAGTATGACACTCGCAGCGTACTTACTGACCTGGAGCGCTCCCACTCAGGGCCGCGGATTCAAGCCGACCTGGGCGGCTTTGAAGACATACTAGGCGGCTCGAATTACAGTGAGTCCGATGACAACTCGAGCTACCTGGCCGAGAGCCGATCACGCCTGCCAATTGCTAACATGGCCAGACTGTTTTGTGATGTTGCCCACTATGGTGTGACCACACCAGTGCGTGCATTAGTCAGGAGACTGTCGCGCAACCCTGCGACAAGAGCTACACTCGATATTGAAATGCCCATGGATTCTCAGCGGTTGGGCAGGCAGTCCCGCCGTGAATATCACCCATTTGAGGACAACAATGCGGTCTTCACAGCGTCAATCCCTGTCGCATGTGTGATAGACATTGAAGGTGATGACACAGCAGATAGGAGGTGGAAGTCCGGGTATTCCGGGTATTCCAGCGGTAGAAGCAACTTTATGATCGAGGTCAAAACCAACGACCCAATTCTCTTCCCAGAGCCCTTGGCTGCCAAAAACAGCACACAGGGCGACAATGCCAATAACGAAAAGGCCTCTGAGCAGTCCTGGATAAACATCGACGATATTTCCCTAAGCACCAGCAAGACCAAAAAGTAGTGGTGAGAGTTTGATTTTAAGATTTTTGTTTATATACCAAATTTGAATGTGGCACGTGATTTAAGTTTATTTACAAAAGACATTTTATTTTATTGCAATGCTTACAACGCAGGTGACGAAATTGACTTTAATGTAAAAGCTTTTGTTTTAATTTTTACTGGTGCCTTGTCTGCAATACTTTACAATCGTACTAAGCAGCATGGTATGAGTTTCACCCCTGCTGAGCTCGCAAGCAACATTAAAGTAGCTCGTGTTTGAGTACAGGCCATTTGAAAATATGGATGTTCGAGGTAACAACCAAAGTCATGATGGTTGAGTGCAAAAACGCAGACATTAAAACGTGTTGCCACGCTGGAATCGTAAATTTCGCGTGATGCAGATCAATATTAGTATTAATATTTGCTTTGCTTTAATTGACCTTGATTCATGGGATTTATTATACTCATCATCGCCAAAAATGCGTATTTTTGCTGCCGATCAATTGCGCTTGTGTGATCAGCCAAAGACGGTGAGTGGTGTTTGAACTCGCGTACCTAGATCCTCGAGCGCTGGTTATGCCAAACAAATGTGCGACTTGCAAACAAATAATAAAAATACCAAAAACTGAAATATAAAAAATAGCTGTAAAGACCTGTTTCACGTAAAAAAGCGTAGAAAAATAGTTTTGCATGACAGCGGGTTTTAAAAATGATCTAGAATCGTTCATTTGTTAGCACTGTAGTCACATTTTAAAAAACCTCTGTTGCCGTTGGCGCAAACTAGTCTATCCAACTTGTTTCAGTATTATATACCGATAAACTTTGGTACATCTTTGCCAGTTACCAACGCTGCAGAGATTGCATGCGCTTTATAAATCGTTATACAATGTCCAAGCGCGACAGCTTTGCTTTTCATTTCTATTCTTTGTTAAATGCTATTATGATATCACACAAATTTTCAAAAAGCATAAACTAACACAATGGACAGCGCACAACACGCAAAGCCGCAAATGCTAACCTCGCAGGTGCAGCAAGGCATGCGCACACTTTCCTGCAACTCGCTTGCACTCATTTCAATTATCGCAACCTTAGCCCATCTCCTGAATCCAGCAGCTGCCGCCGCACTGGCCCCGCTGCATCCGGTATCTGGATTGCTCACGCAGTTTCAGGGCAGGGCCGCTCAAGACCTTCTGCAAACCCCGTCTGCCGAACAAGCCGCGGCGATGTCAGATATTGGATCAGACATGGACATGCCTTCGCTGGTAGCCACCCCCTATGTCCGCGATGTAGCTGGCATACTTCCAAACTCTCACATACGACTGACATCTGCCGACACCCTGAGCGATACCAAGATTTTTGTGCTGCTGGCTGCCATTGTATTCATTTTTCTGATTGCTCTGGGAGTAGCCATGGCTCGTGTTTCACGAAACCGCAACCAAAGACACACCGAGCATATTCGACAGCAGATTGTGACGGCGCACAGACCACCAGAAACCCTGAACAGAACGATACTCGATTTGCTCCCTGTATATGAGGTCACAGAGAAAAAGCAGCTGCGGAAAATCAGTGCATTCTGCTCGCCGAGGGTTGCATTCAACGAGTGCTTTGCTGACGACGCTTCAGATTACAGCAGCGACGACGACATCCCTATCGGTATGAGGTACAATCCAAGAATCCCAATGCAAAAATTCAGCCCCGGGATATCAGAGCCGCTCTCGGGTGGATACGGCTCGGAGTCGGCAAACAACATGCAGTACACGGCCGCTGCTGCCAGCCATTACTACCGGAGTTCCTTCCCTAATTCGCATTTTGCTGATGGTAACTGTGATGCAGATGGCGACGTTGAAATGACCGAGTGGGCGACCAGTGGCGCCCCCAAAATGCCCGGGAAGTGGCCTATGCCGCGGATCATGCACATGTCACCCTCTTCGATTGAGCCACCGCCTTCTGTGGCAGTACCGATGTTTGCCACGCCCAGGCACCACAACTATAGCGCAGCTGGTTCAAGCACTCCACTGGCACCAACCTCTACAAGGCATTCTAGCGCCGGTTGCTATCCATACGATGATTTGGTGCCGGATGATAGCCAGGGAATCTACATCAATGCAGGATCTGTCGTGTACCAAGATCAGAGTACAAGATCATGCTCGCGCTCACTTGATCTTACGTCGGACAGAGAGATATCCGCCGAGTCGAGTTACGTGAAGAAACCTAACTCGGCCTGGTTGATGCACAGGTCACAGCCAGACATTGCACAGCGGCAATCGCGATGCTCGATGGCGGCTAGTGATGATGGAACCAGCGGCTTGGGGACTTGTGCAATTTGCCTGGAAGAGTTTGAGGTTGGCGACCAGTTGCGCGAGCTTCCATGCAAACACAAGTACCATGTCATTTGCATTGACACTTGGCTGGTTTCAAGATCAACGTGTTGCCCGTACTGCAAGCTTGATATTAGGAGATGGTACTACGGACCATCGCTCGAGGATGCGCTATCACAGTCTCAATCAACAGGGCTTGATGAATACGCCTTGCCACTGAACGACAACTCTGCGGAACCGGTCGTAGGGCGGTACCGCGCGCGCAGGAATCTGATTAGAGGTCGCAATCGGAGAACCACCCGCAATACTGGCCGGTGGGATCGGCTGTGGCTGTCAATGAGGGGGTCGGGGATTGGCGGCACAAACCATATAACCATGTAAAGTATTTTGTGTAAGCCGCGCTTAAATAATATTTTAGAAAATGGATGTGATGTTTTTACCTTGTCTTTATGTAATGGAGTTATTATGAAGCATAACTTTATAACTAAAACAGATGAATCCTTTTTTATCTCTCGAGAAGCTGTTCACTGCCGAATCGAAATTATTTTCATTTCTAAGTATCTGCCCTATATATTTGGCATTCTCATCACATTATTTTGGAAACGCAACCAGCAAGTAAAAATCTCTGTTCGTCGGCAATGATAATATTTATGATGATATAAATTAGAATGTGTTATTTGAAATGTTAAACAAAATAAATGAAAAAGCAGCACTACAATAATCCAAATATGCCTAACTTATCAATTAAATTTTACTCTTGACTTACAACATAAAATAGTGCACAAAAAATAAAAGCAGTCAATACAAAAACAAAACCCATTCGAGTGGGTGAGCACATACACGAGTTCAAAAGGACAAATATCGTGTTTGCTATTTCCACGGTTGCTGTCAGAATTAGTTTCCAGTTCATTTTTCCTGTCGCCAATATTTTGAAAACAGGCAATCTTGTGGAATATGTGTTGCAATTTGTTAGCGTCATTCAGAAACTGCACAAAGGCATTCCCAAAGCCCTAAAACTCTTGTCTGTCCCGGTCCCGACAAATGGCCGCAAGATACAATACACAACAACACATAGCATGGCATATGCATCGACTAGAGGCATCTCAACCTTTGCAGCCAAACAGACTGTTTTTATTCTCTCATTGTTATGTTTTTACTCGCCGGGGGTTGCAGAAGAAAGACTAGAAATCAGCGCAAAAATGTTAAACCTGACACATCGACCCTTACAACCTTGGATTGCTGTTTCTTTCCTGCGCTAGGCAGAAACTGACGGCTCTGTCTAACCAAGCAGTTTATCAAATCGCAATGTATGATTCCACATGTGAATGGCTGCGTTTTTGTGAAGATAGGTTAGCGCACTGCATACGGAATATGAGCCGTTGCCCCACACCAGCTTCATATAATACTTTCAGTGGATTCGCACTTATCGCCATCTTCCGCACATCACAAAGATATGAGCCACCCGCAGTCCCCAGCCAACTGAGCGCTTGCAGCATAGCCTTGTGTTTCCTTCACTTTTACCCCCTTTGACAAAAGGGCTCAGTTCTGGATGAAGACCATGCTGCTGGGCTGTTACAAACTGCCCAAGTGGCTGTCAGATGCCAATAAACTTGAAACAGAGCAAATGCAGCCAAACACAACATGACAGCGAATATGAAAAGCACAAACACAAAACAGGAGAACAAATAGTATTGGGAAAGGATTGCCGAAAAATAAGTGACATATCAGCCAGCTGGTTTGGAAGTTACTTTGAATATAAACGGGACCCCGATCAACGTTTCCGCGCCGAACTTCAAAGCCAGGACAATTAAGAGGGTGCCAAAGGTGGCGTTTAAAGAGAGCAACATACGTGAAGACACTCCATATTACCTCGAGACACACGTTGTAAGAGCCAGAGCCAGTCATAAAATAAAAGAGCAAATGGGGCAACCTGTGTGAGGAAAAATAAGAGAAAAGAAAAGAATAAAGGGTGGCCGGGGATATGTCACCCCTTTTTTGAATAACCACTTTTCCATCTTTGTCATTTGGCAACAAAAATTGTATTTCTCTCTTCCCGTGTGGGTCCGGTACATAAAAAACAGGTCAGGAATGTATGTTTATTCGCATTGTTGTATTGGTGTGTTATGTGGTAATGACGCCGAAAGGATGCATTCTTTTGCCTATTTTATTTTGCAAAGAATATGAGAATATTTCAGCCACCAGATAACTAAAAGTACATATGGAAAATAGGGAATGGGCGCCACAAATAACCGCAACACAAAAGGCGGATTTATATTGTAAATGCAAACGCAGCGCACAAAATACAATGAACATGACAAATAAAAAGTGCACTATATCCATTTACCAGTTTCATTAATTTTGGCTATAAAAGACAACAAATAGAACCCGATTTTCTGGTATGACAGCAAAGTCATTATATTGCCAATCATTTTTGGTGCGCATATTTTACTAATATAAGCATCCCCATTTTTCCCCTTCAAACAAAAAACTTTAAATGGCATTGTTATCAACAAAATTTTATTTGTTAACAATGCATGTATCTGAGACAAGGTAAATAAATAGACAAAGACTGCATATGCATGCACCTGTAGTTTTGTTTTTCTGTCATCGGTAGCCATTTCTGAGTTTTGAAACAGAACGCATGTTTTGCTTGCCAAATTAAGAATGCGCCAAAGTGGACGCATCAAATTATTTTTAAGCCTTATATTTTTGCCAACGACAATACAGCCGATACATTAAAACAATAATTCAGAGTATTGCTTATCTTTAATACCAAACAACTTTATTAAAAATATCCAACATGTCTCACAACGATAACTAAAAAATATGTCAGGTGTATTTAACTGGGTCTATTGTGCACAATACAAATAAAAAGAAAAAGAAAGTGTGAATTCGGATAACCAATTGTTAAATAATTTTGCACATCTTTTATTTTTCACTGTTCCGGTGTAGCTGCATGACAGTTAGAATAAAATCACAAATGGCTTTGTCATTCATTCAATCAATCAATTATAATTTTTATATCAAAAACACTTTGTTTCTACACAGATGCTGGGAGCACAGTAAAAATGAAGTTTTTTTTAACAAAATTAGGCTCACATGTTTACCCAGAAACCATAAAAAAGCCATACATACTACCACCTCTTACAAAAATTATACAATAAAACGTACGTATACAATTACAATTTATATTAGTTTTTACATTTTATACAAAATATAGAACAATTGTTTAATAATATTGAATCCAACTGCGAGCTCGTGTGTGATAGTTAAAAAACGTGCGCGCACTATCATCAATTTTTTTATCTAGCCGGGCTCTAACCGCTGTTAAAAAATTATATACTTTTTAAATCAAGGGTAAACTAAACTATTTAAAAATTTTGTTAAATACCAACAATATTACCAAGTGTAATATAATCAATGTCAGCAAAATTTTATACTTTAGAGTTTTACAAGTTTAAAAATAAATACATGTTCCATTAACACTATTTGAAAATCCCTGGTAAAACGGTATATACTTTTTTGGGGGGTTTGATTGTGCAAAAATGGCTTGGTTTAAAATTAATTTGATGGGCAACATTATTATAATTTTTTCAGCCATGTGGATAAGCACACAAAAAACTTGGTGCATATTGTAGAAAATAAAAATGTGAAAATGTATTTAATATTTTTGGCCAGCTTTGCCATTACAAGTGTTTCAATGGAATAATGAGAAGCCGCACAACATTTAGAAAATTGCGCAGCCGAATATTACATTGGCCTCGCTATATATTGGTAACTACACGCCTTTGCACTGGTATTCACAGCAATCCTTCACATCAATATTTTTTACTTGTTACTCACACTCGTCTTTTAACTTTTACTCATTCGATCTTTCATTTCCTATTTAGCATGAGCACTCTGCCCAATGGCCCCCAACTGCCCCTTATTGTTGTTGAGGAAATCGTTCGATATTGTTTGGATATGCACACGGCCACTAACCACAGAGGTGATGATGCCAGCAGTGCTGAGGACCCTAGCACCCTTGAAAGCAACGACGAAGATTCCAGCAGCAACAGCAACAGTGAATTCAGTGATGTCAGCAGCTCCGACGATGCCGATGACATGGCAAGTGCGATCCCCCTTCTTGCCTTTGATGACTGGAATTCGGTGTTCCAATCAAAGATGTGCAAGCAAATCATGCTTTTGTTTGCGCGCAGTCAACCCATGGTCTACCACTTCCCCAATTGACCTCGCTCCTTTGGAGTCCTCGAGTTCTCTGCCAGTCTCCCGGTCGACACAATGAGAATATCCGTGGAGCAGTGGGCATTGGCAAACTCAGATTCAGCCAGGCGAGCGCGCTGCCATCAAATAGCAGTGTTATTTTTGGAGAAGCACATATGCTCCAATTGCACATCGACAATCCTGTTCCTGATTTGGGCGCTAGGCATGCTGGCAACATGGACATTGCTAACGTGGCTGGGTTCATGGCGAGGGTCAAGGAGATGGTGCTAGCGATTCAGCGGATCGATATTTGGTGGTGCAATGCCACCTACAAGCAGCCAGATCAGGGGATTGCTGGCCTCTTGAGCGACACTACGGTGGTTCTCGTCCACGGAATCGGCCAGCTTTCTTTTAAGGAGTATGGCAAAAGTAATACTAACCTAATTGGTAAATTTTAAAGTTAGAAAATATTAAGCAGCGTTGAAAAAGCGTGGAAATGTTTTTTAAAGAAAAACAAAGTAACCACGCGAAGTGGCCGCCCCTTCTATATGATTATTCATTGGCGTGGATCCAAGGGCAAAATAAGCTCTTGTCAAACTTGTTATCATCAATCGCAGCGCAGATTAAAATACTTGGCGGTTTAATTTGGCTTTTAAACACATTCTAATTAATATTAATCAAGCTGGCTTGACAAAATTAGCAGTTGGCGCACCAAAAAAGAAAAAGAAAAGACCACCAGGCCCAATTAATGACGGCCCTCGTTCTTGATTAACCGCACAGTGCTCTCCCAGATGAAAATAGCGCTGGCGTTTGTCGGGAAGGCGCGAATGAACGTGGGCACGAATCCGCGGAAAAAGCCGGCGACTCCCTCTGTGCGGAAAACATGTGCAAACATTTTGCGGAACGGAATGGGTCTGATATCGCCCTGCGTCATAAAGCGGTTTTTAACAACATCCACCGGGTAGCAGAAGCACCAGAACGTGTTTGCCGCCATGCCACCGGCCAAAAAGTTCACCAGCTTTTCTGACGGCGCCCGATTTTCTAAAGCGCCCATAGAGCCTGTCTTAGCAAGATAAGGGAACTTTGGAGACACGCGCAAGGAGCGCATCCACTCCGAGTACACATCGTAGGATCCCCACAGAAGGAAGAAGAACGAGCGTTGTGACATGGTCGCCGATAACCCGTGCCAAATACCAAGAGGCCCGTAGGTTCGTGTCAAGTGGCGCGCAACATCAAGCGGGCCGCGATACTTGCGCGCAGTTCCTGACGCGTACTGCATTTGTAGCCGCATTTTGATTAGCTCAACGGGTGTTGCGACCAGCGCAACTGTCCACCCGGCGCCTAATCCCGCCAGCCCGTGCTCAAAGTGCGATAGCTTGTGCGACTTGTTGTTTCCTTGAAGCAGCAGCCGGTAGTTAGATAAACTGCCCAGCTGCACAGCATCCATGACGGCCCAGCCGACTAGCGGGATGCTTGCACCCTTATAAAGCGCCCGTAGGCCCTCTTGGCGCACTGTGCTGAGCAGGCAGTCCATTGGGCCTTTGAATCGCCCGTGGCCGCCCTCCACCTGGCATCGGATCTTGACTGTGTCGAAGGGGTGCCCGACAAAGAGCTTTGTCGCTCCAGACGCAATGCCCGCTGCGAAACCAGCAATGCGATCGCGCGCCGTCGCCATGTTTACCTGCGGCTTTTTCTGCTGGCTCAGCATCTGCGTTTTTGTTTCCAGATTGGTCGACATGTTATCCTGTTATCCTGTTATCCTGTTATCCGTTATTGTTATCGTTGCTGCTGTTGGTAGTAATGGGGATTATGTGGATGTGCGATCGAAACAAAGAATAAGCAATAAAAAGGATTGATGAATAAAAACAAAATGCGCGGCTGCTTGGAGGTAGAAACAAGATCGAAAAATACAAAATAGAGCGAAAAAAAGTCTAGCCCTGCAAAAAAAATTAGGAAAAGTTAAAAAGAAGGACGTGGTATGCGCCTGGGGTCAAAAAAAATTTTCTTACTTCTAGGTCTGAGCGTTCTAATTTTGTTTCCTTTTTTGCTCTCGGGCCACTTTGATACCAATTTGTCACCAATTTGTGACCACTTTGTGTTCGGCTAAAGAATACCCCGACGGGAAAAACAGGGAGCACAAATTATTAAAGTACCACAAATGATGTTGATTGGCTGAAAAAGAACCTTGGGCTCGGGCGATCCCAGATTTGCCTCCACATTATAGTTCACATCCCATGTCACGGTTATGTGACTATCGAGTGTGCATGATGTACCGGTAAATATATTATGCGCTAGAAAAGTGTAAGCAGCAATTTGTACATAACAAGGCAGAGTTAAAAAAAGCAACCGCTTGAGGATTGATGGGATATCTAAATGTGCAATATTGCGTTATTCATGTTGTTCTGCAGGTGTTCCAAAGAAAAGATCTAAATGCTCTTTGTATGCCCATGTTATGCAACTGCACAATTAGAGCGTTAGGCATAGCTCGTGCAAATATAGAAAACACCCTATTTTTGCCACCACATATGTTGGCGTAGCCAGACGCTCTTATAGGAGTGGCTGTTGCCACGATCGGTGCATTATTGTGCTGGGCCACTCTTTTATTCTAAAAATGAATCTTATTACCACTCGATTAGTCCAAGCATCATTGTTCCGATGGACTATTTGGCACAATCGGCGACCCAGCCACTTTTCTCACCAATGCAAAGCAATAATGCACAATCCAATATAGAGGGGGGGACGAGGGGAGGCGCAATGACCATATAAGGAGTGGAATGTATCCAATAGGGATTGTTTTGGGCAAGCAAGCAAGATATGCCCGATAGCATCCAACAATGTGGTTGGGGCGGCGAGGGAGAACACCAAGAGGGGCGCATGTACACAATCATCCGTATTTGGCTCCTCCCCCCTCCAACAATTTAAATATAAATTCGCCATGTCCAATTGTTTAAATCAAAACAGTAAACAAAAAAGCAAGCTTGGCTACGCCTCATCTTTTTTAGGTGTTATTTAGAATTTGTGATCGAGACAAGAAAGGCTGGGTTCAAAGATCGTCAAAAAAATCTACGCAGTGCGTGTGATGCTTTCGCTTGTCCATTGGCATCTGTTGGCAAGCGCAGTTCCTGACCGCATTGCTATTTATAACCAGTTTTTATTTCCTCTTTATGCATGTCAATGTGCATGATACACACCCATCCACGCCCAGCTTTGGCCATCTGCTATTTCACGCATCCATGCACAGTTAAATACTTGTTATTTTTGCCTCCTGTCTTTCTGTCCTCCCTTTCTTCACTCTGCTCAACTGAATTTTATTTCTACCTTGCGCAACTTTGCCTTCATTCTTTTAATTTTTTACTTTTCACTTTCACTTTCAGCTGACACCCAGCATACGACCACAACATCTATTATATCCACATATTAACCGCGTATTATTACTGCCCGTGTCTTAAAATAAAAAAGCATACTCACAATACACATTCACAATATACACTTTGCATCTACTTTATCGTTTATTCTTTTTCTTTTTCTTTTCTCTTTCACTCTGTAACCTTTCACAACTTTTACTTTTATTTATCTGATACCATTAACTACAGCCGCAATCCAGGAGAGTACACTTTTTTCTCTTCCACTTGCTTATTTTTGACATTCAAACCACACTAGTCTTCACATTATTTTTCTTTGTGCAACGATTTGCACGACAAAAAATCTCCCTTTCAACAGAAGGATACGCCATCTTGCGATTGCAATCATTTCCTCTCTTGTTTTTTAAACGGAAACGTCACCATCAAACATTGTACATCAAATTTTTTATTTCTTTTTCGTCGGTACTTGCCCAAAAAAAGAAATAAGCAGATTAGCAAAGCTGCCTGCATTACCACCATTTTTTTCTCCACTGCCTTTTTTCTCAATCAATCAATCAATCCCCAGTTGCCACTGCTTGAAACACTATCTCTAATTCTGTACTCCCTGCCTTTTAGCTACACTTGCACTATTTAGTCTTTTTCTTTTTTTATCACGGATAATATTTCACATTTTTTATTTTCTGCATTCTGCACCTTTCGTCGACACCTTGGCTTTCTTTTTTCCTTTACTCCATTGTTAGATCATTTATTTATCTATTATTTATTTTCACGGACATTAATTACCCGTAGCATCATTTTACTCGCTCTTTCAATCTCTCACTCGCTATTTCATAACACGTGCTTATTATCCCTGCATCACACACATGTTGGGCCAAAAGAACAAGGGCGCAGTGTCACATGCATACACACCACTATTCTTCAAATCGGCCACCACAGCAACAGCAGCTCCGATGCACACTGACAATGCATCCAACTTTGGCTGTGGCAAAAGAGACACCTCTTTGATGTTCCAGCTCTCCTCTGCCTTCACCGAGCCTGACCTGGGCCTCCACGACGCTGTCTCCCGTGGCGACATTGGCTCCATCTGCTACGCACTACTCGGAGGCCAACCCATTGACAGTCTTCTGCAGGGCCTGCAGCCGATCCACATGGCGGCAATCCAGGAGGACACCGCGGTGATCGACCTTCTGTTGCAAAAAGACGCCGATGTCAACGCACAAACTCTACCTCCCATGCGCACGCTTCCGCCCAGACGCATGACCGACGAGGGCGGAGGCAAACGGGTGAAGCGCGGGAGCCGTGGCCGCAAGAGTTTTTCGTTACTGAGGGACTCGCACAGCATTGGGCCAATATCCAGCCCGATGGGGTTCGCAGTGGGGCTGCACGCCATGGAGACGGCAACGGAGACCATGTTTGACAACGAGAATGAGAATGAGGCGCCGACGAGTAATGGATACTGGGGCGCCACACCGCTGCACTATGCCATAGCCAATGGCCAGCTCGGATGTGCCAAGATGCTGGTGCAAAATGGCGCTCGACTGGACATTTACGACTCGTACGGTAACACTCCCGGGTCCTTGGCTGCCGCCTGCGGCAACCCTGAGATGGCCGCGTTCATCCTCACTGCCGAGTCGCTGCAAATGGCGGATTCCAGTGACTGTGGAATCGACACGGATAGTCTGATGGACGAGCACTGCGTTGTTGAGAGCGTCGCTGGGTTGGCCATGCAGCTGCCCTCGCCCAACTCATCCGCCGCATGCTCTGCCCTGCCCTCGCCCATAGGCACTCTGAGGACCCCCGAATGTGGCGGCAGTGCAGCAGTTATCTCGCCAGCCTCACCCAATCGTGATTGGCGCAGTAACGCAGTTACGGCTACTGCTACGGGGGTGGTCCCTGCAAATGGCAGTAACCAGGTAGTTCTGGCGCGGCGCCACACGACAGGCGAGGCCGATGCCACCTCCACATATGGCCTGCGCCCAAACTTCTCGCCGCTGGCCGCCACTGACTCGCCAGTAATCAGGCACCGGAACACATCGCCGATCGGCATTCGCGCATTATCCGCCAGCCAAACACACAGGCAGCCCCAATTACTGCGCCAGTACAGCGCCGACAGTCGCTTGTCATCAGTCACTGGGCGCCTGAATGAGCGCGCAGAAGTCAGGCCGCCCCGGCGTCAGCCCAAACTCATGACCCAAGAGGCGATCAACCCAGCAGCGGCGTTTACGCGGCCGTCGTCTTTGTCACAACAACGCAGCCAGTATGAGCTGAACCCCAGAGTTCGCACTGCCGGCCGCCTGATCGATTTCGTGCATGAGCCTTGGGCCAGCAGTAGCGCGCTCAGCCGCAATAGTAGCAGTAACTCGAGGCGCGAGCGGTCGTATACGGACTCGATCATTGAGAATGCCTGGCGCCGGTACCTTGAGGATTACGCGGATGATGTGGCGGATGCCGATAGTGGCAGCAGTGTGCATCGGAATATTGCTGCAGATGATGACTCGTCGCGGCCTGTGCCGGAGCCATGGATGTGGAAGCAGGCCGCTATGGCTATCCGCAAACGCCGCAGCCAGTCTCTATCGGCCAACAACCAGCAACAGAAGCAACAGCAGCAGCAGCAGCCAACATCATAATCGGCAAATTGGGTCTGTCCGCTAATTTAATTTATTGGAATAATCTTTCTATTTAAACCATTGTAAAAATTAAAAATTGTGAGAAAAACTTTTTTCTTTCTCCATCTTTTGTCCAAAAAAATAATTTTGTATTGAATTGAATTGCATTGGTCAAGAAATCAATGATGATTTGATTATGTGGTATTGCGCTTTCATATCCGCTCATGCCATCTCTACGTAATAGTAAAAACGAACAGAATCAAGATCGGCGATAAATTCTTGCAGAAGAAAATTACGTTCTAAATACGGTGAAAAAAATGTAGTCGATCAATGAAATGTGGGAACAAAGTTTTTTTCGGCTTTGTATTGCCCGTTATATTCCGACTAGTAATAGCCCTTGAGCGGCTGTTTTAGTTGGGCTGTTTTTCTAAATATGGAACAAAGGCAGAGAGGGGGAGGCCAAAGCGCAATGGTGTTAACATCTGATTGCGTGGTTGCGTTATCAAGAATCGAATTCTAATGCGGAAAAAAAAATAACTCACTGCTCTGCCTTTTTTATTTTTGTCCAATTGTGTACGTTTGAAACGATACCAGCTCGGGCGTATTCCTTTGAATTGTGGTGTATTGAAGTTTCAATGGATCATTCGGTTTATGAAATTTTTTTGTGGGATTTTTTCTTTGCTAGACACGCCAAAAATAGACATTACGTTTGGTTGGGTTAAAATGTCATTTTTTTATTTCTCGGCCAGGTACATCCATTCCGCTAATACTTCTTTCCGTCATGTTTAAAATAATTTGAAATGAAAGTTATAACATGGCGTAAATCTAAATTGACAAATTAACACCATACTGTGCTTTCTCTGAGTTACAACCAGTGTTAATTGATACACTTTTATGAATTGCTGCTGATCAAAATAAATCTGGAGTAAAAACCAGTGTTGCTCACCTGTTAACTTGAAAAAGGCTAAGAGCGACTTCCCAACCATCAAATAAGCACACTCGTTACATTACAACGGAGACGGAAGTGGAAAATAACTGCTTTCCCCGAGCATGCTAAAACAGCACACCTTTTTTATTCCGTCCAAGCTGAAAGATCGCTGCCATCTAGGACATGCCATTTGGCTGTCATAATTACACAAATGCAATAATGCCAATACATGCGCCATACTCGTTCTTTGCATACACCAATGTTTTGGTTTTTTTTATAAAAAAATAACCAATACAAAGGGATGCGATAAAATCGATGGAGTACAGATTTAATTTACAATTGCATCATCTCGTCGCCAACATGCCTCATTAGCGCAAGCCAAGACTGAGCAGAGCAGAAGAACGAGTGTAGTAGATGACATGCGTCAAAACAAACCAAAGAAATCAAGCACCAGGTAAAAAAGGGGAGATTAGCGTCTGCGCAGGAAAAAATTGTAGGAGACCTGAGCCAAAAAGAAAGATGAAACAAGCCAAACCTTTCTTTCCCAAGCACATGCTTGGTGAGCATGCCTTTTTCATTTTCCATTTCATATCGCGCCAACGATCTAAAAAATGGCGCGTGCTATCGATCGCAAACACACACATGAATATAAAAATAAGGGCATTGCTTTTTACTCGGCAATATCTTTGCAAAATTATTGGTTCTCCAATGTCCAACTCAGCTCCATTCCGATTCATAAAAAAAGCGTGCATGCGTTGGTTGGCGTTCTAATGCGCATAAAATGAACGGCCGATCACCCCACCCTCCGCGCACTCGTTGCGTCTGTGCTAATAAAAATGATTTTATCAATGACAATCTGCTTGCAATCGATTGCTTTCCATTGCCCCAAAAAAAAAGCAGCACCACGCAATATTTTGCATTCTTGAGCTAAAAAAAAGCACACGCAGGTGGGAAATCTTTTCTCCTGACTGTTCTTCGCTATTGATTCAGCCAATTAGCGACGGCTAATAAGCGCGGAAAAATATGGCTTTGCAAATAACCAGCCAGCAACTGGCGCCATCGATCAAAGTTCCACACCACTGCGCAAAAAAGGGTGGGTAAAACGAACACATTATCAAGACCTGCAACTGGTGGGGTGGGTGCTCAATACCCCCTTCTTTCCCCTCCCTTTTGCTCATGTGTTTTTCCGTTATGCTCCGCGCTGCCAGAATGAAGCAGACCATGCCTTTTGAGAGGAAAAGGGTTCGCTCCTATAAAATGCCATGGTAACGGCCCTAGCCTTTTTTCTTTTACCCCTTTTTCATATTCATTGCAACTCTTGAGGCAAGCTCAAAACCCATCCACCTTTTTTTTACCTCTATTACTTAATTTTCATTTATTATTATTAAAAAGTAGCTCTAAAATTTTTTAGCTATTTTTCTTTCCATATTTTTAACACTTGTACTTTATTTACACTATTTTTTATCTATTCAAAAACGAGACTGCCAGCACATTACAACACAGCATTTCTCCAAAGCGAACCCTTATTATCACATCTCTCACACACCAACACAATCCATCATGTACTTCCCGAGCACCAACCCTTGCAGCTCTGGCTCCACCACGACTGTCAAAAAGAGCGCTGCGCCATCGCGCCAGCTCACTCTGACCCTGCACACACCCACTGCACCTGCCACACCACACATCACCATCAAATCGTGCTTGAAGAAGGCGTGCATGCAATCAAAGCAGAAACAGCAGCAATCCATCTCATTTTCCGTCCCGCGTTTCGTGCATTTTGACACCACGCTCGAACACACGCGGTTGTTCTACAAGGCCGAGTCCCCGAAGCAGGCCTCCAGCGACCCGATTTCCAACACATCTTCTCCCAGGGCCCAGCCTACGGTTGCGCAGGGCAACATGATCATGACTCCAGTCAGGAAGCCGACCCCATCATTCTTGCCCTTTGAGGCTTCGCCGGTGGTCCTCGAGTCTGTGACATACTCTGCCAACGCATTTTCGGGCACAATCAAGGTCCATAACCTGGATTTTGAAAAAACCGTACTTATGCGCCTGTCCAAGGATGCGTGGAAGACCTTTGAAGACGTGGAGGCCTCGTTTGTCTGCTCCATTGTTGTTGCTGACGGCTCCCGGCCTGGTGTCGACCGCTTCCGCTTCAGCATCCCGCTCAATGCCACTGCGCCCACAGAGGTTGCCATGTGCGTCTGCTACAGAGTCGGCGGCCAGGAGCACTGGGACAACAACAATGGCGCCAACTACTTGTTCAAGCTGGCTCCCGCCCCTGCCTCTGCCTCTGCTATTGCAGCAACCACTAGAGCGCCCAGCAGCAGTGCCAGTGGCTCGCCGACTGTTGTGCGCAAGAGCGCTTCTGAGTTTAGCTATAGCTTTGGTGCGCCCACTGTGCGCCGAGCCAGCAAGCCTTCTAGCTCAACTCCCGCGAGCACAATCAGCAGCGCCGATACTCGCCGGTATATGCGCTACTCAGAGAACTTGTTCTCTTCGGCCGCCGCCGCATCCACATCCACATCCACATCCACATCCACATACACTGCAGGTTTGCCCATGTTTTCCACATCGCCGTGGTCCATCTATGGCGAATTATCCGCCAGTGATATTCACCGCGAACAATCTTCTATGTGCGCCGGATCCCCATTGTCTAACGCGCATCATTCTTGGTCGCCGTTCCCCACAACTCTTTTGCATTGCTGAGAAGGGAATATGGCGATTCGAAAAGGCGGGTTTTATTAAACTATCTTTGTCGAGGGATGTTTTTTCAGGCATAACCAATTTTTCTTTCCACTTAGCGAATCGGAATTAGCATTATTTTTCTGGTTTTTTATTTACGACTTGCACATATATTCATTTACTTTAATAATTTCAACCTTGTAATATCCAAATTCCATGTTTAATAAAAGAAACATTGGGATAATTCAAATATGTCAGCAGGCTGCTCTTGCCACTTAATGTAAATACTGTTTATAATATATTTGTCACAGTTGAGGCGCATTATAGTCACGTAAACAAACACGTTGCCTTACTAAAGTTAATGAACTATGTGCGTGGCAAATAGACCAAAGATAAAAAAGCTTTATTATAGCTTATTTATATATCATGAATAAAATATAAAAGGAGTGGCTATTGGGCAGCCAGGAATTGTTTTCCTTGGAAGTAATAAATATTTTTTCTTTTGATTATACCATTTTGTAACATATATTATGATGCGTCCACTTTGGCGCATTCTTAATTTGGCAAGCAAAACATGCGTTCTGTTTCAAAATTCAGAAATGGCTACCGATGACAGAAAAACAAAACTACAGGTGCATGCATATGCAGTCTTTGTCTATTTATTTACCTTGTCTCAGATACATGCATTGTTAACAAATAAAATTTTGTTGATAACAATGCCATTTAAAGTTTTTTGTTTGAAGGGGAAAAAGGGGGATGCTTATATTAGTAAAATATGCGCACCAAAAACGATTGGCAATATAATGACTTTGCTGTCATACCAGAAAATCGGGTTCTATTTGTTGTCTTTTATAGCCAAAATTAATGAAACTGGTAAATGGATATAGTGCACTTTTTATTTGTCATGTTCATTGTATTTTGTGCGCTGCGTTTGCATTTACAATATAAATCCGCCTTTTGTGTTGCGGTTATTTGTGGCGCCCATTCCCTATTTTCCATATGTACTTTTAGTTATCTGGTGGCTGAAATATTCTCATATTCTTTGCAAAATAAAATAGGCAAAAGAATGCATCCTTTCGGCGTCATTACCACATAACACACCAATACAACAATGCGAATAAACATACATTCCTGACCTGTTTTTTATGTACCGGACCCACACGGGAAGAGAGAAATACAATTTTTGTTGCCAAATGACAAAGATGGAAAAGTGGTTATTCAAAAAAGGGGTGACATATCCCCGGCCACCCTTTATTCTTTTCTTTTCTCTTATTTTTCCTCACACAGGTTGCCCCATTTGCTCTTTTATTTTATGACTGGCTCTGGCTCTTACAACGTGTGTCTCGAGGTAATATGGAGTGTCTTCACGTATGTTGCTCTCTTTAAACGCCACCTTTGGCACCCTCTTAATTGTCCTGGCTTTGAAGCTCGGCGCGGAAACGTTGATCGGGTCCCGTTTATATTCAAAGTAACTTCCAAACCAGCTGGCTGATATGTCACTTATTTTTCGGCAATCCTTTCCCAATACTATTTGTTCTCCTGTTTTGTGTTTGTGCTTTTCATATTCGCTGTCATGTTGTGTTTGGCTGCATTTGCTCTGTTTCAAGTTTATTGGCATCTGACAGCCACTTGGGCAGTTTGTAACAGCCCAGCAGCATGGTCTTCATCCAGAACTGAGCCCTTTTGTCAAAGGGGGTAAAAGTGAAGGAAACACAAGGCTATGCTGCAAGCGCTCAGTTGGCTGGGGACTGCGGGTGGCTCATATCTTTGTGATGTGCGGAAGATGGCGATAAGTGCGAATCCACTGAAAGTATTATATGAAGCTGGTGTGGGGCAACGGCTCATATTCCGTATGCAGTGCGCTAACCTATCTTCACAAAAACGCAGCCATTCACATGTGGAATCATACATTGCGATTTGATAAACTGCTTGGTTAGACAGAGCCGTCAGTTTCTGCCTAGCGCAGGAAAGAAACAGCAATCCAAGGTTGTAAGGGTCGATGTGTCAGGTTTAACATTTTTGCGCTGATTTCTAGTCTTTCTTCTGCAACCCCCGGCGAGTAAAAACATAACAATGAGAGAATAAAAACAGTCTGTTTGGCTGCAAAGGTTGAGATGCCTCTAGTCGATGCATATGCCATGCTATGTGTTGTTGTGTATTGTATCTTGCGGCCATTTGTCGGGACCGGGACAGACAAGAGTTTTAGGGCTTTGGGAATGCCTTTGTGCAGTTTCTGAATGACGCTAACAAATTGCAACACATATTCCACAAGATTGCCTGTTTTCAAAATATTGGCGACAGGAAAAATGAACTGGAAACTAATTCTGACAGCAACCGTGGAAATAGCAAACACGATATTTGTCCTTTTGAACTCGTGTATGTGCTCACCCACTCGAATGGGTTTTGTTTTTGTATTGACTGCTTTTATTTTTTGTGCACTATTTTATGTTGTAGATTAAGCGAAAGGTTCATATTTTATTTAGATTCAAGATTCAAGAATCAAGTTCAAATTGATTTTTTGGAGTTAATGAATAATAAAATAAATATTGATTATATTCCAATTGGTCTAATAGTTGTTGAAATTGACAAACTACAAATATTTACTTGCTGGTTACATAACAAAAAATGATAACTATGGTTGTGACATTTTTAAGCAAATACGTAAGCAAAAAACAATTTTGATTTTTGGGCTTGCTGTGTGTATGAGCTGGCTCAGCCAAGGTGCTGCCGTAGCCTGGAACTGGGTGGTCAAGAATGAACAGCAAAAGTGATTTCTTGTAATTAAGATATTCATTAACCTCATTTTCTAATGTTTCGTGTGTTGCAAGTGTCATGGTAAACCTCTCCATCAGAACTGTTATGCCATCTGGGTTGTCTTGCGTTGGATGCTCGACCAGTCTGGTTCACTGGATGCATCACCATATGTCTAGTGGGGTATCTATTATGAGGTGGGTGTTGTCAGCGTAATGCTCATATTGACCCTGGGTTTCGTTGTCCCCAAAGTTTGGAAACCTGGTGAAATTGTCCTTGAGAGCCACGTTGTAAGGCAACTCGTTAACTCTGCATCTGTTTGCCATCAGTGTTTTTATTGTTTATGTTGTATATAAATAATAAGCGGCACATCTGCCAAATAGAAACTTGCGCGTTTATATAAAAATATGGAAAAATAAAAATAAGGTCTAAAAAATGGCTGATAAGGAACTAAAAAAGATAGCGCCTTGTGGATGGCGCTGTAAAGGTCTTGTTGATATTTGATGTAAGCCAGAAATGTCAGGCATGGGTATTGGGACAGTAATGACGACCTTGGCCGTGATGATATTTGAAGATGGGAAGAGAAAATCTGGTATGTGGGTTGGGCATCTCACTAGCTGTCGTTTTATATTTAAAGATGTGCTTTAATAATATAAATTTAATATTGGATTTAACTCGCGTGAATACATTAATGAATACTCTATTTGCTTCTGGCATCAAGTAATTGCTTAACAATGCGGCTAATGTCCTGAGGGCGAGCTTGTCCCTTAGTCTCCTCCATAGCCTTGCCAACAAAAAAGTTTAGCCGACGCTTCTGTCCTTTCAAATAGCCGGCAACCTCCTTTGGGTGCTCGTCCAGGATCTTGGACACAAGATCATTGAGCTGTGCCTGGTCATCCATGATTTTCCAACCATGTTCCTGAATGAGCTCCTGAGCACTGCGCCGATCACCATCCATAAAGTTTATCAGCAATTGCTTTGCTTGGGCCGACGTAATACTGTCACTCGCTAGAGAATCTAAAAGATCGCAAAGCTGTACAACCGTCAGCGGGGTATCCGCAAAATTCTGGGTGCGATACGACAGCTGGCCAAATATCTCTGATGTGATCCAGGATGACACACGCTTGGGATCGCGGCCATTTGCAGATTGTTCGAAAAATTGAACGCATCCGGGTTCATTGATCATGGTTTCCACATCCTCTTGGAGCAGACCGTATTGTACCTGTAGCCGCGCCCGCGTTGCTTCTGGGAGTTCAGGGAGAGCTGACCGTACTTTATTGATCCAGCCATTTGAAATTCGAATTGCTGGGATGTCTGGATCAGCTATGTACCTGTAGTCGGGCGCGGCCTCCTTTGACCGGACAAGAAATGTCTTGTTACCACGCGCATCAAACCCTCGAGTCTCTTGCTCCACGACTTGTCCTCTGGATATCAGATCAATCTGCCTTGCGACCTCGGTGTCGATTGCGCCGCGAATGACCTTCAGGCTGTTGAGGTTCTTCAGCTCACAGCGTGTGCCGGAAAGCCGATCCTTGCCCTTTTGGTATACAGAGACATTAACGTCGCATCTAATCGAGCCCTCCTCCATGTTGCAATTGGACACACCAATGTGTCTCAACAGGGTCTGCATTTTGCGCACAAAACACGAGGCCTCCTCGGCCGTTTCCAGATCAGGCTCACTGACAATTTCAATCAGGGCCACACCCGCGCGATTCAGATCGGTCAAGACGTATCCCGGATAAACACCATGAATGCTCTTCGCCGTATCCTGCTCTAACTGCAGTTGATGGATGCGCACTTTCTTTGTGTATTGAAATCCGTCCGCCGGACCCAACTCAATAAAGCCTCCGCGGCCGATTGGGTGCAATTGTTGTGTGATCTGGTACCCAAGGGGCTGGTCGGAGTAAAAGTAATGCTTGCGATCAAACGAGGTCATTGGTTGCACCTGGCCATTGAGTCCGAGAATTGCCCGCGCTGCTAGCTCGATGCACTGCGGATTGAGTCTTGGCAACGATCCCGGGAGCCCAGCATCGGCCATATTGATATTTGTGTTGGGCGAGTCGTCCCATTTGGCGCTGGCGGTAGAAAACAGCTTTTGCGCAGCGGTCAGTTGCACGTGTAGCTCCAGTCCAATGGTTGTCTTCCACCCGGCAGAATTGGTATTGCTGGTGTTGGTGCTGTAGCTACAGCGTCCACGCAAATGCAGGCCTGCCTTTGGCTTATAACCAATAATTTCGGCGGAGTAGAGGTACTGTGATTTGCGTTCTCGTGCGCTGGCAATGCGCCCGGTGCCTGTCACCGCAGTGGCAACCATAGGCGCAAGCGGGAGAGCCCGAATGTGTCGAATTCCTTGAATTGCGCGCAATTTCATTATTAAAAAAACAAATTGTAACAATATCGTAAAATTACAAAAACAAATAAACCAAAAAAAGAAAGCGAGAAAGCGAGTATGACGGTAATGCCACAATCAGCGTGCATTATTTGTGGTTCTTGCGCTGGCACTCAAATGTTGCCAAGGGCCAGCTGAAAAATAAAAGAGCCCCCCATGATGCGATCCGTAAATCGCCGCAATTGAGGCATAATCATATAATCCAGATTTGCTGATCACTGAAGGAAAAATAAGTTGGTCGAACCAAAAGTAAAAAAAAATAACCGATCAATGCTGCTTCACTTTGTTGCCTTTTGCCTTACTTGTTAGCTCGTTGCACACTTTAACCGCACGTTTCTCAATTCTATTTTAAATTCACACTGTTTGTCGGCACCACAGAGACTGTAGACACAACTCATCAAAAGGAACACACATACAATGCCTAAAGGTAAGACCGCAGAAATTGCCATAAAAAGCAACATGGAAGAATGTGGAGGACTTGGACCAAACCTACTTTTAAACTAGCAAAGTCACTAAATCAAGCGTCTCCCCCTTTTCTTATTTATTGGATCCTTTCAATGCTTGTAGCCACAAAGCGGTCGAAGTCGCTCCTCGAGCAAATCGCCGATATGACAGACCCTCGGCCGAAAGACCTGGACATTGAGAATGACGGCATTAACGACAACGCCTACATTGGATCTGACTCGGACAGCGAAGAGTCTGAGGACGAGGATTTGAAGCGTGAGCATTACGTTTCAGTAGGGAAGAGCAAGATACGCCAAAACCAGGGGATTGGAGAGCTTGGGCCAAAGTACATGGGATCGCGGATCAGCCGCAAGGATCTCTATGAGGGCCAGGGCATCAGTGAAGACGAGGAAGACGGTGTCCAATTGGATTCTGAAGACGATGATGATGAGGAGCTAGCTTCTGATGATGCTGACGATAGCGACGATAGCGACGACGAGTTGCCGACACAAAAAAAGGGCACCGCAAGCTCCGACGACAGTGACTCTGAAAGCGATGAAGAACGGATGGGCGTGTTTGGCGCAGGCAGCGATGGTGAGGACATCTCAGCAGAGTCGCGCAACCGTATCCGCGACGAGATCAAAAAGCTGGAAGATGGCGAGAAGGCGCTGCTGAAGACCATCACGCAGACAGCGCGCAGCGACATCGAGAAAGGGAAGCATGTATTGAACCAGACACGCATGTGGGAGGGAGCCCTGGACGCGCGCATTCGCATGCAAAAGCTGGTGACCGCGGCCAACGAGCTGCCACGGCCTGATCTATTCTCCGAGATCGTGGCGCAGGTGGCTGACTCGGAGGACGCGGATGAGAGGCTCGAGGGTGCGCGGCTGTCTGTGCAGCAGCTGCTCGGTTCATTGATTGAGCTGCGGCAGACGCTCGCGGCGCAGAACAATGCGGTCAAACAGGCCCAGACTGGATCCAAGCGCCCGGCGCAGGATGACGGCGACGACCTCGAGACCTCGTGGGGTGAGCTCGAGGAGCTGCGCGACTCATTCCATGGGTTCCGCGACGCGTCGTTGGAGAAATGGAGCAACCGTGTGCAAGTGTCGGCCAGCATCAACGCAACCAAGAAGTTTAAGGCTGTCAACCAGGGCATTATTCACCAGATCGACCAGGCCCTGGCAGCCAAGGAGCGGCTGGTCGAGCGCACGCAGCTTAAGCGTACCGAGTACACTGTCATTGGCGAGCTGGTCCAAGAGCCTGCAACCGAGAAGAACGCGGTTGTCGACGCGCATCTGCGTGACCTAGATGTCGAAATCTTTGATGACTCCGACTTTTACCAGCAGCTTTTGCGCGAGCTAATTGAGAGCCGTATGGTTGACTCGAACGACCCGACGGCATCGCTGGGCACGCGCTGGGCGGCAGTCAACCAGCAGTCGCGCATCAAGAAGCGTGTGGTCGACACGAGGGCGTCCAAGGGCCGCAAGATCCGCTATCACGTGATGGAGAAGCTGCAGAACTTTATGCCGCCCATTCCCACCGGTACGTGGCACGAGGACATGGTCAACGAGCTGTTCTCGTCGCTGCTGGGCCAGCGCGTGCCGCAGTCCATCCTGGATGCCGAGGGTGAGTCTTTGGCCACGCAGACCAACGACATCAGCGCCGACATCAAGGGCCTGCGCCTGTTTGGATAGACAGTGTTGGCCATATAGACTAGCATTGAGGGGTTTGTATGCATAATGGCGCTTTGTTTTATTTTTGGCCTTTTAAACTTGTGCTCGTTGTCGCATTTCCTTTCCTTTCCTACAATAACATTCTGTTCATTTTTAGCTATTTTTGTTGTTTCAAAATGCCATCCGCAGATCAGGCTGGCTCCATCAGCAAGCTTAGCGCCGAGACATCGCGGCATATCCAGTCAGCCTACGAGATATCCTCGCCGCTATGTGTCGTGCAAGAACTTGTGAGGAATTCCACAGAGGCAGCATCAAACAAGATCAGCGTCCAGATATCTGCCAACGGCCTCGAGTGCATTCAGGTTGGTTTAAATAGAATACTTTTTTATCTAAACGAATAAAACTTTTGACTCTATTATGTCTATGCACATTGATCTCAAATGATTTTTGTCTTGGCATTGTAGGTGTCGGACAATGGCCCAGGCATAGAGCAGGATGGCCTGTCGCTGCTCGCCCAGCGCGGCTGCACATCAAAGGTCACTGGATCTGGCTGAGGCAGCGCGCTGGCTGCAATGGCTGCGGTTTCGGCGCAGTTGAAAATATGCACTCGTACACAAACCAGCGAAGCAGGATCACTTATCGTCATTAACAGCAGCGGTCATATTGTTGAGAAAAAGTATGTTGCTAGTAACCCTGGAACCACTGTAACAGTCGTGCAGCCTCTGGTCAAGCTGCGTGTGCGTTACGATATTGCCAAGGCTCGGAGTGCACAGATCAAGCGCGAGATCCGCAGGTGGCTTGTGGCTTTCTGCTTGGCGAACTATCATGTTGGAATATCGATGTCGGCACTTGGGATGGAAAAGGAGCCCAGAAACGACATTGCATTTTCCGGGTCTCTGTCGTTAATGGACGCTGTGCTTCATTTCATCGGCGCAAGTCACAGAGCGGACGTTGTGGCCATCGAATATCCCAACAATAAAAACACCGAGCATCAACTGACGAATGTAGTTAATAAAAAGAGGCTGAATGGCGTTTCCTTCGAAGGTGTATTTGCAAATGTTCAAAGCGGTAAGTGTTGTTCGAGTTGCTAAAACTCAAAACTGATTGATAGTTGGCAGAAACTTGCTGAATATCAATTTTTTGTTATGTTTGCATAGCGCGCTTCGAATCGGCAAAAGTTCCTCGTCTCTGCGTGTCGATCAGCGGCATTTCGTGCAAGCCCGATATTTCCCCCGGTCTTTTGAGGCGATTACTCCAGGCTTACTCTCCCGATTCTCAGCTGGCCTTGGACGCTGTTGAATTGGCAACAACAAATCCCAGCAAATGCTTCTTGGGAGTTCTAAATGTCATTGTGCCGCTCGCAATGCTGGACACCAGCTTGAGGATACCATGGCTGTTGCATGCATACGATGTCGAGTGCATCGAGGCAGACGTCATTGAGAAGTTGCACACCCTCGCGGAGAGCTTCAGCGGTGATGGTTTAATGAGACCTATTCCGACAACAGGAAAGTGTCAGACATTGCTAGAATGGTTCCAGGGAAACTGTGGAACTGCACCGCACGTGGCTCTCTATCGCCCTAGAGGCGCCAAGCGCAAGGCCCCTCAGCCAAAAGTGCCGAACTTGGGCAAAAATAACAATTCAAGTATAATACCAAACAGCAGCTACAAGCAGCCCATACATTTGGACTCAAGCTCTTTAACTAGCGCACCGAACAACGATACCTTGTCACAGCCTGTGAGCGATATCCCTCAAGCAAAATGGTGCTCACATTCAGCTCATCTGAATGCCATCATATCCACTGGTACGTTGGGTCACATCGTATGCCTTGTCACTAGCGACGGGACCATGCACAAACCTCAGTCGCCAGCTCTGTCTGCATCAGCCTCCGACATTGCATTGTGCTTGGTTTGGGCTGCCGACACCTTTGTTGCACTCGATGCGCGCGGCCTTGGGCTACTTCCTGACCCGATTACGAATTCTAGCACCTTTTGGTTTGTTCCCAAGCTCAAAGCATTTGCGCGCCTTGCCCAGATTAACTATGGCCAATGATTTGATTACACGATCAGAGATCTCAATATTTCTCGCTCACTCGCTCGCCTACAGCCTTTATCGGCAGCATGAAAAAGCTCGCATTTTTTTATTGCACCAGCGAGTGAGAAAAAAAGTCGTTACCATTTCCCCCCCTGCTCTTTGTTTTTGTCTTTTGAATTCGAATTGACAAGTGCTTCCAATCGAAGAAGAGCGGTTTATCTTTGCTGTTCTCTGTTATTTACTTTACTCAATCGCCTTATTTTTCATTCGACCTTTTTTTCAATTTTTCCAGCGCATTCCCGAGCACAGCAACGGTAGCAGCAAAGCAAAGCAAATAAAAATATGTTCAAACGGTCTCTGGCATCAACCTTGACACAGGGCGTGCGGGCATTCAGCACAGCCCGCGCAGTGTCCAGCGCATTGCGTGCGGGCGTTCTTTTGCAGCGCGATCCCATTGTCATTCAGCAGGCTAAGGGCTTGGAAGCAGCCTCGGACAAGTACTTTGAATGGCTAGAGTATATCTCGGCGGAGCGGTTCCCGCGCGATTTCTTCTTCAAAAAGGGAAGCTCAGCCGAGGCTAAGTGGATGGATCTGGAGGATGCGCGCGCATCCGAGTGGTACTTTGATCCGGCGAGCAAGCCGGCATTTAAGTCTGTCAAAAAGGCACCTGTCGAGGACGAGGCAGTGGTGGAGCCCGCCAGGCTTATTGAGGTGCAGCCGCGCGAGACGCAGGCAGACATTTCAGGCGACGTGCGGTCGTTGGAGCGCAAGCTTGATCGGACACTGTATCTTTTGGTCAAGGATTCTGCTGCGGACCAGTGGGGGTTGCCGCAGGGCGCCATTGAGGGCGATGAGCTTTTGCACGAGGCCGCTAGGCGGAACCTGAAGGATATCTGCGGCGGCAAGATGAACGTGTGGATGGTCGGGAATGGCCCTGTTGGACATTTCCAGGCTGGTAATCAGCCCGAGTTTTTCCTCAAGGGCCACATACTCGCTGGCCAGGTCAAGCCCGATGCCAAGCTGGCCACGGACTTCAAGTGGGCCACGCGGGAGGAGGTCGAGGCAACGGTTTCGGCCGAGTACTGGCAGCAGGTGAAGGACATGCTGTCGACTGTCTAAACCACAACACGTGTTTATGTGGCGTCGCCACTTTTGTTTCATAATGGTGGCGAGCTTGCCGAACAAAAAATAATATTTAAAATTTTACACCACTTTATCGCATTGATTTGATGCCAGCGTCGAATTGAGTTTGGCTTGATGAAAAAATTAAGAGCACACATATTTTTTTATACTTCTGCTGTCTGCGAATCCCTTTGATCCCTCGTCCCCCTTTCGCTTTTTCTCTTTGTGCGGCTCACCCTTTTTGAATTTACCTCACTTTAACGCCCGCCCTTTTCGTCCCTCTTCATTCCACCTCACTCCGATTCGAACGACAAATTCCCTATTTCTTTTTTTTTGCACCTGCATTCACGTCCTCTTTTAACATTTTACAATCCGCACACCCCTTTATTTTAATTGCGCACCATGGGATTCTGCTGTTCAAAGCCTCAGGTTGACGACGACGAGAATGAGAACACCGCACTGTTGAGGGAGGATACCCACGAGTCAGGATCCTCGCCGGTGTTTGACCGGTTTGCAAACATGAGCTCTGGAGAAATAGCCCGGTTTAGGGAGGAAGAGCGGCTAAAGTCCATAGAGCAGCAGACGACAGAGTAAGTGCAGATAACAATTTTAAAAAAAGTGCTTGTGCGCGCAAGACAACAGCTTTTTTATCATAAATTCCAACTGGCAACATAGAGGTTTTACCACTAAAAGGTCGTTCATCATTTTTCTTTTTAAACTCGGTGTAGTGCGCTTATAACTATCCTGCATCGGTCGGACTTTACACACCGGCAGTCCTCAGTATACAATGGCAACACTAGCTCTCGGGATTACGGGGAACTTTTAAGCCGGTTCAACAGAGAAATCAAACTACCAATGGTGACGCTCCCAGGACCCGTCGAGGAGCCACGGCGCGGCGGCACTGATGTGGCTGGTGTTTTGGCAGACGCACATATTATGACCTCAGACATTAACCTTCTTGACTGGGCGATTGATGGCGTTTTGGACGCCATGATGACTGTTCGTATCGACCCGCCAGGCGAATGCATTGTTGCTCTGTCTGTTGAAAGTGAGTAGGCTGTGTGCTTTCATGTTCTTATTGGGAGTTTGTTTGGAGCATCACAACTTTTTGAGACATTTTTCTTTTCTGATTCACCCTGCCATTTGCTTGCTGTCTTTTTGTGACAAGCTAGGACGAGGCTGAGAGGTGTCTTATTGACAGCAGACTGTGCGTGGATAACAGCTACGCCCTCTTCTTTTTACACTACACTATCATATTTATACTTACGCCCTTATAAGTACAACCAACTATCATCATTCTTATACTTTTCCATTTGTGGCCAACACAATATCCTGATCTCAATTTAATTAATATAAACCTTAAACTCTACTGAAAAAAGACATTTGTCCACGTCTGTATAAGAAACAAATAAACATTAGAATGGTTAAAACCAAAACCAATTTATATGTAAAATATAAATCAACTTTTAGAGCTGTAAATAAATTACCTTTCTTAATGTTTTTTACATATTGTATGGTCCCAATCAAGTATGACAGAGTGAGTATTTTACAACAAAAGTTTGGGGTATCACATATTTGCGTTTCAGCATTAGCTTTTATCTAGAAAGTTTTAAATTTGTGAGAGAGAAAATAGATCCATTGAGCGAAGTATAAAACAAGTAAAAATCAAAGGTGATGATTAAAACCGAATATCTACTGCATCACCTTGTCTATCATGGGCTCTATTCGCGAGCAGTAATTATGTTAATACTGCGGAGCATTCAGCCATAACACTAAAGATTTTCCAAAGGAAAAAACAATTATTGAAGCTAAATGTATCCAATTTACCTAATCTATTGATGACCATAGATGGAGTTAGAATACATGCGAGCAACTACCAAACGAGAGAATATATGCACGGGGATATGGTCATGGCCGCTGGTTACTTTGGGATATCTCTATATTTGGTACTCGTAGAATTTAGTTACATTTTCTAAAAGATCATGTTCAAACAGATACTATTTTTATAACAAAAAGCATTATTTGAAAACAAATAATTTTGTTTAATGTTTTATATTACCAATCATTATATAATTTTTCAGTTTCATTTTGTATAGGTTTTAAAATACATTACCAACAATACATTAATAAAAAGCAGCACTGCAATAATCCAAATATGCCTAACTTATCAATTAAATTTTATTCTTGACTTACAACATAAAACCCATTCGAGCGAGTGAGCACATACACGAGTTCAAAAGGACAAATATCGTGTTTGCTATTTCCACGGTTGCTGTCAGAATTAGTTTCCAGTTCATTTTTCCTGTCGCCAATATTTTGAAAACAGGCAATCTTGTGGAATATGTGTTGCAATTTGTTAGCGTCATTCAGAAACTGCACAAAGGCATTCCCAAAGCCCTAAAACTCTTGTCTGTCCCGGTCCCGACAAATGGCCGCAAGATACAATACACAACAACACATAGCATGGCATATGCATCGACTAGAGGCATCTCAACCTTTGCAGCCAAACAGACTGTTTTTATTCTCTCATTGTTATGTTTTTACTCGCCGGGGGTTGCAGAAGAAAGACTAGAAATCAGCGCAAAAATGTTAAACCTGACACATCGACCCTTACAACCTTGGATTGCTGTTTCTTTCCTGCGCTAGGCAGAAACTGACGGCTCTGTCTAACCAAGCAGTTTATCAAATCGCAATGTATGATTCCACATGTGAATGGCTGCGTTTTTGTGAAGATAGGTTAGCGCACTGCATACGGAATATGAGCCGTTGCCCCACACCAGCTTCATATAATACTTTCAGTGGATTCGCACTTATCGCCATCTTCCGCACATCACAAAGATATGAGCCACCCGCAGTCCCCAGCCAACTGAGCGCTTGCAGCATAGCCTTGTGTTTCCTTCACTTTTACCCCCTTTGACAAAAGGGCTCAGTTCTGGATGAAGACCATGCTGCTGGGCTGTTACAAACTGCCCAAGTGGCTGTCAGATGCCAATAAACTTGAAACAGAGCAAATGCAGCCAAACACAACATGACAGCGAATATGAAAAGCACAAACACAAAACAGGAGAACAAATAGTATTGGGAAAGGATTGCCGAAAAATAAGTGACATATCAGCCAGCTGGTTTGGAAGTTACTTTGAATATAAACGGGACCCGATCAACGTTTCCGCGCCGAGCTTCAAAGCCAGGACAATTAAGAGGGTGCCAAAGGTGGCGTTTAAAGAGAGCAACATACGTGAAGACACTCCATATTACCTCGAGACACACGTTGTAAGAGCCAGAGCCAGTCATAAAATAAAAGAGCAAATGGGGCAACCTGTGTGAGGAAAAATAAGAGAAAAGAAAAGAATAAAGGGTGGCCGGGGATATGTCACCCCTTTTTTGAATAACCACTTTTCCATCTTTGTCATTTGGCAACAAAAATTGTATTTCTCTCTTCCCGTGTGGGTCCGGTACATAAAAAACAGGTCAGGAATGTATGTTTATTCGCATTGTTGTATTGGTGTGTTATGTGGTAATGACGCCGAAAGGATGCATTCTTTTGCCTATTTTATTTTGCAAAGAATATGAGAATATTTCAGCCACCAGATAACTAAAAGTACATATGGAAAATAGGGAATGGGCGCCACAAATAACCGCAACACAAAAGGCGGATTTATATTGTAAATGCAAACGCAGCGCACAAAATACAATGAACATGACAAATAAAAAGTGCACTATATCCATTTACCAGTTTCATTAATTTTGGCTATAAAAGACAACAAATAGAACCCGATTTTCTGGTATGACAGCAAAGTCATTATATTGCCAATCGTTTTTGGTGCGCATATTTTACTAATATAAGCATCCCCCTTTTTCCCCTTCAAACAAAAAACTTTAAATGGCATTGTTATCAACAAAATTTTATTTGTTAACAATGCATGTATCTGAGACAAGGTAAATAAATAGACAAAGACTGCATATGCATGCACCTGTAGTTTTGTTTTTCTGTCATCGGTAGCCATTTCTGAATTTTGAAACAGAACGCATGTTTTGCTTGCCAAATTAAGAATGCGCCAAAGTGGACGCATCAAATTATTTTTAACCCTTATATTTTTGCCATTTGGTTCACTGTTCGCCTCTGCTGATAATTCACTTTTCCATTGTTTGGCCAAAAATAACGAGAAAATTAAATTAGTTTTTTTTTGGATTTTCCCTGCATAAATATCACCGCTCGGGCCAAGTCCTGCATGGGAAATCCTTTGCTGGTGGGATTGAGACCAAGCGAAAAAGAAAAAGGTAGAAGATAATTTTGCCCCCACACAGGTGCATCTACCGACAGCACATCCATCGAACAGCATATCCAAGTCACATCCATCAAATCGATTAATGGAAAATGTTATGTACTAAGAGCTCATCTGTATTGTTGCCAATCTATATCAAGCAAGCCAGGCCAGGCAAGGCCACAACACCTTTGCCCCCTCAGAGGCTGCTGTCCAGCTTCCTGAAGAGCTTGACCCAATCGCTTTTGAAGTGGTCTTTTTTAAGCACACCCAGTACATCCAGCTCCTGGATGGATTCCCGAAAGTCGAGGACCAATAATACCAACCACATTTGCTGCCCAGCGTTTTTCAGGCCCTCCCAGGGGATTTCAACACAGTCAACCATGACCTGGGCAAACTCAGGTACCAGGCATCAGGGCTGCTATGCCCCTTTGAAGCAACCGCGGCCCAAATTCCCCAGTGTAAAATTGACAGGGAATGTATTTTGAAGATGTTCTCCAACTCCTTCATGCCTCACTCTGACTTATCCACGATATGCTCTCACACATCTTGGGGATACACCATTGCTGGCTCTATGCAGCAATTGGCATCCTTATACCAAAGTTCAATCAAGCTGTGGTCAACTGAGTAAAAATCACTGGGGAGCTCCTGGAAAACGTCAGGCAGTGGATGCAGTTGGTACTGTTGATATTTCACCTTGGGGAATCCATCCAAGAGCTGGACGCATTGAGTATGCTCAAGAGGGGTCACTTCAAAAGCAACCAAGTCGAGCTCTTCTGAGAGCTCTTGATATGGTACATTTTCCATTGATAGATTCAATGTATTCAACTTGGATATTTTATGGATGGGCTGTCCATGTGTTGATGGATGCTGTTGGCTGAGTAAGCCAACAACGCTCGGCGCCTTTGTATGTAATTATAAATGTGTAAAATCAAAACAATTATTGATTCCTTTTTCTCTTTCCTTTGGAACATTTATTTCTGAATATATTTTTGATAGTTCTCCATCAGCTTAAAAATGCACTGGTGTGGTAGCGAAATTATATTCTGCTGGTGAATTGCGACGAAACAAAAAAGAAAAAGGTAAAGGATTTCCCATGCAGAACTTGGCCCGAGCGGCGATATTTATGCAGGGAAAAGCCAAAAATATATTAATTTTCTTGGTTATTTTTGGCCAAGCAATGGAAAAGTGAATCATCAACAGAGGCGAACAACTCACTTAATATCCCCGAGGCTTCCTAGTCTCAACTAGGGAGACAACTTTCCCGTCATGGGCTTTATTGTAGACATGGCTACATGCCCCTATAACAAAAATTATTCTAGGGGCGGCATGATTGCGAGTTATTCAGATCTCCGCCTAATTGAGTGGTGGTGGAAGTGTCCGCTAGGGAAAATACATTTTAAAATGAGAACAATAAAATGGTTTCCCATACTCAATTTTTCAAACATAAACAATCACAATATGCAAATCCAATTTTTTATGGAAAATAATTTGTTGGCTGATATTATAGCATTATTATTTCTTTTTCATTGGTTTTTCATTTGAGAAGATTTACACATATTCAGAGATGCCTCCCAGCAGAACCAAACACAAGTCAAAGGTATTCGAGTGCACTACATGTCTGATTACTTTTAAAACGGATAGTTTGCGTAACAAGCACTCAATACAACACAGCCCAGTCACAGTCACTTCGGCCAGTGGCAAAAAATACGTATTACAGTGGAAGGACAACAAAGTCGTGTGTCATTGTCGAAAACTATTGTCACATAATTATATACAACACGAACATGCTTCCGTGTGCACTGTGCTCAATGCAGCGGATACCAGCGCTCAGACTGACACTGGCGACAATGATAGAACAATTGTAAGTATATGTTAAAGTGATTCAACATTAACTTGTTTATAATTGACTATTAAATACTAACTATACTTTAAAATTTAAAAAATGTAGTCACCTCCGTCAAAGTCGGCATTGACTTCGTTGAAATTGCAGGTTGAGCACGGCAGTGGTCTGATCATTTGTTTAACATGTTATATAGTAAATCCTGGTGCTATTTACTGTCATCTTCGCCATTTCCAGAAGAATCATAGATATTAACATAAGGTTGAGTTTAACCAACAGGCTGTCAGGGAAGCGTGTCGTTATCTTCTGTCAGAGAATTCCGGCACCATGTCAGAGGATGAGCTTCAGCGAGTGGATTTGCCAGTTCCAGGCATCAAAGTCACCGACAACGCTTATTATTGCAAGCACTGCTACTTTTCTGCTTGTTGTGCAGCTTCTATGAATGATCATTGTAAAAAGGTGCACGACACAATTTGGATTAAAGGAAATGCCATTACTGGACCTGTTCGGCAATTATCTCCAAATGTTTTTTAAATTTAAAAGCTATATTCGGGCTATTTTCACAGAATTCACGGGCGCAGAGCTCGCTGACACGTGGGCATACATAACTTCCAATTTACCTCTTTCTCCTGACAATTAGTTATTGTTAAATCAATAAAACATATCTCGAGTTGCTTTTATTATTATTTTTATTTTACGGACCAACCATTCAAACTTATTCTTGTTACTATCAAAATATTGTCTATGACGCTTTATGTCGCCAAAAATCACAAAATTTAAATATCAGACAAGTTCCAGACGCCAATCCATAAATTCCTAAGAGCACGCGCTTTTTCGTAAGACGCTTCTTCATATTCACAATTGAGTTGGCATCAACATTGCCAAGTCAATGGCTCACATCCATCCTTTTTCTAATAACACCAACAGCATAATAGCCATCAGGATAGACAATAATTCCGTACATTTATGGTACACTTCATGCCAACACACAGCATCGCAAAAGCACAGAATACCATCAATATAAACTGCAAGACAGTTTTCCACCAGCATGGCAAGCTGGAGTCCATACATACATTATTTCTGACTGCGAGCTGAAATATTTTGTTGTTGATTCGAAGATTTTCTAAAGATGAATGTTTTTGTAAAAAAAAACCGGCTTTACATATCTAATCAAAAAAATAACAAGAATCGATGTGTTCGGGTACACGTCATTCTCCTTTTTTCAGGCATCAAGGACGAACAATCATTTAAAGGCAAATACGACGCCAACTTTGGCAGTGAGCAACGATCGAGCAAGAAAGCAAGCAAAAAGTTACCGCCAAGCTGGGTGTTGTTTATTTTCAATTTTTGGAAAAAAAATATAGGCTCGGCCATTATTGATTGATTTATGCTGCTTTCTTTCTGCCATCCCAGACCAAACAAAAAACAGTGATTTTCAGTTGCGGTCCTTTCTTTGTTTCGTTTGAATTTCTCAATTTTTTCGCACACTTTTTTTATTATTTTTTATTTCAAGCATAGTATGACAATGCCAGTAGCTCCAACTCTCAGTGACATTCTGCGTGCCGATGCCGGTGACGATGTTCTTGCAGACACATTTGGCGAGGACGAGGCCCCGGTCGCGCCTGTTGTAGAGGGGACCCCCGAAGGCTTTTGTGTGGAATGCAAGGACCAGCAGGTAGGCACAAAAAAATAGCACCACAAATTCAACTTAGGAATTGAATTCTGTCACAAATAAAACAAACGAGGAAAACGTACAACTAAACCGCTCTTTATATGCCTTTTTCTCTGCTAGGCGCAAGTGTACTGCGAGCAGTGTCAGGAGGACTTTTGCGAGGTGTGCGGCGGCATGATCCATCGCACTGGCAGACGGAAGCAGCACGTGCTGAAAAGTATTGCAGCTGTCCCGCAGGACGGTGCGACCGACGAGGCAGAGCAGAATGCAAGGTCGGCTGCCACCATTGCCGAGAACCTGGCAGCCACTGACGCGGAGATGGAGGGCGACGACGAGAGCTCCTTAAAGCACCAGCACGACTCCGGTGCGCTGTCGGTATCATTCAGCGCGCAGAGTGGCAAGGTGGAGACCACCGGCGGTCCATCATTTTCCGACTGGATCACCGAGCGATCCAAGTTCATTCCCCTGCGTTTGACCCTCAAGGAGCGCAAGTATCTGCGACTTCTTGAGGCAGCACTCAATGTCAGCGAGTACACAGACAAGATTGACATTCTTATGTACGGCAACAAGGCCAAGCGGATCGTATCACAGATCAAGGAGCTTTGTGCCATCCTCTCCGGCCTCGTCCTGGCCAGCGATTATAAAGCCGGGCAGACTCTGTTCGAGGATCGACAATTTGAAGACAACGAGGAGTTTTTCCAAAAGATCTTTGAGATCGGGCGCCGGCACAAGATCATGAACCCAGAGAAGATGCGCAACGAGTACGGCAAAATGATGTTCATGCTGCAGGACTCGCAGACGAGCGAGGTGACCAACATGCTTAACTTTTCGCTTGTGGCGCCCATCAAAACCGTGTACTCGGTGCTCGAGTCCCTGGGAGTCACTTATTTGCTCGAGGACGAGATGGTCGCCGTCGCGACCAAGGAGATCATCGGGCAGGGCAAGACGCGTTCGCAGCTTCAGCTTGAGATCAAGCAGAAGGAGCGCGCCATCGAATACTTGTGCAAGGCCTATGCCACCCAGGATTGCCCCGCGGAGGTCATCAGGCAGTGTCTGTACAGCATTGGCGACAACCACGCGTATCTGCGCTTCAACCGCGACCCGTGCGACCGTATTATTGGATACCTCAAGTCCATGTTCAACCCGAAGCGGGCCGAGTCAGACAGCCTGTCACTGGCCATTCTTCACGGGCAAAACGGCGCGCGCCTATCGCATTCGCACGAGAACCAGTTCCACTATGTCATCCAGACGCTGACTTTGTGGCGCGAGATCCTCCACGACATGTTCATGCTCTGGCACCAGGCTGACAGCGACCTGCTGTCGTCTAAAAATACGTACCGGTTGAAGGACACCGGCCAGGGGCTCAACCGCGTGCAGAGCTGCCCGCGGGTGTCCAAGAGCGCACACACCATCTTGCATCGCACGCAGAAGGCTGTCGGGCGCTGGGTCGGCTCGGCGATGATCCATCTGGGTGACCGCAACGTGCCTAATGCCCTGGTGTTCATCGACAAGTACAACCAGGTCGCCAGCATCCTCAACCCGGTTGTGCGCGTGCTCGAGTTTCTCGAGTCTCTGGAGGCCAATCGCGCGGGCAATCCCGATGTCGCCGTGTTCATCGAGAGCACATATGGCGGAATCACAGAGGCCAAGAAGCTCATTCTCGCCGATTTCTTCCGCTCAGCCTTTGATGGATCGGGAGCGGACAACTTCTTTGACGCCGGGTCGTGCATCGATGGGCGGCTGACATCGGCGTGGAACTGGTGCTCGACCATTGAGAAGAAAAACTACTTTAACGTATTTTTGCTCTCGGGATTCGTTGGCTTTAACGGCGGGCCTGAGGGCTTCAACTAGCGAGCTACCAAGCAAAAAACAACACCAAGCGAGCATCCATCACGATTTTTGGTTGTATGCGCCTCGCTCGTATAGAATGGCCTTACATGTTTCAACTTTACAAAAAAATACACACGCACCCAAACAATATTGCACTCAGATTGATCTTGTATTGTAGCATTCAAAGAGAAAGACCAGAGAACATGTCGGCGGCGCTGGCGATCTCCTCGACCTGCATTCCCCGAAGCAAATGTTCCATGCCCTTGACCGTCCAGATGAAGCCCAGGTCCTTGAGCATTGACCACATGCGGCGCAAAGTGACCGTGCATCGCGACAGCTCCTCACGCAGCATATCCATGGCAGCCGATCCGTCCTCATAGTGCTTCTCGGCAAGCCTCTGTCGGCACATGCGCACATGCCGAATGAGCACAGTGATGGACGTGAACAGGCAGAACGAAATGGACGCATCGCAGCGGTCGATCGGAATATCAATGTTGCGCTCTAGATGCTCGGCAAGCTCAAAAATCTCCTTCAAGCAATAATCCCACGACTCATCGACCACGTCGTAGGCCAAATACCCATCGTTGAGCATTTCTGAAAAGGCTGCAGTCATCAGGCTGCGCAGAACATTGTCCTCTTCGGAAAAGTCTATAGCGCCTGGCGTGGGGGAAGCAGCCAGGCTGCTGTGTGTGCTGGCGGGTGACTTTGCCTTAATGCCAGACCGCGGGTCAAAAAAGGACGGCCTGTTGGCAAAGTGCAAAAGCAGAAAGATCGCCGTGTGGTAGCAGCGCAGACAAAAGTAACGCACACGCATGGTGAACCGGCGGTTCTCTGTAGACCCGAACTGGGAAAAATCGGTCATCTCCGTACACGCCGTGCTCTTGAAGTCCTCGGCAGGGACCATGCTGTCTCGCCAGGTTAATAGTGCGTCGTGCAGGCGCGCAAACTCGGGGTACTGGAAGAGATTGGTCACAGACTGGCCGTGGGCTGACACAAGAGGCGGTAGCCGTGGCATTTCGAGGAACTGGATGTCGCACGAGCGCATGGACCCGCGCAGCCTGTCAGAAATAGTGAGCTTGACTTTCCAAAGAAACTCGTTCATTTGGCAGACAATGCTCATGACGTTGCACAGCTCGACAAAGGTGTAGGAGAGGGCGCCGGTGCGGATGATGATGTCCTTGCTGATGTTTGGCTGGTGGCGCGTGGGCCAGTGCAGGATTTGCGGCACAGTCACGTCGTCCCAGGTATAGTCGGACCCCGGCGTTGATATGTAGATGCGCGAAGGGTCGATAGTCATTGGGCGGTCGGCCATCATGCTCTGGTAGCTGTCGAGTTGGTAGACAGCCCAGAAGGTGCGGCGCTTGAGCTCCTGGCTGATCCACTCTTCCCATGTCTGGTCTTCGTCGCGCAAATCCAGGTCCAGCGTGTGCCAACCCAGGCGGGTAACTAAGCTAGACGCCAGGCAGGCCAGCGAGTTGTACGACGTGAACTTTGACTGGCCACCAGACAGAGCTGATGCCAGAACGACGGCGCGCACATAGTCTATGGTCGGGCGGTCCAAGCCTGTGAGCAGGCGACGGCGCACACTGGTGTTGAGCATTTCAATGTCGATGTTGCGCCCGGTCTTTTGCATCACGATACGCGCCGTGTACGCCTTTATTGCATCGATGAGCAGCGGGTCAACGTCGCCGTTGACGATGCGGCGCACAAAGGTTGCCGGATGGAATATAGGAATTCGGCCGTAGAAATAGTCAAAGAAGGAAACAATGGCCTCGCGCGTGTCAGCAGGAACCTCGTCGGAAAAGAAGCGCTGCATCACAGTTTCCGTGCCCACTCCGACAGTTTCAGACCTGGCGGACTGCTTTCGCGCAATAGTGGGCGCCAGACTAGGCAGCACACTCGGTATTGTGCTACTTGGATCGCTCACAGTATTTTGTGTAGAATTTGAGTGGCTGGCAGCGATGATGACAGTAGTGGCGGGGGCAGGGGTCAAAGTCACTAAGGGCACATCAGCGCTCTTAGCAGAGGTGTTGTTTGTGGGGGGATAGTGGAGACTGTGATTATGCAGGTTAATGGATGTGGCATCCGTCTCTGTCCTGGCACTTCCACTATTGGTCCGTGCAGCAGCAGCATTATTCGCTTTGCCTCTGTTCTTATCCTTTGGCTTTGGTTTGGGCCCGCGTTTCTTCATCTCGACCCACTTGCATTCACAGCCGGCCTGCTTGCACCCGTCGCAGGTGAAGCCCTCGCCCTCGCATTTGATCTTTTTAGTGTGGCATCGCAGGCATGCCTTGGATCGTCTTTCGCGCCGCCACGGGATGGTAGAGGCGCCGTGCGTACTGGAGGAGCCCGCTCCCACCGACGACAATATCGGGTTTGGTGGTGGCGGTAGCGAGTGCGGGTTCATGTGCATGTAGAATGGTGAGTTGGTGTAGTTGGGGCCTGGCGGAATTGATGACTGCAGCTGCATCAGCGGCTGCTGTGGATACGGCCAGTATCGGTTGTCTACTCGGGGTGCCTGGTTAGGGTGGTAGTGATGCGGCAGTTGTTGCTGATAAATATTCTGAGAATGCGCGTGGGGCTGCGAATGGAAGCCAGAAATTGGCAGGCCCTGGGGTTCTCGAATCTGAGGTTGAGAAATATACTGGTGCTGCTGGTGATGTTGAGGTATTGGTGGTTGTGGTGGTGGCAATGGTGGTGGCTGAGTGGCTGAAAGGACTGTTTTTTTTGCAGAATAAGCCACTGTTTCGATACTGCTATTTCCTGAAAGGATTCTGCTGACATTGTTACTCGAAACAATCGTGCTTTGATGTGAAGGGGTAATATCGGCTGCCGCGTTTGTTTTTGAGTACGCTGTGTCTACCACCTCCTGAGCAGACTGCATATCATTATTCGAAGTGCTGCTCGCAGTGCTGTTTGCCAACACGGGCTTCAGCGGTGCTACCGGATGGACCTTCTCGTTGCGAGAGCTGTTGAGCAATGAGCTGACACTAAACATGCCAGACATTGTCAAAGTGCGTTTAAATAAGAGAAATAGAGGTGATATAAGGTATATAGATATAAAATAACGGTTTAAATAATATAAAAGTCAGAACAGACGATTATCCGTTTTGTTTAGTTTTTAGTTTAATAGAAATTTTAATAACGAAAGAAAAGGTTGCACTTTTAGGGTGTGTCAAGCATAAAAGAAATAAAAAGTAAAAACTTTAAAAGCACAGAAAAAATATAGAAAAAAAGAAAGAACAAGGGTAGCACGGGCAAAGAAAAAGAAAAATGGAACATGAAAAAAGTGTGGACCTCCTTCAAATCCCAAAAAGGAGAGAAAGAAAAGGGATAAAAAATGAAGACCTTTTTTTTTGAAGAATCTGTTGTCCACTTTTTAGACCGTCACATTTGTCTTCTATTTTTCTTTGTAATCCTAATGTTTTTTATGCATCTAAATTTTTGGCTGACTCAAGCTATCCATATATTGCATTCACCTCTCTTTTATTACGCTGACCGTGGTATGCAGGCGATGCGCGCAGAGATGGGGTTTCTTTTTGAATTAGCGCTGTCCACCTCCAAGGCTAAATGCATGAGTGCCGCGTGTGAGAAAAGGGATTTCCCGATTAAGCGAAAATGGCGCTTTTAGTGTTGCAAATAAAATTTGTGTTGATTTACCTCATCCGAGATAATAGAATATATTGCGGCGAGTAATAATAAAGGTAAAAGATAGGTTAAGCGATCGCTCAGATAATATATGGGCGTGTCTATTCCAGCAGTAACAAATGATTATCAGCATATTTCCCACGTCGTTTGTTATCTTTCTTCAACGCTTTTGGCCGAAATTATTTAAAAAATAAAAGATAATCAAATGGTCGCTTGTGATATTTCCATAAATTGGGCAAGTCCCGGAAAAATGCAGCACCTCCAAGGGCTCGATCACAAGCGCGGCTCGAGTGTGAAAGCGGCAAATGTCGATCAAAAATGATGATTTGATTTGCAGATATAAGATACAGCGGATCAAACATGGCGGAAACTGATATTTTTTCTGCTCTGCGGGCGCAACAAAATAAAGCCATGGACGGACAGAGAGGCACTGTTGGACCATGGATCGGGGCCGGCATAGTTATTTTATTAGGCTATCAAACAAGTTATGCGGGACAATGGACTGTTTACGCTCGTCGATGTCTTTGAACGAACCCAGCGACAAGGGTAGCCATTCGCCAAAGCGATCACCAACAGCATCATCTAGATCAGCTCTGCGATCGAACAGCAGCCTTTACCTATTCCTAACAAACGTCATTAACTTTCAAAGTATTTGGGCCGCGGCTCAGCCCGGCAAAACTTTGCTCCAGTAAAAGCTGAGAAACAATGACATTGGCAGGTAGTCACCGGCCGTCTCCACCACAGTGTGAGCAGCAGTAGCAGTAGCAGCAGCAGCAGGTCTCGCTTATTTTCAAAACACAAATCGGCAGTGCGTTGGTCTTTTTTATTTTATTTATATAAATATATAATTTGTTTCATCTATAAAATTTGCGCCCATATTTTGATTGGGTTATTGAGCAGCGGCAGCAACCAAGCAGATTGTGCATAGGCTTTGTCCAAATTGTGTTGTTTGGTGTTGTTAAAATTGCAAAAGTTGCAACAATTAAAAATTAAGATATTAACATTTAATCATTATTATGATATCTCTGCTAATTGTTTTATTTTTAAAAATACTCTAAGATAAACTTGCTACTAGTTTTACTTTGTAGTGCATTGTACACGAGTTTGCTTATTATAAAAAGCAAATATAAAGATCTGCCAGCACGACGTCACAACCCATTTTGTTTATTAAAGCAAAATTGTTGAGTAGTTTGATGATATGGAAGTGGATATCGAGGTCGAGAGCTGTGAAACGAGTTTCCATCAACATGCCGATTAACAGGGCATAAATGGTACCATGTAGGTTCAAATCAGGGGACATAATAATGGCCCCTTGATATGCCCCCGATTCATAACGTACATGTATGGATACGCATATGCGAAGATCGTAAGATTGACATGCCAAGACACCAGTCTGTCTGTAGAAGATCCAGTTCTCGCCAACGGAGTGCACAACTGGTGAAGTGTACAACAAAGGCGATGAGGCACATATATAAGATGAAGCCGGCGCTAGTAGTATTTTAAAAACATCAATAATAAAACCCTTTATAAATTCACCCCTATTTTTCTAACACTAGGAAACTAGTGCTTATCACACCCCCCTCTCACATAACAGTTTCCCTTTTTATAACGCTCACAACACTTTGTTCAAAAGTAATAATGTAATTCCAAAGAAACCATAATTAAATTAAATTAAATGAAGTGAATTCAAACGGAGAAAGCCCCCACAGACTCTATATCCATTTTTGAATTTATTCTTGTCATTAAATTGAGGCTTTTATACTTGTCTTTTATTGTTTTATAGTACAAGTTTTATGACCAATATTTTTTCAAACCCAATATTTTGTGGTGCAAATAACACCAAATATAATGTATAATTCATTTTTATTGATCATTTCTGATTGGCTGAGATTAGTTTTGAGAATTTTGGATCAAGTGAGGCGAGTTGAGTTTTTGAAACCCACCAAAAAAAAGTTGACCTACTTTATGTCGTTATCTGTGAATAAAATGAACTTGGTAAGTGTTTTTTCTCTCCCTCTTTAGTCGTTGCACATTGGCATTAGAGGTTTTTTCTCTTTCAATTCGTTTAAATCTATTTCTGCCAATTTCCATTCATACTTTGGTCCCCCCCCCTCGGGTTTAAATGCTTGCGCCTGGCACAGCCCCGACCAGGCAGCGTGCGCTAGGCAGCTTGCTAACAGCTTCACACATGGCAAAGTGGGCTTTGTCGTCCGAATGCAAGCGATACAACACAGCATGTATGGGTCCGGCATTTCAACAGACGACTGGGACGTCAATGGCAGCGCTCATTTTTCGACAAGGAATTGCAACGCACACAGTAGCAGCAGTAGCAGCAGCAGAGAGCAAATACAAGATGAAATTAGCATCGGGAACCGAACCAGAAACAGTACGGCAGAATAAAATAAAATACGCAGGGTCATTGAAAACAAAAATTTGCTCCTGCACTAGCCGCAAAGCAGTGCCAATTGCAGACAACGATGAGCTGACGCGGTTACTGGAAGGGTTCTGCAAGGGACTCGAGGATAGAGACGTGGGCGCAGCCATACAGGCGTATAAAAGTATCCGAGGCATACTGGCAGCACCGCACGACACCACATGCTCTGAGGACAAGCGGATGCGGCGGCGGCGAGCCAAACTGGGCGACTGGGATAGTTGCTTTTCGGATCTGCGTGCGTTCCACATACTTTTACGGCAGCAGGAATCCAATACCGCTTGCACGGCCGATCAACGGACACAGATTCAGGAGATGATTGTCGATATTATTGAGGATATGCGGTGGCTGGGTCTGCGCGTCGGAGCAACAGAGACTGCCGCCCTAACCTACGCGTATGGTTTCTTGGGTCGGTACACAGATGCTGTTGGCGTGTGGCGTGATAGCGTTGCACAAGTGTATGGTATTGGTGGAGAGGCGGGGGGTCGCGTGCGGCACTTGTTCTTGCAGACGCATGTGTATGGGCTGCGGGCGGCCGTAGCTTTAAGGAACACACAGGTTGTGCGTGAAGTATACGATGGATCAATACGGGGGATGAGTATGTCTCGGTCCGAGCTCGCTGATCGTGCACAGCAGCGGAATAATATCCTGGCCTTCTTCTGGTGTGTGTTTCCCGGCCACTCCGACCGAAAACGCCAGAGCCGTTCGCGCGATTCTCCAGAACACAAATCTACCGGTGTCAGCGACTCTGGTGCAGATCGCGCGTGGGATCCTGCCAGACTTGGATCGCAGTTTTTCGAGCAACTTAATTACGATGTCCAGAAGTGGACCGATGGGTCGGACCGAAAGTTGAACAGCCGGGTTGCCCAGTACTCCATCAGAGCGCTATTTGCCGAGGGACATCGCCAGCGGGCCTTAAAAACCTACATGGCGATTGCACTTCCTCAAACTTATGCTTTTAACAACAATTCTGCGGAGACCGTTATGGCACCAGAGATATTGTGCGAGGTTGTCGGCGGACTATGCCGCCACTTCATGGTTGACAAGGCGTTGGACGTGCTTAGGGGTGCTGAAGGCCAGTATAGAGGCGTATACGCGTGGAACACGTATTTTGACGGTCTTGCGAACAGCTTAAGGTACAAGAGGACTTGCAACCAGACTGCCAACGCTGCCGATCCGCTTGAGAGCCTGCGTCAGGCGATTTTTCTGATGGAGCAGCTTGACAGTATCAAGCCCGACATAGTGACAATGTCAATATGGCTGCGGGCGCACTTTCGGCTGGGCAACTGGACAGGTGCCTATGAGTGTTTTCGCGAGAACTACCGGAGCATGTCCAAGGATATGGTTTGCTGGGATATTCTCATTCGCGGGTTACTGGAAACTGATAGCCGGGAGGCGCATGCTTTGGGATGGCAGGTGGTCGACGAACTGACGCGGCGACCTTTGCCAGGTGCGGACGCGCGTCTTGTGGAAACCATACTTTTGCACGCGTTTCCGCGCTTCGGCAGACACACAGATGCGGGCCCTGGCGGTTCTAAAGATGCTGTGGTTGGCAGGGGTCTTATGGATCGAGTGCTGGGGTGGGTTGAAAGCAATATCTCATTCGACCGTAAAACCACTTACGCCATTATCATCGGCACATTGCTGAGGACTGGTCAAATAGACGGTGCCTTGGAGATGCACCAGACCATGTGTGAGCGGAATTTCTGGCCGACTAAATCCATCAACTGTATGGTTGTACAGGCCCTGGCTCTACACAAATCTCACCAGCACGGTGGTGCGCAATTGACCAATGCGGTTGCTAAAATTATGCACGAGTTTATAGAAACTAGGGTGCCGAAATGGCATATTCCTGCGGTGCACTTGCCGTTGATTAAAAGTGCCGTGTCGGAGAGGCGGTATGGCGATATGTGGGGGATAATTGGCAAACACTATCCTGTGGTTGCAGGATTGCCGTTTCCAGACGCTAATATTTATCGCGCGGCTTTGGAGGCTACTAGGATGCACTGCGACTGGATGCAGCATAGGCTTGTGCTCGACAAGCTGCATAACCACTTGGGACTTATCAGGGGCGATGGCAGCGACAGTAGCGCTGGTGTCGATGGGATTCGGCAGCGGGATTACAAAAGAATGGCAGACGTGTATTGTCACTACAAGAACCAACACCAATAGAGATTGATATAAATAAATAAATGCATGTTATTTTTAAATACAATAATTAATAATTATATATGTGGCATTCAAGTCATCATATCAACACATGTTACAACTACCAAGTAAAAATAAAAAACATACAGTATATTCCATTGATATTCTATTGGTATAGTTTCATCAAAGGATTACTTTTTATTTTGGGTCAGTATTCCAGGCGCAATCTCCTCCCTAATAAACACCTCGCACTGCTCCTTAGTCCCCTCAGGATTCGCCAACTGCCACTCCATAACGCGATCCAAAACATCCTTAATCCCCGGCCCGGGCTTAATCCCCAATAACTTCGCCACAGCCTTCCCATCAACCAAATGCTTAAACGAATAAGCCTCGCCCAGGTTTTCCTCCTTGACTCTCCGCACAAATCCGCCAAACATATCCACCAACCGGGCGTCCACCCCATTGCCACTTTTGAGCATTTCCACGGCGGCCGCGAATATCACCGCCATAGACCACCGCGTTCCGGCCACTCGGATCTGAAGTCCCAACTGGCATCGCGAAAGCTCACCCTTTATGCAGGATTCAGCCATTTGCGTAATTTGATCAGCCAATTGGTGCAGTGCCAGGGTGGTGTCGATATCTGAGTTAGCGAGCTTGAGCCCATCGCGAATAATAACCTGCGCCACAGGCACATTACGCTTACGGTCTGTCACCTGCACATGGCGGAACGGATAAAGGTAAGCTGCAAGCATCAGGGAGCGTTGCGCCTGCGGATCCGCATCAATGCGCGGATCGCCCGGCAAACAATCAAGTATCTCCGTGTTGCGCTCAAGCAGGTCGAGAACATGGCCTGTGAGATGCGCCGCCAGGGGCTCATCAATGGTGGTTGCGGGGTCGAGCCAAGTGGTGGTGGGCGGCGGGCGGAAGATGTCCAAGTAAAGGCCGAAGCGCAGGATCAGCTGGATCGATAGCAGCGGATGAGGTCCCCCGGCCATTTTCTCCAGCTCAACGCCAACACGCTCCCTGCTGATCTTCCGATTCAGATCCTCCTTAATCTCCGTCCTTCCCATTGCCTCGCTCGTCTCCTTATCGATCACGTAACTGAACCGACTGGCAAAGCGCAACACCCGCAGGACTCTCAAAGGGTCATCTGTAAAAGTCTTAAATGGATCCAATGGTGTCCTAATAACACCCGCTTTCAGATCCTCCAGCCCCTTACCAGTGAAATCCTCCACCTCCCTCGTATGTATGTTATAAAACAGGGCGTTTATCGTAATATCCCGCCTCAAGGCATCCTCCAGCGGCGTACCAAATGCCACATTCGGTATTCTACTATCCCCATTATACGTTTCACTACGTAAATTAACAAAATCCACAAGCAAGCCCAAAACGCTCGTCGTGGCAGTCTCCAAATGCTTGGACCGTTCGGGGTTCTGAGTGATCTTCGCAACAGTGCGGGTCGGATGGCCGGTGTCCTGGAGATACTGGTTGACATGCTGGGCTAGTTCGTAGCCGTTCATGTGGTCGATGGCTATGTCCACATCATGGGACTCTAGTCCGAGAAGTTTGTCCCGAACCCATCCTCCTGCTATGCGAAGTACGAGGCGTGGTTCCTTTGGCTGTTGCTCGTGGATGCGCTCGACGACAGTTGTGAGGAGCTCGCAGATTTGAGCTTCAATTGGGGTGAGGTTTATGCTCATTTCTTTAGAGGGGCTGTTTTGGCGTTGCTTTTTTGTACTGTTCAATGGTGTGCTGCTGCTGCTGCTTCTGCTGCTGCTGCTGCTGAGGGCAGACTGTTGGCGCTTTAAAGAAGTCAATTTAAAAGTAGTGGTGGCTGGTTTGCGTGAAAGAAGAAAACGAAATGCTGAAGAAAGAGAAGGAGCAGCAGCAAATCTCTTCATGAGCGAAAAAATAAAAATAAAAATAAAAATAAAGAGAAATAAAGAGGAAAAGAGAATAAAGGGTTTGGTTAGAAAAACAAAAGTTTGCCTTCTTATAAAGAAAAAACAAGTGTGTATCTAAAAGCCCTACGTTTGCGCATTGACGCGGGATTTTCTGCACTCTGGGCATACGTAGCGGACGGTTTCCCAGTCGTCCTCATCGATGTCGCGGCCAATGCGTTGAGCCTCGGCGCGTAGTGCGCACCCAAGGTGTCTCCAGACATTGCATTTTTCGCAGGCGGTCATTGCGCGGCCATCGTCGTAGTTGTGGCCGGACTTCCCGCACGAGCACCTGAACATCCAGTCGTCCTCGTCCATCTCCATCTCCATATGCATATCCGGCTGAGGCCTTGGCTTTGGCATTGGCTCTGACTTTAGTTCTGGCTCCGGCTTTAGTTCTGGCCCTGGCTCTGGCCTTGTTTCTGGCCCTGGCTCTGGCTCTGGCTCGGCGTTGGTTGTTTCCACAGCCGCAGCACCATCGGCATTGCCGCTGCTGCGGATAGCCAGCGCAATCTCGGCGTCATCCAAAGCAGATCGACGTGCAGCCTCGCGTCTCCACGCCCTTTCCCTCCGGCCCACCTCCACGGCCTCCTCCTCCCCAGTCTCCTCCTCCCTCAAGCGTCTCCTCCCAGCTCCCTCGGCCATAGCCTTTGCATCCTCAATAGATTCGCGCACAGCAATCCTCGACGAGCGCTTCCTCACCCCCATGGCATCAGCCCCCGCCACCGCAGCAGCAGCCACGCTCCTGGCGTGCTTTCTCCTAGCATCAAGCGCTAATCTATGAGCAATATCTGGAGCCATCTCGGCCAAAAGCTTATGCAGTGCACGTTCCCCAGGGTGCTTCGACCGGCAGAATAAGCGCGCAGCCACAGTGGTCCACTCCACAGGAGTCTCGCAAAGCAATTCCCAAAGATCACCATCGCTCTCGCGGACCCCGTGCCGTGGCAGATCGGCCAGCTCCAGGGCTTCCGCCGAGACATCTAGTGCTGCCGAGCTCACGGTGTATTTTCGCATACTGGTGCGCCTCCTATGAGGCTCCCTTGCCTCCACCAGGCCCTGCTCATTGGTGCCTAGCAGGAGATCGGCAATGTCGCGTGGTGTTTCTCGATACAGCTGCGAGCCGCAGAGCACCCAGTATATGCGCCCCAACGCATCAACACCCAGCGGCTCCACCCGCCACTTACCCTCTTCAGCAGTCTCCGTGGCCTTCCCCCGTACCATCTCAGGCTTACACAACACCAGCTCACACGTTTCCAAAACCATCCCAGCCCTTTCCCGTGCAGCCCCAATTTGAAATATGCCTTGGGCGTATTTTTCAGGCACTCTGCCGGTGAATTTCTCCCAGGCTCGTTGCACATGGGCGTCCAAGTTATGCTCATCAATGTTGCGGTTGCCTGTGAGCGTGCGCAGGCTGCGAATGAGTATGTGCGTGAGAAGGGCGGGTGTGGGTGATGGGTCGGCTGGTGTGGTGAGGAGCTCTGTGTGGAGCTGGTCGAGGTCCGGGGCGCTGTGCAGTTTGAGCGAAGGGTGGAAGAGGTGGAGGAAATGACACAGCTGGGCGAATTCTCGGCTGTCGCGTAGTGTCGCTTGTCGCCGCGGCGATGCGTACGTGCTTGTGGCAAACGGCATTCCTTAATTTTATTTTTATTCTCCGTCGACAATGGAATTGAAAGTAATTTAAATAAAAAGAGGAAGAAAAATAATTAATTAATTAAAAAAGAGAAGAGAGCATTTCTCACACGATCGCTCAACTCGCGTTGGCATGCGGCATAAAAGCCCTCTCCCTCTCTTGACTTTTAAGAACAAAAAATAAAGCAGCTCTGGGCCTCCTCTCCTCTCTTCTCTGTCGCCACCATCAGGCCTGGTGAAAGGTCCAGCATACAGTCTGGAATAAATTCAAAAAAATCAATTATTTTCTACTCGTACTTTGGTTTGAGAGGCCGCACGGGGATCGGCGCACCAGACAAGCACAGAGTGGATTTGTATTTTGACGCCTCCTCAAACGCCCACGAGCCGCCAGGTGTCCTCACAGCGCCCAGGTTCGCCAGATCGCCGCCAATCGCCACTGCCGCACCATTACCGCCATTGCACTTGGCCGAACCACCAGCAGCAGAGCTACCAGCAGCAGCAGCCGCAGCAGGTGGTGATTCAAGGGCCATTGCCAGTGCCGTGCGCACATACGACGCGGGCTCAGAGATCTTGGCAACCGCCTTGACCAGATCCTCCTCCGACAAACTCTCATCTGCGGTCCTCTTGAACAGCTCAACAACTCTTTGCAGCACCTCGGCCTCAGTCGCGGCCTCAGTCGCGGTCTCAGTTGCGGTCTCAGTCGCGGTCTCAGTTGTGGTCTCAGTCGCGGTCCCAGCCTCGGTCCCAGCAGCAGCAGCCTTGAAATCCTTAAGCGCAGCCACAAATTCCTGCACATCCTCCAGCGTCAGCCTCTTTGCGCCGTCGCGCAAAAAACACCCATGCAGTGCAATGACAATCTCCGGGTACATTGCCAGTTCAGCCACCGACGGCCTAAAGATCTTAGCCGACCATATAGTCATGGTCAGAAGCTTCACCGAGCAGGCGCGCTCCGGATCAACATACATATCCCAGAACCTCAGCACATCCTCCTTCCTAAGCCCGGCCAGCACCGCAAGGTCAAAGTCAATCTTGTCAAACTCATAGTATCCGGACCCCATGTGCTTCCAGAACTGCGACGCCTCCTCAAAAATGTTCTTCAGCTTTTCCTCCAGCCGCACCTTCAGGCTATTCGCGTATTTATCGAATTGTTCTTGGGTCATTTCCAGGAGTCGCAGACGGAACCCACGAATAAAGTGCGCGATTCGCTGAGTCACGTAGGCTGGGTTGGATTCGCTCTGGACGATGCAGCGGAGGGACATGGGCCCGCCGGAGTACTTACGCCCGGTGCAGTATGTTAGGTACCCGAGCTGCTCCTTGGTGCGCAGCTGGTCAAAGAACGGCTCCTGGACGATCAGCAAGAGCAAATCCATCAGCACACGCTCCTCGTGGTCCTCCGTCTGCCCAACGTACACGGACACATCCACGCTGCTGTTCAAATTGGCCTCGTCCGGCATTGCCTCGTGATGCACATAGCTGCCAAAGTTATGCAGCAGGGCGCGCGCCGGCCGCCTTGCGTACTCGGGCAGTGGCAGCGTATCCATCGTTGTCATCACAATATCTGCTGCTGCCAGAGCCTCGGCTTCGGAAAAATTGCCCAGCACCAGCATCTGCACCCTGGCCTGCTCAAACAGTGTATCTACAAACACCTGCAGCCGCTCCTTAGTCACCAACCCAAACACCGCCTGCTTATCCGTATACCGCCACATCGTCCCCTGGTTCAAATACTGCGTGTTGGTCTGCACGTGATTGTACGGCTCCGCGTGCTTAGCGTTCTCCAACTTCTTGCGCACCTCACGGCTGTACGTCTCAAACTGCGTATCGTCCACTGCAAACGACTTGACAGTCTCCAGGAGGATCCGCAGCAGCTGCGGTAGCTTGTCGTTGAAGCCATCAATTTGCAGCGAAAGCCCGGAGATTGTCTCGCTGACGTTGAACCATAGCCCGGCCACCTGCGCATCATACGTGACTTCGGCTAGGATATCGTTGAGGATCAGAACGAAAAGCTGGTTGAAAATCGCGTTCAGCGGGGAATCGTATGCGCGCGGCGTCTCGATCTTCACCTGGATGTTGCCTCGCGGAAGCAGGAACCGGTCGTCCTGCTTGAACCACAGCTCCAGCCCCTCGGTCATCCGAAGCAGCTCCGGCTCCTTCGCCGGCTCCTCAGCCTTCTCCGTGGCCTTCACCGCAAGGTTGTCCGGGATAAACTGGTTCGGCCCCGGCAGGTTGAGCTCCTCGAACACAAGCTCCGCGCGCAAATCGCGCATTAGCTCGGCCGGAATCGCGTCCACACGGTACTTGCACCCGTAGTACTTCTCCTCCTTATCGAACTCAACGTCGATCATCTCGTGAGCGGCCAAGAGGATGCGGAAGTTCTGCGGGTTGAGGAACCCCTGAACCCACTCGAGCAGCTCCTCGTTAAAGTCCGCCACCAGCAGCGAATCCGGCAGGATCTTGCCTGGCGGCAAGTACTTCTGCTGCATGGTGTTCGCCAGGTTCATCGCCAGATTGACCGCGTTGAGCTTCTCCATGAACCGGTACTCGATCTCGCTCACCCGGCATAGCTCCTCCTGGTACCATCTCTGCGGGCCCTTAGCCAGAAGCAGCTGAATGTACGCGAAGACCGCGCGGATCGCGTCCTCGTAATGCTCCATGCCGGACTCCGTCAGATGGACCGTGATCTTGAACATATCAAAGCCCTCAGCGGACGTCGTCGCGCGCCCGGCAATGACACCGGTGGCCCACCCGCGCTTCTTCAAATACGACAGCACCGAGCCCTTGCCCTCGTGGCCGAGAAGCGACCCGAGGTAGCGCCCGGGCTTGAGCACGTAAAAGGGCTTGATGTCCGGCAGCGAAAATGTCAGCTCTAGAGTGCGCTGCTGCCGAACAGTCTTCAGCCTAATAATCCTGCCGAGCTCCTTCTCCGTCAGCGGGTGCCCCTTGAACATTGGCTTCGTCATGCCCTTGCTCAAGATCGGCGAGAACTTGGCAACCGTCCACTCCGTCAGTTGATCCAGCGAATCCCGACCCACCACAACCAGCTTCATTATATCCGCCGAGTAGTATTTCGCGTGAAACTTGAGCAATTCCGCGCGCAAATCCACGCTTTGTTCCTTGGCAGACCCAGATAGCGTATCGTAGTTGCCGGTGGCAAAGAGACTGAATGGGTGGTTGGGGCTTGATAGCTCCTTCTCAATCTGGTACTGTCGCCACATATCGCTCTGGATATTCTTCTTGTGCTCAGAGTCTACCGCTTTGACCTCGCGGTCAGTGCAGTCTGGTGCGAAAAGAGGGTCGATGAAGAACTGCGAGAATCGATCGAGTGCGCCCTCGAGTGCATCATAGGTTACGTCAAAGTAGTAGCAGGTGTCCTCGAGATCCGTGTACGCGTTGGAGCTACCGCCATGAGCCGAGAGGTACTATATAGGCGAGAAAGTATTTAAGATTTTTTAGAAAGAAGAAAATGTGGCTATGTATTGTGATGAAATTTATATTTATATTTATATTTTTTTGTGTGGGTTGCCAAATACGTTGTTTTGCAACAAAAAATTCTCGTTTTTTTCTTATTAATACTTACCGAGCTGTACTCGTTTTCCTTGGGATACTTTGAGGTGCCCTATATTGCATAATCACAAATAACAATGCGTGAGTAAAAAAAATAGAGATGTTAGTTGTATCAGTTTGTCTGGGATTATAGAAAAAAATACACAAAATCTGCAGATTACACATGTAAACATAGCCCACATAAGGAAAGCGCACATGCATACGAGTGCATTTCACTCTCATTATTTTTCATCTCTCATTTTGACACCCAAATAAAACAAACTAAAAGAAACACCAAAAGCAAAACAAAAAACAAAAAAACAAATACACTTTTTCAAGAGATAAAATCAACAGCGTACCATGAAAAGCAAGTGCTCGCAGAAATGCGCCAAACCTTGGTACAAAGGTGGGTCCGCCAGACTCCCCACATTGACATCCATCGCCGCGCATGCCTTGCTCTCCGTCGCATCATGAATCACCATAGCGGTCATTCCGTTTGGAAGCCTGATAAGACGGTACTCGCGCACATCGCTCTCTGACTTGTTTAAATCGCCGATAAACTCACTGTACGGCTGCTTTGACTCTATCGTGGTGCAGGCCACAAAGTCCGTTTCAAAGTCGGCCACTGGGGGAAGGAATTTGTTGTCCTTTTGCGTAGGCAGACTGTCCAACAATTCAAACGTACGAGTCATTTCAAGGCAAAAAAGAATAAATAATTATTAGTAAAATATAAAATGGAAAAAATTATTATTTTTGATTTTTTCGAGAAACAAGAAAGGATTGGCCTTACTGGATGTTCGTCCTTTTTTTCTCTCGTTTTGGCCACTTTTTTGTATTACTTGTTTCGGGTTTAGGTTTACAGAAAAAAAAAGACAAAAAAAGTAGTAACAAGCAAGAAAATGAGAAAAAAAGCTTCAACAATGCTTGAAAGAATACAATCATTCTTTCCAGTTTGTTTTTGCTTTTTTTCCACTTGTTAACAGTGTGTGTATTCTAATGCATAACGGCCTGTACTTGAATTTCATCTTTTTTCTTATGGCCTGCTAGATGGAGACGTCATTCATCAGCCATATCAGTATATCAGTGTGTGGCTGCATAATAATCAAGATTTTAAGCAGCAATAAATCAAAGGCTAGTGATCTCGTTAATTTTTTGTTTTACTTAATTTTGTTTTAATTTTTGGAGCTGTAAGGGAGCTTTGATGACTGAATGCTAGCTTGACTTTGCTTGCTAGCTCTCAACTCAGCAGAGCTTAGTGGCGTGAATCACCAGAACCTTTTTAATGTGTATAGGTATAGCTGAACTAATAAATACAGCTCGGACCAAAACCGATACATTTTTTCATTTTTTATTTTTCAGTGTATACAGTATACATAATCCAACTTGCAACCAATTGCTCGCCAATCATTATCATTGGAAACAAAACTATTAACTTTTCTTACAATATTTACAACTTGCTTAGAAATTATCAAATTGTTTGGCCCAGTCCTTGTGTTCTTTTGCTTATCAGTACTGCGGCTTTTAGTTATTTTGGAGATAAATGGGTTTTGCCTCATAACACAAAAATGATGACAAATCAACTTACATCGCCATGCCCAGTGGGACTAGGGTATATTAATAATTAAACCGAGATGACATTTGGGATATTAGGGTAGAAGATACGACAAGTATAAAAAGTTGATGGCCCAAAAAATGAGACAGGCTTGGCCCAAGCTGTATATGCACAAAAAGTCAGATATATGTTGTCAATTAATTGATGATAAGTAAAAAAATGCTGAAAATGGGAAAATAGGAAAACATTGATAGGAGAGTTATTGAGAGGCAGGAATGTGTGTGATGAGCTTTTTTATGGCAATAAAAGGCAAATATAAGATTGATATGTCAAAGTATAAATACTATTAATTTATATAAAAAGTAAAAGGCTGATATAAAGAAAACTGGATAAATTGAAAAACAAAGTATGAATCTCTAATGCGGGTCACAAGATAATCGGTTTGTAAAAAATAAAAACTGAAAAATAAAACAAGTTGAAAAAAACAAGGAGTGGGGTGCTGCTGCGACGCCATTATAATGGAATCTCACTTTCGACTTTGAGTGAGAACCACCATCGCTCCAATAGGCTAATCAGGTAGGCACAGAGTGTTTTGCAGCAATCGCTATCGGCCCCAGATAAGAATGTAGTGATGTACACCATAAAAAAGACAAATAATGTTTTTCTACTACTTTCATATCCACCACATTTTGTTGGATTCTAGTTTAGCTATTTTCTATTTTCTTTCACTACTGTCATTTACGCAACATTATTTGTTTATTATTGTGCATTATTTCTTGGATATAATATATTTTTAAGGAGCAACATTTTTTTCACTGCTTAATTTGAAAATTTTATAAAAATATTTACTGTTGGCAAATATCGACGTAAACATATTTTTTGAACAAAAAAGTTTGCTGAACTATGCTTACATTTACATTTGGCTTTTAAAATGTAAAATGGGTGTCGGGAATTTGAGAAGTAATTAAAATGTTGTCATCCTTGCCATTAATTCCAAACCGCTATTTTAAATAAACTTTAGAAAATGGAATGTAACTTATTTTGTAACATAATGATTAAGCATATGTCTTGGTATTAAACGTTTTCATTTAATTTTTCAACTTTGACACAACAAGCCTCTCAAACACACACAAACAAACAGTACTTTTTTATTATTTTATTATTTTTATCAATCATGCCGCGCGACACTCACCAACCCAATTACAGACGACAAGGTATCAGTCAGCCGTTCACATTGCAAAGATTATTTTTATATGCACGTATTGATTTTGTTAGAGGAAGTGTGCATTATAATTGGGCTGCTGCAAACAGGACTTATGCTATTAATGCACCCGCTGACAATGGCAATGGCAATAACAAAGGCTACAAAAGCAGCGATAGCAGCAACAGCAACAGCAACAGAAGCAACAGAAGCAATGTCAGTAGCAGCAGCAATGATTACACTTTTGACAAGGAGTATCTATTCATATGATAACCTTTCCAAGACGGATTCCCTCTATGACGAGCATTTGGTGGATGCCATCACAGAAGCTGCTGCAACAGCTGAGGCCAATAGAGGCTTGTGCAATGCAACCCTATCTTTTATCCTTTAGCAGGCCAACAGCTATGTAAACATCAACCAGCCAATTGAAGCCAAACTCCCAGACCTTATTAGATTCATTTTCAAAAGCTATGCAAGAGGGTTCAAATATACTCGGTTGTTTACTGAGCTAAACTTATCCCGGACTGCCTGTGATTCAATTAAATGTTTTTACCAAACAGTTGAGCCTGTTGGTGACGTGTTTACGATGCCATCGTACTCTCAGTTGGAACTGGGTAAAACGGGCTCATTTAGTGATATTGTCAGGCATCTGCCGATGTGTAGTAATGGATGTGAGATGTTTTTGGATATGCGTCCCCAGTGCAACTTTTGTGAGAAGGTAAGACCACTTGTACATTTTTCCCCCGCCCCTGAAAGTGGTAATCCCTTTACTGTGACATCAGAAATGGGGGCCGAGTCACGTGACAGCGCAGACGCGTAAAATATGTTTGATATTTTACGCGTACGGCGAATTCTGAATAGTGAGCTCTTCAGCTCTTTCCGTAGTCTCATTTTCATTAATATATATTATAGCTAGTTCGAATCTCATTACATTTACCTTTGTTCCACCACCTCCCAATAGTTTGATATTTTCAAACCTCTTCTATATCTTGATAACAATAGTATTTATAAAGACGCTACTTTTTCATATATTCCTATTATATCTCTACCATCTACTTTTATTCTTAATCCTGCTATGCGTGAGCTTATGCGCGTGGACCCATTTTTGCTGGAAATCCAGGACTCAAATCCTCGCGATATTTTTGATGGCAATAATTATGCCTATTTTTGTTCTAAGCATCCAGGTAGAAAAAACAACACCATATTCCTCAGTATTCAGATCGACGGGGTTTTGCCATTTGAACGCTCGCAGGACACCTCATTTACAATGGACAATATCGTGGTTAATAATATCACCTCTTATCTGCGCTATGAGCGCAAGTACATGCTGCAACCACCCATATTGCCAGTTTCAAAAAAAAAACCCCCGCGACATTTGGTATTTCCTGGCTGTCTTTTATTTGGAGCTTTTTTTGCTTGAAAAAATAGTTTCATCGTTACAATTGATGGCAAGGGAATAACTTTCTATGATTGCATTCTTTCAGCAACTGGCGACATGCCATAAATAGCCGATTTGATTGGTCACAGTGGCCACATGAGTACAAATGCATGCTGTGTCTGTGAGGGCAAGAGGGAGACACAGGTTAACCTTTTCTTTTTTAAATACACCGGACAAAACATCAATGCCTCTTGGCGTAAATATAGTCTACCTTTATTTCAGCATGGTCTAAACATTGCATGCCAGACTCCTTTTGCTTTTATTAAATCTTTCAAGGACGTCACTTTCTATGGCTTGGATGGATTGCATATGGTCAAAGGATGGGGAGAGATGATAGCCAAAGAGTTTAAAAGGGCAGTCACCTCCCAATTCTACTTTACTCCCATTCAGCGCACTCAGATTACCGAGGCCTTGAGAGTGGATCGCATAAGTATACCCGCATTTTTCGATTCCTCTTTTAGGTCACTGTTTGTCAGTGGTAGCTCGTTTCGTCCTGTTGGCTATATTGGATTTCTGTCATATATTGTACCCATCTTGGCGCACGAATTTTTCAGCAGCGATCCCAAATCTATGAATGCACTTGTCTCGTTAGCAACCTTGGCCCTGATCAGCACGTCGTGTGTGGGGTATTTTGCTGCAGGATAAAGTTGAGCTCAGGGAGGCCGTTGACACCTGTAAAAGGTACGTCATGTTGCTCAATGCACGCCACGATTCTGGGGACTCCAACCTTTCTGCCAAACAGCCGCCCAGCATGCACTACCTCCTCCATGTTCCTGATTTTATCGACGCCATTGGCCCACTACAAGCCTTGAGCTACCGTGCTGTGAAAATTACAAATGACTTCTATGCCAGGCAAATTAAAGACCACAACCAGATGGGCGCCGAGTTGGCCAACGTCCACATTAAGTTTGCCAGGCTACATGCGATGTCAAGGATGAAGCTAAAGAGGGATGATGTTCGATTTACTGTGGCCCCCCCCCAGGTTGGGACTTGAAAACTGGAAAGGCGCCAATGCCAGGTCGTTTCCCTCCAGCACCGGAGATGACAAGCTCAAAAGGTATCGTCTCGATGGATTAATAAAGTGGCACTGGGAACGATTACAGATAGCTGAAGGACAGGACAGTTCTGTTGCCAGGCCCATTGATCCAAAGATCCGGGTCTATAAAAGGCTCTTCTGCAGCGAGCACACAGTCACCCCAAAGTACACTGCCAGATCAACTCACCGGAAATTTTCCAACGCTTTGGTGTCGATCCCCGTCGATGAAAATTATACCATGCCAAGGACACCTGCTGTCCTAGTTGACAAGGACTATGTGGGCCAGTGTCTGCTCTTCTTTGACCACGTGCACAATGGGAGAAAGGCCGAGTCGATGCTTGTGAGTATACGCAACACAATAGAGAGAAAAAGCCTGGTGGACTAGCTTTCCAGGCCTACTAAAAGTCGCCGCAACATCGAGTAGTTGTCAGATCGGACTTTAAAAAGGTTGCTGGTTCCATTCGCGCATTTACCAGCAAAGGGACGTACTACATTGAAAAGGAGCAGCCCTTCCACAATTGTAACTTTGATACATGCCAAGAGCTGGGGGGTGGCTAGTTGTCATTTCGGCTGTTATGATAAATAAAGCATTTTGGTCAATTTGAGTATTGAATGTCTGCGCATAGATATATATAACTAGGTGAAAGGTGAGACATATAGGCTGCGAAATGTCAAATATTCAGCGCGCCCACTTCAAGAGGCATATACAGCATATAAAAAGGATGTGCACAATATCATCAAAACATGCTGCGTTTACAACAATAGCCGAGTGCAGAATCTCTCGGGAATTTTCATCAAATTGGCTTACGGCGTTATCATCATACGCATTTATAACTTGTCTCATGCTACTTGCCATTTTCATATAATTTAACAACAATTTTCTTGCTTCCATTTTTTAAAAATTTAATTTTTATCTTAATGCTTTCTACTTGCTTTGGGGATCTTTATTATCTTCTCAAAATAGCAATGTTCAAGGTTTGCTTTAAAAAAATCCGTGACGTTCTGTGGCCAACTTCCAGACACGAACCTCCTGAAGAATCTTGCGAAACCACCTCTTCTGTCAATACAGGTCCTGTGGATGAACCTGAATCGCCGCCTAAAAATAAAAAGTTTTTACATACTTACCACACTATTTTTGAGGCTAAATTTGGTTTTCTGAATATGCAAATAGCATGGCTTAAGGACGAGAACAAAAAAATCCGCCGCCATATAGCTAGCAACGAATCTGTAATTTATGGAATTATGTCTGCTAGCACTAGTTTGGACATTAATGTTTGCGAGTTTGAAACTGCCCGCTTTGGATTTGAAGCTGCGCTTGCCAAGTCCGAGTCCAACCTGTGCTGAGACAGATATCGATGCTAAAAATATGCGCGATAAACTGGATGTTTTGAAAAGAAATAATATTATGAATTATAAATTATTTATAGCCTCGGAATTGTGGTGGACACTCAAGTCGACACTAAAGCATTCAGACAAACCTCGTTCAGAGTCATGCTCTTTTTTTTCGTTCAGTTCCTAACGACTATAAATTAATAAATCAATACGAAATTTAATAAGCTAATGTTTCGAAGCACTCATTCTGTATGTATATAAAGTTGAACTTCATTCAGTTGTCTACTCTCAAAAAGTCTCGATCAAGCGACAACAGCGACGCAGCTCCATTGCGCTGGGCACTGAGCTCGCGCAGCAATGTACCAGTCTGGCGACATATGCACTCGAGAGCAGACATGTGCGGGGAATTTTCCGCAGCCACAATGGCCATCTCAACAAGGCGAGCCAGGGGCTCACGCGCCGATGGATCGAGCAATGCCGCAACGGGGCTCTTGGCCGGATCAGCATACGCTAGCAGCGAAAAAGTGTGCACCAAGCCTTCGCGCACGATCGCGCTGGGGGACGAGCTGTAGTCGGCCTGCAGCTGGCGCCCATAGTCCAGCAGCACGCGCACCAGCTGCGTCTGATCCATGCCGTCAATATTGCCGAGCTGGCCAAAGCGCACTTGCCTCATAAGCCCCGGTGCGTTGGTGATGGAAGAGAGCGACAGGAGCGAGGGCGAGTGCGAGTCATCAACATCCATCATATCGTCGGCGCCGCTATGGCTCGGCGAAGCCCCCAACGGCGTTGCCAGCTGGCCGCCGTCGCTGGGCACGCTGGCCACAATGTGGTCGCTGTTGGCCGCGCGAACCAGCTCGACAAACTGACGACACCGCAGCTGGAACACAATCACCTCGTTGCGCAGCACCGCCGGGTACGCGTCCTGCAACAGCCCCAGCGCGGCGTCAATGGCGCCCTCGCGAATGTGCTTGCACACCCGCCTACGCGTTGCCCGTTGCGAGTCCTGCTGCTGCAGTGTTTGAAGCACAGCCTCCAAGCGCTCGTTCCTTTTTTGGGAGCCGGCGTCCGAAGCTGTCTTGCACGAGCTTCGCTGGCCAATTGCGTTCTCGATTAGCGCGCGCGCAGTCGCATAGTGCTCATTGTGCAGCAGCTGCGCAAGCACAATGCTGAGCGCCGCGTCGCCGCGGTCGGTGTCTGTGTTGGAGCCACCGCTTAGCGGCACACCGCCAAGAAGCTCGTCACGCAGGGCGAGTATGTTTCGGGGCTGAAGCGGGTCTTTGGACTGGGCCGAGTACTCTGCATCTGCCGCATTGGCTGGCGGCAGCTCGCACGAAATATTAGCTTTCTGTACCAAACCCAGTGCCTCCGTGCGTGCCTCGCTCACATAATGGCAGATGTCATACATAAACGCCTTGCGCCCAAAGTTGGCCACCACGTGCTCGCCCGGCGTCCGCATGCCCACGCACGGGTACAGCGGCTTGCTCGTGTCGATTTCCCTGAACGCGTATCCGACAAAAACGCCGTTGCGCGTAAAGAAGATCCGCTTCTTCATAAAGTCCATGCCACAGCCGACCGTGTCGCCGCTCGCAAAGCCTGGCCCAAACGGCGTGCCGCGTCCGTCGCAGTCGAACACATTTCCGTCGTCGCCATGGTACCCCCACGAGCCCTCGTCCCATCCAGGCAGCCGGCTCCTCTGCACGTGCTTCCGCGACAAGCCAATCCCGATGTATCCGCTCTGTCCGCGGCTCTTGATGTACGCCTCAAAGTAGTACACACCTGTGTGCATGGGGATGCAGTTGTTGGTCAGGATCATCGCTGCGTCCCCGTCCGTGCGGCCAGGCCCAGTGTAGCGCACATCGACCCGGTCAGATGCCACGGCCATGTTGAGGGGATTCTTGACGGGCGACCACTCGCTAGGCAGTGTCTGCTTCTTTTCTTCTAGCGCGGCCTGCGCGGCGGCCGATGTGTCGGCTGTTGCCCCCGCTGCTGTCCGCGTTCGCCCCCCACCCAATGCCGCCAAGCGAGCAGAGTGGGAATCGCGACCGCGAGCAAGAATGTCTGCGTAGCGCTCAATCGTAAAAGACGGCTCCGGGCTCCCGCTCACGTTGCGCCCAAACGGGACAAATACGTCGCGAGAATGATTGCCCGTTTGGGCTAACAGCGGAACCATCACAGACGTGGGCGCGGGCCGAGACGGCGGCAGGGGTGGAGTCGGAATCTGTTGTGCAGGCGCACTTCTGGGCTGGGCGGCGAGATCAAGGCCGTAGCCGAGTCTAAGCCCGTTGAATGTGGACGTCGTGGGCACTGGCGTGCAGTATTGCGGCCAGGTGTCCCGCACAAGCGTTTTGAAAAACATGTCTGGCGCCAGACGAGCTATCTCTGACTCGCAGTCAGCAGAGCTTGAGAATAGGCCCGAATTTCCACCTGCCGCTTCTCCGCTATCTGCGCCGGAGGCGGCTCCACCCGCTGTTTTGTCCGGTTTCGCAAACAAGTGGCGATTAAGCATGCCAAAGGCAGATTCCTCCAAGTACTTTGGCAAGAAGGGTGTGTTGACGTACCGCTCGCTGGCGGGTGATTGGCTTGTTGTTCTGCTGCCCGAGCGGGAGGTAGCCAATGCCAGAGATGGAAGGTCTTCAAACGAGCGAGTGGCAGTATGCCCTCTGACGCTGCCGCCAATGCCTCTAGCGCCAGGTCGATCCCTGTTGAAATTGCCAACATCACTGTCACTATTGCTCGAGTCATCGTCATTATTTTCGGGCTCAGAGGACATGCTACTGTCGTGCTCGCTCACGCCGTCATCACGCTCATGGGCATCGTCATGGTCAATCTCATCGGCATCCTCGTCCTCATCATACTCTTCCATATCCTCGTCCGCGTCTTCCTCCATCTCGTCGTGGCTGACATCTTCATAATCACCATTAAACATTCGCGGGTCCAAGTGGCGGCTATCCTCCTCGCTGTCATCATCATAATAGTCGGTATTGGCATCAGCACCAAAACCATCACCACCACCAAGAATGACAGCACGGTCGGAATCTTGAATGCCATGGAAAGCTTGTGACTCCAAAAACTCTGCTATTGGCCGGGGCCACCTTGCTATCTGGCTTCTCCGATGGGCGCTTCTATTTGAGTTGGCAGTCGAGGTTGCGACTGTCCTGGTGGAAGGAATTGCGTTGACAGGAGTGTCGTCAGAGTCGGCACCTGACTGTAAACTACGACGCGCTGTGAACCAAGTCGACCCGCTGCCCGGGCTTGTGCGTCTGTCCTCCATTGATATCTGTAATAATTTTTTTTGGTTATCGATTCAAATGGAGAAAATAATAGAAATGAGCGATTGTGAAAATAAGAAAAGACAAAAAAGGGTGTATTGAAAAATCGCGCAGCTTAAGGCCAATAAATTACGAGTATCTCTGCTTGTGACAAATTGATATAAAAACAATGGAAAGTATAAGACGGAAAGTGAAACAATTGTAAAAAATAAAATTGTAAAGAGGGAAGAAGAGCGGGGAGGAAATGAAAGCGTGTGTCAGTCAAACTGAAAAAAGAGAAAATTAAAGGCGGGGGGTTCTCGGCCTTCGACATGGCACAAGGATCCATCCAGCCAACCAGAACCTCCAGCTTTCGATCAGCTGAAAAGCCAATCCTGTGTGTCGTGTAAAATATTTTCTTCTTTTTTAGTTATGCAATCAAAGTTTATTTTTCACTTTTTTTTTTTATTGATTTTGACGCAATCGTTCAATTTAAAACGTTCAAAATTCTACTTATATTATTATTTTTCTTGCTATACTGCACACACAGACACGTCGCTGCCTGCACACTTTCTCGCTGTGCGCTAAACAGGTTATCCGCGTAAGAAAGAAGGTACACACACAACACTGAACAAGGAAACGCAAGACTCAACACGTTCACGCAGGGTCGCGCTCTAAACAATTGCGAGCAGACGAATTATACCTAGAAAAAACATAAAGAACACGCACGGATTATCAGTACTGCCCTTTCCCCCTCCCTGTCCTTTTATTCGTTTGGTACAAATTACACATACAAACTGGTTGTTGTTTGGCTTGTTTGTTATTTTTTTTTCTGTGGACCCTAAAAATGTCACACTCTCGCACATTCCGCCACGGCAGCAATAGACACTCGTCCAGGCGCAGGGACTCTAGATCCCCCGACAGACAGCGGCAGCGGTCGCCTAGTCGCCACCGCCTGAACTCCAGACATGCCCACGGTCGGTCGCCATCGCCGCCACCGAGGCAGCAGCGCACAGCGAGTCGGACCTCGACAGACGCGAACGATAGCAGAGCAATTCCTGCGATTAGATCTGTCAAAAGTCACACACCCACGACACCAGAAGCTAAGGCGGATGCCGCAGACGATGCCGAGAGCCTGAAAAAGATGTCCGTGAAGGAGCGGCTGGCCATGTGGAAGAAGCGCAAGGAGGAGGCCAAGTCTTCTGTCGAGCAGACGCCAGCAGAGAGAATCACCGAGGATGTGCGGACAGTCAGTCGGGCGTCGTCAGCTGCTGACGATGGCAGCAGTGCTGTGTTTGTCACCGCGCCCGGATCTGTCGTGTCCCAGTCACAGCCGACGAGTGAGGCTGGCTTTGAGTCCCTGCCGGTTACACCAGGCCCGAATACTGCGCCGTTGGCAAAGTCCACATTAAAACTCGGCACAGGGATCCCCGTCGGTGCTGCCTCGCTTGGCGGTGGCATACGGTCCAAGCCATTGGGCGGCCTGATGAGAATGAAGCTTGGAAGGCCCGGTCTCGGTGTCCACCGTCTGCAGCCGCTTTCGGCCCTGGGAAAAGGCGTCTTTGGCGCGGATGCAGACGCGGATGGTCAAAATGAGGGCAGCGGTGATGCCTCCCAGCGCCGGCGTCCGCTAGTTATGCTGTCGGCCGAAGAGCATATTTCTCAGCCGAATGCTGACCCTACGAAGGCAATGGACGTCGACGATCCCGCTGTCGATCCGTTGGAGGAGTACATGCAGGGCGTTACCTCGGAGGTCAATGGCAGCCATAGTCAATTGGACGAGGCTTTATCTGCAGACCCAGCGATTGGGCCAAACGCCACAGGCGCGCAGACACTGGCTGGTGACGAGGGCAATTTCAGCGACGGGGCTCCTGAGGACTCGGAGGATGTTCTGGCGCTGGCTGCTCGGCGCCTGAAGAAGAAGGAGCTGGCTATTGTCGACCACTCCAAGATCACCTACGAGAGCTTCAAGCGGAACTTTTACATCGAGCCAGCAGAGCTGCGCGACATGACGAAGGAGGAAGTGGACATGATGCGCGTGGATCTCGGCGGAATCAAGATCCGTGGCGAAAACCCGCCCAAGCCGGCGACCAACTGGTCGCACTTTGGACTGCCCTCTGCGTGTGCTGACATTATCAGACACCAGGGGTTCGAGAAGCCGACGCCGATCCAGGCGCAAGCGGTGCCAGTCATACTGAGCGGGCGGGATATGATCGGCGTGGCAAAGACTGGTTCGGGCAAGACGTTGGCCTTCATTCTCCCCATGCTGCGGCACATTAAGGCCCAGCGGCCGTTGGCGCAGGGCGAGGGCCCGATTGCCCTGGTCATGACCCCGACGCGCGAGCTTGCTGTGCAAATACACCGCGAGTGCAAACCGTTTCTCAAGCCACTGGGCTTGCGCGCCGTGTGCGCCTACGGCGGGTCGGCAATCAAGGATCAGATAGGTGAGCTCAAGCGTGGCGCCGAAATTGTCGTGTGCACGCCCGGACGCATGATCGACCTGCTGAGCGCCAACTCTGGGCGCGTCACCAACCTGCACCGCGTCACTTACCTGGTGCTCGACGAGGCTGACCGCATGTTCGATATGGGATTTGAGCCGCAAGTATCCAAGATCACCCAGAGTGTGCGCCCGTCGCGACAGACCGTGTTGTTCTCGGCCACTTTCCCTCGTCAGATGGAAGCACTTGCGCGAAAGATCCTCCGCCGCCCGCTGGAGATTGTCATTGGCGGCCGGGCGTTGATTCCGCCAGAGGTAGCGCAGCATGTCGAGGTGGTGGAGGCCAAGGACAAGTTTATCCGCCTGCTGGGCATTCTTGGCCAGACATTCAATGATAACGGCGAGTCCCTCGTCATCATATTCGTTGATAGACAGGAGGCGGCCGACGGGCTGTTGCGCGACCTGATGCGGCGAGGGTACGTGTGCAACTCGCTTCACGGCGGCAAGGACCAGACAGACCGTGACCAGGCGATTTCCGATTTCAAGAACCGCGTGTACTCAGTCCTCATTGCCACCAGCGTTGCGGCACGTGGCCTGGATGTGCGTGGCCTTAATGTTGTCATTAACTTTGATTGTCCCAATCACATGGAGGATCTGGTTCACCGGGTTGGTCGGACTGGAAGGGCCGGCAATAAGGGCGATGCCTACACGTTTATCACACCAGACCAGGACCGCTATGCCAACGAGGTTGTCAAAGCACTGAAGCTCAGCGGTCTGACACCGCCTGATGACGTGCAGGCCATGGCAGATGCGTTTATAGAGAATGTGCGGCAGGGCAAGGAGCGGCATGGCGGCAAGTCTGGGTTTGGCGGCAAGGGCCTGGAGAAACTCGACAAGGACCGCAATATGGTCAAGAAGATCCAAAAGATCACCTACGGCGCTGCCGATGGTGAGACCCTGGACGATGACGATGACGACGACAAGGACGGTGATGCAGGCAACCAGGGCGAGGCCGACAGCGACGGTGAGTCTACAGTTGGCCTGGGCAAGCACAGAGCTAAGGGTAAAGATGGCGAGGTTGTTCGCCGCCTGCCCGCCATATCCAGATCGACCACTGCGGCTGCTGCGTCGCCAGCTGTTGCGAGTGCAAACTCAGGCTCGGAGGTAACCTCTACCAATGAAGCATTGCAGCAGCCTGCGCTTCCGGAGGGCTTGCCTGCGGCTGCTCGTGCGGCTCTTCTGGCAGCGCAAGCGGCTGCGCGCCGCCTTAACATTGCCAGCAGTATTGCCAGCGACCCGCAGTCAGCACCAGTATTGAGTGCAGTCGAGCAAATTAACCAGCAGCTTGGCATTACCACGGCTACTCCCGGCCATACCGACGCTCCCCTCTCGGCGGCAGCAACCACAGCAGCAGCAGCAGTGACAACGGCAACAGCGCCCAAGATGCGCACAAGCAACTCCTCTTTGATCAAGGATCCGGCGTCCAGCAAGGATGCCTCGACTCCGGGCCATGCACCAGCATCGGGCGCCAATGCATCCATCCCCATGGGCGCCAATGCATCCATCCCCATGGGCGCCTATGGGTGCGAGCTGGATATCAACGATTATCCGCAAAAGGCGCGCTGGCGGGCCACTAACCGCGAAACACTATCGCAGATCATTGAGCAGTCTGGCGCGGCCATCACCACGCGCGGAATCTTTGTGCCGCCTGGGAAACCCGTGCCTGAGGGCGAGCGCAAGCTCTATTTGTCCATCGAGTCTGATTCTGAACGGTCTGTCGAGCAGGCCAAGAACGAGATTAAGCGGATTCTAACCGAGGCTACTTTGCATATCATGGAGCAAGAGGCTCGCGCTGGTGGCACTAGTGGACGTTATTCCGTTGTTTAAGATTGGTTTTTTTTTTAGGCTTTAGTTTTTTGATTGATTTTTTGGCCTTATTTTTATTATTGTGCTGGTACAAGTGATGTGCAAATGTAAAGAATGTTTATAAGTGAATTTATTCGCATAATAAACAAAACCAAAAGAATTAGCTACGCTCCAATGCTGTTGTTTAGGACTGAAATTACCTTACAAATATTAATTCGCCGATGCATGCATCTGCTTGACGCTCGGGATCAGTGTACTCAATTTGCACGATATTCATATTTTCTGCATCGTGTGCATGGCCAACGAGAACGAAGGGAGGAAGTTGAGCAGGCGGGATAGCTTTTATTCCGTAAGAAATTATTAATATTTGCATTTATGTCCTTCTTCTGTATCATAGCTTATATTACACATTATGCAAAGTACCTCTGCATTTGCATTTGCATCGGTGCTTTCCGCATGAATTTAAGTGCAATATTGGAACATAATTGATAAGATAGGAATGTAGATTTTCTTGCAATGATTTGTTTTGGCCAATGCTTTATGGCATATATGCGTTGTGAGATAAATAAAACAACGATGATGCGGTGATGGGCAATCCTATTTATATGTGGTGGTGAGCTCGCATGCACTTTTAATGTTTAAAAACAATTAAAGCAGCATCGCACACACCTAATTGAACCTCATCTCGTATACTCCCCATTGGCTTTAGGGGAAATCGTCTAAGAATAGCAACATAGCAATAAAAATGACCACTTTGTAAGTATATAGTAGCCTATAAAAGGATATTTCTATTATTTCTATTTAAAAAGAGCAACTGTAAGTAATGTTTGAACAGAAAATAAAGACAAATAAAATTTGCTTCACATCTCAAAAACCAAATGGGTAAGTAAAGCCCTTTTTTGCTCAAGACTTTTTGGAGTAGCTCCAGCACCCAATTACAGCCAGTGTTTGAGTTTCTGGAGTGGCCTCATCGTCATTATATCTAGCTCTTTTTAGCCAGAGCTGTTGTGGGCTCGGTTAATCGCATGATATCATCATCGTAATCAACAAAATAAAATCAATTTTTGAAAAGTCGGAAATAAATGCAGGTTTAGGTTATCACACATCACGTCACATTCCACAAATTCGCAGATCAGGAAATAAATGTCCCCGAAAATTGGATTTTCCTGTTTGCCACCTTTATAGAATTGTGTTTTCGGTTATTTTTATCATATTGGTATATTTTGCTTTTGCTTTTTTCAAGCACTACGTCATAAAATAATGAGGTCATGTGTATGCGTGGAGGAGGGGCCACCCGTCTTCATTTTTCAACTATTTATTTGCACACTGAAAAAACGTGCGGTTTAGGGGGAAGAACTGCAAGAAATAAAGTGCAAAAAACAAGGTGCGGATTAAAGCGGGGCTTTTAGTTTGTCACTCCACTTTTTTATGTGTGTGTCAGTGCGAGAATATTAGTCTGGTCAAACACTGTCGAATCACATAGAATACAAGCTAATTTGTTGCCGTGTTGCATCGACTGACCAAGCAAACACAGAACATTGTCTGCGGGTATATAAGCTGGGTGCAATTCTGGTCACTTTTATTTGTTTCCTCTTTCTTCTCTTCATTATTATCCAAGTGTCTCCCCTATTTATCTCAAAGAAAAACTCATTTTATTAATACAACTTTATCATTATTTTCATCAACCATGAATCCCGAAATCGCCGCTAACCACCCTCCTGCCGAGTTCAAGGCCGGTCGTCGCATGTCACAGAGCTCTGGCGTTCCCATTCTCAACAAGGAGCCCCTTTCGCCAAACAAGGATGAGGAAGGCGACTCGACGGAGCTTATTCACCAGAGCGAGCTCGACAAGAAGTACCTTTATGAGCAAGTCAAGAAACAGCAGGAGCACGCCACGAGAAACCAGAAGTATACCAATGCCGAGCTTAACCGTGGTCCTGATCCTGTTAGGAACGGAAAGCTTCGCCAGCCCTCCCAGTTCCCCTCTGGTATCCCCAAGGACACCAAGATGGCCATGAGGGAAGCGAAAAACTAAGCCTGTAAATATCAATTTACATTTTCATCATTATCCTTATATTACCTTTCAACCTTGTAAATCAAATAAATGTGAAATATTGGGGGAAAAATAATTCAATTGGAATGTGCTATGATTTTCTAGTCATTTCGAGTGAAGAAAAAAATATATGCCTGCTCGGGCTCAGGATCGCTTTGCGCGACAACCTTGGAGTCGTTGAACAGGAACCACTGCGTGTCGGTGCCCTGGCCCTGGCGCACATTGGCGATATAATGACCGCAGTGCACCGACGATCCCTTGTGTGAAACAAATCCAGTCAGCTCAAAGACACTGGCGCTCTCACTATCATCACTGCCGCCACCAGTGACGCTTGGGCTGGCCATGGTGACATCACCAGTACTAATGGGCTGCTCGTCATCAGGGAAATTCAGCAGGCGGTCGAGAGCGCGGTTGGGATCGCCGCCGGCATTGGTAAGCTCCTTCTCGACGCGCTCCTTGCTAAAGCCCATGGCCATCAGCTGCTCGACGGCCTCGGGATCCACAGTGACGGCGGAAGCGGCATTGGGCTGCGCAGAACTCTCCTCGGGAACGTCAATGTCAGCGTCGTCCATGTGCTCAAATATCCAATTCATCGCGGCCTCGGCACCGCAGTTTCCAGTTTTCTTGACTGCCTTGACGCACCGCACACGTGGGAAACCCATCGACTCGAGCTGACTGACAGTCTCCTCGTTGACAGCTACCTCCTCGGGCTGCGCAGCGATACCAGAAGTTGCATCCTGGGCAGACTCGTCTGTCTCGGGAAGTGGCTCCTCTCCAGGCTGAATTCCGCGGCCGCGGTACGAATCAAGGTCAATCTGGTCGAGGGGCACCTGAACTGGTATGTCGAGCTTTTCCGGCACCCAGTTGACAAGCTCAAACCGCCTGACCTGCATCGCCATAACCTTGGGAAAGGTTGCAAACCGCGTAGACTTGATTGCCGTCGTGGCGCGCTGGCAGTGCGGGCAGTTGTAGCCGTCCACGGTCTCGGTGGCACTCATCAAGTCCAGGCACTCCTTGAGCGTGACGGGCGCCAGCTTTGGCTTCGCCAGTTCGTGAGATTCCTCCTTATTACCTGACTTAGTCGCTTCAACGGGAGCAGTGCGTTTGATGGCAGGCAGCGACACCGAGCTGGCGCGCTGCACCTTGTAGCGCACTTTTTGGCAGCCAGTGCACTGCAAGCGCTCCTCAGTGCTGAAGTCAAACACCTTGGTTGGGTCCCTGGCGCCGCCAGCCACTGTGCGCTCGACGATGCCGACCTGCTTGGTCAAGTGCTGCAAAAATTCGAACGCGTCCTGCTGGCGCATCGTGCTAAACTCGTAGTGGTCCTTGGCAATGGCCGCCTTAAACTGCGCTGGTGGTATACCGCGCTGGTGACCGGTCTGCCCCTCGCTGTTTGTCTCAAGAATGGCGTACCGCCCGCTCCACAGACCGTCAGCCAGCTTGTGCAGCTGACACAGGACGCACTGCGCGGGGCATGCTTGCGTGCACATGGCAAAATGCTCGGCAGCAGTCGGGAAATAGCGGTCGCGGAAGCGGTCAATGCCAAAGACACACTGCAGAACTGACGCCATGTAGCACGAGTTGCCCAGGTTGCGCAGACCGGTCAGACCGGGCCCCGCAACAGGCTGCAGCTGTGTGCCATCGGCGGTGGTCATGTTGAAATCAAACTTAAGGTTTTGTTCAAGCTGCAGCTCAGCTACGCTCTTCTCAGTCTTTTGCTGGGCGCTGACGTTGATTCCAAATGCGTGCAGATGGGTGGACAGGCTTGGATCCATCTTGTTGTCGTCGCACGAGTAGCAGTACGCGTCAGCCGTGCCCTCTGGCGTAATAGTGCCTAGCTTGATCGACACCTTGTGTCCGGTTCTCTCAAAGTGGTCAATTGCATGGTTGTTGCCACCGCTGCCATCATACTGCCGCCGCCCACAGCCAACATGGCCACACACCAGGCACAGCCACAGGTTCTCGTGCTTATCGCAAGAGCCACACCGATGCAGCTTATCCAGTCCAAATCCCTCCGCGGGACTTTGATCTAGCGCGTTAAAATGCTCACATGCTGTGACTTCCTCGGACCACGCCTTGATCTCATTTCCCTTGCTGGCCTCAACTGCGTATATGACCGCCTGCACCGTCGGCTCAATATGCTCTAGCCCTCCCTCGACCCGAGCGCCCGAGCATCCCCAGCAGCGCACATACGTCTGGTATTCATGCTTCTTAATGTCGCCCTCCTCGCGAATCTCCAGCTTGGTCTGCTTTGCCGGGCGTTGGTCGTCTTCGCTCTGGGCCTTAGCAACCCGGCGGATGTTTAGTGTCAGGTAGTGCCCGGTTCTCATCGAATGCTGCTGCGCGTGGTTGTGCGGACCCTCGGGGCACCCACCGTTAAAGCATGACAGGCAAACCTCGATGCCGCCCTCCATGTCTTGGTTGTCGAAGCACTGCGTGCACTCCTCCTTGTACACCGGCGTTGATGATGAGGGCGGCGTCAGCCGAGAGTTGAGCGCGTGTTCGCAAATGGCCATGGTTTTAATAATAATAGTTGCTGGTGTTGTAGTTGTAGTTTTAATTTTAGTTAAAAAATATATATGCAGTTGAATTTGTAATAAGTGAGGGGTTGGGGGAAAAACAAAAGGTGGCCAGAGAATGTATAAGGCGCAAAGGCATTTTTGCGTCATCGAGCACTGATCTTTGATCTGTGGTGATCAGCACAAAGCAAGCCATTGCAATTTTCAAAATTAACCTTTTCTATATTTCACATCCCGCTTGCTTTTATGCACCCCACCAGCTTTTTTTTTGGTTGTGGAAATCAGAACCGACCCAATGCTTTTTTAAATTGGGACATGGGTTTAATTGCTCGCAATTGTGTGCGCTTGACCGCGCGAATACAGGTTGAGATACCACAGCTGGGGATGGCAATTGGCACGCCCAAGTGACCCAGCGGCACGCACATGCCCCTCACAGCCAGCCGACCCACGTTGTCGTCTCCTTTCTACTTTTATTTCTTCATCTACCCCCTTTATCGGACTTTTGTTAATATTTATTGCTAATGTGTAGGCCTTTGTATTAATTTTCTACTTTTTTACTTTCATGTTATTTTTCTGTTATTTTATTCCATTTTCTTTTTACTCTACTTGTTTGTTATTTCTGTACTTGTCACGACATTTCTTTTAATTTTTTAACTTCAAGCGCCTTTTTCACATTCGGGCTTGAATTCCCTAATTTAAACCCCTTGACTCGACGTGGCGTATCTCGGCACGTTTTCTTCTTTTCTTCTGCGCATACATATATATATATTATATTTGACACAATAACTGCAAAGTAACGGTATCCGTGCACAACCGTGCAGACTCACAAACCCACCTAAAATCGTATTATCATTCTTACTGCGCAAAAATGACCACACAAGCGAATACAGACGACGCGTTCAAAAAGTAAGTATTATTTAAAGTTCCTCAATTGCAACCAGATATAGAAACAGGCCTGTAATGACAATGACAACGGAATTGTGCAGCAACCGGTAGCATGGGTGAGCAACCTGCATCTTTTTTAATCATTCGAACTACTTAACCAACTATTGCCAACTAAAAGCTTTATTCACTGCATATTATTACTCACATATTAGGCATTGCATCGCGATTGGTGAGTACACACGGAATCAGTACCGAAGACTCCAGAAGTGCGAGTCACAGCCAGCACTCGAGACCATCTGGGGCGACATACTCATCCACAGACTGGCGCTGCAAGAGTACTGCGAGGAGTTAATATTATCCTGCCCTGAGCAGGCCAACGACGTTTCAGCAGACAGGTTTCTGTGGAAATACGTCTACTACGACGCAATCACCGAATGCCGCAAACGCCTGCGGCTCCACGTACCTCTACATGATCTCTCGCACACATCATCAATTACCGGAAGCATGCGCAGCTCCGATCGTTTGGGCAGCACGGATGGAAGCATGGTGCGGAGCAGCAGGGCCAATAGTGAGGGGCCGCTCGAGGAATGGCAGGAGAAATGGTGGACAATGATCCTGGCCACCCTATTTAACGAGGCCCTGGGATACTTTCAGTGCCTGTATAGCCGCATGAGCTCGAGACTTGAGGCCAGTCCGTTGACGTACGCCAAGCGGTACTTGAACTCAGAGCAGTACCGTTTGCCGCCGGCCTACATGATTGCCCGGCGTCTGTACATGTATATAGGGGACGTCTATCGATACCAGTTTATGTATCTGCCATTGTTGAGCTACGGCAACATTGGTCCGATAGACGCTGCAGAAATTTTAAAGTTGGCGCGGTGGACGTACGGAAGGGCGAGTGCAATGTTTTTTGACAATGGGCGTGCGAATATCCAAATTGCAATATTATCGACATATTCACACAGCCTTCTCAACGCAGTATTCTGGCACATGTGCAGCATGTGCTATGTAGAAAGCTCGCCCGGAAGTCGTAAGCGTGGCATGACAAGCATTTCCGCCGCGTATGCCAAGCAGGAGCTCGCCGAGGTCAGTGATCCAATTGAATCCCTTATTATTAAATTTTCCCAGGCTGTCATTACGGGCGGAGGATCCAGCTCGGTGGTTTTTACGGTATACGAGGACCTGCTGGCAGAGTTTAATGCCGATTTGGACGAGATCACGAATAGCCCAGCGATTTTAAACTTGGATGGTGATTTTTGGGTACGTGAGTACCAGCTCAGTGTCATCCTGGGCTCCCTGCTGACCGTTGTCTCTGAATACCCCACATGGAATGCCGAGTCTCAGCGGTACCTGCTGTGGATTCAGCATCTGGCACTGACTCTGCTGCTGCGACAAGCGCTGTGCTTGCAGCAGACACTGGACATTGGCGAAGCAGACCCCCCCAGCACTGTGTATCCGCTGATAAGCCTGGCACTGTGGATCGATATATGGCGCTCGACCCCCCATTTAACCGAAACGTTTAAATTTGCCTGTGAGGTGTGCCCAGAGTTTGGCCAAAGTGCCGAGTCATTTTTCGATTGTCTGGTTCGGCTCGTTCGCGATTACTCGGACTACGGCTTGACAGCCCAGCACGCGGATCAATATGCGGAGATGGCGAATGGCGTGTTGCCGCATGACCTTTCACTAATGGGTTGGATGTCTCTGCGTGCGGTTCAAAGGCGAGTCAGGTATCAGATCATTGACACACTCCCGCTCATCTGTCCGTCAGCGGCTGGTAGTCCGGTGCTTGCTGGAAATGCACAAATCAAGTGCACTGATGCAGATGGGAATGGTGAACCACTTTCGCACTTGTGGTCCAATACAGCTAACATAATGGGTGTGGTATTTGCCCGGGCCCAAGAGCTAATTTTGGCTGAAGCTACGCGCGGCGCAATGCCATTTCTGGGCTGGGATTCTGCGCAGCAGCTCTTTGTTGGCACCAGTGAATTGCCTTCAGAGGCTGAACATCCTGAAAACGAGCAAAACAATACCAACAGCGCAAACGCAAGTCTATCAATAGATAAAGAGAGTCCTGACTCCACTAACATGACACAGCATCTGCTTTGGCCTTTGCGTATCCCAGACGTGGACATGTGGTGCTCACATTTGTCCGCAGTGCAAGAATGGCTCGAATCATCGACATTTGGTGTATTTCTTACAAACAACGTACACCAAGCACTTTTTGATCTTAAAAAGTCTGGCGATGGCAAGATATTGTCGTCAAATGCCACTGCAGCCTTGCAGCTGATTCACGACTACGTGTCAAAAGTCGACTCGCCCCTGGTCATTCAACAATTGCCAGGCGATGCATTAGATAAGTGGGAAGATGCCAACGTGTTTTTGCAGTACGATGAGGACGAGGATGTGCCGGTTGCAGAGGATGTGCCGAAAACAATGCGCGATATTCTTTCGTGTGCTATTCGCTTGGCGGACACCAGATATTCCCAGCATGGTGTGGAGATTGTTACTGATGACGAAGAGCTTGGGTATTATGCGTCGTGGTTTGGAATTCAGTGCATGCCATCGGCCCTGTATTTATTTAATGATGAATATAATTTATAATATAAAGTGTCCATAATCTAAGTAAAAGCGATAAAGTTAAACAATTGTATTCATTATTTTTAACGCAACGAAATTAATTTTTGTATACGTATTTGCTTGAAATGGTCACAAAAATTATCATAAGTTTTTTTGTAACGCAACCTGCAAATAAATATTTGTGGTTTACCCACAATGACAGCTATTAGGCCGATTAAAATGTTCATAGATTCAATGTATTATTCATTAATTGCAATAAAGTTAACTTGATCTTGTCTTGTCTTGAATCCCGAAATAAAGTGTGAACCTTGCGCTTAATCTACAACATAAAATAGAGTGCACAAAAATAAAAGCGGTTAATACAAAAACAAAACCCATTCGAGCGAGTGAGCACACACATGGGTGCAAAAGAACGAATATCAACTTTTCATTTCCACGGTTGCTGTCAGAATTAGTTTCCAATTCATGTTGCCTGTCGCCAATATTTTGAAAACAGGCAATCTTGTGGAATATGTGTTGCAATTTGTTAGCGCCATTCAGAAACTGCACAAAGGCATTCCCAAAGCCCCAAAACTCTCGTCTGTCCTGGTCCCGACAAATGGCCGCAAGATACAATACACAACACATAGCATGGCATATGCATCGACTAGAGGCATCTCAACCTTTGCAGCCAAACAGACTGTTTTTATTCTCTCATTGTTATGTTTTTACTCGCCGGGGGTTGCAGAAGAAAGACTAGAAATCAGCGCAAAAATGTTAAACCTGACACATCGACCCTTACAACCTTGGATTGCTGTTTCTTTCCTGCGCTAGGCAGAAACTGACGGCTCTGTCTAACCAAGCAGTTTATCAAATCGCAATGTATGACTGCACATGTTGTAAATGGCTGCGTTTTCGTGAAGATAGGTTAGCGCACTGCATACGGAATATGAGCCGTTGCTCCACACCAGCTTCATATAATACTTTCAGTGGATTCGCACTTATCGCCATCTCCCGCACATCACAAAGATATGAGCCACCCGCAGTCCCCAGCCAACTGAGCGCTTGCAGCATAGCCTTGTGTTTCCTTCACTTTTACTCCCTTTGACAAAAGGGCTCAGTTCTGGATGAAGACCATGCTGCTGAGCTGTTACAAACTGCCCAAGTGGCTGTCAGATGCCAATAAACTTGAAACAGAGCAAATACAGCCAAACACAACATGACAGCGAATATGAAAAGCACAAACACAAAACAGGAGAACAAATAGTATTGGGAAAGGATTGCCGAAAAATAAGTGACATATCAGCCAGCTGGTTTGGAAGTTACTCTGAATATAAACGGGACCCCGATCAACGTTTCCGCGCCGAACTTCAAAGCCAGGACAATTAAGAGGGTGCCAAAGGTGGTGTTTAAAGAGAGCAACATACGTGAAGACACTCCATATTACCTCGAGACACACTTTGTAAGAGCCAGAGCCAGTCATAAAATAAAAGAGCAAATGGGGCAACCTGTGTGAGGAAAAATAAGAGAAAAGAAAAGAATAAAGGGTGGCCGGGGATATGTCACCCCTTTTTTGAATAACCACTTTTCCATCTTTGTCATTTGGCAACAAAAATTGTATTTCTCTCTTCCCGTGTGGGTCCGGTACATAAAAAACAGGTCAGGAATGTATGTTTATTCGCATTGTTGTATTGGTGTGTTATGTGGTAATGGCGCCGAAAGGATGCATTCTTTTGCCTATTTTATTTTGCAAAGAATATGAGAATATTTCAGCCACCAGATAACTAAAAGTACATATGGAAAATAGGGAACGGGCACCACAAATAACCGCAACACAAAAGGCGGATTTATATTGTAAATGCAAACGCAGCGCACAAAATACAATGAACATGACAAATAAAAAGTGCACTATATCCATTTACCAGCTTCACTAATTTTGGCTATAAAAGACAACAAATAGAACCCGATTTTCTGGTATGACAGCAAAGTCATTATATTGCCAATCATTTTTGGTGCGCATATTTTACTAATATAAGCATCCCCTTTTTCCCCTTCAAACAAAAAACTTTAAATGGCATTGTTATCAACAAAATTTTATTTGTTAACAATGCATGTATCTGAGACAAGGTAAATAAATAGACAAAGACTGCATATGCATGCACCTGTAGTTTTGTTTTTCTGTCATCGGTAGCCATTTCTGAATTTTGAAACAGAACGCATGTTTTGCTTGCCAAATTAAGAATGCGCCAAAGTGGACGCATCAAATTATTTTTAAGCCTTATATTTTTGCCAACGACAATACAGCCGATACATTAAAACAATAATTCGAAGTATTGCTTATCTTTAATACCAAACAACTTTATTAAAAATATCCAACATGTCTCACAACGATAACTAAAAAATATGTCAGGTGTATTGAACTGGGTCTATTGTGCACAATACAAATAAAAGAAAAAGAAAGTGTGAATTCGGATAACCAATTGTTAAATAATTTTGCACATCTTTTATTTTTCACTGTTCCGGTGTAGCTGCATGACAGTTAGAATAAAATCACAAATGGCTTTGTCATTCATTCAATCAATCGATTATAATTTTTATATCAAAAACACTTTGTTTCTACACAGACACTGGGAGCACAGTAAAAATAAAGTTTTTTTTAACAAAATTAGGCTCACATGTTTACCCAGAAACCATAAAAAAAAGCCATACATACTACCATCTCTTACAAAAAGTATACAATAAAACGTACGTATACAATTACAATTTATATTAGTTTTCACATTTTATACAAAATATAGAACAATTGTTTAATAATATTGAATCCAACTGCGAGCTCGTGTGTGATAGTTAAAAAACGTGCGCGCACTATCATCAATTTTTTTATCTAGCCGGGCTCTAACCGCTGTTAAAAAATTATATACTTTTTAAATCAAGGGTAAACTAAACTATTTAAAATTTTTGTTAAATACCAACAATATTACCAAGTGTAATATAATCAATGTCAGCAAAATTTTATACTTTAGAGTTTTACAAGTTTAAAAATAAATACATTTTCCATTAACACTATTTGAAAATCCCTGGTAAAACGGTATATACTTTTTTGGGGGGTTTGATTGTGCAAAAATGGCTTGGTTTAAAATTAATTTGATGAGCAACATTATTATAATTTTTTCAGCCATGTGGATAAGCACACAAAAAACTTGGTGCATATTGTAGAAAATAAAAATGTGAAAATGTATTGTTTAATATTTTTGGCCAGCTTTGCCATTACAAGTGCTTCAATGGAATAGTAAGAAGCCGCACAACATTTAGAAAATTGCGCAGCCGAATATTACATTGGCCTCGCTATATATTGGTAACTACACGCCTTTGCACTGGTATTCACAGCAATCCTTCACATCAATATTTTTTGCTTGTTACTCACACTCGTCTTTTAACTTTTACTCATTCGATCTTTCATTTCCTATTTAGCATGAGCACTCTGCCCAACGGCCACCAACTGCCCCTTATTGTTGTTGAGGAAATCGTTCGATATTGTTTGGATATGCACATGGCCACTAACCACAGAGGTGATGATGCCAGCAGTGCTGAGGACCCTAGCACCCTTGAAAGCAACGACGACGATTCCAGCAGCAACAGCAACAGTGAATTCAGTGACGTCAGCAGCTCCGACAATGCCGATGACATGGCAAGTGCGATCCCCCTTCTTGCCTTCGATGACTGGAATTCGGTGTTCCAATCAAAGATGTGCAAGCAAATCATGCTTTTGTTTGCGCGCAGTCAACCCATGGTCTACCACTTCCCCAATTAGCCTCGCTCCTTTGGAGTCCTCGAGTTCTCTGCCAGTCTCCCGGTCGACACAATGAGAATATCCGTGGAGCAGTGGGCATTGACAAACTCAGATTCAGCCAGGCGAGCGCGCTGCCATCAAATAGCAGTGTTATTTTTGGAGAAGCACATATGCTCCAATTGCACATCGACAATCCTGTTCCTGATTTGGGCGCTAGGCATGCTGGCAACATGGACATTGCTAACGTGGCTGGGTTCATGGCGAGGGTCAAGGAGATGGTGCTAGCGATTCAGCGGATCGATATTTGGTGGTGCAATGCCACCTACAAGCAGCCAGGTCAGGGGATTGCTGGCCTTTTGAGCGACACTACGATGGTTTTTGTCCGTGGAGTTGACCAGATTTCTTTCAGGGAGTATGACTGGATCGTAGATACAACGGTTATTGCTCCTGATGATTTTACGCAGCTTACTCACTTACACGCACAAATATGGACACACATAGGTCACAGACTGCATCCAGCGCAACGCGGCGATGCTCAAATCTCTTTCGCTTTATGGTCTTCCAACGACGGATACAATTGCGCTGCTGCACGACAGCCAGAACAATCCTGTCGTTCACGAAACACTCGAGTCTGTCACGTTTGCAGGGGTATACCATATTGGAACTTCTGATCAGGTGGAAGCAGTAGCAGTAGTAGAAAATGCAGTAGAGGAATCCCGTACTGATACCACAGTTCACTTCCCCCATCTCAAATCGACCAAGCTCAGCGGCGAGCATCCCTTCTATGATAACGTCTTGTTCGGAGGAAACAGTGACACCATCAAAACCCTCGTTGTCAGCGTTTACATCACGTCTCTCATTGTGGCGAGGGATTACAGGATTTTTGAAAATGGCCCTCTGACTTGCCTACGTTTGCTTGACCTGTGTTATTTTGATCTGAGAGGCGTGGCCGTGCTAAATCTGCTGTGGAATTTCGAACAATTTGCTCAACAGTTCGTCCAGGCAGCCGGATCGTCAACGCTGTCTGCCGCCTCAAATTTCACGCAAATGTATTCTGCAAGGAACTGACCCAACAAATTGATACAGGAAACATCATCAGCGGTCTGTGGGTGCTCAGGGTGCCTGGTATGTCCCTGAGTCTACAAAACATCGTCGATATTCTAAAGCGCGCGCTCCATCTTTGCAAGCTGGTTTGCGCCATTATTGATACCACACCAACTGTTGCCAACATGGCCGGTGACGAGCTGGTAAAGCACATGGTGGATCTTAGAGGCGCTCTCAGTGTGTATTTTAAGTTCCTCAAAATACTCGACACTGCCTACGCGCTGGAAGAGCCAATGCTGAAGGGCATTGCGCTGCTTGCGATTGCTTGCACCGCCCTGTTCTTCATTGACGGCAGCCCGGATTGTGCAGCTCAGAACAAGCAAGCACTGGAGGGCATTGCCGCAAGTGAGCTTTACAAAAGCCATGCTGACCGCATCAACGAAATAAAGTTCGAATAGTATGACAGTTTGGCAATATTTCTTCTCTATTTAACGACTTCAATTTAATAATTAATTTTCAACGTGAATTTTATTTTATATCTTAGCAAGAAAGCGATCTACCTTGTTTATTTTGTACAGAATATTTCTAGGCGCGGTTTATGTGGCAGCGCTGGGAACCGCCATCATGTGCTGCGGGCTGTCTGCGTTAGAAAAGTAGTCGGTAACCCTACTGCTGTTGTCAGAAGCACAGCGCGCAAGATCTCTATGACGCATTTGCTGCTGCTGCCGCCGGCCACGGTCATTGCGGTGTGATATATGAGAGGAGATATCCGCGGTATGTGGTGCAATAAGATTCGCATCTGCATCTGTAGATATACCTGGTGGAACGGTCTCATCAGGGCTGCTATTGTCATTGCTGCTGCTGCCGCCGCGGCTTGATTTGCTATCTTTGGAGTTGGATCTGGCACTGTTTTTATCGTGATTTAATGTGGAGCCAGACTCAAGGGAATCACCCGTCGTGCCATTGCTGCCGCCGTCATGGTTATCTCTGTCCAAATTGTTGCTATTCAGATGTGCAGACGGAGAGACCGATGCGCGAATATCCTCCAACAGCGACTGGGCCAGAGCCGATGCTGGGGCCAGCAAGGCGATCGACGGATCAACACGGCGCAGGTTCGCATAAATCTTCATGTTGACATCAGGCACGTCAATTTCGGCCAACTCGCGGAAAAGCCTCTGACTCTGAGCCAGCACAAACGTCGAGTCCCGCTTGCCGTGAATCAGCAGCACGCTGTGCGCAAATAGCTCCGAGGGAATAAACGCACTGCAGCGGCGCAGGCGGCGCACGATGGCCGCCGGCGACCAGGCGTCTTCGCGCTCGCGGCTTCCGCCGAATGCCTTTGCCGTTGCCGACAGGTTCTCAATGCACCGCTCGGTCTCGTACCTGCGCTGGCTAGCAATGTCAAAGACGCCTGAGACTAGGATCAAGCCGGCGACAGGTCGCGGGACACGCCTGATTTTGCGCAGCCAGCGGCGGAGGCACTGGTCAGAGGCACGAGACGAGAGTAGTTGGGCGTCTGGAGACATGCGGTCAGCCTGTGCATACCAAGTCTTCAGGGGGACTATCAAGCTGTACATCGTGCACAGGTGTGCTCCGGCGCCGTAGCCCATGAGGTGCACGCGCCTGGGATCCCCGCCAAAGTTGACCGCATTTTCAAAGACCCATTGTACAGTCAGGTGGAAGTCGCACAGAATGTCTTCAAGGCTGGCATCCACACCGCCGACGCGGGGCAGCACAACAAACATGCCATCGCCGCACAGTGTCTGCGCCATTGGCCGGTACATGCGAGCGCGCTTGGTCTTGGACCAGCGGTATCCGGGGAAAATAATCAGAATTGGGAAACGCTCCTTTTCGGAAGATGCTGCTGAAGCGCCCTGCTGCTGCTGTTGTGTTGCTATGGGCACAAAAAGATCCAGCCGATGTTTCGCCTGCGGCCCATACTTGATATCGCGCACCGCCGTGTCCTGAGGCCGCGACGACCGAGAGAGCTTCGCCACCATGTAAGAAAATATAATAGCTATAGTCGGGCCGCCCAACCCATCAAGCATTCCCGACCACAGCGCCCGGCTGCACTTGTACACCCGCCTGGGGTGTAATGGGAGCACGCGTAGTAAATTGGTGCTTGCGCGCGGGTCGTGAGTCCACGTATACAGCCAGACAATTGTATACACCGCGACTGTGAGTGGTAGCGCGAATGGCAACAGCAGCAGCGTGGCTCCGGCCATCGTCACATACGACATCAGGCTGCGCCAGCTCCGGGGTTGCTTTCCCATTTATCGATATGAATAGTGCTGTGCTGTGCTGTGAATGTGTGAGTGTGAGCGTATAAGTATATGAATGTGTGAGTGAGTGTAGAAATAAACAAAATACGAATTATAATAAAGAGTGAGCTGAGGAGTATTCGTAGAAAATAAGGGGTCTGGGGAATACTAAACGTTCTATTTTGTTTCTTTTGGGTGGAGGGTTAATTGGTTGGTTGGTGCGTGTACGCCCTGCCGCCAGTCTGTGGAATTTAAATTCACACAAACAACGTAAAAAATAAAAGAAAAAGTATTCAAGCCTGCAATGCGCCAAAACAATTGCTGAGGGCCGCTGGTATGAGGCTTCAAAATATATTTGCGAATAAAAGGACAGTAAAACAAATGAAAGAGTAAAAAAAGTACAAAAATAGGAAGTCAAAGAGCGAGAAAAGTACAAGAAAGAAAAGGTAAAAGAAAAAGAATGCAGAGCTGGATGTCAATAATGTTCATTGCCTTTTTTGTTTGCTTGTTTGTTTGTCAGCTTAATTAACTTCCGTGTATTTTTACGTTGCACATTGCTTGCTCAAGCGCAGGCTTGACTTTGAGTGCAGAGAATGAAAGTTGTTATTTATTTTCGCAGACAAATCTTCAATATGGCAGTAAGCCATTGGCTCCGGTGACAGGTGCTATCACATGTGATCGAGTCATGGCAAGCCACCTTATGCGACCAGCTCTGGCTATAAAGCAGCTCGCTGACGCCAAAAGGGCAACTGAAAAATATAGGCAAATATTTTTTGGTTTAACTCGCGCCAATTTGCCTATAAGCTGGCACTTACGTCTAAATTGCAAAGTGCATTGCCCAATGCTGCGCAGTTGCAAAATCAGATGACACGTGTTAATAGCAGCGCACAGGTCAATTAATTAAGGTGTTGACTAACTCCGAGCACCACTTCTTTTATTTTATTTTTATTTTTGCTCACAGCGCCCTTCCAAAAAAGTGCTCATTTGGGCGCGTGCACGCTCTCAGATATTGCCGCGCGCGGCCTCAACAGAACAAAAAGTCGATTTTCCAAACATCGGTTACATCTTGTTTTAACTGGACAAATTGGGCATGATAAAAAATCAGTTTTGGAGTAGCTCTACGGTCCTGCGTAACACGACGGTTTTGATTATGATGACTGTTTTTTTTAATAAATATGCTAACATGAATAAACAATTAAGCGATCTTTTAAACTTGCGCCCACGAGGACAAGGAACTCTTCCACATTCGTACTTGCGTGCAGGGAAGTAAAAGTGGTGATGGGACACGATTGCGGGTATTTGGACTGCGACTGATGTGTACTCAGGCTTTTCATCTTTTTTTCCCACGCACCTTGTGTGGGAAAAAAAATTATACAAAATTTAGAAACTGTTCACTTCAAGAAGCAAAATAAAAGACACGAATGACATGACGAAGTTCATATTTGGTTGTTTTCGGGGAGCGAGCAGCCTCATAGTACAGGGGCGCAGCGCTTGGGCTTTTTTCCCAAGCTCACATCGTCTTCGCAACCAACAAGCCACCCACTCGTCATCTTTTTTTTGCACCGGACATATGACTGAAAAGCAGTGCTACTGGCTCGCAAAGTCCTCCATTCAAATCCATTCATGCAACTGGGTTTACGCGCCCAGGGGGAAAAAACGCATAAAAGGAAGCGCCCACGACCGCTTTTCAGCTTCAATTTTTGGGTTCTGTAAAACATTTTCAGCTGAACCATTAACTTTATAATCAAATTCACAATTCTCTCACGTTTTTTACATAGCAAGAATATCAAAGCAACAACAATGCTATCATCGTTGCTCACAAGCAGCAAACCAGGCCTTAAAATGCGCGGCGGCGCTGCCACATCGTTTGCGCGAGCATACCTAACCACAAAGGCCGCTTCTTCATCGTTGTCTTCGTCGTGGTCGGCATCTGGTGCGTTGCGCAAGCCAATGGTGCTCGGCATCCGGCGCGAGGACAAGAACCGCTGGGAGCGGCGTGTTGCCCTGACACCAGCGCACGTCAAAAAGCTAATCAAGGAAACCGGCGCGCGCATCCTCGTCCAGCCATCGAACACGCGCATCTTCAACAACGCGTCGTTTGAAAAGGCAGGAGCCACAATCGAGGAGGACTTGGCCAAGGCTGACGCCATCCTAGGAATCAAGGAGGTGCCTATCGCGAAGCTGATTCCTGAAAAAACATACGTCATTTTTTCTCACACGCACAAGGGCCAGTCGTACAACATGCCCAGCTTGCGCGCCTTTCTCGATAACAAAATCCGCCTGATCGACTATGAGCTCATGCTTGATCCTCGCACGGACAAGCGTCTGGTTTTGTTTGGTAGGTATGCGGGGTATGCGGGGATGATCGATGGTCTGCACGGTCTGGGCCAGAGGCTACTTGCTCTGGGGTACAACTCGCCGTTCATCCACATGGGCCAGGCGCACGTCTACCCGAACCTTGAGTGCGTCAACACTAAGCTCCGCCACGTCGGCAACATTATTGCAGACCAGGGACTACCCGAGGCATTTGCCCCGATGATCTTTACGTTTACGGGCTCAGGCAACGTCGCGCAGGGCGCACGCGCAATTTTCGACAAGCTGCCCCATGAAAACATCACTGTGGACGATTTGCCGCTGATCTTCAAGGACCGCTATAACGAGCGGTACAAGAACCGCCTTCTGGCCCTGCAGGTCAACGCTGAGGACTATCTCGAGCGCATTGGCGGCGGCAAGTACAGCAGGGAGGAGTACCGCCAGCATCCCGAGCGCTACCGCTCGGTTTTCGCCCAGAAGATTGCACCGTATACGACCATGCTAGTCAACGGCATTTACTGGGAGTCAAAGTACCCGCGCTTGATGTCCACTGCCGATCTGGCCGCCATTCAGGGCCAGCGCGAGCTGAAAAACCGCATGCTGGCTATTGCTGACATTAGCTGCGACATTGGCGGAAGTCTCGAGTTCATGAGCCACGCGTCGACCATTGACTCGCCTTTCTTCTACGTCGATGCCAGGGATGGGTTGGTCGAGCATAAGGATGTCGAAAAGCCCGGCGTCCAGATCAATTCCATCGACAATCTGCCGACCGAGCTCCCATTTGAAGCCAGCCAGCACTTTGGCGACTCGCTGTATCCATTTGCAAAGGCATTGGTAAGTTGACGCGCAATCAATTCAAAGATGAATTTGTTATTTTGCCTTTGATTCTGAATGATGTATTTTTTTTAGCGCTGTGCACTGATTTTTTTGTTTATTGTTGTTTGCGCTTTGCTTTTTCTTTTTGCTATTTTGAATTTGTAGGCCACTGGCGAGTTGGACCATCCGGTGCTTAGCCGCGCTATCATCTGCCAGGACGGCTCGCTCACCAAGCAGCATGAGCACTTGAAGAAGTCTTTGACTAATTCGCAGGGCATCCGGGTTGTTGACAACCGCAGAAAGAGCGTGCTGCTGGCCGGATCAGGCATGGTCAGCCAGCCACTGGTCGACTACTTGGCCAGTACCAAGGACACAGACATCACAATTGGTATGGACAAGCAGTAAGCCAAAGGAACACCACATTTCCATTATTTTACATTGTGACAACGCATAGAAACATACATTTCATATTGCATTCGACTACATGCATCTCTTCGCAGTTGGTCCTATTATCGTCATCACCATCATTTTTGCCCATCTTTTCATATCTGTTCAAAACTCAAATATCTGTATTAGAAAATATATAAATGTATTTTATGTACATATTCAAAACCATTTGCTGAGAATGTAGCGAGCAATGACCTGGACGAGGCCAGGCGTCTCGCCCACCAGTTTCCCAACACCCAAGCGGCGCGACTGGACGTGATGGACGCAGTGAGTCTCGACAAGCTCATCAAAGAAAGCGATGTGGTGGTCAGCCTTGTGCCAGCACACTTGCACCCACAAATTGCCAGTGCGGCTATCCGTCGACAGAAGCACATGGTGACTGCCAGCTACCTGTCGCCCGAGATGCAAAGGCTCGATGCTTCGGCCAAAGACGCTTCTGTGACTATCATAAACGAGATTGGGCTGGACCCCGGAATCGATCATTGCAGCGCAATGAAGATAATAGACGAGGAGCATGCGCGCGGAGGCAAAATCAAGTCGTTCATTTCATGGTGCGGCGGTCTCACAGCTCCAGAGAACAGCGACAATCAACTCGGCTACAAGTTTTCGTGGTCGCCGCGCGGCGTACTGACTGCCGGGTTGAACAGCGCCAAGTACAAAATAAATGGACAGTTACGGCAGATACCCGCGGGCAAGCTGTTCGCGCACAAATTTGGCAACGTCCCGCTGTATCCTGGATTTGCCTTTGAGGGATTGGCCAATCGCGACAGTCTGCAGTATGCTGACATTTACGGGTTGGATCTTAACAACATGGACACCATGTTCCGAGGCACCCTGCGGTACAGCGGCTATTCCGATATCCTTGACTGTCTGCTAAGACTTGGCTTTTTGAGCCTAGAGCCAGGGACCGCGGTCGATGCCGCTTCGGCAGCCACGTTTTTGCAACAGATTTTGGGAGTTCGCAGCGGAGCTTCTGCCGAGACCGTTGCCCAAAGGCTGTCCGAAAGGCTAGGTGTTCAGCCTTCCAGCCCGCTGATCGGTCGCCTGATGCTGGCATTTGAAGAGTTTGGCATGCTCAGCTTTACCTCCACCGCAACTTCTGCCAGCAGATTGATTGCGCCCACTGTGTTGGATGCGATGGCCAAGGTGCTGCAGAATTCGCTCAAGTTCAGAGCCAACGAGCGAGATCTTGTGTGCATGTCGCACGAGTTTGGCGTTGAGAGCGCCGACGGCAAATCATACGATGTCCGGTGCTCATCGCTCACAGTGTACGGCGACGCAAAGACCGGAGAGACTGCCATGGCCCGCACGGTGGGAATTCCGGCAGCCATTGCCACGCGGCTGCTGCTCAAGGGTGCAGTCAAGTCTCGTGGCGTCATCAGGCCGACAATCCCGGAAGTGTACGAACCGCTCATCGAGGAGCTCGAGCTAAGGGGTGTCGTTTTTAATGAGAGCTCGAAATCAGGCGTGCACAATTCGCTGCAGCGCAGGATGTCGTGGGCTTAGAGTAACCATTTCAGCGGTTACAAAAAACATAACCACATTAAACGTCGTTTTTTCATTTTTCTTTGAATTTGCAAACAGCAGGAATAAAGTAAAATACTAAAAATATTAAAATTTGAAGCAGTTATTTCTCCGGTCTGCGTCAACAAATTTAGTTAAATTCTATCGGTCATTATTTATTGATACTAAAAGCGTAAAACCAATGCAAATATCAATGGGTGACCTGAAGCGACTGCTGCTGGACCAGCATGTGGTATGTGCCCTTCTGCGCCAGGAGCTCGTCGTGGGTGCCGCGCTCAACAATGCGACCGCTCTTGAACACGATGATCATGTCGCAGTCCTGGATGGTGCTCAGACGATGGGCGACGGTCAGCGTGGTGCGCTCCTTGGCGGCCTTGTCAAGAACCTTCTGCACGATCTTCTCGCTGCGAGAGTCCAGCGCGGCTGTGGCCTCGTCGAGCAGCAGAAGCTTGGGCTTGCGAATAAGGGCACGAGCAATGGCCACGCGCTGCTTCTGGCCGCCGGACAGCTGGCCGCCCTTCTGGCCGACGATGGTATTGAATCCATCGGGCTGGTTCTGGACGAAATTGTAGATGTTGGCCTCCTTGGCCGCCTCCTCAATCTCCAGCTGCGTGGCGCCGGGCTTTCCATACGCAATATTCTCGCCGATCGTGTAGTTGAACAGGATGGGCTCCTGGCCGACGATCGCCATGTTATTGCGCAGAGCCATGATGTCCCAGTCGCGCACGCCCAGTCCCTCGACAGAGACCTTGCCGGAGATGGCGTCATACAGGCGCTGTGCCAGTAGGATCGATGTCGACTTGCCTGAGCCCGAGGCGCCGACCAGCGCGATGCTCTTACCGGCAATGGCCTCGAACGAAATGCCCTTGAGGATCTTGGTGTCGGGGCGAATCGGGTACGAGAACTTTATGTTATCAAAGGAGACGTTGCCCTCGAATGACTCAACCTGGCTGCCAGTGCTGTCAATGCCATTGATGGCGCTCTCGCGGTCAAGCGTCTCAAAGATACCGCGCGACGCAACGCCAGCCTTGGAAAGAATAGGTATAACCTGTGCGAGCGTACCGATAGCCATCGAGGCAAACATTGTGGCCATCAAACTGTACATCAGATCCATAACCTCGGTCCAGCCATTGATGACAAAGCGGCAGCCGGCGAAGAACACCAGCGAGTTGATGAACATGTTGCACGCCTGGGAAAAACCAAAACCAAAAGAGCCGTAGAGCGAGCTGCGAATGCTGTCCTTGTGCGGAGCGTCGTTCATCTCGTCGAATACGCGAATAAAGGTCTCCTCGCGGCGCAGGGTCGCGACCGTCTTGATGTTGCGGATGGTTTCGGCGGCAGACTGGCCAGATTTCTCGTAGGATGCGCGCAGGCGCATGGAAGAGCCCCAGGTCGCTTGCGCCTGCCAGTACTGAGCGTACGACTGGATCGGCCAGCATCCGAGCATTAGAAGAGCAATGCGCCACTCGTAGACAAAGGCAATAGCAGAGGCGCAGATAATAGTCGCGACCGTGCTGTTGAGCGTGCTGATAAACGTGCCGACAAACTTGTTAAACTCTTCGGCGTCCGTGGCCAGGCGCGAAGTCAGTGCGCCGGTTCCGTTCTTGTCGTCGTCAAAAAAGCCGGACTCAAATGTCATGAGCTTGACAAACAGGTCGTGGCGCACCTGGCGTGTGGTGTTCTCGCCGGCAACATGGTACAGACCAATACGACCAAACATGGCGAGACAGCCAACGACTGAGAAGACGAGGAACAGGTTGGCAAACAGATTGGTATCGCGCTTGACCACTTCCATGTCTGGTTCCGACAGGGCCACCAGCGCGCGCGAAAAGACCAGAGCAAAGCAGGGCATCACAGCACCGTCAAAGAGAGCAAGGATGGCGCCGGGGATGGCGACCTTCATTGCACCCTTGTACTTCCAGGTCAGGCGCAGCAGCAGGTACATGTCACTCGAGTTTGCCACGGTCCGGGTCTTCTTGCCGCTCGCAGCAGCAGCAGTGTCGGCCGACTCGCGCTTCATGCTCTCAATAGTCTGGCGAGTAGTCGATCTTCTCATTTCCAGTGCCTGCTCCTTGAGCTCCTTGGCAATCAGCTCGTCCAGGTCACCCTCCTCATTCACATCAGCCTCGCTGGCAATGCTGGATTTTTCTTCGTCGTCACCGTCAGTCATGGTACGCACACCCTGGCGCATCTCCTGAGCGCGCACCATAGCAGCGTATTCACCGCTAAGCGTCACAAGCTCGTCGTGGGTTCCGTTCTCAGAGACAACACCCTCGCGGACAACGTAAATCTGGTCGCAATTGCGGATAGTGCTCAAGCGATGGGCAATTGAAATGGTCGTGCGGTTGGCCGACAGTTTGTCCAGGGCGTCCTGCACCAGGCGCTCCGAAGCAGTGTCCAGCGCTGAGGTGGCCTCGTCGAGCAGCAAAACATCGGGGTTGCGGACAATCGCGCGAGCAATAGCAATGCGCTGTTTCTGGCCGCCAGACAGCAGGGCACCGCCCTCGCCAACAAGCGTGTTGTAGCCGTCGGGCAGCTGGCTGATAAACGGGTGCGCGTTGGCGGCCTTGGCAGCCTCAATGACCTCTTCGTCCGTGGGTGGGTTGTTCTCCGGATCGACAGCTCCCCACTTGATGTTCTGCATGATGCTGGTTGCAAAAAGTACGGGCTCCTGGGTGACAATGCCGATGCGGTGGCGCAACTTTCCAATGTTGTACTCCTTGATGTTGACGCCGTCGATGATCACGTCGCCCTGCGCGGGGTCGTAGAAGCGCTCGATCAGCCCAATGGTCGTCGACTTGCCGCAGCCGGACTCTCCGACGAGTGCAACCTTCTGACCGGGGCGAATCTCCAAGTTGAAGCCCTTGAGGATGGGAACGTTGGGGCGGCTTGGGTAGCTGAAGTGGATATTGCGGAACGAAATATCGCCGCGGATCTTATCAACCTTCTTGCCGGTCTCAGTGTCCAGCGGGTTGATGGGCGACTGGCGGTCAATAATGGCATACACCCTGTAGGCGCTGCCTCGGGCAGTCGAAATTGAAGAGAAGTTGGGTGCGGCGCCGGAAAGCATGAACCCACCGACGAGCAGCGTCAGAATAACATTGAGCACCTGGTCCGGAGAGTACTCGCCCTGGCGCAGTCGCCACGACCCAAAGTTGAATCCAACGCAGTACATGGCAAAGATGAAAAACTGGATGGCGCCGATACAACCGCCCAGAACAAAGCCGGTCTTGCGGCCATACATGTACGAGTCCTGGATCATCGCGTCGTAGCGCGCAATCTCGCGCTTCTGGCCGTTGAACGCCATGACGGTGCGGATGCCTGACAGGACCTCGTCGGCGATGGCGCCAGACGCAGCGGTCTTGTCCTGTCCGTTGATGATCAGCTTGTTGATTTCCTTTCCGAGGATTGCACCAGCGCCGACGATGAACGGCATGACGGTCAGGCAAATAAAAGTCAGCTTCCAGCCCTTGACAAACGCGATAATGAAAGAAACAAGGAACCCGACGACGTTCATGAACACAAATCCGACCTTCTCGCCCAGCCCATCCTGGACCAGGTTGACGTCGTTGGTGATGCGGGTGGTCAGCTCGCCGGTTTTCACCGTGTCGAACCATCCGATATCCTGGCGCAGAATGGACTTGTAGTACAGCTTGCGAATGCGCAGACCCTGGTTCTCGGCGGCAATAGCCCAGCACGCGTTGACGAAAAAGGAGAGGATCCACATGACAATACCGAGAATCAAGAAGATCAGGCAAAAATGACGCGACCGGTTGTCCAAGTAGTTGTTGGCTTCAACGAGCTTGTCATCGATCTTTAGGAGCTGAAATTTGAGGATGACGCCCATGAGCGAGCTGAAAATAATGATCATAATCGGAGTGACAACACCTGCGGCGCACGAAAAGCAAATGCCAGCAAAGGTCAGCAGTCTGTCTGTTTTGTCGGCGAAGCGGAACAGCTGCAGAAGACCAACAGCCTCATCCTTTGCGGGCTTGGCCTCCTTCACCTCAACCTCCTCGGCGACGACAATCTCGGATTTGTCGAGCTGGTCAAGCAGGGCGAGCTCGTCACTGGCGCCACTTCTACTCTTTTCGCTGATGGCTGATGACCTGTCGGTCGCGGACGAATTGCGACGCGATTGTCCGTGCGGAGTTGGGGCATCCGCCACGGGGCGTTTATTTTCGGACATTTCACGCTAAGGGTCCAAATAAAGTAAAAAAGAGGGGCGGAAAAACGAGTAGTAAGACTGCTTCGTAGTAATAAAAGAAAATAGAGGGAAAAGGGAGTAAATATACCAGAGACGTGCGGTTTAGCTGGAGTGCCAGGTCCTGCCAATGTCTCAGATATGTAAAAGTATAGGAGTGGAGTGAAATAGGGCAAAATTAACGAACAGGGTTAATGGCGAAATAAAAGATATAGGAAAAAGGGTAAGCAAAAGAACGCCACAGCTCGAGCGGCGACGAGTGGTTTTATTTAAGATACCAAATTTTTTCACCACATAAAGTTCTAGGTTCACAACACTCAATTATGTGCTACAGTCGCTTCCAACCTGCCTCTAGCGTAAACAAAGCGTTGAAGGGACAGGTTCAAGGTGGCCAGGACTTTTGCGTTTACAGCTTGCATCAAAGTATGTGAGCGAGTTGGGCAAATTTTCTTATTTGTTTATGCAAATCGCCTTGCTTTGCCGTCCAATGACACCTTTCCAACTCTTGCTCTCCCTCCCACATATGAAATCGCGGTCCCTCATCAAAAAGGCTGGGCTGTTCCTGCAAAAATAATTAAAAAATAATTTAGCGGTTTGGATTGCAGCGATTGCCCTGAGCCAATAAATGTGTCGGAAAAGACTCGGAATCAAATATAAGAGCTAAATTAAAGGTTCCTGTTTCTTGATGTGTCTACCACAGCTGGCTAGATAGGCAGATCAAAAAATAAAATTGTCGCGCTATCCATCCCTTTGTGGAAAAATTGATATCGTTTGAGATTGCCACACTGTTAAACGTGGTTTCTATTTTGTTTGCTGAAAAAAGGTCACACGTGCAGAACGCTTCTGGATTGGGGATAGAATGCGACGAAGGAAGCATAGCTTTTTCTTTTGCCTTGTTTACTTTTAAAGCCCTAGTGTCTTTTCTTTGTTTTTATACTATTCGGAATAACGGTCGGCGAAAAGTTTAAAATGCACCCGAATCGCTTCTACAGTTAGCAAAGCCTGATTGATGTCTTTTTTAGTCCTGTCCGTATCAACGTTCTATTGTGGAGATTCCATGCGGATCCCAACCTCATCAACATGCTTGTTATTTACGTTATCGTTAGTATGCAAATAATGTGGCAATTGTTAAACGACAATAGAATGGGCGTTACTTTATCCATTTCCAAATAATAAAATATTGTTTATAATTTTGACACATAATTTTCTCCCATGTATGAAGTGCGGGAAACTGTCAGAAGTAGCAAACTTTTGGATTTAATCGTGTAATTTCATGGATTTAACATTAAATATTATCACGCGCCCCACGTGGATCTTCCCCGTAAGAACCAACATAAATCCTGGCTACAAAGCAAAAAAAGTGTAGCAACTTTAAAATTTCAAAAAAAATATAATTCATCCTTTAAAGTTTTTTTTACGCCTTAAGTTGCCACTCCTTTGTCATAAAACCCCGCCATTTTAAAAAAAACATGTCGATCGAAACGCCCAATGATCACAGCAAGCAGCCGACACAATATCCAAAGGTCAGCGCTAACAACAGCAGTAGCCAGGGACCGCTGCCAAAGCAGGAAGTACCCGCGACGCGCCTGTTCAAAATACTCAATCCTGAGCTGTACATGAAGCCCAACCGGTTTATCATGTACAGTGGAGTATTGGCAATGGCAGGCATTGTGTATTGGTTGGGGTCAAATGAAATGGAACATCGCAGACAGCAGCACATTATTGATACTGCCAACAAGGTGGAAAACGGAGCATCCGCTTCGGCTTCTCAGCTGCGTCATCAGACATACCAAGAGCGCATGGCCGAATTGAAACGCTGGTCGACTTCTTCGAGCTAGTCAACTTAATTTATTTATTGGATCAACTCATTGTTTTTGCAAATGAAATGATTTTGATCAAAAAATGTGCACTTGTTTTGAACGACCTATTACGCCGACAATATTTGAAATGGCATGTCTATCTTTAGCTTGAAAATATATAGTATTATCTAAATGTGCGCCGATTTCATGTGTAATATATGCGATTACATAATTTGTGAATCTATCTTGGTTATCATGTATTCTTTGATTGTCTTGTAGTTTTTATTATACAAATAAATTATTAACATTTGTTGCAGTTATTTCTTTGATTTTGGTTTATTAGTAGCTTTTTGATATTTTAGTTACCAACAAAGCTTTAAAAAATTACATTTTATGCTGTTGAGAACATAACGGGGGGTCGTGACCCGGATCAGTAACCCAGGATAAAACCCCTTGGCACGCATATATTTATCGGAGAGATCCGGGACATTAGCCGACGCTAAAACAGCGTAAGGTTGGTGCTATCGTAGATGATACAATTGGTGGTTTATTAATAAGGTAATTAAAACTCCTACTGGATACCCTTTTCTTCAAGAATCTTGGTCTGCCAACTTAGTATTTATACTATTCCAAGACAAGTGAACGCGGCTGTATTGCTAGTTGCGGAAACCAACGTACAAAGATGGTGTACAATAGAAACGTTCCTTGATGTCAATCAGCGTTTGATAGGGATCAGTGATACCGATGATCAATCCCGCTATGTAACAAACCTGTTTTTTCCAGATAATAACAGCTATTGGTACAATTTTGAGGTGCATTAAGATAGCATTTGTTTAGATATAGTCATCTCTGCTGTTATTTGTTTATCCGTGCCCAGTGCAGGATATGCTGCGTATTTGTCATAATTTGTTTCTAATATATACTGAGTGTATCCTGCCATGAAGACAGGATACACTCAGTTTTTTGATATACCTTTATTTTCACATTTTAGCAGTATTACTTGTGACTTCTCAGTTATTATTGGTCTCCCTTGTGGCCACGTTTACAACAATTCTGCCTCCACAATTTTAAATAAGCATGAAACCTAAATCATGTATATCCTATTTTTGGCTAAAAAGGTATAGTATAATAAGCCTGTCAGCATACCAGATATGGTATCCATACACCCGCAACAAATTACAATACAATGCAGTTTTATTTTGCAATTTTAAAAATGCAACTTGTCAATTGCAAATGCATATTTTTTGTGCAAAATGGAGGATGATACTACATCTATTCACATTTGGTTTACTCGAATGTGTGACCGTTGGGGAATATATGAACCAAAGCGTTATTTTATTTTTTAATTTCAATGTTTTTTGTAAAGCAAAGATATCAATATACTTTTGTCCACATCCATATCTTTTAATTTTGTTAATCAATGTGCGTACTCAACCATTTTTTCTGTAGAAGTTACAGTTGCGCCCTCTGTCGCAATTACCGTTGGTGCCCCAGACGTTTTTATTCCATTTATGACGCCAGTCCGTATTCCTAGAAAACTCAAGTGCAGTGTTCCTCGCGTTATTGGCGGCGTGTCAACATTTAACGACGAGTACAACTTTGTTGCGTAAATTCAAGGATATCAAGATGGTGTTAGCTACCGACACTGCATGGGTAGTTTGATTGCACCTAATATGGTTTTAACTAATGTCTATTGTCTCCAAGCCTATTCAGATTTAATATGTGCGGCCAAACACATGCGTGTGGCATTCACGCACAAAAGACCAGGGCTTGGTTCTGATTTTATTGGTTATGGCGTGGCCAGACTTATTGAACATCCAGATTACGCTACAAATTTTTTGAAAACGACATTGGGTTGATTATCTTCAACAATACTGTTCCTGGCAGTATGGCTACTAATGTCAAGGTGTATGCAAACAATTTTTTGGACACACCCCTGGAGGTTTCTGGATTTGGTTTTGAAAATTTGTCAAACGGTATGAACACCGATGAGCTAACAAAGGTTGACATGAAGGTTGGCTCTGACGAGTACTGCAAGCAGATTGTTGAGGAGTATAGTTATGATTACCTGATTTGCACTGAGAGTACAGTTAGAAAAAACTTTTGAATTACCGACTACAGCACCCCCATTGACTACACCTGTCGACAACGGCTCTGACGGGGTTGTCATTATTGGCATTGCCTTCAATTTAACATGTACTGATTATAGCCGTGAACATTCGCGCGGTGATGCTGAACCCATAGGATTTTTTTACTCGTGTGTCTGCCCACATTCCATGGATTGCTCAAACTGAAAACCTGGATGTTAACGATTTCACTATCAGCAACATAACTGCGCACGTAGATTTGGACGAGGATAAATGCGATTTTGACTTGGATATTTTGTTGGATTGATGATAATGATGTGGATTCTGATTAAGAGTCTGGCTTGTCGGAAGCTGTGCCTAGCTTGCCAAAAGTCGAGTCCAGCTTGTTAAGAGCTGGGGGATTTAAGTTTGTGTCTGTTGGTGCCGCCACTATTGCTGTGTTTGGTGCAGGTTTTATAGTAAGAGGGGGCTGTGAGGAGCACTAGTTGCCTAGTGTTAAAAGGTAGGGGTAACTTTATAAAAGGTTTTATTACTAATGTTTCTAAAATACTGCTAGCGCCGGCCTCATCTTATATATGTGCCTTGTCGCCTTTATTGTGCACATTGTCAATTGTGCGCTCCGTTGGTGAAAACTGGATCTTCTGCGAGCAGACCGGTATCTTGGCAAGTCAATGTTGTGGTTTTCGTGCGTGTACGCTCATGCGTATGCATTGCAAAATGGGGAGCATGTTTGGGCATCAATGTAATGCCTCCCCAATTTACACCTGCATGATCCAATTAGCATCCTATCAATCGGCACGCAGGTGGAAACCTGTTTCGTGATTCTCGACTTCAACATCCACTTCCATATATTCAGTCTGTGCAACACAGGCATGTCAGAAATTATTTTTTGAATTAATTTCGATAATATTTTGCTACGCCTTATCGTGTAAGCATTGCTGCGTTAAGCTTTTGGCGTGTGCGCCTATTTTATATACCTTGCTATTTCCCTGTGTGCTAAAGAAAAATATATTGTTGTCAGCGCTGGTTACTATATTTTACAATATATTTTTATGTCACATTTTAGACAGCTACAAAAAGCCAGCTCATTACCAATATATATAAGGCGCCAATCTAAAACAGAAAATCATTAATTGCGCTTCTTTTTATTGGTAATAATGTAAATATTTTGCTAATATCGACAAAGCGCGCAAAAAAGAGCTCAATGGTCTTTTCGGGTTGTGGTTTCTCCTTTTACTCTCCTTCTCTTCCTTTAGCATTTTTTAATACCTACAGCTTCACTGTATTACTACTTAAATTCGCACTCTATCTCACTGATCAACCAAACTTTTCCCTTTTTCAATTAATTGTCTTTTTTCTATTTCTTTTATTCTAAAATTCTGTTCAAGCACTCCGCCACGATTTTGGCTTTGGCCGCCCTGGCTGTTTTCAGGGGACAGCCCCTTGTTCCCCGCGGCGAGACATCCGACAAATATTAAAGACGTCCTTCACGATCTTGTCAATGTATTTGACATTAACGAGTCTAGCACCAACCCAATTGTCACCCAACTAGGCGCAGCTGTAACTGAGCTTATTTCCGCCTATGGCAAGGACAACCAAGAGAAGGTCGATGAGGATATTATGTCTGCGGTGTTTGAATCGCCCAGCGCCAACAATGACCCTGAGTATGCGTCTGAATTAGCTGCACATTTTATCTCTGGGGCTGATAGAATGTCAGATGCAAAAAAGCCATTTGGAGGATATTACAGCTCAATGGGTTTGGTTATGAATGAGCTCTCGGTTGCTATCAATGTTTCTACTATTCTTGATAAAATTATTGGGTTTATTATTACTTTGCGTACCATTATGCCTGGTTTGTTTGATGACGCCCCTACTGGCGCATTGGTTCTTGATAATAATAACAATACCCCCAATACCAACTCTCTGACTGCAACATCAGGAAGGAATACTGGGACCAAGACTAAGCCTGAAACTGAGACCGAGACCAGGGCTGATGTCGTGACTGAGACAGTGACTGAAATTGAGACTGAAGATGAAACTGGTAGCCAAATGTTGGAAAAGGCTTCAGCCAACTTTTCCAGGACTTTGGGTGGAAACTCTAAGGCTTCTGAGAGCTCGAGCTCAAGCGCGGTGAGCAACAGCCATATTACCACCGGTGTTCTGTCCATTGACGTTATTACCGGCGTTATTACTGCTTTTTTCTAAATAATAATTGGCAAATTTATACGTATAATATGTGCGAAGACAACATCGTGTTAAAAAAGCGCACAAAATTTAATTTAGATCTTTAAAAGCTTAACTTGTTAATACCCCCGTTCCGGTTCATTGAAAGCTAAAGGCTTTGCGTTCGTGTCTGTCACTGCTAGTATTTTTGCAAAATATTTAGCTTTAAAAGTTTCAGCAATAGTTTTTTATTAAACAACAAAACAATAAAACAATAAAAATCTAAACGAAAAACACGTTTACTTTTGAGTAACAGTATCAGCGTATTTCCACATATACCAAGTAGCCACGGACCTATACGGCTCCCAGACGCTTCCCATTTCGACCATCTGTTCATGGGTCGGGGTCTTCTTCCCAAACGCCACGCCAAAATGTTTACACATAGCCTTCCTCACAGCCAAATCCACAGTAGGCAAGACATTGGGGCGTTTCAAATGAAAAATAAGGAACATATCAGCAGTCCATTGTCCAATCCCCCTAACAGTGACCAAAGTCCTAGAGACTTCCTCATCAGACATCAATGCCAATGCGGTATCTGATAATAAGCCCTCGTGGAATTGCCTGGCTATTTCCTTGAGATACTCGGCTTTTCTTTGTCCGAGCCCGACGGATTTCATCTCGTCGACATCCAGGCTAGAGACCAAACTGGCTGACGGAAATATAAAATCATCTGCGGTAACCGGTGCCTCCATCTCTTCTATTTCGTCAGCAGCAGTAGGCAAGATCAGCGGTTGTTGGGGTTTCTTGCGTATGCCGTATTGCTTAAGAAAGCGAAGAAGAATAGCGGCAGCGGCTTTCCCAGCCAACTGCTGGTAGATAATAGACTGGCAGAGCGACACATAGCTAGACTGTTCCGGCGTATCCCTCGGCAGCATGACCGTGCATGGTTCTTTCACAGTATCGATAAATTTTCCCAGTTTAGGGTCGGACGCCTTCAGGTGGAGGATAGCTTGGGCGAGGCCATCTCTGGTTCTGAGCGAAGAAACAGCCTGCTGCAGCAGGGGGTTTGGTGTTGAGGTGGATGGGTGAAGAAGTGATGGTGGTGGTGGTAATAGTTTTTTTGCTAGTGCCTTGGGTTTGGGTTTGGCCACTTTGCTTGGTTTGATCGAGGAGGACACTTTGCGGGTGGTGGTGCTGGTGGCAGGGGCGGGCTTTGAAAGCAGACGGGCACTGCGACGTGTACTCGTGGACATGTTAAGAAATGAAAAATAAATTGAAAAATAAAAGAAGAAAAGAAAAGAGGAAAGGTAATTTTCTGCGGATTGGAAATGCTAGCAGTTCTTTTTATTTTTCTTCCGCAGCAACTCCTTAAAAGTGGAATTTGTTTTGAAATCGAACTGATTATTATCGTAGTAATATTTTAATTGAGATTATCTATCTTATTTCGTTGCCTATTAAAAAACCCACTCCCCATCATTGTCACACCCCTTCTCTCTCTCTCTTGCTTTACAAGAGGCGGTAATTCGCTTCCCCCGAATTGAACTAAATAAAATAAGTGAATTAGGTCTTTTTTATAGCTCCTTTATTATGTCTTCTAATGCATTACCTGTTGGTTTCTTTCTATCGTCAGACACGCAATACGCGTACAACAGCAGCACCGGATACTGGCTTGATCTCCACACCGGCGTTGTTTCCTACTACGACGCACAAACACAAACATACATCCCACTAGCAGCCGACCCCCACGGCGAACTCCCAGATGAGGGTGTGTTTCGGCTAGTGGTTGTGGAATCAGACTGTCTGCCCGTAGGCGGTTACGTGGATATCGGGGCAGAAGCAGGCCCCGTAGGCGCTGGGCTGGATCCTGTGGGAGTGGGTATCGGACGCGATCGCATGCAGGAGCTGTGGCATTTGCGTGTACCGGATATCGCTGTCTCGCGGTACCACGCGAGACTGTATCTAGGTGACGCAGCCGAGGGCTTGGAAGATACAGAGAATGGGCAGAGTGCGTGTGGGTCGGAGGACGGCGAAGTGGCCGAGCTCCCCGAACCCCCAAACGACAACGAAGAAGCCAGCAGTGCACTCTCCGAAGGTGAATGCGCCGAACCCCACAGCAACCCCACGCGCCCACAGCCGAGCATACGCAAGCTATACATTATTGACGAGGGATCCACCCACGGGACGTTCCTCAATGGCCAGCGCCTCTCCGCAGCAAAAGAAGCCAGCACGCCGCGGCAGCTACAGCATATGGACCGGGTGTCCATTGGGCAGACTACCGTGCAGGTGCATGTGCATGCGCAATGGGCGTGTGCGAAATGTACGAGCTCGGGGGATAATGAGATCTGCTGCTGGGAGCCAACGGTTACTGCTGCCGGTGTTGCCGATGAGAAGAAGAACCGCGTGGATGGCGCGCCTGTGGGGTTGCGCCAGCAGCGGGGGCGCGTGGAGGCGCTGGATGCGATCAAGCGCAGGTACGCGGCGCCTGCGCCCATGGGAGCTGGGCCAAGCCGCACGCGGGAGTACGTTGACCGGGCAAAGATGCGCAGACAACAGCAGCAGGGCCAGGGCCAGGGCCGGGGCCAGGGCCGGGGCCAGGGCCGGGGCCAGAGTTTGGCTGGCAGAGAAGAGGCATCAACCGCAAAAACACCGAGTGCCACAAAGCACATGGAAAGGGGGCCTCCAGCTGCGGCTCCGCAGCCAATTGGCCAGGATAACCGCGGGTTTGCGCTGCTGTGCAAGATCGGCTGGGTGCCGGGCTCTGGGCTGGGCGCCGCCGAGAGCGGCCGCGTGGATCCAGTCGAGACCACAGGCAACGCATCGCGCATGGGGCTGGGCAGCACCGCGCAGCCACCAGCGACAGATGAAGATGCCAAACACAGGCTGGCACGGCTCACGCACGCACGCTTCCACGCAGCGGCGGCGGCAGAATGCGACAGCGCTCAGCGGCAGCAGAAATAAAAAAACAGCCATTGTTCAACCCCTCTCACAAAAACACGAAGCATAAAAATTCTACTCGGGCCGCTGGAAGACCAGGACGCGGAGGAAGCCCTGGGAGTCCCTGCGCGCGTCAATCTCGTCCCAGCCAAGGAAAATGCGGCGCACGCCCTTCTCCATATCCTTCCCGACCTCCAGCGCAACGCACCCCTTGGAGCTTAGCACTTCGGGGTTCTCGTCCAGCGCAGCGCGGATCTCGCGGTACGCCTGGTATCCGCCGTCCTCGGCCACCAGCGCCACGCGCGGCTCCATCTTAATCGCCTTATGCATGCGCGCGATTTTCTTGGCAGACACATACGGCGGATTACACGCGATCAAATCAAACGGCGCATGCTGCAGAACCGCTGCATCCACGCTGAACCCAAGGAAAGTGCCGGGCTCCAGAGCCGCGCGGTCCTGCAGCATATGCAACTGCGTGTTGCGCATGGCAACGGCCAGAGCCTCCGTGCTGATGTCGACGCCGAGGCCGCAAGCGGTGGGCGCGCCGAGGAGCACCGAAAGTAGAATGCAGCCGGAGCCGGTCCCCAGATCCATGATGCGTGGCGGGTGCTCGGCCCCCGTGATCCGCTCGATCTGCTTGATCTGCCCGATCTGTGCCAGTGCAGCAGCGACCAGCGTCTCGGTGCTCGGCCGCGGGATCAGCGTGTCGCGGGTGACCATGAATGCACGGCCGCAGAACTCGCGCATGCCAGAAACGTACGCTGCAGGCACGCCGTCAACAAGCTCCACAGCGCCGATTTCGCCCTGGGGCTGATCCGCATGTCGGTCAATCTCGGCGTTATCGCGTTGCTGCCGCTGCGCGTGGAACTTTGTTTCACGAGCGCACACCGAGAGGAATTTGGGCGGCACAGCGGCACTTACGCTGATTGGAGGATGGTCCTTGTGGAGCGACGGCATGCGGAGTGCTGTGAAGGCCAGGAGGGCGCCCTTGTCGCGGTGGTTGGGCAGTGGGCGCGCGTGGTTCTGCGTGCCGACTACCGGATGGTGCAGCTCGTAGAGGAGCCGCCGGATTACCAGGCTGGGGTTGCGCGCGCGCTGCACTGTGCTGCGGATCACTGAGAGGTGGCCGACGGAGGAACTCGCCACAATTGACTCGACGTGGACGCAGGTGTGGTCGAAGACGTCCGATGGAAAGTGGTTGTACTGCAGCCAAAGGTCAAACTGGTCCATGCAAGGGCCTGGCTCGCCTGAAGTTTCGCATGTGCTCTCCTCCCCACCCGCTTGCTCCACAGCAGCAGTAGCAGAAGCAGCGGCAGCGGCCTTCATTGTGTGCGTGGTGACTGCGCTCACCGTTTCCTGGTCGATTTCGCCATGGCATATCGCTGTAATCTCAAACTCAACGTTTCCGCACCGGAGCTGCTCCATCATTTTTACTCTGCGCTCTTCGCCCTTGACCACAACAACCAAGCTGCGCACGCCCTTTTCAACCTTATTAACTGCAATCCACTCCGCCTCTCCCTCCGCTCTTCCAACCTCATCTTCCAGTTGCAAAATAGCCGGTGCCGCCCATTCCACATCCGGCTGACTCACCCCAGGCGCCTTCAGCATAACCAACATCCCGGGCTCCCTATACATGACCTCGATATCCAATCCGCGCAGCCGGCTTCTCACTGCCTGTTGTGGGTCAACTGCAACTTCGATTATGTCCCCTGACTGTAAGGCGTGTGAGTCCAGGGTGATTGCATTGTTGACGTGTACTCGCTTTTCGCGTAGAGCTTGGGTTATGTCGGAACGGATCACAAGGATGTCGCGGAATTCTTGGACCAGATAGTTACGCAGCTTCATGCCCGTGTGTTGGTCGCTCGCTGTGCGCCTTATTTTTTGTGAAGAATTCATTTATTATTTTATTAGTTTGAAATATGAAGTATAATATATATATAAACTTTCATTTCTCATGAGTAGGAAATTTTTTAATCACTCATTAAACTGTTATACCCGAGCACTTAGGGGTAAAAACTATTATTATAGGAAGGCCATAATTTTTAGCAACAATGACATATTTAATAACATAATATAATGGCAATACTCATCATTGTTTATAGAACAACTTTATGATTCGAATGAGAAGCAAAAAGGGTACTGGCAACATTCGTTTTGCAATTAAAGCAATAATATTCAACTTGAATTGTGTCTCGATGCGTAAATACTGTTTTAACCTATACAACTGGGGTAGGGCTTGAAATACTTTGTTTAATAAAATGCTAGATAGCTAGAATATTATGTAAAAAAAGTGATGATGTGTGTGTGAGTTGACGAATGGTTAAATATAAGAGCGCTGCGCAGCCCGAGGACATGGAAGTGGATGTTGAGGTTAAGAGTCATGAAACAAGTTTCCGTCCGCATGCCGATTGGTAGGGCACTGCGTATGCGCGTTCGTGCGTCTGCGTTATAATACAGGGAGCATATATGAGTGACATTATTAGTCCCCCTGCTTTGGTCCCATATGGTCTAGTCAAAGACCACAGCATTGACATGCCAAGATACTGGGCTGCTCTCAGAAGAGCCAATTCTCGCCAACAAAGTGCACAACTGGCGGAATGCACAACAAAGGCAGCGAGATACATATATAGAACGAGGCCGGCGCTGGTGGCACTTTAGAAACATTAGTATTAAAACCCAATTATAAGATTACCTCCCTACTTTTAACACTGCTACAGTAGTGCCTCCTTACCCATATCCCCTTCTTATAACACAGCAGCATTTGTAAAGTACATTTTTTACCATTGCAAACAATCAAGTATTGAAATTTATAAATTAAAATTAATTGGATTTTGAGTCTGCTGCTAATTATTTTTAGTCTGTCCTGATTCAACGCTTATTACTTAATAAGAGCACTTGGAAAAACAGAATACTTAAAACATAAAATTTTAATTTGAACAAACCCGTGGGGTTGAGGTATTAATACACACACAATTAAATTTACCTTATTATTTTTGACACGGGGGAATGAAAAATAGTCGGTATTTATTTTTCCAATTTCAAAATGGCAGATATGAAGTAGCGCGCACGTGGCTCCAAGTCAACAACAACATGCCAATCAGATGGGTGCGCATTTTTAAGCTAAAAAACAAGGCTGACTTAAAAACTAGCAAAATAAAATCAACAATAATGTATAAAGGCAGTCAACCTATTCCTAACAAATAAATAAATAAATAGAACAAAACTAATTCAAACTAATTTTGCTACCACAATTATTTTACTTTGTTGATGGTAGCGTCTCTTAGTTTACAAATAAAATCACAGAAGTAGAAATAAGCTACCAAATAATAAATTATTGCAGTCAGTATTTGTATGCGAGTAGCAAAGTGCCATCCATCCAGCATCAGTAGTACTATAAAAGGTAGACGATTTTCCATACAAAATTTTTTCATGTCCATTCACATTAGCTCTACATTAACATTCTACCAGCTTCCATACTATATCATACCATACACTTCAGTTATATACCAGTCAAGGCTTATAAACATTTACAAAGATGATTGTTCCAAAATCAAATTGCACACAACTAGTACTGTCCAACAGCTCCAAGGTATTTAATATCTCAAAAGACTGGTCAGTCAATACCACCAAAATTGAATTGGAACGTTTATTAGCTAAGGGAAAATTAATATGATAAGAGCAATGGATAATAAATGGAGTGAATTAACAAGCATTATTCTAGATTTGAAAGATACACAATCATTTGTTGAAAAGGTAAAATTTGATGGATGTTTTATTGTTGCTTTTCAAAAATATAGTAATCCATTTATAATCAATTTTAAAATAGTATAGTCGGATTAAATTAATACAATAATAAATAATGATTCTAGTGGACAATACAAATTTTCTCATGTAAACCCACTCACAAACTGTTGTTTTATGTCAATAGCATTAGTGCAGACTTATATATGCTTTTACAGCTATTTTTTGTCACAATATATTTTGCTACTTTTCAAAGCCAAATCAAGCGGATTAGGCTGAAACAAGCGTTTACTAGCACTATATAATAATTTTAATAGGTTTATAAATAAAGAAATATGTTTTTATAAGCATGTTTACTAAATCATTCAAATGACTAACGCCTTGTAAAAGTAGAATGTCTGCTATATTACGTAAAAAGCATTCAATTATAAATAAAGTGCATCAAAAATTAGTAAATTATCAAAATTTTAAAATGGTTAATCAGTTAATTGCAATCCACCAATATTCAAAAATGTCAGCTTTGAGAATTTGTTGGATTCAATGGCATAGAGGTGTATAGAATATTTTTTACAAGGTTTTGATTTTCTGTTTTGGAGCGCGTAATAAAAAACTAACAGGTATGGCTAGCATTTCAATGCAGACAGCGGCGGCAGCACATAGGGCTCTAAGCTAGCCACTAAAAAAACAGTCAAATGTGTGCAGCATTTTTAAGAAAAACAAAGTATAGCAGACATAAAATAAATTGCACAGTGGTGTGCAAAGGCAGTCAACTTTTTTTAATAAATTAATTGAAAATTGAAAACTTGTGGCCTACATTTACTCTGTCAATGATGTCATATCCCCACGTGTGCTTTGAATTTAATTAATTTTTAACAATGCGCTTAAAAACAAGAAAATAATAACTGTTGAGAATATATAATTAAAATTTTCAAAGTAGTTGAGGGCAGTGTGTCGAAAACACGCTACCACATAGTACGTGCTTGTTGTTAGAGCCTGCAGTTAAACAATTAAAATTTATTTATTAATACTCAGGCATGGTATAAAAGACCAGATGTTTTACCCATTAGACCTTTTGTTTTTAAAATTCAACTGGCGCAACTAACAAACCAATCTACAACTCACTATACTATATTATACTATATATCTAAGACCTGCAAGCATCTTTTAAATGGTTGTTTCGAAATTAAATTACTTAGAATTGGAACTTACAACCAATTCCCGCGTGTTTGAGATTTTAACAAGTTGGTCGGTTGTGGATGTCGTCAGTAATTTAAAAGAAAAGCTATCAAATAAATACAAGATAAAATCTTTGACAACATTTAATGATAAACTTTTTCCACCAATGCGCAATACTCTTATGTTGCAGGATACAAGACTTTTTACAGGCAGTGTTGATTATAATGGAATATTGATTGTTGAATTTGCAAACTCCAAGGATTTGTATGGTATTCAGTATGTATTAAAAGACCTGGCCTTAACTAATACAAAACGGGTGGGCAACAGAAAAGTAGTATTAATTAAGCCCAATTTTAAGTAACCTTTATTTTTAATTTAGTCATTGTGAAAAAGCATTTATAGCACTCAAGCTTAGTATAAAAGTTTTTTAATTTTTGTATATAAATATATCACGTGAATAAAATGGGATTGCATTGCATTGGATTGATTTGAATTGAATCACTGTTAGTAGTAGCCCCCCTTCCATTCATCTTTTTGAGCTTGATTTTTTTTACACTTGATGCTTGATCGGCGAGCAAATATTAAATTTTTCTCTTTTTTCTCACCTTTTTCAGTCCAGTTCAGCTCAATTCAATTTTTATACCTATTTCCACTCTCCACCACAACTAAATTAACTTTAATTCTACGAAAATGCGTGTCAAGCGGACCAAGGCGTACAAAAAGGCGATGCAATTCTACCGCCAGGTATTCAATTTCCGCGCCCCCTACCAAGTGCTCCTCTCCCCAGACTTTATCCTCGCCTGCGTACAGAAAAACATCGAGCCAGTAAAGTCCCTCGAAGAGGCACTTCAAGGACCCATCAAACCCTTCCTTACATTCTGCGCGATTTCCAACGTGCGCAAAGAAAGCGAGTTCCGCGACAAAGCCGTGGCCATCTCCAAAACTTTTGAGAAACGCCGATGCCCGCATAAGGATCCCATCGAGGCCACCCAGTGTATGGCGGAGATCATGGGGAAGGAGAACAAGAATAACTTGTGCGTGGCTGTGCAAGATGACAACTTGAGGTTGGCGTTGAGGAGGGTGCCAGGGGTGCCGATTTTGTACTTGCAGAGGAATGTGGTGGTTATGGAGCGCATTAAGGAGGTCGGTAAAGAGGTTGGGAGGGAAATTAGTCGGGAGAAAATGGGCGTGTCGGAGGCGGAGAAGAAGATGTTGAGGATTGTTAAGCGGAAGGAGATCGAGGAGAAGGTAGCGGGAAAGAGACGCAAAGTGAAGGGACCGAAGGCTCCTAACCCACTGTCTGTTAAGAAGCAGGCAAAGTCTGTGAAGACAGCAAAGCCGGCTGTCAAAAATAACCCGCCTAAGGATACGCACGCTGCAGATCAGTCATCGTCGTTGTCGTCCAACAAGCGCCCGAGATTGGAAGAGCCCTCTGCTGCTGCACCCGGTTCTACAGATACCGGAGAGTCGCAGCCCAAGCAAAAGCGCAAGCGCAACAGGTCTAAAAAGAACAAGTCCGAAACCGAACTCTAAACTAAACAATTTTACTAATAAAAATAGATTCAATTACATAAAGTAATTTTTTCTTAAAAAGATTACTAGCTAACTCTGCTTCTTCTCCAGTTCATGGATCTCTGCACGTAGCTGAGCATTCGCCGCCTGAATCTCAATACACTGGCGCACGCCCTCCGACCACCTCTCCCCCAACCCCCTAAGCGTCTCACCCGCATCCACCTGGGCTTTCCTCCGCTCCCTATTCAACCCCACGGCCTCCTCCCTATACCTCTCTGTAGCCCTCTCTACCTGGGCCAAAAGCGCCTCTCTCTGGTAATTGCCTAGCTTCCACAAATTTGCTCCAAACTGCTCCAAAAGTTCCAAATTAACCATACGCATGTTTTGGTGCTCCAGCTGTGCACTAGCATTATCCGCTGCCAGGCGCCACTCCTCCACATTATTGACATTATTAGGTACCTCGAGCTTGTACCGTTGCGTGTCAAACGCGGGTGCTGTTCGACCGTCGCGAATTCGCTCGTATTCTTTAAGAAGGAGCGGGTTGGTTTTGAAGATGGGTGTGCTTTTGGGAAGCAGTGGCGGTGTCATTTGCGCCATCTCGGTTTGGATTAGCGAGAGCACGTGCGCGCGTGTGTCCGCGTCGTCGTACTCCTTATCAATATACGGAAGCGAGTCGAGGGTTACGTTGTGGTCAGACATTATTATTTAAATTTAGAATTGGGATAAAGTGCGAAAAGGAAGTTCTATTTTGTGAGCGGAAATACATTGCCAGGTTTAAATGGGCCTGTAGTTTGACCTTTCTATGTATGGGCTGAAGCACATGATGCGAAGCGAGTAAGTTGATTAGGAATTGATAAAGAAAAAAGTGTGAACCTGCAACCAGACCATATCAGTCCAGTTGCCTCCGCTGGGGCACCGTCTGCTGCTGCTGCTGATGGGCCATGCTCTTCTCCTCGATGCGCTTGCGAATGGCCTCGCGTTGCAGACGACTCTGCTCAAGCTTGCTCTCCATTGACGGAGTATTGCCAATTCTCGTCTCTCCCTTGGCACCAGCAATCGAGCGCAAAGCCGTCGGCCTCTGCAACTGCTGCTGCTGCTGCTGCTGATGGTCACCCGCTCCAGCACCGTTGCTCCCGCCGTTGCTGGCCAATGCAACCGCCGACTTTGGGTTAGCGATATTCCGCGTGCGTGCAATGCGCGAGTGCATGGTCGCGTACTGGCCACCCGCACCAATCAGCGGCGTGACCTTGGTGCGCGCGCCGGCCAACCTGCTCTCCAAGTCCTTGACGCGCGTCATAATGTTGTGCACCATCAACGCGGGGTTTTCGCCATTAAAGTCGGCGTTTGCAGTGCTCTTCGACAACGAAGAACCGCTCTGCGGCACCGCGCGGCTGCTGCGACTCCTCACAACATTAAGCTCCAGATTAAGATCCTTCAGTTCATCCTTCAGCCTCTGCACCTCATCCACAAGGATCTTCTTCGTATTGACCTCGCCCATCAAATGCGAATTCTCCTCCACCGCGCGACTCAGCCGGCACTCCATAGCCTGCAAAGACGACTTTGCGGCTCTCTCGTTCCTCTCCAAATCATCGTTGGTTTGCTCAAGGTCACGCGTGCGACTCTTATAGTACTCCTGCTGTGACCGCACAAACTGCAACTCGCGCTCGATCGATGCAAGGTCCTCACCGGCCTTAAGCTGAGAGTTCTGGTACTTTTCCTTAAGCTCCGCCATGTCCATGCGGTACTTTTCGTTGCGCGAGCGCAGCTCGTTGATGGTTGCCTCCATACGCTCAATCTCCTGTTCCAGCTCTGTTTCGAGCTCGGCTGATTGGAGCTGGTAGTCATCGAGCTCATACTGCTTTTCCTCCAAAGCTTGGCGTGCGTTTAGTGCCTCCGAACGCCAGTAGTCGATTTCATCCTCGGCCGACGCGAAGCTCCTAATTGGGTTGCAAAAGCCACAATTGTGTGGATTGAGTATGTTTTTATCTTTCCATGGTTGCTTTATTTTTCTTCCTGTTTCTGTTATTCGGATATACTTACTCTGGGTCCTGCTTGCGCATTGTCAATTAAAAAAGAGCCAAATATTGCAAAATGAATATTAAAAATTAGTAGTTGTAAAAAGAAAAGAAAAGAAAAGAAAAGAATAAAGGTGGGGGGTTTGAAAACAAAAAGCAAAATAAAAGAAGAGAAGCAAAAAAAGAGGCTTGTGCGTGTTGTATGCGTGCCACAAATATCGTTGGTTAGTTGGCCATACTCAAGAAGAAAAAACTTTCTAAATCGAGAAAAAAAAGAGGCAAATCAATCTAACCATACCAGCTTAAAGAAAATATACCACGTGATAAACACGTACAAACAAACTGACAGAAACGCGCCTGGAATTTTTTGGCTCCTACTTTTTTATTTTTTGCAATGTTTAGTGCGTGCTTGCTTGCGTGCACGCGTGGGAACAGAACAATACCACCCAAGTTGTTTGAGGCAGATGCAAAAATTAAAAGTTTTTGATACTATCTTGAACAAAAGAATCAAAAATCAAAAACAAAACAAAAACATTTTTATTTTTACTACTTCGTTCGTTTTGCTCGAAGAAACTCCAACGCTCTCAACCTGCGTTTAGCTTGCAAACAAGCATCCTGATCCCCCACTGTCTCTTCCTTTTCCTCCTCCTTTTTTTCCACCGGCACTATTACTGTGTCATTTTGTTGTTTTTGAAGTGCATCGGCTACGGCCCTTTCAATGTCGTCTGATGAATTTCTGGCCAAACGACAATTGCGAATAAAACAGTAGTACGCGTGGAGTGGGTCGAACGGGGAGAGGAACCGATAGGTTGATGTGGTTGCCTTTTCAACACGCATGGTTTGCTCGAGTTTATGGGGGCTGGGCGATTTGCACACGAGAAGCACGACTGTGTCTATGAGCTGACGCGTGGATGCGTCTGTGGGCACTGACACGGTGGATGGAACGGACGGCAATGGTTCAGGCTCAGGCTTAGGCTCAGGCTTAGGCTCAGGCTCAGGCTGGATCAAAGGAGCAGGGGAGGGTACAGCGGAGGGGTGCTGATGCTGCTCCTGCTCCTGCTCCTGCTCCTGCTGTTGTCCTTGCCCTTGCCCTTGCCCTTGCCCTTGCCCTTGCCCTTGCTCTTGCTCTTGCTCTTGCTCAGAATCGGAGCTGGAGCTGGAGCTTGATTCCGCGTTGTAACCATAGAGCCCAGTTTGCATTAGCCACTGCAGGTGCTTGTAAAAGACATACAACGGGCTGCGGGCACTCAGGAACGCAAAATCAGGATTAGTCCCCTGCTTGCCCTGGATCACCAGCTCCATCCTATTAGCCATCGCGCTGGGCTGCTCGACAATGAACCTCGCCGTTTGCTCGATGATCCCAAACAGCCTCTGCGTCTTTGGCGTCGCCACATTATCTGGCACCGCAAACTTTACAATAAACGCTGGCCCATTCTCATCTTCTCCCTCGTTTTCATCTTCGTCTTCGTCCTTATTTGCCTCTGCTTCCAAAACGTCTGTGCGCGGATTCTCCTGCAACTCGTAGTCCAGTGGAATACCCTTGTACTCGACCTGCGGCGCACGCTCGATAAACGCGCGTCTTTCCTGCGCGTCCATCTCAAAAATATCACGCTGCGGTATTTTTTCCTCCCCAGCCTCGTTCTTTTCAAGCAATGTGGCAAACCGTATGATGGAAATATCTTGATGGTCGGAAATGCTGTGACACCTGGTTTTAGTTATGGATGTGGGGATTAGGTGTCGGATATCGTAGCGATCCACGAATACGTCCGGCGAGAGCTCAGTTAGTGCTGGTACGGTGCGTGGTGCGGGGAATATTTGCGCTGTGTATCCGAAAATAAATAGATCCTCAAGGCTATTGTGTGTGCCGTCGTCTTGATCGGGGAGGAAACCGGGGCCGTGGCGCTGGCGTTGTCGCCGGATCCATTTCTGCCGCTCCTGCTGTCTTATTTGATGAGCGCTCATAAGGCGTTTTTAAACGAAAAAGGAAGGTTAAAAATAAAAATGAAAAATGTGTGGCTGAATAACGTGTGGATTGGCTTTTTTTGTAGTTGGTGTTGAAAGGGGGATGACGTCGCGATTAGTTGGTTGGGTTAAATATGGTATTGTACAGGGGTCATGGGGAGGTGGGGTCTGAATCCAGGGCCATCGAGATACGCCTCATATTTTCATGGAGCGACTCACGGCTTTCGGGTGCATACACATGGTATGGAATCGGTGACGAAATGCACAGCGGCATGTCTCCTTGTGCCATCTGCCCTGAGCGTGGTCTGCCATGCATCACCAGCCTTGAGTGTGGTCTGTCGTGCACCATTAGTCCCGAATGAGGTCGTTCTCCGTACACCATCATTCCAGAAAGTGGCATTTCGCCCTCCGCGCTCAACCCCCTGCTGTACGGCCTAGAAGGTGTAGAACAATCGCGCACAACAATACTTTCACTGTGATCCATAATATCCCTCGCAAACCTCGAGCTATTAACAATGCTGTCCAAATACTCATCTCCCGTAGTCTGCAACTTTTTCGCGTCCATAGTCAATCCATAAACAAACGACTCGTTCCGATCGGCCGCCAACGGAGAGCCACGAGGCTGCCCGGGTGTCGATTCCACAAGTGACTCGGTCCACAGTGACTGCGATGAGTCGCATGGTCCGGCAGCAGCTGCGTATTTCGGATTGAGCTCGTGCGCCAAAAGCGAGCCCGGCTGCTTCAACTTCCGCTCACCACCCCTAATGGGATCTCCGGAATTGTCATTGCCTACCGCCTGTTGCTTATCGTAGAACTGCCATGCACCCTCCTGGCACCATTTAGACCAATTATACACAATGCCATGCTGCAATGGCACGAAGGGCAGCCAGGCGATGACCAGGTAAATGACCCCCAAGGATACTGTGTATATGCAGGCAACGACGTTGTATATTCTGTTAGTGTACACGATGCAGCCAAAGTACGTCAGAATTAACCCGCGCCCGGTGTATGTAAAGAGAAAGCGCGCCTGTGAGTTTAGGAGGCTTGGGACGCGGAATTCGGAGATAATTAGTGAGAGACTGAGGAGCCCCGTGTATCCGTGGTAGATTATTAGGTTGGTCGCTGATGTGTGGTCGACGATGTTGACTACGGCGACGCTTATGATGGCGATGAACGCTACGATGTTGAGGATGTTGAATATTAGGAGGACTAGGTGTCGGTTGAAGTAACTCATTGCATAATTAACAAAATGTGAAATAACAATAAAAATTTTATAAGATAAACAAAGAAACAAAAAATGAAAATGAGCCTATTCCAAACGATAGCTGTTGCGACAAGATACACTTGATATTTGTTGATTTTTGAAAGAATCGTTTTTTGTTTCTTTTCACACTTTACCACTATTTCAGCAGTTATTTTTATGCTCTACTCTGCACAGAGAGTGAAGGAAAAAGGGGGAGGTCACATTCCAAGGTGCTTCTTTTTTTGAAATGGCGATTTCTGCGTCACTGCAATTAAAGCACTAATACTTCATCATCCAATCATAGACAGCGCATTAAAATTTTCGGGTGTGGCTTTGCAAAACAAGTGAATAAATCTTACAACCCAAAAAATCACTTTTCAAATAAATAAAAACGCGTACAATTTTTCGTTTAAATTTGCACTCTTTTTTTTAGCTCCCACCTTTTCGCTTAATTTTATTTCATTTCTTTTTTATTCACAGCTTTCAACCACTCAACCATTTAACTTGCAATCAATGTCGGGGTTCAACGCCAAACGCAAAAAGTACTCTTGGTTGCCTGAAACAAACCCTGCTGCTCTCTCAGGCGACCCTGGCTCCACAACCTCCACACCCAAAACCGACGCCAGCGACAAATCTTCCAAACCGACTAAATCGCGCACCAAGGCTAAGGCCACCAAAAAAGATAAACTTGACCCCAACACCAACACCGACATCAACATCAATACCAACACCAACACCACTGCTATAGACGGCCTGGGCATAGTCACCACAATGGAGGTTCCAGGAGAACAGCCAGAAGCTACTGCTGGTAGCAGCAGCACCAACAACAACAACAACAACAACAAGCCTATTGCGAAGGCTCGGCGTCGGTCGCGCAAAGACAGCGTGGATGAGCTTGTGAGATCACGGCTGCAGTCCACAATGGCCGCACAGCAGGAGTTTCCGCAGGGTGGCGCGTTGAGAAAGACGCAGGAGGCGCCGACACCCGGGAGTATTACAGCCAGTGTGCGCGATGCCCTGGCGTCAGAACGCTCGGCCGCCAGGATGTCCCCCAGCATTGCTATTTCTATATCTACCAGCACTGCTACCTCAGCCGCCACTACCACTACCACTGTGGCAGCGACTCCCAAGCAGAGAGGTGGCCGCCATGCCCGCCAGGACATTGTGCCGGGTACTCCCCTGAATTCCAAGACGTCGGCTGTTCCGCGCCCGGCATCCCCGCCTGTGCACCTGGACAGCATTGAAAGTAAATACTCGTTTCCGTCATATACGCAGCTGAACCACCGCAATGTTACGTCGAGCATGCGCCGTGGCGACCGTGGTGTTGGTGCCGCTGAGACCGCGCGCGGCGTGAACGTGCCGACTGGAGAGAACGTCATTGTCGTTCACCCGGGCTCGCGCTGGCTGCGTATTGGCCGAGCCAGCGATCCTGTGCCTAAGGAGATCCCACATGTCATTGCGCGCCGTCTGCGAACGCCGCTGACCAGACCGCTGCCGCCCCAAAAACAACAACAGCAACAGCCACAATCATCGCCACAACCCACTGAAGACTCGGCTGCTGATCCAGATGATATGGACGTGGACAGTGGTCCGAACGAAGCAGAAGTCACTAAGCCCAGCGAGCCAACCGCCATGGACGTTGAGGGCAACGAGGAGGGCAATTCCAGCGGCGAAGATAGCGATACTGATGGCGCCAAGCGCTCTTTAGCCGACATGGATGCAGTGGACCAGACCGTCGAAATGCTGCGCGAAGCGCTAAAGCAGCACCAGCGGCACTCCAAGCGCAAAGTGCCGCCGAACGTGTACTCGCAAGTTCTCACATACAACGAGAATTCGCGGCCCGAGGTGATCCAGGACCATAATGACCCGTTTAAGACCGAGTGGGTGCAAGACTCGGAGATCAAGGGAGATCAGGTGATTGGCGAACGGGTGCTGAGGATAGCCGATCCCGACAAATTCATCATCCGCCACCCCCTGCGCAACGGCAGCTTCAACATCCAGGACTATGCCAGCGTGGAGGAGATCCTGGGCGATATTGAGAGCATATGGACAGGTGCCCTGGAGGCGGAGCTCGGCATTGGCCGCCGCGAGTTTTCCAAATACGCTGTTGTCCTGGTCATCCCCGACGTGTTCAGCCGCGTCGAGGTTGCAGCCTTGTCCGATGTGCTTTTGCGGCGGATGGGGTTCCAGCACTTGCTCGTGCAGCAAAGCTCCACATTGGTGACTTTTGGCGCTGGCATATCCACAGCTTGCGTGGTCGACGTGGGCGCGCAAAAGACCAGCATCGCATGTATTGAGGATGGCTACTGCTACCAAGAATCGCGTGTCAACATAATGTACGGTGGCGACGATATCACCCGCTTCCTCTTCAGACTTTTTCAGAGCAGCAGCTTCCCCTACGCCGATGCATCGCTTGCGCGTATGAGCGATTGGCTGATGCTCAATGATTTGCGCGAAAAGCAGTGCACGATGAACCTCTCGGACGTCAACATTCGCTTGCGCGACCTATATGTGCGCCAGCCGAACGAGCACACGTGCAAATATAGCTTTAAGACGTACGATGAGGCGTACCAGGCTCCACTGTGCCTGTTTTATCCTGCAGCTGCCGATGCCCTGAGTGTGTTGCCAGACTACGAACAGTCGTTTGTCCCTGCGCAGAGGCCGGATTATCTGGCTGAGTCCCAGCCCCGCGGATGCCCCCACCTCACGCCGACGCAGTTTGGCACTCTGCCGGTGCGTGCGGTCGAAACCGCGATCAATACGGATGACCAGGCGTCTTCCTTACAGTCAGCTGCTTTGGCATCTACGGAGTCGGCCACGGAGCCGGCCACTGCTCCTGCAACTATGCCGACGACCGCGCCGGGAACGCCCGATCTTCGCCCGCAAACAAACACTACTACTGCTATTGCGTCGGACATCAAGGAGATCCTGAGCACAACCTTGCCGTCCACACCATCGGCCCCGGCCGTCTCGTATGTGGCCGACCAGGAGCCACAGTTTTCAAGAATCCCCCTGGACTTAGCCGTCACCCATAGCATTGCGCACTCAGGCTCGCATGATCGCGCGCGCAAAATGTACGCGTCCGTGCTTATTGTTGGTGGCGGCGTCTCTTTTATACCGGGCTTCGGGGAGCTCCTGGCAAGTAGGCTGATGCACGTGCGGCCCGAATATATGATGGCTGTGGAGCGCGCAGAAGTGGTCTCGGCACCGAGGGACTTGGATCCCAGGGTTTTGGCATGGAAGGGCGGTGCTGTGCTGAGCCGCTTGGAGTGCGCTAATGAGATGTGGGTATCTAGACAAGAGTGGATTGATTTTGGCACACGGCTGCTTCGTGAGAGGGTCTTGTTCCAGTGGTAGTGTTTTTTATTTGACAAAAGAATGATTTAATGATTTATAATTTTAGCCATAAAATGGACGCAGTTTTATTGTGGGTGGCATCGAGTTTGCATTGTAATGGTACGCAAGGACTTTATCCTCCTCGTCACATACAAATTCGATTTTCAATGCGGTATTTTTGATTGAGTGGTTTTCGGAGTAGTACGTTAGACTAGTGGTACCAGTGCTGTAGAATATCATTGGGTATTTTTCCAGCCCAAACTCGCTTATCAGCCTGCATCGTACATCCCTGATTGTGCAATACCCTTCACAGTCTATGAGTGTTATAAATTTGCCTTTAAAGTACATCATCCTAAGACAGACTTCCATGTTGATTTTATTGCTTGTCTGTGCCGTATTATATTGTGTCGGTAAAACAGTCTAATAGTGTAAATATGCTCAATAGATTTGAATATAACTTAAAAATGTAGCAAAGATGTAATGGAAAGGGTAGAGAAGAAATGCCTATAAAAATATTCATTTTTATATAATTGTGCTTCTCAAAGCAATTTTAAGCATATTTAACAAGCTTTCACCAGCCCATTATTTGTATATAAAGGTGTGAATTTTAAATATCCTATGTAAAACATTTGTATGATTTAGCAGACCAACGACGATCGAGACCAGCACCCAGAGACAGGCCGCAGAGAGGACCTAGTTTATATACAACTGCTGGAAGGAGTGCAATGACCAAAAAATCATCCTAAAAGAATGGTCAGGAATTATATCCAAGAGAAGGCGCCAGCAGATGCGACAGCCACAGACAACATATTGCAGCAGAGATCCAAGGACAGCAGCTGTGCCCCCCTCATAGCGCAACAGTGGAAAGATAATCTCCTAGACTTTAGACCGGTGGCGCTTGCCACTGTGACTCTGAGACTAAGGGTTATTACCAGTGGCTGCCTTCAATCCCGCCCACCCCTGGTGGTTTAACTTTGTTGTTAGGGGCAGGGTGAGCGGACGGTAAAAGAGCAGCCGCAAGGCAGTCCTGGACCTGCCATTCGCATTGCTGTGGCGAGATAATTTTCTAAATAACTCGTTCAGATTCATAGGTCCATAAATGGTCACCACAAGGGGGTTTTGACTGGGTGCTAGGTTAGTGTTGTGACCCAAGGGGGTGGTCATTGATTATAGTTGTGGAGCAGAAAACAAATTTATTCATGTCGAATACCTTCAAATAAATAACTAACATTGGGAAACATTCAAATTATGATATTTGTCAAATGAGGGTGCATCTCTTGGTACTCTTGAACAAACAACTCAACATCAAAATTATTATTAGACAATTGCACTTTATTTAAAGACGGGATGGCTAATATTAAGTATTTAATGCAGCAACCACTAGTCTTAACTTTACTCTCTGTATAATCATCACAATGTATATTCAGATTAGTAATGCTGGCTGAAATTGGCTCCACACATTCAATCGCTAAATCAAATCTGCTGTTATAAAGTACAATTGCCCAATAATAAATATCTTGAATTTGGCAATTTGGCAATTTGGCAATTAATTCTACAAGTTTTCTGGACTTTACCTGCTGATTAATTTTTAAACTACGTATATTAGTCCATGAGATTCTTTGGGGATTGAACAAGTCCATGTTAATATTCAAAGCAACACTTTCATAAGCAATGTTGATTGGGCTTTCAAAAAAACATGTTTGTCGGCTCGGAGAAATAATTTAATCCATTTTTGGAAGCTACATCAAGATAAATTAAACATGTATCAATATTTCCTCCATTTGAGCTGACAAATTGTTTCATGTTGAGTTATCAACGCATAATATTTCGATTTTTGCAAACTTTACCAAGCCATTTGACGCTTTGCATCCATCATTAATGTTGTGGAATTCCATTTTGCACTTTTTGGGTATGTGCAAGGTAACTTTATCCTTGCGTAATCTAGTCCCATTAATATTTTCATTTAATATATTGGCATTGCCTCCATATGTATGATCCATGTATACATTGTTTAAATTCTTGAAATTAATGTTTTTGGGATCATCCTCACTTGCAAAGCTATCCCAAGTGAGCTCTCTCAAATCACCTTCTAGATCAAGACTCAATTTTTGCCGCGTTTATTTTAGACAGTGGCTTTCTGTTTGCACTACCAATTATCATATCCAATTTCCTGATCTCGGATGGAAATTCATTAGTAGTGATTACAGCTGGAATATAACTATTAAACAATTTTATGTGGCAGGCCCAACCGTTAAAAAAAATGCTGCCAAAGTGATCTGTGTATCTACTACCCATACCATATGAATTAATTTTCAAGTCAGTAACATTAGGAATTTTACCAGCCATATATTGGGCAAACAATGATACAGCTTGCATACAGCCATTGCCATTCGGATTATTTTCCAACTGAGTGGTTTCAAAAGACATGAGTCTAAGCTTTAATTCCTGCACATTCAAACATTTACTGAAGCCAAAGCCCATTCTCTTTTGAAGCCCATTTATTGTGGCATTATTAATATCCAGGGTTTTTAAACGTGGACAAGAAACTGAAGGCGTATCGCATCTGGATTGCTAACTGTCAATAAATTGCTGGTAATCCAAAATATTGTCATTTACATCTTGGTTATAATCTACATACACATTTTCAAGGGATTTAAAATTGATTATTTAGGATCCAGACTTGTCATTAAATGCATCCCAGGTAAAAGTGCGATCGGTATTTCTGAGATTTAAAATTCTTAGAGATTCCCCAAGTATCTTGGGAAGACTTTGCATAACAGTGGATCTTTCATCAATATTCAACCTGGTTAAATTTGGTGAAAACCGCAAAGCTGAGAATGTCACCGGGTGATAAAAACAAACATTGTCTAATTGATTGACGTACAGGTTTGCCAAAGAGATGTAAAAGTTAACTTTGTCTTTATAAGAATGAGAATATAATTGCATTTGAGATACTTTGGGCATATGCATTTTTATACAAGAAGCCAGGCTATCATTTTTAGCAATTGATAATATGGATTTTTCATTGTCTGAAAAAGTGTTAACACCAATAAAAAAAAAGCTTTGTCACGTTTGGCCAATGATATTTTCAAAATCCATAAAGTTTTTCAAATTAGCCAACGTTGGAGCTGCGATATTCAAATCAGTGAGCATCAGTAAATGCAATTTAGTCTTATCTGGAATCTCTTGAATAGAAAAATGAGGTTCGGATTTCCCATTAAGAAATATGTTTAATGTATGCAGGGTCGGAAATACAATAACATCTGTCTCTCCCACATTGACCATCTTTTTTCCACGAGAACGTGTTGGGAACATTAGTTAGTGACAGGTTTTCCAAATTCTCAATGTTAAACTGTGGCATTTCTTGTTCTGCGCCCAATTATATTTTGAGTGTTGTTATTTGGTTAAAACAGACTTGCTTAGAAAGCAAGGGTAGCACCCAGCCATCAACCTTTTTAATATTGTGCGCATATAATTCATATAATCCTTTGTTAATTATGATTAAATCGTCTGTTACATAAGCACCCGTGTCCAGCTGACTAACATTGGGCATGTATTTTGCAAGCTGCTTGGCAAAATGAATAGCATCTTGTCCATAATCACGCTGTGGGACGTATTCAATAATACCATCGTCTCCTCCCCCTTCATTTTTTGAATACCAATAATCAACACTTATTTTACTAACGCCGGTCTAGTCGCATGTTCCAAATGAGAATATCGAGTCAGCGTCGGAGACCAGAGAGTCAAAATGTTGGAGATGCCGGATATAAACAACCAAACTCTTGACTAGATGTGTGTTTACTGTAGCCTTAATCAGCCCAATGTTTGAATTGGGAAGTTTGTCACTCGCGCTGCCGTCGTTCGAGCCTTCAAAAAATACACCAGCGCAATTTGTAGATGGATCCATAATGGCGTTGCAATAGACCAAAGGCAGGGCTGCCTCTCTCCACTTGCCACATACGCCCAGCAGTGGCAGCCTGCCATTCCATTTACATATGTCAGCTTCATTAGTTTCGATTATCATGCGCAAAAATTCGTTGAGAACGACAAATGGCAGCTGGCTGAAGCGAGACATAGTTAAGAAGGGCAGCTGTTGGTTAGGGTTTTTAGTTAGTGCTTTAAATAATGTTTTCAATAAGTAAAATAAGCCGGTTAAGAGTAAAGTTGGGAGGGAGAGAAAAACTGTATTTTCGAAGAGGGGATGAGGCCATTTGTATTATTTGACGAATAGAGAATAATAAACCCCAGCATACAAATGGTAATGAAAAATGCATTATTTATTGGAAAATTGGCAAAAGCATTAACATTATAAATAGAAAAAAGAAATTGCTTTACTTTTTTATATTTTATATGCACTTAATATAAAGGATCATTTGTCTTCATAAAAAGAATGCCACAGCAACATTAGCAGACAGCATTTATTTTTACTTGCTGGTTCATGGGGTGTCTATTACCACATTATTTATTTTAAAACTATGCTGTTGAGAATACAACGGGGGCTCGTGCCACCGACCAGTGACCCGGGCTGAGATCCATCAGCGTGCATAGATGCACCAAATAGATGTGGGACGTCAGCCAATGACCTGATTACATTACATCAATTGCGAAGCCGCATGGTGCTCACTATTGAAACTGTTTTTGCTAGAGAATGACAACAGCAGATATTAATACAATTCCGAAGTACATTATAATAGTGGTTGTGTTGCTAGTTGCTTACATGTGAGCGGCTCTGGAGATGCTGGATGTTTGCCATAGTTTGTTTCTGATATATACTTCTATTTCCCCTTTAGTATTATTCCTTGGCTACTCGGTTGATTACTATTGGTTGCCCATTTGGCCACATTTATAACACTATAATTCCTATTTTCACGCAACATATATAAATTCACTTGGATTGTGTCAAGATTGGTTGCGGCAGAACAATGTACACTGGATAGAGTAATCTGGCAATCTGCATTGTTATAATAAAAAGCTTACAAAGTAATTAATAATGACATATATGTATTTAATTAAACAAATGCTAAATTAAGACTCGATTTAAAAATATAGCTACAGATTAAGCAAGAATCACATCTACGCAAATTAAATGTAACTATTAATTTAAATTTTAAATTAGTACGCTATTATAGTTCGTTTGACATATAATCTTCAAAGCATTTCTCTTAGATCCCAAGTTATTCGGTGTTTGTGAAACAGGTATGTTTGACACCATCTTTTTTAAAACTTTTGCAAATGTCGCAATAATCGATATTTGCATGGTCGATGGGCTCATGAACTAAAGCTTTTGACTGGTATTGATGCATTTTGGGGGGTGGTTTGAATGAGATGAATTGGATTTGTTGTGATGGCTAATGTAGTCTTTGGTTTTTCTCTCGTTAATTTCATTTTCTTTTATAGTATTTTTAAACACTGTTTTTTGTGGATGTATTTGCGTGTTGTCGGCCTGTGCAGGGTGGCCAGTGCGCATTTTTTCAGCCTACTCCCTTTATTCTTTACAATAAAAACCCCCTTTTGAATCCACTCCAATTATAAATTATTCCATTGCTCGTGCTTTTATATAAATTGATTTTTTAATTGCTACTCCACTTTCCTCAACATTTTCAATTTATTTTTCATGTCAGCTGGACTTGGCGTTGTCGACAGATGCATTGGGTTGTCATATGCGTCATTCTTCCCCAATCATCAGCCTTGATCTGATTGGCAGATCACTGATCAAACAACGGCAATCACAGCTCTTTTTCAGCCCAACACGCGCACTCTCATACAAATAAAAGAATGCTGCCATTCACAAAACAAATTGGCTCATTTGTATCCTCTATTTTTGCTTAATTTTACGCCCTCCCAATCATTCTCATTCACCCCTTTTCAACGCTTCAAGTTCAAAATGGACAATCTCGAAAACGACATTCTCGAGCTCTTCGAGGATGACAACACGGGCTCCGCCACGACGCGCAGCCGCACAGAGACGCGCAACAAAACGCACAAGCGGCGGCGCGCGCCCACCAACCGCCGCTCCTCGTACTCTGGCACAACGTCCGACTCCTCCGTAGACATGGACACAGACGACACCGGAGTAGTCTCGGACACCGACGCCCTGGACGACTGGGCAGACGACCTAATGGGCGACCAAAAGGACCGCCGGTGGCTCGCATCCCTCAACGAAGTCGAGCGCGAGCGCATTCTGGCCGAGCGGCAGGAGCGGCGCGATGTTCTGAATGAGCAGAGGGAGCTGCGGGCGAAGCTCAAGGCGGGGGTGCGCGTGAGCGACCGGAAGAAGCCCGCCGGTGCGTTTTCGGACCTGAAGCGCGCGCGCGAGCACCGCCGCCGCGGGGGCAGTTCCGAGCGCCGGTGGTCGTCCGGAAGCGACGAGGAGGAGGCGGCGGAGGCGGCGGCATTGGATGAGATCAATAGCATCTGCATGACGCGCAACCAGCTGGAGCAATGGCTCTTCCGGCCGTTCCTCAAAGAGGCAATCACCGGAGGCTTCGTGCGCATTGTCACGCGTACGCGCGATAGCTCGGGCGAGTACAACCAGTACAAGATGATGCAGATCATCGACGTGGTGCAGGCAGAGGGCCGCGAGCAGCCGCCGTACCACTTGAATAAGACGCTGACAGACACATACCTGACGCTGCGCTTTGGCGCCACAGACAAGGACTACTCGATGGAAACAATCTCCAACAGCCCGATCAAGCCTGAGGAGCTGCACGCCTGGGACGTGGCCTTGCGCAGCACCCGTGTGCGCGCGCAAATCACACCCGAGGCAGTCCGGCGCAAGCTCGCGGACCTGGCGCGCGCCCGCGAGTACAAGCTCACCGAGGCCGAAATCACGCACATGGTCAATGAGCGTGCGCGGCTGCGGCGCATCGAGTCCGGCGGCGCCCTGGTCAATGTGTCTCTGGAGCGCACCCGGCTGATCCAGCAGATCACGGATGCACGCAATGGCGAGGACTGGGGGCTGCTGAAGGCGCTGGAGGCCAGGCTGGTGGATGTCGAGAAGGTGTCGGCGCAGCGCGGAGAGGGCGCGGGGTCGATTATGGCATCGGCACAGAAGCCGCTGCTGGCACCGGGCGCCACCAAGCATGCGGCTGGAGAGACGAGGGGCGCCATGGCTGCTGGCCGCAAGGCCACCTTGGCCCCAGTGGCTGCGGGGTCGTTCCGCATTGTGCCGCAGATGAAGGGCCCGGAGCTGGTGCTTAAGCCCAAGCCGACGCCTGGGTATGCCGAGATCATGGCGGATGTTGGTGGATACGACATGTCCTTCATCGAGAGCTGAGCGGGGAGAGGGGCTTTTAACCTGCCGGCTGGGAGAGAAATGGGCCCTTTGCTGCAGACCCATAGGTCCCTGCCGCCAGCCTGCAGGTGCTGCGCCCAGGCTGCCCTTGGCCCATTTAGCCCATTTGGCCCTATTTCATTCCACTTCATTTGGTACGCGTCCGGTGTTTTCTACTTTTTCATTTGATTCATTCCAAAATAACATTCGAGCTTCATTTATTTGATTTCACTTCGCTTCACTATATTTTCCTTCTTTTTATTGTCATTTGCGGAATGTGCGGAATCCAACTTTTGGTGCGTCAAAGCGCCTGCGCAGCCGACGCGTCCACGGAAAAGCGCTGGGCCGATCTCACACTTGCCAACAGCCGCCGGGGTACGCTCCATACACATGCTTGGATCCAAAAACAGCAAATACAAAATAGGCCCACTTGATCAATCTAAACAACAAAAAAAAATCAACACATTAACTTACACTTGCCCTGCCCTGTCCCCACAATAAACAATAAGATGCACTTATAGGCCCTGACGCACACAACGAACTAACCATTACGCTGCGCTTTTTCACACTGCGCATCGGCGCCCACGTCCTGCACCTGCGCGGCGCCCACCCGCAGCCCCAGCCACTGGTGAGCGCGCAAACCGGCGACATCCTATGCTGGAACGGCGAGGTCTTCTCAGGACTCCCCGTGGGAAACTCCAACGACGGACTAATGCTCTTCCACGAGCTCCAGCGCGTCAAAAAGCTACACCCAAAGGACTTTATTTTGCGCGTGTTCAGTCGCATAGAAGGGCCCTATGCTTTTGTCTACGTGGACCGAGAGAGCGAGACGGTGTGGTTCGCACGCGATGTGCTTGGCCGCCGGTCGCTGCTCATTAAGCGCCAACAAGGCCTGTGGCTGGCATCCGTGACACAAGCGGGTGAGGCGTGGGCAGAGGTAGCTGCTCAACGCATTTTCCAGCTGGACCTGGCTGCTGCGCCCCAAGCGGACGAAGTTGGGGAGCTGCCGCTGTTGCTGGTTGAGCATGAGTGGCGGTACGCGGACAGTGCTGGAGAGTCGCCTTTGGTTCTGCCGTTTGGCCGCGTAACCGACACTCATGGAGCCGGCACCAGCAGCCCGGGTGCTCCATCCGCCGGGCTTCCAGAGCTCGACGCAGCGTGGCTGCCCTTTGTTGATGGGCTACAGGCAGCCCTCTCCGCGGCTCTCCTTCAGCGCACTGACTCTGTCCCGCACCATGGCGCCTCAGGCACGCCGCGCATCGGCATTCTTTTCTCCGGCGGCATCGACTGCATCACCCTAGCGGCACTCCTTGCGCAGCAGCTTCCCGTGTCCGAACCCATCGAGCTCTTCAACGTGGCCTTTGAGAACCCGCGCCAGCTCAAACACGCAGCCACCACCCTATCCCAGCCTAAATACAACGTGCCGGATCGCAAAACTGGCATCCAAGGGTGGATCGAGCTCCGCCGCCTGTATCCTGACCGGGAGTGGCGCTTTGTTGAAGTCGACGTTCCTTATGCCCAGGTGCTAATGCATCGCGAACATATACGGGGCCTGCTGTGTCCAGCAGATACTGTTATGGATATGAGCATTGGCATGGCGATTTGGTTTGCCAGCCGCGGAATCGGCCGCATCAAGCACGACGCCCAGAATGGTGAGGGGGCAGAGTATACGGGCCAGGCGCGCGTATTGATTCTCGGCATGGGCGCTGACGAGCAGTTGGGTGGATACTCCCGGCACCGCGTTGCGTGGGACCGCCGCCATCAGTGGGCGGACCTCGGGGCGGAAATCCGCCTCGACGTCGAGCGCATTTCCTGCCGGAACCTTGGCCGCGATGACCGAATGGTTTCGGATCATGCGCGGGAGGCCCGGTATCCATTTTTGGCTGCCGAGGTGGTGGCCTTTTTGGCCAATGTGCCGCTGAATCGCAAAATGGATATGCGATATCCAAGGGGAATTGGTGAGAAGATTTTACTCAGACTGCTGGCCCAAAGAATAGGCCTGGTTAACGCATGTATGTTACCGAAACGTGCGATTCAGTTTGGCGCGCGTACTGCGAAAATGGAAACGTCACAGTCGAAGGGACAGGATACATTGTAATACGCAAAGTGAGATTTTTTTATCAATATTGTTTCATCATAATTGTTTTTTTTTTGTTATTCATATTCATGTCATGATTTTAATTCTTTTTTTATAGTGTAAGGGAATGCCAGTCGGGCTCAACATTTGGGAATTGTAATATTAGAAAAGAACAACAAGCAATGTCGAATACGAAAATGAAACCGAAAAAACCAAGAGCTGTTTAGATGAAACCGATCTACAAAATAGGAATAAAAAGAAATTAAAAAAATTAGTTAGTACAACATATCTAAAACAAAACAACACAAATCATCCAAAAACAGCAAAAAAACATTATTCTTAAAACATACCTTGTTGGCAACATCGAGGGCATCAACGTCAGCGGGCAGACGGATGTAAGCCTTCTTGATACCATCGGGGCGGATCAGAGTGTTAATCTTGGCAGCATCAACATCGTACAGCTTCTTGACGGCATCCTTGATGTGGCGCTTGTTGGCACGGACGTCAACAAGGAACACAAGGGTGTTGTTGTCCTCGACCTTCTTCAGGGCGGTCTCGGTGTTCAGGGGCTGCTTGAGCACGCTGTACTGGTCCAGGGTGGCGAACCGGTTGACGGCCTTGCGCGCGTACTTGGGGGCACGGGCGAGCTTCAGAGTCCGGGGAAGACGGAAGGTGGCAGTGGTGTGCACCTTCTTGGCCTTCTGGCTCTGGACACCCTTGATGGCGGCCTTGCGGGCTGCCTGAGCCTTAACGGTAGCTAATGTGGGTTTAGCAAAAAAAGCAATATACAAAATAGCAAAAGAGGCGGGTTTAGTTAGTAAACCTGAATTCGAGTGCTGCTTCATGAACTTTTAAAAGACTGCTTCTGCTGCTGTGTCTGCCTCTAATAGTGTGTTGATCTGCTGGTAGAGTTCTGCTGTGTCTGAAGAATACAGGTAAAAAATGGACTCAACGCTGCGGTCCACTGTGAATTAACAATAACTGCCGCTTTGTTTGTGCAAGCTGCTTAGTCCAAAAGATAAAACGCCAAAGCCGTGTTCCATGCATTACGTTTATGCTGATGCTGTTGTTGGTTGTGTGGTGCCAATGTCTCTGCTGTTTCTTTATGTTGCTGCTGTTGCTGTTACTGTTACTGTTGCTGCTGATTCAACACTCCTGTTGGTTATGTTGCGCCATTAAAAGCTGCGTTGGTTGTTGCTGATCAACCTGTTCTGGTGCCTGCTGTTACGCTGTCAGGTAGAAAGAAATAATGCATATGTAAAAAAGGAATGTCAAATGTCATCCCTGCATATTTCATGAATTCTATATAAATTCATTCCAAATGCAAATGCACATTCGAAACTCCAAATTCACATCCTCTCTCCTGCCAAAATAAAACCGTTCTAATCCGGCATCAATCGTCCTCCCGTCTGCATTTGTTGTGTATCCATCCTGAAATCATTATTTCCTTTCATTCTGCGCATCCATTTCCTTCAGACAATATAGCTCCCTCTTTCCTGCGTGAATCCATCCACTATCTTCGATTCTGTTGTTTTTTATTTCCTTACCATTCTGGGGCGACATGGCTAGAATATATAATTTTCAGCAAATACTTCGCGAACGAGATGGGAAAGAGTGCATCTAAGCGTTTATGCTGCTTACAACTTGGACTTTGCAACTCTCTCTGCTTAATTTTCTTTCAATTTTTTCACTAATGCGCCTAAAAAAATACCCGCATTCCTATTCGAAAACTGAGGCTTTAATTTTTTTTGGCTTCACACCTTTTTTTTCCCATTCATTTTCATACACTCCGATTAGTGTATGAAAAATCAAATTCACAATTTGAGAAAAATGCTAAATTTCAATTCGTCCATTTGGGCAAGCCCGAGTCGAGCCGTTTGAGCTGGGCATTGGCTCTTTTTTTTAATATGTAGAAGAGATTCATTTTTCGCGGCTATAATAAAAACGCAAACAAACCAAGCGTCATCCTCTACATTTCCAAATACAGACCGCATTCTCTCAACTAATTTCATTCCACAAAACATTTTGCACAAACAATAAAAAAAAATATTTACAAAATGTCCAGCGAAAACAACAACAACAACAATACCGCTACAAATGGAATCAGCAAAGAGGAAGTGGCGCTCTACGACAGACAAATCCGACTCTGGGGTATGGAAGCGCAAGCCCGTCTGCGACAGTCCTCTATTAGAGTAATCGGAGTCAAAGCACTGACGCTCGAAGTATGCAAGAACCTGGTTCTCGCAGGTCTCGGCAGCATAACCATCCAGGATTCTACGCCCATCAATGAAATCGACTTTGAAACACAATACTACTTCCACGAAGCCGACCTTGGACAACCCAAGGATGTCGTGTTGGCCGAGAGGCTGCGAATTCTCAACCCGCTGGTCAATATCCAGACTGGCGAAGGAAGATCCGAGGATACAACATACGATCTTGTGGTGAAAATTGGTACTGGCATTGGTGGTGATTCTCTTGAGGTTAATGGGAAGTGCAGGAAGCGCGGGGAGCGGTTTATTGCAGCCGACAGTTTCGGCCTCTTCGGATACATTTTCATCGACTGTTTGGACGCCCACGAGTATATCGAAGAGGAGAAGCCAAAGGACGACAATGCGACGGTCAAGAGAATATCCCTGACGGCGTCGTATAAGCCGCTGGCGGACTCGCTGACGTCTAAGCCTGGGATTGCTAACTTGAACCGGCTCGTGCGCAAATTCCCACCCCTCGTGTTTGTTTGCCAGACCCTTTCCACTACTGCCCAGCTTGAAGATATTAAGTCAGCGGAGGTGCTGGCTGAGGCTGTCAGACGGTCGATAGAGGGCCGCGGCATCCCCGATGGTGTTGTCGATGATATCCTGTTTGGCCGTGTAGTGCAGAGCTTGGGCACGGAATTTGTCCCATGCGCTTCTGTTGTTGGCGGAACCCTGGCACAGGAAATACTCAAGATTATCACACGCAAAGACATGCCTATGAATAACTGGTACACGTATGATGCGATCAAGGCTGACGCCATTACATGTCAGCTATAAACAATTCTCTTTTTAAATTGCAATGTTTAAAGAATAAAGCTGGGGGTATTTTATTTATTTGCTTCAAATAGTATTATTACAAGTAGGGAAAATGGTTTGTGAGGTCAAAAGAAGCTACGAGAAAAAAATAGATATATTTTCAATATAACTCCTCTCCTTCACCTTGGTCAGCTTAAGAGCGCTCGCCGCGGAGACGACGGGCCAGCTGCAGATCCTTGGGCTGGATGGTGACACGGCGGCCGTGGATGGCAGCGAGGTTGGTGTCCTCGAACAGACCAACGAGGTAAGCCTCAGCGGCCTCCTGCAGGGCAGCGATAGCCGAGGACTGGAAACGGAGGTCGGTCTTGAAATCCTGGGCAATCTCGCGGACGAGGCGCTGGAAGGGGAGCTTGCGGATAAGCAGCTCAGTGGACTTCTGGTAGCGACGGATCTCACGCAGAGCGACGGTGCCGGGGCGGTAACGGTGGGGCTTCTTGACGCCGCCGGTGACACCGGCAGAGGGCGCCGACTTGCGCGCGGCCTTGGTGGCCAGCTGCTTACGGGGGGCCTTGCCTCCAGTGGACTTGCGGGCGGTCTGCTTGGTACGAGCCATTGTTATATGTGTGGGGGGAAAAAGGATGTGATGGAATCAAGTGTGAAAAATGAGATGTGTGAAAGAAAGAAGAAAAAAGAAAAAAGGAGCGAAGTGAAAAAGAGGATTTTTGGGTCTCTATTTATAATGGTCCCAGAGACAGAAAATTGGAGAGGGAAGGGGAATGCAATATCTTTCGGATGGACTTTGGTCGCGACACACAAGAAAAAAATTGAGCAAGGGATGTCTTTTTTTCTTTTGTGGCCAAACAAAAAGATTTCAGAGGAGGGGGGCAAAAGACGAATTGCAGGAGGAAAAAATCAAACAACGCGTCAAATGTAACAGACAAAGGGGGCGAAGGATATGCCAAAAATCGAGCAGAACATCCTTCTGCATTCTCCTATGCGCTTTTTTTTCTTGCGCAACGATACTGTTCGATTTTTTGCAAAAATCCAATCCGACATCCTTCACCCTCCTTTTCCAAAATCCACCTTTATGCTCGATTTATTTTTCATTGCCCCCAAATGAAAAAGCAAACGAAAACGAAAACGCGCTCAATAATATTTCTTTTTTATTTTTGCCAAGCCTAGTTGTGGCCCTTTCTCTTCTTTTCCTGCGTGTAAATAAAACGTGAATTGCAGTGCATGCATGGCCTTATAAAAAAGCTGTGCGTAATGTACACCTGGATCCAATGAAATGATGTGCATTGCGGACTTTTTTACTTTGGTCCCCGCCCTTTTTTTCATGGCTCAAGGCGGAGTCAATGTCTCAGTACATTCTCGCCCTCTTTTTTCATTACGCGTCAATGTTTCAGATGCTTTGATAAGAGTGTATTTTTAACCACCCGAAACAAAAAAGCCAGAACCTGAGCAGGAGCAGGAGCCAGAACCTAAGAAAAAAGCCGCGCTGCTCGTTGTGAATTTACGTGTGTAAAAGACAATCTTCTCTCTTTCTGCTCTGTAAATTCTTTTGCGGCTTCAAAGACATATGTATCGACACGTGGCACTAGCAACAACATGCGTATTCATAAAGACCCAAGTCAAGTAAAACCCGGGGGTGGTGAGCTTTGTCTGACTGCAACGCTCAAAATCCAAAAAATCCAAAGTCTGGGACGCGTCAAAACCGACAGCCTCTGATGAAGCCGAAAAAGGCAGCGATGCCAAGAAAAGAAGTAGCGACGCGAGTGTTTGCTTCAAGTCCCCATCAGAGCCCTCCCATTGGTCAGAATCCCATGAAGGATGTCAGTTTCGATTTTAAAATTTTGTCCTTCATATCCTTCTCATCAATCAGAATGCGTGGAAAAGAGAAAAAAAGAGGGCAGTTGCACAATTTTTTTGAACGCGTTTCAAAATGCTGTTATTCACAAAGGACGTGAAGGATATGCCGCTGCTCGATTTTTCAAATTGAATGGATTGTTTTGCTTTGCTCGCGTTATTTTTTTCTTGCGAGAAAAAGAATCCAAGATAGATACATTTTTGCCATCCCCTCCTCTCCCCCATTTTGCACCCACTGCAAATAGATATAAAGAGCCAAGTTTTTTCCCTCCCGTCTCCTAACTATTTTATTTTTCCTCCAAAAACACAAACACATTTTTTTCTTACACCTCACCCCACACACCTTTTTTTAACACACACACAACTCTTATAAATCATGTCTGGCCGCGGAAAGGGAGGAAAGGGACTCGGAAAGGGAGGAGCCAAGCGTCACCGCAAGATTCTTCGTGATAACATCCAGGGCATCACCAAGCCCGCCATTCGCCGTCTCGCTCGCCGTGGTGGTGTCAAGCGTATCTCGGGCCTCATCTACGAGGAGACCCGCGGTGTCCTTAAGGTTTTCCTCGAGAACGTCATCCGTGACGCCGTCACCTACACCGAACACGCCAAGCGCAAGACCGTCACTTCCCTTGACGTGATCTACGCTCTCAAGCGCCAGGGCCGCACTCTGTACGGCTTCGGCGGTTAAAGTGCTTTAAAAAAATTATTTTGTTTTAAACAGTTGTCTAAGAACAAATAGCTTCTTTTTTACGCTTTTTTTACTGTAACATACCATCCACAAACACTTCATATTTTCTCCATTTTTCCACAAATAAACAAATGAATACTCCTATTTGCACGTGCTTGGACGTGATTTTTTTGTTATTGAGAAGTGGATGACATGTGCTTGCTGCAATACTGCAATACTGCATTATCTTTTTCCTCTCTCGGACCTCACACAGGGCATGAATGCAAATTAAACTAATCCGCTCACACGCCCTTGCTCACTACTAGGGCGGCCCCTTTTTTGCAAGAACCCTCACGTCGTCACAAATAAACCGTATCCTGCGCTTGTCTAGTCCAGTCTCAAGTCTTCAAGCCATTTATTATTTTTCCTTCAAACTTCAAACTTTTAATCACACTATTGATAACCTAACTGTGCTTTTCTATTGCTCAACGATGGACATTCAGACGCTTTTTTCGGTCAAGGACAAGGTTGTTGTAGTGACCGGCGGCGGCACGGGAATCGGGCTGATGGTTTCGACGGGTTTTGTCAAGAACGGCGCCAAAGTGTACATCACCAGCCGCAAAGCCAAAGTGCTTGAGAATACCGCGCGGGAACTCACCTCCATGGGACCCGGCCAATGCATCCCTCTGTCCTGCGACCTCCAAGAGTACTCGCAAACCGAACAGCTTGCGCAAACCCTCGCCGAGCTCGAACCCAATGGCATCAATGTCCTGATAAACAACTCAGGCGCAACCTGGGGCACCGACGACCTAGAGTCATATCCGGACAAGGCATGGACCAAGCTTCTGACCCTCAATGTTCAGAGGGTGTTTACCCTGACACAGCTGCTTTTGCCTCTGTTGGAGAAAAAGGCGCGGAAGGATAGTCCTTCGAATGTCATTAATATTGGGTCAATTGATGGACTCAGAGTCCCGACTTTGATTGTCCCGGCGTATGCGGCGTCAAAAGCCGCTGTGCACCATTTGACTAGGGTGTTGGCTGCCCATCTGGGCCCCAGAGATATTACCGTTAATGCTATTGCGCCTGGCCCCTTCCAGTCAAATATGATGAAGGCTACTTTGGAAAACCTCCATGACGCTATTGTGAGCAGGGTTCCAATGGGGCGGATTGGGTCGCCCGAGGATATGGCCGCGTCATGCATTTTTTTGGCTAGCCGCGGTGGCGCTTACGTAAACGGCGTTGTCATTACTGTTGACGGCGGTTCGATACTTGGAAACCGGCCGTATACACCCAGCCTTTAGATTGATCTACTAGAATGCTTTTTTTGTTTGTTTGTGTTTGTGTGTGAATTGGCTTTTGCAAATAAATTTTTAGAAATGAAGGAGTGTGTATGGCAAAATAGCTACTCTCATGAATTTATGGATTAAATGATCCATTGTCTTTTTTACATTATGTGGCAAAGCCACATCTGCATTTATTCGACTCTACAATCGAAATGTATTTAAATGATAGCAAGGTCAAACAGCAATATTGAAGTGAAAATAATGCTCACACACTTCAACGTAGCTGCATATGCATGGTTAAGGATTAAGCTGATATCGGACAAAAGCCAAAACCTCGTATTTATGAGCCTTTAATTGTATATATTGAATTTATAAATGGATGAGAATTGAATATTATTTTGGAACAAATTAAATGAAAAATTAGAAAACACCGAACGCGTACCAAACAACACTCCTTGTGAGAGGACCAATTATGGACCTATGAGCCTAGACGAGTTATTATATTGAATTTATAAATACACAAAGTATATTTTTCTTACGCAATCTTCATTTTCTCCAAGTGTGGGTACCACTCTTTAAACACAGACATAAATTTGTTCATTTCCAGCCAATCTGAATCATTATCCAAACTTAAATAGTTGAGTGACGGCAACTGAAGAATCAAGCAGTGCATACTGGCTATCACATCCTCGGTCAAGCTTTCTTCACCACTGAACGAGGACATAACCAACCACTGCAAATTTACACTTAACGGCGCAGTTTGCACTTTACTGTGCACTTCTGGATCGACCAGCTGGAACCTGTTTTGTGGGATATCATCAAAACTTACTTCATTAATGTAGAGATTAAGTAGTCCAGGCAACCCAGACACTAACAGTGGAATCTGTTCAAAATAAAACACGCCATTCCAGTGAAAAATTGAAAGACTCGACCAATCCAAGCGCTGCATATCCAATGCAAATTCTATTTCTCTCAAATTGAGAGTACTATTAATTGTTTGGATAGCCTTTCCAAAGAAATGATTTGTAGACTGGTAAAACACATCTTCGAAACTTTTTTTAACCTTTCCAATAACGATATTCAAGTCATTTATAAATTCAATTTGTGCCTTGCTGAGAATATCCATTGTGGTGAACGAATGGGCGATGCAAACTTTTTCAATGGTTTTTGGGAAAACATATGATGCCGCTATAAACAAAATTCCCGGCTCATGTTCTAGTGTGAGCGCTCTCAGCTTTGGAAAATGCACCGTGTACGGTTTGGAGGCGCTGTCTATATTGCTGATTAGGTCTGTCAAAATATCATTATCTTCAGAAATTTTAGTAAAATTCAGCGTTAGTTTCCTCAGGTTTGTAAACGTAATGGTAGTTGATGTTGAATCGTGCTGGAAATACTTCCACGAAAAGCTCAAGGGCACATCCATAAGCTGCAATTTGTAAAGTGCTGCGGCATTGATACTCGGAAGTAGTCGCTCGGCTGTGGGTGTCAAGCATAAATATAGGCTGGTAATATTGGTGAATTGGGTATCCAGAGGGAATGACACAAAATAGTAGCTACGAAATTGGCTCAACTGTTTATAATAGGCGCCGACAAGTTTGCTATTCAATACACGAGTCATAAGGCTGTTGCTTTTTATTGTACTTAAATCTAGTTTTTGGATGTTGGGCATTATTCGCACCAGATTATCGCACATTTCGGATGCCTGTGGCACCAGCTCATCATTTGCATCGCTAAATTCTATGCCAGGATGTGATGAGCCAAGTGGTTGTAAATGAAACAACAGCCCTTTCACTCGATCCCATTTGATACTGCTGACTTTAAATAGTGTTTTGTAATTGTCCAATAAGTGCCTAAACCCCCTATGGTTGCTCACAGAAACATGTATATTAACTACATGTTGATGGTAATTGCCTGCATTAATCAAGTCAATATTTGAATACGTGTGTATACAATTGTTTTGGCAATGGCAACTGCTGTAATAAAATGCATTTTGATAGGTCATGCATATAGCCAGCTTCCTCCACTCCCGACAAACAGCTAGCGGTGAATATTTAAATCTATTAATTATTTTTTCCGATATTGTGTATCGAAGTATTAGCTCGGCAACAATGAGCGGCAGGTCGAGTATGTGTAAGGCTTTGGCTGACATTAATATAATATATATAACAAAGTTTGCGAGTATAAATGGGCACTAAAATAAAAAGATTTGGAGTGGAGTTGGATAGATGGGATGTGGAGTGGAGTGAGGTGAAATAACCAGCAGCTTGGCAGATGACCGCCACCTTTTTGATGCTAAGTGGGCACAAAACAAAATGAAAAAATGTATTAAGGAAAGAATGTAGAAATACAAAGGTAAATGAGCTCATCAAAGGCGACCAGACACTTTGTATAAAATATAAAGTGGGACTTTTACATGAACTTTTGTGGTTGCAAAAGTATACTTTAATTTTAAAAAAAAACATAAGCAAAGGTGGATTTAAGCGCACATATCGAGCAAGTGGCTACTTTTATGTACCCATTTCCGCTACACTTTCTTTTCCTAGGTGGGGGTTTTAAATATCACATGCATGTGGAAATATGAAATATTTAATCAACGAAATATTCAAAAAAAAACGGCCTGTCTACTTGTGAGGATTAGGGCGTGATTTCAGTGTTTTTCTTCATTTTTATGATGATCCCCATGTTCTCTTTTTTGTTCTCTTTTTGAAATGTGAAAATCACAGTATGCACAAAAAAAGAAACAAATTTGCTGTGATTCCACTGTGTCAGATTTTAATTGATAACGCACCCATGCTGCAAAAGAAAAAAGCAAAGTTTCCCACCTTGCAAAAAAAAGGCATCTAATCATTTGTTTTGCAACAAAAAAAACCACACCGTCCACTTCTTTTTTCTCAGTTCCTCATCCCCCAACTAAAAAAATTAAATATACACACTAGTTTAACAATGTCCTTCCGTGTTCTCACAAAATCGTTCGTCTCACAGCGTCTCACGCCCAGCCTCCTGCTCCGCACCTTTGCAACAAAGAAATACACACCCTCCCATGAGTGGATCTCCATCGACAAGAACATCGGTACCGTGGGGATCACTGAGTACGCGCAGAACTCCTTGGGCGACGTCGTCTATGTGGAGGTCCCTGAGGAGGGAACCGAGGTAGAGCTCGGTGATGTTGTGGGAGCTGTAGAGTCGGTCAAATCTGCTAGCGACATTTACTCGCCGTTGACAGGCGAGATTGTGGAGGCTAACCAGGCGGTTACGGAGAAGACTAAGCTTATTAATTCAGCGCCGGAGACTGACGGTTGGCTGTTCAAGGTCAAGTTCACCAATCAGGAGGAGGTCGACAATTTGTTGGATGAGGCCGCTTATAAGAAGCTGACTGAGGCTGACCACTAGTTTTTTTCTGCTCGTTTTTAAAAAAGAAATGGCACAGTAAAATTATTATTATTTTTACCCTTTGGTTCCTTATCGTAGGAAAAAAACAACGCGTCCGCATGACGGTTCATGCTTTTTCAAGATAACACGGCAATTTATCTCTTTCAAATTGCTCGCGCGAGAGAAAGTTCTCAATACCAGAACCGCGAATCCTTTTTGCTTGGTATTGAAAAGGCACCAGGCTTTAATTTTCCGCAAAATAACTATTACAAAACCCTGTATTGTTGGGATTTTGATATTTTATTTTATTTGGCCAAAAATTTAGAATAAAAATGTAATAAAAATAGTTTTTTGTATGTAATGTTGACAAGAGAGAAAGGGGATAATGAAAAGAATAATTGAAAAAGAAAAGAGTTGAATTGAATTGTACAGGTTGTTTAAAGTGGGTTTTTTTAGGGGGGAAGGATAAAGTAATGAGAAAGTATAGAGCGAGGACTAAATAGTCTCAAGCTCTGTTCGGCAATGTGCTAGCGGCCGGGCGCGAGTGATATTGCTGTGATTTGGCGTTCATGCTGCCGTGGCCCTGCTGTTGCTCATGCTCTCTTTCCTAAAAAAAACAAGTCCAAGAAACACAACAACCAAGAATAAATAAATATGGTAAGTAATATAGTGTCAACGCAACATTCAATTTTTAATCACATTTTTGAATTGCACGCACACGCGGGGGGAGGAGGAGGCAGGGGAAGGGAGAGAAATATAGATATAGATATGGCAGTAAAGCGTTCAATATTTCCTCTGCCAGCATGGGAAGCAAATAAACAGACAGTCTCAGATACAAGACAAAATAAAGAATGTGGGAGCAACAACATCAGCACTAACCTTTGTTTGCGACCGACCAGGGTCCTGCCGAACATGCTGTTGCCGTCTGTAGTCCTGCCGCTGGGACTGAGAATGGTGCTGAGACTGCAGCGCATCAGTGCTAACTTTAAGCGAAATGCGTGACCGCTTGGCATCCACACCAGCAGCATCGTTGGTAGTACCATCCTCAGCAACTTTCTTGTTGCTGACGCTGCGCCTAGAAGAAATGCTAAAGGCAGCCTTGATAGAAGCCATGGGCAGCAAATCCAAGCGCTCAAACTCGTTCTTTGGCGGAGCCATCACCAGTGCCATAAGATCCAGCGAAGACCTCGAAGCATTCGCCGACACATTTGCAGCGCCCCTGACGTTGGTCAGATATGCCGATGTCAAGTCGGGCAGGGGGCGGCGGCGGCTGCTACGGTCACCAACAATGGCGGCGTATGGGCGGACATACTGGTCGTACAAGCCGCTCAAACCGAATTTCTTCACAAAGTCATCACTGCCAGTCAAGCGTTTAGGGCGGCTAAGCGTATGGGGCCGCTGTGCGGCGGTGGCTGGGACAGCGACGGGTGCCTCCTTCCTTTGCCGCTTAGCAGTCTCTTGGCAAGCATCATCAGCCATCGGGCGCTTATTGTTCAATTCGACAGGGGCATCGGGTAGGGTCACTTTACCATCATCACCATGGGTACTGCGGCTGCTGCATTTATTAGATCCTACGGACTTGAAATGCGGCAACAAGTCGCGTGGAGTGGTCATCAGGGCGCCTGGCGACATTGAATTAACGCTGGATGAGGCAGACGTCGAACGCGAGTCGGCGTGTGTCAATGATGGCACAGGCGAGTGGGTGGTTTCGCGCCCGTCCGCCCCATTAGAGCCAGAAAGCTCCAAGTGGTGTGCGTGGCAGTGCTCAATGGCCGTCTGCTGGTGCTGATGGTGGGGCATTTTTCAATAATACAGCAAAGAAAAAGTGAGTGTGAAAGAAAGAAAGAAAGAAAGATGAAAAATTAAAGAATATGAGCAAGTTTGTTGTGGCTTGTTGGTTGTTGTGCCTTCGTGAGTGATAAAATAATTATTAATACAAAAAGGCGGGGAAATGTGAGTGCGTATATGTATATATACAATGAATGAATTGGTCAAAGGAAAAATAAAGAGAATGAAGGGTAAAAATGCCAAGTCTGATTCCTCTGCACTGAAGAATGGAATGAAGAAAATAAGAGTGCAAAAAATAAAAAATAAAGAATTTGCGAGCGTCAATGAGCCTAAGCAAAAGCTTGACGGGAAAATAAGGATACTGAAAACGTGGGCTGCGGCTCTTCTTGTTTCAAAAAGAGAGCTTAATGAGAGTTTAATGGTCTTTTTATCCTTTAAAATTGCGTAACGTTTATTTTTCGCCGAGTTATAGTAGTTTACACCAAGCTTAGTGGAAAATATTACACAGATAAAAGAGAAGAGAAGAGAAAGGCGTAAACGGCCGGCATGGGAGGCGATGGGAATTTATAATCCAGGCCTTTCTCCCGCCCTCAATTCCCGCTTTTTCATTTTTTTTCATTTTTCCATCCTCTTTTTTTTTCTTTCTTTCTTTGTGACCCCCAACACTTTCTTTTTGCGACTCGGCCCAATAAAACACCGATATGCGAGTCAGATGACACACGGCTTTTTTTATTCAAGCGCTATTAGTGCCATGGCGCTTGCAAGCATACAAAAACAAAAACAAAAATGGTTTATTCCTCACTCACAAGCCTGCGTTTGTTTGTTTGGGTTTGGAATCTCGGACATTTAAACCTAATGATTCTTATTTTCCGACTTTATACGAAATGGTTAGCACAGCTCTGCTCGAAGCAGCTGGCATCGACGTGACGAGCGGCGATGAAGAAGTCGCGACGATAATTGCGCGGACAGAACACTTTCAGCGAAGCGAGGAGCTGCGGCTGGCTGAGGCCACAGTCCTTCAGCGCATCGGGTTGCTCGCGCGGACGCACAAAAAGGCAACGGATGACGAGCCAGAGGCAGTGCGCACGTGGACCCGGTCGCGGGCACTTGCAGTGACCCACGGTCTAATGGTCCTGGTGCGATACCCTGTGCACACGGCAACGATGTACCGGCAGTTCTCTGGACAGGCGAGCAGCGCGCCGGGGCGGAGCCTTTGGCGCGGCGGCATCCTGGGGTACACCTACGAGTGGCTGGATGGGTCGAATCTAGGCGCAATCGGCTTTTTCGTGCGCTCCTTCCTGCCGGCCAACGCCGAGGCGTCGTCGTTTCTTGAAATGATGGCCAGCATAGCGCTGCACTATGGGGTCTTTGGCCTGATGTACGGCGTCTTCCGCCAAGCCGTTGCCGTGCGCATCCTGGCTGCACAGGGCCTGCCAGTACCTGGGCTGGTTGATTTGGCAAGGCCGGCGCTGTGGTGGGTGCGCGATCGTATTTTGCTCAGGGCGCCGCGCGGCAGCGTATTCTGCGTGTACGTGCGCGATGTTTTGGGAAGTTCCATCCAAGCGTCGCTGGGCATGGCAGCGACACGGCTCCTGACGTCCAAGGCGGCCATCCGCGCGTACGCAGCGATTGGCCGCAGCCGTAACAAGCCCCCTCGCATCGTGTTTGAGCACGAGCCCGAAGTGCCATCGGCGGTGGTAGCCACAAGGGGCGAGCTTTTGATTTACACTCAGACAGTGGGCTCCCTGCTGGCCTCGGTGGCAACCCATCTGCTGATGTACCCGGTTGATACTCTGATGATGCGCCTTGTGGCCGATGAGGCTGGACTAACGTCCTTTGGGTATGCCGGGTTCTTTGATTGCTTGCGAAGGAGGGGCTCCTTGGCCTCGCTGTACGAGGGCTTTACACAGTTGGCTGTGGCAGAGCTGTCATTGGCTTGGCTGGCCGCTGAGGTCGCTCACTATTTGTGCAAGACCGCGTGGATCAAGCTTTAATTAAATCGAAAAACGCGTACTTTTCGAGAACAAGAATGTATGCGCTCTTTTTTAATTGGATCAAACGCGCTTACGCGTGTGAAAGCGCGTTTTTGTGCGTGCTTTTTTTGAGCAACCAAAAAAGTATTGTTCTCCAATATTGTTTTCTTGCCAGTCTCCTTTTCTTTCTACCTTCTCGTTCACAATTCCCAAAAAAACTACACTTTTAATAATATTATATCATTACTGTTGCCATGTCTTCACCAGCTGCGGCGCGTAGGCTGCGCACACGCTCGGATAAGAGCAAGATAGAATGCAAATTCGATAAGTTGCGTCGTCTTCGCGCGACCGGCGAGTCAGCAATTTCACTAATGAAGGCAAGCACCCACCTCATTTTCGACAACTGAGGTTTTTGTTAAGAACAACAACGACACACACTAAACCATTTACAGCCACATATAGGACGAAGACGACGACGACGACATGTACATGCGGGTGGACGAGGCTGAGTACCAGCGCCAGCTGAAGAGCGACACCACGGGGATGCACGATTTTATCATTGACGATGACGGCGCCGGGTACGCGGACTCTGGCACCGATGACATTGGCGGCGAAACCACAACCTCCATTCGCAAACAGACAAAACTTGCCGCCAAGAAATCCGCTGCACCAAAGGCTACGCCAAGGGAGAAGCGCACCATTAACACCATGTTTAAATCCGCCCACCTCAAGGCACCCAAGAAGACTGTGACGACGCAGGATGACGACGCATTCATGTCGTCGCTTATAGACGAGCTGGAGCCGCCACCGGTGACACCGACGAAGAGCGCCAAAAGGAGACTGGCCGAGCCCGTTGTTGCCAAGAAAAAGGGAAAGCCCGTGCCGCGTATGGCAGCGGTGGCGATCGGGCTCGTGGATGTGTCAAATCCTGTGCTGGATCCCCTGGCGTCGTCGCCACCGCAGAAGCGGCAGCGGCCGGAAGAAGATCCATTCATAATGTCTACGGAGGAGGTGGCGGCGCAGGAGCCGGTGCTGGGTGTGTGCGCCACAGACGACGAGCTCGCCGCATTGGAGCACATCAACGTCGACGACCTCCTCGACATGGACGGGCTCGATGCTTTGGATGCTACGCCTACGCCGCTCTACCAGGCACAGGAATCCGAGCCCCAGGGCACAGACTGGCAGGACGTGCACATGGAGGTTTCCGAGCAGCCGGCTTTAGCCAACACCTCGATGCCGTCGCCGCCGCCACCCCCGGCCACCGGCGACGCCCAGTCTCTGCGCGTGTTCTGGATAGACGCGTCCGAAACAAACAACTCGGTGTTCCTGTTTGGCAAGATCCTGCACGACGGCCACTTCCAGAGCTGCTGCCTGCGCATCACCAACTTGGAGCGCAATGTCTTTCTGCTCCCACGCATCAACCCGCAGACCAACGAGCGCCTTGCAGCCAGCGACGTGCACGCGGAGTTTGAGGCCATGGCTATCCGCCACGGAATTCGCTCTTTTGGCTGCAAGCCCGTCAACCGCCGCTACGCTTTTGAAATCCCTGGCGTGCCTGCCTCCACAGAGTACCTCAAGGTGGTCTACGCCTTTGAGCAGCCTGCGTTGCCCGCAGATATCAGCGGCAAGACCTTTGAGCGCGCCTTTGGTACGTCGTACTCAGCCCTGGAGCTGTTCATGTTGAAGCGCCGTTTAATGGGTCCCAGCTGGCTCAATGTGAAGGAGGCTGTGCCCGTGGAGGAGCATAATCGGTTGTCGTGGTGCCGCTGGGAGTTTGATGTTTCCGACCCCAAAAGCGTTGCAACCATGGATGACGAGAGCATGATCAGGGAGCAGCTACCCAGGACGCCGCCGCTGACCACCATGACGCTGAGCCTGAAGACTGTGATGAACCACCGTGCGAATGCCAACGAAGTCGTGGCTATCAGCGTGCTGATCCACCGAGATATATCCTTGGACGATCCAACACCGGCTGCCAAGCGCGTCTCTGAGCAGCAGACCATTGTGCGCCAGCTGGCCAACACCCCGCTGCCCGCTGATTTCGAGCGCATGCGCCTAGCGCAGGCCAAAAAGGGCCTGACCATTGAGGTAGTCAGGACTGAGGGCGCCCTGCTCAACCTCTTTACCGCCCTGCTCCGCCGCGTCGACCCGGACATATTGGCAGCGCACAACTTTTACGGGTTCGATCTCGACGTCCTCCTGCACAGGATGCAAAGCCAGCGCACCGAGGGTTGGTCCAAGCTGGGGCGCCTGCGTCGCCGCGTCATGCCCAAGCTCCAGTCAGGCGCCGGTGGCATGGGCGAAAGCACCTACGGCGAACGCCAAGTTGTCGCCGGCCGCATTGTCTGCGACACATATATGGCTAGCAAGGATCTGATCAAGGCCAAGTCATACGGTCTGTCCAACCTCACCATGCAGGAACTGGGCATTAGGCGTGAAGAGATTCCCTTTGAGCGCATCCCTGAGTACTTTACCGACGCCAAAACAATGCTGCACTTTTTGCGCCATGCTGCGTTCGATGCCTTTTTGGCTGCCGCACTGATGATTCGCTTGCAAGCGCTGCCGCTGACCAGGCAGCTGACGAACTTGGCCGGCAATCTGTGGTCGCGCACGCTGATGGGCGCTCGCGCCGAACGCAACGAGTACCTTTTGCTGCACGAGTTTTATCAGAAAAAGTTTATCCGCCCCGACCGCTTCTTCGGCGGTGGCAATGGCGGTGGCAATGGCGGAAGCGCAAGTGGGCGCGCAGCGTCAGACGTGAAGGGCAGCGCGATAGCGTTAAAGTCTGACTCGCTGAGGGCCGAGATGGCTGAGGCCATTGACCAGCTGGGCGACGATGACTTGGACGACTCGGAAATAGCCGCCGCAGAGACAGCGACAACGGCAGTGCCAGGAAAGAGCGGGCGCCGCAAGCCAGCATACCTCGGCGGACTGGTCCTGGAACCCAAACGAGGCTTCTACGACCGCTTCGTGCTTCTTCTGGACTTCAACTCGCTGTACCCATCGATCATCCAAGAATTCAACATCTGCTTCACCACCGTGCGCCGCCCCGTGGGCGACGAAACCCCCGATACACCCTCTCCCGAGCTCCCACCAGGGATCCTCCCACGCCTGCTTAAAACCCTGGTGGACCGCCGACGCCAAGTCAAAAATCTGCTCAAGCAGCCTAATATTTCAGCTGAAGAGGCTGAGCAGCTGGACGTCAGACAACGCGCGCTCAAACTCACAGCAAACTCAATGTACGGGTGCCTCGGCTTCACTCATTCGCGGTTTTACGCCAAGCCCTTAGCCATGCTAATCACTCTGCGTGGGCGCGAGATCCTCCAGGCCACGCGCGACCTGGCACTGAGCGACGGCCTTGAAGTTATCTACGGCGATACCGACTCCATCATGATTGCCACGCGCACGGCGTCTCTCGCCGATGTCTATGAGATGGGTGCACAGTTTAAGCGCCGCGTCAACGAACGCTACCGTCTTTTGGAACTTGACATTGACGGTGTGTTTAAGCGTCTGCTTTTGCTGAAGAAGAAAAAGTACGCCGCACTGCAGATTATTGCGCCGGAAAAGCACCGCGACGGGCAGGAATACAATACCAAGTTGGAGTCCAAGGGACTGGACTTGGTGCGTCGCGACTGGTGCGATCTCTCGCACGACGTCTCCGACTTTGCGCTCAAGCGACTGTTTGCCGACAATCCGGTGGGCTCCGAGGCGACGGAGCATGATGAGGACGCGGTTATTGCCACCATACACGAGCATCTGACCATGGTGGGCCAGGCTGTGCGCGCCAACCGGGTGCCCCTGGACAAGTACACGGTGCACAAAGGGCTGACCAAGGCGCCTGAGAATTATCCCGATAAGAAAAGTCTGCCGCACGTGCTTGTGGCCCTCAGGTTGCGCCAAAAGGGCATCGCCGTGCGCGCTGGCGACACCATCCCCTACATCATTTGCGACGCACAGTGCCCCGGCATGATGTCTACCGCCAGTGCCGCCAACCTCACCGATCCTAATGCTGCGCTGACAGGATCCTACGCCGAGAGAGCACGGCATCCGGACGAGATCAAGGAGTCCGCTGGACAGCTGTACCCTGATTTCCAATGGTACCTCAATCAACAAGTGCTGCCGCCCTGCGGCCGTCTGCTCGAGCCACTTTCGGGCACTGACATGCCCACACTCGCGCAACATCTCGGCCTCGACCCCACCAAATACCGGTCCGCCATCACCAGCACGACCTCCAACGACACTGACACGTTGCGCACATTGGATTCGCAAATCCCCGATACTGAGCGCTTCAAGTTTGCTCACTTGTTTACGCCCACGTGCCCGGGATGCAAGACGCAATATGTGTTTGAGGGCGTGGCGCGTGCAAAAAATGGCTCGCTCGAGTCGGGGCTTGCTTGCTCGCACTGCGGCCATATGCCCTCGCCACCATTCTTGGTGTCGCAGCTTACTTTGCAGATTCGCAGACATATCAGGGACTACTACTCGTTTGTCATGGTATGCGACGAGCCGTCGTGCTCGGCCAAATCCAGGGTGCTCACTGTTGCTGGGTCGAGGTGCTTGGGATCCCAGTGCTCTGGTAAGATGCACGAGATTTACTCGGACAAGATGCTTTACCATCAGCTGCAGTATTTCTCGGCCCTGCTGAATGTAGATAGGTCAGCTGTGCGCTTGGAGACCACGTCTGCCGATGTGCGCGCTCTGTGCGAGCGCCATTACGAGTGCATCAAGCGGCTCAACGCGGTGGTTGAGACCCATCTCATGGTCTCAGCCCGCAAGTTTGTCAACCTCTCGGCACTCTTCTCCTTCTGCCGTATCTAGCATAGTTGTCTTTATATTTGCCAATTTCAATATAATACATGTTTGTCATATTATAGTTGTGTGAATGTGGTTCTATTGGTTGTAGCTTATAAAAGAGCAAAGAAAAATGACATGACCTGAATAATATGCTTTGCCAATAATAAACTAAGTGTTGTCCTGTGTGTTGCGGATAGGTATTTTAATACCCTGCTGCGCCAGCGATCTTGAAAGCGCCGTGGACTCTACATCAAAATAAAAGCAAAGATATAAATATAAATTAGTCACATATATATGAATATATTGAATATGTTGACAAATGCAGTAACAGTTTTAAGCTGCCTTTCTTATATTAAATAACTCACCAATCATGCCCGGGAATGTCTTTATTGAGTACACGTCGAACGGGTCTGAGAACACGCTCGAAAGACAGGTCGGGATCATCGGGTGCTGAGCATCGCCCATGCTACAAGCAAAAATAAAAAATATATAAATATGAATGACTAGTTAGCGAATATAATCAACCCACACCAGCACAATGCCACTTTGTATCTACAACATGTATAATATCAACAACACCAGCAATATTAGCAATATTTACCTTGGGAGCTTGATAAGCGTAAAACGCAATCTATATCGGCCCTCCAGACGGATCGACAAATTGGGAAATACAAAGAAGCAGCCACGCTCGCCCATCTCGTCATCCACAATTGAGCTTGAGGCAGTGTAATCGCCCAAAAGATTGTTCTCCATCTCCAACCCCGGCTCTGCCGCCCTGCACCCAAACTGGGTGACGCCCCGCTTGCGACTTTTGGCGGCCGCCGAAATGCGCTTGCTGCTGGCATTGTGCGGGAGCTCAACAACTGTGAGCTCCTCCTCTTGATCCTCCTTCCACAGTGTGGTATGGATAACCAGAAACTGCATGAACCCGCCTCTACGAAAATAAGAATAATAAGAATAATAAAATAGTGCGCTGTTGGATTAGGAAACTGCTTTTATTATTTACTTTTAACCAGCAAATAATTCAGCCATTGCATGCACCATGCACCATGCACCCACCCACCCTCGCGTATAAACTTACTCTATTACCGGGTTACCCTCCACATCGTACAGCTCAAGCTTCAACACTGGCGGTGGCGACACTGGTCTCCAGTCCTTGTCAGAAGACCCACACATCCTCGCTCGAATTGGCTGCTGCACAATCGTCAGCTGAAAAGCCCTACATGCTCAAAAATAGGTTTTAAAATCCAAATCCAAACCCAAAAAGGCCCAAGGACTTGCATATACACATGCATTAGCTTGTTTGTTTTCCTTCGCCGATCAGTAGCAGGCCATTAGAAAACATTTCGCGAAGAAAATCGAGATCAACATAAAGGAAATGACTAACACGCTGCATCCCCCCTTTTTGTCTCCCCAATAATTCGGATGGTTCAAATGATGGCTTTGAAAAAAAAACCCCCGTGCGCTTAAATACCAAGATTTTGAGCGCAAAGTTGGCAATCGGTAACGAAATACTCTTTAGTTGCAGCCAAAGAAAGTAAATAAATAAAACATACGTTGTCTCCTGGTCGTCATTTTCGAACAGCGCAAGTGCATAGTGTCGCAGACATGTAATGGAACTTACCGAAGCTGTGGGTTGAACTGGCTGAGAAACTTGTCCTGTGGCGGAAGAGTGTTTGGATCGATTTTGGATGCGTTTGGAATCAGCTCCAGTGTGGAGACTGGTTTAGTCCATGCGGGGAGAGAACTCGCCACTATACCAGCCATTCCGCCAAGAGATTCCGCCTCATCCTCGTCTGAATCCTGTGCATAGTGGTCGTTCTGCGTATACTGCCGTTCGCCGGTAAACTGTGCGATATGTTGTAAGGGCATTCCCGGCTGCATAACATCGCTCCGGTTGTAGTCTGGGTGCGTGTGGAATGTATTTGCGTTGCTGCTCACCCCATGATTATCCGCGGTGCCATTGCTGCCGACTGCGTCTATGTACCCCTGCTGCGAGTACGTGTAAATACTAGGCGATGCGTTGTTGGCTGCCTGTAACCTAGTATCGTCCCTATTTCTGTCGCCGCCTGCCGATGCAGTCGTCTCTGGCTTGGTCATTGATAATAATTAAAAAATACACCCCAGACAAAATGCCCCTTGAACCCCAGACAAAAAAATAACTCGAAAATTAGGTGTGCAAATGGTAGAAGCAGCTCTTAGAAGAAAGCAATGAAAAAACTCGGACAACAGTCAGCGCGTTTTTATACAGGGATGTGCGTGTAGAACTCGTCCTTTTGTGTGTATAGTAAAAAATTGTCCGAGTCTGACGTATTGGGCTGGAGCTGATCGAATACACAATGCGTGTGAAAAAGATATTGAAGCGGTGCGGGTCGATTAAACTAAAAAAATAATGATATGGATGACGTTGTATGAATGAGAAGCGATTGAAAGAGAGGAGTTACTAACTCTTGTCTGTTATTGTACAAGCACTAACTTGGATGCGGAAAGATAAAGAAAAGAAAAGAAAAGGTGTGTAAAAAAGGGAGGGCAGAAGTAAATGAAAACCTCTAAAAACGTAAAAACAAACAAACAGAAGAAAAGAAGAAAAACAAAGTTAGTACGGCTTGTGAAATATAAAGTACAAAGTAAAAGAGAACATATAAAAAATATTTTTGTGGCTAATGCAATAAATGTCGTGTGGGGAAAAAGGAGAGCGTTTATGGATAAAGGTACGCCTGGGACACGCATACCCTTATGCAGGAATTGAGAACAGAAACATGCAAGCCACACTACCCAAAGCATCAAAAAGGGGGAATAAAACCGGATCAAATGGCATGAACGCTATAAACACGCCGAGTCATTGATGCAACCGGAATGACTGTCGAGTTCATTATTATTAAAAAATAGTTTTATGTGTTGCCCGATGCCTGCTTCCATCATCCAGGAGTATGTTTTTTGAAATCCCTGGAACCACCAAACTACCCATCTTATATGTTTATATACAACGCGCTAGTGGTGGCAATGCCGATTGATTAAGTGGATAATACAATGGGAAGAGGCTTATCCTGGCTGGAACAATGATTGAATGCCATTTTGGTCCTGTGCCGTATGCAGCGTGTGTCTTGTATTTTCTACATTGTGCATTGTGGCCTACCATGCCTCCAATAATACATTAACGGTACCCAAGGCTTGTACAAGTGATTATTGCAAAATTTTGGCAAAAGGGCAGGTAAAAAATCATTTTCAGATGAATTGGCCAGGACAGAGCACATACAGAAAATTCGGCAGAATCGACCGCGGGCGGGTTACAATGAGATAGATGTAATGGGTAAATGATTAAATGTGGCACTGACTGTAAATTTATGAAATAGATGAACAAATAAAGGGGGAGAGGGGAAGTTACCAAGGCCCGGGCAAGCCAGGCGCGATGGGCAGTTATATAGGTTCGCGGAGGCTGAAGATAAACAAAACACGCGATATACCATTTAGAGGCAGAAAAAACTGAGAAGCCAATCGAACAGATGTGGATTACGTAGCAAAATATATCTTTGTTTTCAACCTAATAATAGCAGCAATAAACAATAGAAGATATTTGCAAAAACAAAGTGGGGACAAGGGGGACTAGGCTAGACAACAAGAAAGAGTCTGAGTAGCTTGTGCTGCGGGATTACATTGTGAGCCATAAAAAGCCCAGTGACCATCGAATCGCAAAAATAATTACAACGACTAACAATTGCCACAGCACAGTTGCAGGCGCATTATAATAATAATATACGTATCCCTGAGTCTGTCGAGTAGAACATAACAAAAAATATGCATCAACATGAAAGGCATGGTTGTATATAAAATTGATAATACAAGAAGTCCTGATGTGGAACTAGGAACAAAATGTAGGGAATAAACTCGACGGTTTACTGTATCCACACAAATATGATTTTAAAAACTGGAAAGAAAATACTGCTACTACCCACCACAGTTCTTGGCGATACAGCCAGAAGATTAAAAGGACCCGAAAATAAAAAGGGGGTTACTTCAATTTAACTTGGCTCACGGGTTTGCAGTAACGTTTTATCGCATTTCATAAACGAAGAATAGAAGTGCTAAAAACAGAGGGAAAATATAGGAAATATGCCACTAGTCAGGATCTATCGTGTACATGGTAGCGACGGTGGTTTTTGAGGCGACACGGCACAATCGTATAATCTATCACTTTTTTCGGCCTATCGCTGAATAAAAAGTATCACTGTTTCTTGCCTCGCTTGGAAAATGGATGCAAAAGAGAATAGTACAAGCATTTGATCGAGGAATACGCTAAAAACGAACAATATACGTGCACCAGGAACTCAGTTTTATCATCAAGTTCCGCAAAAAGACAAAAGGAACAATTGGCAGATAGCGAATATAGAAGGAATAATGATTCCTGGCTAAGAGGCTGATTATGCTAGCTCTTCTGTCTGTTGTATATGCCGTGTATTTTGCTTGCGAGTTGGACAAAGCTAATAAAAAAAAGTTGGGAACAAAGGGACGTCTGGTAATCCGAGCCTCATCACAATACATGAACAGACTATATCTGGCGACATGAACGAGCAATTGACTCAGGACCTGGTCAAAATCTGCAATATGGTCATGTCAACCCAATATAGAAAATATTTTTTCTAGAAACTTTGTCTCCCTCCCGATTAACTGTCATTGTCGGTATCTCAAAATGAAGATTATGTGCGTGGCCAATGTAAAAAAGGTGGGAGATAAACTCTGCCTGGTACGTTGTGTTTGTTGTGCACAGCGTGCACAAAGCTGCTCGATCATGAAATACAATTGTTTTAAGCGGCAAGGTGCGCCATCGGCGGCTGTCCAAATTAAATTGAAGTGGTACCTCATCCCTAAAAAAACAGCGTGACCGCCTCCAAGTAATAGATAGTGTTGATTACACTTACATTGTGAAATGTTTTTGTTACGGCGGCGTCCTAAAAATACCAAGTCAAATATAATTAGTTTAAATAAAAAGTATGAGCCCCACTCGGGAAGCACCAGCACCAGCACCAGCACTAGTGCGAAATAAAAATAAAAATAATAACAAAAAAGACAAACACGAGCAAATATGAATGATATGTGAATGGATAAAGTAAAATTATTTTTTTAGGATCAAAAGTAGATAAAGTACATTTATTGGCCAAGGCAGAAGATAAGAGAAGAGGAGTGTTTGTATAAAGTGGGTGTACCTTAGGAGGTAAAACATAGAAGAGCAGGTGTGGCGACAAGCAGAAATTCTTCGCTTATTGGCAATAGCAGTCTACGCGACATGTTATTTTTAAGTTGGCCAAAACTCAATCATGTCGATTGCCGCCTGTAAAAAGGACGAGAAAATGGACCCAAGGCCCAAGGAAGGGCAATGTACATCATTGGTACCCCTTTTCGACTTTTCCCCCATCTTATTCGCGCACTCACTGCTTTTGAGCGAGAAAAAAAACGGACAAAGTAAAATCCAAAGAATAAGGGCAGCTACAACGGGCAGCAGAAGCAGGCCCCAACCCAACCCCCTCTTCTGCAGTGGGTTGAGCAAAACATAGATAAAAAACTACCATTGGTTCAAGAAACCGAAGGCCGCAATGCTGGCGTGCATTGAAGATTAGCGGAAATGTTGCTCACCCACCCAATCCTAAATAGGATACCAGCCTGAAAAATAATAACAAAAATTGAGAAGCTTACTCCCTCCCCTCCCGCCTGTCAGCTTTCAAAATGCTAAAAAAATATCATAATTTGTCATTCGGAAAACTAAGCGATTGTACGGCGCTAACTGTGGCCGCACCAACAATTTTTATGTTTAGGTCTCATTAATAAACTTTAGTTTTTCTCTTGTACTTGTTTTATATCTCACTCAATGGATCTATTTTCTCTCAACAACTGTTGTGCTTATCGCTCGCCTTTAAAACATTAGACAACTCTGTTTTATTTATACTTTGGCAGCTTCCTCGCAAACCAGAAACTGCAATGCACAAAACACTGCCCACATTGCGTATTGAGAAGTGACAGAAAGTGACGCGTTGTGTTATACAGCATACAAAATACGATTGATTATGCAAAATGCAAAAAAGTATTGGCACTTTTGAATCACGCTAAAAAACAATTTGCATGTCCTGTTTGGAATGTTTCGCGCATCTCGATGCACAGATGATGTGAGCTCAATTTTTCATTTGGTTACCACCGACGCCAACAATTTTTAGAAATAAAATAATGAAATTTTGTGATGAAGCGGTGAAAACAGGTTGGTTATGTGGGTAAAAATAGGTCAGACTTGGCTTGGCTCGAGCAGCGATCGGGAAATACGCTTACCCTGCAAACAACCTATCTACAGAGTGTAAAATCCCCTGTAAAAGGGTCCAAATTATATTTCCGCTTGCGCTTGCCCAGGCTGGCGACGCCCGGACCTACCCGCACATCTAAATCAAAAGAGGCGAATCTATGACTGCAAATCCTGCAGCCACGCCACCTTCGTAGACATCCGATGCCTTTGTCCGAAGCAAATGTCCGCCAGCACAGTTAATAACAATGTTGCCTTGCGCATCGCTACAAAAATTTAGATTTGATAATATATACAGAAATGTTGAATAAATATGGATAGTTAAATCAATGGTGGACTACACACTTGTTTGCAAACCAAGCCATGAGATGTAATTAATTTCGAAATATTTCTTACCTCACCCAAATTCCGTATATGCCCAACTCACTGACTACCTCTGAGGCGACTAGCTGGCCATTGCGCAACAGCACATTTACAAACTCGGGCGCACGAATGAGGTCCATCAGAATGTACCCCTTCCTCTCCTCCTCTGTGATCTGCCCAAGCAGCTTGGGAATGTCGTTGCCATACGTGTTGTAGCCTACAATCGACAACGGTTAAAGAGTCAGTGCTATACTCCCTTGGTTCATGGAAAACAACCGATAATAAAACTCAATTTTCTTACTCAATTCATCATTGCATAACATACCTCCGCCCTCGCGCTGGGGCTTGACTACGTAGTTGATTGGGTTGAAAATAGCATCTTGGTAAGCTTGCTCGCCTGCTGGAGTGCTGTCAAGTGGATACAGCCCGACAAAGCACTCGCGCACAAGCACGGCTGCTGTTTGATCACTGATGAACCTATGACAAAAAAGGACTAACCGGTGCGTTTAGCAGCTAGCAAGGCACAAACAGGAAATATAGGCTGTCATTGCCAGGATTGTTTGAAAACTTACCGCTCAACAACGCCGGGCTGCGCAAGCACTTGCTGAATCTTTTTGCAACCAGCCAGGTGGTAAGCCAGGTTGGGCACAGAGACAGCACGGCTCTTCTCGATGAGCCATCTGCCCTCCCACTCCTTCTCCGTCGGGAAGTCGGTCGGTGCATACCCTGACCGGTAGTACGCCACTGCCACTTCCTTATCGTCTAAATACAAGCGACCATCGTCTCTGATTGTGCACTTGTCAAAAACATCAGCAAATGTCAGACGCACAACATGGATGCGATGCTTATCCCAAAGCCGTGTCTCTACCCAGCGCTGGTCATAGATGTTGCGCTCGTTGGGCTGGACAACCATTATTACCACGGCACTATCCAAAAAAATATAAAGAAAACTGTATAGTTAGTCGCCAAAAAACATGGATAAATCAATGCGCATATATGCGATGTTATAGACTGTATGTGATGCTCAAAGCAACTTACTCCTTTCTTCCATACAGACCGAATCCGGCCGCGATGCCATCACCGATGCTCGTCAGCGATTCGTTAGCAGGAAGTTGCTCTTTCGATATGGACCCTGAATCCAGCAGACCAGCATATCCGGTTTTGTCAAGCAGGAATCTATGAAAGTCGCCGACAATGCTAGAAAGAGATGCAAACGAGGCCGCGATAGTGTTAAACTCAACCTGCTTTGCCTGCGGAGTCGACTCAGGCTCCCCTTCAGGCGCATGAATCAAGTAATCCGACCGATGTATGCCGATGACCGCCGGCTTCTCGACGCTGAGCGCCCTCTGCTTAGTATACATGTCAAAGATCTTTGATGTAAATTCATCGGATGTGCCGAGGCTCTGCAGCGTAGTGGACAAGAACTCGTGGTCCCGAGAAATGCGGTCAAAGAGAAGGTTGAGCGCAGGCTGCAGGGCAACGACCTTCTCAAACTCTGAGCGCGGGATTGGACTGGGTGCGAATGCTACGGGTGCGGGAACAAGAGCCGAGTTGAGCCATTCAGCTTCTTTGTCAGTACCCTCAAGCTTTGGCGCCCGGAGAAGCAAGCCGTGGGATGCCTCCCAATCAATGGCCGCGTCGATGTAGGGTTGCAGTTTGCTGATGTCGCGCGAGTACTGGGGCCGAAAGGCTAGAAATTCACTAACGGTTTTAGCGAGCTTGCTCATTTGAAGTTAATAAATAGGTTGACGAGATAACAAAAAAAGGAATACAATAATTAAAAAAAGGCAAGCCCAAACCAAGATGAGACCAAACATAATCAAGTGTGGAGTGCGGCGGATCCTGTTTTACGTTTGGCTTTGTGCTTAATAATTGAAATTGCGCAATACATCAGCGAAATTGCCTTCATTCCCACGCTGCAGGCTAAAAACAAAAAATACATTTGGCAAAAATGTGCATCCGCCGGGAATCGAACCCGGGTCTACCGCGTGGCAGGCGGCAATCATACCTCTGGACCACAGATGCTTTTGATTGAACAATTTTTAGCAGCTAATGCTACTGACTGAAATAACACATTTTAACCAATAACATATTTCAAGTAATAACATATTTTAAGTAAAAACATATTTAGTTAGACCATACTCAGATTAGCATTTGAATTTTGATAAGAATCCTATTTTTTGTTTGGTTTGGTTTGGTTTGGATTAATAATGGTGCACTTCGTTAAGTGTCAATAAAATATTATCATTATAAATATAAGTGGTATAAACTAAACTATGCTAATTAAAACAAACAATTTGCATTGACTTAGTGCGATTGAAGAACTGACCGTCAAAAAAACAAGGCATATTTCATGACATCCAAGCCTGTGTTGCTTTTTTATATAATTTTATTTGAAGACTATTGGCTTGTTGATAAATTATATATTTTCATAACAATTATTGAAAATCTAGACAGGTTCTATTATATTTAATTTGCTATCTTATAACTGCTAATTATCATAGATCCTGTCGACCTTCACATACATACATACACACAATTTACATTAAGTCGCTTTGAATTTAAACAGAACTGGCTTTGGAATGCCTACCACGCTGTAATAAATACTGTGATAATATTCAGATAGACACTCGGGACTCACATCTTTCACTATTCCATCGGTAAGCATGCGTTTTGTGTACACAATTTTAAACTTACAAGTTCCCCTAAATGGCCATTTCCCAAACGTGTACGCATTTGTTAGGCACTTACTGATGTGCTTGTCCAACGTGAATAGATGACTAACATGCGTTGCATCGACGTAAATCCATTTCCTTTTAAATAACGTGGCACTTGCTGTAAACATGTTGGTTGAAAATTTTTGTTATAGGATAAAGTACAAAAACAATTAAAACTAGTGCTAAAAATAAAAATACAAAGAGGCACAACTATTTTATTCCGTGTCTTTTTTGCTAGAATTTTTTAATTGTCACTTTGTTTATTGTGAACAATTTTCTTTTAAATGTCTTTTGCACAATTTCTTTTACTTGTTTCTTTTGCACAATTGGGCACCAATGTCCCTATGTATTTTGCCTTGCAGTCAGCACACTTTTTGGTCAATGGATTAAAGATGTTTAGGAAATATTAAATTAGGTATTCAAAAGGTATCCGCAAAAATAAAAAAAGTACATGACAAAAGTCGGCAAACTGCAGAGAAATCCAAGTTACCATGCTCACACGAGTATCCCTTCCCCACCAAATCGGCATTACCATCATTAATGTTTTTCTTTTGCAATTTTTTTGCTAGCTGAAACATTTATCGCGAGGGGGGAGAAATAATTATCCCAGACCGAAAAACTCCATCTTGCAAAAGTAAATCAACACACGGTTTCCAAGCATACTCAACATCGTCTACAAACAAAGAATAATTAATAATGAACAACAGCAGTCGACATAAGTAAGCAAGTACACTGACAACCATCCCATCTCTGGTCGGCTTTTTATTACACCTAAAGGTCAATCTCACCAATATAATCATTATTTTACCTCAAACATGCATATTTCAAAGTTAGTTTTGCTTCTGGCCTGCGCGGTCTCCACAGTGTATGGATTGACAGAAAAGGAAGACCGGACGGTGACTGATGTTCTGGCCATCCTTAAGCGCGGAACAAGCATATACCCGCTGGAAGATCTGATGTACCAACTGTCCATAGCAATGGGGTTCCACCGCAGTGCGGGCAAGCTCAGCCGCCTTGTCCCCAATGGAACGTCGGCTTACGAGACAGTCTACGACATGCTGCTTTACGTTGACATTAACGTGAAGCATTCACCCGAGCAGCAGCAAAAGCTAAGGCAGCTCATTGGCATCATTGGGGACAAGGTGCTCAAGCTCAACTCGAAGGATGCCAGCTTCCGGACAGTGGTTTTACAGGAGGAGGACGACAGTGAGGAAGCAAAATCCGCGAGAAACACCATCACGGAGACCTGAAGCAACATAAATTAGACTAATACCCACGCTTTTATTATTAAACATCACTTTAAATACAACGAAATTCAAACATTCAAGACAGGCACCAAGTTATTCTAAATTTGCTCTATGCCCAACTCCATGCGCACCAATTCATCAAAGTCGCTGAGCATCAGCGTCGATGTGGTGTCCAGCAAAATCGCGTTCTTAAGTCCAGGCGAGTGCAGCCAATAAGACAACTTGACCAGTTGCTCGTCACTATCCAGCCTCGCGCCGCCTTGCACCGACTCGAATCCCTCAATGCACTTCTCCAGCTCTGCAATATGCCCCACTCTCATATCCACGGCAGCTCTGTATGCACCCTCCACCCGTTGTGCCAACTCCGCATACCACGTCACAGAGCCAAACAGCAGCGGCTCCACAAACTCCACAGAGCTACCCTTTGGCGGGAGCAGTTTGATGAGCAACTCGGAGGCAGCGTCTATGCGGTCGATTTGGCGGTTCATCATGGTGATTTTGTGCTGCAGTTGGTCGATTTTGTGCCTTGCTGTTATTAGTGTGGTGGTGAGAAACTTTTCGGCCACGTCGGGAAAAAGTTGCGGAAGGGTCGGGTGCCAAACGGCAGGCTCTTGCGAGTTGTGTGCTTGGAGAAGCAGGTTGACCAGGTCGTTGGTTATGGTGATTCCGTCAGAGTTCCATCCGTCCCAGGAGCGCTCGGCCTTGTAGATATCCATGAGGGCTGTACGGGCGTGGCGACCAGGGTTGTTGTTGCTGGAAGAAGCCATTGCGGTGTGCTAAAATAATATATAAATAAAAAATTAAAGCGACACTACCCAGCCGCGAATTTCATTTAAACAGTATCACGAAATTCCAGCTTTATAAAATATAGGCGGGGCAGGGATTTCAACAAATATGCAGCGCTTATGGCAGAAAAGCACGCGGACAGCCGTCAGCTAAGCATTTGAATTGTTTGGTTGCTGCCTGATATTATATTTTATTTAATAGCAGGGCCAGAAAATGTACAGAAAATGAAAAGGACATTAGACTAAGAAGTTTAAGAGCGCTCGCCGCGGAGACGACGGGCCAGCTGCAGATCCTTGGGCTGGATGGTGACACGGCGGCCGTGGATGGCAGCGAGGTTGGTGTCCTCGAACAGACCAACGAGGTAAGCCTCAGCGGCCTCCTGCAGGGCAGCGATAGCCGAGGACTGGAAACGGAGGTCGGTCTTGAAATCCTGGGCAATCTCGCGGACGAGGCGCTGGAAGGGGAGCTTGCGGATAAGCAGCTCAGTGGACTTCTGGTAGCGACGGATCTCACGCAGAGCAACGGTGCCGGGGCGGTAACGGTGGGGCTTCTTGACGCCGCCGGTGACACCGGCAGAGGGCGCCGACTTGCGCGCGGCCTTGGTGGCCAGCTGCTTACGGGGGGCCTTGCCTCCGGTGGACTTGCGGGCGGTCTGCTTGGTACGAGCCATTGTTATATGTGTGGGAAAAAGGTATGTGATGGAATCAAGTGTGGAAAATGAGATGTGTGAAAGAAAGAAGAAAAAAAGAAAAAAGGCGAGGAACGGATGGCCGGGGGTAGCTGATTTATAAGAAAAAGCCCCAAGGCACGCGTGAGCCTTGTTGCAAGATTATTGGCAGAGAATGTGTCGAAAAATGGGAGGGGGCTGCATAAAACGGATAACGCGTTTTGGTCAATTGAAATTTTGGAAAAATCGAATCTTGCATCCTTTTGCCAATTTCCGTCTGGGCATCACACGTGGAAAAGCAAGCTGGCGGCTGCAATCGCACAAAAGCAAAGTAAACGGACGCGACAAAAAGGAAGGATATGAGAAAAATCGAGGAGCAACAAAATCCAGACAACGACGCGTTCTGATTGGGCAATCCCTTCCCTCGTCCAACTTCTCTTTTTTCAAACAGGCATTATTTGTTAGGACGCGCGTCAATAAACAATGCGGGAGGGATGTTTTGCTCGATTTTCAAAATCCGTTACTGTGCGCTGATTTTGGAAAGAAAAATTGAGCAGGAATGAGCGCACCGTCCAAACAAAAATGAGCAACCAGTAAGAGACAATATCGTTTGCTGATGAAAATGCAAGTAGCGGGGGAGTGAATGAGAGTTTGATGCGCGCCACATTATTTGCACTCGGTAGTGTCGACAGTCGAAGCAAGATGGCCAAGACGAAAATGGACGAGGGACGCGATTTTGGATTTTGGATTTTTTTTGGTTGCCATCGGTTCTGATAAATTCCCTGCGAAGTTCGACGCGTTTTTATTTCTTTTGCATCCTTCCCCCCAGTGTGATTGGCCACAATGGAGAATGGCGCATTTTGATTTTTTCAACGTACAAAAAATGCGCAACATGAGAGAAAAAAATGAGGCGAAATCAAAACCGCGTAACAGCCGCGCAGCTCATTTGGATTCATGCCGATGGGTATATAAGGGCGATGCCGCGGACCTCGCTTCACTTCGCCTTTTCTTTTTTCCCTTCCACTCTATAATTTTTGTATTTTCATACACCTTTTTTAAACACACACAACTCTTATAAATCATGTCTGGCCGCGGAAAGGGAGGAAAGGGACTCGGAAAGGGAGGAGCCAAGCGTCACCGCAAGATTCTTCGTGATAACATCCAGGGCATCACCAAGCCCGCCATCCGCCGTCTCGCTCGCCGTGGTGGTGTCAAGCGTATTTCGGGTCTCATCTACGAGGAGACCCGCGGTGTCCTCAAGGTTTTCCTCGAGAACGTCATCCGTGACGCCGTCACCTACACCGAACACGCCAAGCGCAAGACCGTCACTTCCCTCGACGTGATCTACGCTCTCAAGCGCCAGGGCCGCACTCTGTACGGCTTCGGCGGTTAAACACCATGACCAACCTTTTAATCACTTCTTTATCTGTTGTAAATTTTATAAAGCCCAAAAGCAAAATAAATATTTTTGGACTATTTCATTCTTTAAAATTAGTTCTAAATTCAATTAGGGGTAGGAGCGTATTCCAATTCCAGAGCTAATTTGCACCTGGCGTTTTTTAGCAGCTTGCACCAGTCATTTACTGAATGCATTCTATTTTAAAAGGTCTGCTCATTTCCAGGGTGTGTTTTTTACACTAACTTCTCGCTCGAGCATCTGAAACATGCGCTTTTGTGGTTGCAAAAGTGTGCTTTATATTCTCATAAAATCCATGTAAAAGTCCCACTTTATATTTTATACAAAGTGTCTGGTCGCCTTTGATGAGCTCATTTACCTTTGTATATCTACATCCTTTCCTCAATACATTTTTTCATTTTGTTTTGTGCCCACTTAGCATCAAAAAGGTGGCGGTCATCTGCCAAGCTGCTGGTTGTTTCACCTCACTCCACTCCACATCCCATCTATCCAACTCCACTCCAAATCTTTTTATTTTAGTGCCCATTTATACTCGCAAACTTTGTTATATATATTATATTAATGTCAGCCAAAGCCTTACACATACTCGACCTGCCGCTCATTGTCGCCGAGCTAATACTTCGATACACAATATCGGAAAAAACAATTAATAGATTTAAATATTCACCGCTAGCTGTTTGTCGGGAGTGGAGGAAGCTGGGTATACGAATGACCTATCAAAATGCATTTTATTACAGCAGTTGCCATTGGCAAAACAATTTTATACGCACACATTCAAATATTGACTTGATTAATGCAGGCAATTACCATCAACATGTAGTTAATATACATGTTTCTGTGAGCAACCATAGGGCGTTTAGGCACTTATTGGACAATTACAAAACACTATTTAAAGTCAACAGTATCAAATGGGATCGAGTGAAAGGGCTGGTGTTTAATTTACAACCACTTGGCTCATCACATCCTGGCATAGAATTTAGCGATGCAAATGATGAGCTGGTGCCACAGGCATCCGAAATGTGCGATAATCTGGTGCGAATAATGCCCAACATCCAAAAACTAGATTTAAGTACAATAAAAAGCAACAGCCTTATGACTCGTGTATTGAATAGCAAACTTGTCGGCGCCTATTATAAACAGTTGAGCCAATTTCGTAGCCACTATTTTGTGTCATTCCCTCTGGATACCCAATTCACCAATATTACCAGCCTATATTTATGCTTGACACCCACAGCCGAACGACTACTTCCGAGTATCAATGCTGCAGCACTTTACAAATTGCAGCTTATGGATGTGCCCTTGAGCTTTTCGTGGAAGTATTTCCAGCACGATTCAACATCAACTACCATTACGTTTACAAACCTGAGGAAACTAACGCTGAATTTTACTAAAATTTCTGAAGATAATGATATTTTGACAGGGCTAATCAGCAATATAGACAGCGCCTCCAAACCGTACACGGTGCATTTTCCAAAGCTGAGAGCGCTCACACTAGAACATGAGCCGGGAATTTTGTTTATAGCGGCATCATATGTTTTCCCAAAAACCATTGAAGAAGTTTGCATCGCCCATTCGTTCACCACAATGGATATTCTCAGCAAGGCACAAATTGAATTTATAAATGACTTGAATATCGTTATTGGAAAGGTTAAAAAAAGTTTCGAAGATGTGTTTTACCAGTCTACAAATCATTTCTTTGGAAAGGCTATCCAAACAATTAATAGTACTCTCAATTTGAGAGAAATAGAATTTGCATTGGATATGCAGCGCTTGGATTGGTCGAGTCTTTCAATTTTTCACTGGAATGGCGTGTTTTATTTTGAACATATTCCATTGTTAGTGTCTGGGTTGCCTGGACTACTTAATCTCTACATTAGCGAAATAAGTTTTGATGATATCCCACAAAACAGGTTCCAGCTGGTCGATCCAGAAGTGCACAGTAAAGTGCAAATTGCGCCGTTAAGTGTAAATTTGCAGCGGTTGGTTATGTCCTCGTTCAGTGGTGAAGAAAGCTTGACCGAGGATGTGATAGCCAGTATGCACTGCTTGATTCTTCAGTTGCCGTCACTCAACTATTTAAGTTTGGATAATGATTCAGATTGGCTGGAAATGGACAAATTTGTGTCTGTGTTTAAAGAGTGGTACCCACACTTGGAGAAAATGAAGATTGTATAAAAATGGCATCCATTTATTTTAATTTCCTGTCAAAGTTGATATAGGCGTGGCAGAAACACTTTCTGAAATATTAGTTACCATATTATACCAAAACATTAGATTAAGGATCGCCAGTTTCATTTTCATCTTTCGTTGTAAATTATTTTGCAGAATTTTGTTTACATGCACACAGTTGATTACACCCAGTTAACATCAGTCAAATTTTACTCTAATAAATATAAAGGCAGTTCATATTTTTCTGTGTATTTCATCCCAATTCCACATTTTGTTGTGACATAAAATTGTTGTCCATGGTTTTACGAATTTACAGGAAAAAGGTCATGTAAAAAAGAGCACTAGTATTGCAGAGAATGTAAGATAAAATGTGCCCATCGTTGTTGAAATCAATAGTTCACATTCCAAAAAAATAAAAAAATAATGTCTGTGGCATTGCGCCAGATTCCACTTTATTGATATTGTCACAACAATAAATTAGTAATCCGATATTGCATTGTAATTATATCTGTGCTTTATTGGTATTGTCCCAGCAATAAAATAGTAATATAATGTTGTATTGTAATTGGACCACAATGTTTGCATGCTCCTTTTTTACTATACGATAGTATGCAAACTTTTTAAATAAAAATACTGGTCATCTTTCGTGGGGATTCAATTTTGCCTCTATAAAACGAACTGACTATTCGCAAAATGATTCTGTTCAATACAAATTCAACTTCTCTTACATTCACACATACACACACAGCACATTCTATAATGTTCAACAATAGCTACCTTAAACATCTGGCCAAAATTAAGACTCAGGAGATTGAGCTGGGTACCCTTGATCTTGCAATGTTTGGAACCGTAATGGGTGATATTTACCTGTACAAGAACGAGCGCAGCGATCCGGGTTTTATGCCATTTGACGCAGTTGCACACAGCTTTTGCATGCTTGTTGCCAATTACTACCCAATCCTCGTTGGCCGCCCCACAGTCGATAGTGTTGGCAAGGGTATTATGACCGTTGACCCATCAAACCTCTGCTTGCCTGACATTGCTGAGGTGTTTATCGACCATCGGGCCGAATCCTTTTTTGAGGCGCGTCCAAATGACTCCAAGGACAAGCCAGACACATTATTTTTTAATGTGCACAAGTTTTACCGTGGCAGCGGCGTTGTCCATCTTCCTCAGGCGACTTACCACAGGGACCACTCGGCGGCATTTGTAAGAGTCCTGCGATTCAAGAACAACACCTATGTTGGCATTTCATTGTCTGTTTCTCACGGTCTTTTTGACGGCACCAGCTACTTGGCATTCATCAATCATTGGGCTGAGTACGCGCGCAACCTCGATGACGCCAAAAACGGCACTTATAAGTTGGCCAAGCCTCCCAATGGTGACCGCCAAATGATGATCAACTGCCTTGATAAGGTCGAGCCACTAAAGCCCCCATTCATTGAGCACTTTAGAAACATCGTGTCGCCTTTGCCAATGCAATTTTCAACTAACATTGCATCTGTGCTCATGTCCTTACCTGATATCCAGCCGATTAAAGACCAACACGTTCTTCATTTCACTCCGGCCAACTTGGAGTGCATGCGTCATTATATTGATAAGGAGCAGACCATTAACGCCACACTCCTTGCTCTGTTAGCAAAAAACATGTTGCAGGCTAATATCAAGGCATTTGGAGAAGAGCAACAAATATCGTATGTGGCCATGGCTTATGACGGACGCACCCGCTCTAAAATTCCAAGAAACTTTTCTGGCAATGCATCTTGCCCAGCCATCGCACCACTATCACCGCAGATGGTTCTCAACAGTTCATACAAGGATTTGAGCCGGATCATTGCAAGATACGGCTCCAAGACAGAGAGTGGACATATGAAGTCTACCATCCTGATGATTGAAAACGAGCTCAATGTGCTGCACCAGATTGGACTTTCGCTGTGCAACACGCCGGAATCATCGTACATAGGTATGACCAATTTGCGTTACATGCCATATTACTCGGTTGACTTTGGATTCGGCGGTCCAATATTCCTCGGATTGGATTATTTCCAAACAGACGGCATGTCTCGCCTGCTGCTGAACAAGCAGGATGGTGGATTGGACCTATATCTTAACTATAACGATGCGCACTTTGAGGTATTCCACCAGCTCGACGACATAAAGATGTTTGCAGACATAATTTACTAGTATTTTTTATTTACAAATAACCTTTTATTCCCAGATATTTAGTAGTAACAAATTAAGTGCTCTATTCTTGATTTTCAGTGTGCAGTTAGAAAGAAAGAGAACGCGTAAGTCGTGCTTTTCCCTTTCCCTCTTTTTAATTTCCCCCTTTTTCTTTTCTTTGTGTGAATCGCCAAGCAAAATTCTGTGCTTTCATTTTGACTTCCTCTCGCTTTAATTATCCTTCTTTCTCAATTTCGATTTCTAACTTATTTTTAAACCTCATCTCAGCTCAATTAACTTTTTTTATTATAAATTTGACTTTATATATATATATATTCATGGACCAACAGCTGGACGAGCACAGCGCTAGCGACATGAATGTCGAGACAAGGTCAGAGGCAGAGTGCGACACCTCCAAGAAAAATACAGAATCCATTATTGCAGCTGCCACTGCCACCACTGCCAAAGGATCCGCAAGCGAGGACGAGGACAAGCGGCGCTCTGATTACAACGCCAAAGGCAAAGCCGCAGAGGAAGGGCCAGCGCATTATCTCTGCGGTCTGAACAACCTGGGCAACACATGCTTCATGAACTCAGCCTTGCAGTGCCTGGGGCACATCAAAGAGCTCACGCAGTATTTTGTCTCGGGGGCGTACCGCACCGAGGTGAACCGGACCAATCCTTTGGGGATGCAGGGCTCAGTTGCTCTGTCATACGGTCGCCTGGTGCGGTCCATGTGGGGGGCTTCTCATTATGCACCCCGCGGATTTAAGCAGACGCTGGCGCAATGGGCGCCACAGTTCCGCGGGTACAACCAGCAGGACGCACCCGAGTTCCTGGCTTTTCTGCTGGATGGGCTGCACGAGGATCTGAACCGGATTGTGCAAAAACCCTATGTTGAGGTGCCTGATGCCAATGGCAGGAGCGATGAGGAGGTGGCCAACGAACAATGGGATTTGCATCTGAAGAGAAACGATAGCGTAGTCGTGGACATGTTCCAGGGCCAGTTTCGTAGCACCCTGGTCTGCCCCGAATGCCATGGCGTTTCAGTTACATTTGATCCTTTCATGTACTTGACCTTGCCCGTGCCCGTGCAGAGACAGCGCGAGGTTGCCGTACTTTTTGTACCTGCCGATGTTTCGCTGCACGCCGTGCGCATGCGGGTGAATGTGCCGTCGGAATTCACCGTGGCGCAGCTTTTGGGTGTCGTGGCCCATCTAACAGGACGTTCTGCCGGAGATCTGGTGGCGAGCGATGTGGCATCGCACCGCACATACATGGTCTTTGGGGACAACGACGCGGTCAGCGACATCAAATCAGCGGACATTGTACACATGTATGAGGTTGACCGTCATGAGACTGTGGTTCAACTGATGTGCTCCAAGGCAAGCATGCGTCCCTCTGGTTACATGTATCCGGACATCATCACCATGCCCCTGTTGCTGACGCTTCCTCAGAGTGAGCTGACGCTACAAAAGGTGCTCCTGGCCGTGGTCAAGGCACTGTACCGCTGGACAATGGTGGATATCTCGCGATTGGTGACTGCCCTAGAGGGACAGGACGACGAGATTTTGGAGCTTTTGGTTGGCGCTGTTACTACCTATGTTCATCGCGGGCGCGGTTACGCGATGGCTACGGTGAGGCGTGGTATGTCGGCATTCATGAATTCGGGACGCAAGGCTCCCCCGGTGGGTCCGTTCAGCGCATTTGCAGATCGGATTGTGGGCGACACTCTTGAGCCGCTTGTCCGCGAAGAGCAGCCATCTGCCACTGCTGGTGGGCGGAGGAGGGCGCGAGATGAAGATGGTATTGTCTGGGACAGCGACGAGGACTCTGGAGGGCAAGCACCGGCGGGCGTGACTCCGAAGCGGGCAAAGTCTGACAACGAGGCTGAGAGCGACGCAGAGATAACCACCGGAATGGAGATTGTTGTGGAAAAAGAGGAGCCCACGCAGCCTGAGGCCGATTCTGAGGATCCTCCTGTGACCAGCGCAAGCACCAGCTCAGATGACGATATCGTCGATGCCGCCGCGGCCATGACGTTTGCCACGCCGACATTGGCGTCGCAATTGTCGTGCCCCGTCGAGCTACGCTCCGGTGACACGCTCCTGTGCGAGTGGTCCAAGGAGGGCACGTCGCTGCTCCTCTCTGCGCTCGGCAGTTCTCTCGAGGATTTCGACGACCTGTTTGACTTTAGGTGCACAGACAACTACGCCATGCCACTGCTTGAGGATGCCTCAGCCTATACTCACCTGGCTCCGCTGGACTATATTTCCAGGGACTCTGAGCCTCGCTCCATGCCCCCTCCTAGGGCTGTCGCCAAAAGAGCGCCGACTCTGCAAGAGTGTTTGGATGAGTTCACCCGGCCCGAGCAATTGGGCGTTGACGACCCTTGGTACTGCGGAAGGTGCCAGGAGCACCGGCTGGCTACCAAGAAGTTTGATCTTTGGAGGACGCCTGCCATCCTCGTTGTCCATCTGAAGCGCTTCCACCACTCACGCGCGTGGGGCGACAAGATCGATGTGCTGGTAGACTTTCCTCTGGTGGGCCTGGATCTCACTCATGTGGTGGCGCAAGAGGGCGGCGGTGAGCTTGTCTATGACCTGCAGGCCGTGTGCAATCACTATGGCGGCCTTGGCGGCGGCCATTATACGGCATATGCGATGAATCCTGAGGATGGCCAGTGGTACGACTTCAATGACTCAAGCGTGTCGCCGGTCAGAAACCCTGAGGATGTAAAGACGAAGGCCGCATACATGCTGTTCTATCGCCTGAGGGGATCCGGTAGCGGCGTGGAAAAGATCCACGAGATGATTGAGCGGTACAAGGAGACCGGCCATCCGTCCGACGAAGAGGAAGAGCCTGAATTTATGCCCCGCGTCGGCATCGCCCACAAGTACCCACATAACAATGACGACGACGACGAGGATAGCGGCGAGGAGCAGGTTCTCTCGATGCCCAAGATCGACATGGGCGAAGATATGAATACAAACGAATTTTTTGATTTTATCAGCAGGGGAGCTGGTAGAATCAGTGCCAATGTCAATGGCGTTGAGTCGCCCGAGAGCACAACTGGCGTTGCTGACGACAGCAGCGATACGGAAAAGGAGGAGTATGGTAGCAATAACTTTGATTTTGGGATGCGTGGGTTGGGCAGTATGGATGCCAATGCTGCCGAGGGTACTGCGGTTAACATTGGTCCCGAGTTCTCGCCGTCCGTTACTCCGCCGCCTGAATTTTTCAATGACATTGAGTATACGCCGGTCGCTGTGCCCGCGTATAACACTGAGCCTGATTTCCTGCCATCTGTTACTTCGCCACCTGACCTTTACGACACGACTGAACCAAATGACTATGCTAATTGATTTTTTCTTTTTATTTGAACACTAAATGGTTAAGGCTAAATTTTATTGACTCATTCGATGACTGTTCGCAAAATTTTAACTCCTTCTCTTGGCCGATCACTCGCGTCGGTGGCCACCAGCCCCAGACTCCTCACAACCTCCATTCCCTTCGATACCCTTCCAAACACAGTGTGCTTGCCGTCCAGATGAGGAGTGGGTTTTAAAGTTATGAAAAACTGACTGCCATTCGTGTTGGGCCCACTGTTAGCCATGCTGAGGATGCCCGCTCCCGTGTGTTTCAGCCTATTAACTTCATCTTCAAATTTACGGCCGAATGCAGATTCTCCCCCGCGACCTGTCCCTGTGGGATCGCCACCCTGTATCATAAAGTCCTGGATTATTCTGTGGAAAAGCGTGTTGTCATAGTAGCCGCGCTTGCTGAGGGTATAAAAGTTTTGGCAAGCAAGCGGAGAATCGTCCCAATAGAGCTCAAATGTTATGTTGCCCATCGACGTGGATAGTGTGACATTTTCCTTTGTGGTCATTTTTTGTTTTGGAAAATAAATGTGTTGATGAATGATACTGCTTATATATAGATAAAATAATAAAAAAGGTACAAAACAATTTATTGTACAATTTAAAAGTTGAAACCAACACTGTTTTATGGGATACAATTAAACAAAACCAGGTGCCGATTAGAGTTGATCTTATGTAGCTCAATAAACATTTGGTCTTATTCATCAACTTTGTGATATTTGCTTGTTTAATATATCGCTCAATGGATACCTTTTTTTCTGTGCTGATTAAAACTATTGGCAGACATTTCAACCGTCAGAAATTTGATCCATGTTCATTGGTTCACAACCAACAAGTTGCCTTGCTATATTTAAATATTTTTGTGCTAAGAGTCTAAGAATCTAATAGTGAAATGTAAAAATATATAAATGCGGCTGTATGAACTATTGCACAGCCCGAGGATATGGAAGTAGGTGTCGAGGATCGTGAAATAAGTCTCTGGCTGCATGCAGATTAATAGGGTACATTCTAGAATGGGGAGTACATCTGGGTGGCATTATTATGTCCCCTGATTTGATCCTGTATGGTACCATCAATACCCTGTTAATTGGAATATTGAGGTTAAGGATCGTAAAACGAGTCTTCATTAACATCCACTTCCATATCATCAGGCTGCTCAACAATAGCAATATAAACAATTAAATTCACATCTGAAAAGCCACACTTTCCTATCGTTTTCCAAATTTACACTGGCGTCAAGCGTTATTATGTTATTATATATAATGTCTTTGTTCATTAATATTGTTTATAGATTTTTAAACCCTCGTTTAGAATGCCAAACTAAAAAATAGCATTAGTTCAAATTACAGATATAAATAGCCAAACCTTTTCCAAACAACTCAGCATTTTATCATTACCTATTGCATTTATATCTCAAAACCATCATTCCACCTAGTCTCCACTGCCATAAAGGTTTTCTCGATCCTCGCTTTTGCTGCCGCCGCCACCATTGTCATGGCACTATTAAGTGGTGAAAGACAAGCTCTACTTTCATTCCAGCTGACAAAAAGATTGACGTCAACAACTTATATAGCGTATCCAAAGCAATTAAGAAGTACGAAACAGAAGCTAAGGTGGAAAATATGTATTATCTGATTAGAATAGGTTTGGGTTCTAGCGCTGTCAGTAGGATGATAGAACATGCCGAATACCTCAAGAACGACTCAGAGGTTAAAGGAGACAGTGATCTTGAGAAGAGTTACAAGGTGCTTGTGGGCGTTATTGATAACTTTGCCAAGATGGTTTAAACATACAAATCTTTGCATGTGGTATATAAGGCTAGCCTTTTTGCCCCTTTTAAATACACATTAAAAACTAAATGCAATATTTCTAACATGATCAATATGAAACATGATCAAAATTCCCCTTTTAATTTTAGACAGCATTTCTAATTTAGTAACTTTATACTCCAGAAATATTAAATTCATTTTCCCACAATACCGCCAATATGATTTATAATTTTATCTTTAAAATTTCTTGACATAATATTGGGTGACACTTCGCTAGATTATGTCCACTTAAAATAGACACACTCACGCACTCTGTCGTCCATATGCCGACTGTGGAGACAGTCTGAATTAAAGGTTGTGTTCAACCACACATACATCTGCTGCTACGGTAAGTGCAACTTCAGTTGTTGTCTCTTAAACAGAAAATACAGCTGCCAAGTTTATTATTCTATACATAACAGTGCTGGGCTATGACCACTACATGAGGGAGCTTACAATTGCTATGAGAACGCAGGAATTTTCACTGAAACCGCTCCGAAAAGTTTTGGATCTCATAGGTGTCAGCTTTGTAGCTTAATGGCCCTGTTTCAAAATGATAAGTACTCAGTGAGAGGCTAATTGTTACGTAGACACGACCCCATATGTTGGCAGAACACAAACAAAGATATTGGACACACTCTCGCTGCCAACAAGATTGCTGAACATTTGCTGTACATTGTAAAAATGGAAAAAAGGTGCATCTTAAATTGTACAGGCCGCCATTGGCTCGTGTGGTGAATATTTTTGCCAAGAAATTGCACTTATTCAAGTGCGAGACTGGTCTTCTGCGCTAACACCCCGAATTTCGGCCAAAATCACACATTTGTAATTAAATATGTTCAAAAAAGTCGATTTGCTACATGTGTACACTAAAACACTGCGCCAGCTTATTCTGAGCGATCTATTATATACATTTTCATAGAAGGAACAATTCAGCATATCCATGTCACCCGATTGGGCTATCAAGTTTACCATTCTTGTCAAGCTGGGTGTGTATTTTGGTTACAACCCAACCACCCAATTTGTCCTCGAGAACAGGTGCCGCAAAGCTTTCAAGGTGAATTACTAGCTGTGCTTTACACAGATCTTGAGCTTGAAATTAGTTAGCACCACATCTGAACTGGATGTTTCGATTGTAGATGATTTTTCAGCGCATTTGGTTAATTTCATTGTGTATGACATACTGGAAAAACAAGGGTGTATTGGCAGAAGTGATGGCTCAATCCGTTGGTGCGCTGGAGATCGGGTATATAATACCAATTTACCTGGTTGCAACAACCATTATAAATTGACCCACACAGCATTTGGAAATCAATCAAATGCGCAGTACAACCGTTTGTGCCTTGATTCAAATTTGGACTTTCTCAAAACCATCTTTGTCAAATAGTCAAGAATATCAAGGTCTACCTTGGGCAAACTTCCAGTTTTGGTATTACCAGAGCTCAAGCAGCCTCGAATTACACATTTTGAGATTAGAGAGGCGAGCATTAAGATATATTTACCCGACCATCACCAAATAAAATTCGCCGTGCCGACACTGTTTGTCCTCTAGCTTTAGGAAATAATTATCGGGTTGAACTGCTTGATTGAGCCAAAGCATGTTGTAAATGGCCCGCCGCAGTACCTGCTGGTGCGTCTGGACGTGCTCGAGGTGCTTCAGGTCAACAATAGGCTACTACCACTCGCTAAGAAAGCAATAAATAAACCAAGCAGCACGTATCCACATACACGCAACACCTTAATGACAAGTGTGGGCTTTTACAGACCTTAATGTTCCTGCCTTCGATTTTGTCAAAATATAAACGCAATGCACCCCCAATATACTAAAAAAATAAATTATGAACTGCGGAAAAATAAGTTTCAAATGCCCGGCTGGAGCTGCTGCTTGAGCTCAATTATTTGCTGGCGATGTTCCTCGGGCAGCTGCGCCAACTGCTCGTCTGTCAGACTCAAAAGCTGCTTGAGCACCTCTGCGTTGTCCATCTCCGTGGCCGCCGACTCATCGGCAATAACCAGAGCTGGGGCGGGTACAGGTGCAGGCGCCAAAGCAGGAGCTGGTGTTGAATAATCAAAGTGCGGCTGGGGCGGCATGGATTGAGAGGAAGCCGCGTGACGAGATTGAAACGGCGGAGGTGGGGGTCTCTGATGGGGCATTCCCGTTGGGCGCAACGTTCCCGCAGCCATGGTAACATCAGCGGCTCCGCCCTTAATAATTTTCAGCTGCTCATCAGCAACCAAGCCCTCCAACTCCATAGCTGCCAAAACCGCCCACGCAAGCCCCGGATTCTTCGTCAGCTCTTGTTTCGCCTTGGTTGTGTTGACGTCTGCGTATGCTCTGTATTGCGCGATCAGTTCCATCCGCATATCCGAGCTGAGTTGGCTAACAATCTCTCTAGCTTTGTCTACACCTCCTGGGCCGCCCATTGGCTCCCTCTGCGTACTCTTCGGCGTATTCCTCAGCGACAAACCGTCGGTTCCAAGATATGCCCGGATTCTGTCGCGGTCCGCGTACCCGATTTTGATGTTGCGACCGTCGACTAGCGAGTCATTGAGATTTTTGATCGCGCTGGCGGCAATGTTAGTATCAGCATATTGGCAGAAGCCAAAACCCCTGGCGCGGCTGGTGTTGGGGTCAAATACCAGCCGGATGTCAATGACAGGGCCTGCGAGCTCGAGCATCTGGCGGAGCTGCTCTTCGGTTGTGTCGTAAGCGACATTGCCCAAAAAAACAATGTTGCTTTCTTCCATCTCTTGCCAATTGTGATCCATTTCAGTTAAAAAAGCAAATAGTAATATATTACGGTGATGCAGAGCAAGAATAATGAAGGTATATGCAGTTTATTAAGAAATATCAAATAAATAAATGGCGCCCTCCTAAAAAAGGGCGCGCCAATGTCGTATGAATTGCATTTAAGGGTATAATCCACTCGCGTATGGGAACACTCACATGCTAATATGTTGGGTTTGGAAGATAGCACTAACAGTGATTGGTCATTAGAAAAGAGCATAAAATATTGCTTTTGTGTTTTGACAGACATTCCCAAATCAAGCCATCTGAGTTTAGCGCACCACTGTTAATGGCCACGTTTCAAAAAATGTTATCGATTAAATGGACCGATTGATACATATTTGTTTGGATTTGCCTTGACTCCTTTCCATTGGGCTGATGTGGGGGTGTGCCTGGAAATATGCAAGAAATGGCAGCAGCAAGCATGTGATTGTGAGAGCGAGTAGCAAGAGTGTGGGTTTTAAAAAACAATTGAGAGCAGTGTTCTATTGTCACAAAAGTACCATTTTCTTTTTCACTTTACATCTCACCAAAAAATAATAATATTCATTTTTAATAATCTAATATCAACACCTGCATGTCTGCAACTAATAATACTACCTCGTCTACCGCTGCCAGCAACGGCCCCTGGGATGCCAAACTCCAGCAGTTTCACGGCGGCCAAGACTGGGCTAACCTGGACAACTTTGTCGAAGATTTTAGCGTTACAACGAACGCCTTTGGCATGCCGGACTCAGCCAAGCATGTCGCTATTCAGTCTGTCGAGCACAGCCACCACTACCCGCCCGCCGACCAGGAGCCGGCCAAGTCTTCTCTGGCGCGCTTTCTGTGGCCCGAAGAGTTTGAGACTGAGCGCGACCGCCTGATTCTCGGCAATGGTGCCAGCGAGCTTATCGACTTGGTGATCCGCATGGCGCCCAGGGGGACGTGGAGACCTGGGCCATTCCGCACGCAGTACAAGGAGTACGAGAGATCGGCACGCAATAACGAATATGATCTCCTTTCGGCCGAGTCGCTTGATAAGGCCAATGTCGCCTGCCTGGTTAATCCATGCAATCCGACTGGTGATTACCTTGATTTGCCTGAGTTGAAGAAGTGGGTTTCCGACAACGTGCTGCCCGGCGGATACGTGCTCATCGACGAGTCCATGCAGCCGTGGCATTCGCCCGAGTTCCGCCAGCACTCTCTGACCACCCAGCGCCAGTACGTCGAGGATCTGTACAAGGAGCAGGGTATCTCTGTATTTGTCATGCACTCATGGACCAAGCTGTGGTGCTGCACAGGCCTGCGCCTGGGCTCAGTCGTGTGCCCTACCGCCGAGCACATGCGCGCAATTAAGAAGATCCAGGTGCCGTGGTCCGTCAACACTGTTGCGCTGGCATTTCTCAATACCGTGGTCCAGGACGACAAGTACCTGGCAAAGACATGGAAGATGACGCCTGTTTGGCGCCAGCAGACTATTGATCGCATTTCAAAGATGTTCCCCGACTGGGAGTTCCATGGAAGGGAGTTTCTTTCGTGGATCTGGCTTGATACCAAGTCCGAGGATGTCGCGCAAAAGGCGATTGATTTGGCGCGCGCAGCCGGCGTCCCCGTAAGGAGCGGTCGGCCTGGGTACAACCTCCCTACATTCATCCGCCTGGCTGTCCGCGAGTCAGCCAAGGTCGATGTGCTGCTCGGAGCATGGAAGTCCATCTAAAAAACAACACATTGCATTTTGAGACTAGTTTTGCTCTAATACACACTTGCCACACTCATTTTGTTACCAAAAGTTAATTAATACCATTATAATGCCGCTTGAATAAACATTGGAAATATTAAATAGTAAAATGTATTTTTAAAAGCAAAAATATTTGTATTGATTCGTATTCAATGGGTCACTTGGAGCGACTGCTGCTGGACCAGCATGTGGTACGTGCCCTTCTGCGCCAGGAGCTCGTCGTGGGTGCCGCGCTCAACAATGCGACCGCTCTTGAACACGATGATCATGTCGCAGTCCTGGATGGTGCTCAGACGATGGGCGACGGTCAGCGTGGTGCGCTCCTTGGCGGCCTTGTCAAGAACCTTCTGCACGATCTTCTCGCTGCGAGAGTCCAGCGCGGCTGTGGCCTCGTCGAGCAGCAGAAGCTTGGGCTTGCGAATAAGGGCACGAGCAATGGCCACGCGCTGCTTCTGGCCGCCGGACAGCTGGCCGCCCTTCTGGCCGACGATGGTATTGAATCCATCGGGCTGGTTCTGGACGAAATTGTAGATGTTGGCCTCCTTGGCCGCCTCCTCAATCTCCAGCTGCGTGGCGCCGGGCTTTCCATACGCAATATTCTCGCCGATCGTGTAGTTGAACAGGATAGGCTCCTGGCCGACGATCGCCATGTTATTGCGCAGAGCCATGATGTCCCAGTCGCGCACGCCCAGTCCCTCGACAGAGACCTTGCCGGAGATGGCGTCATACAGGCGCTGTGCCAGTAGGATCGATGTCGACTTGCCTGAGCCCGAGGCGCCGACCAGCGCGATGCTCTTACCAGCAATGGCCTCGAACGAAATGCCCTTGAGGATCTTGGTGTCGGGGCGAATCGGGTACGAGAACTTTATGTTATCAAAGGAGACGTTGCCCTCGAATGACTCAACCTGGCTGCCAGTGCTGTCAATGCCATTGATGGCGCTCTCGCGGTCAAGCGTCTCAAAGATACCGCGCGACGCAACGCCAGCCTTGGAAAGAATAGGTATAACCTGTGCGAGCGTACCGATAGCCATCGAGGCAAACATTGTGGCCATCAAACTGTACATCAGATCCATAACCTCGGTCCAGCCATTGATGACAAAGCGGCAGCCGGCGAAGAACACCAGCGAGTTGATGAACATGTTGCACGCCTGGGAAAAACCAAAACCAAAAGAGCCGTAGAGCGAGCTGCGAATGCTGTCCTTGTGCGGAGCGTCGTTCATCTCGTCGAATACGCGAATAAAGGTCTCCTCGCGGCGCAGGGTCGCGACCGTCTTGATGTTGCGGATGGTTTCGGCGGCAGACTGGCCAGATTTCTCGTAGGATGCGCGCAGGCGCATGGAAGAGCCCCAGGTCGCTTGCGCCTGCCAGTACTGAGCGTACGACTGGATCGGCCAGCATCCGAGCATTAGAAGAGCAATGCGCCACTCGTAGACAAAGGCAATAGCAGAGGCGCAGATAATAGTCGCGACCGTGCTGTTGAGCGTGCTGATAAACGTGCCGACAAACTTGTTAAACTCTTCGGCGTCCGTGGCCAGGCGCGAAGTCAGTGCGCCGGTTCCGTTCTTGTCGTCGTCAAAAAAGCCGGACTCAAATGTCATGAGCTTGACAAACAGGTCGTGGCGCACCTGGCGTGTGGTGTTCTCGCCGGCAACATGGTACAGACCAATACGACCAAACATGGCGAGACAGCCAACGACTGAGAAGACGAGGAACAGGTTGGCAAACAGATTGGTATCGCGCTTGACCACTTCCATGTCTGGTTCCGACAGGGCCACCAGCGCGCGCGAAAAGACCAGAGCAAAGCAGGGCATCACAGCACCGTCAAAGAGAGCAAGGATGGCGCCGGGGATGGCGACCTTCATTGCACCCTTGTACTTCCAGGTCAGGCGCAGCAGCAGGTACATGTCACTCGAGTTTGCCACGGTCCGGGTCTTCTTGCCGCTCGCAGCAGCAGCAGTGTCGGCCGACTCGCGCTTCATGCTCTCAATAGTCTGGCGAGTAGTCGATCTTCTCATTTCCAGTGCCTGCTCCTTGAGCTCCTTGGCAATCAGCTCGTCCAGGTCACCCTCCTCATTCACATCAGCCTCGCTGGCAATGCTGGATTTTTCTTCGTCGTCACCGTCAGTCATGGTACGCACACCCTGGCGCATCTCCTGAGCGCGCACCATAGCAGCGTATTCACCGCTAAGCGTCACAAGCTCGTCGTGGGTTCCGTTCTCAGAGACAACACCCTCGCGGACAACGTAAATCTGGTCGCAATTGCGGATAGTGCTCAAGCGATGGGCAATTGAAATGGTCGTGCGGTTGGCCGACAGTTTGTCCAGGGCGTCCTGCACCAGGCGCTCCGAAGCAGTGTCCAGCGCTGAGGTGGCCTCGTCGAGCAGCAAAACATCGGGGTTGCGGACAATCGCGCGAGCAATAGCAATGCGCTGTTTCTGGCCGCCAGACAGCAGGGCACCGCCCTCGCCAACAAGCGTGTTGTAGCCGTCGGGCAGCTGGCTGATAAACGGGTGCGCGTTGGCGGCCTTGGCAGCCTCAATGACCTCTTCGTCTGTGGGTGGGTTATTCTCCGGATCGACAGCTCCCCACTTGATGTTCTGCATGATGCTGGTTGCGAAAAGTACGGGCTCCTGGGTGACAATGCCGATGCGGTGGCGCAACTTTCCAATGTTGTACTCCTTGATGTTGACGCCGTCGATGATCACGTCGCCCTGCGCGGGGTCGTAGAAGCGCTCGATCAGCCCAATGGTCGTCGACTTGCCGCAGCCGGACTCTCCGACGAGTGCAACCTTCTGACCGGGGCGAATCTCCAAGTTGAAGCCCTTGAGGATGGGAACGTTGGGGCGGCTTGGGTAGCTGAAGTGGATATTGCGGAACGAAATATCGCCGCGGATCTTATCAACCTTCTTGCCGGTCTCAGTGTCCAGCGGGTTGATGGGCGACTGGCGGTCAATAATGGCATACACCCTGTAGGCGCTGCCTCGGGCAGTCGAAATTGAAGAGAAGTTGGGTGCGGCGCCGGAAAGCATGAACCCACCGACGAGCAGCGTCAGAATAACATTGAGCACCTGGTCCGGAGAGTACTCGCCCTGGCGCAGTCGCCACGACCCAAAGTTGAATCCAACGCAGTACATGGCAAAGATGAAAAACTGGATGGCGCCGATACAACCGCCCAGAACAAAGCCGGTCTTGCGGCCATACATGTACGAGTCCTGGATCATCGCATCGTAGCGCGCAATCTCGCGCTTCTGGCCGTTGAACGCCATGACGGTGCGGATGCCTGACAGGACCTCGTCGGCGATGGCGCCAGACGCAGCGGTCTTGTCCTGTCCGTTGATGATCAGCTTGTTGATTTCCTTTCCGAGGATTGCACCAGCGCCGACGATGAACGGCATGACGGTCAGGCAAATAAAAGTCAGCTTCCAGCCCTTGACAAACGCGATAATGAAAGAAACAAGGAACCCGACGACGTTCATGAACACAAATCCGACCTTCTCGCCCAGCCCATCCTGGACCAGGTTGACGTCGTTGGTGATGCGGGTGGTCAGCTCGCCGGTTTTCACCGTGTCGAACCATCCGATATCCTGGCGCAGAATGGACTTGTAGTACAGCTTGCGAATGCGCAGACCCTGGTTCTCGGCGGCAATAGCCCAGCACGCGTTGACGAAAAAGGAGAGGATCCACATGACAATACCGAGAATCAAGAAGATCAGGCAAAAATGACGCGACCGGTTGTCCAAGTAGTTGTTGGCTTCAACAAGCTTGTCATCGATCTTTAGGAGCTGAAATTTGAGGATGACGCCCATGAGCGAGCTGAAAATAATGATCATAATCGGAGTGACAACACCTGCGGCGCACGAAAAGCAAATGCCAGCAAAGGTCAGCAGTCTGTCTGTTTTGTCGGCGAAGCGGAACAGCTGCAGAAGACCAACAGCCTCATCCTTTGCGGGCTTGGCCTCATCCAGATTGGTTTCCTCGGCGACAATGATATGCTCGGGCTTATCCGCTAGTTCGTCGATATCGTCGAGATGCTCGTTTGTGGTTAGTATGCTGGAGGGCACAGATTTGAGGATTTGTGGTTTGTTTGAGGCTGCGATGCCCGCCATTTTTTTGTCAGCCATGCGAGGATCAAAGTAGTAACAATAAAAATTAGATGATTTAAATAATATACAAGTTAAAAACAACAATTAAAATTTTTTATATATAAATGTCAGAACAAAAAAATAATAATTATTAAAAAGTGGGGTTTTTTAGTGGGGTAAAATATAAATTTGAAGAATAAGAAGAGATAAGTGTGAGTATTTAAACGTGTGGGCTTTTTTTAAAGCAAAAATTTTACATGGTGAGTATAAAGTTTACGTGTGTCTGATAATAAATTGGCCAATTGACAAGCCAAGTGATGCACATGTGGATATGTAAATAAAAAAGGAATTATTCGTGTTTTATTTAGCAAGTGGATAGACAGCGGAAATTTGTCGGGAAAGGGTGGGGGTGAGGACAAGCCCAATATTCTTTTCGTCACAATTTGGACACTACAAAATATTCAAAATAACTTGTGAGAAAGAAAATGCGAGGGAAATAGAGAAAGAGCACAATGCATTGTTGATAAAAAGAAAAAGAACAAAAAAAGTGAGGAAAAAAGAATGACACAAAATGTGATATCATGTGCACATTGCGTATCCTCTTTTATTTTTTTTTATCTTGGCTTGACGGAAAATTGTCGGGAATAGACAAAACAGACAAATTATGCGCTCCTATGCAAAAAAAGCAATACATTACACTTCCCATTTTCCAATTCCATATTACAACAACAAACAAATTCAGATAGAAATAGTACACCCAATATTTCAATATCCCAATATCCCAATATATTTTCATACTAGCTTTATATCACTATAGACTAAAACTGTGATAAATACCAAATACAGGGCAAAAGCCAAATATGCCACACACATAAAGCCGGCCCCCCACCGGGCCATTTCCAGAACCAACGGGCAAATCAAATAAACATTCAAGGCAATAACCGCCGCAGCCATCACCCAGCCCAGGTATCTCCACCACCCTTTAAGAGAAAACTCCTCCGTCATAACCCTCGAACTCTGTGCCAACTTCAACGTCGGTACCAGGGCAAATGGCAACGCCAAGCTCTGCAGTACATTAAGCCATTCATCAAAGCGATCCAAGTATGACCTAGCCAGGATACCGACGAGCATAGTGGGGATAAGGGAGACTGACCGGGAAATGAACATGCGCAACCAGTTGCTGACCCGTAATTGCATCATGCCTTCCATAAGGTATTGACCGGCCATTGTGCCGGTTGCCGTGGAGCTTTGGCCGGAAGATAGAAGCCCGATGGCCCAGAGCAAAGGGCCGATCTGCCCGAATGCGCCCTCAAGCAGTGCTGCGGCCTCGATCAGTCCCGGCAAACGCCGCTCCCCCTCCTCCATTACACGGCCCAGCAGGTTGTTCTTGTCGCTAGATCCGTAAATATCAGCAAACACCACGAGGATGGTCGCGTTGATGATGAAGGAAAACAGAAGCGCAATGGCAGACTCCACGGTGGCGTAAAGGTTAGCCTCGCGTATGCTGCTCACCTTTGCGCGATCGCCGCTCTCCGAGGATGGCAGCTGCTTGGTGTTGGTATGGCGGGTACCAACCAGGGCGGAGTGCAGAAACAGGTTATGCGGCATGATCACTGCCCCGACAACACCAACAGCCTGGACCATGGCGTTCTGCGGAATTCTTGGGAAGAAAAACCCCAAAGCAATTTCCTTAAAATCAGGCTTCGCCATAAACACCTCGATGCCAAAGCACACGCACATAACGGCGATCATTATGACAAACAATGCCTCGACCTTACGGGCGCCAAATTGCTGCACACCCAGGATCACGTAACTCAGGACAGAAGCTAGTAAAATACCGGTCCATATGGGGATTCCCAGGAGGAGGTAGAGGGCGATGGCGGTGCCGATAGCCTCTTGGATGTCGGATCCAATAATGGCGAGTTCGCAGAGCAGCCAGAGAGGGATGCGTATTAGTGGTGGGTAGTGTATGCGGCAGTGTTGGGCGAGGTTTTGCCCGGTGACTATGCCGATGCGCGCAGAGAGAGTTTGCACGTAGAGGCCGAGAAGATGCGTGAGGAAGAGGAGCCAGATTAGCTTGTACCCGGCGACAGCGCCACAATGCAGGTCCGAGCAGATGTTTCCCGGATCCAAGTATGCAATTGACCTAATTAAATCAATGTAGAGCAATTAGTATTGCTTTTTTTCCGTGCAAGAGGAAGGAGGTTTTGTTCACGTGCCGTTTTTAATCTAAACCTCAAGGGTTCATATGAACATCTGTTTATTTTATTTTTCCAGCTTACATGGCAAATCCGGGACCTGCAAAGCACATCAGCTTACGGAACGAAAAAGCAGATTCATATTGGGCGGGGGTAATATCCGTGATAATGTCAACACCATGGGCTTCGAACTCACGCTCAAGCGCCGCGCCATAGGATGATTCTGCTGTTACAATAGGAAATGCATGTGGGGTACAGTTGTGGCCTTCATTATCTTCTTCCTCTGTTGCTGCTGTTGTTTTGTTTGTGGGGTCGGTGGTTGCTATTAAGGGTGTGGACTCGTTTCGGCGAGAAATAGTGTTGGTGGTAATGGTGCTGGAGCTGGCCCTAGACGTGGCATGAGAGGAGTTAGCCATGAATTTTTTAATAATGGATAAAAAATAGAGAGAAAAGGAATAATGAAAGCCAAGTACAAAAGTAGGAGAAAAAAGGGGAAAAGAAGCAACACGGAAAAGATGAAAAATGTTAATGAAAATTGAATATTATTTCGGAACGAATTAAATGAAAAGATTAGAAAACAGTGAACGCGTACCAAACAACACCCCTTGTGGGGGGAGGCAATTATGAAAAACACTCACGGAAAAGATGAAAAAGGGTGTCTAGGCGATTCTACATGATTGAGCAATGAATAATATGGCATGGGATCAAGTCAGACAATATTCATGGCGATGGCAAAGTTTTGACATTATTGGTTTGAAGAAGGAAGAAAAAAGCCCAATTCTAGTTATTGATCCGTGCTCATTTCAGCGGACAATTCCTGGCCCTGGGTCTGATTCTGATGTTGGTTCTGATGTTGGTTCTGGTGCTGGCTCTGGTGCTGGCTCTGGTGTTGGTTCTGATGTTGATTTTGACTTTGGTCGGCATTATCCTTCTCCTTCTTCTTGTCGCCGTCCACCAATTGCGCGTGAATCTGTCTTCCGCCAAACCAGCGGCCATCCATATCCGCCAGCGCCGACTTTGCAGCTTTAATTTCCTTAAAAGCAACCACCACGTCGCCGGCGCTCTCCACCACCACCCGGTCCACAAAGCCATGCGGCATGCACTCCCTACGAACATCCTCCTCAATCTCCCTCCGCCACAGCCCGTCCTCCTGCTGGTTCTGGTTATCCTCTGGCTCAAACATGTTGCGCAGCCTCAGCACAGCACCAGCGCCACCTTCATCAGTGGCAAGGGGGGGTTCCCCCACTTGGGTGGTGGTTTTGCTCGCAACCAGGCGCGCAGTCTCCCGGTCCACTTCGGATCTACGCGCCGGACGGACGCGCAGCCGCGATCCAAACAGCGCCAGGCCATTGAGGCGGTCAATGGCCGGCAAGGCATTCTCCGGGCGCGCCATCCTCACAACCGCCGCCCACTCACCCGGGCCATCCGCCGGCAGCACATGCGCATAAACCACAGGCCCGAAGACACGGAAAAACTCCACCACATCCTCCGCCTCGATCTTCACAGCCAGCCCCCGCACACACACCAGGCCTCCCCCTCCCCCTCCCCCAGAGGAGGAGCCACTTGAGGGTACCCCTTCTTTGCCGTACTGTTTGACAGTCTGCCTGTTTTTCTGCGCCTCCGACGGCTGCACAATAATCGGCACTCCCAGGAGCTTTCTTCCGCCGAGTTCCAATGCCCTCTGGGCATCTTCCACGGAGTAGAACTCGATATAAGCTACGCCGCGGGATCTCCGAGATGCTTTTTCAGAGACTATATGGGCGTCGCGAACGCGGCCAGCGGCGGAAAAGAAGTCCAGAAGGTCGGTGCGTCGTAGGCGCGCCGAGAGCTGCATGGCGATTATTGTGCGTAGGTCGCGGTCGCTTGAGCTCACAGAAGGCGGCCGCGAGTGGCTGCGTGAGGCGGAGCGCTTTCGTTTTTGCGACCGCGATCGGTGGCGAGTGTCGGCGGTGGTTGATGTGGGCGCGGGATTAATAAGCATTGAGGCGTCTTTTTCGTCCAGCCTGGTTCTGGGAGAAGTTGGTGCTGGTGGTGCTGGTGATGCTGGTGGTGCTGGTGCTGGTGGTGCTGGTGATGCTGGTGGTGCTGGTGCTGGTGGTGCTGGTGGTGCTGGTGGTGCTGGTTCTGCTGTGTCGTCTGTTTGCTTTGTTTCCATTCTCCTGTGGTGTTTTATTGGTGTATGGGAGGCAAATAAATCAAGCAAGTTTTTTTTACAGATTAATTGATAGTAAGTGAAGTTTATAATTTCTAAAGCATTTGCGACCAACCCCTCCTTTCTCCAGGCCAGGCTCAGCAGAATCTGTGGGCGGTTGATCGCAGGTGGCAAGTGAGACGATGATGGGATGCGGTCATGTGATAATATATTAAATTACTTTTTCTTGATCAGCAGAGCAGGCAAGAAAGCAGGCACGCAATCAGGCAACCAAGTGAGGGAGGGAGCTATAATAGCTTGCTTGGGCTTTATAGAGACACGCCTGATGCCAAAAGGGGTTTTTTTTGGTTCTCTGGTTTAATTGCGTGTGAATGCAAGTTCTGCTGCTGCGAATTATTTATGTATTTATATACTTATACATGCAATTGTTTGCAAGGCGGGGCATGTGGCTTTGCCGTAACGCAATTACTGCTTTTCGTCAAAGAAAAAAATCATCCGTGTATGTGCAAATATGGAAAACGGCATTGTCCTCCTCGAGCAGCCCGATGAAAGTAATTAGACGAAAAGAAAGAAAGGAAGAGGGGCACAGGAGAAACAGGGCAGTACAGTTGTAGAGCAGTTCCTTTTAAAAATATGATATTTCTCTCTCCCAGTTGGAGTTTCTCGTTTCTCGTTTCTCGTTTTTCTCTCTCGTCCAGGCAGCACTACTAATACAAAAGCCTGCTTTACACCGCTTTAGCAAATTGGAGATGGATGGCACGCCGTACTTGCTCAACTCATTCATCGAGGCCATCGCGCGCATAACCAGCTACGCCCTGACCGATAGCGAAAAAGAAAGCGTCGTCTCGGGATTCCAGCAGTTCCACAAACGGCTCGAGCGCATCCGCAGCAACAGCTCACTCCAGCGCCTAGCAATCGAGTCGCAGCACAGAGGCTCGGGCACCCGGTGCCACCACGCAGGGAAGTCCTGCGTACAAAACAGCCTGCGCGGCCTTCTCAAGGCCTTTCTCGCCGGATACCTGGTCAAATACGGCATCGACCTTATCCCCAACCTGCTCTCATTGCGCGCGTTCAAGTCCCCGCGCCTGCTGGCCAGCTCGCTGCTGAGCCGAGACACCGCCGGGTTTGCGGCCTTTCTTGCGGTGCTGATCGGCGCCTACAAGGCGTTTCTGTGCGCGCTGCGCAGGGTGCACGCGGGCGAGGGCGTCAACGCAATGGCCGCCGGGGCGCTCGCCGGCCTGGTGGCCATCAAGCTGGAGCGCAGCCGCGGCAGGCGCGCGGCCGTGACGCTGTACCTGGTGTCGCGCGCCCTGCAGTACGCCAGCGTGCGCACGGTCGACTGGTACGCGGACGCGCTGCAGGCCGAGGCAGACCAGCTGCGCGGCAGGTCGCTGGTGCGCGCGCAGTCGCAGGCGGACGTGGCCAGTTGCGCAGCGGCTTCGGCCAAGGAAAGAAAAGGCCAGCAGCGGCATCTGCTGCAGCCAATGAGTGCGCCTGCACGTGCAGGCCGGGCGGTGACGTGGCCCGCGGCGCACGTGCAGCGGGTGTGGCGGGCGCAGCGGATTGTGGGTTTGGTGCGCGCGTGCGCGCCGGCGGCGCTGATGTCGGCGTCGTGCGGGGCGCTGGTGCTTGTGCTGTTCTTCCACACAGACGTGCTGCCGCGCGGATACCTGGGCTTCCTGGGCCGCGCCAGCGGGTACGACCGCTTTTACCCGGGAAAGGCCGCCAGCGCGCTGAAGAGCGTCGCCCACGCAGTCGCCCAAGGCGGGCTTGGGGGGCGCATCCCCGCAGGCATGCGCACGCGGGACTTTCTGGCGACGCTGCCGCTGGCCGCCGACCTGCTGCCGGCGGCGCGCCCTGGGCTGAGCCACGGCTTCGTTGGCTGTGGCATCTTCCACCCGCAGACCACAAGCTGCACGCATGGCGCCCTGAGCACCGTGCTGCGCTGCCTGCCCGTGGCCATGAGCGTGTACGCGCCGCTCAACGCCTCCGTGCTGCTCCTGTTCAAGCGCAGCCAGCTGCTGGCCAACCCGCGCGCGGCGCTCTGGCGGCTGCTCAAGTCCAGCGTGCGCAGCTCGGTATTCTTCACCCTGCTGATTGGATGCATTCTCAACGGGTCGTGTGCGATGCGTGCGCTGCTCGGCGGGGACTCGAAGGCGTCGTATGTGGTGACTGGGCTGGTGGGCGGCGCGCTGGCTGTGTTGGTCGAGCAGCCGTCGAGGCGGGTGGAGCTGGCCATGTACTGCTTTTTGCGCGCCCTCGAGGGCTGCTGGGACGCTGGCGTGGTTGCTGGGAGATGGCGCAACGTCAGGCACGCCGAGGTTGCGCTGTTTGCTGCCGCCATGGGCGTGCTGATGTCCATTTACCAGAACCACCCGGAGACCATCGGCCTGACGTACCGCTCGGTGCTGACGCGTATGTTTGGCAAGAACTAGATTAGGGGCTTGCTCGTCGGGGTGCTCTGCTTGAGAATGTAGTTGTACAGCGACATCAGCGCACTGCCAGTGCCAGTGCCAGTGCCAGTGCCAGTGCTGGTGCCGCTGTCGGTGTCGGCACCTGGCTGCAGGTACAGGTCGATGGTGCTGGAGACCGCCGAATCCCCGGCTGCAGCTTCAGTGACACGCAGGACAAAGCACAGCGACGGCTGCTTGCCTCCATCTTCCTTGCCATTGTCCTTGTCCTGCCTCGCCTGGCTGCGGCGCCACTTTCTCGTCCATGTCATTGCCGCTGCCTCGCAGCGCCAAAACCCGTCGTCTACGCATCTCACACGCACCGCAAGCTCCTCAAAAACGCGCCTAATCCACTCTCGCGTCTCCTGCGCATTCTTTTCCTTAACCACAATGCTGAACCTGGACTTGTCCAGGAACGACCATGCCAGAACCCACCTGGTCGTCCGGCCCTGCACCAGCGTCCCCTCGCGCACTTGCCGGGCCCCCGCCGCGCGGATCCTTGCCTTGACTTCGGCCAGGGTGGACTTCCGCCCGACCATTGTCGTGTACCATTTGATGCGCGCACCCCATTTCTGGCTCTCATCCACCATGCCCTGCAGAAACGCCTGCTCGCCGCCCTCCGTGAACAGCTCTTCGTCTTTTCCATTTGCGTCCAGCACTGGCTCCTGCACCTTGGCGCCCTTGAGCCTCATGCGCTCCTCGCTGCTGGCGTAAAACGGTGGGTTGCACATGCTAAACATCAGCTCCCCGGAAGTATCTGTGTGGCTAGCGCCAGCAGAGACAAGAGAAGGAAAACCAGGAGCATCTAGGGGCAATGTCGTTGTGCGGTCTGGGTTCAGGTACAGGTGGATCCGGGACTCCAGCGCGTTGCGCTCAATGTTATCCTGCGCCACAGCTACGGATTCCGGACTAATGTCTGTCGCGATAAACGAGCTCCCGGGTATTGCGCGCGCGCCTAACAGCGGGTAGATACAGGAGGCGCCGGTGCCAATGTCCAGCCCCTTTGGATCGCAAAATGGAAAGTCTGAGAGGATGTAGTGCTGGATCCATCGCAGGTAGTTTAGTCGATTGAGGACTATCGGGCAAAGGTTTTCTTGCGGGAGCGTCACTTGGAGGTCAAAATATACGTGGAGCAGCGCTTGGTTTAGCACGCGGATGGACGTGGAGGAGCTGAAGTTTATGCTGTGTGTGGGGGTGAGGTGCGCTTGGAGCGCAGGGTATGCAAGAGAGAGTTGCTCATAGTTTATATCGGATGGCAGATCGTAGCTCTTTGGGGCTGCTGTGTGATCGGTTTTAGACCTTTTCTGTTTCTTTGGTGGTGGTGAAGGTGATGACATTGTTTATAAAAAAATATTATTTTTGGAAATTGACAGTATTTAGTATTAACTAATTGTTTTGTTAATATACTCACAATGTGAGGATGACAAACGTATGGGCAGGCCCATTTTATGTCTTCCGGAGGCTGAGTACAAAAATCGATATATCCTCTCTCTCTCTCTTCTTTATGAAGGCCAAGTCTCAATGTCCTATGCATGGCGTGTATTAAATAATAAAATAAAAAATGTGGGTTTTTGTTTTTACATTTTACTTCGTTTATTTTCTTTTAAATTTTATGTATGAGAAAAAAAAACTTTGCAAAATACAATAGACAATACAAATTGCAGCCAATTTCGTCTGAATGCTTGGTTTTCCCCTCCTTCATTTATTTACTTTTAACTATCCCATATAATTGAATAAAATACTTTTTTTATAATTATGTTTTGCTTCGGTAAGCTGCCATTCGTTGTTCTCGACCGAATTATGCGCATGGTCATTGATACCGATGAAATTGACATATGTAAATGGAATGGCAGGCTGCCACTACTGGGTGTATGTAGCAAGTGGAGAGAGGCAGCCCTGCCTTTGGTCTATTGCAACGCCATTATGGATCCATCTACAAATTGCGCTGGTGTATTTTTTGAAGGCTCGAACGACGGCAGCGCGAGTGACAAACTTCCCAATTCAAACATTGGGCTGATTAAGGCTACAGTAAACACACATCTAGTCAAGAGTTTGGTTGTTTATATCCGGCATCTCCAACATTTTGACTCTCTGGTCTCCGACGCTGACTCGATATTCTCATTTGGAACATGCGACTAGACCGGCGTTAGTAAAATAAGTGTTGATTATTGGTATTCAAAAAATGAAGGGGGAGGAGACGATGGTATTATTGAATACGTCCCACAGCGTGATTATGGACAAGATGCTATTCATTTTGCCAAGCAGCTTGCAAAATACATGCCCAATGTTAGTCAGCTGGACACGGGTGCTTATGTAACAGACGATTTAATCATAATTAACAAAGGATTATATGAATTATATGCGCACAATATTAAAAAGGTTGATGGCTGGGTGCTACCCTTGCTTTCTAAGCAAGTCTGTTTTAACCAAATAACAACACTCAAAATATAATTGGGCGCAGAACAAGAAATGCCACAGTTTAACATTGAGAATTTGGAAAACCTGTCACTAACTAATGTTCCCAACACGTTCTCGTGGAAAAAAGATGGTCAATGTGGGAGAGACAGATGTTATTGTATTTCCGACCCTGCATACATTAAACATATTTCTTAATGGGAAATCCGAACCTCATTTTTCTATTCAAGAGATTCCAGATAAGACTAAATTGCATTTACTGATGCTCACTGATTTGAATATCGCAGCTCCAACGTTGGCTAATTTGAAAAACTTTATGGATTTTGAAAATATCATTGGCCAAACGTGACAAAGCTTTTTTTTTATTGGTGTTAACACTTTTTCAGACAATGAAAAATCCATATTATCAATTGCTAAAAATGATAGCCTGGCTTCTTGTATAAAAATGCATATGCCCAAAGTACCTCAAATGCAATTATATTCTCATTCTTATAAAGACAAAGTTAACTTTTACATCTCTTTGGCAAACCTGTACGTCAATCAATTAGACAATGTTTGTTTTTATCACCCGGTGACATTCTCAGCTTTGCGGTTTTCACCAAATTTAACCAGGTTGAATATTGATGAAAGATCCACTGTTATGCAAAGTCTTCCCAAGATACTTGGGGAATCTCTAAGAATTTTAAATCTCAGAAATACCGATCGCACTTTTACCTGGGATGCATTTAATGACAAGTCTGGATCCTAAATAATCAATTTTAAATCCCTTGAAAATGTGTATGTAGATTATAACCAAGATGTAAATGACAATATTTTGGATTACCAGCAATTTATTGACAGTTAGCAATCCAGATGCGATACGCCTTCAGTTTCTTGTCCACGTTTAAAAACCCTGGATATTAATAATGCCACAATAAATGGGCTTCAAAAGAGAATGGGCTTTGGCTTCAGTAAATGTTTGAATGTGCAGGAATTAAAGCTTAGACTCATGTCTTTTGAAACCACTCAGTTGGAAAATAATCCGAATGGCAATGGCTGTATGCAAGCTGTATCATTGTTTGCCCAATATATGGCTGGTAAAATTCCTAATGTTACTGACTTGAAAATTAATTCATATGGTATGGGTAGTAGATACACAGATCACTTTGGCAGCATTTTTTTTAACGGTTGGGCCTGCCACATAAAATTGTTTAATAGTTATATTCCAGCTGTAATCACTACTAATGAATTTCCATCCGAGATCAGGAAATTGGATATGATAATTGGTAGTGCAAACAGAAAGCCACTGTCTAAAATAAACGCGGCAAAAATTGAGTCTTGATCTAGAAGGTGATTTGAGAGAGCTCACTTGGGATAGCTTTGCAAGTGAGGATGATCCCAAAAACATTAATTTCAAGAATTTAAACAATGTATACATGGATCATACATATGGAGGCAATGCCAATATATTAAATAAAAATATTAATGGGACTAGATTACGCAAGGATAAAGTTACCTTGCACATACCCAAAAAGTGCAAAATGGAATTCCACAACATTAATGATGGATGCAAAGCGTCAAATGGCTTGGTAAAGTTTGCAAAAATCGAAATATTATGCGTTGATAACTCAACATGAAACAATTTGTCAGCTCAAATGGAGGAAATATTGATACATGTTTAATTTATCTTGATGTAGCTTCCAAAAATGGATTAAATTATTTCTCCGAGCCGACAAACATGTTTTTTTGAAAGCCCAATCAACATTGCTTATGAAAGTGTTGCTTTGAATATGAACATGGACTTGTTCAATCCCCAAAGAATCTCATGGACTAATATACGTAGTTTAAAAATTAATCAGCAGGTAAAGTCCAGAAAACTTGTAGAATTAATTGCCAAATTTCCAAATTCAAGATATTTATTATTGGGCAATTGTACTTTATAACAGCAGATTTGATTTAGCGATTGAATGTGTGGAGCCAATTTTAACCAGCATTACTAATCTGAATATACATTGTGATGATTATACAGAGAGTAAAGTTAAGACTAGTGGTTGCTGCATCAAATACTTAATATTAGCCATCCCGTCTTTAAATAAAGTGCAATTGTCCAATAATAATTTTGATGTTGAATTGTTTGCTCAAGAGTACCAAGGGTGGGGGGGGGGGAAGATTTATCCTCATTTGAAGTATATTGCAAGTTATTAAATTTTAGCATTGACTTTTTTAAATACATTTTTATTGATTTTGCATTCATATAGTCCTCTGTATTTAAATTATCTTGTGGCGAGCGTAGAACCCAACAGGATGGAGCGGAGGGGGGAACGGAAGGGAAAAAGGAAAATAATTGTAGCTTGGGGTGAGTTGGTATACAAAAAGAGAGAAAGAGTAGGTGTAGTTTCAGTACTAAAACCACACGAGATCCTCGTATATATGCTTTGAGAAATCAGTATTATAGTGATTTTAAATCACAAAATGGGCTTTATTATTGGTAAAATGAAATCAAAAAAGAAATAAACAATACCAATATTTTAAATATAAATATAATTTTTTTTACTTGCGACGCTTCTTTCCCAGGCTCTTCAGCGGATCACCGCCCTTCTTCCCACCCTTCTTCTTATAAATCCTCTTCCTCTTCGTATCCTTATTAAACGGTACAAACCCAATATCTGGTGCCGTCGCCACGCCATCCGCCTGAGCAATTCCTGCGATCTTGGGGACCAAATACAAAGGAATATGCTTCATATGGGGCATAATCTGGCTCGGATGCAGTGCCTTATCGTGTCTCAAAAACTGCAAATCCCTCGGCTTATCTTCGAAATGAGCCTTGAGTTTATCGGAATTCAATATCTCCTGCTTAATCTCCTTGATGCGCGCCTCGCGAATGGCCGTGCGAGTGACCAGGCGAAGGGCGTCGGTAGACCGGTAGCGGAAGCCTTCCACCTGCTTCATATCGAACTTGTACGGCAGGATTTCGGCGGACTTCTTCCTCTGCTGCAGGATGACTCGTTCGAAAACGGCCTCTTCCTTTTGGTGGTGCTTGGCCGACGGCGACTTGATGTCCTCGGAGGTGATCAGCGAAAGGGACATGCCGCGGCGGCCGGCACGAGCCGTGCGTCCAACGCGGTGCGTGTAGGAGCGCGCAGATGGCGGGAAATCAAAGTTGATAACGGCGGCGACACCCTTGAAATCAATTCCGCGGGAGACTCCGTACTCCTTGTCTTGCGACGCCTTGCGCTTCTTGGAGGTTTTTTTGGCAGCCTTCTTTTTCTTCTTGAGCTTGTCCTCGGCAGTAAGTTTGTGGCCATCCTCGGTACCTTCGGCTGCTTTGGTTGCCTCGGTTGCTTCTGGCTCGGGCTTTGTCTCCTGGTCGATCTCCATTGCCCCCTGTACCTGAACCTGCGCCTCCTCCTTCTCCTCCTCGGCTTCGTTGTCGGCCTCGCCCATCTTGTCGCTCTCATCGGTGGCAATAATATAGTCGTAGACGCCGCGGTTAAACTCTTCGACAATATGGTACCTTGAATTCAGCGGCAGCTCCGAGTTGAGCACACAGGCCTTGATGGAAAACTGCTCCAAAAACAGCTTCAACCGGTAGCTCCTTTCAATGTCATTGACAAACAAGATGCACTTTCCAGCGATCAACTTGAGCTTCAAAATGACATAGGTCAAGAGAAACTTTTCCTCCTCCGAGCACCGCACAACGTACTGGACAAGCTTGGCGGCCTCCTCCTGGTCATCCTCGAGCTTGAGGATAGCGGGGGAAGAAAGCACCAGGGCCTTGAGGGCTTCGACGCCGCGGTTAAGCGTGGCAGAGAGGAGCATAGACTGGTGGATGCGCGGCAGTGCCTTGATGATCCCGCGGATGTCATCCTCGTAGCCAAAGGACAAGACGAGATCGGCCTCATCAATAACCAGAGTCTCCAGCGCTCTCAAGTCCAAGGTACCCGCCATGTGCTTCAGTGCGCGCGCCGGCGTAGCCACCACAATATCCGGCAGCTCCGCCAGTAGTGGAGCCTGGATATGCAGCGGCGTATTCCCGGCGATATTTACACAGACTATGTCCTTTCCGCAGAACAAAGTAAGGTCTGCAAGGTACTTGGTCACTTGCTCGGCGAGCTCGCGAGTGGGCACAAGGATCAGTGCACGGGTGAGTCGCCGGGAGCTGCTGGTTTGGGGCAGGGCATCTTTTGTCGCGAGAATCTTGTGTAGGACGGGGAGGCAGTAGGCGGCGGTCTTGCCGGAGCCGGTTTTGGCGCGCGCCAGGATATCCTTGCCGGAAAGGGCCAGGGGAATGGTGCTGGATTGCACAAGCGTTGGATGAACGAGGCCCATGCGACCGAGCGCGCGCAGCAGACGGTCATCAAGGTCGAGCGTGAGAAAGGTCGCCTGTTTGTCTAGCAGGTTGTCGTCCATCGTTTTTTTAATAATGAAATAAAGCGTAAATTTATATTTGCGAGTGAGAAGAAAAAAAGAAAAAAAGAGAAAGGGAATTTAAGTAGAAAAAAGGTGAATTAGAAGGATCAAAAAAATTTACAGCGATCGAAGCTGGGTACACTAAATGAAAGCGAGAGGAGAGAGAGAAAAAATTGTTTGAAAAAAAAACAAAAAAAAACAAAAAAACAAAAAAAGGCTGGATGAAATTTTTCTGGCTCGTTTATTTTTTTCTTCTTGATCAGGCATTTGGTTGATCATCGGCAAACAGATCACAAGCAGCACACACGGACTTGTAAAAAAAATAAAAGGTTGCATGCAGTTACTCAGATCAAAAGATAAAAATGCAAAAAATAAAAAATAAAAAATAAAAAAGTTGGCTGTACTGTACAGTTTTCAATTCCGATTCAAATTCCAATTCATTATTTATTTGCTTTACTTTATTGCCAACCTCTCTCCTCTCCCTTCAGCCTCAGCCTCAGCCTCAGCCTCAGCCTCAGCCTCAGCCTCACCCACCCAAGCACCTGAACTTTTATTGACCAAGGGCGTGAGCGTGCGCGCGAGTGTTTATAAAGCGGGGACACGAGGCACTAAACAGAACTAAGCAACTCGTAAGTTATGCTCATACGCGGGGTCCGCCGGGTCCACACCGCAGCAGCAGCAGCAGCAGCAGCATCGGCCGCCGCCGCCGCCGCCAAGAAGCTCCAGCTCCTCGCACACCACAGACGCACCAAATCAAAGCCCCCCGCACACCAGGCCTCCCGCCACCCGACCAATGCGCAGTCCGTTTCCGAGCAGGAAATCTGGGCGTACCTCCAGCGCAACAACATCCACCGCGCAGTGGCGCTCAGCCGCAAAGCCCCGGCGCTCTCTGCCTTGACCTACTTTATGCTGGCCAAGCGGCGCTTCACCGCGCCATGCCTCGTGGCCGGCGCCCTGTGTGCATTGCGCACGGGTGGCGGGGAGTTTCTCTCAACGCTGGTGGCGGCGCTGCTGGCGGACGGCGACGCTGCGCTGGTCGACCAGTATGCGGCGCTGCCGCCCGCGGACCGCCAGGCTGCGGACGATGCGCTGGCCGGGTGCGCGCTGTTTTATTATCTGCGGGCCGGTGATGCACATCGCGCACACATGGTCGGCCAAGTGATGACGCCGGGCGCGCGCGCGGAGATCCGCCAGCGCGCTGGGGCGGAGGCTGCGCAGGGTGGCTGGCTGGGCGCTGGGGCGGCCACTGCGCAGAGTGGCTGGCTGGCCACCGGGGCGGCCACCGCGCAGAATGCCTGGCTGGAGACCGCGCCGGCCACCGCCCCGGCCACCGCCCCGGCAGCGGTGCTCGGCCGCGTGCGCGCCGCATGGATGCTGCGGCGGCCCGATGCGGCGTTCGGCGCCGGCGGCATTGCGGCGGCCGCCGAGGCGGTCGCCCAGCTGCTGCGCCGCGGCATCGTCGCCGACGCCGCCTGCCTTTTGACCCTGGCGTCCTCCGCCGTGCGCACACGCGACGCGCGCTGCCTGCTTCCGCTGTACGCGTCGCGCGAAACCGGCACCCGTGCACTGGGCGCCGCCGCGCTGGTGCGGCTGGCAGGGGCGCGCGCGGAAATGGCAGCGCGCAGCCCGCGCATCCACTACGATGTGCTGGCGACGCTTGTGCGGCAGGACATGCTGGACATGGCGCTGCACGTGGCGGCGGCGCTGCCCAGCAGCCGCCAGGCAATGCACCTTGTGCTGCAGCTGTGGGCCGCCAGGCACCCGGGCGGCTGGCGCGGGATCGGGCGGTGCGCCCGTGCGCTGGCCGGCTGCGCGCCCATTCTGCACGCAACCCACCACCTGGCCGTGTCGTCGGTGGTGCGTGCGCTGCGCCATGTCAGTGCGGCGGATGCGCCGCTGGTGCTGGACTGCGCGCTGCGCGTGCACCGGCTGCTGGCGCCGCGGCTGGCGTCGGTGTCGGAGGCCGCCGTGCACCAGCTGCTGGCGGCGCTGGCGCAGCACGGCCGCGCGGCCGATGCCTTCTCGGTCTACCGCGCGCTCGAGCGCCTCGGGCTGCTGGCCCCCGCAGGCTCCGAGGCGCTGCTGGCCGCGCTGGCTGCGCCGCTGGCCGCGCATGGCGACCTGCGCGCCGTCTCCCACCTGGCGCTCGCCGCCACGCGCCGCGGGCTCCCCCTCGGCGCCCACTTCTACACGGCCGTGATCTGCGGCCTGGTCGCGCGCAACCCGCCGACCCTGCAGCGGCTGCAGGCGGCCGAGTCGATGCTCGAGACCATGCGCCGCAGCCGCATCCATGTGCCGCAGAAAGTGTGCCACCGGCTGGCGTACGCCTGCGCCGTGCTCGGCAGCCCGCACCGCGCCCAGGCGTACTTTGACCGCATCCGGCGCGCGCCCACGCAGGGCGCCGGGCTGGCCGCCTGGGGCTGTCTGATGTACGCGTACCTGCGCGCGCAGGACGCTGCCGGCGTGCTGCGCGTGCTGGAGGGCGCGCGCCAGTGGTGTGCCGCCCAGCGCCTCGTCAAGGGGGGGCAGGGGCCTGGGAGGCCGGGGTACTTGGTCAACATGGCGATGCTGGCTCTGATTCGTGACGCGCGGCCGCGCGCCGCCCTCTCGTTGCTCGACGCCAGTATGGCGCAGGCCGCAGCGGGCCCCGGCGCCCTGGCGGTGACCCCGGCGGACCCCATAACGCTGGGGCTGATTCTCGCTGCGCTGCTGGCCAACAACCAGCTGTCCCAGGCCGCCGCCATCTACGACAGCATCCACCGCCACTATAGCATTGCCGAAACCCCCGCGGGGCTCAAGCCCTTGCTGCGCTTCTGCCTCGCCCACGGCGATCTTGCCTCTGCCCTGCGGATCACACAGCGGATTCTAGCGCTTGGCGGCGCGCTGACGGACGCCCAATGGGCGCGGCTCCTGCGCTTATGCGTGGCGGAGAGTCGATACGAGGCCATCGGCTGCCTATACGATCAAATGCGCGAGCACCCGGATGGCAATATACCCAAGGTGTTTTTCAAGTACCCGGGCGTGGCGGAGGATGTAATGTGGGCGCTGCGCTTGTGCGGCGGCAGAGAGCGGGAGGTTAGGGAGATTGCGCGCACATTGGGTCTGGGCTCGGGCTCGGGCTCGGGCTTGGCTGGAGTTGGTGTAGGGAGGCAGGAGAAGCTTGCGCTGTTTCGCCGATTGCTGCGGGATGTAGGTGGCTTTCCTGTGGCTGACTTGAGGCGGAAAATGCGCAGGAATGTGCGCTTTTGTTTTGATCTTTACCGCGATGAAAAGGAGGAGGACAGGATTGCAGGATTGGTGAAGGATGGGTGGTCGCAGGCTGCTTGGGTGCGCAGCTGGCAGACCGATGACCCTCAGGCATGTGCGGACATTATTCACGAGCAAAAAAAAATTCAAATCATATAAAATAACAAACTAATAATAAGCTTAAAAACCACCCAATTTTTTTGGCTTTAATCATTTCGAGTCTCTTTCGATACGCAAGTTTTATTGATGGGGGGTGTGAATGAACTGTTCCTGATTCACTCAGGTTCAAACGCAATACTTGCCATATGAGGGCATGAAACTCCAAAAATACCAAAAACATATCGTTGCACCTACATAGTAAGCGATATTTCGCCATTATCGGTATAATGTATTTGAACACGCCTATCCCTTGGGTGGAATCTCCGAGCTAGCTACAATTTCATATCCACCAAACTTCTCGCAAATATCTGCAACACTCAGGTACTCGGTCTTGTATGTCAAGTAAGTGATTCCGTCAATAACCCTGGGTCCAAAATCAAACCCCACTTTGTCTCGCATGCTATTGCCACCATAAACTGTCGGTCTTCCATTGTTGTTGAAATAAGCAAGAGGTAGTTGCAGTATCCATGGGTACTTTCCTCTGCGTCTTTTGAGGTTTTGTAGTCCCAGGGCCTAATCATTATCTCGAGCGCAAAAACACCTCGCCCTCAGCCCACAGCGCATCCCAAGCTATCGCGCAAACTGGACTTCCCCCCCCCAGGAGTAGGCTGTGTGTTTGATTTTCAGCTTCCGCTGCTGTTGCTCTTGGGCAATGAACGACTGGATAGTTCCCACCTCCACATTCAGTAAAAATAGAACACTGGGTTTGGGCGATCTGCTGAGTGTGAATATGATGCTCTGGCATCATTAATATCGACTGCATGGTATACGTCGCCACGGTTGACAATAAAATAGCTAGAGCGACACGCATTGTTTATTTTGCTTTTGACTGGGCAATTTTTGACAAAATTTTGAATTAAAAACTTTTTTTTTTTCGTCCTTGAAGGAAAAAAGCAAATATTATATTATAAAAGGGGATTATCATCACCCGCTTCGCTTCACTTGATGATTACTCAGACTTTTAATTGAAAATGTATTTAAATTTGTTAGAATAAGTCAGCCGTTAACACAACCGGAATATGGAAGAAAAATATGGAGAAAAAATCGGCTACCTCAATTATGTGCTACTTGAACTCTTGCTCGTCTGATGGCGGAAAATAAGCCATAGACCAATTTCTGCGCATATTTGTCTCAATCATCGTCTTTTGCCACTCTTTGCGTAAACTGAGCAGGAATCCTCAATCCCTCACTGAAGCAGTTTAGAATAATGATATGCGGGCATGCTTAGGTTTGCCGCAATATCTCTGTTCCAAAAGAAGAGCCAGCGTTAATAGACGCTGATTTGCGTGCGTGATCAGGCCATGTGGAGGGGACAGAAGGAGAGAAAAATGGTGGTACCATTAGGCTATTAAGTGTAGTGCAAAAAAAAACCCCCTACTCATTTGTTTTTGTTACCACGACTGCGGAATTTTTGTTGTTGTTTGTTTTTGTGAGGAGCATGTAGGATTTGCAAATCATATTTGAAGTAATAAAACAATTTTTGTTACTCAGATGAGATTTAATATATCAAATTATTCATAATCAAATCAGCTAAACAAAAACCAAACATGCACAGTTGGCAATAAAAAAAGGACCTGTGATTGGCACGCGACGTTTGCCTATAAGCTCTGACTGTGGGCTTTAGTTGAAAACAGTTGCTTTGTCAAATGACTGACACGAATAAAGCGAAAAAAACACCCTGTTCTTATACTACTCACAGTCAGAGTCAATTTTAAAAAATAATGAGCTTGCAATCAAGCATCGTCTATTTATAATGCAAAAATGAGCGCGCACAATGAAACTAAAATAAAAAACAACAACACAAAAAAATTCGCTGCATTATAGTTATTCTAGCTAGCATTTGTTCTGAAATAATTCATATATAAGGTACACTGCTGCATGCACTTTATTTTCTTTAAAAATTATTTAACACACCTGTTTATATAATTTAACAATGTCTTTCCACACAAATAAATCACATGGTGGCCCATCCGTCCAACCATTGGTCACTAAAAAAGATCTTGCAAAATATGAAAATTTGATGTTAACTAACAAGGCAAAGTTATTTTTTATTTGCGAGGAAGACACTGATAAACAAATGATTAACGAGTTCGAAAAACAAATCAACGGGGAACGCAAGGTTAAACACCTATTTTTTGCAAAAGTTGATCCTCCTTATGCCTTTAATGAGATTTTAAAACCAAGTGGTGTTAAATGCAAAAAGTTAATTTTATTTAATAGTGGTAGCTTAATTGTTAAGTTTAAAACTGGTAATTTTGGCTACATTGAATTTGAAATGGTTAAGTTACCCATATATAACCATATATTAAATAGAGGTTGTGATGTTGAGAACCTCTCAGGGGGGCCGCAACCCAGGCCAGCGACCCGGGCTAAGACCCGCAAGCGCACGTAGATGCATTAGGCAGATGCAGGTCATCACCCGACGTCCTGATTCAATTACATTGATTGCGAAGCCACGTGGTATTCATGATAGAACCTGTTTTTGCCAGATCCTGCATGCAAAGCACCAATGCCACCAGCAATCAAGCCTGCTGCGTAACATGCAGCACAGGAGATGCCATGCACTTATCATAGTTTACTTTCGATAAATATTAAGGTATTCCTACCATTAAGATGAGGACTCCTTAGCTTCCTAATAAATATTTTACTCCCATTTAGCAGTATTCCTTGTAGCTGCTCAGATCGCATCTACTGGCCTTCCCTTTGGCCACTCTCACAGCAGTACAATTTCAAATGGTTTAGTTGTAATATATATATATATATAATATGGTTATTATCGTGTACCATTTTAAAACTTACGCTTAGTAAAGTTGATTTGCCGACTTGATGTGCCTTGATAATTCTGGTACATTATCAGCTATTTGGGGGCTAAGTGCGAGTATGGTTATTTGTGTTTGTCTATAATTGCTACTCATAACCAGACATGCCATTTAATGTTTAGTGTAATAAGAAGTTGCTTTAAATATATATCAAGTTTGGCATTGCCCTGTGTGTTTGAGCTTAGAATAAAATATATATTGAGCATTGAATCTTTATATTTACAATTTTTGAAGCGAGATTTATTCTGATATACATTTTAAGCGGCAAAGCTAATCTTCGCTATTATCAGTGCCTTTGGGATCAAGCAAATACCCGAAATACGAAAGCGGCAAGCGCTCTGGCGCTTCTATCTGCTCCTCATCACCGTTGCCAAGCATATCACCGGCCACATCGGACTGGCAATCCTCAACCCGCTTGGCGTACCTCCGAAGACACAGCTGAGCAAAATCAACGTGCGAACACTCCTCAAGCGTACTCAACAAGGTCTCCAACAACTGTCGCGGCACAAAGGGCAGCAAGCCAAAAGCGTCCTCAAAAACAATAATCGCCTCCTTCAGCATACCGCATTGAACAAGTCCCTTGATCAACAGGGCAATCGTGTAGACGTCCACAGACACATTTAAGACAAAATCCTTGAACTCGAGATGTTGCAGTAGGGGGGTGGGCCGACCGACCATGTACGCGTAGACACTGATAGCCTGGTGCGGGCTCTTGTTCAAGATTGCCGCGAATATCATGGCGTTGCCTGTGGCCCGGTTCACGTGCATCTTGTTGTGCTTAATGTCTTTGAGGATATCCCGTGTGGCTGACATGTCGGAGCCCCGTGCGAATGACTGCAGGAGGACGTTAAAGGTGCGCGTGTTAGGCTCCATGCCCTCGGATACCGTCATGTGGTCATAAAGTACCTGTGTCGACTCGTGGTCCCTGATCATGGCAAATACGGAAATCGCCATGTTGTACATGTTTCGCGGAACCTTGGCGGACTTTGACGTCTCGATGAGCTGGTCACGCACTTGGCGCAGCTGCTCGACGTATTCAGCGTATCCGATCGCGCCCTCGTCGGAGTCAACCTGTCGCATCGATCGCCGCCGCCCGGAGCCTTGCTGTACGTACGCAATATCCCTGTTGGCAATGTCTCGTGCAGCGATCAAGATGACAGCAAAATGCAGAATGCTGCGCGGCTGGATCTGGTGGAATGCAAAGAACATGTCAAACATTTGGGATACGCGACCAGTGACCCCGTACTTGACCATCATCACCAGCAGCGCATCCTCCGATAAGGGCAGTTCTGGGCACATGTCAAACTGTGGTGTTTTGTCAGGTACGTCCAGTTGCCAGTCGTAATCGCCGCCGCGTTTAAGCGCCTTGACTATGTCCATGCAAATGGGCCATGTGGGCACCAACTTGTCCTCATCGACCATCTGGCGGTACAATCCGAGAGCCTTGCTAGCCATCCCGTTTTTCGCGTAGTAGTCAAATATGTGGCTTAAATGTTGCGTCGTGTAGCGCGCAGTCGGGTGCGCCTTGAGATCCTGCAAAACACTAAGCGCATAGTCTACCCGGCACTTGCGCACAAAATTGTTAATGAAAATGGCAAATATGTGGTGCGTCAGCTTGTCGTACGTGACCACATTGGAGACCACCAGTTGGTACACCCGGTGCAGCCGCTTGATGTCGGTCTCCAAGTGGCATGCGCAGTGCAGCATAATGCCAAATGTCGTGTAGTTAATGGGCATGCCATGGGCCAAATACTGCTCGAACGTGGCAACGAGGAACCCTGGGTTGCCCTGCTTGTTAGCTAGGTGCAGCAGCCCGTTGAGCAAACCTGTGCGCGCAGAGTCGTGGTACGAGGGCTTGATGAGTTCGTCCAGCATGCCCTCAACCAGCGCGGAGAGCTCTGAGTTGGTCAGGACTTTTGCTTGCATGGCGCCGCCAATGACAGACGAGTACACGTGCGGGGTGATGCGAGAGGTGTACTCGGGATCTGCCTTCATGCCCGCAAATACCTCCATCGCCAGATCGGGCCGCCTGCTGCCAAAGTGCGCCGCGATGACCTGCCGCATGATGTTCACCGATAACACGGGCGGCTCCTGTGCCGCACTCGCTTTGCGGTATTCGGCCACTTCCTTCAGAACCAGCTGTCTGTTTCCTAGCTTGTTCAGTGCGCGCAGATACATGCTGAAGAGCAGCGGCGTGGTGATCGGCTGGCCGATCAGGGCAAAGTCCCTGAAGATGCGCACGATCCTTGTAAATCGAACCAAGTACTCGTGCGACTCGGGCATAAAGTTCAGCTCGCAAATCAGAAGACTCAAAGAGGTCAATGGAATTTGCGCCAGGATCTGCGGCGCCTGCGGGTGCTCGTATATCTTGCGGTACTGCTTCCAAGCGGCCTCGACCATGTCGTTGACGCCAGGCTTGTCCTCCTGGTCCATACTCATGAAATCGACATTACCGAATCGGCGCAGAATCATTATAAGCTCACGCACCAGAATGTGCCGCTGGGTGGGCTCCTTGTGAGACGATAGCTGCTCAAGGGCCTTGAGGTCGTTCTGGTACTCGCTCTCGAGTTTTTCGGACAGCCGCTGTCTGATCAGCAGCCTCGACTGAATTGGAGGTGATTCGTTGCATCTGCCTGTGCCCAGCTTGGTCCGCCGCCGCCCTACTTCCTTGTGCGGATTGGAATCAATGGTATCGGCGTGATTATCCGAAGGCTGCAGCAGATCGTCGCTCGTGAGCAGCGCCTTGATAGCCTTGTCGGCAAGAACCGTAGCGACCGGTCGATTGGCCCCAACCGCGTTGGTATGCGTGTGCAGCCGAGCAGCCGTGTTGTGTGCTGCAGCGATATGGTGAATTGCCAGCAGGGGCAGCTTTAGCGTGCGCAGGCGTGCCGCGATAGCCAACCGCATGCAAATGTCAAAATAAATGTGTTGAGCAAAAAGAATGGTAAAAATGTGAGAGAATGCTATGAATTGCAGCGCATTGTTTATTTTGAGGGCAGTGGGGATAAATTTGAAGAGCTGGAAATGTTGAATGAACAAACAAAAAAAAAGTTGAAAGCTGAAAGTTGAAATGCAATTCAAGCAAGCAAAAAAAAAAGTCAACCGCTTAATTTTCCAGTTCCATCTTTTGCACCTGATCAATTGATTGATCTGCCGCCAGATCACGAGCCCGAAAAAATTGGAGGCACTCGCACGAAAAATTGCCACCTGTCATCTCCCCTCTTTTTATTGCACCTATTTCTCGGTTGTCCAGCAAGCACAGAAATTCCGCAACACAGGCGACAAGCGCTGCGAATCCCCATTGAATTGAATCGGGATGAAATTAAAGGACCAGGACCCCTGTGATAAGCGCTCTTTTGCTCTTGTTGCAAAAGGATCGGCGCTCTGCCTAGGAAAAAACAAAAAGTGTGCGTCGATTGGCGGGAGGGCGAGGACAGAAGCAGCACATCTTCTTATCGCCGCTTTGATGATGGGTATCAAGACAAGTGGCCTGAAAACGTGCGGAAGACAACGGGTTTAGGCATTCTCCCGCCCAAATACATTTATTCTTTTCGTGGCAACCAGGAGCGAGCCATGCCATCATCGGCGGTATGGAAAATAGTGTGTGCGACTTTTTTCTTCCTATAGGCAGCGGACGTATTAGCAAGTTCCAACACGCAGGTTTTTTTTTGTTGAATTTCCTGTTTATGCACAAATGTTCCAAGATAATGCCAACCCAAATCCAAAAATCAAAGTGCTCTTGAGCGAAAGTAGGCTTGTACCTTGAGAAGAAAAACAATCGACAATGCAAACAATGACTATGCAAGAGCGAAAAAAGATGTTATTCTGATACTACCACTGTTGGTTGCGTGTACAAGGAAAGATGAGTCGAGTTATTTGTGCTTGATCTGCTCGCTCCCCCTCTTCCTCTTCCTTTCTTTTTTCTCTTGCTTCACTTCCTCCACTTTGTTTAAGAGCTCTTTTGGACTAAAATATTTTTCTAATTACTAATTATTTATACACATTCTACATTTCTTTATTTTCTTTTCTGTACGGCGGAACAAGGAAATAACAAAAATTAGCAGCATACACACCATACAACGTAAGGAAACAACAATACGATATAGACTTCTGAGAAGTGTCGGAGTAGCTGTATCCTGCAAGATAGTTCCTTATTTGCGCTCAATAAGGGGTTCGTTTAGAGTCGAAGATCAAATCTTAATTTTTTTGGTACTAAACAACACTTGTTTGTCTGGCTCGTGAAAGCTTATTTTCACTACTCTATTTTGCCTGTAGAACGCCCCTGATCTCGGCTTGTGAAATAAGAAAAACTCGGGGTTTTCTCAAAACAGTCTCCCGAATCAGTTACATTACGCGCCCATCTATCTGCACTGCTTTATTAAAATTACCCCTATTGCTTCTCGTTGGCTAGTGCGGTAACTTTTAAGCAACTCGCTAGTCTTTTTTCTATTTTTCATTTACCACCAGCTCTTCTGTCATCATGGCTGTTCCTCAGTCTATTGAAAAGTTTGTCGGTAAGTAAAACTGTTCATTTGACCAAAGTTACACTTAGTATACTGTGTATATACTTCTCCCCCTATTTCTGTTCTTTTTTTGCTACGTCCTTGTTTACTTTTTTAATATCCTTCTCGTCACTGGTCAGTTCTCTTATTATATTAATGTGGCAACAGCCATGCTTGTTATATAGAACTCTTGAGCTGGTCGGCAGAGAGCAGTAGTGTGGGTTATAAAAAAATTGATTCATCCACAGTGTCCCTGAACGTTCTTCGCCCCTTTTCTTGGCTACCGTCCCTGTCTTCTTTTTTTCTCTTCCTTTTTCTCTTGCTCAATCGCATCTATCAACCCAGTCCAATCTATTCATCTATCTATCAGTGTTTGCACAAATTATTTTTTATACTCAACGTTTTGTTGCCAACGTCATTACATCAGCCCAACTTTTCCCAGCGTTAAAGGAACCCCTTTTTATTGGAAACACATACACCCCCCACTAAAAACTCGCCTTCAGTCAAACAATACTGCCGCGCGCTCGTTTCCATACACACCAACCCCCTGAATCAACACCATTTTTGTCTCTTGCTCATTGTGTTACCACTATTTGCGTTTTGGAACTACCTTATCTAATAACTGTTTAATTATTCACTTACAATGTCCACGGAAGAACTAGGCGGCAACACCGTTGATGCGGCCACAAACCACAAGGTCCGCGATTTTGTCAAGGACAACGGCGGCCACACAGTGATCACTCGTGTTCTCATTGCCAACAACGGCATTGCGGCAGTCAAGGAGATTCGCAGCGTGCGGCAATGGGCGTACGCGACATTCGGTGACGAGCGCGCCATCGAGTTTGTCGTTATGGCCACGCCCGAAGACCTCAAGGTCAACGCCGAGTACATTCGCATGGCGGACCAGTATGTCGAGGTTCCTGGCGGCACTAACAACAACAATTATGCCAATGTTGAGCTCATTGTTGATGTTGCCGAGCGGACAGGCGCACACGTAAGTTTTGTTAATGCAGTTGCTTGGATATGGAAGTGGGTTTTTTGCGATTAAGCTCATGGCTCTACAAACTACTAACAATACTGCTTTTTACCAATTCTCTGACTTTATTTTTCTGCTTTTTTTTTATTTGTTTGGACATGCCATTATTTCACCCGGCGATGTCGCTCACTCTCTCTCTCAATGGAACACTTCTCGGTGTTGGGAATCCTGTTGCACTTTATTGCAGACAATCCTTCTGTCACTTCGGCATTTTCAAAAATATCTAGGCTGTCTGGTAAGTATACCCACGCTGTATTGTCGCTGTGTCAAACTGCAAAAAAGTTCCAGCACGACAGTTTTTGTAAAAAAATAACGATTCGCTCATTTTCATTCAAGCTGAAACAAAAAACTAATGAACAAATCCAACCAATCCAATCCATCCGATTGTTTATTTTTTTTACTCTGCTTCATCTTTCTTAGGGCTGGATGGGGACACGCTTCGGAAAATCCGCTGCTGCCCGAGTCGCTGAGGGACAGCAAGAGCAAGATCGTATTCATCGGTCCTCCGGGCTCTGCGATGCGCAGCTTGGGCGACAAGATCTCGTCGACTATCGTTGCACAGCACGCAAAGGTGCCTACAATGCCATGGAGCGGAGACGGCATCACAGACACGCTTCTCAACGATCAGGGCCACCTGGAGGTTCCCGACAAGGCGTACCATGAGGCGACGACGCACAACATGGAAGAAGGCCTGAAACAGGCCCAGCGCATTGGCTTCCCCGTGATGGTCAAGGCCAGCGAGGGCGGTGGCGGCAAGGGTATCCGCATGGTGTCCAAAGAAGAGGACTTTTCCTCTTCCTTCCAGCAGGTGCTTGCTGAGGTGCCGGGCTCGCCCGTGTTCATCATGAAGCTTGCTGGTGAGTCGCGTCATTTGGAGGTGCAGGTCCTGGCAGATCAGTACGGAAATGCGATTTCCCTGTTTGGCCGCGACTGCTCCGTGCAGCGCCGCCACCAGAAGATCATTGAGGAAGCGCCTGTCAGCATTGCCGGGTACGACACGTTCGAGCAGATGGAGAAGGCGGCGGTGCGCCTGGCCAAGCTCGTCGGCTATGTCAGCGCAGGTACAGTCGAGTACCTGTACACGCCGGCCGACGACCAGTTCTACTTCTTGGAGCTGAACCCGCGTCTGCAGGTTGAGCACCCGACCACTGAGATGGTTTCGGGAGTCAATCTGCCGGCCGCGCAGCTGCTCGTGGCTATGGGCATCCCACTGCACCGCATTCGCGATATTCGCCTGCTGTACGGCATGGATCCGAACAGCGAGTCGGCGATCGACTTTGAGTTCGAGTCGCCGCAGGCCATCGAGGTGCAGCGCAAGCCGCAGCCTAAGGGCCACGTCATTGCCGTGCGCATCACGGCGGAGAACCCTGAGGCTGGGTTCAAGCCGAGCAGTGGTGTTGTGCAGTCGCTCAACTTCCGCAGCAGCACGAGTGTCTGGGGCTACTTCTCGGTTTCGGCAAACGGCGGTCTGCACGAGTTTGCGGACTCGCAGTTCGGCCACATCTTTGCATACGGCGCGAACCGCGAGCAGGCGCGGCAGTCCATGGTTGTTGCGCTGAAGGAGATCTCGATCCGCGGTGACTTCCGCACGACGGTCGAGTACTTAGTGCGCCTCCTGGAGATGCCCGACTTCAAGTCGAACACGTTTACAACGGCGTGGCTCGATCGCCTGATATCGACGCACCTGACGGCGGACCGCCCGGACCCCGAGCTGGCAGTCATTTGCGGTGCCGCCTGCATGGCGCAGAACGCGAGCGCGCGGCTGCTGAGTGAGTTCAAGACGGCGATGGATCGCGGCCAGGCGCCGACCAAGGAGTTGCTCAAGACCACGTTCCTCGTTGAGTTCATATATGAGGGCGTGCGCTACCGCTTTATTGCCAACCGCACGGGCCCCACCGGCTGGATCCTGTACCTCAATGGGTCCAAGGTGGCTGTGGGCGTCCGGCCGCTGAGCGACGGCGGCCTGCTGGTGCTCCTGGACGGCAAGAGCCACGCATGCTACACGAGCGCTGAGGTCGGCGCCACGCGCCTGCTGGTGGACGAGCGCACGTGCCTGCTGGAGGAGGAGGTCGACCCGACACAGCTGCGGTCACCGTCGCCCGGAAAGCTCGTGCGCTTCCTCGTTGACTCTGGCGACCACGTCAAATGCGGCGAGGCGTACGCTGAGATCGAGGTCATGAAGATGTATATGCAGCTGACTACAAGCGAGGACGGTATCGTGCAGTTTGTCAAGCAGACCGGCTCGGCACTGGCGGCTGGCGAGGTCATCGGCGTGCTGACCCTGGACGACCCGTCCAAGGTGAAGCATGCCAAGCCCTTCGAGGGCCAGCTGAGCGCCTACGGCCCACCGCACCTGTACGGAACCAAGACGCACCAGCTCCTGCGCTGCAACCTGGCCCTCCTGGGCAACGCCCTGGACGGATACGACACGCCTGTGCCCGCAGCCCAGCTGCTACAGCAGGTCAAGGAGCTCCTGCAGAAGCCTGAGCTGCCATTCCTCGAGATCGGCGAGGTTCTGTCGGCGCTGAACAGCCGCCTGCCGCAGAGGCTGTCGGCCGCGCTGAACGCCGAGGTTGCGCGTGCGCAGCTGCAGCAGAGTCTCGGGTTCCCTGCGCGCGAGATGCTGGCGATCATCGGCGGCATGCTGAGCGAGGTGTCGCCTGGCGAGGCGCTGACTCTGGCCTCGACAGTTGAGCCCATCACCAAGGTTCTCCATAGCTACGAGGAGGGCTTGGCGGTGCACGAGCGCGACGTGTTCATTGGTCTCCTGCAGCGGTACATTGACATTGAGTCAGTCTTCTCGAGCAGCGCCAACGAGGAGGAAGGCTTCTTTGTGCTGCGCGATAAGTACCGCGATGAGCCCGACGTCATCGTCGACACGATGGTTTCGCACGCTGGCGTAGCGTCGAAGAACAAGATCGTCATGGCCATGCTCGACGTTGTCCACCCGGTGAACCCCGTGAGCGGCGCGCTGGATGCACGGTACGAGGAGGTTCTGAAGCTGATGACCGGCTTGTCAGGCCGGGCGACGTCCAAGGTGGCGCTCAAGGCACGCGAGGTGCTGCTGCAGTGCCAGGTGCCGTCGCTCGAGGAGCGCAAGCGCCAGATGGAGCACATTCTCAAGTCCTCTGTGACAGAGACCGTGTACGGCAGTGGCGAGGAGTACCGCACGCCGAGCTACGACGCGATCCGCGACCTCGTTGTGACCAACTACTACGTGTTTGACGTGCTGCAGAGCTTCTTGTACCATGAAAACCCATACGTGCGCCTGGCTGCGCTCGAGGTGTACGTGCGTCGCGCCTACCATATGTACAACCTGGTGGACTTTGACTACGCGACCGAGGACGAGGCGCCCTTTATGGTGCACTGGCGCTTCATTCTGCAAGACGACTCCTCGGGCATGTTCGCCGGCCGTATTGGCAAGAACTCAAGCGTGTCTGATCTCAAGCGCATCATGAGCGTGTCGGACTTGCACTTTGCCGTCGACGAGGACGCCGACCCCGAGCAGTACCTGCGCCAGGGCGCCATGGCGTCCTACGATACGTTTGCGCAGATGGAGGCGAACTTTGGCCGCCTTCTGGGCCTGATCCACGGCGCCTCGGACGCGGCATCGCGGCCAGAGTCGCCCGGTCTGGGTATGCGGCCGCTCGGGCGGTTTGCGCCGATGAGCGCGCTCACGTCGAGCGGCACCACCACGCCCGCGTTGCAGCGCACTGGGAGCAGCGGCGCATCGACCCCGCTGCGTGGCGGAGCGCGCTTTGGCCATGTCGTTAACGTGGCGCTGCAGGTGCCGCAGGACGACCCGTTCGATGACGACACGTGGTCCGAGCGCCTGCGCCAGTTTACAGCGTCGCAAGCTGTGGCTTTGCGCGACAGCGGCATCCGCCGCCTGACCTACGTTCTGCAGCGCGCAGGGCAGCACCCGGGCACGTTCACATTCCGCGAGAACATGGACTACGGTGAGGACAAGACTATCCGGCACGTGGAGCCTGGGCTTGCGTACCAGCTGGAGCTGCCGCGCCTGTCCAACTTTGACATCCGCCCGTGCTTTAACGACAACCGGCAGCTGCACATTTACCATGGCGTGAGCAAGGACAACTCGGCAGACAGCCGGTTCTTCGTGCGCGTGCTTGTGCGGCCCGGTCGTCTGAGCACGGCTGTAGCCACGGTGGACTACTTGGTATCGGAGACTGACCGTCTTTTGAACGACATTCTGGACGCGCTGGAGATCCTGTCTGCCGAGTACCCGAACTGCGACTGCAACCATCTGTTTATCAGTTTCCTGCCGATTTTCAACCTGGACGCGTCGCAGTTCGAGCCGGCTTACCGCGGGTTCCTGGAGCGCCACGGCAAGCGGCTGTTCCGCCTGCGCGTGACGGCGGCCGAGATCCGCTTCCTCGTGCAGACGGGCAGCGAGGAGGATATGCCGACGCCGTTCCGGTTCTGCATCTTCAACAAGTCTGGGTTCGTGCCCAAGCTGGAGAACTACATCGAAGTGCGCGATGCGCAGGGCGAGTGGGTGTTTGAGTCCTTGGACTCGCCGGCCGGCTCGTACAACGGTCTCTTGGTGGCCACGCCGCACCAGCCCAAGGAGTGGCTGCAGCCTCTGCGCCAGCAGGCCCACATCAAGGGCACGACATACGTGTATGATTTCCCCGATCTGTTCCAGCACGCTGTCGCCGTGCAGTGGGCGCGGGTGGCTAAGCTGAACACCAGCGGGGCCAAGCCCGAGGTGCCCAAGCAGCTGATGATCTCACGCGAGTTGGTCTGGGACGAGGCCACGCAGCAGCTGCTCGAGTCTGATCGCGAGGCCGGACGCAACTCCTGTGGTATGGTCGGCTTCATTCTGACCCTGTTCACTCCTGAGGCTCCCCAGGGCCGCCGGATTGTAGTCGTCGCCAACGATATCACGAACAATATCGGCTCGTTCGGCGTTGAGGAGGATGCCATGTTTTTCCGCGTCACGCAGTACGCGCGCACACACGGTCTGCCGCGCATCTACCTGTCGGCCAACTCTGGTGCACGTATCGGGCTTGCCAACGAGGTTCGTGAGCTGTTCCGTACGAGCTGGTGCGATCCCTCGGACCCGTCCCAGGGTTTCGAGTACCTGTACTTGACCCCTGAGGATTATGCCAAGCTGGAGACCAGGGAGGACGGCAAGGTGCGGTCGGTCATCACGGAGCCCATCACCATGGAGGACGGCGAGGTGCGTCACCGCCTTCTGACTATTGTCGGAGCCACTGACGGTCTGGGTGTCGAGAACCTGCGCGGCTCCGGCATGATTGCTGGCGAGACCGCGCGCGCATACACGGATATCTTCACAGTGACGCTGGTGACGTGCCGCTCGGTTGGTATTGGCGCATACCTCGTGCGCCTGGGCCAGCGGTCGATCCAGAACGAGGGCCACCCGATCATCCTGACGGGCGCCCAGCCGCTGAACAAGGTCCTGGGCCGCGAAGTGTATACGAGCAATTTGCAGCTGGGCGGCACTCAGATCATGTACAAGAACGGTGTGTCGCATTTGACTGCCGACAATGATTTCATGGGTATCTGCAAGATAATCAGGTGGCTCGGGTACGTGCCCAATGTGCGCGGCGGCTCGCTCCTGCTGACGGCGCCGGCCATGCTGACCGACCCTGTTGACAGACTTATCACGTATGAGCCGCCGATGGGTCCCTCTGACCCACGGTTGTTCCTTGCTGGTGCCGAGTCTGAGGACGGCTGGTTGAGCGGGTTCTTTGACCGCGGGTCCTTTGTCGAGACGCTCGGCGGGTGGGCTCGGACGGTGGTCACGGGTCGTGCGCGTCTCGGTGGTATCCCTATGGGTGTTATTGCCGTGGAGGGTCGCACGGTAGAGAATGTTATCCCGGCGGATCCGGCCAACCCCAACTCTGAGGAGCAGGTCCTGCAGGAGGCTGGTACCGTGTGGTACCCGAATAGTGCGTACAAGACAGCGCAGGCCATCCAGGATTTCAACAACGGCGAGCAACTGCCGCTGATGATCTTTGCCAACTGGCGTGGGTTTTCGGGCGGCCAGCGCGACATGTTCTTCGAGATTCTCAAGTACGGTGCGTACATTGTGGACGCGCTGACAAAGTACAAGCAGCCCGTGTTCGTGTACATTGTGCCCAATGGCGAGCTGCGCGGCGGCGCCTGGGTTGTCGTCGACCCGACTATTAACCCTGATATGATGGAGATGTACGCCGATAGCAAGTCGCGCGGTGGCGTTTTGGAGCCCGAGGGTATTGTGGAGATCAAGTTCCGCAAGCCCCAGCTGCTCGCCTGCATGGAGCGCCTGGACCCGGAGGTGCGTGACCTGCGTCTGGCCCTGAGTGACCCGCAATTGTCGCCCGAGGAGAAGGCCAAGGTTAAGCGTGCATTGGAGGCCAGGGAGAAGGAGCTGCTGCCTGTCTATATGCAGATTGCCGTGCAGTTCGCTGACCTGCACGATCGCGCCGGACGCATGGTCGCCAAGGGTGTGATCCGTAAGGAGCTGCAGTGGCCCGAAGCTCGTTCATTCTTCTACAACCGCGTGAAGCGTAGATTGGCCGAGGAGGAGGTGCGCAAAGCGATGGTTGAGGCCGATGTGTCGGTCGGTCGGGATGAGCAGACTGAACTTATTGCCAAGTGGTTCGCCCAGACATCGGCGCCTGACGCTGACTATGAGGACGACAGTGTTGTGGCTGCGTGGTTCGAGGAGAAGAAGAGCGTGGAGGAGAAGCTTGCGCAGTGGAAGACTGAGAGACATGCGGTTTTTGTTGCTGTCCAGGTCGCAGAGGCGTCGGATGATGCCCTGTTTGCTGCCATCCAGAGCTTGTCGGCCAAGCGTCGTGAGCAGCTCCTTGCCAAGCTACAGCAGCAGTAAGCAAATTCCCACATAGATAAAGTTGTCTTTTTATATACCAATACCAATATCAATTTATTTTATTTTTGGTATGGACGCAAAATTGCTATGGCCTTCTGCAGGTTGTCAATAGCAGTGTGCACATCATCGTACTCTAGGGCACTGATAGCCCACCGAGCGTGTTTTTGCGCGTTCTTGGTTACCGTCGGGTCCAGCATCTCGCCGTCATCCATGGCAGAGGGCGCAATTGCGGGCAGTCTCGAGGCTGGCACGGGAATGAACGTGGCTGCACTGGCGGCTGGCGGTATCATCGGGGTATTTACGTGAGGAGAGTTGTTTGGTCGCGTCTGCGGGCCTTGCGCAGCAGTCGATTGCAGTGGCGGGCCCTGAGGCACAGCCGCAGATACAGGTGATTTTGGTACGCTGGGCAGTGTGTCAAAGGGCGTGGGCTGGTCCTGCGCGTAACCCGACCACTGCTGGTGTTGCTGTAGCTGCGGTGACGCAATGGGCGGAGACGGAGGCGACGATACCATCTGAGGCAGAGGTGGAGGCGATGACATCTGAGGCGACGCAGTTTGGGGTGATGACATCCGGGGCGATACCACAGGCGATGAAACGGGCAACGCCGACAACAGCTCCTTCTCTTCCTCTTCCTGCATAGCCGGCGGCTCTGGCGTCCTTCCCTCCCTTATTGCCCTCAAAATCTCTGCGGCTCTCCACTTGGCGTACTTGATCTTCTCCTCCAACCCGCCAGGCAACGGTTCTCCAAACGCTGCGACAATCTGCATAAACTGCGATGCGACAATAAACCCTCTAGCTGTGGACTTTCCGGCTCCGCCCAGCCTGTCTTCGGAATCAGCCTTGGCGAATATCTTTAACGCAAACATTGTGCAGTGCTGGGCTGCTATTTGGTCATTTTGCATTTGGGAGGTCTGCTGAAGTTGGGTCTTTTCTTGTTCAAGGATTGTGAGCAGATGGGAGATGTAGGGCTGCGTCGTGGGTGAGGCGGGCGAGGTGATGGCCAGGCGGGCGGCGTAGTATTTGCAGAAGTACGAGATAACCGGGTCGATTGTGTGGATCTCTTGGCTGCGCTGGATGTACGGCTGGATGTGTTTGAGTTCCGCCGGGACGTCGTTAAGAGTTGACATGTTTTGGGGATTAAGAAAACTGAATTGGAGTGTTTTTTAAATAAAAAATAATAATTTAAAATTGAAATCAGATGAAAGAAGGAAAAAAGAGTTGCTGACATCACGCAGCAACAAAACAACCGAAATAAGAAAAAATAACGAGAAAAAAGCTATGTGAGATTGGTCAAAAATCGATCGTCGCTCTCATTCTCATTCCTTTTTTTCTTTCATGAACTCACGGTCGACGGTGGCGTGGGCTCGACCAGCTTGGACAGGATGGCCAGCACAGAGTCAACGTTGGGCAGGTAGTATTTGGCCTCGGTCGACTTGCGGCCCACGGTGCTGGTGACCAGCGCCGTGCCGCTGCCATCGGCAAACTCGGCGTTCAAATACGTAAACACGTTCTCGTCACCCCTGCCGTCACCCACAGCCATGATAAACCCAAAGTCTACACCAGCCATGTCCTTGACAATCGACCTGAGCGCATACGCCTTGTCCACGCGCGACGGCCGGACCTCGACGGTCTTGTTGCCGTTGACGATGGTCAGCGGCAGGTGCGAGAGCACGCGCTCGAGGTTGATCTTGAGCTCGTTGGACTGCCACAGGCCAAACTCGGGGTCGGTGTTGCGGTAGTGCCAGGTGATGTCGATTTCCTTTTCCTCGATGAACGAGCCGGGCGTGCGCTCTGTGTAGTGCTGGAAGAGTGGCAGGACCGTATCACGCCACTGCGGGTCGGTGTGCTGCACCAGGCTGTACCATCCGTTGGACACCTTGTGCTTCATGTGCGAGAGCGGCGCGCCGTGTGTGCTGTCGTCGTCGGAGCTCGACGACGTGTCTGCGTTTAGTGAGGGCGAGCCTTGCATGAGAACCTGCGCGGCCCTCGGGTGCTTGTAGAATAGGCCATGCTCGGCCACTAGACCAACGTCAATCCCGCGGAACCACTGGTCCATGTGCGTGCGCATCCGCCCCGACACGACATAAACCAGCGTGTTGGGCTGCTCCGAGAGCCGCCGCAGCGTGCTGAGCGCCAGTGGCGACGGCCGTGCAAACTCGGGGATAGTCTTGGTCGCGCTGAGCGTGCCGTCATAGTCCAGCACAAGCAGCCGCGCCCGGCCATCAGTCACCGACTGGCGAAACAGCGAGACGACGGGTGATGCCGTCAGTTGTGGCAGCTGGGCAAGCTCGTCAGCCTTCTGGCTGACGCGCGTGAGCTCGCCGATAAACGACATGCCCCAATACGCGGCCGTGAACTTGGTGACGTACTTGTACAGCGTGTTGAAGTTTGCCTCGCGCTGCTTGGGCGACATGGACAGCGCCTGGTTGATGGCGTCGGCGACCTCCTCGATGTTCCACGAGTTGATGATGATCGACCCGTTGAGCGACTGAGCGGCACCTGCAAACTCGGACAGGATCAGCACGCCGTGGCGCTTCTGCTGCGACGCCACGTACTCGTAGGATACCAGGTTCATGCCGTCGCGCGTCGACGTGATCAGGCACACGTCCGACACGGCGTACAACGACACAAGCTCGGTGAAATTGACTGACTTGTGCAAAAAGTGTATGGGCGTGTACTCAACGGTACCAAAGCGGCCGTTGATGCGGCCAACAAGCTCGTTGACGCTAGATATTAGCTGCTTGTACTCCTCGACATCGCCACGCGATGGCACGGCCACCTGCACCAGGACGGCGCGGCCGACGTACTCGGGGCATTGGCTGAGGAAATGCTCAAAGGCCAGCAGCTTTTGCGGCACGCCCTTAATGTAGTCCAGACGGTCGACGCCCACAATGACCTTCATGCCGTCAAACTTGCGCTCGAACTCGCCCAGCCTGCTCTGCACCTCTTTGGTTTCTAGCGCCTCAGCGAACTTTGTCGGATCAATGCCGATGGGAAACGTGCCCACGTGCACCAGCCGCTTGTCGGTCTCGACAAAATTGGGCGACGTCTGCAGCCCCAGGATGCGCGTGCAGCTGGACAGAAAGTGCCGCGCGTAGTCGTACGTGTGAAAGCCTAGCAGGTCGGCAGCAAGGACGCCCTCGAGGATCTGCCTGCGCACCGGCAAGATGCGGTACAGCTCGCTGCTGGGGAACGGCGTGTGCAGGAACCACCCGATCTTGACGCTCTTCAGCCCGCGCTCGTCCAGCAGCGCGCGCAGCATTTGCGGCAGCAGCATCAGGTGGTAGTCCTGGATCCACACCAGGTCGCCGTCCTTGACCACGTCCAGAAGCGCCGTGGCGAATGCCATGTTGGCGCGCTGATACGCGTCCCACGCCACCTCCTCAAACATCATCTCTCCTGGATGGTAGTGGAACAGCGGCCACAGAATGCTAGAAATTTAATTTCACGTGGTAAACTTTTAATTTTAGTTGTACAGCCAAGGCCTTATAAAAAGTGAATAAGAATTTCAAGCCAAGGGCATGTGCTCTGCTCATATGGCTGGCCCCCCTACACAAACACGTCACCCCTCTCATGCGAGAAACAGACAAATATCAAATTGACACACTTGACATGTTATTCACACGCTCCACATGTTCACCACTGCTTTGCTTACCTGTTGGCGAATCCGTTATAATAGTTCTCGGCTGTTTCGTCATCCAAATACACTGCGCTGCACGAGTTCTCCTTGAGTAAACTGTCGATCTTTACCCGATCCTCCACGCCGAAATCCTTGCCCGGCCACCCGACCCAAGTGAACGACATCTCGCGCTTCAGGCCACTGAGTGCCGAAACCAGCCCGCCGGAGCTCAGCTGGAACGACCACTCGTCTTCGCTCTGCGCCAGCGTCACTGGAAGCCTGTTTGATACTACAATAAGATGAGCCATGTCAAGGACTTGCTGCTCTTTGCTTGAAGAAGATGACATGATGAGAAAGTACAAGAAATATAATAATAACAAGAAATATAATAAAATGTTGCTGTTGTTGCTGACAGAATGAAAACAAAAAGAAGTGAAACCAAAAGATGGTGAACGAGAATCCTCCTTGTCTTTGAGCACAAGGATATATGCTGCTTCCACCGACATGACATCACCGTGAGCTTTTTTTTCCTTTTTTTGTGATGTCAGGTCAATCGTTTGCATGAAAAATTGGGCCAATTCGAGACCCGGGATTGGGGGGCCGAGGGGACAGCCGCAACATCTGCATTGGCGACGATGGTGGAATTAAAATTGAATTTTTGTACATGAGCCTCAGTAAAGCATCCCTATTCGTCCAAAAACAGCGAGAAAAAGAAAATATTGATGCCTGGTGACAAAAATCAGGAAAATCAGCCACGCTAACCCCTGCATTACGAAGACAACAAATAATGTTTCGCACGCCTGGAATTTTGGCTTCACCTTTATCAACAAATTTGGTTGATGTTTTACTTTAAACAAGCTTGGCGGTTATTTACCAAAAAAACAAATTAAATCATCGAGTTCAGACATAATCAAGTCCCGCTCTCAATCGACAGACGCAGCTTCTTCGTCGTGCGTGGGACACTCGGCGTTGGTGTGCTCCTCCCGGTGGGTGTTCCCTGTCTCCCAGAGGCATTGTGCTTAATGGTGCTTCCACCGACAGCCTTTCTCTTAACGCCTCCAGCACTTCCCCCTGTCCCGGTGGTATTCCGGGCCTGCTGAACCAATCCACTGTCATCCTCGTCCTCCGTGTCCGAGTCCAGCAACGACGCAGCAATCTTCGCCTCCTGCGCCTTTTTGAATGTAGCTGATGACTGTGAGAAAATCCTATCCGCGTCACCAAAATGGCCTGCACCACCATTGCCTCCTCTCCGTTGCTCGTGGTGACGACCAGAGGTCAAATACCCTTCAAATCCGTGTACAATGTTGCCTTCTTGGCCGCAGTTTTCGAAATACGATGTTTCAAAATCGTAAATCGAGGACTCAGTATCGATGAGTTGCCGGTCGAGCTGCTTCTTTTTCAGCAGTATTTGGTATAGCTCTTGCTCGGCCTCTTTGAGCATCTTTTTGGTTACTTTGCCTTCGCCTGTTTTGCTCTTGTTGAGTTTTGTTGCGCTCGCGGGGGCTGGCGTTGATGATTTGACTGATACAGGTTCCCCGCTTGCAAGTGTGTCGGCTGATGGTGCGCCCTTTTTGCTAGGGCTGGATTCTGATTTTGATGCTGCTGGTGCTGGTGCTGGTGCTGATGCTGGTGGTGCTGGTGCTGGTGCTGGTGATGCAGAAGCAGTTGGTTCTGCTTCTGGCTCCTGTGCTGACACTCCCATTGATAATTCTGTGAGCTAATAAAGTAATATTGATAAATACGGGTAAAATATGGAGTGGGTGTGTGTGCTGGAGCCATTTTGTGCGCTCCCGCACCGCGCCACAATTATTTATAGTTATGAGAAACACATACTACACCTAGCTTATGGCAATACATTTGAATCACGTGGATTAATATAAATAATTATTTAGCCATAAATTTGAACAAGTCATTATCATCCGCTCACTTTGCTCGCTGATTGCTCAGACAGTTAATCGAAAATGGGGCCAACCCTGTTAAAAATAAATGAGGCATTAGCACTACCAGAATATGAAATTTTTTGTGGGAAAAAGAATTGGCTACTGAGCTGCATCCTCAATTCTGCGCATATTTGCCCCAAATCGTCGTTTGGCACTGACCGAGTGAACCGAGTATGAATTCCCAATCCCTCGCTGAGGCAGTCGAAGGTGATGGGCATTTTTAGGCTTGCCGAGATATCTTTGTTCCAAAAGCGCTGTCTGATTTTGGGTATTGTTTCTTCCGCTGAGAGGGCTGCAACACCCAAATGGGAAGCCATTCCAGTTTCAGCTTTTGTCATGCTATCAAAAATGGGGTAGCAGCGCTTGCAACTGGGATTTGGGCATCCAAAAGAGTGTCAGCACTAATAGACTTTGTTTTGCGTGCGTGATCAGGCTGTAAGGAGGTGACAGAAGGAGAAAGGAAGAAATGATGCAGCTTCCCTGTTATTAAATGTAGTAAAAAGCTACTAAATGCGAGTGTGCACCTTGCGTGAGATGCGCAGCCGCAGCACAATCAGCATAAAGGTACTCATGGCAAACAAAAGCACAACAAGCAGATACACAGGAACAAAATTTGATCCATGGCCCAGCCTTTGCAACAGCACACGGGCATTAGGGGCCATGACCAGGACCATAGCCCCGACGGAGCCATACACCAGACCAGTAGTACTAGCTGCCCTCGCCCGACCAAACTGCGTCACGCCGGCAATAACTGCCAGTGGATCAGAGGCACCAATGGATGCGCCACAGAGGCATGCGTATACAATGAGGAGATGGAAGGAGAGATGGGGAAGGAAGAGTATGGTGTTGGAAAGTGTGGCTAAAAAAGTAAAGAGAACAAGGGCGTTAATGGGCCCAATGAGATCAGCGGCGTACCCGGCAAGAAATTGCCCAACGGCGGAGGCTCCATTTATTGCTCCCAGGATCATTGCCGCGTTGCTGACGTCCAGCCCAACGGACACGCTGATGGACGTCATGAAGAGGAGCATGATATACCAACCGGCCTGACCAAATCCCACACCCAGAGATAATAGCCAAAAACGCCAGCTGCGCATCACGCTTATCCTTGGTAGGCCGGACAGAGACAGCTGCTCTGACTGGTCCGGCTGAACGGTGTCGATTTTGGTCAGTACAGGCAGAGAATGTGGCCGGTCATTAATTGGATTTGGCTTACTAAGTTTGGTGAGCATCTTGTTCACAACACTCGGCCCCCGTCTACTTGCCCTTTGCCTGCGGCTTTGCCCTTCAAGCTTGTCTAGGGTGGCCCGGCGGGCAATTTCAGGTGCGAAATGCACTCGCTTGGGAGATCCAAGAGATGAAATGGGCTTTGCTTTGTGAACTCGATTTATTTCCTCATCGCCAGCCTTGCTTTCCATATCATTTGGTTGAGGGCTTGCCCTAGACTTTGCGTGGGCAAGTATGGATGACCGGCGGTAGTCAGTATAATTAATATCTTCGTCTGAATCATATCCGCTTTCAGGCATCACCATTACCTCATCTTCCAAGCACCTAGACCACCGAGTGCTGGACATGATAATCTCGTTGGTTCTTTGTGAATGCCTCTTGCTATGGATACCCAGGCTTGTCACAGTCACACCCACTAAAATAATTAATGCCAGCCATCTCAGCGACCCACTAGTCCCTGCCTTTTCGAGCAAGAACCTGGTTAACGGGGAAAACACTAGCCCGCCGATTCCCAACCCCATATGTGTAATGCCTGTAGCCAGCCCTCTGTTCTTTTCAAACCACGACGACGGTGCGGACGCTGCCGGAATCCATGTCAGGCAGACGCCTAGCCCGAATATTAAGCCCTGGGTTAAACACAATTGCCAAACATGTCTTGCATAACTGGCTGCGAAAAGCCCCAAGCTCATCAAAATTCCTCCGCCAAAAACCGAAGGACCGGGTCCAAATCTCTGTGCGCATTGGCCACCGATAAACCCCATGCCATTGGCAAGCAGTATTTGGATTATCCCAACGAATATGACGGGTGAGCCCAGCGCGCTACTCTGGTCAATTTCGTCCTTGTTGTCAAACAGTCGGCTATACTCTTCCTCATAGACGCCATATGCATTTAGTAAACCCGGGCCCAGTGCTAGTGCTGTGAACGAGCAGAAAACCACTACAGCACCCATGTTTTTTGGGTATGTCACCAGGCTTTGCCGTCGGAACCTCCGGGACGATGCTAACGACTCTGATGAGGCAAAAGCCATGTTTGATGATATAAGTAATTTAATGCAAGGAGTGTACTTGAAATAAAAACAGAATTTGTTAATTAAAAAGTTTAAAGCAAAATGGTTTTAACTAGAGTATGAATTTTTTATGTTCGATGTTATAAAGTAATATAAAAGCAATTTTTTTCCAAAAAAGGGTGTAAATGGAAAGAAAAATCAATGCAGAGCTAGTCGTAATAATCAGGTTTATTCTTCAAGGTGTGGCGATAGAGGAGACAAACACGTAACGCAGTAGAAAAAATATTTAATAATGCATGCAAAATAAAAATATCAAAACCAATGGGCGTAAAAATAAAAAACCAAAGAATATTAAAATAAAAAAATGAGCCGCCACAGTAACCGGTAAATAATAAAACAAAATTTTTGTTGGGGGTATTTATATTTTGCTAAATAATTGCTCTGCATACAGAAATAAAACAATAATGTTGTGCAATTTTGTTTTCAAATAGTTTACACCACATAGGAATGGAAACCAATTTAAAGACATGACATCACACCCTCACACATAATAAAAGTAAGAATGTTGTACAAATGTTTCCGCTATAGTTACTTTAAAAAGTGGCCTAGTGAAAATATTTTTAATACAAAAGAGGCTAACTTTGCAATGCATTGACAAAGAAAAATAATGATATTCTTTTTAAAGAAGTGTAATAATGTATAATTGTTTGTACAATATGTATTTGTTCCCAGTAACAAACAAAAAGACGAGTTTATCCCGTTCATTCAAAAAATGGAAATCAAAAAGCGCATGTGTTTTTTGTATACTTCGATGTGGCTGAAGCTTTCAAATAATTCACTTTTTAATATTGCGTAACCAATCAAATATCATATAAAAATAACAACAGGGCAAATGAAGGTGCATACATGTATACCAATTACGCCATGCATTAATTTTTAAAGATGCCCAATCAGCACTCTCGCAATATTGGAACAGCAGGTTGTATCGATCCAATGCCTTGTATTGCTTCAAACTCATTTTTCGCCTAAACATTAATCATAGTGCTTGACTGGTATCACTTGCTGGCGTCGGTTCAACAATGTTCCTGTCACCAGATTGTCAACTATAACCAAACTGTATGCATATTCAACTATAAACGGGCCCCTTTATCAAAAATAAATCACCAAGAACAAAACTACGGATGGGAATGCCCCGTGCCTGCTGATACGGCCACATCGCCACTAAGTGCACACACGTGTGATATACGAGTGGCAGCATTTGGCAAGTCGCATTGTTAAACAGAATTATGAAGTTTTTGGTCAAAAATCAAATAAACATTTAATAAAAAAGAATGAGGTAAAAAACAGACTAAGAAATTTAAAAATAAACGAGATGATAATGCAATCTATGCTTCCAATAATATATTAGCCGCGTATACTATTAGCGGGTCGCTGATTCCGCTAAACATGGCGTCAGGACCCCTAACAACTAAGGTCGGCGTCTCGAATACTGTCGGCAGATTCATGGGCGCTTTGTTTATGTCAAACGCTTGCACACGGAACCGAAATTTCCCTGCACAGTGCACCTTTAAAAATTTAAACTCGACCACCAGGCTGCCGTCAATGAACATTGGAGATTGTGTTGTGTCTCCGGTAAGTAGCCGCTCACCGCTGGCTGTCAAGTCGTAGTCCATCGACCCGTCTTCCGATGCCAGCCCAATGTGAACAACTATTCCGTGCGCGTGAGCATCATTTGTTTCCAGCAACCTAAGATTAAACAAAAAAGAATAGATTTCAAAGATGAACAAAAATATTAAACATGATACCCACATTAAAATTTTCAGACAATTATATATTTAGTGAGCAAGAACAAACAAAAGTACAACAACAGTGGATCAAACACGTGCGCAGTTAAATGATTTCTCTTTGCCAAACACACGCACACGCACACACTTGCGCATCATTTTGACAGATACTGAAAAAACAATAACAATCAGTTGTCAAAGGAAAAGGTAAAGATTACCACCAGAAATCTGTTCTATCACTTATACGAAAATCGAAGGACTTTTTTTGCCGCTACTCATCGTCGATTGCAATCATAATGGTGTTCATCCACACATGCGTATACAAAATATTTGTTTAAACTTACATCCCATGTGCGTCCATTCTCTCAAGCGTCAATTTTACTGTTCGGAGGAGCACGTTCGCCATTCCATATTGCGGCGACAGTATCGTACCGTGATATCTACATACCACCAATGGCCGGTCAATAAGTTGCATAGTGTAGAACAAATTCAAAGTAACGAAAGTGTGGTTTCAATACACGATAAAAATGTGAAAAAAAGAAAAAAAGAAAATTTCAAATTGCTCTGCAATCGGCAGTAAAAAAGGGGGCTAATATTTCTGCTAACAAACAAAAGAAAAATTCAAGGGAGTGTCTCGTCTTTTATGTGTTCGGCTGGCAACCCGCGAAAATAAAGAAAAATGGTATTCACAAAGCTGTCGAGGCTGGCTGTTATCGATAGAATGCCAATTTTTTTGACAAAAATAGTGTTAGGAGGAAGCCAACGTACTGGCCAGTAGTTTGAAAAAAGTGAGCGCCAATGAACCGAGAAACCAATAATGATCGATGAAACGATGCAAATAAAACATCATTCAGTGTGCTGGATGAATTTAAGGACAAAGCTTAAAAAAACTACAGCACTGCGCAGCGTCGTATTCTAAAGGGTTCACAAGTAAAAAAATGGCTTGTGGCTGTCAAATATAGAAAATAAAATGCGATTGTTTCAAAGAGGGCTAATTTCTTGTGGGAGCAATTTCAGAAATGACATACCACGATAATACGGACAAACAATGCGTGCACAATTTCAAAAGGGGAATCAAATGTGTTTTGACTCATTGCGGTTTCAATTAATCGATAGCACCACAATTAAAGAAGGATATAAAGCCAACAAGACTGAAAAAATGAAAAGGCAGTGGACACTTTTGACAAGCATCCAAGCTGCACGACAAATGACATTGTCATCAACGAAAGGACAATGGAAAGAAACTAGAGAATGAGAATACAGAAATGTTGACCAAAACAAGCATACTTCTATTTTTCCACACTAACATTGTCAATTTAAATAATATTTTTGTTGTTGTCGTATAATGTAGCCAGAAGAATGGTTCACATCGGCGTGTCAAACAAAAAAACAAAAAACAACGAGGCGAAGGAAATAACCGAACCCGCAAAAAGTAGAATTCTGATGACAACAAATGAACCCACCAACGATAAGAGTACTGAGGAAAAAAGTCAAAATATGAGCGGCCGAATATATTGTGCGCTCAATACACATTTGTTGACACTCACTCAAACAAAATAAATAATAATGTAAATGTAAATGCAGAGGCCGCTGTTGTGCTTACAGTGAATATGTGAAGGTAAAATATTCACATATATTGTGCTTACCGTTCATTGTATCTGTCTGGGTCGCTATTTGTGCTGTAAGAAGATGTTGTTGGCGAAGGAGGCATGGCTGACAGGCACAATGTATATATATTGTCCTGAATGCGTGTTTGTTTTCGCTTGGATTTGTGTGTGTGAAAGAGAAATAGAGAAATAAAAAGTGTGTATTCGGCGGTGCAATAAGAAAATGAGGAATATGGATTCTCAAGATAGGGGAGGGACGCCGAGACCGCGACAATCAATAAACCAAGAAACGAATTTAAATGCGAATGTAATAATGATGTGACAGTCTGCCAATTCTACAGCTTAAGAAAAGAGTATACGCAGCAGTGGCTGTCGTCTAATAACCAAAAAGGGAATAAAGAAAATGTATATGTATATGTAAGGTATGAGAGAGATAATAAGAACCAAGGTAAAAAATTGACGAATATTCCCGTATTATAAAAAAAATCCAACAAGAAATGAAATAGAACTGAAGACACCGCACCACAGGTTTATGAAATTAAAGCGAGAACAAAAAAGAAAGAAAACAATAAGGGATGTATTTACGAGCTTCGTGATCATCTGTTTATCAAGAAATATAGACAAAAAATCAACAACAAAAAAGCAAAACAACAAAAAACGGCGATCTATTGCCAGCAAGAGAAGTTCGAAATGAAAATTTCGAATGTGAGAGCAATATTTAATTTTCTTCTTCCCTTGCCCCCCTTCTCTTCTCTTTGACATCAAGAGCAAATCCTCGTTGAAAATGGTTTTCTAACAGACAAAATAGAGTGATAGACGCCGCCAAAGCAATAAAAAGAAGGTAGGACGCGTTGGGGGCAATAGGCGCCATAAAAGGAGAAAATGTATGCATCGTAGAAAGCTGCTGGAACCAGTACCACGGATCATCGTATGCAATGAAACTCGCTCGGGTCTCCCAGTACCCAGGTACTGTTGTGGATTTGGCCATCATAGCGATTAAAATAATAGGCAGTGTGCGAATGAGCCAAATATAAAAGCTTGAGCACAAGCTGATAAAAAAAGCAATGCAAATTTTGCTCTGCGTAACATCAGCCTCAGCGCCTGATTAGGAATTAAAAGAGCAAAAAAGGGCAAAAAAAGCTCGGCGGGAAAGACGAGTCAAACTGGCACATAAATTGTACAGCAATATATTTACTCTGAGGACCCAGTATTTTGGCAACAATAATATGACGGCCAGGTCGTGGCTGCTGATATTTTTTGCCTACTGCCAGTCTGCTAAACTTTATCATGGAGGACTGCCTCCTGGTGCCAAATACAAAAACCCGGCTCTGGTCTGCTATGTTGTGTTGTGTTGGTATCTGTCATACTCCGCTGCCCGCACGCACTTACCAAATGTTCCCCCGAGTAGCTCACAGTTGTCAATTGCTCCAGGTTGTGTCGTTGTGTAATAAATATAGAAGTCAAAAAATACTGCAAGATTGTGGCAAGAATAGAAAAATATAGAAAAAAATAATAAAAGAGGTAGAAATATTTTCACTACTCGCTTGAAGCACAATCAAGGCTGTTTCCTGTTTTATTTATTTATTTTTCTACTATTATTCCCATCATGTGGCATCATAATTCTCCAAACGTGCGTGGCTTGTTCAGCTCAAAATCACTTCTTTCGGCCACGGCAATCTGAACGGAAGATCACATCAGCTCCAACCCAATAGCACCAATAGATCTCCAATTGGAACAAGACTCAATTACTATAAAAGGTAAAAATGAAATTCATTAAAAGCGCCGACTCACTCTACAAGTCACTCTACAAGCATACCAAGAAACGTATTATCGTCTCTGTGACCATGTCTGTTCCCATGTCCACCCTCAGTACTAGCGGCAGTACTGCTCTCAGCCATGTAGAACTGCCGGACTGCTGGCACTTGTCTCATCTGCTTGTTCAAAGACGCAACAGATTCGGCGATTTGATCAATGACGGCCGTGTGGTCAACAATGGCCTTGATGCGCCGCGCCGACTGGGTAGGATCGACATCACCTGCGACCAGAGCATCGTAGTGTTCGTCAATGAGTTTGCGGCACTTGCGAATAATCACGAGGATATCTTTGGAGGTGTCGATGAAGGTCAAACCAACATTTTCTGCCAACTGTTTGTATGAATAAAGTTCGGACATGCTCATGGTCGGTTTTATCTGATCCAAGTTTGGGGGCAAGTGGGCGCCAATCCGAAACTCTCTGTCGAGTCGTTCACATCGATCGAAAAAGGCGTTTTTCGCTTGGACAAACGTTGGGAGCTCTTCAACAGCCAGTTTGGGTGCATCGCCTTCCTCGATGACGGTAGAAGCAGCCTCGTTGATTTTCTCGTTGATGTCCTCATTGACAACCACACCATCGTCCGCTGCAGCATCCGAATCATTATTCCAACCATCCTCATCCTCAACCTGAACTTCAACCTGAACCTCATTCGCGGCAGCATCCATACCATCACTCGAATCATCACCCGAATCATCGCCCAAATCATCCGCATCGTTTTGCAGATTGTGCAGCTGCTGGCCGACCAAGTACACCCGATCGCGCGCAAGACGTGACCACCGCTTATACACAATACACGCCTGCCACACAGCGCCCGCAGTCAAGGCGGCCAACAAACTTGCCATGCTACACCTGGAAAGCACCTTAACATCCTTCAGTAACACGACGCTCCAGAACGAGCCGGCCGTCAGAGTGCCGTGGAACCACATCTCAAATGCAGTTAACACAAATGGAAGCACAGAAAACCCCAGAGATAGCCCTGCGATTGGCATTGCGATTTCAACAATGCCGCGCCACACATGCCAGGTGTGCGGCGGTCCAGTAAAGAACCGGTCGACATTGCGCGTAACGCGCAGGCCAGGGAAGAACCGCAACACAGAAACAACTAGCCACATGTGCATCGCGCTGAACACCCAGTTGTGACCCATGGCCTGCAAAGGTGTGCGCACAAAGACGTACTGCGAGCCGCTGCGCTCGAGGTGAGTACGCGCAATGGCCACCAGATAGACCTCGACGACTAGACCGTACAGTGCCGGCAGTACACCAAAGAAAACAAAACCAGTGACAAGCATCTTCCACGCCGCCATCCACGACTGCCGCAGCTCGCGCCTCGCCTCGCGCACCCTCACTATCAAGCCGCCTTCAATGTTGAAATAAACCGACACGTAGCTGCCGGCCTGGTACACAGCTACACTCGAGACAAGCAGAACCAGTAACCCAATGGCCAGCGCGATCAGATCGTTGCGAGGCATATCTCCCATCAACACACAGATGCGCTTACCAACCACAATTGACGAGATGAGCGTCGTCACAACAAAGGATGCAATTGCGAGCCAGCCGAGCGCAACAAACGCACCTACCCGAGAGCGTAGGCCGGGCGGCACAAATATGACACTGTGCTGCTCGGGCTTGAACCGCAGGTCGCGGAAGCTACTCTCGGGGGCCGGCGGCGGCAGATCGCGCTCAAGAATCGGCAGCGCATGCTCGCTGCCCTCCTGGCCGCTGCGGCCAGTGCTGTTCTGGTCCGCATAGTCGGCCGCCTCGTAGTCAAACCTGTCTTCAACTGGTCTGCCATCATCGTCGACTGGCACCAGCATCTTGCGCCCAACAACCACAGACACCGTGTCCTTGGCCGGCGCGCGCACATTTTGGCCATCGAGCACGAACTCCACCCATGGATACTTGTCCGCCAGCGCAATATCGATCTTGTACTGGAGCCGTGCGTTAAACTCGCTGGTGGGCAGCGCGCCCGCAACACTGCCGATACGCGCCTTGTCGGACGCACTCTGGCTCAGCTGGTCAAAGGCCTCGGTGATAATGTGAGTGGGCATCCACAGGCGCGACAGCAGCACGGGCATCCAGGGTGCCTTGCAGACGACCCATCTCCCCTCGTCCAGCACGTCGCGCCGACCGATGATAAACTCCGACAGGCGCGTCTCTCTGGCGACAAACCTCCACCAGCGTTCAAACAAGACCCGGACAACGTCATACGGGCGGCCCCATCTGACAACAACGGCTAAAGCCAGGACTGCAAACAGCGCGTTGGTCGGGTAGTCGCTCAACTTGGCAGTCGTGTCCCATTGGATCGGAAACAGATTTGGCGCGAGGGTCACTGCGGCCATTGATGGGACGCCGAAGCACACAAGCAGAATCGAGCAGTACATCAGTGCGCTGCGCACGATCTTGTTCTGTTGCGAGATTGTGCCGTCCTCGAGCGCCTCGCGCATCGGGTGGAACTCTGGGTCATTTGGGTCGCGGATGAACCACAGAAGGCCCGGGCGCATAACCTGTCGGCAATATAGAACGAAGCGCGCAAAGTGGATCATAAAGAACACGCCTACCATCCAGAACAGTGCACGCGCTGACAGCGTGTGGTTCATAATGGCCGAGTAGTGCGACGACCGGATGGACTCGGGCAGCAACGGCGTTATCGAGATGTCCAGACAGTACCCGCAGATCATCGGGAACAAAACAATCTCGATGAAAATGAAGCTGATAATCTTGGACATGATCAACAGCATCCGCGCGCCCTGGTAGGCAGCCGCCCGGCGCAAGCGCGGGGGCGTGTACTTGACGGTCAGCCAAGCCATGTAGATGCTCACTAGGTTGCCAATGCCAATCAGCACGATTCTATCGCCAAGCGTGAGCGCGGTCTTTACAGACTGCAGGTACAGCGCCAGCTTGTCGATCGGAATTCCCCAGTGTATAAACTTTGACCAGAGTTCGCTCTCCCATGGCTGGAGGCGCAGTGTTTTGGGCAAATTCTCCGCCAGAGCGGCCGGCGTTGTAACGCCCGTCACACTAGCTGCGGCTGCGGACACAGTCGCGCTAATCACCGCGCTGGCGACCATGTGCGTTGGCGTATGGTCGGCGCCTGACTCTGCGGCAATCCACGGGAACAACACTTGGATGACCCACGGCTGGCGCAGGCGCTCGATGACCAGCGCTTGCATCTCAGGCGAAGTGAGCTTGTCCCACATGCTGCTGTTGCCAGCCAGCAGTGTCACCTTCACGGCGGGAGCTGCCAATGCAACCAGGTTCGCCACGAACGGGCCAACGAGGTTGGCGGCAACAACAAAGATCGGCCGCACCATCACCCACACGAGCGGCATTATCTTATCCAACAACAGCTCCCCCACAGTGTCAACAACGGTCGAAAACACATAGACCAGATACAGTAGCTTTTGGAGCGGGTCAATTGTGAGGAATATGCGCCCAAGAATTATCGGCAGCCAAACGCAGATTGTCAGCACCAGGACGATAACCATGAGGAGGAGCATAAAGTACTGCACCGCATTGATGATGGGACCGCGTAGGCCCATCGCCTCAAGCACGCCGTCAGCGGCCTCAAAGTCTCCAAAGTTCTCGTCAAAATCGGCCTCCACTGCACCCTGTGCGGCGGGAGGAGCCTGGCCTGCAACCGCAGCAGGTTCGACAAAGCCGCCATTGTTTGGACCACCCGCCCCCTGCGCCTGTTGCAAGGGTACTTCTTGCTGCTGCTGATGCTGCTGTTGTTCTTGTTGTTGCTGCCGCCGAGCATCGCCATGTTCAATATGGTCAGGCTCACCGAGCTCTATGGGAATCGGCATCTGTGGAAGATTGGGTTGCTGTGGGGGCTGTATGAGCTCCTGCTCGCGCACTGCAATGTGCTGATCTGCGCCCTGTATTAAGTCCTGGCCACCAATGACTTGCGCAGTGTTATGCAAAGCCAGAAGCTCCGCTTGTGCCAAGACACCGTGTGACGATTCGGGTGCAGATATCGGTGATGGTGCAGCTTCAAGGGCAGCAACGTGTTCGGGTGTAGAGTGATCTCCGGCAACAAAGGACCACAATGACGCGCCCTCGTCAGAAACTGCGGACTGGATATGGTTTTCGCCAGAGGACTGACTGCCATGAACGTTGTCGCCGATGTCTGTGTCGTTTGTTTGTTCATTAATTTCGCGGTTGCTCCCATCAGTACCAGTTACCGACCCTGCCAAACTGACATGCTCCAAATACAAGTCCAAATCCGAATCCAATTCTGAATCCACATAATAGTCGACTATCAGGGGCCGTGCGACTCTGGGCTCGGCACGCGTGTAAGTGCCCAAACTGTGACTTGACGCACTGTCTTCCGAGGCTGAAGGTGCGACTGCAAGAGCGTCGCCAAGTCCTTGATCATGGGTCGCCTCTAGAGCCAATTCATCTGACACAGCCTCTGAACCCAAAGGCACTTGTTCTGCAACACTAGCGTGCTCTTCAGTCTCCAAGCCGTCGGCCACAACCCACGAGTCGTTGTTTTGTTGCTCTCCAGTGTGGCTGGAAAATGTGTGCTGACGCGCAGACATCCGCCGCCGAATCTGACGCACGGGGCGCTCGCCGGGCGGAATATCGTCGAATGCGAGCAGATCAAATGCCGGCTGCTCAAACTGCGGGCGGTACTGTGGGTTCTCGGCAACAATGGGCTGCGCCTGGAGTTGCAAGTGGGCTGGCGCAATTTCCGGCTCCGCCCGCGGCTGAGCTATAGCCTGCACAACAGCCAAAAGTGGCTGCTCGTGGGTGATAGCCTCTTCGTCGTCCTCTTCGCCTTCGTCATCATCTGAAGCATCATTTGAAGCATCATCTGAATCATCATTGTCTTCGCCACCTTGTTGATTCTGCGCCTGCTGCTGTTCCTCAAATTCCTCGATAAATTCATCTTCTAGCGGCGCGTTGGTCGCAATCCAGTCGCGCAAAACAAAGAGAACAAAGAAAACAATCACCGACATTAAGGTTACCAAGCTGCCCTCAAATGTCTTGGCCACGAGCTCGACAGCAACCTCGACAGCATCGTTAATCTGCGCCTCCGAGATGGCAATTCCTGTCATGCTACCAACCAGCCGTGTGCACGAGCGCAGCAGCACCTGTGTGGCCGAATACATTATTATGGCCACCTGGTTGGCGTCGTTCATAATGCCCGTGCGAGAGGTGATCGGTGCTGTGGTCGCGTTGTTTATCGAGGCCAAGTACCACTCGTTCCACGTATTAAATCCTTTAAAGCGCATGCTTGCCGCCGCCACAACCGCTGCCGTCGAGTTATCACTGACAGCTGCTGTAAAGTTGTCGAGAAATACATCGCTCGAGCTCATGCTATAAGCGACAGCCTTTGCAGCCCAGATAAAAACGCGCACTATCCAGTAGACCAAGTACGGCAGCACGAACGTCCACATGCCCAGCACCACGGCAGACCGAATGATTCCGAGCGTTATTATAGTCACGTTGGCCAGCATCTGCTTAACTATTATACCCTTTGGAATGCTCTCGGGCATATTTGGATCGTACAGGGGCGAAAACGCATATTCGTGTCCGCAAAGCTCACAGTATCTTTTGTTGCTATGCGCCAGCCACTCCTCTAGGCACACTTGGTGTACGTACTTGATGCTCCCAGAGCACCGGCACGGGTAAAACAGAGGCTCTTCGGGCATGGCCTCACCACGGCAAACGCGGCAAATAGCAACTACAAGTGAAAGTTTGTATAATAAAAATGCTTTTTGTTAGCTGCAGTCAGTCTTGGTTATCAGTACTGTATTAAATTGAACGGAACTCAGCGGGCTTTCTCAATTATAGTAATTGCTCTACCTTCTTCTGTTCCCTGGGCCATTGTTTGAGACAGTCGACGAAAAAGTGCCTAGGCTAGCGAAATTGTCTGTGTGCAAATGAACTGAGAAGAAAATGTAGGTTTATGACAATGCAAAAAGTGCCGATTGAGAGTTATTTTTTTTTGTCGAATTGATAAGTATAGGAAAAAAGAAACCAAACTGTAATAGAAAAAGAAACAGAAAAACAAAGCTTATAAGCCCTTTTTCCTTTGGCTTTTTTTTTCCGGATGTATCATGGATTTTCAAACACTGCGATTTTAAGCGGTGCTTCAGCCACCCAATCACATTTAATTTTTCTTTTAGTGCAAGACAGGATATGTGTGGAATGCATAAAAGCCAACTGTCAATTTAGATTAAATTATAAAGAATAAAGTTTGGTTAAATATATTGCAAAAAAAATCATTTAATAAATCACATCCGCAAGCATCTTGACCTCGTCGAGCTGGCAGAACACTTTGAAATTTGCGTCCATGTAGTTCAAATACAGGTCCACGCCCCCATCCTGCTTGTTCGGCAGCAACCGAGAAATGCCCTGCTTTTGAAAGTAATCCAGCCCAAGGAATACTGGCTGGCCAAATCCAAAATCAACCGAATCAAACGGCATGTACCGCAGGTTTGTCATACCAATATACGACGTCATTGGTGTATTGCACAACGCAAGTCCAATCTGGTACAGCAAACTCAGTTCGTTCTCGATAACCAACATGGCTGCCTTTGTGTGCCCGATTTCGGTCTTTGAGCAGTGTTCTTTGATGGCCCGGGCCAAGTCTCTGTACGAAGAAGTGAGAACCATTTGCGACGGCAGTGGTGCTATGGCTGTAGATGACACGTTGCCGGAGAAGTTTCTGGGGATGGCAGAGCGGGTGCGTCCGTCATAGGCCATCATTACATACGATGTCTTTGGTTCAGTGCCGAATACATTGATGTTGGCCAGTAGAATATTCCTTGCCAAAAATGCCGCCAGCACTGTGTTGACAGTCTGGTCCTTGTCAATGTGCTGGCGCATGCGCTCCAAGTTGGCCGGGCTGAAGTGAAGCACGTGCTGGTCTTGAATGAGTGGCATGTCGGGCGATGACAGCAGCACCGGGGCAATGTTGGTCGGAAACGGCATCTGCATTGGCGGCAAGATTTCCTTGAAGTGCTTGATGAAAGGGAGCTCGAGTGGCTCGACCTTGTCCAGGCAGTTTGTCATCACTTGGCGATTATTAATGGGCGGCTCTGCCAGCTGGTAAGTGCCGTTTCTGATAGCATTGAGGTTGCGCATGTACTCGGCCCAGTGGTTCATAAACGCATATAGACCAATGCCATCGTAGAGCATGTGTGAGCTGGCGAATGATATGCCGACATAAGGACTGTTTTTGAACCGCAGAACCCTGACAATTGCCGCCGAATGATCGCTCTTGTAGGTCACTTGAGGAAGGCAGTCTACGCCGCTGTCGCGATGGAACTTGCGAGTATTGAAAAACAAAAGGTTTGGCTTGTCCTCGGAACCACTCGGGCGAGTTTCAAGGAACAGCTCGATGGGATGGTCGATGAACACCTCGGCAATATCCGGCAAGCAGAGGTTTGACGGGTCAACAGCCATGACACCCTTACCAGCACTGTTGACTGTGGGGCGTCCAACGATGACCGGGTAGTGGTCGGCAACAAGCATGCAAAAGCTTTGCGCAAGAGCGCCAAATGGCATAAAACTTGCATCTTTTTGCTCGTTCTTGTAAAAGTAAATGTCGCCTACTATTATACCGTACACTGCGAGATCAAAAGTACTCAGCTCAATCTCCTGGGCCTTGATGTTGGCCAAAGGCACAAAATAGTTGTCGATAGTCATTTTAAATATAAAGGGTAAATGGTAAATATCCAAGGCAAATAGCGTATTCAAAAAATAATCATCTAAAGGAAAAGCGGATAAAGGAAACAATTGGTAATGTTATTTCTTGTTACAAAAAAAAGTTGGCCTTTCATGGGGACCGGTCATTTTATAAAATAACAATATAAAAATTATGAATATCCAAATATACTGCTCAATGCCCTTTGTGCTGGCATTTGAGTCGTGGGGCTGAAAAAAGCATTGGACTGTCAATAGACATTATTTTGAATTAAATATTTGTTTAGCCATTGACTGGCAAACACTTTGAAGATGACAATGATTTTTAAACTTAAAAATTCCGCGCACCCACGTTGACCCCTAAAATCGACACAGTCGTAATTTTCATTGTTTATAAATTCAATTTGGTTTACTACTTAAACGCCATTTTTAGGGCCAGCAGCCGCCAGCAGTAATAAAAACATGCTTGGATATAAAACCCAGAGATTTTAAAAGTCAGGGTGTTTAAAGTTTCCAAAACTCGCAACCCTGAAACGCTTTCGATTCCTTAATAAAGTGCATGGCAGGTGGTTTATCAGGGGGAGGAATCAATAAAATTGTGCCGACGATTTCATTGATAGCGCTCTGTTCTAAAACTGCATATAAAAATATATTTGTAAAGATTCTGGGAAAAAAGCAATATCTGTTCAATTTTTGTGTCGAATTGTCGACTTGGCTAAACATGGTCAACATTTTACTCTGCTGGTACGCAACATTATAAAAAAACTTGCCGAGTGTAACGTTTGGCATGAATTTTCTCAAATTTAAATATCGGTTAAGCTTGGCTTTTAAATTATTTTTATATTCGTTGTGTTAATTACAGTAGCTAATTTGCAAGCTAATTCACATGTGCCAAAATATTTAAAGACATCATTACGAGCTGGATGGCTGCGCTATCCCTCAAATTAACAATTATATTTTTGGACCCTTTTTTATTTTTCTTTCATCGTCACTTCCCCACCCCCCAATCCTGTTGCATATTTTGACGCAATTCCTACCCCACGCAATATTTCTTGTGTCTGGCGACACAAAATGTTTTGGCGCTTTGACAGTGCTGAATAATACATTTCTCAGTTTCACCAATTCCAATTTTATTTTTTAATTCATACTCTTACACATTCAAAACCCTTTATTTTTTTTTATACATCTCTGCATGGAACATTCAAGCGACGCTAATCCTGTCGTGGCGATAGAAGAGCAAGCAGACGGTAACTATGCACAGGCTTTACAATCAAAAACAAATGCATATTGCAAGCGCATTTTAAAAAAGGATTCTAAAATTGAAAAATCACATTAAAGAGCTGTTATAGTTGCCCTTGGCAAGGCAGTCAGATACCTCGACGCGCTGGATATCTTCTCCAAGGGCGACCTCGAGCGCGTGCGCAAGATTATCCCCGGATGGATGCGCGAGTACCAAAAGGCCGAAGGCAGCGCAGACGACAGTTCCAGCATCAACACAGGCGCCGGCGGCAACTACGACCCGCTCATCGCAGCCTGCACGCCGCTGCACTTGGCCGTTCAGTGTCCACGCAAGGATGTTATCCAGACTATTTTGGATTTTGACAGCCCACGGGTGCCCGTGGACGCCGGTGATCAGAACGGTATGACAGCGCTGCACTTGGCAGCCAAGGCGGCGCGGCGGGACGTTGTGCGCATGTTGCTGCGGCACGGCGCCGACGACATGCTGCTGGACGCGCAGGGAAATGATGCCTTGGCGTACGCCACAGAGCCTGATGTCGCTGCGGCCATCCAGGACCATCGCTTGGAGGAAATCCAGGCCGCCACTACCCGGCTTTTCACACTGGTTCGATCGGGCGACCACGCCGGCGTGCAGGCGATGCTTGATGATGCGGCGCAGATGGCGCGCGTCAACCTGGCTGCCCGTGACTCCAAGGAAAACGGCACTCTGCTGCACTTGGCGGTGCAGCATGGCGAGGCTGAGCTGGCACGGTGGGCGGTGACCCAGGGCGTCGACGTCTTTGCGCGCGACTCGCAGGGCCACATGGCCGAGCACTACGCCGGAGACCATGCGATGCGCGATCTGCTGAGCCAGGCGCCCATGGGCAGCACGCGCGCGGCTCCTTCCGGATCCGCGCCCCACCTCAGCGGCGTGCTGTACAAGTGGACAAATTACGTGGGCGGTTGGAAGTCCCGCTGGTTTGCGCTTTCTGGCGGCGTGCTGTCGTACTACAAGAGCGAGGCCGATGCTGCTGACTCTTGCCGCGGATCCATCAACCTGCGCATTGCCAAGATCATGCTGTCCAAGGACAAGTCGCAGTTCGAGGTGCACGGCAAGGGGAGCAACAAGTATCGCCTCAAGGCAGAGAGCCCGGCTATTGCCAAGCAATGGGTGCACCTGCTAAATGTGTCCAAGCAGTGGGCGCTTGAGAACACCAAGAAGGGCAAAGACGATGAGGATGAGGTCGTTTCTTCGGGCGGCATGCTCAAGCCGCCTGCTAACTTTGACAGTGCGTCGAAGGGCAAGCATCACGTGCGCGGAGCCAGCACATCATCGCGCACGTCGGGCATCGGCAGCAGCAGTGCGACTGGCGGCAGCCGTCCGAATGTGGTGCCTGGCTCGCCACTGGTCAGCACAGCCAGCCGTCAGTCAACTGACGAGACGGTAGCATCGCCAGCGGCCAGCATTCTGAGCAACGAGAGCGACGATGAGCTGTACATTCTTCGCGAAAACTATCTCGCGCAAATTTCTGATCTCCGCTCGCAGCTGTTTATTCAAGACCGCCTGCTCACGGGACTCGACAAAATGCCACCTCGCGACGAGGCAAGCCGGTCCTCACCCGAAGAAATGGCAAAGTACCTGGACATTGCGACGCAGACCATTGCCCAGTCGCGCTCTATTGTTGATAGTCTAGAGAAGGGGTACCGCGACACGTCAGCTGTGTGGCAGGTGCGTCTGCGCAAGGAGCAGGAGCGCATCGATATGCTGGCAGACAGCCTGCGCACAGCCGTTGTAAGCTCGCAAAACCTGCTCGAGTCTGTCAGATCAAAGAGCAAGGAGATTCCGACACAAAATGCTGCGGCGGTGGCGGCAGCGGCAGTCGCCGCTTCGGGGGGCGTGGGCATCAGCCTGAATGGCGCCGAGATTCCGCCGCAGGACGACAGTGCTGACGAGGATGATGATGACAGCGATTTGGATTTCGCGGATGCCACGGACGAGTTCTTTGATACGGCCGCTAGCATCGTGTCCACGAACGCTGGTCTGCGCGGCAGCGCTAGCAGAACCAGTTTTTCGGCTGTGCGGTCGAACAGGTTGTCCCCAAGTAACAGTGGAAGCAGCAGCGAAGTGGCGAGTATTGTCAACCAGGAGGCCGCTTCTGGTGCTGCTGCTGCTGCTGTTGGTGGTGCTGCCAGTGCTGAGGTTGTTGCTGCAGGAAGCACAGGGGAAGCAGAGGCTGCTCCTCAGGGCGAGCACGATGAGCACGAAGGCCAGGAAGACCAAGATGCTTTGGACTTTACGGCGCTCAGCGGGTATTCGGTCCCAGTCAAAATCCGCACGAGCCTTCCCGAGATTACAAAGGGTGGGCCGTCGCTCAACCTGTGGTCTGTTATCAGCGGCGCAATCGGCAAGGATCTGTCCAAGATCTCAGTACCGGTCTTTTTCAACGAGCCGTCTTCTTTTTTGCAGCGCTTCACCGAGGACATGGAATACTGCGACTTGCTGGAGATCGCTACGCTGATGCCTCGCAGCGAGGATCGCACGCTTCTGGTCGCCGGGTTTGCCATGAGCAACTATGCATCCACCTTTGGCCGCGTTGCCAAGCCCTTTAACCCGCTGCTCGGCGAGACATTCGAGTATGTGCGGCGCGACAAGAAGTACCGCGCGCTGTCGGAGCAGGTCAAGCATCACCCACCAATCTCGGCGTGCTGGGTTGAGGGTAAGAACTACGTATACCATGCGGACACCAACATTAAGTCCAAGTTCAACGGCGGCTCGCTCACGGTCGTACCGACAGGTGTCTGCCATGTGGAGCTTAAACTACCCTTGGAGTTTCTTAATTCGGACGAGGAGAAAGCGGCTGGAAAGCCGAAGCAGGCGGCCAAGATTAACGAAAAGGAGGGCTACTTTACAGAGCACTATACGTGGAACAAGCTGACAACAAACGTCAACGGCATCATGATTGCGAACTTTTGGATCGAGCATGTCGGCGACCTGGATGTCAAAAACCACCGCACGGGTGACTACACCAAGATCACATTCATGCAGTCCAACTGGATGGGCAAGAACAAGTTCCGCGTCACTGGTGAGGCCCTCGACCGCAGCGGCCGCGCAGTCTACGATATTGCTGGCGACTGGACCTCAAAGCTGGTTGCCAAGCCGGTAGGCTCATCGCAATTGAAAAATGCTGAGTCCGAGGCCGAGGATCTGGCGCCGCCTGCCGCGATGGATGAGGCCAGCAATGCCAACGACGCAGTCAAGTACGCCGCGACCAACTCTCTGCACGCCCCGCGCAACAAGCCGTTTGTCCTGTGGAAGGCCAACCCGCGCCAAACGGAATGCAACACGTACCACCTGACGACCTACGCCATGTCGCTCAACGACTGCCCGGATGAGCTGGAGCCCTACCTGTGCCCCACGGACTCGCGCTTCCGCCCCGACCAGAGGGCCATGGAAACTGGCGAGTACGAGATTGCGGACAAGGAAAAGTCCCGCTTGGAGAACAAGCAGAGAGGCACGAGGCGCAGGCGTGAGCAGGGCGAGCTGCCCGAGTGGAAGCCGCGCTGGTTTGTCGAGGCATTTGACGAGGATTCGGGTGAGTCCTACTGGAGGTTTACTGACGAGTACTGGACCGAAAGACAGGCCGCTGCCAAGCGCTTGTCTGCAGGAGAGCAGAGCAGCAAGGACAAGTCGACGTGGACCAACGTCGAAGATATTTTCTAACTTTTTTCTTTATTTTCTCTTCTTTCCTCTCTATTTCCATTTCATTTCATATCACCTTTTTATGTTTCGAAAAGAAGGAAAAAGAAAAAACATATTGACAATGTTTCACATTGAGCATTTGTAGGCTATAAAGTGGTGGTTCAGGGCCTTCAGCGAGTGCATCGAGTAGTAGCTGATGCCGCCAGACTTGGACTCTTCGAGGAAGAATAGGCGGCCGATTCGCGAGTGGACCAGGGCCATACAGCACATGACGCAGGGTTCCTTCGTCGAGAACACGTCCATGCCTTCGCACAAATACCCCATTGCCTGCGGCGACTTCTCCCGCTCCTCGGCGTCCTGCGGCAACGGAGACGCCGGGCGTTTTAGCGGAACCAGCACGCCTGCCCTTCTCCTCTCGACCTCCATATCGGCGACCAGCGCAATACAACACATAGCAGCGTGTTTCAACGGATGTCCGCCCGCAGTACCGTCCCTAGCCCTCGCTATAACCTCGCTGTGCTTCGCCATAACAACCATTTTTTCATCCTTGATTTCCTCCAAGCACTTTACAATAAACCTGCGGTCCTCGTCCTCCAGCTCGATCCTCAGTTTCGTCAGGGGGCGAAATGACACAGGCCAGATTAGTTTCCACTCATCAAACTGCTCCTTCGTATACGGAGGCTTAACCGGCACGGGACTCCGCGCAATCTCCAGAGACACATTGTGGTGTTGTAATATCTCTTGTAACCGGTGTTCTGTTATTTTGCTGCATTGACAGAGAATCACTAGGAGCTTTGTGGGTGGGTGTTTTTTTACTCGCTTGACGTGCTCGATTCCTTCGAGTTTTGGCAGGTGTTTGGCGGCAAAGTGCAGGATTTCGGAGGTTTGCTTGGCGGTTATTTCGGCTGTAAAGACGTCTTCGGTCGTGAGCTTTTGGAGCTCTTCTTCGATTGGAACGCGTTCGATCGTGCACATTGTTTTTTTGTACTGTATGTTGTTGTTTTCTTCTATAGATGTTTGTGTGTTTTGAGTTTTGAGTTTTTTTGTTTTAGTTAAAAAGAAGAAAGAAAACAAGAAAGATCAAATGCTTAAACATCAAAAAAAATTATTTGATCGGCACAGCCCACAGTGCCAAAAACAAAAGAAAATTGATCGTTTGCGGGTACCAATCACGTGAATATATTCAATATCAATTTGACATATTAAATTTTTTATAATGCACAAAAAAAACAGCTACACAGAAGCCAGATCTTGCTCCATTGCAACATCATCTATGTCTCTCTCCCTCTCACCATTTTTGCAAGCTCTCTTGACTACAGGGGTTTTCTGCAATCCCATGGATAATGCAAATGCCAGCATGAGCAGCGGGACAAGAACCCACAAAGCCAACCGCATAGAACCCACATACGCACGAGCAACAACCACCCTAACAGACCTATCAACACCATCGCGATAAATCACGCTGACGTTCCTCCGAGCCTCTGAAATCAACTCAATAACGTCCAGGGACTGGCCCAAGGAATTTACAGTCAAAATGTGGGACAATTGGTTGCGATACACTGCGCCGAAAACAGCAACACCAATGACACCGCCGATGCTGAGGAAGAATTCGCACAGAGGGGTGATGACCGCAACGAGCTGTGGATCAGTGGATGCTTGGGCGGCAATGATGTTGGCGACAATAACGTTGCCCATTCCGATTCCAGGAATAACAAGAAGAGTGGATTGAACCCCCATGGTTGTGCGGCCACTGAGAAGGGCCAGGACCAGGATGCCGAGGGCCATTGTGGCAGGGCCAAGGCGCAGAAATAAGCGGTACCGGGACATGGCTGACATAAAGTAACCGCTGATAAACGAAGAAATGCTTAGGGACATGCCGAAGGGAAGGACAAGGAGCCCAGCGCGCATGGCGTTGGCACCAAAGACTGCAGAAAAGTACAGGGGCATGTAGAAAATGATCGAAAACATGGCCATGCCACAGAGAAATGTTACGAGAAAGGTAATGACGAGGTTGCGCACGGTGAAGATCCACATGGGTACCAGGGGTATGCGCGGCAGGCGAAGTTCGACGCCGACGAAGACGCACAGGAGGAGGCAGCCGGAGATTAGGCAGCCGAGGGTCACCGGGGATCCCCATGACTGGATAGTGCCGCCGAGATTCAGCCCGACAATCAGGAGGGAGATACTGGTGACAATGGTGCCTGTGCCGGCATAGTCCAAGGTCCGAATACCCTCCTTCCACTGGATCTGGGACTTTGGCAGCTTCAGGACCACTGCCAGGTATACCACTGTGATTGCGCCCATGATCATGTCGGCGAAGAACGCCGCGCGCCAATTAAACCTGTCTGCCAGTAATCCGCCCACCAAGGGTCCAGCGGCATTAGATGCGCCAAAGCAGATTTGCAAAAACCCCAAGTATCTGCCACGCCTCTCAATAGGCACGATATCCGAAATAATAATAATAGACAGATTGAGCATTCCGCCGCAGGCGATTCCAGAAATTCCGCGAGCAACAATAAACACCACAATGCTTTGCGACGACGCAGCGAGTACCGCCCCAGTGATAAACGCCAAAAGCGAAAACATTAGGACGGTGAATCTACCAAATATATCGGCCACGCGGCCGCTGACCACGTTGAGACATGTTGAGCATAGCATGAATATGGTTGGCACCCATTCGATGCGATTGAGGGCGCGGAAGTCGTTGGCTATTCTGGTTAATATTGTCGATGTGATGGTTTGGTCCAGGCCAGATAAGAATATTGTGAAAAATAACCCCACAAATGAAAACACCACGCGAGTCCAAGATACTGCCCCCGCCTTCTCATCACCACCACTGCATCCGCTGACTATTTGGTAATCTAATATACCTTTGTCTGAGGCTTGATCGTCTTCAGAGTAGTGACGTTGTTCGCGTTTGGACTTGTGTACTAACGATTCGATGCTGCTGTGTGAGGTTAAAATGCTGCGTGTGTGTTCTGAGGGCGTGGTGGTGCTGGCGCTAGCGCTAGAGAGTGGACTGGTAGGGATGGAGCCAGATGTGTCCCAGGAATCTCGCGATGTTGATGTTGATACTGTGAGAGTTTCCCTGTAGTGCTGTTGGCCTCTGAGCGTACTGTCCGAGTGTGAAGTCCTGTCCATTGTCTAAATGAAAATAAGGGGCACCTAAAGAAAATTTTAATATAAAGTGGAACAAAATAATGAAAAAATAAAGAGAAAGCGTTAAATACAAAATAATATTTTTGTTGTTGTTCAAGAATAACTGTCTTGTAAAAAAAATATATATATGTAAGCTTGGCAAGAAATGAGATAGAAGAGGAGAATAAAATGAGTAACTTGACAAGCATGCTATTAAATTAATCCTAGATATCGCATTGTCATGAGCAAAAAAAACAAAAAAAACATGACAATGCAATTTCTTTCATAATGAACAGAATATAAAAATATAACCCCTTGCCATGAAACAATGGTCCACACAAACAAGAAATGATGGCTTAAAGATACAAAAAAATTGATGACAAGACTCGAGTGAGCACACGTAACATAAACCTGCTTTATTCACCCACTTGTCCACCCTATCCCCCAATTATGCAAGAAATAAAAAATAAAAAATCAACCCCACGCGTATTTTGTTGTAGAATTTTTGGTTTGAAAATATCAGAAGAAAAAAATAGAAATAAAAAAGTGAACATTTTTCTGATCGCACGCGTGGGGAAAAATGTTTTTTGAGAATGCCAAAGAAACATACAATAATGGATTATTTTTATACTATATCTGAAACACAAGATGGTTGAATTTTTGATTATGTTGGTTACAGATAAGCATGCGAGTTATATACCTCAAACAAATATATTTTTTCTCTATATTTTTTCTGTATATGTGTTGCTGATGACCCTGGATTAAAAAGAGACTGAACGAGCGAGCGAAAGATCTGTATATTTTTTTGGTGTAAAATCGCTTGTTCAAGAACTTTCTCCTTATTTATGTATATTCAAGAATAAAATAAAGCAATATTTTGGGGGTAAAAAATATGTAAAATAACGGAGAAAATTAGTGTATAGTATTGTACAACGTGAAAAAATATTGTGAATTGCAAGATGAGAAATCTTGGTTATTTTTCCTTGTTTTTTTCAACAAATGAAGAGAAAATATAAATACCGTTATCATTATTGACGCCACCAATGCATGATACGATTGAGGTAATCCTTTTTTTGTGGAGACAAGTAAAAAATAAATAATTTCCAGACTTTTTCTTGCATATATTTAGAAATAAAACAATATATGATAGTGCGGCTAAAACAAATATGCGAGGTTGCGTTTACAAATAAAAAGTATAAAAAAAGGCTGTGGAGAGTATTTTCAACCAAACGCCAGACATGAGGTTTTTTTTTAAATTACTGCTTTTATTTTTAAAAGTGAATTATTCATGGAATGTCTTTTGATGTTTTATTTTATATATCCAGCACACAACTAAGAAAAATAAAACATTGTATGCAATGTACGCCATTGCCAATCAAATAGAAGGGAAATGGAAGGAATAATTCAATATAATGTATGAACCTATTTTCAATGACCGTGGTAGTTGAAAAAGTGAATATGCTTCGTATTATTTAACTCCTAAAGTTACATTATTTTATTCGACCAATATTTACCAGTTTTAAATATTGCATATGGTGGTTATATACTGTAAAAAACATGCTTGAGGCAAGGGGGCAGCACCAAATGCATGCAATAGCGACTCCGCACAAAAAAATACGGTATAAATATATATTTTTTTTAGTAAACTATCCATTAAAAAACATCTAATTGGCAGCAGCCACTCCCTGTGTTCTACTCTGCTGCTGAGTCTGCACCACTGACGTAGATTGCGCCTCTCTCCTTGCCGCATCCTGCAACAACGCCGTATCCACAGACATCGGCGTCAACTGGACATACCTGACAACTGATCCGCGAATAAAACAGTTCTTCACGGATAGCATATGCGGATATCGTTCTTCGTCGGTAATAGAAATATCCTTGAGTTTGAAGTTAAGGAATTGGTCGACGGACTCGAGCGTGCCTTGGATTGCGAGATCGTTTTTTAACTCGATCGTTACTTGTTGGCCCACCTGGGTCTTGAAAAATGAATAGAACAGCATTGTGCGTGTGATGATAATCAAATTAATAGTATGAGAGAAGAATGCTTTACGTTGGACTTTATTTTTTTTCAAGCAGTATAATTCTTTCAGTTGTGTTTTTTCGGTGCCAATCAAGACTGAAACCCAAGAGCAGTCGAGTGTTTGGGGCACGTTTCACGTGACTATATGTACTATACTATTTTTTGTTGCAGTCTAAATGTGTTCGGAGCCGCGAATGTCGATAATGTCAAAGTCATAGTTTGCCAGCACAATATGACCGCCGGTGTCCGCATCGGTATAAATAGTCTTCTCCTCGTTATGCGGATGGAACGCCGATTTCTCTGTGCACGCCTGTATGGCATCAATGCCCATCGGGTCGGTCAGCCTAAAGATACCAAACCTGGGCGTCTTCCTGGGCGCGCACACAATAGCCACGGCCTCGGGCAACATCAGCTGGTACGCACAATGCGTGTGCAAATCCAGCGAGCTCATGAAGCAAGTCTGCGACGGATGCGTATGGATCCAGCCCAAAGTGATCAAGTCGCGGTCCATTTGCTCGACAAAAAGCTCCTCCTCGTTCTGCGTCGTGCATGTGTCCGACGTGGCCGTCTGCTTGGGGATAATCAGGGTAGTCATTATTAGGGCGTCTTGGCCAGGCACCTGCTTGCCGCAGAGCACCCCGCACGTCTCGAGGCTCTTGCTTGTGTTGGCCGAGGCTATGTCGATGAACTCCTCGAAAATGCCGGAGGGCATTTGGATCGGCCGCATGCGCACGCCGCCCTCAGTCAGCGAGTGGTGTGTGGGGTTGATTATGCATGGCGGCATGAATGTCTTGGCCGCCGCACTGGCGTCTGTCCTGGCTTCGCAATCAGCCTTTGGCTCTGGAGTGGGCGTGATTTCCTCGTAGTAGCCCTGTGGCGGTTTGGGTGGCAGCACCGGACACGGCGTGGCCGGCCGCGCCAAAGGAAAGGGCTGCGGCGGAACAGCAGAGGCAGAAGGAGTGGCAGGGGCGGTAGGCGCGACATAAACATTGGGCGGCCGGTGCGGCTGCTGCCAGGCCGCGTGGTGCGGGACCATCGGGTACTCGATAAGCAGCTCCTCCCTAGGCGCAGCCGGCTGGCGATACCGCTGCGCGTACTGCTGCGCCGCACCGCCCATATTGATTGCGGCAAAAGTCTCGGCCAGCGACACGCCCTGTGCCTCTGCCTGCCCAGCCTCACCCTCAAGCTCAATCAGCGCCGCACCCGCATCCGCCATTGATCCTTTCCTGGTCGAGTACGTCGACACCGACGCCTTAACCCTCGGCACGGAATCCAAATACCTCGCGTACTCCTCGTACCTCTGCTTCAACACCGGCTGCAGCTTCTCCAGCCTCGACAAGGACCTCTGCGCATCCGCCGTCACCTTTTCCCTTGCCCTTGCATGCTCCGGCTTGTTGTAATCCGGGTGCATGGGGAGGTGCTTTAGGACGACGGTGACGAAGCGGAGGTAGAATATGTATGCGTATTGGAGGTCATTGTTCAGGAGGCGTGTTTTGGCCTTTTCGAGGGTTGTGTCGAGGTCTTTGAAGTACTTTGTGATGGGCATTTTGCGTGATGGCCGGATTTCGGCTGCTGTGGCGAGCTCTTCGAGGGAGCAGACGCGCTCGTGAGGTGTCCATGAGAGAGGCGGTGGGTTGTCGGAGGCTATGCCTGGGTGCCGTTGCAAGTCTGCTCTGGTCGACATTGCCTAAAGTGAGATAAAAATGGGGGCTGGTTGCCTTATATGTTGCTGTTTAGAGTAATTTGAAATCAATTGAATTGGAATGAAATCAAATGAATTGAAATGGGAAAAATAAAATAAAAGCAATGGCTCGGCAAAAGAAGAAGCAGAAAAAACGTGCTGGTTTTGCTCTAAAAGGCTGACCTCGAGAGGTTTTCCTATCCTAAAACTCGGTCATTAATAATCCACTGTGCCATTGCTGTTTTCTTTTGTTTTTCTGCACGACCACCGGCTGACTAGCTGGTAGCTGGTAGCTGGTAGCTGGTAGCTGGTAGCTGGCTGGCTGGCTGGCTGGCTGGCTGACTGGCTGGCTGACTTGCCAAATGACCCACTCACAACAATGCCAGCTTGGGCGCAAAAACAACAAACACAGGCGGCCATTAAAAAGAAAGCCTTCCAAATCTCTTCAACAAAAAAAATCAAGGGCACTATTTACCAAGGCGCATTCTCATTGCGCTGGTCAGCAGGAAGGATATCCGCCAGGAATACGGATCCCTCTAGCGGCTGCTCGACCTTTCTGTTGTTTCCCGCGGCCATCTCCGCGCGCAGCTCCTTGAGCAACGTCATCAGCGTATAGTTAGGCTTCCACGACCTCAGCACATTGATGTCATCCGAAACCACGCCCGTATGCGGCTCCACGCATCCCATTGCCACCTTGGAAACGAACTTGACCTTGGGCGCAACATTGGGGTAGTTGGGCCCGCAATATATGCGCAGAGAGTAGATGCGGTTATAATGGGTGGTGTGTTCAGGTCCGAATATGGTGCCAAGCCAGTACTCCATCTCCACAAGGTCCTCGACGCTGTCGTCTAGGCCGTAGCTGCAAAGGCCGTCGCCAGTGCCCTTCTCGCATTTTTCTAGCTCCTCGAGGAGTCGGAAGTTTCTGGGAACTACGTAGCTGCCTATCATTAGAAAAAAGAAAATAACGAATGCAGGTGTTATTAGTTGGTGTTTGCCTCAGGCTTGGCCTCGGAGAAAACCAGTGCTTGTGCACACGAGAGATTTAAATTCAACTCTTGTCAATACCTACCGTCAGCCATTGTTATCTAAATAGAAGTGATTGTCTAAGGATGAGTTAAAATGTAGCTGAAAATTTGTTTTCAAATTGACAAACTAATTAAAAAAAAGAAGAAAAAAAAGTGAATTGAAGCTGAAATGCATCTCAATTGAAATTTTTCATATTTTTTATTTACTTCTGTGGAAAATACAACGTGTACATGCAATAAATGCCGGATGATCATAGCCAGGTCCCAGAAAAAAAAGAAGAAAAAAGCTTGCGGGGACGACGTTTTTTTTCCCATCACATATTTTTTCTCAGCTTAACTGATGGTAAATGTAATTGTGGATTAGCTAGCTTCAAATGCTAACCAAACATAATGTCAAACGCACACATGCCTTGCCAGAAAAATTCGAGCATGAGTACACTCACTTTGCCATTTCTATTTCCCCTGAAAATATGTCGGCATAGAATAAAGTCTCTCTCCTCCATTATATGTTTATATAATGACATTGTAAAAAAATAAGCAATACTTGCTCGCTGTCCATTGTTAAAAGGAGCACCACGTCCATTTTTACAAGTTGCCAAGTAATAATGCATTTTCACCACCATTCATATGCCAGGTTTTATTATTTTATGTCAGTCAAACACAATCAAAACCATCATCAAGTCACGCAGTGACTAAAGCAATATCCTCTTCTTTACCTTTTCCAATGCATAGCACATATAATAATAATAAACTTTGTACACAGTATTCATCTATCCACGTTCACAGAACGTCTCTCCCAGATTATAACAAAGCCATTGCCCAAAATAAACGCGGCAAATATTCAAGGTTTTTATCATAGACGGTAATCTGAGAGAACTCACTTAAAATAGCTTTGCAAGTGACGACAATCCCAAACATGTAAAATTCAGGACCTTAAAAACATGTATCTGGATCAAACATATAAGGGCGATATAAATATTTTAGAAGAAAACAAAAAATATGATAAAATAATCAATGATAGCTACTTTGCACATATTAGAAATATGGGAAATGTTATTTGTAAACATTGCCATTGGCAGCAAACTACCAAATGGCTCGATCGAGTTTAAAAATCTTGCAAAACCTAAATATTATCGATTCAAGTACGCCAGGAATATTTGTTAGTTTGGATGGTGGGGAAATTGATAGATGTTTAATTCGCCTCCAGGTGGATTCCAAAGATGACATGGATGTTTCCACGAATCAACAAAAGTTCTTTGAAAATCTTATCACCATTTATCACAAAAGTATTGAATTATATAGGAGCGTGGACTTGTTTGATCCCCAGAAAATAGAGTGGACTAACCCGCATGTTTCAAACATTGGGAGGCAGATACAATCCAGCACACTTGTAGAACTGCTCGCCAAATTGCCAAATTTTACCAAGCTTAAAGTGTGTGGTAGTGTACTTTACAACAGTCAGTCTGAACTAAATGTTGGCTAAGTAGAGCCACTTTCAACCAGTATTGTTAAATTGATAATGAATGGTGTACTATCTGCAAATTCTGATGTGGTAAAAGTTAATTATCTCAAATATATACTTTTGGCCATCTCGTCATTGGAAAATGTAGTCAATCAAAAAAATGTAAAATTAGATTATATGAGGCTTCTCGTAAGGCTTGTCGATATCTACCCTCACTTGAAAACCCTCGAATATAAATAATATAATTGTCCAGTTTCATATGTTACAGCTTACAGCTTACAACTTTTAATATATGTACTAAAATGTAGCCGAGGCAAGAAATCCGAGATGACAGAACAGCATGTCATTCAAAGCCCAAATAAACACTCGCATCTTATTTTTCTCTGACGATAGCATGGTTTTTTGTTAGATATTTATATGCTTCCCCTATTTGAATAACCACCAAATATATTTTGAATGCCAAATATATAATCGATTAAATACAAAAACAATTAAAGTAATAAATAGTGGCGGCCGCATCATGCCTCAGAATTTACTGCTAAATGTCTGGCCGGGGAGTGCTGAGAGTGGCATCACCGGCGAGATAGACATGGCAACCATCTGTCCAACAACACCCGCCTCATTCGCATCGTCCTCGTCCTCATTCCTATTTCCATGGGCCTCATCGCCGCTGCCATCACCATCTTCGTCATCCGAAGCAGACGCACCAACGTCCTGCCACACAAGATATATGCTGTCGATGAATTGGCGTGAAATAGGCAGCGATATCGGGTCGAACGGGAAAAACGTATCAAGCTCCGCACGCAGCGCCTGATCATTATTAGAGGCGTTTTTTGTTGAACTTCCATTGGCATCCCCATCTTGGGGTTTGCGGCGGTTTTGCTGCAGCAAAGAGTAGCAGAACATAAAGTTGGTCTGGCTGGCCACCAGTGCAAACTGCTGAGCTACACTCGACGAACACGCGCGTAGCGGGTTGAGCTTGGAAAAAACCACGCGCTGGAGTCCCTCGACCTCGGGGCACCAGCGCAGGCTATCAAGCTCGCTCTCAACGACGGGGCCGCCGCCGGAGGCTTCGGCGAGGTCGCGCCAGCGGAAACAATACACGTACAGTATTGCCTGAGTCACTGCATAAAACACGGTGTGTCGCTCAAAGTCCGAGTACAGCACCGAAGACGCTGGGCCTCCCAGGGCATGTGAATAATTCACTCCCCGCAACCTGCCTCTGGCATCCTCGCCCTCCAAAAGCTGCTTCTGGACCTGCTCCTCATGCCAGTCCAAATACGCGTTGGCCCATTGCACAAGAACACCGATGACGTTGCGCACAATCCTAACAGGCAGGAACTTGGCACGCGCGACAAAGCTGCCCAGATAAGAGGCAGCGGCAAGCTTCTCGACATTTGACACACGGTCCTGCGCTGCGTTGCGCACTGGCTCACCCACATTCCCCATCATGGTCCCCAAAAACAAGTCGGCGTACTGAGGGTCCTGGGCGCACAGGTAGAACAAAAAGAACTGGGTGTACCGTGACTTGAACGTCGGGAGCACAATGGTGATGAAAAGATCGAGGAACTGTAGGTACATCTTGGATGTCGACTCGGGCATCTCTTTGGTCTCAAGGTCAATCTGACAGTGCTTCTCAAGCCACGCAAATATCGTGCTCATGACGGCGTCCAACTTGGCGACAGTCTTTTTTGCGTTTATTCTGGCTTTTTCCAAGTTAACTTCGTCGTCAATGTCGCCATCGCTGGATTCCCAATCCGATTCAGAGTCCGAGCTGGAATCTGACTCTGCATCTGACTCATCGCCATCTGATTCGCCCGTGTCGCTGTTCTCGGCACCAGCAGAAATTTTGCCTGCACCGGGGGCAGAGTCCGCCGCCTCAGGCTCGTCATCTTCAAAGTGGAAAATGCCCTCATCCTCAATGGCCTCGTCGGCGTCGGCCTCGTCGTCAGAATCCAGGTCCTCAAGCTCCACCTGCACCTCTACGTCAATCTGAATGACGTGATTGAGCACCATCCGCAGAACCTCTCGCCGAACTCCAATGGCATACTCCAAGCAGCGCAGCACATTCTGTATAAACAACACTTGCACATTGCTCTTAGCCTTCTTAAACGGGCATGACTTGACCAGCTCCGCGGCCAGGCTGGCGCCACATGTCGGGATTGTGCGGTAGATCTCCTTGATCAAACTGTGCAGTCGGTCGTGCACCAAGGATGCAAGCGCATTGTTGTCAGTCTTGCGGCCACCATACGTAAACCACCGTACCATGGCCGGCATTGCCTGTGGAATCCACGCCGGATGCGCCGAGAGAATCTGCAGTATCAGCGTGGTGTACCTATGCACAAACCGCTCGTCGTTGCAGGTCACCCAGTCGCTGTTAAATATCGTCGTTACGAGGTCCCTGTAGTAAATTCCCAGCGCCGACACGTTCGAAGATAACGCCGATATCCATGGCGTCACTTCCTCTTCATACTTTTCGGGCGCGAGGTGCGATGCTGTGCGCGAATACGCAAACACCTTTACCAGTTTGTAGTATTCCTCTGGGTTGCCCTAGCAAATAAAAAACACAGCGTCCAAAGAAAGATAAGAGAGAGCACGAAGCGAGAACCGGGAGTGTTAGTAATACGGCTCTAAATATTACGGCCTATACGTTTGCGTCCTTTGTGTTTTCATTTTCATTTCGTTTTGTTTAGCTGGGTGAGATTGTGATATGCTGCAACAAGCCACATCGTATTTTATTTTGTCGTTGATGATAGCATACCTCCTTTACTTGCTGGAGCGCGTTCTCAGTAAACTTGCGCAAAAACACCGACTTGTCGATAACCAGATCCGGAGTTTCCTCTGCTGCGGGCGCTGCTGTTGCTGGTGGTGGTGCTGCGGCTTCAGTGCTTTGGTCTGCAGCTGCTGCCACTATATGCTTTCTTCTGGACACAGGCTGCTTTATAGGCCGTCTAGCTTTGGTGGCATTCGATGGCTCCATTTATGCGGATTCGGTTGTTTAATTTGAATGCGAAGTTTGAGAATTGATAACCAGAAATAATGAGAGAAAGTGAGAAAGTGAGAAAGTGATGGTGTGCACAACGAATGCTGATACTTCAGGGTGCGAGTGTGCCAAATTTACATGCAGGGCAGGAGGCTTTTTTTCATTCGCTTGATCAAGTGTCCAAATGTTTGTTGATCCGATCAAGGCATTTATTGTGCGTGAGATGGGAGAACAGCATCCAATCACATGAGACGATCACGGATATCAACAAGCCACATTTCTGTTTGGGTAAATTGACTTTCCTGAAGCGTAAAAATAAAAGCTTGACCTTGGTCTGCGAGCTGTTTTGTATTTACATGAGGGAAAATATAAACACTCAAAGCAAAAGTCGTTAAAGTTCACGCGGTTTGCTTCCACTTTTTGGCCGCGTTGTTTCATTTCTAAAGTAGGCTTCCTTGAGTCAGCAGTAGCTGATGAGAGATACCTTGGTTTATCAACAAACCAAAAATTAACGGCGTGCTACAGAACCGCCCAAAATATTCTCATTGTTTGAACCATTGGCCTTTGTACTTGGTGTATCTTTTACTTTGATAGCCCAAATAAAATTTTGGTTTTATTAGTATACTCTAGTCCTACTGCTATGTGTAGTAAAACTTGCGTGATTTTTTGCTAGTTTGTTGTACAAATCAATATTACACATTTTTTTAGAATTTGTGCGTGGATTCTTGTGACAAAATTCAAAATTTCTAAATTATATATAAATTCTAAACTTTAACAATTGAGCACCTAGCTTAGAAGTGGCCTATTAATATCAAATATAATTTTTAAATTATGGCCGTGCTTTTTTACTTTTATTCTGTATTACCATGAATATATTAATGCTTTCATAACAAGCACAACAAAATTATGTAATATTACTATTATTCAGCCATGATCAGCACTCACAAGGCCAACACTGATATAAGAAAATGCGGCTTGTCCCTGATGATTGGTTAATAAATCAATTGTCGTGCTCTATAAAAATGTGGGTCTAAATCGATATATTCAAGTCTTAAAAATTACTTACTTAACTGAAAAGGGGGCAGCGCTGTGTGGGCAGCGCTGTAAACATCATGGTGTTCCTTGATGTCAGCCAGCAATAACAGAAATGTGTATAGTGGCCATGATGGCGATCTTGATTCTTAAAAAGGGAAGATAGTGGCTTGAAATGTGTGTTGGGCACCACATCAATCACTAGTTAATCCCCTACTTGGATATGCGAGAATTCATACACGTATAAATACTAATGAATATGAACAGTGGAGGCTGTTCATTCCTTAGCTTTCTTTTAATTGATCTTAATAAATATACTTTTTATCGTAAAAAACATCATCAACCCAATGGCCCACAACGGCTTCACTGCTACAGAAATTGGCAGCAGAATACACGTCAATTCTAGCACAATTAGAATGTATCTTAGTCTGAACTGTGTCTATAGCAAAAGGTCTAAGGTCATCCTACAATTTTGACCAAGGATGATGAGATCATTATTCAAAGATTTTTCCATCACACAGAAGGGATTGCTATTGCTACACTTACCAAAAATCTGTCAGAGAAGAGAAAACTTCAACTAAGTAGGCAGACTGTCCAGAGATATCTTGCTCGCATTCACCACCACTCTTGTATTGTGAGGCAAACCCCATTTGCTACTAAAAACAACCAAAAGTTATGGTACAGATGGGCAAAATAGCATAAGGAGTGGACCAAATCTGATTGGGAGCAGGTTCTTTGGACAGACAAGTCAAAGCTCATGTTCTTTAATACTAGCTACAGGACGTTTACAATCAAGGAAAACAATGACGGAATAAAGGTCAAATGTATTCACCCCATTATGAAATATGGTGGTCGATCTTTGACGGTGTGGGGTGCTTTATGCGCCAATGGTACAGTTCCCTTGGTTTGTATTGAGGGTGATATGAGCAGTCCCATGTACGTTCAAATACTGAAAATAAATTTGGTGTCTGCTTTGGGGAGTATCAATCTTCCAAATAGAGCCAGTACTATCTTTCAGCAGGACAATGACCCTAAGCACACAGCCCGTGTGACTCACGGCTGACTACAGAATCACTATATCAATGTCTTGCCATGGCCATCACAATCTCCTGACCTCAATCCTATTGAAAACCTTTGGGCTCTGTTGAAAATACATTTTTACAACTATGACAGCGATCCGAAAAACATTGGTAAACTATTTGAGCGAGCACAGACTTATTGGGAAACTATTCTAGCTACTACTATACAAAATTTAGCATATTCAATGCCCAAACACATAAGAGTAGTCGTACGCTCACAAGGGCTTCCAATCCAAAGCATTCGAAAAGGTATATTAGTTAAAAAAAACATGTATTACAGGTTTAATAATTTTATAAATAGATGCTCAATCTTTAATTCATTTATATTTAAATAGTGTGCAGACAAAACGTACGCCTAAAAGTAAATATTTCACTGCGTTGAAGTATTTACTTTTTATTATAAAGTGGCCGATATCTCTTTATATTTTGATTTCTGAGCGCTTGTTCATTAGAGCAATTGAATACCGAGCAATTTATTTATATTTAATATTTTCTTTTTACTCAACTCTCACTCAATTTACTTTTATCAACAGGTTTAACTTATACTGCAACACGCTAACTAAAATAAATGGCGGCAAATGGGAATAATATATTATATACCGATCGAAGTATCATATTTAGCTCATGACGGGTCAATGGTTATTCCAGTGAAGCTAGTAAAGCTCAACTGTTTATATACCGATACAGTTAAGGATATGATACAAAAATGAGCACGTATATCACGGACAGAGGTGACTGCAAATTCATTCTAACTGACAATAGCAATAAATTTATTCCCTTAAATGAATTGAAGTTAATTGCCAAAATCAAAACAAAATTGTATTTCATACGAGAAAATCTGGCTTGTCCCCAATGATTGACTAATGAATCAAGTACCAGCTAATTCCTGACTCAGACATACGGGAATATTGCATACGAGCAATATAAATAGTAGAGTAATACAAATGATTAATGTTATTACTCTTTAGCTTTCTTTTAGTTCATCCCAATAAATACTTTTTATTGTAACATGTCTCCTCGCCTTAGTCGTGCACTACACCAGTTATGCGCTCTGTTTGTGAGAACTGGTCTTTATGAAAGTAGCCCGGATCTCCGATATGACTTGTCGTCTTCGCTTGTGTGCACCCAGCACACATATTTTAAGACAGACAATATGTCTGGATGTCAATAGTGGCACCTGGTTTGATCCCCTATTATTTGAACCATATCAGACCCATCAGCAAGCCGACGGGAATCTGTCTCATGATTCTCGCCCTTAGCATCAACTTTCATATTCTCGGGCTGTGCAACACGGGTGTCGTTAATCCAATAAAATAATGTAATGCACGTTCATTGTGTGTGCTGTTATAATAAGAGGGGGTGTGAGGAGCACCAGTTATCTAGTATTAGAAATGTAGGTATGATTTTATAAAAGGTTTTATTACTGATGTTTCTAAAATACTACCAGGGCCGGCCTCGTCTTATATACGTGCCTCGTCGCCTCTGTTGTGTACATTGTCAATTGTGCGCTCCGTTGGTGAGAACCGGATCTTCTGCAAGCAGACCGGTATTTTGGTAAGTCAATATTGTGATTTTCGCGTGTGTGCGCTCATGCGTGTGCATTGCAAAATTGGGAGTATGTTTGGGCATCAATGTAATGCCTCCCTAATTTACGCCTGCATGATCCAATTAGTGTCCTATCAGTCGGCACGCAGGTGGAAACCTGTTTCGTGATTCTTAAGCTCGACATCCACTTCCATATCTTCAGTCTGTGCAACAGTGCCAACGATTGCAACTTTTTAATCACATAAACAATATGCTTTGACGCCGTTTTATGATTATTTTTTATTTTACTTGATTTTTTCACTTGTTTTAATTTAAATAAAAAACTTCAGGTTTCGGCTAATATATTATTCTCTTTAGAAAACCAAACAAGTTTCGGGCTTTTTCACGCATCAACCAAATAAAAACAATCCTAATTGAGCTTGATATTGGAAGAAATAATTTAAATAAACAATTGTACTATTTTGGGTATTTTTATTATTAAAAAACGTAAAAAAAAAATCACTCGTCTGTACACGGCAACAGTTGTCTTGTTTATTTTTCCTCTTTAATTTTCTTTTTCACAATATTATTTTTTGTTCAACATTAAATACATGTGCGCGTCCATTAACACCACGACTATACAACCACTATAGCAGCAGAAGCAGCAGCAACAGCCTATACTAATGACAGAATTGATCAAGCCGTCAGAGCCGAAATTGTCACCGCCGTCCTACAACGATGTGGTCATAGAAATAAGCCCAGAGCCCAGAAGCAACACACGGCAAGCTCCTAGCAAACAGCAAACCACAATACCAAATGATACCGAAAATCCCGTTGAGCTCCCCACATTACAACCATCGGCCATTTTTCCGGAACCACAACACCATCCATTGGATGCAACCGTCACCACCACTGCAACCGCCACCAACAGCAATAACATTAGTCCGCCAGTAAGCAAATTCCTCGCATCTTTGATGTACAAAAAATCATCCCAAGGGTACTCCTCATCCGACCCGCGACTGAACACAGACCCAGAGGCCCTTCTGCGCTTTATAAACGAGTGTAATGACCGACCTTTGATTACCATCGAGGTGGTGGGCTCACACACTGTGCGAAAGGAGTTCCAAAGGGTTTTTACTTTGGAAAACGGACAAACCCGGCGGGAAACTCGAACACAAGTGGAAACAGTCGAGGATTTCAGATTTTACCTGGATCTCACCCCGTATATCCACGAAACCGGCACCCTGCGCATAACCACAGGGAATGATGATGAGCCCATGTGGGATACTCCGCAGCAGCTCCTGTCCGACTACACAATAACCGGTAGCGCATTGAAGAAACTCCGGGTGAATAAAAAAGTTACTTGGGATTTTGCGCAAATGGACAATGAGATTGCGGCGTTGGTCCATTGCATTGGGTATCCACACACAGTGTCAGTGTCGTTCCCCACGGATAATGACCGGATTGTTGTGCGGTCGCATAGTAGGTTGACGAAAGTTTGGCTGCATCCGGTTACTATTTTCTTTTGTGTCGTTAGCTGTGCATGGGTTGTTGGTTTGCCTATTAAGCGGCGTGCGGGCAAAAGGTGGAAGAACAGGCTTGATAGCGAGTTTGGAGTTATGGTTTCTCCCATGGAATATATCAGCCGTAATTCGGCGCTCATTTATGATATGGTTCCCTGGGCTTACCGCCAAATGCAAGTGTATCCAGCGCCACATGTTTAAATAAAAAATTTTGTCTGGGAACGATTTATACCCAATGACATATTATTAAACAATTTTATATTTTTTTTAAAAAACATATCCTACTCCGTTCAGTTAACATTGCACTTGTGCAGTTTTGTGTGGTCCCATCGGGCAAATCCAGATCTAATAATTTATTTATCGGGGGGTTTTTTTCGGTGCTCGGGAGGATTAGGGTATTTTCCTCACTGGCTCTAATTTTTTTGTATCAGGTTGCACCACCATCCTTTGTCTCCGTTATTGAGCGGGCGACTAACTTTTTTATGGTTAGATTATCCAGCTTGTCTGTTTTCAGTTCAACTTTCTTCCATTATTACTTTTATTACTTCACACTTTAAAAAAAGAAATTCAAATTAACCCTCTTTCTCTCTTTCTCTTTGGAAATTTGGAAATTTTATAAAGAAAAAATTGTGTGCGATAATGTATGCTCGCCAACTAGTCGCACTCGCGCGCACCGTCGCACCCAAGTGCATTCCCAAACCCTCGCCACACACCACACGTATCCAGATCTCCCATCTTCTGCAACAACTGACCGCTCACCACCACCACCACCACACTACGCGCACATACGCTTCAAGCGTCGACTTTAACCCACTATTACTCCAGCAAGAGGCACAGGAAAGCATGGAGCAAGGTACGCAAGAGCTCAGCCGAGGCAATCCACAAAGCGCCCTAAGCCACTTCAACAAGGTATTGACAATGAGGCCCACCCCGGACGCCCACTATAACGCCGGTGTCTGCGAGTATATGATGGGTCAGGTTGATCGCGCGCTGGAGAATTGGGAAAAGGCTGTGGCTATGGATCCGACACAGGCAGATGCCCATGTGAATGCAGGGAATGTTTACTTTATGAACAAGAAGGATATTCCCAAGGCTGTGGCCCATTTGAAGAAGGCTGTGGAGCTGGCGCCTAGGGACTCGGAGATTTTGTTTAATCTGGCCTGCATGTACGAGGCGTCGGATGAACTGGACTCGGCTATTCGGATGTACGACCGCGCGGCTGGGCTTGGGCTCGAGAAGGCCAATACGTTTTTGCGCAACGCCATGGCTAAGAAAATGACAAAGTCTATTTAATGCAATACACAATAATTCATTCTTTTTTTCGGGCGCTTTTAATCTTTGGCTATGTTGATGCACGGAGCCATCCACCACAAAAAGCAATTGTAGCTGAGGCGGAAGGGGAAAGCCAGAACGTCGCGCACACGAGTGGTCGACTGATGGGCGGACCGCCGCGAGCCTGGCACAGGCCGATGGTGGTAGATGTGTCCCCAGGAACTGGTCAGCGAGTGCATAAAGCCGCCACCAATATGTTGCTGCTGCTCGGGCTGTTGCTCGAGTTGTTGCTCGCCATGGAAGCTGCCTCTCGACTGACGGCTAGCAGAGCTCTGGCTCCGAGTATCCACCGACTGGGCAGATGAGCGCCGGCTGCTCTGCTGCAGCCTGGCCCGCCGCGTCCACAGCTTTGGCCAGCATCCCTCGCCGCAGCCCCACGTTTCCCCACTGGCGCTGCTGGATTCGTCGCGCACACTGGGCTGCGAGCCAAAGCTATTTGATGCCTCTATGAACTCTGTCTGTGGATGGTAGCCGCTCCAACGCCGCAAATCAAAAATATTGGAGGTTGGCCTTATACTGCGGCTGCGGCTGCGGCTGCGGCTGCGGCTGCTGCTAATGCGCATGGCCAAATGGTCCCGCTCAGGCATGTGTGAGCGGGATTCAGAGTAACCGCTATTGTCTGCATCTGGCTGGCTGTGCGCCAACTTTGAATTCCTCCTGGTCAACATGCTGGCTCCAAAGACCAGTCCCGAAAGGGCTGCGGTAAAAGAGCGCCGCTGGGGCTTTTTAGACGAGAGGGGTTCCAAAAGCACCGGTGTTTGTGAAGGCATGTCCCGGCTGGGAGCTGCCTCCTGCGGGGCCACAAACACCCATGACTCGTCCTCATTTTCCTTGTGCACTATTATATCCGGCACTGCTCCAGGATTCCACGCTGGCGAGGCAGCCGGGACAAAGGGTGCCTGGCCAAGGTTCAGAGATTGCGATTGAGAGGACCGCATCGTCAGCATCCGAGCATATGTATTGCTTGCTCTCTTTTCATCAAGTGCAGACTGCGTAAGTACCGGAATGCGGTTCTCCACGCTTGGCGCATAATGCGCTTGCTCGTTCGTCTCCTCGGTTTGCACAGGGCTGATGGGCGCTGGTGTTGGTGTTGGCGAGCGGCGTGGGACCTCCTTGACACCAATATTGTAGTGGCTGATTTTGCGCTCAGGTGCATCGGGCAGCATGTCCATGTCGAACGAGCGGCAGAACAAGCTGTCAATCTCAGCATCAGCAAGATCATAGCCGACATCGTCGCAGTAACTGTCGCTCAAGCACATGTCATCTGTGCCAACAACCATATCCGCACCGCCATCATTATCGTCATTGTTATTGTGAAGCATCAGGTCTGATGGTCGCCGGGCCACCAAGCCGCCACTCTGTGTGTACACTGGGCCAATCTCGACCACTTCGCGCGAGCTGGGCATCTGGCGATGTGTAGGGCGCAACAAGCTGAGCTTTGACTTTGGAACAGCAATTTTACGGCCCAGCTCGGGCTGCTGCTGCTGGTCGATTGTCTGCATGATTGCAGCCATGTGCTTCTTCTGCCCCTGCTGGTGCTGGTGCTGGTGCTGGTGCTGGTGCTGGTGATGTTTGAAATCCGGTGCACTCCTACGTTCTGCCTGGTGCACTACGCGAGTGGAATTGCCAACCACCTGGTAAAGAGCCTTGACTGACCTCTCCGCAGACCCCCCAGGCAATGCCTTCTTTCCTTCGACAACAATGTTATCCTCGCTGCTTGGCTGCATCACCACTGCCAAGCGGCTGACCAGGCTCTGCGAGTTTCTGGCGTCTGGCGTGTCCACAATAAGCAGCTGCTGGTGCATCGAGTGATCCTTTGTAATGCCCATAGGGCTGTTGCGCACTTTTCTCTGGTGTAATGAGTTGTTCTCGTTGCGTCCGTTATTAAGCTGCGCATATACTGTGTGCATGTTGCCAGTACTGTGCTCAAAGTAGCTGTGTACTGGCGAAACTCGAGAGCCTGGATGACCCATGATATGTGGCCGTAAGGATGAACTGCTATCGTTGTCGATTGTGTCTGTCGGGCTGTTCACCTCTTTCTCGACTGAGACTGTTACTGTTGCTGTTGCTGTAGAGGCGGTGGTGGTGGGGTGTGGCTGGCTGTGTCGCTTGTAGTATGCGGGCATGGTTCGTATATGTTACAATGATTAAAAGAAGAAAAGACGTTAAAAAAATTATATAAACGGAAAAAAAATTGCAAGAGTGGGAAGGTGTATTTTTCTTTTTTATTTCTAGCCAGCTGACTACACGGTGAAGTGTGAGGGACGAAGTGAGTGAGTTTAAAATGAAAAATTGAATTAATGATTGTATGTATGCTATAGTTCAGCTGCGCATATATTGCCACAAGAAGAAAGAAGAGAAAACAAAAATAAAATGTCAGCTTTTTTTTTGAAAAAAAAAACAGTTGAAGAAACATGAAAAATAAAATAGACAATGCAAAATATAAAATGAAATGTGTTTTTATTTTCTCATGTCTTTCTTCATTTTGCTTTCCTTAGCTTTATTAGGTTTTTTCTTTGTACAAAAAAGGCTCGAAAATCCATTATGCGGAGGCCCCTTCTTTTTGTTTAAACAAAGTAAACCATTTTTCCCAGAAAACAATAAAGCGAATAAAAAGGAATCCCAGGCTGCAATGTGCACTGGATCTCAATTCCTAGTTTCAACCAAAAAAGAAAAGAGAGAAAAAGAAAAACAAGGACAGCACTATTGCACTATTTCTTTTTCAGAAAATGAGTGTGAAAGAAAGCACGCATGAACACGTTTAAATTGTTATTTGCGGTTGGGGCGAAAAGGAGAGGGCAGTGAATTATGTTGGCACGTATTTTTTTCTTTTGGCCTGTTTTTTTTGCAGGGTCTTGTCAGACAATATATCCTAATTCAACCTATTATTAGCTCCTAAAGGATATGGATATATATGCGGATAGCTGGTTTCAATGTTCGATATGCGCTCAAAAAGTCACCACGGTAAACAATGTGATTTAATTTGATCCCCGTTTACTTTAATTATATCTGGAACTCATATGATTTGGGGTGCTCGTTCGATTGGATGGCGGGTGGCGGACCTCCCCGGATTTGGCAATAGACTGGCAATACCAATATGGACAGATTATCGAAAGCTAAAATTAACTCAATAAGCGCAATATTTTGGGGGCGGGGATTTGACGATGAGAAGCTGAAGCCAGGATTGAAGCTGGGCCACGGACGATGTAATGCACTAGTGTAAATGGATTTTGGAATTTCCAGATATTTATAGCAAAAGTTCGGATTTTTAAGCGAGGAATTTTCAAAACCCGTTTTCACACAAAAAAGGCACAAAGTTAGCTGAAGCCAAGTCTACAGCGACACCTGAGACTCTGCTCAAACCAAAGCCAAAGCCAAAGCCAAAGCCCAAGACCAAGCGTGTGCGCAAGAATCCATCTGCCCTTGCTTCTCTTTAAAAGAAGCAGCGAACTGAATTATATCGTCAGCCATAGTGGTCTACTGGCACTGGCTTCTAAACACCTGTCAGGCTGCTATGCAATCTGTGGGAAGGATGTTGATTTGCAGGGTACTTGTAGCCCCATTCTTATCTTTTAGTGCGTGGACAGCATCATACATTTCCAAACCCTTTGCTGTTCCCTCCTCCCCGCTCCAGTAATTCCATTCCATTCTATTCGCACGGACATTATCATTCCAAGCGATGCTGCGATTAAGCAAGACGCGATAATTTATTCTCGATCATAGTCGATTTTCCACTAATTTTTCTCCCACGCTCCACAGAAGAATAAGAAAAAAAATGAAAGACGAAATCCAGACAGGCGCATAGTATCTTCACCCCACTCTGCCTTAACCAGCTCCTCTTTTTATTATTGAATAATTTGATACCACTTTAATACACAAACACAATAAATAAGCAACATCCATGGCTCCAGCAAACATCTCAGTCTACCCTGCCAAGCAGCACTTTGCCGCTACAGCGCAGAAGCTGGGGGCCACCTCGGGCGTCATCTTTGTGCGCGGCGGCGACATCATCGTCCATCCGGACTCGGACACCGAGTACGAGTTCCACCAGGATTCCAGCTTCTACTACCTATCGGGCGTCATCGAGCCCGGCTACGCCGCAGCCTACGACATCGCGTCCAGCACGGCCATCCTTTTTGCCAACCACGTGTCGGCCGATGAGGCCGTGTGGGTCGGCGTCCCAGCGTCGCTCGACGAGCAGCGCGCCACCTACGGCTTCGACCAGGCACACTACACGCACGACATCGAGTCAGTGATCAGCGCGCTGCGGCCTGAGCGGATCTTTGCACTGGCGCACCACAGCACGGAAAACCTCGGCAGTGCCGCCAGCATTGATACCGAGCGTCTGCTTGACGCCGTGCACGAGGCGCGGGTGTTCAAGGACGACCACGAAATTGCCATTATGCGGCGCGCCAACGCGATCAGCAGCGCAGCGCACGAGGTTCTGATGCGCGAGGCAAAGCAGGGGATGAACGAGGCTGAGCTGCGCGGGCGCTTTGTCGGCCTAGTGCTGGCGCAGGGCTGCAGCTACGAGGCATACGGCAGCATTGTTGCGCGCGGCCGCAACGCCGCTGTGCTGCACTACACTAAGAACAACATGGCGCTGGCTGACGCATCGGCAATGGTGCTGGTCGATGCCGGCGGCTCGCTCAGCTGCTACGCGTCGGATATTACGCGCACATGGCCGATTGGCGCGGCCTTTTCGGCCGAGTGCCGTGCGATCTACGCTGTTGTGCTGGCCATGCAGAAGGCCGTCATCGAGGCGTGCGCGCCCCACCGCCAGTGGCAGGACATGCACCTGTTGGCCTGCCGCGTTGCCGCCCAGGGGCTGGTCGAGCTCGGCATGCTGCGGGGCGACCTGGACGATATTATGGCGCGCCATGTCGTCGGCTATTTTATGCCTCATGGGATTGGTCACCTGATCGGCATCGACACCCACGATGTCGGCGGGTACCCGCGCGGCACCGAGCGCATCAACGCCCCCGGCCTGCGCTATCTCCGCGCTCGCCGCGAGATGCTGCCGCGTATGGCGTTCACTGTTGAGCCTGGGCTGTATTTTGTCGACGCTATCCTGGCTGAGGCCCGCGACACCCCGGCTGTCGCCCAGCATATTGACTTTGGCGTTGTTGCCAAGTACCGTGCCGTTGGTGGTGTTCGCATTGAGGACAACATTATTATTACCGAGACTGGCTGCGACAACCTGACCACCTGTCCGAAGGAGATCGCCGAAATTGAAAGTATCCGCGCAACAGCATACCAGTAGATTTTAACCCCGATCTGCGGATTAGATCACGCAGATAGAGATAAGCGGGTGAAGAGGTGGGGCTGTGGAAAAAATGTGGGAGAGATTGATTACAAGAAGGAAGCGCTAAAAAAAAGGACGTGGTTGTTGCCAGAGAGGGAGCACGAAATCTAACCACCAAGCTCAAGCAGTTGTAGTTTTGTTTTTTCCCTTCTTTTTTATTTCTTGTTTTTTCTTTAAATTCAACAATTGTTTTCTTTCTTTTATTTCTTGTCTGGTTTCTTTTTTTTGGATTTATAGAGGAAGTAATTATTCTTTCAAAAAATGTTTTCGCGTAACGCTTTCAAGGCCTTTACACAGGCCACTCAGAACGCTTCCAAGGTACAAATTTAAACTATTGGTAAATCGCAAATTTGAAAGAATGAATAAACCTCACATTGAGGGGATTGGAGAAGGCTCTTTATTTATTTTTTTGAATCGAGCGAGTTCATTTTGGGCGTGACACCTGGAGTTTTTTTTACACTTTTATGTCTCTCACTCTGCCTCTCCACCTTGTTTTTATATTGTATAGCGCTTCTCGACCCAAACCAACGGACCCGTCAAGGTGAGTATTCCTAACATTGGCCTTTCACTATCAGTAACTTGAAACCCCCCTGTTTGCCAACCAAAAAACTCACTTTTGGTTGTGAGGGTTATCTTATATACCGGCACTAATTGCAAAGCACAATTTACCCCTTTTATCTGTATAGGCCTCGACCTACAATGCCCTTATGGCGGCCTCGGCAGCTACCGCTATCGGCTCGGGTGCCAGCCTGTACTACTTGAACAAGAACGCTGCGCACGCGAACATGGAGGCCGATGGACTTCACCCTGCAGATCACCCTTTCCCCCAGAAGACCCTGTTTGGCACCTTTGACCACGCGAGGTAAAGATTACAAAAAAAATCAAACATGGTTTATCTATCGATCTTTGTTTTGGCATCACAAAAGGGATACGTTTTTATATATACTACTAACACACCTCTTTATATCTCAATCCTTTGTTCTTATCTTTTTTCTCTAGCATCCGTCGTGGATTCCTCGTCTTCAAGGAGGTGTGCTCGGCCTGCCACTCGCTCGATCTTGTGCACTGGCGCAACCTAGTGAACGTTGCGTACACCGAGGAGGAGGTTCGCGATATGGCCGCAGAGTACCAGTACGTCGATGGACCCAACGACGTTGGAGAGATGTTTGAGCGCCCGGGCAAGCTGACCGACCCCATCCCCCGCCCTTACCCCAACGAGGAGGCTGCCCGTGCCGCCAACGCCGGTGCCTATCCTCCAGATCTCTCCCTGATCACCAAGGCGCGCCACGGCGGTGTCGACTACATTTACTCTCTGCTAACTGGCTACTGCGACCCGCCGGCCGGTGTTGAGATCCGCGAGGGCCTCAACTACAACCCGTACTTCCCCGGTGGCGCTATCGGTATGGCGCAGAATATCTTTGACGGCGTCGTGGAGTTTGACGACGGCACCCCTAACACGGCTTCGCAGATCACCAAGGATGTCGTTACTTTCTTGAACTGGACTGCGGAGCCTGAGTTGGACGAGCGTAAGAAGATCGGTGTCAAGGCTCTTCTCATGTTCTCGACCCTTACTCTTTTGGCCCTTTGGATCAAGAGGAATAGGTGGCAGACGATTAAGACCCGCAAGATCGCTTTCAACTCGCCAAAGAACTGGGAGAAGAAGTAAAATTCAATTTAATCCAATCTTTTTGTTTCTCCTTCGAATTATCTACTTTTTCTTTTATAAATTTTACACCGATTTTTTTGTCTTGTTCTATTCTGTTCAGTTATTGAGTGGTGTTGATCCCCTAAAATAAAAATATTTCCATTTTTAAAATACTAGTGCTTATTCTTTCAGTATATGTTAAAGTTCAAATGAATTAATGAAAAAAATGAAAAAGAAGGAAATAATAGGTCAACATATTCGTAATGTTTTTAAATTTATTCTTTAATAAATCACGTCCGCAAACATCTTGACCTCGTTGAGCTGGCAGAACACTTGGAAATTTGCGTCCATATAGTTCAAATACAGGTCCACGCCCCCATCCTGTTTGTTCGGTAGCAACCGAGACATTCCATCCCTACTAAAGTAGTCGAACCCAAGAATCTCCGGTCCGCCAAATCCAAAATCAACCGAATCAAACGGCATGTACCGCAGGTTTGTCATGCCGATATACGACGTCATTGGTGTATTGCATAACGCAAGTCCAATCTGGTACAGCAAACTCAGCTCGTTCTCGATAACCAACATGGTTGCCTTTGTGTGCCCGATTTCGGTCTTTGAGCAGTGTTCTTTGATGGCCCGGGCCAAGTCTCTGTACGAAGAAGTGAGAACCATTTGCGACGGCAGTGGTGCTATGGCTGTAGATGACACGTTGCCGGAGAAGTTTCTGGGGATGGCAGAGCGGGTGCGTCCGTCATAGGCCATCATTACATACGATGTCTTTGGTTCAGTGCCGAATACATTGATGTTGGCCAGTAGAATATTCCTTGCCAAAAATGCCGCCAGCACTGTGTTGACAGTCTGGTCCTTGTCAATGTGCTGGCGCATGCGCTCCAAGTTGGCCAGGCTGAAGTGAAGCACGTGCTGGTACTTAAATTGCTGGTTATCGTTTGAGGACATTAACACTGGGGCAATGTTGGTCGGAAACAGTATCTGCATTGGCGGCAAGATTTCCTTGAAGTGCTCGATGAATGGGAGCTCGAGTGGCTCGACCTTGTCCATGCAGTTTGACATCACTTGGCGGTCATTAATGGGCGGCTCTGCCAGCTGGTAAGTGCCGTTTCTGACAGCATCGAGGTTGCGCATGTACTCGGCCCAGTGGTTGATAAACATTGTAGTGCCGGTACCGTCGAATAATACATGCGAAATTGAGTATGAGATGCCGACATAAGGACTGTTTTTGAACCGCAGAACCCTGACAATTGCCGCCGAATTGTCTCTGTGGTAGGTTGCTTGAGAAAGGCAGTCTACGCCGCTGTCGCGATAGAACTTGCGAGTGTTGAAAAACAAAACGTTTGGCTTGTCCTCAGAACCACCTGGGCGAGTTTCAAGGAACAGCTCGATGGGATGGTCGATGAACACCTCGGCAATATCCGGCAAGCAGAGGTTTGACGGGTCAACAGCCATGACACCCTTACCAGCACTGTTGACTATGGGGCGTCCAACGATGACCGGGTAGTGGTCGGCAACAAGCATGCAAAAGCTTTGCGCAAGAGCGCCAAATGGCATAAAACTTGCATCGTTGCGCTTGTTTTTGAACAGATAGATGGTGTCTGCTACAATTCCAAACTGCGCAAGGTCGAGTGTACCCAGTTCAATCTCTTGAGTCTTGATGTTAGCCAAAGGCGCAAAATAGTTGTCAATAGCCATGTTAATTTTCAATTGCTTGTTAATTGAAATAAAAATATATATAACTAATAAAATAAAAGAGGTGTGTGGGAAAACAAAAAGCAAACAGAAAAACAGAAAAACACATTTGTCATCCCATCTGCAATCAAAGATCACACTGCATTATTCATAAAGAAAAAAAACAGTAACAAATTATTTTATTGGGTTGTGAATTATATTCAGTGGCTTGGTAAACAGTGTAGCACAGTTCAACGAGGTGGCTGAAGCCAATAAACTTGTAAAATTTTGGCATACTGGAAATAACCGAAAATTGTTACTCCATTATTTTTTTACACACATGGTCTCATGGAATTATTTCAAACATGAAATCCTACGATGAAAGGCCATCCTTGTTTAATTGAATATAAATAAAAAAGTTCACTAAACTATTAAAATTATTTACTTTAACTGATTGTATTACATCAAGTTATTCAATCTATACAACAACATTAATTGAATACCATAAACACATACTAAATTATAATATGCCAGACATTTATTTAAGAACATTTGCGCATGTAAAACCAAATTACAGTATATTTTAACTACCACTTAAACTTTCAGTTCAACAGCTACAGTATTATTGTTGAGAACCCCTCAGGGGGCGCGACCCAGGCCAGCGGCCCAGGCTGAGACCCCTTCGCGGGCATAGATATATCGGACAGATGTAGGATGTCACCCGACGTCCTGATCCAATCATATTGATTGCGAAGCCACGCGGTGTTCATGATTGAACCTGTTTTTTCCAGATCCTGATAACAGTAGAAATTGATGTAATTTCGAGATGCATCAAAATATAATTTGTTTTGCTATTTTCATTTGTGTTGATGTTTGTCTACATATGTGTGGCATGGAAGATGCCGCAAACTTATCATAGGTTGTATTCAATATATACTAAATATTTTATTCCCTTTTAACAGCATTCCCTGTGGCCGTTTAGTTTAAAACTACTGGCCTTTCCTTTGGCCACCCTCACAACAGGTGGAATCTCCGAGCTAGCTACAATTTCATATCCACCAAACTTCTCGCAAATATCTGCAACACTCAGGTACTCGGTCTTGTATGTCAAATAAGTGATTCCGTCAATAACCCTGGGTCCAAAATCAAACCCCACTTTGTCTCGCATGCTATTGCCACCATAACCTGTTGGTCTTCCATTGTTGTTGAAATCAGCAAGAGGTAGTTGCAGTATCCATGGGTACTTTCCTCTGCGTCTTTTGAGGTTTTGTAGTCCCAGGGCCTAATCATTATCTCGAGCGCAAAAACACCTCGCCCTCAGCCCACAGCGCATCCCAAGCTATCGCGCAAACTGGACTTCCCCCCCCAGGAGTAGGCTGTGTGTTTGATTTTCAGCTTCCGCTACTGTTGCTCTTGGGCAATGAACGACTGGATAGTTCCCACCTCCACATTCAGTAAAAATAGAACACTGGGTTTGGGCGATCTGCTGAGTGTGAATATGATGCTCTGGCATCATTAATATCGACTGCATGGTATACGTCGCCACGGTTGACAATAAAATAGCTAGAGCGACACGCATTGTTTATTTTGCTTTTGACTGGGCAATTTTTGACAAAATTTTGAATTAAAAACTTTTTTTTTTCGTCCTTGAAGGAAAAAAGCAAATATTATATTATAAAAGGGGATTATCATCACCCGCTTCGCTTCACTTGATGATTACTCAGACTTTTAATTGAAAATGTATTTAAATTTGTTAGAATAAGTCAGCCGTTAACACAACCGGAATATGGAAGAAAAATATGGAGAAAAAATCGGCTACCTCAATTATGTGCTACTTGAACTCTTGCTCGTCTGATGGCGGAAAATAAGCCATAGACCAATTTCTGCGCATATTTGTCTCAATCATCGTCTTTTGCCACTCTTTGCGTAAACTGAGCAGGAATCCTCAATCCCTCACTGAAGCAGTTTAGAATAATGATATGCGGGCATGCTTAGGTTTGCCGCAATATCTCTGTTCCAAAAGAAGAGCCAGCGTTAATAGACGCTGATTTGCGTGCGTGATCAGGCCATGTGGAGGGGACAGAAGGAGAGAAAAATGGTGGTACCATTAGGCTATTAAGTGTAGTGCAAAAAAAAACCCCCTACTCATTTGTTTTTGTTACCACGACTGCGGAATTTTTGTTGTTGTTTGTTTTTGTGAGGAGCATGTAGGATTTGCAAATCATATTTGAAGTAATAAAACAATTTTTGTTACTCAGATGAGATTTAATATATCAAATTATTCATAATCAAATCAGCTAAACAAAAACCAAACATGCACAGTTGGCAATAAAAAAAGGACCTGTGATTGGCACGCGACGTTTGCCTATAAGCTCTGACTGTGGGCTTTAGTTGAAAACAGTTGCTTTGTCAAATGACTGACACGAATAAAGCGAAAAAAACACCCTGTTCTTATACTACTCACAGTCAGAGTCAATTTTAAAAAATAATGAGCTTGCAATCAAGCATCGTCTATTTATAATGCAAAAATGAGCGCGCACAATGAAACTAAAATAAAAAACAACAACACAAAAAAATTCGCTGCATTATAGTTATTCTAGCTAGCATTTGTTCTGAAATAATTCATATATAAGGTACACTGCTGCATGCACTTTATTTTCTCTAAAAATTATTTAACACACCTGTTTATATAATTTAACAATGTCTTCCCACACAAATAAATCACATGGTGGCCCATCCGTCCAACCATTGGTCACTAAAAAAGATCTTGCAAAATATGAAAATTTGATGTTAACTAACAAGGCAAAGTTATTTTTTATTTGCGAGGAAGACACTGATAAACAAATGATTGACGAGTTCGAAAAACAAATCAACGGGGAACGCAAGGTTAAACATCTATTTTTTGCAAAAGTTGATCCTCCTTATGCCTTTAATGAGATTTTAAAACCAAGTGGTGTTAAATGCAAAAAGTTAATTTTATTTAATAGTGGTAGCTTAATTGTTAAGTTTAAAACTGGTAATTTTGGCTACATTGAATTTAAAATGCTTAAGTTATACAGATATAACTACTATATATCAAATAATGCGTGATGTTGAGAACTTCCCAGGGGGCCACGACCCAGGCCAGGAACCCAGGCTGAGACCCACAAGTGCACACAGATCCACTAGCCAAATGCAATGTAACATTAAAAATGGGGCTGAGTCACGTGACTGCATAGACATGAAATATCAAACGTATTTCATGCGCACAGCGACTTCTGAATAGTGAGCTCTTAAGTTTTTTGTATTATCTTTTAAGTAATATATATTACAACGGGCTTTATTTTCATTATACACGCCAATTATACCAATCGGCCGCAGCTCTACAATACTGGTTGCAATCGGGTTTACATGATTAAAGTTTAGCTCAAATGCACTGTCAAAAAGCACATCCCTCAATTCCAGTTTGATCAGGTTTGGCAATTTAGCAAACAGGTCTACAACTTTGTTAAACCCAATTGTATCATCAACCATTAGGTTTGGCAGATTGGTCCAAGAAATACACTGGGGATCCAAAATATCTATATTGTGATACAAGAAATTGCGGCTTGTCTCTGGCGATTGATTAATGAATCAATCGCCAGTTAATTCCCTACTTGGACATGCGGGAATTTATATGCACATATAAATACTAATGAATATGAACAATGGACGCTATTCATCCTTTATCTTTCTTTTAGTTCATTCAGTTCAAATATATATTTTTAACATAACATATATTGTTATAATAAGAGGGTGGTGATTTGAGTGAAGCACTAGTTGCCTGGTGTTAAAGTTATGTTTGGTGGAATTGTGAAAGCTTTTATTATCAATGGAATCAAAAGTAAAACTAGGGCCGGCCTCATATATGTATCTTGTTGTTTTTATTGTGCACTTCATCAATTATGCACTCCGTTGGTGAGAACTGGTTCTTCTGTACCCAGACTGGTGTCTTGGTGTGTCAAGGCTATGATCTTTGTATATGCACGTTTAAGTATATGCATTATGGAATGGAGGGGTATATCAGGGTGCCATTATTGTGTCCCCTGATTTGATCCTGCATGATGCCATCAATACCCTGTTAATCGGCATGTTGAGGTTAAGAATCATGAAACAAGTCCTCATCGACCTCTACTTCCATATTATTAGGTTTCTCAACAGTATTATTGCTATTTATAAAGCTGTTTTAATTAAATCTATTGATATAGCCACTAATGATAATACTTTTGATTTTTTGGCATTTACTTTAGGCAGAAACTGCCTGTTATTCTCATCAAAGTTAATATGTAAGCTTACAAGTCCAGATGAAAAAGCATCTTCACTGATAATAATAGGAACCATGGATTTAAAAGACTTTAGTTGGTAGGGATAGGTGTTGAATATAGTAATACCAAAATGTGTAACATACTGGCCACTTAAATATGGCGGTTTAATTTTTACATCCTTAACATTGGGCAACCAATTGGCAAAATACTTGGAAAACACGGATATTGCATTAATATACTTTTCAGTATTTAAATTATTGCAGTAGCTTGCAATATCAGAATCCATCAATTGAATGTTTAAATGACTTACACACGGCCATTGATTTGAGCCAAATTTCATTAACTTTTGGAGACTATTGAGTGTAAACTCTTCAATAATTAGTTCTGTTGAAGGCGGGCATAATATTGTTTTTATACCTTGCTGCTTTTTCTGGCTTTTAACAAACTGATTGTTATCCAGAATATTGTTTTCACCATTTTTTGCTAGCCTATGTGCATTTTCCTTAAATGTTTATAGTTTATCTTTTTGGACGAATCATTTATATTTAAAATACCCCAACTAAAATCCTGATCAAGGCTGACGAGTTTCAAATATCTAAGTGACTCAACATATACGTAGGGAAGGCTCTGTAATATACCAAAGCCGGCATTGATTGTCAAATGTGTGAGGTCAGGCGAAAATGATGGCGCCACAAGCGTAACTGGGTAGTAAAAATTAATTTCAGTAAGCTGATCAATGTACAAGTTGGCCAATTCGTTGAATAATTGAACATTACTAGTTGAGGTCATCTCACCCAAGCGCATTCGAGTTATTTTGGGAATGTTTTGCTTGATATTCCTGGACATATTTTTGCTTTGCTGAGCTGATATGGCAGTTTCATCAATATTAGACGAATCCTTTATACTTAAGCATAATTTTGTAACGCTTGACCATCAGTATCTTTTAAAATTTATAAATTTTTGCAACTGATCGAGACTGAGAGCTGTAATATCCAATTCTTTAAGGGCTGGAAATAATATTTAATCTGATCCAATGACTTCTTTAATATCTGATACGTCATCTAAATCTAATGTTATCTTTTGCAATCTAGAAAATAAAATATTGCTAGATTTATCTACATTGTCCATTTTTCCCCATAAAAATGTATCCAAGACATTTTTCAAAGTCAAGCTCTGAAAACTCTCAATAATTATTCGAGATATTCACCCTATAGAGTGTACAGATATCTCAGGCGTTGTCAATTGACTAAAATAAACTAATTTTGAAAAATATGATGGATCCAAATAATTAAAATGATTGAGAGTGTGCAAATACAGTTTGCATAATAATATGGCCAAATTATATAAAATATTTGTATACTCTGCAGATGAATCCAACATACAAACACTGGGCATATATTTTGCAAGCATATTGACAAAATAAACAGAATATTTTATAATCATAATTATAATCTTGTTTGTCAATACCAAAAGTAACATAATGGTCAATAATTTTAATTTTAGTAACACTGCTCCAATTGAACTGTTCAAATGGGAATATTGGGCTGACTCTGGTAATCAAAAAGTGCAGATTTTTGTCTGCATACATGGATGTGTAGGGCTTTAACCAATTGGTTGTTCCCAGTAGTCTTGATAAGATTTATATTTTAATTAACAAGTTTGTGTGTATCATCCGCGTCTTCAATTGGGTTGCTAATATATTTATTATTGCAAGAGGGGCTGTCAAAAATAGCGCTGCAATAAACCAGTGGAAAAGCTACTTTCCTCCATCCGCTACAAACGCCCAGGAGTGGCAGGTAATTTGCCTAGTTATCGGTAATGGATTTGTTGGCGTCAATGGCCTTGCTTAGAATTTGGTTAAGGACAGCAAACAGTAGCTGACTGAAACGCGACATTGTGAATACGGTGACCGATTAGATATTCAAGAGGTTTAATGCTTAAAATTGTTTTAAAAGGGGTTTAAATTGTTGAGAATACATAAAATAGGAAACCTGGGTTTTCACCAAAATCCGTGCCATCATAGCTGTTATATCCGCAAAAAAGTGAAAATGGGTATACAAATGGTGCTAAAAGCTATTTTTATAATGAATAAAACCAAATATTTTGTGTGCTTCTGTGGGATACTTTGTGCTTAATTGAAAAGAGTGCGCGTTTGTATTTTCTGCAAAGTACAAAGTATTAACAAGACTTTAGTTGTAGCCAAGTAATGAACATGGCATTCGTTATGTTAAATATATATATTAAACAAAATGAACTAAAAAAAAGCTAAGGGATAAACACCCTCCACTGTTCATATTAATTAGTATTTATGTGTGCATATGAATTCCCGCATATCCAAGTAGGGAATTAACTAGCGATTGATTCATTAATCAATCGCCGGAGACAAGCCGCAATTCTTTGTATCACAAAATTGCCTATGATGTGCTGTTAAAGAACACAGCACTTTTGCTTTATTGTTAAAATAAAATAATATTTGATCTGTTAAGCAGTTTACTTGGCACCCGAGATCAGAATAAAACTTTTATAAATGCGACTGCTATATAACATGGATTATAATTTTGTAATAAATAATGCATTTTGCGTTACTATTAGTTGTAGTATCTCCTCTTATAATTATGTGGTTAGAATGCAGCTCAAACATACAGCTAAGTTGTAATTTAAAAATCGAGACAAACGTGACAGTCATGCTTTAGCTCAGCTGATTCTATTTTTTAAGTGGGCAATTTAGCGTGAAAAATAACACTACCCTTTTTCCACAGAAATAATTAAAGTGTGCGAGTTAATAGGACAAGGTGGGTTGCATAAAAAACTTTAGCCACTATTTTTGCTGCTAAATTTTTTTGACTTTATATTATGACAGTTGGTGCTAACTGCAGCGCACATGTTAGATTTTGTTGTTGTTGAAATAAATAATAATAAATTGGTACCTTTAATAAAAAACAAAAAATTAATTTGAAAATGGAAGAATGAAAATACGTTGTGTAGTATATAATTGTGTTGTGCAAATTAAGGCTGCCTTTTTAGTTTATCTTTTCTATTATCCATTATTTTATTACATTTATTACATTTCAGTGCACTTTCTTTTTTTTGCTGCCACTCAAACCATTCTAAATTTATTTTTCCCAAAGTGGCCAGCAAGATGTCCAAAGAAATAATCAATAACAGCGAAAATATGAATCTTATATGCGTTTTGTCTAAGCTCGCATGTGCTGGCTTCGAAATAAACATGCAGGTACCTGATAGTAGGACGGCAAACAAAATTATTGAACACATATTATTTAACATGCCTTTCACAGACCGCAAGCTTATACTCAATATCGATTATAATTACATGAGGGATCCTACGGTTTCGGAATTAAAGGGATAAATAAAAGGCATAGACTGTGCATGGTGCCTATAAAAGATGAGGTCGAGCTAACGGTAGACGTGTTATTTCTACTGACTGTGAAATTCAATAGTAAAATTGAAAAGACCTATTTAACAACAAACATCAAAGTAAAGGATGTCATTGCGGATATAAGCCCTAAATTTAAATTTGAACCCAATAAGCAAATAAAGTTGAAGATGACCAAGACCAGTGGTAACGTGGAGATGGGTGATGATGATACTGTTTGGCAGCATTTTAATAAAGCCAAGCGCTTGGAGGGAACACTTTCGGCAATCGCTATGGAGTGCAACGGCAACGGTTGGGTCTAACAAGGCTAAAGAGGAGATGGGCAGTGGGTGCTTGGATTTTTTCTCTGAGCGTGTGAGTGGGAGGGGGTTTCTTATTTTTGGAACTCAGCATGTGCTTTGCTGAACGGAACTGGTCAATTTTTTAAACAACGATTGGCGGAACCAGTAAATCTTCTTTTTTGGCTGCGGGGGAGGGGGGGAGTGCTGTGACGAAAATCACATCACACCAAAGCACGCATTCACTCATCCGAAAGCGTGCATGCGTGCAAGCGTGGGGGTGGTCAAAAGTTTATCATCGGCTTGGGATGCATCATGTGTAGAGAATGCGTGTAGTAATACTACCTTTTTTCTTTCTCATTTTATTTTTCTTCTTAAATTGCAAGCAGCATAAATAAATATATACTTTTATTTCAATTATTCCTTTTTATTCCTCTTCTTCCTTCTTTTTAAACATTTTTGAAAATGACAACAGAGTTTGGTGATTACTGCTGTGGAATTGACCGGCATCTGCATGAGCTACTGGACGAGACAACTGAGCAACGACGCGACATTGAGCAGACAGGGGGCGAGTACCAGGCGCCACACATGTACCACGTGGTGCACATAAGCGAAGCCGAGAAGCTGACTGAGAACGGGTCCACGTTCATTGCGTACACCATACAGTTCGGCGACTACGAAGTGAAGCGGCGCTACAGCGAATTCGAGTCCCTGCGCAGCCTTCTCTGCCGACTCTACCCAACGTTTATAGTCCCGCCTATCCCCGAAAAGCACTCGCTGACGCAATACGCGGTTCTTCAGAAGCGGGCCAAGGAGGACCAGTATATAATTGGGCGGCGCAAGCGCATGCTGGAGCATTTTTTGAACCATCTTGTGGAGCATCCGATTTTGAGCAGCGAGCATATTATGCATCGGTTTTTGGAGAACGGCGCGTCGTGGACAGAGGTGCTGCATTCGCCGATTATCACGGGGCTCCCCAGGTCACCGCTGCATTCGTCGCCGTCGCGGGCGCCCGGCTCATCCATTGCAGACGGGAGCAGTGTGCAGCTGCCCAAGATTGCAGCTGCCAACAGCTTTGCGTGCGATGTGGCTGTCCCCAGCGGCGTCCTAGCGCCAATAAAAAACATTGATGCGCGGTGGATGGACTGCGAGCTTTTCACGAATAGGTTTATACAGCAGTTTTCGGGCAACGTTGAGAAGAACCAGGCGCGGGTCTACCGCAAGCTGGGCGAGCTGGCTGGCGACTACTCCGAGCTGGGGGCGGCACTGAATGGGTTCAGCCTGCTGGAGCACCCGGAGGCGTTGGCTGCGGCAATTGAGAGCGCCGGGCAGGCGGTGGACAGCTCGTACATCGAGATCAACCAGCTGCTGAGCCAGATGGAGGCCGAGGTCGCGGAGCCCATCCACGAGTACTCGCAGTACGCCATGGTCATCAAGCAGGTTTTGCGGTTCCGGTTGCTGAAAAACTTGCAGTTGGACGGCGTGCAGGAGGCCCTTGTATGGCAGCGGTCCAAGCTCGACGGGCTTCTGCAGGCAGACGACGAGGCCAAGAGGCTGGCACAGGCGCTCGAGTCGTCCAGCAGCAGCAACCCTGTCACTCAGAGATCGACGCCGGCTCCCGAGCCAGCTTGTCGCCCGAGCGTGGCTGAGGGCAGTGATGACGAGGACGCCAGCTTGCTAGATAATGAGCTGCCATCGCCACGGGCTGCGTCTGCGGCCCAGCAGCAGCAGCCAAAACAGCAGAGGGATAATTCAGCTTATTCACCGGCGCTGGGTTTTGCAGCGTCCGAGCAAGCGACGAGGCAGCGCGGCCGCAGTGTATCGACCGCCAACCATCATGGCGAGTTCGCGCCGACCTTGGCGTCGCGCGCGTTGGGCAGAGACACTAACAATGCCAGGCCGTTTTCGTTTGCCGGTATGCCGCAGACCCGGGTGATGGCGCGGTCGCGAGCAGGCACAGGGGCGAGCATCGGGTCGGCGGTTGAGCCTGGATCGATGAGTCCGGCTGAGTCCGAGGATCCGCTGGCACTGTTCCAACAGGAGGAGTCGCAGCTGTGGGGCGGTGGTACGCCCAGTACTCTGCCTCGGTTGGGCGCTAGTGCGCGGGCACGTGGTCCGCTGAAGAGTGCTGGTGGCAGCGGCAGCGGCAGCGGTGGTCTTTGTGAGAGCATGGTTGATGATGGCGGGCTAATTCAACACCAGCAGAGTTCACCAAAGAACATGGCGCGCTCGGAGTATATCGGACAGGCCGCGCCACTGCTAGGCAGCTCGAAGCGGGCGAGCATGGCGGCGTCGACGCCGGCGCTCAGAGAGCCATCGGAGGCGTCGGGCAAATTTAGCGGTCGCTACGATCTGGCTCCAGCCCCGGCTCCAGTGTCTGCGCCCGTGTCGCATGGCAGCGAGCCAACAAGCGGGTCGCCCGAGTCGTCGTTTGGCATGCGGTTCCTGCGGACTCCCAAGGTGCTGGGGGACGGGATCATGAGCCGGCTGACGTATGCGCTGAACGGAATGATGGACGTGGATCCGGAGCAGCTGCGGCGCAACCAGATTGGGCGTGCGTCGGACCGCATTGGGGTTCTGGAGGAGCAGCTGGAGATGCTGAGCAATGATTTGGCGCTAATCAACACGAGCACGCAGGACAACTTGGATCGGTTCCAGAAGCAGAAAATGCGCGAGCTGAAGGGCGTGCTTATTGCCACGGCCAAGATGCATTTGGAGTGGGCTGAGAAAAATCTGGAGATATGGAAGGACGCCAAGGAGGCGGTTGACGGAGTGTGAGATTTATAATACTTTCATCCATTATTTTTTATCATAAACAGTTTTTTTCATTATATTTGTTTTGGTGGATTTGGATTGTTTTTGTGTTGAGGAAGAGGAGACAGCAAGGCATCTTGTGGTCAATGGATTTGCTTTCTTTTCTTTCTTTTTGTCCCTTTTTTATTGTTTGTCAATTTGGCTTTTTTTATCGCTCTTGTTGCTGTTCACTTTTTTTTTTAAAAATACATTCTTATTCACGTTTATTATTATTCGCAACAAAAAAGGCATCGCTCTTTTTCCAGTTTTTACATTTTCAAGCGACGTTATTATACTCCTATTAAGCGGTTCAATTTAGAGACGCCCTCCTAAAAACAATGGACGATGACCATTCAACGACCAGCAGCAGCAGCAGCAGCAGCAACACACCGCCACCAGCCACTTATCTCTCTACCCCGGTCTCGCGCCCACCACCACCCAAGTTCTCCACGCATTTATTCACACCCCAACTCAGCAGCAACAGCATGGACTCTTCTCTTTTAGGAGGGCATGGTGATGGCATTTCGTCCTCATCCACAGTTTCAATGAAGCGTTCTCGTGCAGAAATAGCCACACCCCAAAAGCCCGGCAGCCAAGCATTGCGTCTGCAAGAGCAAATGTCATTTATCGAGACTCCCGGAAGAGCACCTTCGGCGGCGAAAATGGCGAAAATGGCACGGTCTCAGTCGCCCACGCCATTGTCTGCTGGAAACGCTGGCGAGGAGGAAGAGGAGGGCGAGCGTATGTTGGTGTTGGGAACTGGATTGCTGTCAATGAGCGAGGAGGAAAGCTCGATGGTGCGGTTTTCGGACGATGACGAGGAGGAGGGGGATATGGGAGATGAGGGCGAGGTTACTTTAAGGTTGTCGTTACCGGTTTTGGAACTAAGGCCGAAGAAAGACAAGGGCCAGGGCATGCGTGTTGGTTTGGATATGGAGATTGATAGCGAGGATGATGTAGAGGATGTGGATGAGGATGAGGATGCGAGGGTGTTTGGGGTAAGGGGGCGCTCGGTTAGCGATTTGGACAATGCTGATGCGACCGTTGTTGCTGGATTGAGCTTTTCGGAGGACAGCGAGATTGAGTTTGGCGCGGGGCTGGATTCTGGGAATGCGGTGGCGGGTGTATTTCGGGACGCATCGACAGAGGAGGAGGCGAGACCAGTGCCCTCAGTGGCTGGGCCTGAGCCAGTGGCTGAGTCAGAACCAGTGACAGAGCCAGAGCCGGTGACTGAGCCAGAGCCGGTGACTGAGCCAGAGCCGGTGACAGAGCCAGAGTTGGAGGCTGAGCTAGAGCCGGTGGCTGAGACAGTGGCTGAGACGGTGACTGAGTCGGAGACAATAGCTGATCCGGAGCTGGTGATTGAGCTGGAGTTGGCGACAGAGACAGACAAAGGCAAAGAGGTGGGGCATGAGAGCACTGATTATGAGATGGCTTTGGCTGATACTGAGGACGCTGCCGCCGAGGCCGCTTCCATGGACGTAACATCGCCTGAGCCGGCACCGACACCGGCACCCGGGCCCGAGCTGGTCTCCGCCAGGATCTTGTCCGACCCCGAGCTCATGTATGCGGCGTCCATCCCGCTTCCCAACACGCCGGCGGTGGCGGCAGACCAGAGCACGCCGAAGCGCGCGGCGCCGGGCGACTTTTACATTCCGGCCGACTGGCTGATGAACCCGAACAGCGAGACGCAGCAGCAGCGGCAGCAGCGGGCTAGTCGGCAACCCGAGTCCCCGCTCCAGCGGTTTTCGGCAATGCCGAGCGCTGACCATCCGCACTCTGGTGATCTAATCCCGGTAACGCCAGCGAATCAGAAGCTGCTAGACAGCCTGGAGATCCAATGGGTGTCGCCGCGGCTGGTGGCCAAGTTCAGTGAGGCGGACATGGAGGCGGAGCGGCTCAGCTTCGATGAAAAACTGGGGCAGCGCGACGAGCTACACCGGATGATCATGGAGAGTGTCAAGGAGGAGTTTGCCGCCCAAATGCGGCAGGCCGAGCAGGCAGCGGAGGACGCAGCCCAAAGGGCGCGCGACCTGGCTCAGCGGCAAATGGAGCAGGTGCAGCGGGAGCATGAGGCGGCGTTGCGCGCGCAGCGAGCGCAGCATCGCGAGGAGATCCAGCGGCGCGACGAGGATACGCGCAGCCAAGTGGCAGAGCTCAGCCGCGAGATCGAGAATGCGCTTGCGGAGCGCATGGCACTGGTGGAGGACCGCGACGCGACGCAGGCAACGCTAGAGCAATTGATGGCTGTGTCGACGGCACTAGAGGAAGAGAAAAACCAGCATATCCATGGGCTGGAGCAGGAGCTCGGTAGCCTGACGGTGGAGCGGCGCCGGCTGCTGCAGCAGCTGGCGGAGGCTTTGACAGCTGCCGAGGAGCTGAGCGCGGAGCGCGACGATGTTGTCAAACGCGTCGAGGCGCTGACGCTGGAGAACGTGCGCATGGAGGAGCTGGCGAACGCACTGGGGTCGGACGTGCTGGTGGCTGAGGAGCGGTCGACGAAGATCAAGGAGTATGCGGAGAGCACGCTGGCTGCTGCTAATGCGGAGATCGCTAGTGCTCATGATCAGCTGGGCGCGCTGCGGCATGAGGTTGGTTTGCTGCGGACTCAGAATGCAAAGGCGGAGAACCGTGCGCGGTCTTTGCAGATCCAGCTGGACTCGACAAAGCGCCAGAACGAGGAGCTGGTGGCACACTACAACAGCATGTAGTAAACCTTTTTTTCTAATTCGATGTCATTTTTCTTCCTTTTTCGTTTTCACTTAATACTCCTTTCTATTATTGTGTTGTGTTGCCTTTGAGTGCTTGGGTCTAAATGTGAAGTGCACTGTTTGCTCTTTTTTTCTTGCGCAAACATGTAAGTGTTTTCTAGTATATCATAGAAAGACAATCGAAATTGAAAATTTGCAAGTATACAATGCGTATCGAAGTGTTTAATTGATATTGTTGTTCTGAATAGATTAAATTGAAAATGAAAACTGTGAATGCCAGAATTGAATGCAATATGTGGTGGCTTGTCTAGTGGCATTGTCCCTAGATGTAATTTTTCGCTTGCAGGCTCCCTCATATTCACCAAAAAACTAAATAATAATAATAATAATAATAAATACATTTCCTTTGCGTTCCCGACTCCTTGCTCCTTCTTCTCTTCCAACATTGCTCTGCAACTTTTTTCCTCTCTTATTTTTCCGTACTATATTTTTTTGCTTTTATCCTTCCCGCATATTACATTTTCCTTATAACCTCTCAATTATGCATTTCCCAACCATCTCCAGCGTTATTTTCCTTCTCTCCACCAGCTCATCCCTCGCCGCACCTTTTTCCTTTGTTTTTGGCCATGGATTAATCGACCCATTGACAGGCTCAGGCCAGCGCACCCAGGGCGAGAGCTCGATGGATGCCATGGGGAACTCGTTCCTGCGTGTCGACCAGGATACGCGCGTGGTTGGCCAGCGCGTGGTTGGCCTTGTTCAGAACTCCGTCGATGCGCCGAATGGCCCGGCAATTGAGGGTAATGGAATTGCAGCGGTTTTTGTCGAGTAAACTTTGAATTATTTTTAATATATAATGTTTATTCAAGTTATAACAAATATGTGTATGTAGTTGTGTATGTGGGTTATTAGCCATGTCTTATATTTGAGAATGGATAAATTTGTACCAATTTTTCAGTATTGAATCTTCATTTCCTATTGAGTAGTATGATATTCGATATTCAATTAGGGATAATAAACCAGCTACCTGATAATATAAAAGTAAATGATAAAAACAAGAAATCTGCCACAGTTAAGGCAACATGCAAAGCCATGTTGCCTTACTGAGATTAATTGATTACGCGCGTGGCAATTAAGAAACGATGATAAGTTTTTATTATAGTTTACTTATGTGCCAAGTAGAGCATATAAGGAGTGGCTGTTGGGCAGCCAGGAATTGTTCTCCTTGGAAGAAATACTTTACTAAATTCTGCTCTATTCATTTCTCCCATTTTCATATATTGAATCCTTCTATCCTATTCTATTCTATTCAATTTTATTTTGTTCTACGTGTTGCACAGACTGAAAATATGGAAGTGGATGTTGAGGTTGTGAATCGCGAAACAAGTTCCCACCTGCATGCCGATTGATAGGGCATTAATTTAATCATGCAGGCATAAATTAGGAAGGCATAATAGTGATACCCAGATATGCTCCCTATTTTTGCAACGCACGCGCATGAGCGCACATATGCAAAAAACCACAGCATTGGCTTGCCAAGATACCAGTCTGCTCGTAGAAGATTCAGTTCTCCCCAACAGAGTGCACAATTGGCGAAGTCCACAGCAAAGGCGACAAGGCACATATATAAGACGAGACCGGCGCTAGAAGTATTTTAGAAACGTTAGTAATAAAACCCTTTATAAAATCACCCCTACATTTCTAACACTAGACAACTAGTGCTCCTCACACCCCCCTCTTACATAACATACACAGCAGCATAATTTTTGTCCCGTTTCCGCCCGCTTCCTTTATTTTTATTTTCATTTTTACTCTTAAAAAATAAAAATAAATAGGCTACTTTATATAATGGAAAAATACTATAATGCAGCCTTCGTGTTTTCTTTTTAAATATTTACTCTTGCATTTTCTTCTTTTTTTATTCCTTTGACCACGAGAGTGATGAATTAAAGAAAAAGGATGAAAGGAAATATTTCATTATAGGTGCGGTATTTTATTTTAAAAATCCTGAACAAAGGCAAGAGAGAGAGAGAATAAAAAAAACAGGATAGAAAATAAATACCCCTATTTTTTTTAATAAAATACCAGGGAGTATTTGTAAGTAGATTTGGGTGTAAAGGTTTTATCAAGGGATAATATAAAACTATTGCCATATATCCATCTCTTTTCCACTATATTTTTTATTAATTATTTATATGTTAGCTAATATTCATCAAGAAAAAATTATTCGCTAGCTTTAAAATATACACAACCCACCCACCCATTACTCTATATTACCAATGCTTTTTAATGCACTGCCGGTTGTTGTTCGAGAAAGAGTTATTCAGCTTGTGGTTGAGGAAAACTCAGTATGTCTTGCGACATGGAAGGAGAATATGAAACTTCTGGCGGTTTCACACGAGTGGAGAGAAATGGCCAAACGTCTGGTATACAAAAATGCATTTATAACCAATAACGGCAGTGAAGAAAAAGAAAGCAACAACAGTGATACTAAGGTACCGAAGCTCTTCACAAACATTGGATTAATCCAATCTACCAACAACGTACATATGGTCAAACATTTCGACCTCTACTTGCAAGAGCACCAGCTGACAATCGCTTCCCTCCAGCAACTATCTCAGATATTTAATTTTACATCAACTAAATGGGAAAACGTTAAATTCTTCAACGTCTCCATGTACCTGGACTACCGCAGTCGCAGCGTCAATGACGACCACGAGTATGTGTTTGCACAATGCCCAGAGCTGGAAAAACCAATGGGTCGGTTTGCCAACCGCATGATACAGCATATGCCGGGAGTCACTGGGCTGAGGCTCAAGTCGCATGAGTGCGACAGGGTTGCCGGTGTATTCTGCAACAAGCTGGCCAACGCTTATGCGCGCCAGCTCGCGTTTTTGGACTGCAGCATGGAGCTTACTTTTACAGTCGGCGGGGCGTTTTCGGATAAGCTGGAGCACCTGAGTATTAGACCGCGGATGGCGGCTGGAAGCAGGAGGCTTCTTCCTAGGGTTAATCCCGGGGCACTGCGATATTTAATGCTTGGTGGGCTGTCGGCAGACTTTTCGTGGAAATATTTCGAGGATGGATGGTCCCGCAATGGCAATGGCAATGGCAATGTGCAGTTTGATAACCTGACAACGCTGGAATTGAACTTTGAGACCATGATGGATGACATTGAGGTTGCAATGTCCCGAATGCAGCACGCCAGCCTGCACACTGACGAAACGCAACTTAATGTGTTGTTTCCCAAGCTCGCCGACATTGTGATCAACGGCAACCCCATTGACAGCAAGATAATCACCTCAGCGAGCATGCCCTCGCACATTGATTCGCTGACTGTTATGGAGTCGCTCGAGACGCTGAAGGTCAGCTCGGAGCTGCAGACATTCTCGATCGGCAGGCTCACGGCAATCCTCAACCTGGACTACTACACGAGCAAGTCTGAATTTTACCGCATAACCAACCATCTCTTTGGCCGCTCAAGTAACTGCCAAGAGGTAGTGCTTGAACTGCGCAATATTCCATTTGACCTAGACCCAAAGCGTCTTGAGTGGGACAAGGTCATGGAGCTGACCATCAGCAATGTCATCGACTACACTCTGCTTACCCAGGTTATCTCAAGTTTACCGAATTTGCAGGATCTCGTGGTGTCGCAGCTTTCCAGTAATGAGGTTGCCGATGATATGCTTAGTGTGAATTGCGTGGATAATGAGAATGAGCTGAAGATTAAGACGGAGTGTTTGAGAAGTGTGTGGTTTTTGAATCCGGCGGATGATAGTTTGAATGAGGCGTGTGCGCTGTGTGTGCATCATTTGGCTTTGCAGGTGCCGTCGCTGGCTAATATAAGAACTTTTTATTTTGGGCGTGATGAGATGTATGACCTTGTGGAAGAGTTTCAACATGATTATCCTCACCTGCAGATGCTTAATATTATTGATTGATTTTTATTGTTCTTTTTCTTTTTCTTTTTCATTTCTTCTAAACCAACAAAAATAATTATTGTAATCCTAAATGATATGCTTTTATTACATTGTTCTGTGCTTTTTCTAGGCTACAAATCGAAATCAATATATCAATGTATTAATATTTATTTATTTAAAAGTAAAAAAGCAACATGCATTTATTTTTGTTTCAAGTGGACCCAACAGTTATGCCGTGCTTTTGGGCCAGCTCCGGATAATACTTGACGCCCACATCCCTATGCGACGAAATACGATTCAGCACGGCATAAAGCCCGGGGTCCTCCCTATAAACCTGCGAAAACTGATGTCCTGAATCCGTCACCACGTCAACTTTGCGCGGCTCCAAAACCTCCGGCGCCAACCCGTCTACAGGCATTAATTTTCGATCCAGCCTGGCGCCCTGGAAAAACGCCACGGAGTATCTTGGGCCTCTATGCGCTGGTGGATTTAAAACTCTATGAGTGGTCGCCACAGCAACGCCCCTCACAAGGTACTCCAGGCCGGTGCCAATATTGACCACAAAGGTGTTGGGTACCGTGGGGGCGTCAATCCAGTGGCCCGCGTGGTTCTGTACCTGGAGCCCGGGCAGATTCGATGCCTGATAGAGGATAGTCAGGAGGGAGGCTGTGTCCCTGTGTGCGCCAACACCCTGGTCGCCGTCATCTTGGTGGAGCTGGTCGATGGCCGGGTACTTTATCAGCTTCCCCCGGTGTTGCTGGCCAGGAACCACGTACTGGTCCAAAAGAGCCCCAGGGTGCAGCCCCAGGGCCTCGGCCACCAGGCTGATGAGCTCCGAGGAGAGATCCAGCGCCTGGCGGTGGAATTCAAGAATGGTCTGGCGAAACCCGGGCAACACATCATTGCTAGGCCAGAGGTTGGGGCCCGTGAGATGCTCGTGGATGCGCTGTACAGGCTCATTTGGCACTGGTGCTGGCAGCTCATTGGCGAAATCGAATTGTTCGCGGTTATCCTTTTTGTTTTTTGTTATCTCGTTGCCCTGGGTGCTGTAGCCGAGGAAGGTCGGGGAGTGGATTTTGTCAGATTTGTGTTTTTCTTCAAGTGGCAGGTCGAAGAATCCGGTGGTTTGTGTGGTGAGCGCTTGGAGGAAAGTTGCTGGGATGGAGTGGTTTTTGATGTAGAAGAAGCCAACATGGATGAGCGCATGACGGAGGTCGGAGAGGAACTGCTGCTTGTTTGTTGTGGCTTGGTTCAGATCGAGGATCGGGATCGAGTCAAAATCTGGCGATGCCATTTTCTGTTTAAGTAAAAAATAAAAAAGTATGTATTGTAGAGATAGAGGGAGGCAAGATGAATGTGAGGTTCTTCAAAAAGGATGTAAAGCTATGGATAGATATGTTTTCTCATTCTTTTATATGTGTTTTGGTTTCCTAACTATTGCGTGATTTGCCGCCATGTTGACGACATAACCATCTGAAAGAAAAACAAGCCGAAGATCAGGCCAGGCCCAGGCGACTTGCGGCTGACGAAAATTTGTCTGTGCGTAGATGGGGAGGGGTTGTACTATGGCACTGTGCATTTATTGCATTTTTGCATCTGGCCAATGCTCTGAGCGAGCGATGACGAAATTATTTTCAATGTTTGGTTTGCCTGGCTGTCGTTTATTTTTAAATATTCAATCCTAATAGTATCTGATAATCCATAAATCCACAGATCTGATCGATCAGAGGAACCAACATCATTGTCCCGAAAAAGCAAAGTGAATCATCATTATTGTTATTCTATTTTTTTTTGCTGAAGAACAACAAAATAATAAACAATTTTTTTTATTTTTTCATTTTCTTTTGTTGACAAAACAATAAAATAAATCCAAATTCAACTTTAATATTAAACCAATTTTTTCCCCCTTTTTTTAAAACATGAGCGATGTGGAACAGCTTCGTAAGCAGGTAGATGAGCAGGCGCTTACTGTGCGCCAGCTGAAGAGCAGCAAGGCTGATAAGGAGCAGGTTACTGAGCAGGTTGCGCTTTTGCTTGCGCTTAAGGAAAAACTGCGTATTGCTGGTGGCGATAACAGCAACTCTTCATCTGGTACCCCCGCTGCTGCAACACCAAAGGCCTCCGGTGGAAACAGCGAGGCTGGAAAGAGCGCTGGGTTCACACTTAAAACTGCAAAGGTAACTTTTTTAAATAGAAAACTCCCCCTGTATTTGTTGAACTTTGGACATTTTTGACACAGAGCCCAATTTAGCGCAAGCTAACTTCAGCTTCAAATCCAATAATACACTCATAAATTCACTGTTTTTTTTGCTAGGGAACCAAGGACTACACCGCCAAGGAGATGGCAGTGCGCAAGGAGATCTTCGCAACACTCACGGAAGTATTCGAGAACCACGGCGCAGTGACGATCGACACTCCAGTGTTTGAGCTCAAGGAGATTCTGATGGGCAAATACGGCGAAGACAGCAAGCTAATCTACGATCTCAAGGACCAGGGCGGCGAGGAATGCTCCCTACGGTACGACCTGACGGTTCCGTTTGCGCGTCACGTGGCAATGAACGGTATCACGAACATCAAGCGGTACCAGATTGCCAAAGTGTACCGCCGCGACCAGCCGGCGATGACCAAGGGTCGTATGCGCGAGTTCTACCAGTGCGACTACGATATCGCTGGCGCGTATGATGCGATGATTCCGGATGCTGAGTGTGTGCGGGTGACGGTTGAGGTGCTGACCCGGGTGGATGTCGGCCCGTTTGTGGTCAAGATCAACCACCGCAAGATCCTCGACGCCATCTTCGACGTCGCTGGAGTGCCTGAGGAGAAAGTGCGGATGATTTCGTCGGCCGTTGATAAGTTGGATAAGCTGCCGTGGGCGGATGTCCGCCGGGAGATGGTCGAGGATAAGGGCCTGGACGGCGCCGTGGCAGACCGCATTGGCGAGTACGTGCAGCTGCGTGGCGGCGCCGAGCTGCTGGACAAGCTGGAGGCGATGCCCGAGCTGATGGCCAGTGAGAAGGCGCGTGAGGGCGTCCAGGACATGCGCCTGTTCTTCCGCTACGCTGCGATCTTTAACGTGGTCGACTACGTGTCCCTGGACATGAGCCTGGCGCGCGGCCTGGACTACTACACGGGCATTATCTACGAGGCTGTTCTGGTCGAGGAGAACGTGCGTCCGACGCAGGCGCAGCCGACAGCGACTGGTGCCAAGGAGGTCAAGGAGGGCGGCGACATTGACGAGTCGCAGGTGCGCGTCGGCTCGATTGCTGCTGGTGGCCGCTACGATAAGCTGGTCGGCATGTTTTCGGCGTCGCGCCGCACCAAGGGCAAGGGCAAGGCTGCGGACGTGCCTTGCGTCGGCATTTCTTTCGGCATCGAGCGGATCTTCTCTGTGGTCTACAGCCGCATGCAGAGCGCTGAGGTCAAGGCCAACCGGACCAAGGTCTACGTCATCAGCCTGCGCGACGGACTATTAGAGGAGCGCCTGCGGATCGCCACGGAGCTGTGGGACTGCGGCATCGCCACGGAGTTTGCGTATAAGGTGAAGCCTCGGTTCCAGAACCAGCTGAACACGTGTGATTCCGAGGTCATCCCCTGGGCCGTGCTGATTGGCTCGGAGGAGGTCGAGCAGGGGCTGGTGAAGCTTAAGAGCATGGCTAAGGACGTCAGCGCTGAGGAGAAGAGCGGAGTTGCTGTGAAGCGCGAGGACATGGTTGCTGAGCTGAAGAAGCGCCTGGGAATAATGCAGTAAGAGAGAAAGAAAAGAAAAATGCGAGGCGCCTGGTGATTGATTTAGATTATGTGATCACCATACAAGAGGAAGCTGAGAAATAATCCTTTCTTTATCTTAGGGCTTGGTGTGATGAATGGTGTTTGACATTGGTCGTTTTTTTAATTTTTAATTTTTTTGTTTGGAAATTCGACTTTTTTTTTACTCTCTTTTTTTCCCCCTTGCTTCGAGTGAATTGATAACAACACTTTTATTTTCCTCTTATTTCATTTGTTCCCCCCCTCGATTTGACAAAACGAAATAAATAAACATGAGCTCTCACACGCAGGAGGATTCGAAAAAGCCAATCTACGATTCGCATTTGCGCGAATACCCAGCCATTCCAGCAACTCAGTCGCCCAGCCACCTCTCGCTCATTCTCGGCCAGCTCCGACACACCACGCGTGATCTCGCCGCGCAAACGCAACACTACGGACAACTCCTGGTGAATCACTGGATCCTCGTTGAGCAAAAAATCGCCCAAACCGTCAGCAACACCGTACCCCAGGGTGAGAAGCTGGCTCCTGGGATCATATACGTTGGAGTGGCAGCATTGGCGGGACCTATTTTTACGAGGAAGCGTAATTTCGCAGTGCGTTGGTGTTCGCCGTTTGTGTTTGGAGGATTGGCGGCGGGGTATTTTTTGCCTGGAACAGCGCAGGTGGTTTTGCGGAATGTTTGGGGCAGGTATGGGGATCCGAAGAGTATTGATCAAGTGGCGGCGACTTGGGAGAATGTTAGGAGGAAGGAGGCTGAGGTGAAGAGGAGTTTGGCTGGGAGTGTGCAGGAACTCAGGCTGTCGTTGCAGGAGGGAAGGGGGTTTGGAAGGGCTAATGACCAGGAGCAGCAGCAGCAGCAGCAGAAGACTGCTAGTGTGCGGAGTGTTGTTGGTGCTGTGAGGGATGCGGAGGCTGTTGTGGCTGAGAAGGCCTTGGCTGTTGTGCAGAAGATCGACGATGTTGTTGCTGAGAAGGTCGAGCAGTCGAAGAAGAGCCTTGAGGAGTCGAAGAAGGCCTTTGAGGAGTCGAAGAAGGCTGGCTCCAATGCTGCCAGGACTGCTCTTAAGGAGAACGAGAAGGCACAGCAGCAGCAGCAGCAGAAGCAGCTGCCTCTGGGCTTCAAGAGCAACGTCGATAACTGATTATAAACAGCCTTTTATTACATTCTCACGTAACCCCGCGCCTGTGTTTTGGTTGGGTCACAGATATACAAATACAAAAAATTCACATTTAAAAATAACATGTTCAAAAAAGACAACCCTTCTGGAAACAAAATCCACTCAAATTAGCACAATATCCATTGGGGGTTTCTTTATATTTTATTAGAATCCAAAACAAAGAGAAAGAACAGAGTGTATTTTAAATTAGCAAAAAAAGATTAAATAAAAAAACGCAAGTCTTTTCTCTCTGAATTTTCATACTCAAAAAATGAGCACAAGATGCTTAGTAGAAGTAACCAAGGATCTTGCCACCAAGGTGACGACGACGAGCATCCTCGTGGTCCATAATACCAGCCGAGGTGGTCATAACAATGAAACCGAACTGGCGGGAGGGCAGAAGATCAGCAACCCACTGCTCGATATCAGCAACCTTGATGGGGAAGCGGGGGGAGATAACACCGCACTTGTTGAGACGGCCGTTAAGCTGAATAACAATCTTGCCCGCACGGTGGTCGTCGACGATCTCGAACTCACCAATGTAGCCGTGCTTCTGCATGACCGAAAGGAACTTGATGATGACCTTGGAGCTGGGACGGATCAAAACCTGGCGCTTTCCGCGACGCTCGGCGTTGCTCATGCTCTTGAGGCAATCGTTAAGGACGGAAACGCGGACCATTTTTAATTATGTTCTAAAGTTTTTAGAAATTAAGGTGTAGAGGGATTTAGCAGGTTGAAATTTAAAAATAAAGAGGACGCACGCATGCGTTGGTTCGCTGAAAAGAAAAAAAAACTATAATATGGAAAGGGAGATTGGAAGGGATTGGAATTCGCCACGGAAAATAACAAAGTATGAGTGTCTTGGTTCAAAGTAACAGCAGCCAGCCCATTCAGCACTAGCTGCTAGTGCTGTTTTTGCACAACATTGTGACCTTTTAAAAACATAAAACCGCGCACAACACAACACTCAATACTAACCGAAAAGACAAATGTTCTCTAATGCAGACATAAAAAACCCACCTTTTTGAATTCAAAATTCAATATTTCAATTTCAAAAAGATTCTGGTTTTTTATGTCTGAACAATTAGAGCCAATCCCAAAGTATGCAGAATGCCCAGGTCACACGAATCCATCCTAATAGATATCTTCTGTGTGGGGGGTCGCATCCATTCCTTCCCATTCTAGTTCTCTCTTATTTATATATCCTTGTCCGTTGCATTTTTGGGATTGTGTACCTACCGTTTATTACAAAAAAGATTGTTATATTTGCGAAAGGAAGATTCAAAATTACATGCTAGCTGTATGCGATGGATTCAATATACTCTGTTGTGAGTGCAATGAATTGAAAAAATCTCCAAAATCTCCAAAAACATCAAAAAAAACAATTTCTTAATCGCAAAATCAGTTAATCACAGAGATCCCTTGGCAGCATCAAGCACGCCACCAACAAGATGCAGACTGCCAGTCGCCAAAACCCTGGTCGGAGCACTACTGCTCTTTGCACCAAACCTGCCTTCGACATAGTCAACCGCAGCGTTGATATTCGGCATCACACTGACATCCGTGCAGCCAGATGTCTGCGTCCACAGGCGCGCCGACTCTCTCTGTGCCGCCAGCGCCTGGTCATCCAGCACAGTGAAATTCGCGCTGTCCGCGCGCATCGACAGATTCGGACAAAACACAGCAGCGACAAAATTGCATTGAGCCGAAGTGTGTCGCCAAAGCGTTTCCAGCAATGCCTGGGCATTGCGGTCATGGGCGGCGTTAAACAGGAGGACGCAAGGGGCAGAGCCAGAGCCACCAGTGGAGCCAGAGCCACCAGTGGAGCCAGAGGCAAACCACTGGGCGCAGGCCGCCATACTCTCGGGCGTGTGTGCGCCGTCAACGTGCCATGTGAGCGCAGAGCAGCGTGGGGAAACGAATTTCTGCGAGCGACCGGGCCAATGTGCCGTGCGCAGTCCGTCGGCCACCCACCGGTTAATGGCACATGGGTTGGCGTCGGGCAGCTTGCAGCGAATCCACTCGCGGCTCAGTGCCTCGGCCAGCGCCGCGTTGGTGCGCTGGTGGTCGCCCGGAATTCCCAGCGCGCGGCCGGCGGCTGTTTCCGACGCATAGTTGGCAACAGAGAGCTGCGCCTGGCGGTCATCGGCGCGCTGCGCAATGACACGCATGGCTTCTGGCGGCTGCGGCACAGTGAAGACCGGCACATGCGGCTTGATAATGCCAGCCTTGTGCCAGGCAATCTCCCCGATAGTCGACCCGAGCGCACCCTGGTGGTCAATGCCCAACGACGCAATGCCGCAAACCACTGGCCGCCGCACAACATTGGTCGAGTCGTACTGGCCGCCAACACCCACCTCAACAACAGCGACGTCGACGCCTTCGGCAAGAAACGCGTGGAATGCCATCAGCGTCAGGAACCGGAAGTACATAGGCATTGTGGGTGACTCTGGTGTCACCAGCCGCAGCGGCGGCTGGTGGCTCCTGAGCGCGTTGAATGTCTCGTAAAAGTACTGCGCGAACTTGTCCTGCGACAAAGGCTGTCCGTTGATCTGGATGCGCTCGCGGACTTCGATTAGGTGCGGCGACGTGAAGAGCCCGACCTTGAGCCGCGGCTGCAGCTCCGGCTCCGATGCCGTGACTTGCTGCAGGACGCTGCTGACAAAGGCACAGGTCGAGCCCTTGCCCTTGGTGCCCGTCACGTGGATGACATTGAGCCTGTCGAGGTCGGCGACCGGGTGCCCGATTTTCTCCAAAAACGCCTCGAACTCGGGGATGCTGGACTCGTTGATTCTTCCGCCCGACGCCTTGATCTGCTGGATGATCTGGTAGTTTGTCTGCAGTCCGTTGAGGTCTCTGACGGCCGAAAGGTACGATTCGTCAGCCTGCATTGTGGGGGCGGTGGTGATGTTTCTAGCTGTGCTGATAATCGGGGTGTGTGTGGAAAGCAAAGAAGAGAAACGCTTGGATGCTGGTTTATCTTTTCTTTGTGTGATTGCTGTTACTTTGGCTGTTATTTTTGCCGGAAGAGTTGGGGAGCAAAGTCTGATGCTGCTGATGCTCCTGCGCGGTGTTAATACGCGGTTGTCGAAATAGGAAAGAGACAGAATGCCGTATTGCGCCTTGTTTTCCAGCAGCACGTATGAGCGACAGTGCATCAACCCTTTGTTGCGTTTTGAGCTGGTGCGAGTTGTAGACACACTTATAAATAAGCAAAACGAGCGATCAAGAGAGAGCGAAAGAGCGAAGGAGAGCGAGAACGAATAAAAAAGCCATGTACTGACACTAAGCAAAACAAAAAATAATTATTAGCCTCTTATTTATTTATTTTCCTGTTGGAAATTTGCCCCGAGTCTGGGCCGGCGGATATCTTATTTTTCCACTCTTTTTTCTTAGTTCTTTCCAGAGGCGAGTGCAATTGCAGCGTTGCGCGTTGCGGAAAAATAAAAAAATGACACTGATGATGATGATGATGAAGCGCTGATTTTTTATTTTATTTTTATTTATTCTTTTCGCCCTCTTATTCAATTCAATTTTTAATTCCACCCTTCTTTTTTATATACTATTATCTTTTTCATAACCAATTAATTTAAATTTAAATTAAATGGCCGGCGCAACATCCGCCACCGAGGGCAAATCCAAACGCCCGTCAAACACGGCGTTCAAGCAGCAGCGGCTGCGCGCATGGCAGCCACTTTTGACTCCCAAAAGCGTCCTCCCAACCTTCTTTATAATCGGGATAATATTTGCGCCCATCGGCGGCTGGCTTCTGTGGGCGTCCGGGCGCGTAAATGAGCTGCGAATCGACTACACCAACTGCGACCAATTGAGCAACACGCTGACGCCGCTGTCCACGAACCAATTCGAGTACCATCTGAATGGCATTGACAGCAAGACAATTCCCAAACCAGAGGAGAAATACGATGGAGAGACAAACACGTGCACGATATCGTTTAATTTACCCAAGGACTTGGAGCCGAGCGTGTTCTTGTACTATAGGCTGACGAACTTTTACCAGAACCACCGGCGCTATACGCGCAGCTTTGATATTGACCAGCTGAAGGGCAAGGCGCGGTCGGCGAGCGAACTGGCCAATGGCGACTGCAGCCCGCTGGATGTGCATTCGGAGGATGATGGGCCGAAGAAGCCGTACTACCCCTGCGGGCTGATTGCCAACTCGGTGTTCAACGATACGATCAGCCAGCCGCTGTGGGCGAATCCATCGGGGCTGGCAAAGAGCTCGACTTATGCGATGACTGATAAGGGCATCGCATGGGACTCTGACCGCAAGCGGTTCAACCCGACGGCGTATAAGGCAGACGAAGTGTACCCGCCGCCGAACTGGCACGAGCGGTACCCGGACGGGTACCCGGAGCCGATTCCGGACCTGGCAGACGACGAGCATCTCCTCGTGTGGATGCGCACGGCTGGGCTACCGACTTTCCGCAAGCTGTACATGAAGAACACCGAGGACACGATGAAGAGCGGGTACTATCAGATTAACGTGCAGATGAACTACGATACGAGATCGTTTGGAGGCACAAAATCCATTGTCATCTCTACCACGTCGTTTATTGGCGGCCGCAACCCGGTGCTGGGCATTGCCTTTATTGTCGTCGGCGGCTTGTGTGTGCTGCTGGGGTGCATCTTTGCTGTGCGCCACTTCTACCGCCCCAGGCGCCTTGGCGACCATACGTACCTGTCGTGGAACCAGCAGGTCGCCTCGGGCCTGGCCGACAACCACAATGACGCCTCCGGCGGTGGCGGCCCATCGGCGGCAGCGTCTGGGCGCAAGGATCCGGGCACTCTGCGCCAGCGGCCCTAGGCTTTTTTCTCTCTCTTTCTCTCTTTTTCTTTCTCTTCTCAGCTGGCCCTCAGTCTCTCCTTAACAACACCACCCCCCCCTTGTTTGGCTTTTCTTAATATACTGTCGACACACATGCACTAATCCTTCGGTTAATCAATTAATGACAGAGCTTAGCCGGACAAGTACCCAAGTCTGCACTTGCTCCGTTTCATTCCGGTTCCGGCACCCCTCTTTTCCTGTGTGCCATTTGTGCTTCTCTCCTTCTGGGATCATCACTTTATTCTCTTTTCTTCTGCATGCTGCATGCACCAGTTTTTTTTTCTCCCCCAACCAACATAATCATCCCGATTTGCAAACCAGGCTGTGAATTAATTATTATTTTTATTTGCTCACAGTCTGGAAGCTACCCAGATGCAAAAGTACCCTTATCCGCTCACAAACACCTTATCAACACAATCTTCTTTTTTTTGCAAGCGCATGGATGTGTGAGCATCAGAAGCAGCAGCAGGAGAAATGGAACCTGCCACTGCTGCTGCTTGCTTTTGATACGATACAAAAAGAAAAAGTAACGCGGTTTTCCATTCTGCCTCTTCTTCCTCGTTACCTTTGCCTTTTTTTAACCCAGCAAAACCAAGCTTTTATCTTTACACCAAAATATAAAACAATTTTATCTCCAGCCATGGCCTCATCCGATCCCAACGCAAAGTACCAAAGCCCTCTGACTTCGCGGTACGCGTCTCCCGAGATGTCCGCCAACTTCTCCAACAACAAGCGCTTCGGCACATGGCGTCAGCTCTGGTACAACCTGGCATTAGCCGAGAAGCAACTGGGTCTGGCCGGCATCAGCACAGAGGCACTCTACCAGATGCGCGCCAACCTTGATAACATCGACTACGAAATCGCCACTGCTGAGGAGAAGAAGCGTCGCCACGATGTTATGGCGCACGTGCATACCTTTGGAGTAGCCGCACCGGCGGCCGCCGGCATCATCCACTTGGGTGCCACGTCGTGCTTTGTTACGGATAACGCTGATCTGATTATTTTCCGCGACGCAATGGACCTGCTGATTGCCAAGCTGGTCTGTGTGATCAACGATCTAGCTGCATTTGCCACCAAGTACCGTAGCTTGCCGACCCTCGGGTTCACGCACTTCCAGCCAGCGCAGCTGACGACCGTCGGTAAGCGCGCGACACTGTGGCTGCAGGAGCTGCTCTGGGATCTGCGTAACATGCAGAGGGCGCGCAATGACCTTGGGTTCCGCGGCGTCAAGGGTACTACTGGAACCCAGGCGTCCTTCCTGACACTATTCAACGGCGACCACGACAAGGTTGAGCAGCTGGACGCTCTGGTTACCGAACTTAGTGGATTTAAGGAGTGCTACCCGGTGTGTGGCCAGACGTACTCGCGCAAGGTCGATGTTGACTTTATGTCGCCGCTGGCATCGTTCGGTGCCACTGCTCATCGCATTGCCACGGATATCCGTCTGCTGGCGAACCTCAAGGAGATCGAGGAGCCGTTCGAGAAGGACCAGATTGGGTCTTCAGCGATGGCGTATAAGCGTAACCCAATGCGGTCTGAACGCATCTGCTCGCTGTCGCGCCACCTGATGGTGCTCATCGGCAATGTGCACCAGACTGCTGCAGTGCAGTGGCTGGAGCGTACCCTGGATGACTCGGCCAACCGCCGCATTAGCATTCCCGAGGCCTGCCTGACCGCCGATATCGTGCTGACCACGCTGCAGAATGTTGTTGACGGCCTGGTCGTGTATCCGCAGGTTATCAGCCGCCGTATCCGCAGCGAGCTGCCGTTCATGGCTACTGAAAACTTTATCATGGCCATGGTCAAGAAGGGAGGTGACCGCCAGGAGTGCCATGAGGAGATCCGCGTGCTGTCCCATCAGGCTGCTGCTGTTGTTAAGCAGGAGGGCGGCGAGAATGACTTGATTGAGCGTGTGAAGAACTCGCCGTACTTTGCCCCGATTAAGGATGAGCTGAATGAGCTGCTTGACCCTGCTACTTTCATTGGCCGTGCGCCTGAGCAGGTCGACAACTTTATCACCAAATACGTCAATCCTGCGCTTGCGCCCTACGCGGACATCATTGCTGCGAAGAAGCCCGCTGAGCTGTCGGTCTAAATGTCTTTTTTTGTTTAATTTTTTTCTAAATACATAAATAAAAACACTATCTCTTTCAATGTTTTCCAGTACAAAAAAAAGTATTTTTCTTGCTAAAAATGTATATATATATATGCATATGAGTTAGAACATATAAGGGACTAGTCTTGAATGTTTAATAATTCTCAATAATCATCGAAAAAGTCTGAGAAAAATTCAAGGCCGCTTTGAGATGATCAAGTTGCAGTCGCGCGTCGGGTGCTTGGGGATCATTGCCACATAGTTAGTCCTTGGCATAATGACCGGCAACCCGTTCTCGTCCACGTTCGCTGGTGTGTAGATGGCGTCGGATGGCAGGGCAAAGTCATATCGGTTGACCAAGTTAGCCAGCGTCGTCATCATCTCGACCATGACCAGATGGCGGCCGGGGCAAATACGCACACCGGCACTCAGCGTCATGAGATTACGGCGGTTAGCCTCGTTATTGATGAACCGCAGAGGGTCGTAAAGATGTGGGTTGACCCAGGCTGCCTGGTTCTTGTTTGCCGCCGCTGTGCTGACCGCCACCTTGAATCCCTCAGGGATGAAGTGGCCGCGGATAGTGACACCGCCCTTGGGGATGATGCGCGGCAGGTTGGTCGACACTGGGCAGAGCCGCAGGGACTCAAAAACGCAGGCCTCCAAATACGGAAGCTGCTCCTTGGCCATGTCAAAAGTGATCACCTGGTCCTTGTTGAACCCACGGCGGATCTCATCAACCACCAGCTTATAATGCACTGGGTAGATCATCAGCAGGTGGATGGTCCACGCGAGAGACGTTGAGCTGGTGTCGGCGCCGCTGAGAAGCATCATGATGGATTCGGTGGTGACCTGTGACGCGGTCATTTTGATGTTGGACTCGGGATCCTCGGCATCAATGAATGACTGCAGAATGTCATGCGGCTTGGCCGCGCCCTTGGCCAGCGCATCCTTGCGCTGCTCAATGGCGCGGTTGCCGAAGGCAAAAAAGTCGTCAATGTCCTTGCGCAGAAACCAGTTTACCAGGCCCCTCAGAGGCCAGCACTTCACTGCTGGAAGAACCATCTGGATAATCATCAGCGCAAACGTCTTGTCGACCCAATTGGCGATGGTCTTGTTTCCCGTGGTCAGCGACCGGTGCTCGCTGCCGAACCCGATTGACGCAATAATATCGAACGACATGAGTGTCAAGTCAACGTAGTAACATACGCGCGCTTTGCCATTGGATCCCGCCTGGGCGATGTACTCATCCCATTTGGTCATCAGTTGCTCGACGCCCGCTGCCAGAATCGCCGGCTCCATCTTGTGCAGCCCAGCCATGCTCAGTGTCGGCCCGACCTGTCGCCGCCGCTGCTTGTTAAGCTCAGAGTCGCGCGTCAAAAAGATATTCGCCTCCATGAAATCCACATTGCTGTACATTTCGTCCTTGACAAAGGTGTAGCTGCTTAGGATCAGCCGGCAGTCATCTGGGTGGCAGATTGCGACTTTGTTGGGCTCCATCAGGTAGACGCTGCCGTACTCCTCGCAGTCACTCACCATGTCGTCGTTTGTGCACCGCGTCAACCCGGCCACTAGCGAGGGCAGAGGGCTGAGCCGCGAAAGGAATGGCCCTGGCATGTTGCGCAGTGGTGAGAAGAATAGCGCGTAGATCGTTTTCCATATTAAAAATGCTGCGACGCCAGCGTACAGGTATTCGACCTTCAACATCCACGAGGCCGTGGTCAGGAGGCGCTGTCCAACTGCCCAGTAGTCTACGTTTAGTAAAAAATTATGTGCTGCGGGTGGCAGCGCCTCTGGTATTATGGATGGTACTGACAGACTGACGACCATTTGTGTGATTTTATGCGGAAAATTTATGGACAATATTTGTTGGGGGAAAGGGAAAAAGAGATTGTGATACTAAAGGGGACTATTTGAGACCGTTGGTCTGAGATCAAGAACTGTAATTTAACCGCGGAGCTATTATTTTTTAGAGAACTGAGGAAAAATGAAACAATATAAGATTAAAAAAGCAAACGACTGCGCTGCGCTCTAAAAAAAAGCTAATAGCTGAGAGCTGAGCGTTATATGGAACAAAAAATGAGTGATCCGTAGTTAATGTGTTAAAAGAAAATGCGAAAAAAGAAAAGAAAACAGCTATAGAACTTGTTTGAAACTGCTTAGCAAACAAAAAATAAAAAAGTGGATTCTGTTGAAAAAAGGCAGTTAAAGGAAAATGTGTACCGCAATTTATGTGTTGAGCGATAAAAATAACGACCAATCCGACAATAAGAGAGAAAAAGGAAAGGAATGGAAAAATAAAACTGAATAAAACCCGGTTGTCGAGCAATGACCGCCGACTTGAGAGATTATTTAAAGAGAAAAAGATTAAAGAGTGATGAAGAAAAATGATGTCTTTGAGGATTAAACGCAGACGGGTTCAAAAAACTTTGTAGCAGGACAATATTTCTAGGTGTCACGTCTTTTTTTGCGTAGATAAAGTGTAAAAGCCCACTAATGGAGAACTATAGCTATACAGATTTAAAAAAGATTGGAGAATAGACACTATGCGAATAATGAGTGGCACGCGCAATAATACAATTTAAAGAGCAGAGAAAAATGTGAGTGACAAACTGAAAAACAACCTTGATGAAAAAAGAAATAAAAACATTGAGCAGCCCACGCTCAATTTAAAAGAGCAATGAAAAAACAAAAATATTGATAGAACAAGTGCGCGCAAGGCACAGCATGGCGCGAAAGTGAATATGAAAACAAAAATAATTGCACTTTGTAATGGTGAAAAAGTGCAATTATTTTTATTTTTCTTCAGCCAGCAATCATTCTCTTTGTTTTTTGCAGAATCTTAATTATCAAATTTATTCCTGCAAGAATAGAGGCAGGGGTAATGAGGCAAATATCCCCATTTTTGTCAACAAAAATGAGCCCGACCTGCAGCTTCATTTATTGCACGCCCTGTTGATGCGAAACTCCAAAGTGACAGAGTGAAAATCAGTCGTCCACTAAGGAACTTGAATTCACAAGGAGAGGAGAGGGGGTGGGAGGGAGAGAGGTTGACCTACAGGAGCAATTCCGCCCCCGCCCCCTCTCATTTTAGTTTTCATTGTAAAAATTGGCTTTTTGTTGGGCAATTTTGGCCTTCCTTTTTGAGTCAATTGGGCTGACTTCCCAACTCGACTAAATAAAGGAAGTCGTGTTTTTTATGGCAATCGGTTACACATCAACGCTAAATACCAATACATATATACCCAACATTACGCGTTTTTCACTTTTGCTGTGTCACATTTGCTCTTCACGGCCAAGCCATTTTGGCCTGCTCCACAAGTACCTTTTCCCAATTCTTTCCATTTTGAAAAATGATGCAATTTGTCTGCATAGATTGTCGCCAAAAGGAGAGCAAAATCCTTCAATCCTACTTTTAAGAAACTTTCTTGTTACATCTCCGCTTGTTATTCTCGCGCCGCCAACATACATGTGTATTGTACACGTGTATAATGCCGTTTTAGATAAATACATTGTTTAAATAATTGACATCATTTTTTACTTGAAAACATGCAGTATATCGCGCAGAGCACTACTTCAAGTGGACTCAAATGCAAATAAATGCATTAAATTTATGTGACTGCGTGATTATGAAAAACGCCTCTTTTATTTGCTTTACTATAGTCCAAACGAATGGCTGATTTTTTTATACTTTTTACTTGGTACAGCCTATGTGCTGTATAAACAAACCGGGATACAAAGAAATAGCACATTAGAAAATTGGGCGATCCCCCGCATGACCAACAAACTGATGATTAGTTTAACCTGTCCGTTTGATAGTTGCAAAGAAGGCTATTGCTGCTTTCCTATCGACTTTTTTCTTTGCCAGGGTTGAAAAAAGCAGTCAAGGCAACGTTAAGAGAAAAAAACTAAAATTCAACGGCTTGATTTGTATTTTTTGTGAGAATATGTGAATCAAATCGTAGAATTCTTGAATAGAATTTTTTTGCTGGTAAACGTTTTAAATTCCTTCTAAGAAACAAATAAAGTGGCAATAATCGGGACCATTAGCAAGCATAGACATGACTGAAATAGGCGGAAATTGTGATAGCAGCAGCCTGTGGCGAGAAAAAAACCATTCACATGAATATGCTTTTTTTTACTATGATCCACCAGAATATTGTCCCCTTCCCGCTTTCTAAATTCAGGGCTATTAGGAAATGTCGATTAAAATTGCTAGAAACTTTCGTTAATCTGTCATAATCTATTGGCCAATTTTTAAGCTCTAATTGCGCTCTAAAATAAAAAGGGGATTTAAAATTATTTTTTATTGGACGAATAACGATTCTACCGTGTCTATAATAAAAATATTTTGTAGCGTGTTTGGCCAATTTTTTTATTTTCCGCTTCACACATGTTTTCTAGTTTTTTTATTTTCTCAGCCAATCGCAACAATTGAACAAGTGATGTATATCGGGGAGTCGGAAGAGATCGACACCAATCTGAAATTTAGTGCTGAAATATGCCTTGCATGGCATTGTACAAAATCAGGGAAATAAATAAATAAACACTATTGGTCGCGAAATAATCGGTTTTTCTTAAGTTTTCAGATACATACACGATGGTGTTCAATTTTTTTTTCGAAAATAGACATTGGCAAGAGATAATGCTCATTTGCTTTTTTTGTTGAGTCTTCCCAACTTGGTGATGATTGCGCACAGATAATAATGGCTTGGACGTTGCCGAAAATCGGATTTTAGGCACCCTCTGATTATCGCATACCCATTAATATCGTAGAATACCGTGTGCTTGGCCACATTGGAATCTGTTTCCTTTGACCGCGTTGGGGTAGTAGACAAAAAATATATTAATATATTAATAAATAAACTATTAAATTATGAAATTTCATTTGATTTGATTAGTGATACCATTGCCAATGACTTTATTTGTCGGACTTTATCTCATTCTAAATGTACAGGCATGCGTAAAAAAATATAATGTCCATTAATATTTGTTTACGCATATTCGCAAATCACAAATAATGTGGACCCTAAAATCCTTAATGTCATTATTATTTCCCTGAATACCAATGCCACAAAATATTGGATTATTCCAGAGCAGAGGGTATTTGCCTTATGCGCCGACAAAAAAATGAAGCAATTAACTGCCTGCATATTGTTGCAATTAAAATAAATTACAATTGTGGAAATCACGCGTTTCTTTTTATTTTTATTTGGCACTATTGATAAAATTTTGCAACATGTGTTTCGGCGCAGCTTAGACAATATAATGCAATGTTTTCCACGTGTTTGCTTTGCTTTGCTTGCTTGCTTTAAGCATAACATGGCATGACCTGTTGGGTTTTCTTATTTTAATATTTATACAATGGCGGATAATCTACAAAAACAAAACACAATACACCCTATTTGCTATTCCGCAACATTCAGCAATAAAAATAGAAATTAAATTAGGAAAGTGGCATGTTTTTTCAGTTGCAGTATTGAGTGAACTGAACATGCATTTCGCATGTGCGGAGATCAAAAGCAATATATTTTGGTAATTTGATAACAGAGAGGGGAACGCTTGGGATGATCTCCGCCATGTTGCAATTGTCGGACAAGATAATTGACAATAGCCATTTTGGACACCAAAAAACAAACCAAGAAAAAAACTGCGCAATTTTCCACATTTCTCGCGTCCAATTTTATGCACATGGGGATCGAATTTGCCATATACAAAAAAATCCAAAAAGGTATTGATCAATCTATAAATCGGAAATTTATTAATCAACAAATTAGAGCTTGAACTCAGAGGGCTTGACGACACTCAGATCCTGCGCCGCGGCGTCATCAACAAACCAGTAAACAGTTCCTTTCGGCAGAGCCACCCTGGTAGCCGGCTTGCTGTCATCCTTATCATCGACAATCTGCTTAATGGTCTGGCTCTTTCCAGCGCCTGTGACGACAAACACGACCTTCTTGGCGTTATTCACAACAGGGTAAGTCAAAGTGATCCGGCTCGAGGGCGGCTTGGGCGAGTCATCAATATGCACGACCCACTTTGACTTTTCATTGAGCTGCGGGAACCCAGGGAACAGCGAGCAAGTGTGGCCATCAGGACCAATGCCCAGGAGGATGCAGTCAAAGACGGGGGTCTTTTGGTCACCAAACACCGACACCAGCTGCTCCTGATAATCCGCGGCAGCAGCCTCGGAGTCATTCACAAGGCTCTCCGAGATAGGGATAATCTGGGCAGCCGGGATTTTGTTGCTGAGCTTGTCGAGGAGCTCCTCCTTCACCAGCTTGTAGTTGGAGTCGGCGCTGTCGTAGTCGACGCAGCGCTCGTCAGCCCAGAAAACGTACCATTTGGAAAAGTCAATGGTCTGGTTGTCCTTGAGGTACTTTGCAACGCTGGTTGGCAGAGAGCCGCCAGAAAAGGCAATGGTGAATTTGCCGGCCTGTGCGATTGCCTCGCTGGAAGCCTGGGTGAGGAACTGGTCCAGAGCAAGGGACACCTTGTCGGGTGTAGGGAAAGAGAACACTTTGGTCAGCGGCATGATTGGGTTTTGCACTTTTATTGTATGTGGTAATTTGAGCAGAGCAAAAAATAAAATAAAAAAGTTGAATTTGTTTGTGAACAAAAAATGAAAATTTACAAGAAAGGCAAGCTGTTCAAACAACAGAATCATTCAAAAGTGTGTGTGTACCACACACAAAAAAATAAGAAGGGCGAAATCAAAACATGCTTGATACCAGCTTGTCATCCATTCCCATTCCCCCCTTATCCTGCTGCCCGCGGCCAAATCTAGCCAAATCCAGCCAGATCCGATCGACTCCGCCTTAATATCTAAGGTTACAACCCCGCAGGTTGGGGATTTGTTACAGTGCAGTTATTAAGCGCCTCTCCCTGGTATAATTGTGTTTACACACTTGCACCGTTAACGCACTTACCTTTTAACGAAATGTAAAGGCATGGTGGGCCATTTATTGCCTCTGGTTTCTAAGCACGTGCCGGGTTGCTATGCAATTAGGATGGAAAAGAAAGATGTCGATTTGCAGGATATTTTTTAAATTATTCTTAGATATTTGTAGTCACATTCTTTTCTTGATTGTACCCGCAGCCGCTCGACTTTTTAGTGCTAGCGCCGGCTTGTCGGTATATTGTTAGTTCTGGTGCAATGCCGCCATCATCTACGCCCGCCAGACCATGAGGGGGACCATTATTATCAGCAACATCCTGGTGTGTGTTCATCGACGAAGACAGCGAAAATCCATTATCCAAAAACGCATATCCACCGAGATCAGCAGCGGCGTTGTTCTGACAGATGCTAAAAGAGGATATCAAATCGGCATATACCCGCTCGTCGTTATTGCACCCAATCATCTGTCCAATAGAATTATCAGTATCCAAGGACGCCCGCTCGAGAAGTGGAATGTTGGACAAGCTATCGGTGGAGTCGTTGGTCAAGGTGCGCTTGCGTCTGTGAGGAGGTGGGTGCTCAAGCTTTTCATCCAGAGCCATTTTAGTGGCAGCTGAGGCAGCAGCAACAGCGGCGGCCGACATGAGCGGGTCTTGTAAAGAGCTGTTCTGACCAGTGGAGCTGCTGCTAGAGGGGGGGAATGCAGTCAGAGAGCCGCCAGAGTCTCTAAAGTAGCTACCAAAGTTATCGGCCGGCATGCTGAATGAAAGGTTGCTGTGCGTCGGCAAGCTGAACCCGGTGTACCCGAACCCGATCGATCCTGCGGGAGCTGTCTGCGGGATATTAGGCGACATGTTCTGCTGCGATTCTGGCTGTCCAGACATCTGGCCATCGTACATGGAGCAGTTTGACAGACCAGCGACATCCATTGTGTCGTCCATATTGCTGCCGCCGCCCTGTATGATGCCCGGCATTATGCCACTCGGCGAAGTCAATTCGGAAAAGTCGCTGTGCATGGAGTTGAAGCTCCCAGCCATGTCGCTGCCGCCAAAGGAAGCCACCTGCGGAGTGGCCAGGGGAGACATCGCGCTGAGCATATTGGGCCCGTAGAGGTGCTGCGGAATGGCATTTGGCAGTTTGTTCGAGTCTGATCCGGAATCAAACATAGGATGAAGCATGAAAGTGGGGATTGGTGATGGCGCGCTGGCGAAGCGGGGCGGCATGAAGTAGCCACCGGCCGTGCTGTTTGTTGGAATGGAGATGGGCAGCGCCCTTGCTTGCCTGGCCGGGTCCTGCGGGATGGATCCCATTGGCGTTGCCGACGATGTGGGAGTGTGTCGAGTTCGCGCGAGCGGCTTGTATATGCATGGAATGCTTCGGCGCAGGCAATGGTCACAGATGGGCCGAGTGCCGCTGCATTTTATTTTCCGCTTTCTATACGAATGCCCAAAAAATTGGATTTTAATTATTTTCAATGATCAGTTATGTCGATATGAGCTCTCTGTCTTTGCATCGTCAGTCATTTTTGCTTCTTACCGACAGTGTTCGCACGAGTGGCGGTAACGCACGAAATGCGGATGGTGCGCTAATATAGAGTCGGCGGCCATCATGGGCGAGTGCTGTCGAAACGTGGTTGTATTAGTGTAGTCCATGATGGATGGGGGGTATATGAAAGTATAGATGGCGGTTGTAATATTATTGCTACAGACAATCCAGCTTATAAAATGTAAAAGGAAAAGAGGTCAAGAGGAGAGAAGAAAGGAAAAAAAGTGCAATTTTTTTTAATATTTTTCAGCCTAACCTGCAAAAGTGCTGGAAAAAACATGCCACAGTGGTCGATCGCTTTGGCCACCAATGTGGTTGGTTACACAGGTAAATAAAATATTGCCCAAAAAAAAAGTTTACACTTTGTGTACCCGAATCACACGCCCAGTAATATCAACTTAAATATAAATCCGAAGCGACAAATATTCTGTAAATCAACAAACACAGACTGTCCAATTTTCAGTTTAAAGAAGGAGAAAGAGAATTCCATTTTTGGTGATTGTGGCAAATACCATTGCAGCAAATGACACGGGCTAGAACCAGTCAAAAGGAAAACAAAAATGTACAAAATAATGCGATTCATATCGCCAAATCTTCAATCCGCAAAATCCCGCTGGCATTAGCACTGGCAATCCACGATGATGAGCGCGGGTTCCTCGACCATGCGCATGCCTGCACGGCAATTTCGGCTGGGAAAATGTCCAGTCTGGGTGCCTTCAGCAATGGGTTTATCCTGGGCTCAGCGGGTGTCTTGCCCAAGCACACGAGCTCAGGGCCATCGCCACTACTGCTGCCGCTCCCGTCCAGCGCAATGGCGTATATCCGGCGGTGGTGCGGCACGACCTTTCTGATTATCTTCATACCAGCGCAGTTCAGGATCTGCAAGTGGCCCTCGGCGGTGCTTGCAGCTAAGTAGCTGTGATGGTCGGACCGGGTTATTTGCAAGACGGGGCCGTTTGTAATCATCAGGAACGTGGATCCGCGATCAGTGCTAGAGTTCCACAACGTGTTCAATTCGACGCCCGTAGGCTTTTGCGACAAAGTCGGAGCAATGGCTGATGTGCGGTCGGCGCCAAAGCAGGCACGCACCCATGGGTCGCCGGTCGCAGACATGATGGGATCGGCGGTGCCGCGCAGCCCGTTATCGGGGTCGGCAAACAAGCAGGTCGCCGTCAGCCAGCACAGCTCGTTGGCACGCACTTGGCTCGGAATCGTCACCAGCGGGTGGTTCACGCGCGTGGGGAAGCACAGCAGCGCCTGGCGCAGGCGGCCGTCGCGGCCCAGCGAGCTGATCTGGATTGTCGACGGATCGAGGGTGCGGAAATCGCCAGGGCTACGGGGCACGGGAGCGTCGTCGCGGACGCCAAGGTCGTTGCAGACAATCGACAGATTGAAGACAATACCGTGGTGAGCCTGGTGGTTGGTAAAGGGAACGGTGCTGCCCCCAGGAGGGCCCGCTGGCGTGCTGTACGGCCACTGCGGCCCGGCAAGCGTCTGCTGGGATTGGATGCAGGGCGTGAGCTCCCAGGCCGCAATCTGGCCCATTGACGTGGCAGCCACAAGCACGTCGCAGCCGGCCCAGTCAAACACAGTAAAGATGCCGCGCGGCGCCTTGAGCTCGACGAGCGAACACTGCGGCCACCGAACACAAACCACGTCACCGGCCGCCGTTATGCCTGTCGGCCGTGCACGGACGGCGTCGGGCACGGGCACTGCGCAAACGCGAAGAAAGCCATCGGCAAAGACTGCAGCCAACAGCCCGATTATCGGCAGACCGCCGCTATTGGTGCCGGTGCCGGCGTCGCCGGTTGTCGGCTCGGGCTTTATGCTGATGGGGCACCATTTTAGCCGAATGCAGCGGCCAAAGTCGTGCGCCAGCGTCATGTCTAGGCGGCAAGTGGCGGGGGTTTTGTCGGCGAATGTGTCGACGCGCCATATCTGCACCAACCCGGGGGTGCGGTCCTTGTCGCGCTCGGCATACAGCTGGTCCAGCGCCATGCCGGCGCCTGGCGCCATACCGCTCGCTGCAACATAGTCAGTGCACTGCTCTGGCGGCACATTCGCATTCCCAGTGTTCGAGTCGCCGGCCGGCCGCACAGGAGCCCAGTCGAGCGACAATAGCGACTGCCCGGCGTTGATCATCCACCCGCGGCTGTCCTTGCCGAGCTCGTGCACTTTGGACGGCTGAATTTCAACCGCCTGCTGTGAACTGTCGGCAGACATGCGCACGCGCAGGTCGGGTCCGAATAATGGCGGTGCCGCCGGCTGCACGCTGGACGGATCTACACGGATGGCGCGGAGCATCTCCCACGCAGCCTGGTCGGTTCCAATGTCAATTGCATTGGCGTTGGTCCAACCGCTTTCGCTGTCGGGTCCGGCCCACCGCGCCATATTCATTGGCTTGTGAGTGAGCTGGTACATGTCGGGCGCCACACCGCCTGCGCGCCCAACACGCTGGCGAAAGTCAAAAGACGAAAACTTACTCGGAGTCGCTACCGTACTTCGCCTGCTCGTGGCAGTGGCAGTGGCGGTGGCCGCGCGTTTGTCATTGTAATTACCGTTGTCTTTATCGCTTGTTCCGGGGCTCTCGCCATCGCCTCCGAATTCGCTACCAGTGTCGCTGTCCGCTTTGCTCTTGCGCTTAGTGCGGCCGCTGTTGGCGGGTGCCTGCCAATTGAGCATTCTCTGGCCGCAGGCTGGCTCTCTCCGACGCACTGCGCTGTTTTCCCGGCCGTCATCGTCGTGCCCTTTTACCAGAGTGTTAGGCCGACTTGTGCTCCGCCGCGGCCGCCCCCGGCCGCGCTTTGCCGGCGCAGTCTCTGCGTTATCATCATCCACCATTCCTTCTTGGCTGTGCAATGGCTCTGTGGTAATTGATATGTGCTCCACAACGGGTTCGGCCCTGCACTCGACAACCGATCCGTCCTTTCGCGGCCGACCTCTTCCGCGCTTCACTGATGCCATAGGATCTGTAGTCACCAATAATTGCATTTCAGCAACAGGTTCAATTTGCTGCTGCTCCTTCTCTTGCTGGACCAAAGGCAAAATAGACGTTGTGGCCGCCAGCTTGGGCGGTCGGCCGCGTCCGCGCTTAACCGGCTGCGCGTATGTTGCTTCTACAACGGCAACTGGGCTGGTGGGTTCGGCGGACACTACAGATTTGCGTGGCCGGCCTCGCTTACGCGGTTGATCGGCAGGCTCGGCCGTTTGTGCTTCTAACCCTGTTTCTGTCAATAAAGGACCATTTGGGTGGCTGGCTATAGCGGAGTTGTGGTCGACTGCTTTGGGTGTGAAATAAGTGTGGAGCTGGGTTTGCCGCCCGGGGGCTGCTTTCTTGCCTGCCATTTCTTTCTTTTTTGTTTATCGAGACAAATAAAATTAAAAATAGAGTAATACTGTGAATTTGAATTTGAATTTGAATTTGTAATTTAATACAACAATGCAAAAAATAAAATGCAATAAAAAAAGAACAAAGACAAACAAAAAACAACTAGAAACGCTTGCTTTAATTTTTGCCCTCTTTTGTTTACTGCTGTCGCTGATTGCGAACGCTTGATTTGTCACTTTTTACTAACTGATTGGTGCAAATAATCAGGCTGAACACTTGATTTCATTGCTCATCAGAAACACTAATGATTGGGTTTACCCCTGAGTGCCTATAATTTTTCCGCTGTAGTCTCACAATGTATGGTATACACATGTATATATTTTCAACCTCAATCAATTTGTAATTGATTTAATTAACAGTTCCAAGCGCACCAACGGCAAAGTAAGTACTCCACCCTCACGTATACTTCTTTGTAGAATGTACACACATTTTATTTTTAGTGTGCAAGTTTACAATGAGCTATATTTTCAAATAGATGTGTACATCTTTTTGATGTGCGTGCTGTCAAAGAAAACAATAAATTGCGCAAATATTTACTTCATTTTTATTTTTAGCAATAATTTTTATTTATCATTAAATACTCAAAATAAATTTGTATAAAAAGTTGCGGATGGAGTGTTATGTAAGAGGGGGGTGGGGAGCACTACTTTAATAATGTTAGAAGAATGGGTGTGAAATTATAAAGGCTTTTATTACTAGTGTTTCTAAAGTGCTATTATCGCCGGCCTCGCCTTATATATATCTCCTTGTCTTTGTGCCACCCACTAGCAGTTGTGTGCTTCGTTCGCGAGAACTGGTCCTTATGAAAGTAACCCGGGTTTCTGATATGGCATAATTGGCATGTCTGTATTCTTGCGCCCAGCACATCCATTTCAGGGCAGGCAGTATATCCGGATGTCAATTGTGGCGCCTAATTTGATCCCCTGTAATTTGGCCCATATCAGATCCATCTGTGAGCTGACGAGAATCTGTCTCATGGTTTTCGCCCTCAGCGTCTACCTCCGTATCCTCGGGCTGTGTAACAGGAGCTTCTCTCATTTTCTTATTTTCTTATTACTCACTATTTTATTATTTTCATTTTATCACATTCAACTAATTAGGTCAATATACGTTAAACCCCACCATTATAACCACTACAACCGCTGCCCTTATGTCCACTTTTATCAAAGCTAAGTGGGCAGGTACAAAAAATGATAAACTGGGGAACAAGGCAATGAAGGTGATTTTGCATTGAATTTGAAACCTATCAACTTGAGTACTTATACACAGTATAAAAAAGAACAATTCTTTTTCACTCACGCACGCCAATGGAAGTGACATATTCAGTGGAAATTACGACGACCAGCTATACGATATGATTGTTTTATTAAACAAATCATTCACTGGTGTTTCCAAAATTGAGGCTAATACTGATAGTAAAAAAGGCTTGAATTTTAACAATTTAAATTTTGATTTAGATGATGGCACATATTCCGATTTGTTAACTGGTTCACCAAAAATTATGTATATTTCAGTGATGACTAAAACCAACCTAAAATATAAATTGTCTCTTAAACAAATACTGTATCAAGATAGTTAGTTTATATTGCCTTTTTCAAAGTCACATCGAGATCAGTTATGTGAAATTTAATAGCAAAGCTTTTTATTTTTGTATATTCTTTATTGTAGTCTAATAAACATCCTATTAAAATAACGCCTCACTTGCCACTAAAAATAACTGTCAAAGTAACATACACATGTGTATACGCAAAAAACGCACTGCACATAAATTTGCGCCACTTGCAGCCTCTAAAAAATACCGAACAATTGGAATTTTTCAACAGTTAGACATGGAATATAGTTTTTTCAGGCTAAAAGTAATAATATACTTTTCCACATCTGCATTTTTTTATTATCATTATTATTAGTTTTTTTTAACAATTTTTTTATAATTTTCCTAACTCTCAAACATATACTTGTTCTACGTATTATGAGTACTGCAGCCATGTCTAAGCTTTCCAGCTTGTTTCGAAACAAAACAAATAAATATGCAGAATACACCAACGCAAATCACAGGCTTAGCATTGTCTGCGAAACCCCGAACCAAGTGATGCTGTATGGGTCTCCAGACGATCTTTTACATGACATGTTTGTGCTGTTGACAAGGAAATTCGGACGTATATCCGAATTCAAGATTCGTCTCACTGGCAAACCATATGTAGCTATGAGCAAGAGCTACCTTGTCAATGAAGGGGGCGTGTTTGCAGACATATGCGGTGACGTGGAGGAAGGGCAGTCTGTTAGGTTTAAGAGCTCGAAAGATATTGAAATTGTCCTTTATCACCGAATGATTAGACCAGAGCCAGCTGCGATTGCTACAAGACACCATCGGGATTTCACCCGTGGGTTGAGGGCCAATTTGGTATAACATTATACACACAGAAATAAATAAATAAAATTGACCGAGAACAGTGCGTTTTTGGTTACTGCGCCCGGCATTTTTCGGATACACGTGGTAAGAAAAAAAGACTGATTAAACCCATAGTACAATTTATTATCAAAAAAACATATTTATTCTAAGCTTAGCCCTTCCCAAAAGCATTTTTACATTTGTTTGTCACACTTTGATCAAGTCTTTGAACCAACTAACCGCATTTATCACAGTACTATAATCAATAAACAAAATAAACACATAAGACAATGGCCACACAGATGGGCAGTGAAGAGGAATTTAAATCGACTATTGCCGAGTACCTAGAGTCGCTCCCAGCGCAATTCAGCCGACGTGTGTTTTCCAGCCCAGCAGCATGCCTTGCGATTTTCCGGCTACTGTCGACCATTGGCAAGCAGCTGATAATGTCCATGCTCTATCTGGACTCTCCCATCCGGCTCCAGGACGTGCACCAGTGGGCGCGCCAGGATCACCAGCGGCTGGTAAAATCCAAAGTGCATCAGCTGCGCAAGCTGCAGATTCTGGTCGAGGAAAAGGGCAACGTGTCTTTAAATCCTGTTTTTCGCGAGCAGCTGCGGAATGCGCTGACGGGTGGCGGCGATTTCAGTACTTTCGGTATTCCCTATACGGGCGCTGGGGATCCCAAGGTGACTCCAGCATGGTTGGCACGGTATGCGAATCAAAAGTGGGAAGCCATCTTGCATTTCATGGTTGGACAGTCCGCTGACGTGAGGCCGCCGTCGGACAGTGTGCGGCATATTCTCAAGTCATCGAGGCTTATGGAGGAGGAAAAGTCCGGCGGGATGCAGATCACGAACAGTGGGTTTCAGTTTTTGCTTCAGGATTCAGGGTCGCAGGTGTGGACCGTGCTTTTGCAGTATTTGCGGCTGGCGGAGGTGGAGAATATGGATGTTGTCGAGGTACTTAACTTTTTGTTTCAGCTGGTCAGCCTGCAGCTGGGAAGGTCGTATTCGACCAGGGAGCTGACTGGAAACCAACGCAAGATGCTCAATGAGCTGCGCGATTTCGGGCTGATGTACTTGGACGAGGCTGACTCGCGCCGCTTCTACCCGACGCATCTGATCACATCGCTGACCAGCGGCAGCGGCAGTAAGGAGACCGCGAGCGGCAGCAATAGCACTAACAACAGCAAGACGGATATCGGGGCCCCTCGGAGCAAAATAACCGGCGTCGGCACTGTGGGCAAGGTGCGCACCAGCGAGCTACTGGCGCCCAGCGAAAAGGGCTTTGTCATTCTGGAGACCAACTGCCGCGTCTACGCGTACACGGATTCGCCACTGCAGATAGCCATTCTGAACTTATTCGTGCACTTGGTCTCGCGGTTCTCCAACTTCATCACCGGCGCCCTGACACGCAACAGCGTCCGACGCGCCCTAACGCATGGTATCACGGCAGACCAGATGATTGCGTTTTTGACTACACACGCGCACCCACAGATGCAGGGTAATACGCCTGTGCTGCCGGTGACGGTGACGGATCAGATTAGGCTGTGGGAGAAGGAGAAGAACAGCTTGCGTCCGTCGGGCGCTTATTATTATAAGGACTTTAATCAGAAGCAGGAGTTTGAGCGCGTGTTCAAGTATGCGCAGGATATCAATGTCATTCTGTGGGCGAGCATTGAGAAGCGCCAGCTTGTGGTCAGTCGCCAGGGCCATCTGAAGATTGTTGAGTTTATACAGAGCGTGCGCAGTAACAGCAAGTCGGCGGCGGGAGCCAACGCTGCATCCTCAGCGGCAGCAGCAACAGCAAGTAATGCACCATCAGCCTCTTAGAGTGTTTTTAATTTATTGTTTTTATTCTTAAAGACGATTGAAAACACAAGATACTATCCAGGGCCGACCTTAGGCATGTCGTGGTGCTCGGGCGCGCGCTCAAGCTTGTCGTTAAATTCCTTGATGCGGTCTCGGTACGACTTTTCTGCCAATTTCTCGACGTGTTCGAGCTTGCGTTTCTTCAGAATCTCGTCGTGTCTTTTCTCGGCATCCGTACGGTCGATGACTTTTACAATATCCTGCGCATTTCGGGTGTCATCGCCTGACAGCGCGGCTGATTCTGTGTCGCTGTGGTCTTGTTCGTGGGGATTGGATTTTGGATTTTTCCTAGTTGACGATGATTTGGATTTCCGCTTGCTGCTGCTGCTAGTAGTTTTGGTTTTTTTAAATAGGCCCTTTGACTTTTTGAGCTTCAATGGGCCATGAGCAACGCCGTATTCGTAGGCATCTGCCATAGCATGGAATTGGCTTATTGTGTGTGTGGATACTATAATGATGGAAAAACTTGCGAGTCAGGAAAGTCAAACAATTTTGGGGAATCAAGGAAAATATACAGAATATTCCCATGTTCAATTTAAAGTAAATTGAAAACACTGGGTTTGTCAGAGGTATGGGCGCAAGTCATCATACTAGCCCTCGCACAAATAAGTTTATATATCTCCGCACTGGCCTTTACCTTTATGGCTGCTATTTGCTGATGTCTTGATAGTTTTATCGAAAAAAAGTACATTGAGCACAGTGCTTAAGACTAAATGAATTGTGTCTTCAAAAAATAGACGAGCCATCAAAAAAGTGTGTTTTCTGTGAAACTAGGACGACACCCGTATAACAATGCAATACAATTTTTATTTATCTCATTACATTATTGCTTTCTTTGAAATACATTGCTTGTGCGCACATGTATTCATTGATTTGCAAAATACAAATAGAAAATCATGGAGTAAAATAATGCAATAAAAATAGAATGGTTGTTGGGAATCAATGGCATATGTGGTGGCTGAACAATGCTAAAGTTATCCAATTTTATAAATAGCCAAGCTGCAAAAAAGACCTTTTTTTTTACTGAGAAATGTATCGACTGAATTAAAAAAATCAAATAACAACAAAGGTTACATAAAACAAAGCAATATTTCTTCACTCACTTGCCCAGTTGTTCTAGTTCATTTATTTGCTCTTTCATTCGTATTTTCCATTCCATTCCATTCTTTTTTCTTTATCGATCTTGTACTTTACCGTCATCGTATTGTACTTGTTTCCATTAGGGCATTCTTAATAAGTAGAGGCGCACAGATATAAAGTACGTTAGTTTGAGTTTATTTGTCTTGTCTTGTCTTGTCTTTTGTCTTGCAGAGAATATATTTGTCCATTCGCCACTTTGACTTTGTTATTTCTATTTGCCGGTCGCGCGGGAAACAAACAGACAAAAAAACTGTTGTGGCTTGAAACATAATTCAAAACCCGCTTCATCACTGAGAAAGGAGATTTCATGGAAAAGAACAACTTTTTTTATGGTTTCCTGTTGTTGTTTATTTCGCCCCCTCACCTTAGCCCCATGGTCTTTTATTTTGTGGGTGTTCAAAGATTAGAAATGTGTATGTGTACTACACTTTACATTACTTTTTGTTTGCAGTAAAAAAATCCGACACTGTAAAAAAGGAGGGAGAGTGAAAGGATTTACGCAACTTCATCGTCGCATTCAATCTGCCATTGCAAGCAAAAAAAAAGTGGATTCAATGTCAGTATCACCCACATTACTTATATTCTCGTTTTATTATTTTATTTTTTTCACAGTGAAAAAAGGAGAAAAAAATAGCGGATCTCTTTTTTTTTTTTTCAATCGATCCCGTTCGTTCGCAAGATTTTTTGTTTGTGCGCGTCGATTCATTTTTATTTGTTTACTCTGCCAAAAAAAAGGAAAAGAGCAAGAAAATAATAATGTGCATATTTCATTTGGAGATTTCTGAGTGCTGTTGCCTGCTCGCGGGTGTTTTTGTTTTTGTTTGTTGAAATCCAGCTTGTGACCGACACTTTATTTTATTTACCGTCGAACAGGCCAGTTCACAGCTTCCTTGCTTTTTCTTTTTCTCCCTTGCCTTCTTTTTTAGTTTATTTCGATATACTTGTTGTTTTAATATTATTATTACTTTATCTGTGACTTTGCTAGCGGTGCTAATCGAATCGTATCCACAACAAACTGCTTGTTTTATTAGCTGGTGTATTTTTTAAACCCAGAAAAGAAGACCAGCACCCTTATCTTTCATCTTTGCTCCCCCGCACAACACACACATTGACACAAGACAAGACGCACGCCGACTAGCAGCAGAAGAATACCCGGAATGGCAGAGATGACGACACCAGAGCGAAACAGCGGGGAAGAAGGGCTTAATCTTCTTCAGCTGCAGCAAAATAAGCAGCAAACGTTAACCAAAGAGAGCAGCGGATATTTTACCCCGCCAGCAACAGCAATACCAGCAGCTTCGATCACAGCGCACCTTGGAACACATAGTGTTGCTTGTGCCCCGACTGCCGCCACCAAACAGAAAAAGGAGCAGCGCTCTTCTCTTTCACTGCCAATTACCAATTCGAAACCACCCGCTGCCAGCCGCCGATACAGCGCCAACCCAAACGACCTGTCAACCTACACTTCTGTGACGCCGCTATCTCCGGCTACCAGCCCTTCACGCAGGCGAATTAGTCTTTCTACAGACAAGTTTCTTCCTCCGCTGCAAATTCATAAACGCCTGTCGACGCCGACCCAGACACCAATTATTATTGGCGGGCCGCGCGCAGCGCCACTGCGGATTGCAAGAAAGGACTCTAAGATCGACAGCAGCAACGGCGTCGCCTTGATGCTCGCGCGCGCTGAGGTGGCCAACGACCTTTTGTATAAGGACCCCAAGCGAGTGGTCATTGAGCACGGACACTTGCATACCGACGAGGGCACCCTGCAGTCGCTCATTGACGTCTCAACGCCCACTGCTGCCAAGCAGCTGCAGGCTCTGGTACCGCTGCAGACGCCGGCGCCACTGGTGGCCTCGGAGTTTGCATCCGAACTGGCAGAGTACACGGCCAGCGCGCTGTCCTCCGTCTCAGCGGTGGACGTGGACGTGGACGAAGACGCAGACAGCGACTACTCTCCCAAGCGAAGCACAGACAGCGAGACAACGGCGACCATGGCAGACAGCAGCATGGGCAAGGCCGGTAGTCCAGAAAACAAAGGCGACAAGGAGGGGGGTCACGGGCTGAGCAAGGCCCCGCTGACCGTCAACACACAGCAGGCAGTCGAAAGCAAAAACAGCGGCAGCGGCAACAGCAGCTGCCGGCCTGACAGCTACAAGGTGTATCCGGAGGGCGACGACCGCGCGCTGCCGGCGTTCATCCTCAACAGCCAGACCATCGAGGAGCTGGACGCAGTGACCGGCGCATGGGAGGCGGCACTGGACACGCTGGGCGACGGCGACTTTTGGCGGTCGGTGGTCAACGACGTGGACGGGCTGCAAAAGCGCGCGCCGCTGCATCTGTCGGCCAAGATCCGCGCCGGCATCCCGGCGGCGGTGCGCGGCGTCGTGTGGCAGACGCTGACGCAGGCGCGGTCGACGTACCTGCAGACAGTGTACACACAGCTGATCCAGGAGTACTCGCCGCACGAACGCATCATCCGGCGCGACTTGACGCGCACGTTCCCGCGCATCCCAGTATTCAAGGGTGAGGGCGGCGAGGGCCAGCAGCGGCTGTTTCGCATTCTCAAGGCGTACTCGCTGTATGACGCCGAGGTCGGCTACTGCCAGGGCCTGGGCTTCATCATTGGCCCGCTGATCATGAGCATGGGCGAGTGCGAGGCCTTCTGCGTGCTGGTGCGCCTGATGGAGACGTATGACCTGCGCGGCATGTTCACCGAGGATATGGCCGGCCTGCATCTGCGGCTGTTCCAGTTCCAGCTCCTGGCCGCTGAGATTGTGCCCGACGTCATGGCGCACCTGGAGCGGTACGGCGTCGTGGCCGCCATGTACGTGCCGTCGTGGTTCTTGTCGCTGTTTGCGTACACGATGCCGCTGGGCTTTGTGCTGCGTGCCATGGACGTTATCATGGCTGAGGGCGCGCCCGAGTCGATCATGCGCATTGGCATTGCGTTGCTGCAGCGCAACGCCAACAAGATCCTGCGCCAGGACGACTTTGAGTCAGCCATGGGTGTGCTTAACGGTGGGCTGTACGACGACGAGAACAACTCAAGAGACCGCCCTGGCTTTGTGCTGCAGGAGGCTGCCAAGCTCAGCGCTGTCGTCACGCAGCAGCGGCTCGAGGAGCTGGAGGCCCGCTACTGCAGCGAGCAGGGCATTGTGCCGCGCACTGGCCGCCCCAGCATGTCGTCGCCGACCGTTGCGGCCGGCGCCGACGCAGCTGAGGCCACGACGAACCACGCGATCATGAAGTTCCTTGGCTGGCCTTGGACCAAGGACTCAGCCGGCAGCGGGGCGTCGTCGGCGCCGACGACGCCGCAGGTGACCAGCGCGCAGCCAAAGTGGCGGGTCAGCAGCCTGGGCAGGGGCCTGGGCGCAGGCAGCGACTCGGACGACGACGCCGCCAATGCCGACGAGCTGATTGCCCACCTATACCACCAGCAGCAGCAGCGTACGGGGCGCATTAGCCCACGTATTCTCGAGCTGACCGAGTCGCAGCGGGCGCACTCGCACCAGCTGCGCGAGCAGATGCTCAAGTCGCTGCAGGCACAGGACAACGCGCCGGCGACGATGCTAGGCATGGTTAGCTCGCTGGCCGCGCAGTCGCAGAACCAGCAGAACCAATATGGCGAAGTCAAGTCGCGGATCTCAGTTGCTGACTCCCTTGCCTCGGACAACAGCAGCGGCGGCGACTCAGGCTTGCATAATTGCAGGTCGCCAAGCTCAGCTGTGCCGCGGGGAGGGCTCGGCGGCGAGCCCAGCGACAGCGCCTGGCGTGACGAGGTACTCGAGCCGCTGCAGCGCCAGCTGCACGACGCGCGAGTAACATGCGACACACACCGCGACGCGCTGGTGGCGCTGCAGGTCGACCACGAGGCGCTGCGGGCCGAGCTGGCAATGGCTAAGACTCAGCGCGCGGGCCTGGCGGAGGACAACGAGCAGCTGCGTATGGCGCTGCGTCGTGCTGAGGCCGGCCGTACAAAGTCGCAGCAGGAGTCTGAGCACAACTTGGAGCGCGCACAGAGCTCCGAGGGGGCGCTCATCCAGGCGCGCATGGATCTCGCGGAGGCCGACGAGGAGAAGCATCTGCTGGTCAGGCAGCTCAACAACCTACGCAAGTTCATTGCTGCCGAGTCGGCAGGCAGCACCTCAGAGGGCGTGCAGCTGTCGCCGATCCAGGAGGACGGCGTGCTGTCACGCACCCGCATGGTATCGATGGACGGGTATCCGCAGGCAACCACTATCAGCAGCCCGCCGCTGGGTGCCAAGCCGAGCCGCTTCAGCATCTCGAGCATTGCATCGAACTGGTCGGCCATCCGCGGCGCTATTGCCAGCCCGCGGCCGTCGATGCAGCAGGACGCCCCCGGGAATGATTCAAGTGCTGACAGCGCTGCCCCTTCACCGGCGCCGCTGACAGTGTCGACGCAGCAGGGCAGTGTGATCCGCACGCACTCGGCCTTGTCGCCGCCAGTGCTCTCGCCTGCGCTCAGCACTGGAAGCCTGAACGGCAGCAGCAAGCCGTCAGCCATCCCGCTGGCCATGCTGCACCGCAGCAAGACGTCGCCGCCAATGACCATGATGACGTCGCCCACAGGAGAGGACGATAACAACAACAGCAGCAGCAGCAAGTGATTGCCATACTTGAGACAGCCAGCCAGCAAGCAATCAAACAACGCACACACATTTTTTATTTCATTCAACTTTTCCTACTTTTTTCTCTAACTAAAAATAACGCATTTATTAGTGAGGAAGAGGCCGCATGCTGTAATTAATGAAAGTAAGAGAGCCGGAGCCGGATACGCAACACATATACATACCCCAGAGAAATACACGGAAATGGCAAGGTCATAGAAAAGGAGTGCGACACGCATTCAATAAATGCGCTTAAGCGGCCATCCCCATGCTCTCACGAAGCTCGGCCAGCTCGTCGTCCTCGTCCTCGTCGATGAACGATGCAACAGCAGCAGGCACCCTGCCTGGCTGCCTAACCGCAGCCGACGGCACCTTCGGGAGCGACACGGGCGCGCGCTCAGCATTAAGCAGCTGCTTGTCGAGCTCCTCCTGCTCAAGCTCCTCCAGCTCGGCATTGAGCTCGTCCTCGTCCAAGTCAGCGCCAAACATCTGCGGCTGCGAAATGGCCTCGGACACCTCGTTGGCTAGGTCCATCTGTTCGCGAATATCGTCCATTGTCTGGTCGACCTTGTCAATGTCCAGGTCCTTGTGGATGCCCTTCATGGCCTCGGCGCCCTTCTGCATCGCCTTCATGGTCTCCAAGTTGACGTTGGCTGCCTCAATCGCCATCACCTGTGTCTCCAACGTCATGCGTGACCCGCTTATTTTGTCAATTTGCGACTCCAGCAGCCGCTTGCGCTTGAGTGCCGCCAGGGCTGCCTGCTTGTTCTTGGTCGCGTTTGTCCGCGCGAGGCGCAATTCGTTTTCGACTTTAGCCTGCAGGTGTGACTCGCGCTTCTCGAGCATCGACAGGTTCTCGCGCAGCGTGATGATTGCATCCTTGGGCGTGGCCTTTGGTTTGGACCCGCCGAAAAAGAGTTTCATTCTGGAGAACTAACGTGATGTGTGTATGTGTAAAATTAGAGAATAGTACAAGTGGATTTATAAGGAAAGAAATAAGAAAGAAATTGCAGATTGAAAAGAAAGAATTGCAATGCGCAAGCTGCCACCGACAGTGCTATTATTTGTCGCACGGCTTGCCTTCACAGAGTGAATGGGGCACGTGCATCTCAATAGTGGTCACCAGCAGAGCGCTAATCCGATCTGCTGATCATGATTAGCTCGCTGGGGACAATGGGGTGGGACGTACTCCATGCTCAGAGCCAGATCCACAGCCCGAGCCAGCCGAAGACAAATGAGCCAGTCGGAGCCAGAACAGGAGCACAATCAGCCCAAAATCATTGCCACACGCCGCAGCCAATAAAAATTTAAAGAAGGCTCGACCTTTTTTCTTTTCCTTTATTTTCATTTCTTTGGCTACTGCCACAGCATTTCAGTTTCCGCATTGTTGTGGTTGCGCGTCTGAATTGTTCTGCTGTGCCTTTTTTCAGTCCGCTGTGTGCCCTCCCCATTTTGCTGTTCTTTGTGGTTTGATAATTGGTCTTTGTATGAGGTCGAGTTTACTACTGCTGTTATTATCATGGCATGCATCTTAACTTTGGCAGCCTCGAGCCCCGCCCGCCCATTGCAAAATAAAAAAGAAATACTGGCCCCCCCATCGCAGCCACGCAGAAAATAGCATCAGAATGACATGACATGCATGATGAGGGCAGGAGATAAAATAAACAGGCTGGCTGGCTGGCTGGCCCGCCAGTCTGAAGACCAGCCGGTCCAACCTGCCCTGTTTTCTGGCATTGAAAATCCGATCCTCGCCTCGCCTCGCCTCCCTTCTTTCTCACCGTCTATTTTCTCTCTCTTTCTCAGTGGTTTCCTTTTATCCCCCCCTTTTGCCTTGCATATTATTTTTCCAGCACTTTATTTTTTGCCTATTACTTGCTTCCAACCTTTACTTTTCTCATCCTCTTCTTCGCCCCCCTTTCGTTATTTCTCCCGCATCTTTCTCTTCCACTCTAATCCACTCTGTGTGTGTTTACCTTTTCCACCGCCTACCTTCTTTCTATACCCGCTCAATCTGACGCTTTCCTCATTTCCTATTTTTTGTAACGCTTCAACTCATTCAACAATCCCATCTCTGACTTTACGAAAACACAACAAGGACCTGCCTTTTATTCTATCATTTCCATTATGAGCTACAACCACACAGACAGCTATTACGATGACCCAACCAGCACAGCATTCGACTTTCCGCTCTCCAACACCCAACTGCAGCCGTATCAGCCAGCCAAAAAGCTGCAGCGCCAGACACACACCGACAGCAACCTGAACATCCAGGCAGCACGCGGGCGGTCGGAGAGCGACGGCTACCGCACAATGTCGACGCGGTCGTCGGACGACCGAGCGCCGCTGACGACGTTTTTCGGCTCGCAGGCGTGGCAGCGCATGTCGACGGCGCTGCCGCAGGGCGTGCGCGACCCACTTAACATCCACGAGCTCGAGCGCGAAGAGCGGCTGATGCCCTTCACCGAGGTGGGCATCAGCGCCATGGGCGACCAGGCCCAGGCCGGCGCGCCGTCGCACTACGGCACAGCGCAGCAGGGCATCGCCGGCGAGAAGCACAGCGCGAAGCACACGAGTCACTTCACAGCCAACTTTGTGGCGTCGAGCGGCGGCGGAGCCGAGACGGCACCGAGCGCCATTGACTGGGAGTATATGCAGGACCACAACCTGCGCACTGGCGGCCTGCCGTCGCTGGACCAGGTGCTGACTCGGCGCACAAGGGCGCCGCTGGCGCTGCGCGACTTTGCTGTGCATTGCTCGGTCAGGCAGCCGCAGGCCAGGCGCTGGCTCGAGTTCTACATGGCCGCCCGCACACACGAGAAAATGTGCCTGGCCTACGACAGCGACCTGCGCCACGCCAAGGCGCGCAGCCACTATGCCAGCGCCGACAGCCGCATCCTTCCCAGCTCGAACACCGGCTCGGCTTCGGCCTCTGCCGAGGCAGCAGCAGCAGCAGTGGCGGCCGAGTCGCTGGACCCGAGCCGCCGCGCAGCAGCGCACACGGCAGCGATGGAGTCGCTGTCGCGCGGGCGCGGCGACGACCAGGTGCTGTACCCGGACGATGGTGCCAACGAGGCCATGCCGGCCGACGCTCGCAACACGTCGCGGCGCAGCAGGCGGCAGAGCTCGCGTATGGCGATGCAGATCCAGTCGTCGGCCGAAACCATCTTTCTGCGCTACTTCCGCGCCGCGCTGGACCCCAGCCTGATGCAGGGTGCGGGCACCTTCTGGCAGACCAACTCAACGACGTCATCGGCCGCTGCCGCTGCGCGTGCGCGCGAGACCGCCGGCCGCAGCGGCAAGATCGGGTCGCTGAAGCGCATGCTGACGCAGAAAACCAACACGCGCGTCATCAACGGCCTGCGCCCGACGCTCGACGACCCGTACCACCAGGGCTACGGTGTCGCCGCCACTGACTCGGTCTACGGCAGCGCTGGTGGAAACAGCGCCTCCGGAGGCCGCGTGCCTGGCGGGTCGGGCGCCGCCAGCATGTATGACAACAACTTTGGGCGGCTCGGCTCAACCCCATCATTGGTCATGTCGCGCGACCACCTGAACACGCCAATCACAGGCGACTCAGACGCGCCGGCCATGCTGCCTCAGTACATGCCGATGCACCGGCCCGGCGGCGGCGGCGCCTTTGGCAGCGGCTCGCGCCAGCAGCACCTGTACTACCACATGCCGTGGCCGCCAGAGATCCTGACCGACATCGAGCAGCGCCTTTTGCACGACGGGGCCGCCCTGGATGCAGCGCTGTTCTCCGAGGCGCTGCTCTACGCTTACGACGTGCTGGACACATACTACTTTCCCATTTTCATTGCTGACGCTGTGTCGCGCAACGTTACCCGCGACCACTGCGTCTTGCGCGTACTGTTTGCCTTTGTGTTCTTGTGGTTTGGCTTTGCCCTGCCGCTAGCGCTAATCCTGCTTGACCATGTGCCCAAGGCCCAGCGCGCCTGGAGCGTGCTGCCGCTGTTCATCGGCTGGTGGAATATGGCAGTCGGATTTGGAGGCTGCGACTTGCTTCTAGCCGCCATGCGCAAGTACCAGTCGCCGACAATGAGGGATACCAACACTGCTGCATCGCGCAAGGACGCTGACTTTGGCTTGAGCAAATCACCGCAGCAACAGCCGTTCGGGTCGCTTAGCTCACAAGTCGGCGGATGGCGCAGGGCATGGTTCTCAACACGCATGTCTGTTGACATGACTGCCACTCGGATGGTTCGTGCGCGCAGCATCCGCTGGTTCATTGGAGCTCTTGCCATGACTGCCATCACTGCCGCTATCTTGTGCGCTGTGCCAGGAACCCGCATCTACCGCAACTAAACAGTGCTTTTTTATAAATATTTTATATGTATCATTCCCGTTATTATTAAATGTCGTTTCTTATCCAAAAAAATTGCAAATGTATGTCACAGTTGAGGCACATGACTTTGCATGCTGCCTAACTGAGAACAATGATAAGTTTTATTATAGTTTATTCATGTCATAAAAAGAGCGGCTGTCGGGCAGCCAGGAATTGCTCTCCTTGGAAGAAATAAATATTCTCTTTGATTGTACCCTGTATTGCTCATCTGCAATAAATAAAAAGCAGCAAAAATGATTCCGGCGAGGTTCGAACTCGCGACCTACGCCGTGTAAAGGCGGTGTGATAACCGACTACACCACAGAACCATTGAACCCAGCTTTAGTAGAACTAATCGGCTAAAACCTCTGATAGTACATGCTTATCAATGTATACTATCCAAACATATAGCCTTATTACAAAGACATTTATGATAGTAGTAGGGCGCTGGTAAAATACATGCAAGCACACTACTTTATTTGAGATTATGTGGGTTTTACTGCACTTGCGGAATAAAATTAGCTGTTAATTTTTTTGCCAAGCACTCATGATTACTCTTTTTCTCCTGCCTTCCATAGACAGGCGGCAGTGCAACATGTCAGCCATGTCAAACACTTGGCTCACATAATTTCATTTATTGGTTGGTCGACAAATAAATTAGTTTCTAGCAAGTGCCAGGCTATTTTCCATCTTTTTCAAAAAATTTAAAGTCACCCTTTGTTCCATTCTTCCGCTCTTCATTTTCCAATTAAAATAATCGCTGTCGAAAAGCAGCACCACTTTATATTCTATGCTTTTAATTGCTTTTTTGTCACATAACAAAAACTGTAATAAATTGGGACTAACATTGGCCTCCTTTCTCCAAGTCCATCTATTTAAAAATCATGTTTTTGCGACAATTGTTTACTGATTTATAGTGCTATCAAAATAATTTTAGTGTTGGGTTAAAAACGCATGATGCTTTAAAGTCTGTCTTTTACTCCTTTTTCATTTTCTTTATTATTAATTTGCGCAAATGGTTTTGAAGTGACTGGTAATAGAATAATTGTTAGAAGGAAAATGTAAAGGTAGCCCAACATTTTCGACGATAATTGCATAGGAGACAAAGTGGACCAGTCAGATTTGCTGGCTCAAACAGCCAACACAGGTGATGAAGAGATGCATGCATGGATTCGACAGGGATACATGGAGGATAGTGCATTCAAGAAGGTCTACCGCACTTTGTTGCACCCAAATGAGCTGATCGACAAAGGCTGCAACAAAAATCAAGTGCTATGAGGAAGTTGATGGCCTCCTCTACTACATTGCTGATATACTGTTGGGCACACACTTCCTTTTTTGCCCAACACCCATCAATTGCACTTTTCTTTATGAGCACTAAGACTCACAATCAAAAAGGGCAAAATAACAACAATAGTCATTAGTTCAGCTATCTTTTCTTTTCCGAGTTTTAGTTGAGCTATATATATTCTATTCAAGGCACTAATCAGTTGTTTAACACACGCGGCTCACCAGCACTACACTCCAATAGTGCGCCAAGGCATTGGTGTCAGAGACAAAACGCGCCAACACATGCCGCAGGTTCTCTGGTTGCACAACCCCCACCAGCATAGCCAGTGGCACTGCCGCCTCCCATGATGTGCGCAGGCACTAGAGCAAGTGCAGAATCAGTTGGTTGGTGTATGCATACTTACCAATCGCCAGCCTGCGACGCAGTCAGCGCACCAGCCCTGGACTTAATTCCAGCTGTACCTAGCTGACACTTCGCAGCATGAACTCATGAAGAAACGCAATACCCCACGAGGAAACGCTCTGGTTATCCTGGAGGACGCACGCGACAATGAGGTCGACGGCGCCCAACTCCAGCAGCTGCACCATCTGCGGATTCGCCACTTCCGTTGCGTTTTATTCTGTCGCTGCCGACCGATACACTGTGAGAAAAGTTCACAGCCACACGAGACTCTCCGACAGCATGGGCAAAAGCTCAAGCTCAGACACTGACTGCTGCGCGGCACCGAGCAATGCAAGCAGAGGCGCCAGATCGATCATTCACCAGTGGTACTCGGTGCCCAGCGCAAACTTCTTTGCCATGGCCGCATATACCGACACAAGCACAGCGTCTGACCGCTGCCTCTGCTTGCTGCCGCCTTGAGGCAAGTCGTTGGCTGACTGCAGAAGTGCCTCGCTGAGCACCTCAAGAAACCCGCAGCCGACTGCCCGCCGCATATGCTGCTTGAACACTTCTGCGCCTGATGTGTCCAGCAGCCCGAGAAACGTGGTGGCTGCCCGAATCGCCACTGCCTTCTCCCTGCGTGTGTGCATAGCGTCCGCCAGCGCCTCGATGTTACCGGCCCGAGCCACCCTGCCGACCCGCTGCGGCATCATCACCAGCACCTACAGCAACACAACTGTCCTCAACCGGCCCTCCTCCTCTGTTGCTGAACTGCCCTGAGCCTGCGCAGCTATCAGCAGCATTATCTCTCACCGCATAGCCGTACCGAGCAGCAGCTTAGATGCAGTATCCCACAGCTTAAAGTTGTCTGAATGTAGCGCCAATTATGCCAAGAGATTAGCCATTTCAAGCGTCTGAATGTCCAACGCTGCCTCATTGTCCACACTCTATTTTGAAATCACTGGCCCTGGCATACTAGGCGTATCGCTGGCGCTTCTTTTGTTGGTGTGCGTAGCAGAAATCTAACCTGTACTGCGATTGGTCCAGCAGATGCGAAAGTACCTTGTACGTACGTGTCGAGCACTGCTCCAACGCCAATTGCAGGGTAGTACCAACTATCATCTATGCCAGCGAAAGACTATTGAAAGTGTTTGTAAAAAAGAAAAGCTACTAAAATGTAAAATGCGAATTGTAAATTGGAATGGGAATATGAGAAAGTAAATAGACTAATTAGAAAGAAAAACGTTAAATTGAAATCATTTGGCAAAATAGTAAAATCGAAAATTATGGATACAATCAACCTTCAGTAAAGTTGGTCAATGTGCAAGTTTAAAAGTATTTGTTGTTTACAGTTAAAGTGATCGGTGGATCGGCGAATTTGTAAATAAAAGAAAGAGTTAAAAACTTTAACATAATCAAGAAAATAAGAGCAAATCAAGTGTTGATTTTTTGGGATCATAAAAGCTATATTAAAAACAAATATGAAAAACCTAAAGTGTGCGTATCTTTTTGAGCAACTCAGCATTGATCTCGTCCTCAGTCGGTCGCTTAAGCTGGCCATTATTCTCTTTGAGGAGCTCAATCGCCTTGGGATGCATAAATTCAGGAGCAGCATCCCAGTTGGCCCGTCAAACAAATTTCTCGTCCCACAAGAGATGGTGGTTCATAACCTTGTTTTCTGGTTCAAAAAGGAACTGACGCATCGCACAAATGAGCTATTTAAGCCTAGGGTTGATGTTTTTAACACCAAACTCCTCCCAGCAAGACAGCATCCTCTTGGATTAAACCCCACTTTACGATGGCAAGGGGTGGATAATCCAGGAACTTGAAGCCCTGGACATCATCCCTCTTAGTGCCGGCTGGACGCACTGCGTCTATAACGACATAGAGAACACTTTCCAGGTCGTCAAGGATTCCCCGGATGGGGCTGCTGCTGAGCATGGGAATTCCCATGAAAAGCGGCGTCCCTGTAAATGGGTCCTTGGCCACCTCCACCTGTCCCACTGTTCTCGCATTGAACCCCCGCTGCTCGGCAACCTCAATGTGTTTGAGCTGAGTTGGGTCAATGTCCCTGGCAGCATCCCCAGCAGTGCTCCAGCCAATGACCTTGGCACAGCCCCAGTCAATGACATACACCTTGTCGTTTTTGATGCACACATTCCCTGCCGAGATGTCCCTGTGCAGGACACCAATGTTATTTGCTTGGGCAAGACACAAGGTTATCTGCTCGACAAATCTAGGAAATAACTCATCTTTCTGATCGTTGGGCTTGCCTTTCAGATACTCGGCCATTGACTGGCCATAGTACTCCATGAGCACGAGCTCCAGTCGGTATCCATTAAGGTTGCTGGTGAGCAGGCCACTCGAAAAGATCTCAGGAATACATTCGACTGGTCTCTTGTTGAGGATGGTGTATGCGGCGCTTATCGCGTACATCAGGGGGCTCCGATTCCCCGGGTGGCAGTTCCTCCCTTTTTTGAATTTTCTGGGGCGTTTGGAAAGTACCGCCTGTCTTACTGTTCTAATAACAAATAAAACAAAATTCTTTAAATGTGACTGAATTACTTTTATATGCACGCAAAATAAACAATAAACAATTCATCAATATCATAATAATTCGTTTATATTCAAGTACTTACGCCTGTTGGATTCGGTAGAGTCTTATTCGGAGGAGCTAGCTCAGACATCATTGAGAGAAAGAAAAAGAGAGAGAGAGAGCGTGTATGTGATAAGCACCGAGGTATGGTAAAGGTAATAAAAAGTGAAGAAAAAACAAATTGTTTCTACTTTTAATATTTGCTTTTTTTACAATTCGTACCATTTCGTTCAAAGATGGAAAGTTGCAAAGGTAAAAATTTGTTGGAATAGATTGCGACAATAATAAAAAACAAACTTTTTTAATATAAACAAAAAAATTTGAGCTTCTCGCTGTGCTCGCATTTGGTTGGCTGAAATATCGAAACAAGAAATAATTACATTTACGGATTAATTTCCAATCGGCAGTTCTTTTTCCTTGTGCATTGGTTTTGAGGTTTTATTGTTTCTTTTGGGAGCATAGTGACCCTGCCATTCACTGCTGTAAAAAAATGCTTCCCCTGCGCATACACTGAACCAGAGATGCATCCATGCTCCATCGCCTGGCTGTCAGACCAATTGAGACACAGCGCCACATTTTCCATGTGTGATACAAGAGAGTGCGGCGTGTCCCCGATGATTAATGAATCAAGCACCAGTCAATTCCAAGCTCAAACACGTATTATTCTACTATTTATATTGCTTGTATGCAATATTCCAAGTGATTGATGCAGTTACTCTTGAGCTTTATTTTATTCCATTTTAACAAATAATTTTTATAGTAACCCTCTCTGCGGGAAGAATTGCCTCCATGATATTGTTATGTAAAGGGGGGGGTGGGGAGCACTATTAAAATAATATTAAAAGGATAGGTATTAAATTATTAAAGGTTTATTACTAATGTTTTTAAAGTGCTATTATCATCAACCTCATCATATATGTGTCTCAATGTCTTTGTGGCACACACTGGCAGTTGTGTGCTCCGTTTGCGAGAACTGGTCCTTATGAGCGTAACCCGGATCTCAGGTATGAAATTATTGGTGTATCTGTATTCGTGCGCTCAGCGCGTCTATTTTGAGACGGACAGTATGTCTGGATGTCAACAGTGGCATCTGATTTAGTCCCATGTAATTTGGTCAGTATCAGATCTATCAGCAAGCTGGCAGGAATCTGTCTCATGATTTTCCCCCTCAGCATCTAGCTCCATATCCTCGGGCTGGATAACAATATTTACTACCACGATCTACTCCGTCAGCACCTTGCTCATCCAGTCATTGTCCTGTCAGCAGCAAGTCCTGTTTGGTAGGGAAAGTGTAATCATGTCCCCTACAAAAGGCCAGTAATTTTTCCTGTTGGCTCCCAATCCACATTACAGTGACCAGATATCTGGCTGTAGGTGAGTTGCATTGGCCACCCTGTCTGATTTTCATTCTGCTCTATGCCCGAGTGTCTTTATACCCATTGTATATTGAATGGTTCCTTGCAGGTCCGGAGCCAGGGTAGCACTAGTCAGCCAAGATACTCTTGGTTAAACGTTCATTATTATCTTATTATCCACTTAATTTGTCCCGCATTAATATTCAATTTTCATTCAAAGATCAATTTGAGATTACGACAAAGCTCCCCTGACTGCAAGCCTATCAGCTTCCTCATTTCCTTCAATGCCAGAGTGACCACGCACATGTACAAACCTCACTGAGCCACTACGTTCTCTGATAAGCGTTAAAGCGTGCTTCACTAGATCATCATTCTCCACTGGTTTACCTTGAGAATTAATCCATGCAGTCCTCTCCCAATTCCTAAACCACACTGTCAAGCAGTTGATACTATACATAGAGTCCGAGCAGATACACATATTGGGCACCGTGGGAGTGACCTCTAGAGCGCGGATAATGGCGCTGAGCTCAGCTCTTTGGTTTGTCTGTTTGGGGCCAAGCAATGGCTCCGCTAGGTTGCGCGGGTCCGAGTGGCCAAAGTACACGCCGAGTCCGGCGCGTGCACCTTTGTGGCCGTTCTTCGAGCTTGCGCCATCGGTGTATACTACCAGTGTGCCGTCGTCGAGGATTCCTGCAGCGGGGGGCTTCATGCCTGGATGTGTGATGGACTGCTTGGTTGGCTGTGTTGCCCGTGGTGGCCGTGTCCTGCCCAAATTCGACAAGTTTAAGCGGGTGGGTCCAGCTGCTGTGTCAACAGTAGTAGTAGTGGTAATCCTGCTTGTGTTGTTTTTGCTGTTATTATGGATATTAGTGGCGCTGCTGCTGCTGCGACTGCCAGGTGTAGTTTGATATGGTGCTGGTCGCTTGTTGCGCCCAGGACCGACAGGCGTTACTGGTATCCGCATCGCGGTGGTCGTGGTCGTAGTTTTGTCTGCAAGGGAAATGCCGGCAGCGCTGCTGGCAGTTTCGTTGGCAAAGGCCTCGGCCTCAGTGGCGGTTTTGAAGCGCTGAAACTTTGCGCTCGGGTATCCGTTGACCACGGCCTTGCACTCGTCCCAGGAGCGGTAGACGCCGGGGCTGCGGCCAACGCGCACGGCGTAGTAGCCGCCAGCTGGTGATTTTGATGACATTGACAGTGGCGCAGTAGTGTGGGCGGAGATGGTGGCGGGCGTTGTGCGATATAAATTGAGAGGGGAAATGCGAGAAGAAAACAAAAACAAGCGCGCGAAATTGGCAGAATTAAAAGGCATTAAAACAAACATAGAGCCAGAGAGAAGACAAACAGAAACGGAATCAGGAGCGGCGAGCATGCCTGCTTTTTTTCTGGCTGCCTTTCACTCCAACAAGTGAGCGGGTGCGATCAAAAGTGGTAATATTTTTTATTTAACCGCCAGCAAAAGATTGAAGTACAAAAAATCAGTCGGATCAGATCAAGGCATTTTACCAACAGCGAACGACAGCGGCAAGCGACAGGTGCCCTGGGCCTGGGCCTGGGCCTGGGGCTCAATCTAGAAGGGCGCGGTCTTGAGCCACTCGGCCTCCTCAGGCGTGGTCTCCCTACCGAGCGCCTTGTTGCGCGACGGGAAGCGGCCAAACTCCCTGATGACGTCGCGATGCATCTCCGCGTACGAGCCAAAATCGTCATTCTTGGCGTCCTGCTCAGGCGCGCCCAGCTTCTCGGCCAGCTCAGTGTACAGCTGGACGCTCAAGTCCTGGGCCTCAATGTCCTCGGCGTGCATCAGCGGCATGTACACAAACGACTGTTTGACGGGCGGCAGCTCTGCGTGGAACTTGCGGCGTACCATGTACATGGCCAGTGACCGCGCAATGGCGTCGCCAGCAAAGGCCCTGGCCTCGCCGCGATACATGTTGCGGCCCATTTGATCCAAAAGCACAATCAAAGCCAGCGTGCCCTGCGCCGAGTCCTTTGCGTTCTCCACGTGCGCCTTGGTCGCAATCACCTCCGAGTGTACAGCTTGGAAACGCTGCTTAATTTGCGCGTCGATTTCGCTGGTCGGCTTGAACCACCAGCTCTGGAACCCCACCTGGCCGGCCTCCTGCAGACGGTCAGACTCGGCAAACCAAAACGCGTTGATTTCGTCAAACAGCTTCTGCGACTCAGCCTTGGGCGTAGCAACGGCTGCTGTGTAGCTGCGCACCAGGGGCAGCTGTCTGCGGATTGTGCTTGCGAGGGGGCGCTGCTTCGCCTGGAGCAGCAATTTAGATGCGTTGAACATGATTTGATAGGTGAATTGTGCGACAGTAAACAAGTGATTATAGAGTTTATAGAGTTGAATTGAATCGAATCGAATCGAAATGAAGAGCAAGAAATGATTCAGGCGAATTTCATTTTTCCACTATTATTACGGTAATGTAAAAATTGCAGGCCAATAATAAAAGCGGGATTGTTCAAATATCAAGCCTCAAATCGGACAATCTAATCACGCACGCCACGCATTTTACGCACCTACTGTATCTGGGCGATGGATGGCAAATGCTAGCCTGGCTAGGATAGGGCGGAGAGGCTGCCAATTTATCTTTTTTCCCTTGTCATCTGGGCAAACAAAGGAGAAATCCTTATTTGAAAAATAAAAAATTGGGTGAGTTGAAAAATGCTGCTGATGACGCTATCAGCGATTTGGTGACTAAATTGGGAATTGGGGAATATAAAAAATTATTGTACATAAACGGAATCTCCTCGTCTAAACGTTATTCCGGACACGGAGCGTGAATGTGACAGCTTTGCGTTGGTTTTTTTTTTCCGGACAAGCTTTGCAAGTGACACAGACCACAAAGTTTAATAATGAAGTACAAACTTTTTTTACTAGTGTTTGGCTCAGAGAAATGATGAGTCAACAGCCAAAGCTAGCGGAAAAAGCAAAAAAATTAAAATGCATCAAAATATATGCCAAAGTAATAAAAGAAGGAATTATTTTTCTGTCAGCGTGTATGCGCGCATTCGATTGTTCGGCGTTGGTCTGGTCAATTTGGTTTTGTATAAATACAAGGGGGAGGTTTTCTTGTGGAAGATGAAGGATGCTTTCAAAATAACGTTCTTCTTTTTTCTTCTTTCTTGATACACAGACCATCAAAAAATTTATTTTCTTCAATCAATCAATCAATCAATCAATTCTATATATCTCGTTTTTCTACTTTCTATTTCCTAAGCATCAATAGAACTGGACACGTATACTTGGTACTCATCTTTATACCTTAAATCAACCGACAAATTACAATGGTCTCTTCCACAATATCACCATCGTCGCCCGCCAAGAGCAAGCTGATAGTCTTCGACACCACGCTGCGCGACGGCGAGCAGTCGCCAGGCGTGACGCTCAACACTGAGGAGAAGATTGAGATAGCGCGGCAGCTCTCGCGCCTGGGCGTTGACATCATCGAGGCTGGCTTTCCAGTCGCGTCGCCAGGCGACTTTAATGCCGTGCAGCGCATCGCGCGCGAAGTCGGAGGGCTGATGGAGGGCCGCGATGGGCTCGAGCCGATGGTCATCTGTGGGCTCGCGCGGTCGGTCAAGAAGGACATCCAGACAGCGTACGACGCAGTCAAGGACGCGCCGAGGCACCGCATCCACGTTTTCCTGGCGACATCGGACATCCACCTCGAGTTCAAGCTGAAGATCAGCCGTGACGAGTGCAAGGCGCGCATCAGGGAGATGGTCGGGTTTGCCAAGAGCCTGTGCGCTGACATTGAGTTCTCGCCCGAGGATGCCGGCCGGTCGGACCGCGCGTTCCTGTGCGAGGCGCTTGCTGTGGCCATCGAGGCTGGCGCCACGACACTTAACATTCCAGATACTGTCGGCTACAACACGCCGCACGAGTACGGCGCGCTGATCGCGCACCTCAAGCAGAACACACCTGGCGCTGATAGCGTCATCTTCTCGACGCACTGCCACAACGACCTGGGGCTGGCCACGGCCAACACGCTGGCCGGCATCAGCAACGGCGCGCGGCAGGTCGAGGTGACCATCAACGGCATTGGTGAGCGCGCCGGCAACACTTCGCTCGAGGAGGTCGTCATGAACATCCACACGCACCCTGACACGTACCCGGTGCACCACACCATCAACACGCGCCTGTTGTTCTCGACGTCGCGCATGGTCGAGGACCTCTCGGGCATGGCCGTGCAGGCCAACAAGGCCATCGTTGGCCGCAACGCCTTCTTGCATGAGAGCGGCATCCACCAGGACGGCGTGCTCAAGAACAAGACTACCTATGAGATCATCCGCCCCGAGGACGTCGGCGTCACCACCGGCAACCTGGCCCTGGGCAAGCACTCGGGCAGACACGCCTTCAAGACCAAGCTCGAGGAGCTCGGCTACGGCGGCGCCGCGCTTTCCGACGCGCAGTTCCAGACGGCGTTTGCCAAGTTCAAGGACCTGGCCGACTCCAAGAAGGCCGGCGTCACTGACGGCGACATGCACGCGCTGGTCGCCGACATCCGCTCGACGTCGCTCTCGGGACCCACCAGCGCGCAGCCCGACGACACCACCGCGGAGGAGTCTGCGTCGGAGGAGCCGGCCGCCGTGCAGTACACTCTGAAGCAGCTGCACGTGTTCACCGGTGTCAACGTCATGCCGACGGCGACCGTCACGCTGCACGACGCGCACCGCGGCGTTGACCTCACGGACGTGGCCGTGGCCAAGAACGGCCCGATCGAGGCCACGTACTCGGCCATCCAGCGCATCATCGGCAGGGACATTGAGCTGCTCAACTTCACAGTCTCAGCCACCAGCGTCGGGCAGGACACGCAGGGCAAGGTGTCTGTGCGCATCGCGCAGTCTGGGTCGTCGTCAACGTCAGTGGTCTCGTCGGCAACCGCGTCACCCAAGCCAGAGGAGCAGCTGCTGACGTCGTACGGCGCCGTGCCAAAGTTCTCTGGTGTTGCGTGCAACGTCGACATCATCACGGCATCAGCAAAGGCATACTTGACGGCCGTCAACCGCATGGTCAGCCACGACTCGGCAGACAACCGCGCCAGCCACAAGCAGCGCAACGTCGAGATCTAGATATAAGAGACGATGGCCTATTTTATTATTTTATTTTATTGTCGAAATATATAGATTTTGGTTCATATTACTCAGACATGTCGCCGAAGCTGCCGTACGACCCGTACAGCTCGCGCATCATGCCGCCGATTATCGACAGCTCCTGCACAACCTCCCACCCAAGCATGACCTGCGTGTAGTAGAACACGTACCGGATCCTGTCCACCGCCCGCTGTGCAGCAGCATCGGCCTCGCCAACGCTGATCTCGGGCTCGTTGCCCACCAGTATATCTCTCATGGCATCAGCAACACGGCGCTGCGCGGCATGAATCGGGGGCAGCACCGACGGCAAGGGCGTCTTCAAGATGAGCGCCGACGCCAAAACGTACATGGTCAAGGACAACAGCGCGTCGCGGTGCTCGCGCTCAGCGGCCGACTGGCGCAGCAAATCGCGCTCCACGCGCAGCCTGATATACTCGGCGCTATCCTCCGAAACCGCAGCGGCACTTGCAATCACTTGGCCCAGCCGGCCGTCCATGTCGGCCTGCTCGCCGCGCTCCATCAGTACTGTGGACGACAAATCAATGGGCAAATCCAGCATCGAAGCTCCCTCGTCACTGGCAGTGTCATCGCCATCACCATCGGGCATATTCATACGACCGGACTCTAAACCAGCAGCAGCAATCTTAATGCTGGTGCCGCTCTCCTCCTCTTCACCATCATCACTGGTATCGCTCGTAGAGGCAGTTGGGTGGAGATGTTGTGCGACCACGGCCATGGGGACAGGCAACATGACCCAGCGTGCGGCAACCATGGCGTCGAGCAGCCGCTGGCACGCGTTGATTATCCGCTGATACGAGATCAGAGGGAAGGGGCCCTTGAGCCGCGGCTCGTTGAGCGTGTCGCTTAGCAGCGACCGAATTTCAACCAAGGCGCTCTGCAGCTGCATCTCGCCGTCGAGGTAGTCGCGCACTGTGCCGAGCGCCGTCCACCGGTCCGCCGGCACTGATGGCCGTGCGCCAATGGCCGCCCCAGAAGCTGACGGCTGTGGTCCAGCTGCTGGCGCATCGGAAACTGGCACCGCTGCCGCCGCCCACAGCGCGCGCCACAGCTGGTCGTACAGCAACAGCGCAGTGAGCATCCACCAGCTGAGCGCCTGGCGCACGCGCACGCGCGCCTCGTACGGCCACACATACAGCGTCACCAGCATGCCGGCCAGCACGCCCAGCGCAACTGACATGGTGCGGCGCACGGCCAAGCCAGCCACACTTTCGTCGCGGTCCTCGTTGGCCACCCACTTGTTGATCAGGATCACGCCAAAGGTGATCAGCGCAAACTGGCCGATCTTTGGATAGTTGCCGTGAAGGATAATGCGGAAGCACGGCACTGAGAACAGCACGAGCAGCGTGTACGTCAGCACCGGGCAGTCGCGGCCAACCTCGTATACCAGGAACGCGGCGAGGCCGCCGACACACGTGCCCAGGATGCGGTAGGCGCTGACCAGCAGCGACCCGCCGACGGTCGGCACCATAATGGCCGCGGCCGAAATGACCATCCACTCGAGCCGCTGGCGGCGAAACTCCCAGTACACGTCGAGCGACCAGTAGCACGGCAGCGACAGCGCCGTCACCAGCAGCGCGTACTTCGTTGCGAACCGCACGTTGAGCCGCCGCGCCCACATGCACGCGTGCCAAATGCCGCGCGCCAAGCGCTGCACCGCCGACGGCTCGGCCGATGGCCGCCGCGCGTGCAGCGACCGCGGATCGGCGAACTGCGCAACCTCGTAGCGCGACTCCAGCTCAGTCGTCGCGCCGGTGTCGCACAGCACGCGCACACGGCCGGCTGCCCACCGCAGCGCGCGGCGCACGTGCTGGCCGAGCCGCCGTGGCGAGCGCAGCTCGCGAGCCAGCATCTGGCGCGGCGTCGGCGGCGTGCGGCACAGCGCGGCCACCGCCGGCAGCAGCGCGCTGAGCAGCTCGTCGGCGAACTCGCGCAGGCTGAAGACAAAGAAGTACACGGTAAACAGCAGCTCTTCCGTGGTCCTGACGGAGTCGCCATTGCCGGACGACGCGGGCGGCCGCTTGCCGCCGCCGGGCGAGCCGCCCAGGGGATGCTTGCCGCCCAGCCCGCCCACCGCCGCGTCGTAGTCCGCTTGGAACGTCCGCAGCGCGCCGGCTGCTGCCGCGCGCACAGCTGCCACGCGCCGGTCGGCGCCGGCAAGCGACCCGGCCAGCGACCCGGCCAGCGCCTCGTCGACCAGCTCGGCGGCGGCAGCCAGCGCAGCCTCGCACGCCGCGCCGAGCCTTACGACGGGCGCGCGGATGCGGCCGATGACTTCGGCGTACGCCGCAGCGTCGACGCTGCCAGGCTCGGCGGCGCGCAGCTCAAGGCCGCAGCTCAGCGTGCTCAGGTGCAGGCTGAGCCCGTCGAGGCAGGCGACCAGCGCGCGCGCCTGCGCCCGGCGCGCCCACACGCTCCACTCGGTTGGCTCCAGCGACACGGCGTCGGCGTGGCGGCGCAGCTGCTGCAGCCGCTGGCGGTGCATGCGCAGCGCGTCCTTGAGCTCCAGCGGCTTGGCGCCGTGCAGCTTCTCGCGGCCGCCGGCCGGCGCGTCGGCGCTGACGATCGGCGCCAGCAGCTGCGGCAGCACAGCGCCGAACGACGCCAGCGTCGTCTGCAGCTGGCGCCGCAGCTCCTGCGCCGCCGTCGTTGGCCGCACCGTCCACCCGACAGCCAGGCTCACGGCCATGCCGGTCAGCACGGCAACGAGCACGTGCGCGGACTTGCGGCCGACGCTCTCGCCAACGCCGTCCGTCTGGTTGACGACCGGCGCCTCGCGTAGCATGACCAGGTACAGCGCAATGTTGGCGATGGCTGTGGCCGTGCCGACCGACGGGCGCGCGGCATTGGCCTTGAAAAAGGCCAGCACCCAGCTGAACCCAAACACAAAAACGCCCAGGCTGACGGCCTTGCTCTGCCACGCCAAATCCGCGCCCGGCATGCTGTACACTGCATGCAGCCGCTCGCCGACAAACAGCGCCGTGTATGTCACCAGGCTGGTCGCGCATACCCATAATGCGCCGACCAGCCCGCCCTCGGCCAGCCCGCTACGCGTCTTGGCCGCGTGGAACCAGATTGTCGCGTTCGTCACCAGGTGCGGCGACATGTACTCGGGGTCGCCCAGCCACTCGCGCAGAAACGGCACAAACGGGAACAGCGCTGCAATAGCGTACGCCAGCACTGCCTTGAGCACAGCCGCCCACTCGTCGCTGATGCGCCACTGTTGATTAGAGGTGTTCGTTGTTGGGCTGGACGCGTGTCTGCCGAGCAGTGCCGAGCCCTCGTCGACTACTGCACTGAACGTATGCACGCTTCTGCCGCTGCTGCTGTCGACTGGCTCTGTTGGTTCTGCCTGATTGCTTGTGTCGCCTTCGCTTTCTTCGCTGCCGCCGTCTGGTTTTGGCGCAATTCCGATTTCGTCAGCGACCCACCACGGCCGCGTCTGCACTCCGAGTCGACCCGTGGCCGTTGCTGCTCCCTCTGTGAAGCTGCGCCGAATTGCCGGCGGCGACGCCATTGGCTGCGCCATCGGCTGCGCGTACCCAGGATAGCTTGGCGGGTGTAGCCCCACTGTGCCCACTACTGCCGGCACCACGGAAGCATGTAGCTGCTGGAACACTATGCTGGCCCTATTGCTCTTGCTGTTGCTTCTTTCCGGAATTCCTGGCGCGCGCACATTAGGAGGTAAAAGTTGACTTTGAATTTCGCCAACTGATTGCCTATGTCTCCGCTGTGGCTGTGGCTGCTGCTGCTGTTGCTGTTGCTGTTGTTGCTGTTGCGGCTGCGGCTGCGGCTGCTTGTTGTCGCCGTGGCCCTCTTTGTGCATGCGAATGCTTTTAAAAAATAAAGTATTAAAAAAATAGGTTAAAGTATAAATAAAAAAAGGGCAAAGAGTAACCAAGCATTATTATTATTATTTAGGCCTAGTGGCTTTTTAACCTATTGATTGCTCCTATCTTTTTAATTCAAGCCAAGGAAGCCCCCACCCATCATGAAATGAAATGCTACTTTGTTATTTTATTGTGGCTCCTTGAATAATGAACCGGCAGTGGCACTTTGACATAATCAATTACCGATTTTTATCTATAGTGCATGGAAGGAAGATGGATGAACCGCAAACGACAATCCAGCCTTCTAGAAACCACAAACCAGCATGTGATTATTAAATCTTGATTTAGCAATAAAAGCACAATACACACAACCTGTCAAAAAATCGATCACATTTTTATAGATTTTCAATTTCAGCAAGACAAGCAAATTGTGACAACAGTTGGAAATAGCAAAACAATTTTTTTATTTAAAAAAAGCTAAACAAACTAAAAGCCTTTGGTTAAGCTTGTTGGGCACACATTCCCTTAGTAGCCCAATGCCCATCAGTTGCCATTTTATTTGTGAGCACTAAGACTCATAGTTATAAAAGGGGTAAAGCAACAAGATTTATTAGTTATGCGCTTCTCTTTCCTTAGTTTTTATGACATAAATGAGTCTAGTATTCAACACACTCGTTAACAAAGCTCATATAAGAGTTAAACCCCAACGTTTGATAAGGCCAGATATGTAATGAGATTTGGACTAGCTATAATATATATTAATAAAAATGAGACTACGGAAAGGGCTGAAGAGCTCACTATTCAGAATTCTCTGTACGCGTAAAATATCATAAATATATTTTACACGTCTGCGCTGTCACGTAACTCGGCCCCCATTTCTGATGTCACAATTTTGAGGAAGTTGACAGCCTGCTTTACTACATTGCTGATACACGACTGTGACTCTGTATTCCACACACTGATGGTGTAATAAAACTTATTCGTACTAACTAATTTTATTAAAAATCCACTATAAGGGAGCTTAAAGAGCTCCGCTTATCTATTCGAAACTATCGCCCGTGAAAATAGAAATCGCGATCGTAAACAATCACAATTTCAAACAATCGCAAATTCCCAATTGCAATTGTCACGTGACATCGCAATAATTGATGTCACATTTGCCCCCATTTAAGATCAGACTCCGGCGATCGGCTTGTGTTTTGGATGCGCTGCTAAGTATTTGTCGTATGCCTCTGTCTCCTCCACGTTGCTCTTATTTTCCCATGTCCGTCCTTCAACGCCATAACCTTCCCAATGGACCAGGTATTGTTGTTTACGGCACCACACACGGTCATTCACGATTTTCTCGGCATGGTACTCGAGATGGCCCGCGACTTCTACAGGCGGGGGTTCTGAGCGGAGTTCGGCACGGTGATCTTCGGCGGCATGGTACTTTTTCAGGTGTGACCATGAGATGACTGGATGTATGTGCATGTCCGGCGGCAGCTTGAGGCGGAATGCATTTCGGCCGATTTGCTTCACGACTTTGTAGGGTCCAGCCCATTTATGCTGCAGGGAGTTGCTAGACCGGTTGCGTAGGTAAGGTGGCGTTGTGAATTTTGTGGAGACCATGACCTCATCACCCGGTACAATGTCGGGCATGGTTACCTTCTTGTCGTGGTTCTTGATCATGCGTAGTTGTGCAAACTCTATGTTTTCCTTGGCCTCATCGCTAATTCGTTTAATCTTGACAATTGTGTTGTCTGCGTCGGCATTGGGGTCAGTGGTTAAGGTGTCGAACACAATATCGGCGGCATTCAGTGGCTGGAAGCTATAATTCGTATAGAACGGGCTGTGCTGTGTCGAGCTGTTGCTGCGGCTGTTGTAGGTGAACTCGACGAGTGGCATGAACTTGTTCCAGTCGTTCTGTTTGTTGTTGCACATTGCGCGCAGCATTGTCTCGAGTATCTGGTTTACGCGCTCTGTCTGTCCATCTGTCTGTGCATGGCTGGCAGTGGACATATTAAGTTGCGTTCCCGTCCGTTTCCACAGTGTAGTCCAGAATGATGAGCAGAATTTCGGGTTGCGGTCAGAGACAATGGATTCCGGCAGGCCGTGCAGGCGGTAGATGGTCTCGAAATACAGGTCAGCAGTCTTCTGGGCGGTCGCGGCATTGTGTGTTGGTACAAAGTGTGCCATTTTGGACAGGCGGTCTACGACGACCATGATTGCATCATATCCATCCTTCGTCTTAGGTAAGCTCACTATGAAATCCATGCTCACGCTTGACCAGTTGCGTCGTGGGATCTGTAGTGGCTGCAGTGGTCCATCACTTGGCCTGTTGCTGCCCTTGACTCGCTGGCACAGGTCACACGTTGTGATGTACTTCTCACAATCCTGATAAATACCAGGCCAGTAAAACAGCTCGCTCAGCTTGTCGTATGTTGGTCGGATTCCTGGATGCATTGCAGTGTCATGAAACTCAGCCAGCAGCAAGGATCTGTCTTGTTTTGAGCCGACGCAACGGCGTCCTTTCTTGAACAGGATGCCACCTTGTGTGTGGAATTTGTCAGCAATCTCGCGTGCAGCTCTGGATGTCGGTTCTTTGCCACTGCTAATTGTTTCCATCATGTGTTCCAACTTGCTGTCACCCTTGTAGGAGTCTTCGGGGTTTGCGCTCGTCTTCAGCGCCATTGCTGTGATGGCTGCCATGCGTAGCTCGACTCTCTCCCCCATCCCTGAAGAGCCAAGCCCATTGGCTCCATGAAGCATAGTATTGAGGGAATCGACCTGTTCCAGGCGTGGTAGTAAAATCTTGGTCGGGATCAGCTGTGCTATGCGGTCGTGTGCAGCAAACGGAATTGACTTGGCACCTGTGTTGAACAAAATCGCCGATATCTCGCCACGGTAGTTGCTGTCGACAACACCTCCAAGAATGGTGACACCCTTGGACACCAGGCCGCTGCATGGGGCAATACGCAGGTATGTGCCGGTTGGTGTTGTGGCAGCAATGCCCAGCGGGATCGTCAGGCATGTCTTGGGCTTGAGCATAATTTCCTTTAAGCAGAACACGTCGAAACCAGCATCCTCTGGGTGTGCCTTGCAGGGCATTATTGCGTCGTCGTGTAGGAGTTGGATTTGTAGTGTGTCTTCGTTGGTCGTTGGGACAGTCAGTGCGCACAGGTTCAGGTTGTCGAGAGCATTGATCAGGTCTTCGATGTCATCGTCTGGTTCGTCGGTATGTTTCGGTGCTGGTGGTTCTGGTGGTTGGTTTGTGTTTGTCAGTTGTGGTGGTGGCAGTGTCGACAGTAGCAGCTGATTTTTGTTTGTCGGTGGTGGTGGCTGTTGTACATCTATTGTTGCAGGTGTAGGTGTGGTTGTTGGTTTAGGTGCAGGGAGCGATTGCTTTGTGAGTTCTTGGATGGGTGGCTTGTCTGGTTGCATGGTGTGTGAGCGGGACAGGCCGTCAGCGACTGGGTTCTTGCTGCCTGAGCGGTATGTCACTGTCATGTCAAACTCTTGAAGTAAACTCAGCCAGCGTGCTTGACGGTTTGAGAGTGTCACTTGTGTGTTTAGGTACTTGATGGACTCATGGTCGGTGATCACATTAAATGGTGCGCCCATCAAATAATGGCGCCACTGTGTGAGTGAGTGGATCACTGCCAACAGCTCTTGTTCATGGACTGGGTAGCGGCGTTGTGCATCATTCAGTTTCATTGAGAGAAAGGCGACAGGCTTCCAATGGCTGTCATGCTTCTGGTGCAGCACCGCACCAATGGCGGTGCCTGAGGCATCTGTCTCAAGTTGTATCTCGCGGTCAGGGTCGAATTGTTGGATGATTGGGGCCTCTGACAGGCAGTTTTTGAGCGCAGAAAATGCCATGTCAGCAGCATTGCTCCAAGCAAACTTGTCAAGGCGTAGTATATCCGTCAGGGGCAGTGCAACCTTTGAATAGTCCTTGACAAAGCGGCGATAATACCCGCTTAGCCCGAGGAAGGCGCGTACATCTGTTGTCGTTTCAGGCGTGCGCCACTCCTTGATTGCATCTACTTTATGTGGGTCAGTTGCAATGCCATCAGCAGTCAGAACGTAGCCCAGGAAGTCGACGGATTCCTGGAAAAACGTGCATTTTTCTGGCTTTGAGTGTAAGTTGTGCTGCTTCAGGCATGCGAGCACTGCGTCGAGGTCATTGGCATGGTCTGCCTCAGAGCGCGAGTACACTAGGATGTCGTCGAGGTACACTATGCATGACTTCCCAATCAGGCTGCGTAGCGCGTGGTTCATGGTTCGCTGAAAGACTGCTGGTGCATTGGTCAGGCCGAATGGTACCACAGTAAACTCGAAGGATCCAAGCTTTGTGCGGAAGGCAGTCTTAGCAATGTCGGCATCCCGGATCCGGACCTGGTGGTATGCTTGCACCAGGTCAATCTTGGAGAATATCTTGGCGCCACGGGTGTCGTCGAGTAGGTCGTCAATGCGCGGCATTGGGAAGGCATCTTTGATGGTAACTGAGTTGAGGCCACGATAGTCAACACACAGTCGCATTGTGCCATCCTTTTTCTTGACAAAGAGGACAGGTGCAGCCCAGGGTGACGTTGACGGGCGGATATAGCCCTTGGCAAGCAAGTCGTTCAGTTGCTTTTCGAGCTCTTGCATCTGTGTATGGGCAAGGCGGTAGGGTGCACGTGTGATAGGCACCACCCCATCCTGCACATGTATTTCCATTTCAGGGCCACCTGCTGCTGGGCGGCCAGTTGGCGGCTGTGATAACACTGTCGAGTATTTCTCATTAAGCTGCTTCAGGTGGTTTTCGTTTGTTGAACTGATTGCTGCGACCTGAAGCGCTGTGGTGCTGGTGTCGTTCGGGAAGGATAGTTTTAGCCAGCCCCAGCCCTCGATCTCGTCGTTTGCATGGGCTATGTGCAGCGCGCTAATGGTCAGGGGCACTGAGGGGTCGTCTGCCGGTGCATGCAACCCAGTCAGTGTCCAGCGTCTGTTCCTGTATGTGATGTCCAGTTTGTCGTTCTTGCAGGCAATGGTGCTGTCATGCTGCCTCAGCCAGTCATTGCCGAGGATGATGTCTGTTGAGACAGGGAGCACAAGGCACTCGACGGGGATCACCAAGTCGTTAGTAAAACGGATGGGGACAGTGCAAGCCAGTGTGCAGTTCTGGTAGTGTGTGCCGTTTGCCAGGGAGATTGGTTGATACCTGTCCAGTGCACGGGTCGTCAGGTTTAATTTTTCTAGGGTTTTTTTGTTAATGATTGTGGCTTGGGAGCCGTTGTCTATCAGTGCATGTACTGTGGTGCCAAGCACAGTGGCGCAAGTGATGAGTTGGGGTGCCGGCGAGGTTTTAGGAGCAGCAGCTTTATTGTAGAGTGAGGGGTCGACTGCTAGCTCGGAAATAGTTAGAACTGGAGACTCGCTGTCCTTCAGTTCCTGGTCGCATTTGGGCGGTTCTTGGGACAGTGACGGAGAATGTGGTCCTGGCCACAGGCAAGGCATACGTTAGCCTTTGCACGTTCATTGTACTCGTCTAGTGTACAGAATTTGCTTACGCGGCTGTATGGTGGCAGTCCAGGGCGGCGGGGGGTGTTTAGTGCATCGACCTCCATGGCTATTCCAATATTCTTGTATACGTGGAAAAAGCTCTGTGCCCGGGTCACAAGATCCACAAACTTCACTGTGTCCTTGGGTGCAAGGTTGGCCACCAGTTTATCCATGACATCCAAGGGGAGCTTGTCTGAGAAGAAGAGTGCTGTATATTCATCCTCCAGCTTCATCCCAAGGAGGATGACATATGTCTTGAATTGGTCGACGTACTGGTCAAGTTCAGCAAGGTTTGTTGGTGCTTTGAGTGCACGGAAACGGCGCCAGACATCTAGTCGAGTGGCGGCGCTAACATATGACTCCAGCAGGAAGTCACGCAGGGCATCCATGTCCTCATTTCTTCGGCCATTCTTGGTTGCCCATTCCTTGAACTCGACACGTTTTTCTATGGGGATCTTGCGGCAGGCAATGCGGACCCACAGTTTGGTCTCCACCTGTTCATCTGTCAGGATAGACTTTATGTTGTCTACCCACTGGCCCACCTTGAATTGGGCGTTTTGGTCATCCCTGTCATTAGGGAGAAGCATTGGGAGCATGTCGCCAATGTTCCTCTCCATGCTCATCTCCTCATTGCGGAGGCGCATGGCCCTGAAGGCCTGTTCAGTATCAGTCTTGGTGTCAGTCATGTCGGTCTGGTCTGTTTGGTAGTTGGGTGAGGAAGCGCTCAGAGTTAAAAATTCGAAATATGGAGGTGCTACCAAATGTAATAAAACTTATTCGTACTAACTAATTTTATTAAAAATCCACTATAAGGGAGCTTCAAGAGCCCCGCTTATCTATTCGAAACTATCGCTTGTGAAAATAGAAATCGTGATCGTAAACAATCACAATTTTAAACAATCGCAAATTCCCAATTGCAATTGTCACGTGACATCGCAATAATTGATGTCACAATTGGTGTATTTACAATGTTTTTCTTTAATTATTTATTTACTTTTGTCTCAAGCTTTTCTATTGCAATGGCGCTTGAAAAAAATTGCTTTACTGAGCTTGAGATTTTTCAGCTGAGAGCACTTTGTATCGCCCAATCAAATGAAAGGACCCTTGGTGAGTTTATTGCTACAGTCAACTCTGGTTACCACAATAGACGCTCTGATAAAAGATGTGGAGACCAACGCTGAGCGACACCAGTTTATTACTAAAGTGGGAAAGCTTACCGACAAGCTTGACGACCCAGCTAGTAGGCACACGGAGATGGTTCCAAATGGATTAACGGCATTTGAAGTTGCTAATCTCAGGTGCGCGGGTGACTTCGACTCTACGTCATTTGTGATCACATGGGGTTTATGCAGATGAATGAGAACTACGACATCAAAAGACTACATACTGTTGCGCCTATCGGCCCATGAAGTGATGAACAGGTTTTCTTTTTATCATAAAATTTGGACCGTATCAGATTTACCACGCACTGCTTTTGTAGTTCAAGAAACGTGGAGGAAAAAAGGTGACCGCAAGCAAAACGATATGATAGCAAAACTAGTCACGTTTTGACACACTCGGGTTTTCCATTCCAATCAAGGAAAACTTGTGGATGGCGCAACGGATTTTGTCTGAAATTGTGAGGGATAAGCAGTCTGCAGATGATATAAATGCTTAGTAAGCACGTATGATTTTAATCATGATAACTGTAGTGGTTATATTATAAAAATCACTCACTCACCATTATTTTTGATAAATTGTTTATTTTTATATTTTACTAGCAATGCCACAAAAGAGGAGCTCCCTACACTTGGTAAAACTTTTCCTGTAGCATCTAGATTGTCACAAAAAAGAATGCACTGAGGTAGTTTGAGGGCTTGGTTGGAAAGTCATTCAGTAATAACGAGGTCATTACTGATGACGAGTGGAAGGTACAAGTGTTTTGGCGCAATATCCCTAATTCCAACAAGGTCAGCCAGCCGACTAGTGGCGTAATTTGCGTGAAGCAGATCAATATCGAGCAGGCCGACAGCAGACTTGTTTATAATTTAGTTGGATCCGCTAGCAACAATCCCAATGGTGACAGGTCTGACAGCGATAGGCCCGATAATGATGCGTCTGATGACGATGGGTTTGCCATTGCTGATGTGAAGCCTATTGGTGAATGCGCTTCTGATACTTGCACTGCACCCACTACAAAATTGTCTGCCTTTTGTTATATTAGTTGGTCCTCTGTGGCAAACAAGGCCAAGAAGCTTTACCAGAACCTGCTGTCTAAGCACACAAAAACCGCTGACACAGATCACCTTCAGCAAGTGTATATGGTCATTATTAGGGATGGAGTTAATTGAATCTTTGAGGACAGCTTTTTAGGATTATTGTGGCCATGGTTGTGGTCATTAATCTCTGCAAACAATTTGTGAACCATGTCAACAAGCGCCACACAGCTATTGATTCACCGTCTGTTGCCATACCTGTTGGTGGAATCAACGGGCCGTCGCCGATGCCTACATGCCCTGTCGATTGCAATGACATTAGTGCCCACTCTATTCAGTTTTTTTCCTGCGCTCACAGTTGCATTGAAACCCTTGAGCTTTTTTTACTTGCCCAGCAGAGATAACTTCATGTTGCACACAAGCGTGGCAGGCCTACAAATAATGCTGCCGCTGCCCATGTGGCTTCTCCTTCTCCTCCTCCTACACACAAACGCGGTTGACCCAACAATAACATAATTGATCATGCGACTCCATCTAAACATGTGGTTAAATGCAGCCATGGCAGACCCAGAAAGGACGCCGCTTCTGCCAGTTCAGCTACTTCTACTTCTATCTCTTTATTTATTTTTGAGACCAGTCGGGGGTTAGGTAAACCCAAAAAAAATTTCTGCCTCCAAGTAATTTGCTAACTCTGCCACAACGCTCCCACAGGACAGCAAACAGCTACAGTTTTCAAGCAACGAGCATGCCTGCTATTTTTATTTGTAATGTGATACTCTTAAAATTAAATTATACTATATATATCTATGACTATATTATAAAAAGCACTCAATGGTGTGAGTTTTGAGCAATTACAGAAATTAAAATAAAGCCGCCGGCTGTTTGCTAATAATCTTTATCTTATTGATGCCATGCCTAAATGTCTGCACAATCAATATGCACTAAACACAATATTAAAATATTAAAATCGCTATTAATATGCATTCTACGCAGTACTCAGTGCTCAGTATAAGAAAAAGCCTATCATTAATATTGATGCTCACACATTGCCAAATAGCAAGAAATAAACTGCTTGGGCAGCCGTGCAGTGCAGTTTTGGCTGGTATAATAGCGTGGACTAAAAAAATGAAAAAAAGCAAATTCATATTTTTAATCGCACTGAACGCATAAAATGTGGAAGTTGAACTTTGAAAAAGCTTTATTTTCTCACGCGTGGCCTGTTGAGCTGGTCTACAAGTTGATCTAAAAAAGGTACACGCACGCGCTTATCTTTTCCCTACAAAGTGTTATTGATATTATTTTCCTTTAAAAACGGCATCAGATTACCGACGGTCGGATTCAAGTTCCAATATATATTTAAGTCGTCTTTTGCAAACGAAAACCAGGTACACTTTTTAAATAAATTGCACATGGTATGAGTAGGCTAAACTTTATGTTAATTAAATGATATTATATAGTCGTAGGCAAGAAAAATATGGATTGTGGAATGTGGAATGAAAATGCTGAAACTGAAGGATGGGGTTGAGAGGCCTCATTTGATACAAGAATATGCGGCTTGTCCCCGGTGATTGATTAATGAATCAATCGCTAGTTAATTCCCAACTCAGATATATGGGAGTATTGCATACGAGCAATATAAATAGTAGAGTAATACAAATGATTGATGCAGTTACTCTTTAGCTTTCTTTTAGTTTATCATAATAAATATTTTTTTATCGCAACACCTCATTTAAATAGGCTGGCGGGTATTGTTTTTTTGGCTTGAAGTGCACAAGTGTTCTGTTGTGCTGAGCTACATCTCTTGCTACAATTTAACGATATGCCTATCATGTAAAATTAAAAAACATTTTATAGAAACACAAAAAAGCATCTAATACTCCTTTTAACCACTGGGTTTTACACTGGTATATCTATTAAAGCTACGACCGTCTGGTTAATTTTTCTCAACCGTTGACTGAAAAATATTAAAGAGGGTCATCGTATGAACAAATAAAATGAGAAATACTCCACATTTGCGTGCGCTTTTACTTTGTGAAATGAGTTTAATGGATAGAGTAAATATTGAATGAGCAGACTAATATTTTTATTTCTGGCCTTAAATGTGTGCTGAAAAAAGATGTGGGTTCTTGCGTGGCGGATATTGGCACACCTTGCATATCACAATGGGGTTTGACTTTGCTACAAGCTGCAGTATGACTGTCGTGCTCTATAAAAATGTGGGTCTAAATTATTATATTTAAGTATCAAAAATTACTTAAGGAATTGAAAAGGGGGCAGCGCTGTGTGGGCAGAACTGTAAACAGCATGGTATTCCTTGATGTCAGCCAGCAATAACAGAAATGTGTATAGCGGCCATGATGACGATCTTGATTCTTGAAAAGGGAAGATAATGGCTTGGAATGTGTGCTGGGCACCATAACGATGAATGGCTCAAACCAAGTCGGCAGACGCCAATTTAGCACATTTGTCATATGCATCTTTCGACAAGAGCACAGTTGTAATAATCATGGTTTTGTCTGCAACGGCGATGTGGAAGACTGCTCCGATAAAGAGTAATGGTCTATGCAAGATGCTCGAGAAGTAGGGATTGAGTGCTTTTGTTCGATGAGTATTTCATCTCGAGCTGGTGCCTGATCTGCTATTCTGAGCTAAATTCTTTTTTAGAAGAAAGCCTCCAATAAAAAGGGGCGACAACAGCAAGATCAGCAATGCTTTTGGGAGTGTGCTTGGGCATGCTGCGCTGCAACAATTTTTCCGCAAGGTGGCGCAGTAGACAATCAGTCTTAATCGTTAACTCTAATTTTTGTCTTACTTTTCTATATTTCGCATAATAAATCTATTTTCTCTCGCTGCAACAATTTTGCCCACCTTGGCCTATTTCGTTCTAATTTTTCGATATCGCATGGAATGCTGTTGATGCGAAGGAGGATATTGTGTATCGGTACTGAGGCCATGGCATTGCTGTCTATCTGAATATGCGGCTGGTTTACATGATCCTTTTCCACTTTTACGGGGTTCCTTTTAAATTTGACTATTCATTAAAGTTTTAATAAACTATGTTAAAAAGTAAGCTTGATAATAAAAATGTATTATCCAAGCGCATTATTGATATCAAAAATGTTGTAGCTACGCTGTATGACCTTGTCCTTCCAACCCTCTCTTTTTATCAAAGTTCGCCTTACAGTACACATGCAAGCATATCGTGTAACAAGCAGTGTAATTCATTGTTAACACGATACTACTCAGATTTCTGGCCTTCTGCTACCTCTTGCAGCTTGTTTCGTCTCTGATAATTCAGACCCATTGGTCGAAGAGAAACAATCAAGTCTACACTGCCGCACGTTAGTCCCGAAACTGCTTCGCCTCCATCTACAACAGGGAGATGCAGCACAATTCCACCTAAATATTGTTGTCCATCTTGTGCTTCGCACCCCACTTCTAATTTACTTGTGTATCGTTGGTCTCCGCGGCCAGTCAATCGGTGTACTCCTTTAACAAAATGCCGTCAATCTGAGTATTAGCCCAGGTATTTTAAGAAACAGTATATTTCAGCGCGCAGTCAATTAACGCTGTTTGCAGTTTACCACGCAACGGTTGTTTATTATAACTTGTACCCGTAGCTAGTAAATAATTCAATTCTTAATGTTTTTCCATCTGTAGTTTAATACGTTTTTATTATATACAAAACAAAGCTATAAACAGGTCGCGGCTTGCAATTTTAGTCCTATATCGATTAAAGCGTTAAAATTCAAGTTAGTGCAAATGCAATTTTATGTGGGTGCATATAAAAAGGTACGTTTTTACGTTTTGTTCTCAGAAAAAAATTCGGTAGAAAGTGGTCTTCGTCATTAGACCATCCAGCCTCAGAAAGAGGGTGGAGGAATAAATAAAGTCAAATGCCTAAATCATCATTGGAAACAAAAAACACAGAATAAGGTGTACTCGCAGGGTGAAAATAAATCTAAACGTACCAATTAGACTAAAAATGCTGCCACAGGAATTATAAATAAAAAATAGCATAAACACTTGATAGAGAAGAAGAAAGACTGAGGTGCTCAACACGGGTCAGGACCAGTTTTTATACGACGCGGAAACAGAACAATTCGTGTTGAATCACAACGAGTGAAAAATTTTCAACCCCAACATTTTCATGTTATTATTTTTGCTCTAAAGATTGCAGATCCTAATTGATCGCAGGATTTGATTTTTATTAATCTAGGAATAAACACTTGCTCAGATCACGCGATGCGGCAATGACGAAGTCTGCGTGGCCGTTGGTTGTGCGGGACCCATGGTTTTGAATAACTGGATTCATGGTATTTGTATAAGAGCCAAAGGGAAAAAGAAAAAAGTGAAATGAAAAGGCTGAGTAGGGCGCCCGCATTAAATGTCGGCTACTGCGTATTCGCGTGTGCCGCTCTGGTCTATGACCTTGATGGTGAAATCGGGAAAGTCCACTATGAAGCGCTCCTTCAGGACGGCAAAGCACTTTTTGATAATGACAAAGGCCTGCTCAAGCGTAATATTTTGCGTGTACTCGCGGTCCATAACAGCGTACAAAAAGTACGCGCAATACCCATGTGCCGCATACGGAACTTTGGCCATGGCAGCCAGGTAGTCAATCCAATAAAGTGAGGCCTCGCCCGAGTTCCGATCAACGCCAGCAACCAGCAGGTTGACCTGATACGGCTTGCGCGAGCGTAAAGCTGTGGCCAGCTCGTTGCGAATAAAGTTGGCTGTCTCGCTCGGCGCCATGTCCTGCGAGTTGCGCACGCTGTAAAGTCTGACGTTGCCCTGGATGTACTCGGCAAAGTTTGACGTGTCTCCGGCCTCGCCGGTGACAGACATGAGTGTGTGTGACGACAGCCTGCATGTCTTGTCCTGGTTGTTTTTCATTCTGACAATCGAGTGGACAATCGCCTTGTCAGTCACTGAAACGACGAAATCCCGGCCGGTGATGGCAAACTGAGCGTCCATATTATTTTGTATTTAAGGGTGGATTTGAAAAAAGTATGTTTGAAAGAGACAAAATACCAGAAAGTGAATTGAAGTGTGTTTAAATTACAAAAGCAGAAAATGGTTTTATGCAATCGTCATGACAAACACATAATTGGGCTCATTCGGCATTATTTTGCGCACAGCATACGTAAGCCCTCTTTTTGTTTATTTCTGCCCTACCAAATCCACTGCAAAATGGGGACAGTCATATCGACTAAAATCACTGATCCGATTAGCATGGATTAACTCAAATTATCTTGCTTTCTTCGTGTAAAGTTGGTCGGAGGTCGCCGCTCAGTAAATGTCTCAGTGCTCACACTTGGCACGGAGTGGCAGCCTGTTTTGAGCGTCGCATCCAGTATTGTCCTGCTTAATATTGCCTAGCAGCCGAGGCCAGAGTCTTTCAATATCACAAAAAAGCAAAACGAGCAGAGATAGGTGTGCAAAGTGCCTAGGCACTGATGTGCAGATGTGAGCTTCGTGATCCACACAGACCAGCAAATTTGTTTACTTTGGTCGGCCAGTTACCATTTATTCTTTTATTTTTTTGCATCCCAACACCAGAACCAAAAGTGAGAAACATCGTCCATGGATATCTGCAGCTAAAATAACAAAACAGTTTCAAAGTTAAATATGATCGTCGTAACTGTGAAATTGTAAGATTTTCATATTCTATTACCGTTCAGATGTAGCACATTGTACTTAGCTTAAAACGAACCAACTCAACTTTGACAGTTTTTTGTTTCCAACAGCATCATCTGTATAAAAATGCGCTCATTCCCGCCGCCATTTCAAATTAAATGCCATTATCAAACACAGCTCTCATATCCACATCCCTATTTTGCTTGATTCACGCAGAAAAACAAATTTCATATTCTCAACACAGAAATACCACCGGATCATTTCAAACATCAATAATAATGCGCTTCGCCATCTCCCTCGCCATTGTTGCTGCATTCTCCGCCCAGGCTGTGCTTGCCAACGGCTCCGCTAACGCCTCCAACACTAGCGCAGTTTCTTCCGCTTCGTCGACTGCCTCCGCCTCGCATTCCTCTTCCGCCTCGCACTCGGCGTCCAAGAACTCTGCTTTGGCTGCTGTTGAGACCACCTCTGCTGTCGAGACCACCTCTGCTGCCGAGGCCACTTCCGCCGCTTCTACCAGCGGCTCGTCTGCTGCCTCGGGATCTCACCAGTCAAATGCCAATGATCTGTCGCACAAGTCCAGCCAAGCTAACTCTGGCGAAAATGCTGGTTACAACGAAGACGCGTCTAGCAGTTGCAGTAGCGACGTCGCTTACGATGAAGCCTCGTCATCTGCTCCCTACGCTGATTCCAACGATTATGGAAACGCCGAAGAGGGTGACTACTACGAAACCGTTGCCGAGTCCAATGACTATGAGTCCGCAACTGAGGGCGGCTATTACGAGTCTACACCTGAGGGCGACTATTATGAGACCGAGGTTGAGGGTGATTACTACGAGAACACTGGTAATAACAACTACGATGATAATACTACCATTGTGCAGCTCATTGGCACTGATCCCGTCATGACTCTGAACGACGGAAACCCTGTAGCCACCGTCGGCACTTGCCCTGACTATACGATCACGATCACTAACCAAGTCTTTGCTACTCTCACGACTACCTTTACGCCATCGTTGCTGGCCATCCCCGCTAGCACGCCTGTCAATGGCGCCGGAGCCCAGAACCTCAACTACTACTACTAAATATTGACCAACCGCCCAGCGTCGGCTTGCCCGGATGCAGGGAATTCTGTTATTTTGCTACCCATTAATACTGCTGTTTGGTTTGGTACCACACCTCCCCATCTTATTCTACACAATTTTTCTTTCTTTCCTATTTTCTTTCAGTCAAATGTCAATGTCAATGTCAATAATTAATTGTAAAAATAATTCCTGATAATATTTCTATATTCATTTTTTTGCTGTATTGCAATGTTTCTCAGAAAAACACTTTGAAACGGGGCAACAGTAGAAAAGTGGGCAGGGTTTCGTTGCATTACTTCTCTATAGAATTTTTGTTTGGTCAGGGAATATAAAAGTGGAGTACTAAATTTCCATTTCTCCTCGCATATCCCCCACTTTATCCCCACTCCACTCCCAATAGTGAGGTTATATTATATTTTCATATTATTTATCAAATATACACATACACACGCTCCGACACAAAATATAATAAACCCTGCGTATTTGCGACACAACTCGAGGGGGGCTAATATGACAAATTGCGAATCGCAAATTGTTTTGCTATTTTCGCAGAGTGGGGGGTGTTTGTGCGCTCAGAAAAACTGACAGCCATGGTGGGGATTTCTCGTGAGATTTTGACAACAGACGATTTCAACACCGAGGTATAAATAGCAAATGCCGCGGTAGGTTGTGCAAATAAATAACCACCATTACAAGTGTTATTCCTCACTGATCTATATTTCACATAATCTTTCAATTGCATTTGCAACATCGCAATAGTTTCCATCACATCCTGTTACACATCTCGCTGAACATTTATAAATTCTCAGCAGAATAACCTCTCACAATAATACTAATATCACCAGCCTGAAAAGCAAATAGCTACTCTAACTATTAAAATGCGTCAGGTTCTGTCCATTTCTCTGTTCTTTGCTGTGCTCGCAAGCGCCGCCCCAGCGACCTATGGCTACTATCCCGCTGATGCTCAGGTTAAAACTGAGGTTCCAGCCTACAGCGTCCAGAAGGCCACTCATGGCTATTCGTCGGATCCCGCTCCCGCCCCTTACGCAGCCCCTGCCCCCAAGCATGCTGTATACAAGGCTCCGGCTCCCGCTCCCGCTTCATACGCGGCTCCCGCCCCTGCCTCGTACGCGGCTCCGGCTCCTGCCTCGTACGCGGCTCCGGCTCCTGCCTCGTACGCGGCTCCGGCTCCTGCCTCGTACGCGGCTCCGGCTCCTGCCTCGTACGCGGCTCCGGCTCCTGCCTCGTACGCGGCTCCGGCTCCTGCCTCGTACGTGGCTCCGGCTCCTGCCTCGTACGCGGCTCCGGCTCCTGCCTCGTACGTGGCTCCGGCTCCTGCCTCGTACGCGGCTCCCGCCCATGCTTCGTACGCGGCTCCCGCCCATGCTTCGTACGCGGCTCCCGCCCATGCTTCGTACGCGGCTCCCGCCCATGCTTCGTACGCGGCTCCCACCCCTGCTTCATACGCGGCTCCCGCCCCTGCTTCGTACGCGGCTCCCACCCCTGCTTCATACGCGGCTCCCGCCCCTGCTTCGTACGCGGCTCCCACCCCTGCTTCGGCTCCCTATAAGGTGTCCGTACCTGCTCCTGTTGAGCCTACTATTGCTGGTGATGAGTACGACTCTGCTCCCGCCTACGATGCCCAGCCTGAGTACAGCGCCGCTTCCACTTCAGAGAGCAAGCCCGCCTACAAGCCCGCCCACAGCTGTAGCTCCAGCAAGCCCAAGCCCGCTCCCTATGCTGCTCCGGCTCCTGCCCCTGCTTCCGCGCCTGCTCACTACAAGGAGTCCAACTCGCAGGTCGACTCCGAGACTGCAGCATTTGTTTACCCTGCCAATGACTACAAGATCAATGGTGGCTACGAAGGCGACAACAACAAGAGCACTGCCAATGGCTATTCTGGCAAAAGCGGCGCCAGCTCTCAGGAGCACGCAGGTGTGCCCGCTTACATTGCCGCTCCTATTGGTGGCTATTCGAGCTCTTCGGCAGCCGGATACTCCAGCACTTCTGCTGCAGAGTATGGTGGCTCTGCGGAGGCTGTCTACTACTCAACCAGCACTGTAATCTTCACGAGCATCATTTATGACACCGAGTATGTCCTACCTACCTACGAGAGCAGCGCCAGTTACTCCACCCAGAACGCGTACTCCGCCGCCCCTGCCTCGTACGCGGCTCCGACTCCCACTCCTGCCTCGTACGCGGCTCCGGCCCCTGCTTCGTATGCGGCTCCGGCCCCTGCTTCGTATGTGGCTCCGGCCCCTGCTTCGTATGCGGCTCCGGCCCCTGCTTCGTATGCGGCTCCGGCCCCTGCTTCGTATGTGGCTCCGGCCCCTGCTTCGTATGCGGCTCCAGCCCCTGCTTCGTATGTGGCTCCGGCCCATGCTTCGTATGCGGCTCCGGCCCATGCCTCGTACGCGGCTCCCGCCCCTGCCTCGTACGTGGCTCCGGCCCATGCACCCGCCACTGCTTGCTCCAGCGCTGCCCCGGCTCCCATCTACATCACCAATGTCCCTGCTCCGGCCCCCACTCACTCCAGCGCCTCATCCGCTGGCTACTCTTCGTGCTCCAGCAGCAAGGATGCGTCCTCCTCGACTATCGACTATGAGATTCAGCTGACCGCCACTCTGCACATCAATGCCGTCCAGGCAATCCATTCGGCCTACGAGACCAACTCCATCGAAGAGGAGTACTCGAGCTCCGTCGCCGGATACTCTTCCAGCTCCACCGCAGGTTGCTTGTCCAGCGCTTCCGCTGAATACGCCTCGAGCTCTGCCGCAGGCTACTCAAGCTCCGCTGCCCCCGCTGCTAGCTGCTCTTCCAGCGCTGCCGCATACTATCCTTCCAGCTATGATGCCCTCGCCCCTACCAGCTACGCCTCAAGCTCTGCCACTGGTTACTATTCCAGCGCTGCCCCGGCACCCACCACCTCCGCCGATGAGTACAGCACCGTGAACTACGTCGTGGCCAGCATCGTGTACGACAAGAATCAGGATTCGTACGATGAGGACGCTGTGTACAACGATAAGTACGTTGGCAAGAGCGAGGCCGACAAGAAGGTCGAGCACGTCATCTACAAGTCGATCGGCCGCCTGTAAACTTCAGTGTCTGCAAGCCCAAATTATTATTTTTATGTGGCGGTTTCCATGTCTCATAAAATTTTCAATATTCAATATTCAATATCAATATCATTTTTACATCTTAAAATGCACAAGCGGGTAATAACTTGAACATAATTTCATATTGCCAAAGCGCAAAACAAAATGAGCAGAACAAAATGTCACCAGTATCTCCTCACTTCTCACTCCAGTTAATACTGGTAATAGTTATCTGCGCCCTCACCCTCGTTCTCGGATCCATGGATGATGCGCTGGATAGGGTCATCGCTGATCTATTTGGAAGACTTCTTGGCAGACTTCTTTTTGGCTGCGCCCTTCTTGCTGACCGACACTGCCTGGATTGCTGGCGACGCACCACTCGAGCTTGTTGAAATCGGGGGACTGCTGCTTCCACTCACAGTGTTGGCCGCTGCACTACTTTCACCACTGGCATCCTTGTAGGTTGCAAACTGGCTGATTGACAACGCATGCGCACTGAGGCTTTTGATTGCATTGTCATTGCCGTCCAATGTCTTTGGAACAAACGCCTGGGAGCTAGCAGCGGAGCTAATATTAGAGCTCAAGCCAATTCGGGGGGTCATTGAGCCTACGCCAAAGGCCGGGCGGCTAAGCTTGCCACCAAAGGCGTCGACAGGTATCTGGCTTGCGGAAGAAAAGGCGTTAGGGAGCCCCTTGCTACCAGGTGCGTTCCCACCACTACCCAGGCCGGCGGGTCTGAGTATGCCGCTGTTGTTGCCAAAATATTTGCCCAAAACACCGGCCTTGAAAGGCGACGGTTTTAAGTATTCTGACTTGCTGGTGTCGTCGTTAATATTTGCAGATTCAATGGCAGAGCTGGTCTCCTGCAGAGTTGCCTCGTCAATGTCAGCCGCTATGGTACCAAGGTCGAAAGAGTCGGTAAGGTCGGCCTTGTCAAGGGCGGCCTCCTGGCTGCTAAAAATTGGCTCTATCGCCGCACTCACAGGACGTGACAGCATCTCAAAGCCATCAGTCGTCTGGGAATCGGCATGCTGCTGCTCTTCGTCAACAGGCGACCCAGGCTGATTCAATTCGAGTTCGGCATCTGAAACAGTGGCGGTCACCGGGGCTTGGCCAGCTGTGAAGTTGGTTTCAGCGGCTTTTGACTCAGCGTTAACAGTCCCAGTATTAGAGGCAGAAGTGCTATTAAGGGCCTGGGATACGACGCTTTCTACAGCCGCACCCTCATCATCATTATCAAGGCCACTGCTGACAATATCATCCTTGCTTTCAGAGCCCGACACATGCTGGCCGACATGCACAAACCCATCAGAGTCGTTGCCGTTGTAGTGGGCGCCTGCAGTATCGTCGGCAGTGTCCGGGTTGTGGTCCCTGCTGCCTGAAGTGCTAGAGCGAGTGATGTTCTCAATATCGGAATCCGAGATTTCCAAAGCAGGCTCGTACTCTTCATGCAGTGAGCCCCCATAAACAGACACAGCGTCGTCAGTACCAGCATTGACCCCCGAAACACCTCTATCAGTATATGGCTCTCCGTCAGTAAAATCCATCGCAGCTTTGGCCACCTCCGCATAAGAATGGTCAGTAACATCAGTGTTGTCGCCAGAAGCAGCCTTAGTGTTGCCCTCAGCCTCAGCAGCAGCATCGGCCTCAGTATCAACAACAACGTCGGTCTCAGTATCGGCAACAGTCTCAATATCGGCGACAGCCTCGACATCGGCACCAGCCTCGACATCGGCGACAGCCTCGACATCGGCGACAGCCTCGACATCGGCGACAGCCTCGACATCGGCGACAGCCTCGACATCGGCGACAGCCTCGACATCGGCACCAGCCTCGACATCGGCGACAGCCTCGACATCGGCACCAGCCTCGACATCGGCGACAGCCTCGACATCGGCACCAGCCTCGACATCGGCGACAGCCTCGACATCGGCACCAGCCTCGACATCGGCGACAGCCTCGACATCGGCACCAGCCTCGACATCGGCGACAGCCTCGACATCGGCGACAGCCTCGACATCGGCACCAGCCTCGACATCGGCGCCAGCCTCGACATCGGCGCCAGCCTCGACATCGGCGACAGCCTCGACATCGGCGACAGCCTCGACATCGGCGACAGCCTCGACATCGGCGACAGCCTCGACATCGGCGACAGCCTCGACATCGGCGACAGCCTCGACATCGGCGACAGCCTCGACATCGGCGACAGCCTCGACATCGGCAGCGGGCTCGACATCGGCGACAGCCTCGACATCGGCACCAGCCTCGACATCGGCAGCGGGCTCGACATCGGCGACAGCCTCGACATCGGCAGCGGGCTCGACATCGGCGACAGCCTCGACATCGGCAGCGGGCTCAATATCGGCGACAGCCTCGACATCAGCAGCGGGCTCGACATCGGTAATAGCCTCGACATCAGCAACAGCGCCGACCTCAGTATTGACAACAACTTCGACATCAGCAACGGCCTCGGCGGCAGCCTCAGCGTCACTATCAAGCTGAGAACCCTCTTGGTCTGTAGGCTCTGTAACACCCTGTGTCGCTGATGTCTCCACAGCCTCTACCACGTCTTCCCCATTATCTGACTGACCTTCATAGTTGTTGTCCTCGCTATCATCGTAATCGCTGTTTTCATAGTCCTCGTAGTCATCACAAATAGCCCCCGCGCCATCGTCATAAACATCCTCTTCAGACTCGTACTCGAAATCATACACATTTTCGGCATCCCCATTCTCATCCTCTTCTGCCTCCTCATCTTCGTCAGAATCCTCATCTACGGCACTTGGCTTTTCCAGACTCGGGGGTACAAACGAGGTGACCACGGGTTTGGTGCTCTCCCCCATAGACGCGCCAAAAGAGGCACTCAGTGCACCAGCCGCGACGCCCCCCGCTGCAACCATGGTGCCAAATGCCAATCCAGAGCTTGGTTTAAATCCACTGCCAAACGAAACCTTTGGCACTGCAGGCTTAGCGGTCCCAGGCTTGGGTGCTTCGCACGACTGGCATACGGTGTACTTGTCAGAAACCGAAGACATGCATGTGTCACAGGCCCAGGTGTCGGCAGGCTTGGTCCAGCCAAATGATGGCGGGGGAGCCTTGCTGGACCCGGGCTTGGGCGCGTCGCACGATGGACACATAGTGTGCGTCATATCGACAGACGACATGCACAGATCGCAAGTCCACTTGTTAGTGGGCTTGGACCACCCGAATGCCGAAACCTTAGGCGCAGATGCAGGTACAGGTGTTGGTGTTGGTTCAGGCGCAGACACAGTGGGCGCAGCAGGCTTGGTAGTCCTAGGCTTGGGCGCGTCGCACGATGGACACATAGTGTGCGTCATATCGACAGACGACATGCACAGATCGCAAGTCCACTTGTTAGTGGGCTTGGACCACCCGAATGCCGAAACCTTAGGCGCAGATGCAGGTGCAGGTGTTGGTGTTGGTTCAGGCGCAGACACAGTGGGCGCAGTAGGCTTGAATCCACCGAACATAGGAGCAGCTCCAGCTGGCGGTACAAACGAGTTAAACGACAATGCGGGCTTGTTGGCCATAGATCCAAACATCCCAGACGAAGAAGCAGTAGCATTTCCGCCACTGCCGCCCAGCGAAAGACCACCAACAGGTTGGAACCCGCCCAGTGAAAGACCGCCCGCAGCAGCAGCGCCAAACACTGACTTTGCAGGCATCTGCGTCTGTACCACAGGGGGTTCCGGTGTAGGCACACGCTTAGTGATCTTCAGCTTACCAAAGGTCTCAACGTAGCGCTCAAGATTGGGCATGGGCACCTCAGACCTAAGCCCGGCGCTTCCAGGAGTATCACCCAACTTCATATCAGTCTCGGGTGTGCGCACAACGGGGGCGACGCGCGAGGACCGAGTCAGCAACTCGCGCACGAGTGTGCGCTGCCGACGCGCTTGCACATAGCTGGCGGCAGTGGAGAACTGAGATGCAGGGGAGTTTCTGGCATCGACCAGGTTGCCCTGGTCGGAATCGACAACAAGGGATGCCCGGCGGTGGGCGCGGGCGGAGCGGGGGACGAGCTCGCGCACTTGTGTATGCGGGAATTCGGGGTGCCGCTGGGTGGGAGTCTGCTCCTGGGGCCAGGCCGTTATGGGTGCCGTGACTAAGAGGTCCTCAGGCCGCAGGCCAAAGCCGCGGCGCTGCGCCACAGGCGTGCTGAAGGGCAGCGTGGCCGGTGACCACGGCGTTCCCTCAGCGGCCGTCCGCGGCGACACCGAGGCGCTGGGATGCCGGCGCACAGGAGCAGAGGAATTATGTGGCTGCTGAGGCAGCGATAGCAGGTTTTGGGAAGAAGCTCCAGTAGTGGTGGCAGAGGCGGCGGCAGCACGCACCTTGTTCCTGGCATACTCCTCGGACTTGCCCAGTCCCAAGGTATCAACGCGAGCGGCGACCTCGTCCAGCTCATAGTTCTTCTGCGCCAGGGTCTGCGTTACATTGCACAGCGTGCGCTGGATAGAATCGACCGTGGGCGCGCGCAGCTTGCTGGGGAGCTCGCGGAAGACCTTGTCCAGGCGGTGCGCCTCGATATCGACAACCTGCTCGACGTCGGCCGAGCGCCTGCCAATCATGTCGTAGGCGGCCTTGAGGCGGCTCTGGTAGTCGCGCTGCAGTGGGTTGGGCCCACCGTCAACCGTGGCATTGGGTGCGGCCTTGGAGGATGTGGCCGACTCTACAATGCGATTGACCTCCTCGCGCTTGGTCTCCGTCTTGACATACTGTACCATCTGTTTGTTCAACAGCTTCTGGCTGACGCGTAGCTCGTCGCGAGATACCTGTAGGGCCTCCAGAAGCACGTCGGCGACGCTGTTCCACGACTCTGTGTCGTCCATGGACAGGTTGTGTAGGCTGTCCGATACCTTGGCCATGCTGCGCACTGTCGGGTCGATGGGGATTGGAGGGAGGCTGGCGTGCTGGACCTGTGTGATGGCCTGGCCTGTGTTCTCAATGGAGGCAGCAAGTGCCTTGAGGTCGGCATCGAACTTGTTGCAGGTCGAGATGTACTGGCGGTTGAGCAAGTCCTGCGCCTTGGCCTCCATTTCGCGCTTGAGTGCCTCGACGCGCTCCCTCTCCTTGCGCTCCTTCTCATCCTTCTCATCCTTGAGTCTGCGCACATTCTCGACAATTTCTTTTTGCTCACGCTCCTTCTTCTCCTTTTGCTCTCTCAGCTCCCTGGCTTTTCTCTCCTTGTCCTCAAACTCCTTGCGCGCTTTTTCGGCGGCTAGTCTCTCGGAAGCAATCTTGTCGGCGAGCTTTTTTTCAGCAGCGTTCTTCTTGTCAGCAGCATTCTTCTTGTCAGCAGCGTTCTTATTTTCAGAAGCGATCTTCTTCTCAGTGGCGATCTTCTCGGCGGCGGCCTTCTTGTCAACAGTGTCTCTCTCATATTTTAAAAACAGGCTGGTGCTAGAATCAGAGTCTGGCTTGTCACTGCCGAAAGCATCCAAACGCGACACCGGGTCTGATGACCCATCACCAGACCTAGGCAAAGATGATGATAATCCGAAGGGCTTAGCCGGGGTGCCAAAGGGTATGCCAGCCTTCTTCGACTGAGTGGCATCAGGAGCCTGATCAAAGATACTGCCCGAACCGGAGCTCATTGTAAAGCCGCCAAACCCAGTTCCAATTGAGGACGAAGACGAGCCAAAGGGCTTGGCCGAACTGCCAAATACCGCCTGTCCAGTGATACCGAGGGCTGTGGGAGCCTTAACAATGGGCGTGATCGTACTGAGCTTTCCAAATGAGGGCGCAAACCCGGTGGATGAGCCAAAGGCGCCCGTAGATGCGGTGCTCTGTCCGAAAGCGCTGGTAGAAGCACCACTGAATGCACTGGTAGACGCACCACCGAATGCACTGGTAGACGCACCGCCGAATGCGCTTTTAGAAGCACCGCCAAATGCGCTGGTAGAAGCACCACCAAATGCAACCGGCAGGGCGGTGGTAGCGGCGGGGACAGCGACAGCATCAGTAGCAGGAGAGAGAGAAGGGGTCGTGGCAGGAGAAGAAGGAGACGCAGAAATTATTTCCGGCTCGGCCTCGGCAAAAATTTCATCAGCAGTCTTGTCTGCAATCTCGTCGGCACTCTTGTCAACAAAGTGCTCTTCCTCATTCTCTTCCTCTACCATCTTGGCAGTCTTGTCAGAGAAACCCGGAACCCTGACGCACTCGTCAACCATCAAGGAGCAGCGACCACCGGTGCGCATCTCGCCCATATTGTAAACGTGGAATCCTGACAAGCACCCGTCCGTATTGAGGATCCACATAATCGGCACAGGCTTAACTCTCTCGCCGTCGTCCGTGACCGGTGGCAAGTCGCTCTTACCGGTATAGTCAATGACCACGCCAAGCGCGTATGTGTCGCCTTCAATTGTCGACAAGGGCATCTGCGCCATTTCAGCGTCGAAATCCCACTGCGCCCACGCCATCTTGCCCTCAGAATCTGGCGACTGGCCCACAGTGGTTGTGGTATCGGAGCCCGCACCAACGATCGTGATAATGTTGTGCGCGCTCTGGCCCCAGTTCGGAATACAGGCAATGTGGAATCCGGGGTAACGCGCGGAGCACCACGCACTGGAGGACGGGTCATCAACGGCAATCCACTCCTGCGTCTCCGCTGTCTTGCCCGCTTTGGTGATCACATAGCCGACAGTACGGGTATCATCCACACCATCATCCTCTCCATCCTCTTGGTTCTCGCCGGTGCCGCCACCTCCATTGCCCGGGATCATCGCGCCGTCAGGGAAGGGTCCGTAGATTGCGAAAAACGTGTATGTATCGATCCAGTCGACAGCCAAGACCACAAAGTCCGACATGATCGCATTGTTCACCTTTTGCGACTCTACTGTGCGCTTGATCTTTCCATCCAGTGGAGCCCTCTGCGTCAGATTAGAATTGTCATCGCCGCACACAATCTGCTTGCCCTTGCGTGACCAGCAAATAGCCGTGGTCAGCGTTTGCTTTGCATCCACAATGGTATTCACGCTGCCCGACTCCACGTCAATCATCAGCACTGAACCTGAAAGAGTAAGCGCGGCGACGAGGTTGGGCATCTCCAGGGGGTTCGCACGCAGGTCGCGGAACTCGCCCTGCTTGGCTTCAATGATTTTGCTAGGCTTTGCGTCCTGCTGCTTAAGCGAGAGCGCCTCAAATACGAGCACCTTTCCTGCCATTGTGCCCACTAGTACGCGCGTCTCATCGGCGTTGATGTCCACATGCGTGACTTTGCCGTGCTCCGAAAGATTGAGCTCGTTGCGCGCATCGAGGTTCACCGCCGTGTTAGTGCCGGCGGACTTGCCTGCCGCCAGCACATCCTGCGCATCGGCACTCATGAACAGGGAAATACCTATAAATAAAAAACACTTGTTTTTTTAGCTTGTTGGTTGCAACACTAACGGTGGATGTATATAATGTTGTTCACTAGTGATACTTGCCTTGGGGGGTGCCGGCCACCATGTAGCCGTATTTGTTTGAAATTGCCAGCAACTGGACGTATGTGGGTGTCTGGCGCCGGGCCGTGGAGAATTCCTTGGAGGTTACGCGCAGGGTGGTGTTGCCCTTGATCTGCTTGTGTGTAATATCCACGGACTGCGCCTCCTTGTCCGTGTACTTTTGGATATCCGATACGGCGTCCTTAGTAGTGGACATGATTCAAATATTTTTTCTGTTAACCGAATGTAAATGTTTTTTGTTGGTTTTTTTTCTTGTCAATAGATTGGGGAAAAGAGCAAAATATAAAATAAAAAATACTTGGAATGGGGGAGAGAGAAAAGAGGAGGTTAAATTGTTCACGCCATCAACCCTTTAATCACTTTGTTTTTTAATTTGGCGAGCAAACAAAAATTTAATCAATCTTAATCAAATGCTGTGCATATGCACAAGACTCAAAGAAAAGGTATGATCGAAATTGGCTCACTCTTATCACTTGACCACATTTTTATCTCATAGTCCACTTTGAGACCAAGCTACTCGTTGTTACGCAGCAGGTTTGATTGCTGGTATCATCGGTGCTTTGCAGGCAGGAAATCAACAGCCCCTTTGATTGTATTCAATAGGAACGCTCTGACTAAAAGCAGGTGTCAGCAGTCCTCTTACAAGAATTGTTGACCAATGGTCCTTGTTTTCCATGGAAAACTTAGCTGCGTCTACTTTCTTCAGCTGGTATAAATAAGGAGCTAAATTCATTGTATTCTAAGAAAACAACATTCACCTTTATGAACTTAATTCATTAAATAAATATCTATAGTCTGTCAACACTTTTTTAATTAATAGTAAGTCTTCAACAGCATCTATCAACTTGTCCTGTTTTACTCATAGCAGTATTGGCAAGTTCTGGCAATTTTGGTAATATCGCTATTCAATACACGGAAGGAAATCTTAGATCTTGATGTTGGCAATTTAACTATTTCTGATTTATTTTTGGCAGAGAAAATGGCTCAGAAATAAAGATTAGCACCTATGGTTAAAATCCCTTTTTATATAGTCAAAATATGATAATTAGACAATGATATTTATTGGCTATACACCTCAGATAAATCTTACTTAATATTATCCTACATCATTAAACATTCAAGCAGAGTATGCAAAGTAATATACTTGGATAATGTTTTAGGTATGCCTTCGATTTCTTGAGGTGTGCTATAAAACGGGGCAGGATGAAAAATGTTATAGAATACCTAGTATTGATTAAAAAGGTGTTGGCAGACTATAGATATTTATCTAATGAATTAAGTTCATAAAGGTGAATGTTGTTTTCTTAGAATACAATGAATTTAGCTCCTTATTTATACCAGCTGAAGAAAGTAGACGCAGCTAAGTTTTCCATGGAAAACAAGGACCATTGGTCAACAATTCTTGTAAGAGGACTGCTGACACCTGCTTTTAGTCAGAACGTTCCTATTGAATACAATCAAAGGGGCTGTTGATTTCCTGCCTGCAAAGCACCGATGATACCAGCAATCAAACTTGCTGCATAACATACTGAACTTTTGCATCATTATTAATGCCCTGCTTACAGGCGAGCATCCTCCCTGTTTCTTGCACAATAATGCATCATCAGAGTCGGCTGAACCCGAGTCTACAGCGACACCCGAGACTTTGTTTAAGCAAAAGCCCAAACATGTGCGCAATAATCAATCTGCCCCTGCTGCTTCTCGTGAAGAGAAGCAGCGTAATGGATAATATCTTTAGTCATAGTGGTCTATTGCCACTAGTTTTTAATCCCTCTTTAGGTTGCTAGTCAATCTAGGGGAAGGATGTGTCGATTTGCAGAATACTTGTAGCCTCATTTTTTCTTTGGTGTAGTTAAAACAGGATATGGTTGATGTAAACGATGCTATTGAACATTTATCAACCATACATTGTTTTACCTTTCTCACCATGTAGTTTAGCAATATTATTAATGCTGTGATTAATTTTTCTCCATTCAAGAACTTTTAAGTTCGTCAACTCCATCATGCCTTGGACTCAAATAAGGTATTTTTTTGGTTTGCACGCGTGTAATAATTTTTGCAAAAATACATTGTTGCACAGACTGAAAATATGGAAGTGGGTGTTGAGGTTGTGAATCGCGAAGCATATTTCCATCTGCATGCCAATTGATAGGGTACTAATTGGATTATGCAGGCTTAAATTGTGGTGGTATTATAATGATGCCCAGACATGCTTCCCATTTTGCAATGCGCACGCATGAGTGCACACACACAAAAACTACAACACTGACCTGCCAAGATACTGGTCTGCTCACAGAAGAACCAGTTCTTACCAACGGAGTGCATAACTGGAAATGTGCACAACAAAGCCGATGAGGCACATATATAAGATGAGGCCGGCGCTAGTAGTATTTTAAAAATATCAGTAATAAAACCCTTTATAAACTCCCCCCTAATTTTTTAACACTAGACAACTAGTGCTCTTTACCCCCCCTTACATAACAACAGAAAGCTGTTAAAAAAATTGTGGAAAATTGCACAAAATTGTAAACAAAAAATTTAAGAAAATGCACAAGCATGTTTATTTTTTCTACAAATTTGTGTTGAGCAGTCTGATAATATGGAAATGGATGTCGAGGTTGATAATTGTAAAACGAGTTTTCATCAACGTGCCAATTGACAGGGCATAGACGGTACCATGTAGGATCAAATCAGGGGACATAATATTGACACCCTAATATGCTCCCCATTTCATAATGTACATGCATGGATGGGCATATGTGAAGGTTATAACCTTGACACGCCAAGACACCACTCTATCTGTAAAAAAAAACTAGTTTTCTTTAACGGAGTGCACAATTGAAAATGTGCACAACAAAGTTGACGAGACACATATATAGGATGAGGTTGGCCTCAGTTACGCTTTTGATTCCATTGATAATAAAAAACCTTTATAAACTGACACCCCACCTTTCGACACTACATTGTAGTGCTCTACACATACCCCCATCTTATTATAATATTAGTTTTTAATAATTTTGTTTGAGTAACGGCAATAGTTGAAAAAAATGGAGCGACAAATGGACAGAAACAAAAACAAAATGCTTGGCACTCTCAGGGCATGATTGAAAGCACAGAATACAGATGGTAAATCTTAAGATAAATACGCACACTATTCTTATGCGCATTTCGAAGGTAGAATGAAAGGCTAAAGGCCAAAAAAAACAGAGTGGTTGGCATAAAAAATTAAATAAAAGTGGAAAGATACCTATAATGATTTGCATTTTACATATAATGCATTATTAATATTAGCAAGAGATTTTTGGGATCACATATTTTTTAAACACTAAAAAAAATTATTAATTTTTCCGCATCAATACATTCCTAATAAATAAATTGTATATTGAAATTCACAAATAAAACAAATCCAAACACGCTCACTTGTGAAAAAAAGATCCAATCCGGCCAGCATACGCAGACATCTCGCCACCAGCCAACTCTTGAAGATATTTGTTGTATAAAGCCTTGCGAATCTTGTATTTAACAGTGGCAAAGAGAAAGGCCAGGATACAGAACAGCAAGCACAACAGCGTATTTCGCACTATTGCCACACTGGTTTCAAAGTATACCCAGCGCATTCCATATACTCTCAAGTTCTTGTTGAGCGAGTAATGCTTTAAGCGCATTCGGTTGACGTACTGAGGGAAACGCATGTCCAACTCAGGGGGGGGATGTTGACAGTGCCTGGCTTGCAGTGCAACTCTGTGAGATGCAGCAAGACCATGATCAGGTCGAGCAGCTTGTCAAAATTGGGAGTGGTATGTTTGATATTCAGCTCGCGAAGGCCAATGAAGCAGAAAAGTTCTGCAAAATTAGCCAAAAAAAGGTTGGGCTTGATAGGAATCTCCATATGAAACCTATTCAGGCTCGGAGAAATACTGTGAAGAAGCTGGAAGAAATTGGCCGCCAAGTTCACTGGATTATTACCAAAGATATTGGTGTGGATGATTTCCACGTAATGAAAGCTTTCCAGCTTTCTGCTGCCATTTGCACAACAGCGCTTGAGTGCATCGAGCACAATCAAGTTCAACCTAATGTTAACGCGCCCGAGTGTATCGACATTGGCAACAGACAAAACTTGGCTCGCAATCCGGCTGCAGGCGCCAATGCACAGATAGTAATGGCTCAGGAACACAATTCCATTGGGAAAAGCAGGCAAAGGCCCAGCCTCAGAATATCCTTCAACGTGCAGCCTGCGCAAGCATGGGTACGACGGCAGATTGCCGCGTGCATCCACAACCATCCCAGCCAAATCAAACTCATTTATCAAATAAATCGCCACGTCCTCCAGCGTCAACGCCTTATACTGAACGAGTTGAAAAAAAACGACTCCTGTTCGTCATCCAACTTTAAACAGACGTATGTCAGATATGCGTTGTTACCAGAAACAAGGGCGCTCGGGATACCAGTGTCCTTACTGCGGAATCCCACACCCTCAATTCCCTTGAGGCCGTCAGACATCTTGCGACCAAGCGCATCTAAAAGCACGCTCATGTCGGCAAGCTCAACTCTATCATCGCCAAAGTTGTGCAAATGCATGTGTTTGGCAAACTGAAGCCGCACATGTTCAGATTTGACACCGTCCTTGATCCCAACATAATCAAAACTGAGCTCGACAATTTGGACATTCAGGTAAACAGCTCCTGGAGATAATTCTTGCTGAGATGTTAATAACCAGCAGCCACTGGTTATTTCCTTCATGTCTATGTCCCAGGTAGGCTTTTTTTTGGCAAATCAGCAAAAACGGAGCTACATTTTTTCCCGAGTTGGAAGAATAATCGACCTTCAGGTGGCGGAAGTCGTAATATTCACTCTGGGTGTATTAGGCAATATCCCGAATTACGTAAAGCGGTAAAGTCTGAAAGAGTGAGTGTTTGGCAGACATTGTAAGATGCATTTCAAACGAAATTATGTGAAACTGATCTTGAGGAAAGAAAGAAAGAAAGAGAGGAACATTCTTTTTCGCCCTCTTGATTTCTTTAACGAAAAAACAAAGCGTTCTTTGGCTGCAGTTCTCCTGCATATTTAATCATTCGATTGGAAACGTTGATCCTAAAACATTTCGAATAGCTGAGAATTAACAAATGAACATGAAAAACAGACAGCTTGAAATAAAAAAAATTAATATTATTTACATTTTTGCTGTGGACATTCAAAATACATATAGTTGTAATTTTCTCCATTTACAATATTCCAAATCCATATTCGTTGTACTAATTATCAGAATGGAGGAGTCCAATAAACTTGTATTAAGCCCAAAAACTAAGGAAACCTCCTATTGGGCCTTCCCTACTGCCATTTTATAGGCAGCTACAATGTCTAAATGATATCCTGGTTGTTACTACATTAATACCTTTTTGGCATTGACTTAACTCGCGAACTCTCGGCTCAGCTGAGCCTATGTGGTGAGAGCTATTACACTCGTGAATGATAAATGATATATTGAAAAATTAAAATATGGAATATGGAATAAAAAAATTAGTAACACTCATTTGTAGCAGAGTGATTTGATTCGGATGACATACACCGACTCGTGTGTATATTTGAGCGAGTTTTTTTTTGTTTTTTTGTTAAAGATAAAGGGATATATATAAATGTGAAATTAAACGATGGAGGGGGGGGATGATAAAAATATAAAAGCAGAGAAAAAGTAAGAAAAAAGTAAAGAAATAAAATAGAAAAATAAAAAGAAAGCAAAAAAACAAAAAAAAACATACGATACACATGGTACCAGTTTTTGCAAAAAAAAATCGCACTTAAACCACACTCTGGTTTAAAACCGATGTAGAAATAGCCGCAGTATCCCCGGGCGACGTAGACGTCAGTGTAGAATCGGTCGCCAAACCCTCCTCATTCTCTCTCCTACATCCACCCGCACCACTTTTCATCTCCTCTTTCCTCCTCATCTGATTCCTATAATCAGCAGATTTCTCGTCAACCTGAGAATAATAAATACCATTGGGACCTGGATAAGACATTGGTCTAGTGGTACGTTGAGAAGGAAGATACGGGTCCGAACGATGTTTAACCGAATGTTGTTGCTGTTGTTCCAGTTCCCGTTGTTGTTGTTGTTGTTGCTGGTGTTGCTGCTGCTGTTGTTGTTGGAGTAAAGTAAAAGCACCCTTGATGGGTGCTTGGTTATCCAACATGGGAACGTTAGTTAGTTTGGGCAAACGACCGGAAAAAAGATCGGATCCTATGGCTTGTAGAACTTCTGGCTGGATGCTTAGGTCAAAATCGATTATGCTGAGGAACTGCAGTTCCAAATTATTGAGTTCTGAAACCGAAAGACCGCCGACCTATTTTGAGAAAAAGAAATTAAATGAAACAGCATATCAGTAAAAAAAAACTTCCCACCGTCTTGCTTTCTTTTTCCAACTGTCATTGAATTCACTCAAGGGTTTTCTTCCTACAGTTCTTACCTTTGCATATCTCGAATTAGTATAAAACACGTCCGAAAACCACTTTGAACCAACGGTCACACCAGTAATAATCAAGCGATGGATCGAATAAGCATCCACAGTAAACGGCATCCTCCTCCTCGAACACTGGTCAATCATCTGCTGCAAATAAACGATCAATCCCAAGAAAACCTCGTTTGAACACGGACAATACTTTACCACACGCGCAATATAAATCTCCAAATCAATGGTCGGCACGGATCGCGCATGGAAGAGAGTCAGGGAGGTTTTCCGCTCATGTTGGCCGGGCTCCAGGGTTTGCTGCTCCAGGGCGTCGGAGCATTGGGTTACTGTGTTGAGGTAGGCGGAGACTCGGATAACTGTTTCTTGCACGGGAGTTGTGCCGAGGTTGAATTCAAAAGACATTTAAAAGGAAGGGGAGTGGGAATAGGGAGAAAGTAAGGGATAAATTATTTGGGAAATAGAAAAAAGGAAAGAAAAAAGAGGGAGGGAGTGAGTGAGTGACAATGCTTGTGCGAGTAGAAAATTAAAAAAAAATCGAAAGAAAGAGAAAGAAAGAGGGAGATAAAGAAAAGTAGTTATAAAATAAAAAGAGAGATAGAGAGACAGCAGGGACAATTGGGTGGGTTGGTTTATCAACAACTCTTGTTTGTTATTTTTTTTTTTTCCTTTTTTCCTTTCAGTTTTTGTTTTTGTTTTTTTTTTCCCCTTAAAAATGATGAGAGGGGGGGTTGGTGGGGTGTGGGTCCGAGCAAAGCGAGCTGTTCAGCTTTGATAGTCCAATCCAATCCAATCCAAGAAAAGATTATTTCATGACATGAAATAATAATAATTTTTTTCTCTTTTTCAAAGACTGTACATGTATTTTTTTTTGGCACTCGCCCCCAACATCACAAAAGTGCTTTGCTTTGGATCTTCAGCAAAATATTTACTGGAATAAAAAAAAAGTGATGGGGAAGAGGGGGTGGGAGGGATTGGGTGATCCATGAGTCTGGACTGGAATTTAAAAGAAATTTACCGCTTTGCATTTTTTTTTTTTAAAGAGCTGCATGCAGTATTTAAAGCGCAAAAAAAGATGAGGCGATCGAGCGTGTGAGCAAGGTGAGCAAGGTGAGCAAGGTTGGGTGAGTGAGCCGAAAAAGCTTGTGAGCAATCACACCCTCCTTTTTTTTCTCACTTGCATTTTGCTATCTCTATCGGTAACCTTATTTTCCCTATTTTCCCTATTTTCTTTTTCGAAAATGAGCTCTGACAAATTCATTGACAAACAAGTAGTGTTTCTCTATGCGTCACAAACCGGCAACGCCGAAAGCATCAGCCACAACATCTACCTCGAGGCCATCCGTCGCGGGTTCCGCGCCTCCCACCACGTCCTCGACGACTACAGGAAATTCAACTTTGACTCCCTCCGCACCATCGTCTTTGTGGTCTCCACCACAGGCGATGGCGACCCGCCGGATAACTCGGCGAGGTTCTGGCGGGTCCTGCGTAAATCATCCAAGCAGTCTGAGGCTTATGCCCATTTGAGGTATGCGGTGTTGGGCTTGGGGGATACTAATTATTCGAACTTTTGCAATACTGCGCAGAGGCTGGATAAGCAGCTGGAGGAGGCCGGGGCGAGGAGGTTTTATCGGAAGGGGCTGGCGGATGACGCCACGGGGATGGAGGATGTTGTGGAGCCATGGATCGATGGGTTGTGGGAGAAGCTGGAGGAGATCGCGGAGTGCAGCGGGAAGAAAGACGAAGGGGGCGAGAAGGGCGAGAAGGGCGAGAAGGGTGAAGAGGGTGAAGAGGGTGAAGAGGGTGAAGAGGCCAAGGAGGCCAAGGAGGGTGAAGAGGCCAAGGAGGCCAAGGAGGGTGAAGAGGCCAAGGAGGCTGAAGAGGCCAAGGAGGCCATGGAGGCTGAGGAGCCCAAGGAGGCTGAGGAGATGAACAAGGCCGCCTCTGTCGACCAGGCTGCCGCCGGGTTGGGCGCGCTAAGCCTGTCGGACGCCGACGGGTCCGCTGGCATCCCCCCAGTGGTCCTCGACTTCCGCGCAATGTCCGGCCTCAGCGCGCTCACCGGCGTACCCCGCGCCCCCGCGGCCCTCTGCACCACGGCCATTGGCCCCCCACCACCAGCACCCGGCGCCCGCGACTCCGCAGCCTCGCTTCCGCCGTGGCACCTGGACATCTGCAGCAGCTCCACCTCCGACCCAGAGCAGCAGCCGTTTGTCGCCGCACTTCGGTCACGCGAGCCGCTAACATCGGACGACGCAGTGAAGCGCACGCTCCTGGCCGAGCTGCAGCTGCCGGCCCCGGACCGCACGTGCAGCCGCGCCGGCGACGCATTCAACGTGTATGCGCCCAACGATCCGCGCAAGGTAGCAGCGCTCCTGCAGCAGCTGCGGCTGGACGGCGAGGCCGGTGGCCGGCTGGCCGTGGGATCGCTGGACGAGCGCATTGCAGTGCCGGTGCACCTGCGCAGATTCACCACCGCCGTTGGCGGCAGCGCCCACACCGCGGACAGCGCCCACACCGCGGACAGCGCCCACACCGCGGACAGCGCCCACACCGCGGACAGCGCCCACACCGCGGACAGCGCCCACACCGCGGACAGCGCCCACACCACCCACACCGCCCACACCGCCCACACCGCCCACACCGCCCACACTGTCGACAGCGTCCTAAGGTGGGCGGTGGACCTGCACCAAGCGCCGAAGCGCCAGGCCCTGCGCGCGCTAGCAGACTGCTGCGCAGAGGCGGAGGACCGCGAGCGGCTGCTGTTCCTGAGCAGCCGGCAGGGCACGGGCCAGTACGAGCGCCTGCGCGCACAAAGCGCCGGGGTCCCCGAGACCCTTGCGCTCTTCCCCTCGTGCCGCCCGACGCTGGCCAGGCTCCTGGATCTTCTGCCGC